ATATTTTACTAAGATATAGAAGTCCTAATAGCCTATATAGCTCTAGAAGATATAAGATATTAGTTTAGCCTAAAGATTTAAGTAATATATAAAGACTACCTCTTAGCTATAAGGGCCTAGAAAAAGATATAAAAGAAGCGCTTTTATAACTAATACCTAGTAAAAGCACTTAAATCGTTATAGACCTAACTGCAATAAGCTAGAATATTATTAGAAATATTCCTAAGGCCTAGATAGGCCCTAGGAAAGCATCTAATAGCAGCTATCTCTATTATAAATAATAAGAATAAGAAAAAAACTATAAAAGAATTTTAATAATAGTAAAAGGATTTGCTAGATATATATTTAATAGCCTTTGTAGATAGATCTTAAGATAAAAAAGGAGCTATTAAATAGGGATATGCAATTTATTAAGATAATAGGAAGATTGCCTAAGGCAAGGGATGCCTAGAGATAGTAGAGATCTTTAGTAGCGAAGCTAAAGGGGCAAGGAATGCCTTAAAGAGGGCCTGTTAAATAAATATAGGAGTATAGATATATATCTATATTAATATTATATTTATTATTACTGGCCTTCTTAGTAATATATTAACTAGCTCTTAAGATACCTTCTTAGAATTTTAAGAGATTACCTAAGCAGTTATAATTAATATATAATAGGCCCTAGGGCATAAGGATATTAAAGGCAATAAGGAAGCAAATTACTTAATAGATAAAGGGACTAAGATACTAATAGGTAACCTAAGTATATCTATAACTTATATTATTATAAATTAAAAGATTAAAAAGACTAGAGACTAATACTTCTATAACTAGTAGTAGGAAGCTCTTTTAAGATATAAGAGCTATTATGCCCTAGATCTTAAGATAGCTACTTTAAAATGCTTTAGAAAGCTTAGTTTACCTTAAGGCATACTTTACTACTTTCTAGCCTATAGGTCTACCTATAGAGACTTTTAGAGCTATTATAAATAATTTAACTATAAAGATATAATAAAATATATATTACAGGATTAAGGCCCCTAAGCACCTAGTCTTTTACTAGAAGGTCTAAAGACTTAGGTCTTAGTAGACTTAGCTAAAAAAAGATCCTTAAAATAATAGGAAGTATTAAACTAAACTTATTAAATAACTAAAAAGGTTTATAGTTTTCCTTAAGATAATAAGGTTTTATAAAAAGATATATCTAAATATAAGGATAATTTAAATATAACTAAGAATAAATAAGTCCTGGCTAAGGATAAGCTAACTTATAAAAACTAAGGAACAGGCTAGCCCTTCTTAACCCTACTTTCACTACTAACTCTTATTTCCTTTATTATATATTTAATTAATAAATAATAACTAAGTATATACCTTATTATAAAATCCTAGGATTTATAGCTTTATAAATACTTAAGATTATATATAAGCTTAACTAGTAGAGCTATAAGAATAATATAATAAATACTAATAGTTATTAGGCTTAATTTATAAGATATTCTTAATATAGTAATTATATATATATAGTATCTCTCTAAATCTAGATAGTCTCCTATATGCCTTATGCCCTTTAGGAGGCTAGGAATACCTATTCCCCCCGGCATTAAATAAAAGAAGAAGAAAAAGAAGAAGAAGCATCTTAACAACTTCTGCATGGCCATTCGCAGAGGCAAAGTTTAGTGGCGTCTATCCGCTGTCATTTACTATCGTAAAGTCAGCCCCTCTAGAGAAAAGCAGAAAAACAAGATTGCTAGACCTGTTAGCATAAGCTATACTAAGCAGTATTCTTCCTAAGCTACTTCTTTTATTTACATGCTATTTATTAATAAGGATTATTATTATATTTATTAATTTTAGTATTACTATATAATATAATAGGCTTAGCAGAATAGTCTTAACCTTTATATTTAATTAGGTTTTTATTTTATTTAATACTATTTAAGTATTTTAAATAGGATTATCTTTATTAAAAATGTATATTAAATACTTTAATAAATCTTTATTATTATCTAACCTAGAGTTAATATATTAATAAATAGTTATTATTATATTTTTATAATAAGATATTAAAGGAAAGAGAGTTATTTAAAATATTTTAATAAACTTATAATAAGAAAATATATTAAAGATAAGCCTTAGTAAGTGAATTATTTTATATTTTCGTTTAAAAAGTCTATAATATATTCTTATAATATATTTAGCCTAAAGTAAAAAGGTTATATAAAAGATATTAGTAAACTAAGAAATAAGGCAGGTATACTATTTATTAACCTAGGTAAGACCTAGTAAATCCCTTATTAACCTTTAAGATAGGGCTATAAAGATTAATTATCTTGCTTTTAATATATTTATTATCTATAATATTAGGGAAATCTTTTAATAATAGTTCTTTAAATATAAGTATTAAAGTAGCGTTAATAATTTTATAAATAGTAAAAGGCTATAAGGCAAATGCCGCCTAGTATAAAAAAGTAACAGCTTAATTTCTTTTCTCTTTTCCTGATTTAGTAATTTTAATTTAATTAGAGTTATATACATAATTAATACTTATTAATATATTCTTAATAGTATATTAAAGTTATTTCTTATTTATCTCTCCCTTAAGATACTCCTCTTATATCTTAAGCTAGAGGAATTAACCTTAATAATAATTAGATATTACTTTAAAAGAATTAATTAAATATTATTACTTTTATTATAAAGCTTTTTATTAATACTAATATAAAAGTAAATATTAATATCTAATTAAATATCTTTAAGTATTATCTTATATTTATTAAATATTTTCTATATACTATTTATAATTATATCTTAAATAATAAGCTTATTATAATTAATAAGAAAGACTTATATTTTAGTTTTAGTATTAAAATTTATAATATTATAAAGAAACTTTATAATTAAGATATATTTATTACGGCTATTAATAATAAGAATATATTTAGGAAAGTTTTATAAGAATTACTTAAAAAGGGTTATAATAGTTATATAAGTTACTAAGAGGTCTATATTAGAGATCTAACTTTAATAGGTATATTTAAATATATTAATATTTTATAATATAATTTAAAATATCTATAACTATAAGGCTAAGAAAGGGTCTTCTTAGCCTTATATAATATAATTAAGAATTTAATTATAGGTACCTAGGAGTTTTTTTTAAAAGGATTTATAATAATACGTATTAGGAGGGTAATTACTAAGCCAGGTATAAACTTAATGGCACGCTTTGGCTATATAGTATTAGTATAAAGCTAATAAGTATAGATATAAAACTACCTTACCTTTAACCTCCTCTTTAATTTATTTTAATATATAATAGATCTTATTATACTATCTATAGCTAAAATTAGCTGCTACTTTTAATTAGATATAGCCTATCCTATAGTATAATATAGCTTATACCTTAAGTAAGTATATTAATATAGCAAGTATCTAGATTTTGCGCTAGCTATAGATTATTCCTTATACTTAGAGGCATTAAATTATATAGTTATTAGACTAGTTTTTTAAATATCTTAACTTACTTTACATACTTTCCCTTACCCTATAATGCCTATAATATCTTATTTATCTTTAATTTATATATTATATTATAGGATATTAGTTAGCCCTGCTTTACTAAGCCCTTATTATCTAAGCCTATACCTTAAGGTTAATAGGGAGGTATATTACTAGTATTGCAAATCTCCTTAATACTAACATATAATAATTCGGCTACTATATTAAATTATTATTATATTACCTATTATCTTTACCTAGAGTTATATAATAATAAAGTAGAAGTTTAGAGAATTTCTTATAAAAAGCAGTATAAACTACATAATATAGCCTATGTAACTAATTCTTATTAATTTTATGGCATTACTTGCAATCGATAGTTGGCGGCGTGCCTTGGGATTATTAAGCAATATGGCAAGGGGTATAATTTAATTAGCTATTATTAATTCGTCGGTTACCCCAGATTTAGTTTGTAGGTTGCCAAACGATACAGGGCATTACTTACTAGGATGAAATGTTTGTTATATATATACTGGCGTTAGTAGAGCCCTTTCCATACTTCTACGACGGGGTCAAGATATCGATTTTTCACATAGGCTCCCAGGAGGTTGTATTGCTCTGCGCTATAAAAGTAAAGGTAGCTGCGCAGATTACGTCGAAGGAATAAACCAGCCAATGAGACGGTTTATTATACACTTTTAATTAAAAACTCTGCTAGGACCTCTAAAATATTGACCCTATTTTAGTAAAAGAGGATTTTATAGGGGTATGAGCCTATAAGAGGCGGTAAATTTCCTCTTTTATAGAAAATAGGACGGATAATAGGGATGTAGGAATGATCTAAGTAGCTTCTGTGAGTTTACGTGAGTAGGATGTGTTTACGGAGTACTTAAACACTCTACTCGTGGTCGCGCTCCTTACCTAATTTAGTTTTCGTGTTTTGATTGGCAGTCACAAAAAAGAACTCTACCCTTGTCAATTTACAGAACTCTACCCCTTGTACAGTGGGGCGCAAAAAGAACTCTACTAGAGTTCATCCTGTACTCCGGCAGTATAGGCAAGATCACTTGGACTTGTTGTTAGGGCGATGTCGGAGAAAATGTCACCTTTACGTCTATGTAAAGACTATCGATCATTCTCAAGCCTGACATTGAACTGGAGAGGTACCTTTGCTTTCAGGAATTTGTCTGCCCAGACACTTGATCAAGTCTCTCTACTAGCTGTTGCCTTTCAGACCTCTCGTACATTGTTACGTACCATTTGGTGCCTTTTCAGCTGAAGCAGTAGTTATCTCCGTAGCCGCTGTGTTAATTGTGATCTGAGCTATTAGTGGCTCACAACGCGCCGTCACTGCATCAAGGCACAGCATGATTGGTGAATAAATATGGAGTCCGATATCTGACAGGGTTATCTACACTTGAAGAGGGGGGACTTTTTCCCCAGAAAACGCTCAATTTCACTCTTCGTTTACTGCCATTACTACCATTACTACCTACTACTACTTCAACCTAGCAAACATGTCAAATACTTGCGTTGCAATCGACCCCGATGGTGACACTCTAGTCATCCTCGCAATCAAGCAGGACCCTCATCCTCCCTCTACAGAACCCTCCGACTCCACCAACTCCACAGAACCCGCCGAACCCGCTGGCACCCCAGACTCCCCGGAATTCATCGAGAAACATTTTCTCTGCTCCAAGAAGCATCTGACACTTGCATCGCGTCGTGCTTCTAAGATGTTCTCAAGCGCCTTCAAAGAAGCTTCAAAACAAGACGATGGTCTCTATCATTGGAACTTTGGGGAAGTTTTTGACGCTCAAGCCTTTGAGCTGGTCTTGAAGATCATACATGGAAAAACCCGCGGACTTCCCCAGAATGCTGAACTAGAACTTCTATCAAGAATTGCTTCTATTGTTGATGATCTGGAATGCTATGATGCTCTTTCGTTCTTCACTGAGAGATGGCTTTCGTCATACTGTTGGCTTTATACACTCCCGCAAAAAATGGATAAGACACTAGCACAACTTATTCTCGTTTCCTTTGTCTTTGCGAATGCAAATCTCTTCCAGAAGTGTACACAGAGAGCTGCTCGATATACCAGCGAGGGTATGCCTACATTTGATCTACCAATCCGTGCAGATATTCCTAGTACGTCGGCTTGTGCAAGATGATAGCTTACGCTTACAAAGATAGGTCGTATCGAAGAAAGCAGGACAGAAATTCTGCAATACCTAGTTGATAGACTATATAAGGTTCAAGATGACCTTCTTCACCGGAAGCTGGGATGCAGTGAAGGTTGTAGAGCTATGCTCCTAGGATCTTTGCTACAAGTTATGAGAGCAGTCAGTCTGTACCCACGACCCGAGTCTCCCTTTTACTCGCTCAGACTCGACTTGATTATCAGCTCTTTGAGCGATATGCAATCATCAATGCATTACAGTTCGGTAGCAGAAAGCCCTGCAGGGAAACATTCGGGTACATGGCTACTACATCATCCGCCAACGTCTCCACCTGCTCCCCAATCGAATGCTGCTACTACTCAATCAACTTCAAGCCTTTTTGGGTCTGGTTTCTCACATTTCGCTACCTCCACTACAGCTCAAAATACCTCTGACCCACGTCCAGCTTCCGGTGGACTCTTCGGTAGGGGTGCCGCCTCTCGGAACGATCCTACTCCTAGAGCTGGCTCTAGGGGGTTATTCGGCACTTCAACTACGACTCAAAGTACCCCTACTCCCAACGCGACTTCAAGCAGTGGATTCGGTGGAAGCGCCGCCCCTTCTGGAGGACTTTTTGGGACAAGGACCGTGACTCAAACTGACAATGCTTCTCGCAGCGCATCTCCCTTACAGGCTGGTGGCCTTTTTGGAAATACTGCTACTGCTGGCACGGCTTCTACTCCTCAAACAAGCGATCCGTTTAGTACAGCTCCTACAAAGAACGAAGAGGCGCCTAAGAAGCTTGTTCAACACAGCTGTTCTCTGAAGAGTTTCATCGATCCTTTGTTGCTTGTAGCGGAGAGTAAGATTCAAGGGTTGAAGTTGGGTGACTTTCCTCAACCATAGTTGATGGACGGCTGAGCGTTGTCTTGCGATGAATACTTATCATGAGAAAAAACTGAATATGCAAGCATGTGATAAGCCTAGAAGTAGAAAGATGCCAAGTTTTGCTTTGAAGCGGATACATGCATTGTGCGACTCCTCAACGGCATCATCGTAGTTACTCATAGCATAGCGAGTATTCCAATTACTCAGGATGAAGGGCGTGTTTCTATTGATGAGCTTCTCGGATTTCACTTTTCCCCCAAGAGGCGTGAGATTCTTTTGTCGAATTCGCCAATCTTTGAAGCAGGGAACTACAGAGTATTGGTCCGTTGGCGCATCTTTCAATGATGGCAGGCAGAAATACTATCGGCCTTGTCGAAAAGCTTCGCCGGTCGGCTTGAACCGTTCTTTTCCGTGAGCATCCTTTGAGAAAAGCCTATCTTAGGTACTGCCTGCGAGAATAGAGCAGGCTATGTGAGCTGTAATGTAATCAACTCTATAGCCAGCAGCATTGAATGCCTCAAAAGAGACAAGGACGTTAAAATTAGAATCGCCCTATACAGTAGAGCGTTCATGGTAACTTATTGTAACTTGTCAACCGGCTGGTTCTACAAAATTGGCGGTCAGACACAATTCGTCGATTATGTTGTACAGACAGACAGACAGATCTATTACGCCCGGTAGGCCACCGCCCATAGGACTCTAAAATCTAAAAATACATACACTTCGCTAGTCATTGCCTTAACCTCGTCGAGCCCTTGTGTTCCCCGCCTTGCTTTTCTGTCGTTTTATTATTTTTCCTTTCAGTTCCCTTTGTTGGTTAGTGGTAGTAGATCAACTTGAAGCCCAATACCTCTAAGTGTTTAGTTTCCTATATTCGGCGGTCAAAGCGTTGCCTGATTTTCGTTGTACGAGGTGGCAGCTGTTGTTAGTAAATGTGTTTTCCTAATCGGTAGCTGCATGGGGTTATATTTATAGCTATATCTTAATTTATTACTCCTCTGCTATATTATACCCTGCCTCTCTTTAATAATAGATAATATTATCTTATATAATAATAAGATATTAGTATATATTATAGCTATATTTATGTAAAATAGCAAGCTATTTAATTACTAGGTTATTATTTTTAGGTATTATAATAATCTTTAGGTTAGCTAGTTTAAGTATACTATAGTAGTCTTTAATATCTTTAAGTACTTAGCTCTTTAGCTAAAACTTATATTAAAAATATAATTTAATATATAGGCCTGGCTAAATAGCTGCTTTATATAGCTAATAGAGTAGTATTTAATAGTTATAATTAAGCTATATAATATCTTCTATTACTGCTTAATATTACCTCTTTAGTCTTAATAATAAAAAGTAAAAAGATAAGTAATTTTATTATTTTTTTCTCTTAATTAAAGTCTCTTTTTCTTTATATTATTATAACCCTAAGTTAGTACTAGCTAACCTTAAGTATAGGGCTGGGTTATTTTAAACTAATTAGTAACTTGGCTTTACTTTAAATAATTTAACTTTAAAATATAAGCGAGATAACCCAGTTTGTTAGCCGATTTGAGTCAAATCGCCTGCAAATAATTCCTAGGCCTGAGACCTTCGCCGACGATCCCCAGCTGATGGGCATATTCGGACACCTGGGGATGATGCGTGCTGGCGGGGACAGGCTGAACAGTGAGGGATCGAGACGGGGTGAAAGGAAGGGACTACTTCGGCAGTTTAAGAAGACTGGGATGCCGCTATCGAGAGCGGGGGTTGGTTGGATGACGGTAACGGCGTGTTCTCGCAAAATCCAGAACCTCGACTGCCCGGGAACGTACAGAGAGGGAGTCAGCCCGTGGTTCCGGCGACCAAGATCGTAAGGCCAAGCTAAGAGGCACTGGCTGAAAGTCAGGGAGCGCTAGCGAAGAGTCTCAGGCCAAGTCAGAACATTCTTATATATCCAAGTGTGCTACTTGGCTTAATAACAACGCCGGCGGCAACTCAAGCTCAAAAAAGAAAGTAGCCTGGTCCTCCAACAAGTGCTCTCTCTCCCAATGAATCTTCTATTCCTCTACCAAAAATGAGGCGCGCTGGGTCAACTCTCGCAGAGTTGAAGGAGGTTATGGCCTCAGAAGAGAAGACTTACATCCTTCAAAGGCGACCCAAGGCGGCAGGGCCCATTGAGAAAGCAGTCAGAAAGTACAGACCAGTATCAGTCTTAGGGGAAAGAGAAATCAGTCAGAAGCTACGAGTCATCAACTTATTTAGTGCAGAGAAGATAAAGGCGGTAATTTGGAACGCTTTGGGAGAAGGGGAAGAAAGAGAGGTTTTTATCAAGAAAATGCAGTCTCTAGAGAGGTCAATAGCTCCGCATAGGTAATCACATAGCAGCCTATATTCCAGCTACCAGTTTCGACCTCATCCTCGCAATAAAGACTTTCGATGAAGTCATCTGTATCACTACCAACCTCATTCTCAGTCATCCTGTTGGTTAGAAGGCTCGCACGATCGGTCAGGAAGTTGATAAATGACTATAGAAGTGGAAAGGGAGGACTGTTGGAAACGACATCCGGCAGCCCATGAGCTTAATGCGAGGATCTCTGCCAGTATTGGTCCGGCAAAATTCTATAGTATCACGCTGATACTTGACGTGTCGTTCTCGGTTTGGATCCTACTGTTGGCCTATCTCATTCTGATACATGTGAACTCAGTTGAGGCGGGATTGCAATCATCTTCAGCCCTATCTCATCGTCATGCAGCCCGACGGGCCCTCATTTTCTGTCGCGTCCAGATCGCATGAGTCGTGGATTTTGCAATGAGAACTATCACAGTGCCGTTGCCGAACACGTGCTCTTCCTCATAATGTGTCTACGATGTACCGTGTTTCACAATCACCAGGACCATGTGACTCCCGTCTTCGTCGGTGCTTCGTGCGTTCGAGGTTCTCAAGGTAGTGAAGTGACCGTTATGCTCTCTGTTGAAGTTCATGGTTGTTCTATTTTTCGATGCTGTGTCTCTGCGTCTGGCTTGACTGCTTCGCCACCGTTTTACGAATCTGTCATCGCCCGCCTCCACAGGTGCAGGGTCGAGAGCTCCGATCTTATTAGGCCTTTAGGCGACTCCCCGTACTCCTAACTTCTCACACTCCGGTATTTCAAGGGTTGTAGGTTTCTCTCTAAAGCCATTCACCCTCGACGCCAGCCGTCCATGCTGTCTCCTCCAGATAGCAGTGTTGGTTGCCAACCGCCGCAGTGAGTTGCCTTGTCCGATGGTATGTGCCGAACGTCTTCCTTCTTCTTTTTTCAATGGTGTAAACGCTTCTGTGTATAAGCTTATTGATATTACTGGTGAGAATCCATAGGCCAGGCTGCGGCATGATCTCTGGTTGCGGATTAGTGCTATTCTCTTGTTAACTACCAGTCATCAACTGTTAGAGAAGACGATCACCTGGCTGGAGGAGTTTTGGGCCGTCGGGTACCGATTTTCCGCCTATCGTCGAGACACAGGGAACATTCAACATTTTCTGGGTTGGTGGAAAAAATCATTTTTAACCTTCCAGATTGAGAACCTAGGGGGTTAATCCGATGGTATCCCAGTCCGAAGGGCTAAGAAATATGGCCTACTCCTCTTCGATAACGCCACCGATATAGATATGCTCTTCAGTTCTCGTAAGCGGCCAGGCAGTAACAGGACTGTCTCCCGAATAGTAACCATGGCCAGCCTCCATAGCATATACTCACCAGGTAGAGGTTTGGATTTAGATACACAACGCAATTAAACTACTAGAGACGAATCTAGAAGGGAAACCAGCCTTTGGGAAATTTATTGATTCAAAAAGGCTCCTTTAAGAATGGCAGAGTTGTGGCTGATTTCGTAATTGAGCTGTCTTATCTTGTATTGAAAATCACATGGAGGGAGCATACCTACACTGGGAGCAAGCTAACACCGCGGAGTACATATACATTTCCACAATAACCTATCAGGAATATAATATAATAGTCAAGGTTCAACTCCTCCGGCGATCTTGTCTCTGTAGTTGAGCCCCCAATAACTCCTGAATTTCACGGAAAACACTCTCCAACGAGTGCTGGAAACCCCATGGCGGGTTTCCAGGCTCGCCCTTGTGCAGAATCTCGAGCTCTCCCACGTACCACTCACGATGACTCGGCACCCCAACTACGCATGCGTAGATCTGACCGTCGCCGTCCTTGTATGTCACGACCTCCATTTGGTGCATTGGGTATAACACCCGCAGGTTCGCTGGGGGGTTAGAGGTTGGCAACCTGGCCGGGGAAAGCGGACGTACCCTCTATTAAGGTCTGCAAGGCTGCAGCCTCACTGTAAATGCTTGTTGTCATGAAGACGATGCTTTTATCTTTAGCTTTGAGGTGGAATGTAAGTGACCTGGTATTGGCCAGTAGACAACTCACTTGTTTATCCTGAGCTAGGAATATCGGGGGGTTATTCAGCACCGTTTGATATGTCTAGCCTAGTCCGATGTGCTTACCCTTACTCCGCAGCGATATTCGGGCTTGGCCGACAGCCGACGTGGACGCCTTAAATCTTGACTTTGGTCAGTCATCCTCATCTGAGATGTATGTTTCACTCACACTTGGGTCATACGATTGCTTTGGTGGAGATCAAGCCACCAATCCGTGAGCGACTCAACGTATTATGATCGAGCGTCAACTATAAGACCCAATGATATTGTGCTCAACCCGGGGGCGCTATAGGACCGTGGCATCACTATGACCTCACCGAAGGAGTCAAGCACGACACCTGATGCCATAGGCTACTAAGTTGGGCTGACATGATTTGTGGGTGGAAAACACACCTGTTAGATTGGCGGCTGGGAATGGGCTCCGCTTTCCTCTATGACAATATTATTATTGTATCCAGAAAAGGAGGGGGAATTGAACCATAGCATTGCCACATTCTAGTCCACACTTTGATAACCTCACCCCATCGTATTCGTGCGTATGTAACAGGAGTCCGGCCCCCACCAGAATCCACTCACTTAGCATGATATACGAACTGGATTGCTGGAATTCGTACTGTATGCGGCTTATCGCAAAAGATGCCGTGGTTATTGGAAAGTGTCGTGAGAATTCGACCACTAAAATCTCCTTTCCAAAACCATCCACGTAATAATCATGTGATTGATGAAGAGATGACAGGCAACATGGAACAGGCTGGATGTGCGTCAAGCTTTGCGAATGCTCTTGTAGCCGTTATCTGGTTTTTATTGCTAAGATCATTTAATTTCTCAGCCATGAAGCTTGACTATGATCATACCAAATCGAGCTGTAAAGGATTGATGTAACCTATTCTCAATGTCGTGTTGTTGTACTGTCTAGATCGTATAACCTCCGCTGGTGAACAAAAAAACACACTAACCTAGAAATTACAAACAGTTTTCTATTATGATTTTCCTATCACCTCATTCGGTTTCTTTTTGAGGCAACACGCGTTAAAATCCCCCTCTCCGTGTTCGGTGTCACGACACCGCCAGATTGCCTCTCGTCTACAGACTGCCCGCCTTCTATGAGTGCCGTACAGCGCTGAGAAATCAATATGCACTAGCGACTGTTTGCACAGACGAAGGATACCACTTCTACAATTTGAATTACAAGCCCCTCAAAATAGCACTTCTCTCCTCATATTTATCGCCACCATGTTTATCGAAACACTTACTCCCCAGGATCCATCGAGAGAGCCATATGTGACAACTGCCAAACGCCAGGTTACTCAGAATGCATTAACTAGCCTAACACAGAGCTTGCCCTGGCGTGAAAGCCTTATGCCTATACAATATATCCCTGCATCTCAAGAAACAACGCCAAAAACGCTGCAAGATGATGACATAGTCGCCAAAAGGCTCTCCAAATGGCTATCATCCTCATCGCAGAATGCGAGTAATGGTAGCAAGGAACAGGATCCTTACCAGTCTCATGTCGGCTCCAATCTCTCTACCATCGCTTTCGATAATCAAAAACTAGCAGGGGGGTCCAAAGGTGGAGAGACCCGATCAGTAGCCGATGTTCCGAGCTGTTGGAGTTTTGTATTCCTCCTCACAAACCTGACGATAAGTCGTCACAAAGTTCAGAGCGACTGCTCCTCAAAGATGAAGTGAAGAAGGATCAAACAGATCAAGATACTCGTGGCAAGTCTTTGGTATTAGGTCTCCGTCAGCCCAGACGACTGAGATCCAGAAACCCCGCATGTACCAAAACGGTGCATTTCGCACCAGATCTGGAACAAATTTGCCACTTCTACCGCACCGATCGTCCATCAGCAGTCAATTCTGTTTCGGCACTTGTCGATGACTGGCGTCGAGACAGTCTCATCGTCCTCGCATCATGAATGGCCCTGCAGGCGAGCATCTTCATACTACTGGGTTATCAACACTCCCAGCTTCCCGCAAGACGCTGTGGCTCGCCAATCGATGCCTGTCAGACTCGTTGAGATAAAATTCTCGGCTTATGACACGGCCATCGTGGGAAGTGTTGTAGTAGCAAATCTAGATATTCATCTTCAAAATCGACTTGGCGGAATATATTGATCTTGAGTATAAGCCCGTGTTTCTTTGCATTCGCTATGTAGTGGATGGCCAAGAGTTTTGGGATAACAATTCTTACGCGAATTTTCAGGTGGATTTTATAAAGATAGAGAGAAGAAAGAAGACGGCACAAATGAAGGTGTAGTTGGAAATATACTTCTACCAGTTTCTATCCTCCTAGTTCACCACGTTGGCGGATAGTAAGATGTTGAAGCCTGCGGCTCAAATAGTCCCAGGTCAATTCATTAAGTGCCTAATCAAGTAACCTATCTCTTTGAGCGGCACAAGGCATCAGTGAGGTCACGACCGGGGTCGGGGGCCAATCAAAATGATCGCGACGATCGGTACATTCACCCACACCTAAATTGGCGTGTGATAGAGGTACCAACAGTCAGCATTGTTACAAATCGCTACATCACATACTTTGCAACCGTACCTAGTCTTCCGGCACCCTTGATTTCCTGATATCGGCTCGAGATAGCCTCCTTTTTCCTTCCTTTTTTTAAAGGGTCGAGGCTGCCCTTGCCGGTAGCCTTTGCAAGCTAAGCAGGGCGAATAGCTGCCTCGGCGGACATGATTGATATCTCTTTGTAGGTGATTTTGCTGTGCTTCTATATCCTCGATGTCTTCTTCCTTCCCTGACCGACTTCTCGTCCTTGTGCCGCCTTCAGCAGCATATGTGTTGAAAATCGCGTTGCAGATGCATTCCTTCCAAGCTCGTAGCGTGCTATAAGGCTTCCAACGAGGGTGCCGGGTCTTCTTTTGCAAAATGAAGCTATTCGCAAGTGCGACTTCGAGGAGGAAGCTCCAAAGCAACGCCTGCCACGGACCGCGGCGGAATCGATGCTCATACGTTGTATAGGACCTTATCTGATCACCGCGGTCCACGTGATTTATTTTATCGTTATACTGAGCGGCAATAGTAGGTATAGGGATCATTTTGAAGCTATTCCCGTTAAAAAGGCGCTGTAGCTGTTGTGCCTCTGCCTTCGTGCCTCTCTTAGCCGGCAGCTTCCTCTTTTTTAGTGTGCGCTCGTGAGGGGCGCTGCTGTGCATAGTTGAAATAAAGAGCACTACGCTGCTATCCTTCCAAGCGATTTGGATGACCTAGGGGGAATAAAAAGGGATAAATTAGTAAGGGAAATACAGCTAAAAGTCGTCTATACCTGTTTATCCGGCATTGGGATTAATATGACCTTGTTATATCTCAAAGGCGTGCCGTTAGGAGCTTTGCCGGTCTCTTTTATCTGCTTTATCTTGGTGCTAATGCCGCAGTTAGGGCGTGCCGTGCCTGTGGCACCAAAGCCAAGCTGCCGAAGGAGGCGGAAGAGCTGCAGTGACGAGAAGAGGTTATCTGTAAAGACGTGATATATCTGAGGAAGCAGCCTTTTTACTAGGTGAACCACGATGCTCTGTGTATTACTGAGAGGGATCTCGGTCTGTAGCTTTCCCTTCTTGCCTTGCGGCTTCGCTATAGGTAGGTTGACGATAACAGCGGTATATGGTGATGACTTTACGTGCTAAAGCCACCGAAGAAAGAAGCCCTGTTGGGCGATAACCCAGACTTTGAAGCCTACCGGTGTAGGCTTTCCCTTGACAAGCGTTATCTCTTTCGATCTGCCTGTAAACGGCACCATACACTCATCTACAGTCAGATTAGTCCCTGGAAGATAGAGCTCGTTTGACACCTTCTGTATAAGGTCAGACCACTCTTCAGCCGCTTGGAAGGTCTTTGGAAGATCCCCCTCATTCCTCACATCGACTTTGGTGTAGTCAAAAGTACGGAAATACCTGTTAATCAGCTCGAACTTCCGTAGCGGCATGAACTTGATGATTGAGTGAAGAGGGCGCTGATCTCCTAGGCTAGGTGCCCTCTAATGGTCCTTTATCGATATTTCCCTATGAATCCCTAGGTAAATAACGACTCTAAGCTATATATAAGCCGTTAAAGTGGAGATGCCTTCCTATTTAAGGATGCGTAAGTGTTCGGAAAGGGGGGTATTCCAGTTATTAATAATGGCATTTTTAAGTAAGTAAGTGACCTAGCTGTTGGTGTAGTCGACCTATGACTGTATAAGGGAAATAGGTATAAAAAGCTGGAATAATTCAAGTGGTTCCTTGGGCAGAGGGTTGATCTTGAAATCACGATATTCTAGCTTGAAAGGTTGAAAATCATCACCGCGGCCCTCTTCGGGCGGAAAATTAGGCACGCCGGTGGGGTCATCAGCTGCTCTCAAAGGCAGGGTATCAAAGCTGTGATCATCTAAGCTATCTTGTATCTTTGAAGAGCTTATCGTTTTAATTACGATAGGCTAGGGGCTATTTGTGTGAGGTTTTTGATGAATTTGGTGGTGAAAAATTAAGCAGTTGTCTGACGAGAACTTCACGTACCCCGCAGGTACTAGTGTGGTTAGTAAGTAAAGTGGGGCGAGTGACCTTTTGATGCCTTGTGCCGCTCAAAGAGATAGCGCCAAGAGTAACAGACACCTACTCGCGAAGCCGCTGCTAGTTTGGGCTAAACTAGTCTTATACTTTTTGACGAATGTTATTTCGAGGATTTTAATCGGCTAAGGCGAGTTTCTGCTGAAAAAAGCGGAAAAAAGTAATGTATATATCCCTTCGATTGTGTTAAGGCTCCAGTGGGGTCACTACAGGGATAACTAACCAATGAATTTTCGAAGGTTAATAGGTACATCATCTTCCACCCATATTAGCCTGTGACTAAAGTCCTTGCGATCTTCAAGCTACAGGATAGAACACCTTGTTACTTTTATTTACTTGCTAAATTCTATACGTATATAAGTTTCCTTACGTAGAGTCGAGGTTCGTAGGGTTAGTGGGGCGCTATACCTAATGGAGCCTTAATACAGTCGAGGAGATAATTATGCACTCGAGGCGAGTCGTCATGCTCGGATTGTTTGCTACGACCAAGGAAGCGTCCATGGGTGAGGGCAAATTAAGGGTCTATGCTTGCTTGTTTGCTTATCGACGGAGATGATGACGACGCCTGCAAGATAAGATGCAAAAACAAAAAGGGAATCAATTAGTTAAGTAAAAGATATAAAGAAGCTGCATATAGTAATAATGACTTTGACAGCTGATTTTTATTACTTAGCGTAATATAGTCCGTGGGGATAAATTATAATTAAATTAAAATGGAAGTAAAATACTGTAATTAGGCTCCGGCATATCGACCTGCTCCATGGGTGGGGCTGCCTGATGTGTCAGATTACTCAACAATCGAGCTGTCAGAAGAAGTTAGCTTTGGGACTGGGCCAAGAGATGACGATCCTGGACCTATCCTTGTCTTTACGCGGGGTAATCTAGAGGGTCTATTAAAGGGGCGATTAGGTCCCTATACCACGCGGGTATAACTGGCAAGTCATGTTGGACTAAATCCTAGAACGGATTTCCCCGGTGAGATGTCTGTGGGAAATTAAACATGCAAATTAGACTTTGTTTGTGTAAACATTTGTTCTAGGAAATGATCACACACCCCCAGTTGCTTTCCGAACCAAAAATATATCAATGACATATGTTACCCTATACGAAAAGATCAAAATATGCTCAACCAAAACAAAACCACACATTCGGGCCATGAATGGCGCGGACACACAAAACATCCACTGCTGACATTAAAGAAAAGCCATTGGCATATTTTACGATCGATATGTCTAGCCTTTGTTAGTCCCTGGGATATAAGTCTGGGTCTAGATTAGCAGTATGAACTATTAATAGGCTAATTCGTGGATTTTGCCCCAACCTCCTGTGAGCGCTAGCTAGGAACCTACCTGAAAACACAATAGCTAAGGACTTGCTTGACAGTATACATAAGTTCCCATAATAAGACTTGCTTCCTTTCATACCGCCCTCATCTAATCCGATCATAAGACTACGCAGATAAGGTTTGTCATGGACGCGGCTAAGCTTTAGGTAGCATACCTATACCTGGGTCGGTTGCACGATCTTTAATCGGTTTTACAATGAAATTGAGATTCAGAGTCTTGATTAGCACCTTAGAACAAGTCAAAGTGTTACGGTAAGCGTGAATATTTGGGAAAGGGCTCCATGCATGAATTCTAGGTATGTCACCGGTGCGTTGTCGAATTCATATAATAGATTCCTGGGCAACAGGGTTTTTAACCCTGTATTGTATATGTATACGAGCATGCCAGGTGGGAATAGTACATTTTAAAGTTAGATTCTTTGCTTAGGCTGTGAGGGAGTGTACTCGCAATTATTCACAATGACTGACAGGGGCTATTTATTTGACATGGTTAGAACAATGACAGCTTCAATGAGCTGTGCGGTGCAACATACCTTCAACCTAAGACTTCGATCACGGAAAAGAACAACCGAACAAAAGTCGATCCTATACAACCATGCGCCCATCTTCAGCGCGCCTGAACCTCCTCCATTCTGGGTTCCAAGGATTGTCGATCGGCGTTCGGGGTGAGGTATAATAAGTGATAGAAGTCCTAACACTCTCCCCTTCTTGGTCCAGCCATTCAGTAGCGGATGCGGAAGGAAAACCAATTCGAGACTTTCCGCCACCGGCAAAGAAAATCATCTTTTCGCGACGAGGCCTCTCATATGAAATCTCATATAAAGTATCAAATTGTAGCTTCGTCATACTTGCCGCCCTGCTGGTACAGTAATCGAAGATTGACCGAAATGTTCCTTTACATAGTATAGACTTCTCGAGTGATAGCTCACGGACTCGTGTCCGCTGAATAAATCCAAGCAGATCCGTCTCTTTGGCAGAAATCCCAGAAAATTTACAACGCTTTAGGATGGGCAGCGTATCAAGTTCGACCATGCGCTGTAGAATGGTTTCGTAGTAGAAATGACCGACTGGGGCCGAATAACCCTTTGGGATCCGAAGATAATCTACTTCCAAGTTTTCAAGTTGGTTGCATAGCCGAAGAAGTCTTGAAAGGCCGACAAAGTCATTTTCATCTCCAGCTTCTGCTTGTACCTCAGCCACATCCTTCATGGAGGATCGCCCCACGTCCTCTTTGTTCTCTTGTAGAGCTCTGCGAAACTCGGAAACCCGAGTGGAGAGGCTTATTGATAATGACCTTAGAGTTGCCAAAGACTTGGCAAAAGCAGAGTCATTCCAGTCGATTGTATTGATTTGATCGTAGGCCAGGCTAGTAGGCTGTATATCCAGTTCGCTGAAGATGTTGAGGCCGTCAATGCGCAAGTTGCTCGCGGCTAATGCAGATACAATCGTGTCAAACGTGCGCATTGTGCATAGCCACACACTCTTCTGCAAGGGGACTAAAGGCCCTGATTCGGCAGGTAAGGTCGTTTCTTCGCCGTTACGGACAATGGCTACTCGTAGCGTAAGCAACCGAAGACTTCCGTTCTTGCTGTATTTTGCCAGCCCGTTGAATGCTTGACTAAGTAGATTGACTTCTTGCGTCCTTTGCGTTTCTTCTTTTTGCCAATCACTTTGCCTCCCTGGTTTCCGGCCTTCGCATTCCTTATCGATACCAACAAGATATAGGTACTGGATTAGACATCGAAGACCCCCAGCTTCAATACCCTCAGCGAATGTCCGTAGAGCATCAACCGTGACATTGACATGCTTCGAACGAAAAAAGGTCCTGAAATGATACTGTGAGGATTTCAAGGCAAGTGATTTGCAGGTAATGCGAAGATTGCGAATATCGTCCAGGTCTAGCAGCTGAACAATGCATTCGACAATGGGTTCTGGACAGCTTTCCAGACCTAAAGGCATGTTTTATATGAATAGTACATAAGCATGTCTGTGACCGAGGTGGTTTGGTCCTCTTTCGTGTTCACGATGGGCAGGGTTGATTTGTATGAAACGGGACAATATATCCAGAGTCAGGTGCACTAAGCTGGCAAAACGGCATGGCCTCGATGCTTAGCGAGAACCATTCAAGAATAGGTATGACGAAATAGTAGTGGATCAGACAGCTATCCTCTCACCTAGCTGTTGGTCTTGCTTGACTGGATTATGTCACTAGTTCGCCAAGAGCAATCACCTGATACCCTTTAGATATCCTCAGTCAGCACGGCTCACTGCTAGCCATGAGGGAAGGTTTACACCACTGGGTCTAAGGCCTGTAATGGCGTGATGGCAATTGCGGGGTAAGACCGCGGTCAGGAGACACTGTCTCTAGGTGTCAACCGAGTCGTCTTGGATCAGATCATAAATTGTAAAGTTGATAAGGAAACACGTCATTGTTGCAATGCCAAAAACTCTGTCTAGAAATCAGATCACTTACACAACACTACTGTTCCCACATGGGTATTACTGGCGCTGCATTTAGAGGCACCCTTCACTTCAATCATTGCATCAGATCATGCCGGATCATGTTGAGCTTACAACACATTGACAATGAGCAAATCCTTTCTGTAGAGCCACGGAGCGTCCTTTCCAGCCGGATGTAAAGACTCTGCCTTCTTTAATGCTATATATACCCCAGCGGCTGACTTTCAGAACGACAAGCTATAAAAGACTTCCCATGTACAGTCCCGTGCAAAAGTTCCGACACATCCGAGGTCCGGACCCCGCTTTCAATTAAACATCAACATCAACACCACAACTTCATCGCGTTATTTCTATAGGAAAAGATGCCTCGAATACGGCAAAAAACACATCATTCTCCTTGCAAAAGAACGAGGTTTGTGACGATGTACGAATCAGGTGTTCGCGTGCAGGATATCGCAGACAGTGAGGGGCTAAGTCGGCACGCGATCTATGGAGTCATTCGACGGTACCGTCACCAACAATCAGCAAAAGATTTACCTCGCTCTGGAAGGCCATCACGACTATCAGATATAGATAAAAATCATATCAAAATACTCATTGGAAGAAACGCTTTTATCTCATACCAAGAAATAATTGATTGCACCTGTTTGAACTGCAAAAGAAGCACAATTCGTCGCTGGCTTATCAATCAGAAGATACAACACAAGCTTGCACTTCGACGCCCGTTTCTCAGCGAAGAAAGTGCTCAATTGAGAAAAGCTTTCTGTGAAAAATATCGTCATGAAGATGAGTCTTTTTGGTATAGCTGGTGGTTTTCTGATGAGGTCTCTATCGACCGTACAGACGGTGACTATACCAAGTGGTCATTTTACTCTGCTGTAAGTCTAGCCCCTTCTATTTCAGAAGCTTCTTTTGACAACACCACAGGGTGAGAGACTCCATCAAGATAAGGTGCAGCCCTGTAGACGGCCTGCCAGACATTCTCAGATGTTCTTTGGTGCAATTCACTATGATAAGCCGTCTAGGATCGTCCCTCTTGCCGGCGATCCTGAGTCTGAGAGGGGAGGCGTAACAGGAAGGATTATTCTATCCTGTTTACAGTCTTATCTTCCCGGACTGGTCGAGGAAGGAGAGACTTTTCAGCACGACAACGCCCGTACATATAAATGCCGGAAAGTTCAGAATTGGCTGCTGCCCTGGGCAAGAAGAACAGGAGTCTTTCTTGCTGACTGGCCGCCATACAGCCCTGATCTCAACCCCATTGAAAATCTATGGAAAGTCCTGAAGAAGAGGATATGCGATAGATATCCTGAAATTGCTGCTTATCCAAAGTCTGCAGCAGCTTTGGCCCGGCTGATTGAAGCTGCAGAGGAGCTTTGGTCGGAGGTCGAAGATGAAGTGGTCAAAAACGTGATAAAATCGATGCCCGACCGGTTGAACGCCTGTTACAACGCAAATGGCTATTATACCAAGTATTAAACTATATTTCTGGAATCTCCTTTTAAGTCTCTACAGATTGATATATATATTATCTAAATTGAAGAATTATTGCCCATGCAATTGCAATCCGAAATGGCAGTATGAGATCGAGGTAGTTGGGGTGGATCCGGAATGTGTCGGAACTTTTGCACGCCCACTGTATCCCTGCAGATCACTAGTTTCTCAACAAGCACGCAAAACAATAGGCGGTTTAATTATCAACAAACGCATCTTTCCACATTCAATTGCCAACAAAGTACGCACGATGGCTCTTTTCCCTCGCAGTCTTTATAATTCTGATTCCCCCTTTCACCCAATCTTCCGACTTCTCGATGATTACGACACATACTCCCGAAGAAATCAGAATACTCATAACGCTGGAATGATCCACTGGCAGCCCAGGTTTGATATCTGCGAGACGCCTCAGGCTTACGAACTGCATGGGGAACTTCCTGGTATGAACAAGAAGGAGGTGCACCTCGAGTTTACTGAGCCGCAGACACTGGTCATCCGTGGAAAGTCCGAGCGAACCTATACCTCAGGAAACCCTCCTGCAGGTTTTGTCGAAGGCCCATCTGCGCATGGAGCTATTAAAGGCGATGGCGACGACCACAACAAATCGCAGCCCCAACAGCCAGAAAAGGGCGACAAAAATGACGAAAAGACGAAGTATTGGCTTGCTGAGCGCAGCGTCGGCGAGTTCTCCCGCACCTTCACCTTCCCATCTCATGTGGATCAAGATGGTGTTAGTGCCAACTTTCAAGACGGTATCCTGAGTATCATTGTCCCGAAGGTCAAGAAACATGAGTCCCGCCGCATCCATATTGATTGAACCGAACCGCGAGGCCAGCAAATACGGCGGCGTGCTTGAGCTTTCACTGATTGCATCTTGTCTTATCATTCTCACTTTTTTAGGAGGCTCATTTTGGATATCTACGACATGATTCGGCCCCTCGTTTCCCTGATTTCTCAAAATACACGATCTCTGCAACTTTTATAGTAAAATCTACAAGATAGTCCTGTTCACAACCGCCCCTAGGCCTCCAAGAACGTCTTATGTGACCCTTCGACTGACTGAGTGCTTTTTATTCTTCGGAGTAGTGCTGCGGGGATTTTGTCAGATTATGATGTTGTGGTTGTAGAATTATAAGGAAGTTTAAAATGTTTCGTAAAGTTAAGAGAGGCTGGTCGTACTGTATGCGTAGCATGGTAATAAGACTGGTAGATATGTAATTTTGCTTTATATTTCCGTCGAGATCTGTATAATATCCTAATATCAGATCTCAATCAACAAAGTCTTAGAGCAGATATTGAGCTCTAATTAATATGTCCAGAGGTACTTTAGAGTATGGCATAATACTATAAATAAGAATTCAGTACCTTAATTATTAATGTCAGTATATTTACGTTATTGTCGAAAATCCAGATAGGCATTTGCGACTTTCACAATGCCATAACTAGCGCCAGCAGCAATAGCTCCTATAAGAAGTGTTTCCAGTGACCCGTACACGGCGGAACGACGGCTAAGCCCAGTGATAGCAGCTTTCCCATAACCAAATATGCATAACATAACACATGTAGCTCCGATTGAAGCAAAGAGTGCAGTGTTGACATGCTTCGTAGTAAAGTAAGGGATCATGGGAATAAGTCCCCCTACGAATTTTGTCAACACGAACATAAAAGAAAAAGCTCACCCTATTGAGATATGCGAACCTATAAAGTAAGATAGCGCCATTGTGAGAGCAGAAACCCAGGGTCTCGACCAGCTAGGACGCTCAAGTTTAAGTTCAAAGTCCATCATAAACTACATGCTCTTAGCCTTTCCTTGCGAGGGGTAGCAAACTCACTTTGACCCAAGAGTGTGGATTTCTCCTGAAACTTTCGATAATTGGTGATATTTCCTGGTAGGTGATACCATATCTTTGGAAGAGATTCACCAGGAATTCGCTTTCGAGGTTTGGAGTTTGATTAACTTGGCGCTGTTCGCGTGCTTCCTCTACTTCAAAGTGATGGGGATCAGTGATTGTGGCTAGATAAGCCCCCAGTCGCATACTGATGGATCCGGCGAACAGTTCGGCCACTCCACCAAGAATGACAAGATTGCTTGATCCAATTCTATTTACTCATCAGCGTTGACGGTCATCAGAATGAGATGAACCCACGAGGATAATCCAGCTGTCAATGCGAAGGGTACTGTCAGTCCATCTGCAAGACCGATGATAGCATCGCGAATGAAGTCACTCTGTGTTGTATGCCTCTCAAGCCGTTATCGTTCAGATTCACTGCTTTGCATGATTTGTTTCGGTGTAGTGTGTGTTGGAAAAAGATGGAAATCTGCATGCCTCAAGTCAGACCAGCTTCAGGGATATCAAGCTCGGAGCCGATACAAAGACCAGAAACTTTCAGAGAGGCGTGAACCTCAATCAAGAGTCAAATGGCCATCCATTCTACTCCCACCGCTCCCGGAAACCAGTAAGATATTGCAAGACATGTTCTTCGACTCTGACTCATCATGGCATGACACCCGCATGATTGCCTGTTAATTTCCATGGCTTTCTGCTGGAAAACCTCATACTTGGCGCATTATGAAAGTTTGTTTCCCATAGTGCTGTGACTATCATATGATAATGACGTTACACAAAATCCTAACCACAGCCAATCAACTAAACCTTATCCGCCATGCACCACCCATGATCATTATGATTATTCCCTTTGTGTGTACGGTTGGTGTTGTTGCATGCTGTAATTTAGGGAGTAACGCCGACAGTCAATACCATAGCCATCGCCACATTGTAGTCCTCTACGCTTCCGACAAGGAAGTCTGTTAAACTTACAGATGGATTAGCAAGCTGTAAGTATACTCCACCAATCAATAATACGCCAGAAAGGCTATGGCGTGTCCTTCGACCTAGGGCAAGATGTTGAATCATATAGTACTTGTACAGATTGTTGCGACCCAAGGCGTTGAATTATTGTCGTAGGGGTGCGGCTGAGCCCCTGATTATGACTTTTTATCATCATTTACTACCATAGCGGAAAAAGCCTCTTGATCATGCTGCGAACTATGTAGATGGCGAGCTTTATCGGTGACATTATTTGCCCCCCCTCAAGCGAAAACGTCAGAGCAACTTCAACAACTAGAACCATTATTTCTTTGCGATTCAATCTTTATTAACTGTCTCTATGCTTACACTATATACATCATAATCAAGGTTGTCTTAACATGGGTTTCACTACAGTGTAGACGCATTGTGTATCCATATACGTATATACATCGTGTCGCATCACGTGTTGACCTTGAGTATATAAAGCATTCTAGGCACCTGGTCAAGGTTGCAATCAAAACTATAGGTCTATCAACCATGAATACGTTCCACCGTGTTCAATTTATAGATATCCTTAAAGTTTCGACACTCAGTTCATAACGTTCTAGCTAAGAGAACTAGATCCTTGTGAGTCCGTGTTCTTAGCCTCGATGGAACAACGTGGTAGTCGTTCCTCATCAGCAGAGTATGGACAATTGGCCTCTTCTCTCGCCATATCGTAAACCCATCTCTCATTGGGTTGTAGAACGACCTTGCCGTATTTTTCGGTTCCAAGATCCCTCCACTTGGAAGCTAGGTAGAACCAACACAACGCATTACTGACTGTGCCAACTTCGTCATAAACGCCCGTCCTTGCGGCATAACTCATCCTTTCGTATAAATCATCATTACTGAACAGATTCATGAGGTGATAAGCAACAGCCCTCCAATCGCCGGGCTCAACAAGGAATCCGTTGATCGAATCCTTGACCTGAAGAGGAATACCGCCTGCTTTCGTTGCAACGACTGGCCGTCCAGCATGCAATGCTTCTGAAACCTTCACCTCAAATCCTTCACTAGTTGAGAGTTGGAGGACAACGTGGGCTTTAGAAATCAGTGTGTTAAGTAACTGATCATTTGGTGCCAGACGCATCACACTGATATCCTTCATGAGCTCCGGGCATAACGACATTATCTGATCTAGTGTCTGGTCGTAGATAATACTAGAGTCAGGATCATCAATAGATTGGTTACCGCACAGGACAAGCTGAGGAGTATCCTCAATGTCGGCCACTTCGCATTGGCGGCGAAATTCGGCATATGAATCTACCACCGTTGGAATACCCTTTGAGGGATCGAACCGGGCAATTTGAATGATGTATTTGCGCGCCGGCCAGTGCAGTTCGGTCCTTTGCTAAAATTAGCAGCCTTGTTTCTCAATGTGGTAGGAAGAGTTTTGTATGTACTCACATCTTTTGTACGTGGCAACTAGCATTATAGATGTTTCCATAGTATCCGACATCCCAATCTCTTAAAGGCTTGTTTAAACCATCGAGCCAATCCGTAGTAGCTGGCAGATAAGCTACTTTTGCTCTGGGGACTGTATGAGGAACAAATGCAGGAATAGGGTGGCTGATATACATATCCGCCAGTTGTATGTTGCTCCACAGGAATTCCCAGATATCAGCCTGGGCCGAGCTGTCTTTGGCAATTAGGTCACTCCTGATTTGGATGTGAGAGCGATATAGCACTGGTCGATCCGGAGTAAACTTTTTAATGAGAGGAATTAAACCTGGCATTTGTGGGTCATCGATCTATTGTGCAAAAGTCAATGTGAGCTCTACTAATAAATTGATTACAGAGAGTTAATGAGGAAGAAATTGAACACTCAAGCATGAAACAAGAAGGACACAGACAATTATGATATGAGCACCGCCTTCCTCCACTGGGCATAGTGGGCCGGACTCCGAGAGCCAGTATCGATATGCATTTTCGGTAATCCAGTGGATAACGGCCTTCTTTTCCTCAGCAGTGATGCGCTGGCTGGGAGGACTCACTCCCTGCAGGACATTGTGGATATTCTTGGTGATTCTGAGGGCAGCAGGGAGTGGTTTAGGAACTATCGTAACTATCAATAAATCGACAAGGTATGTATTGGACCACATCTTTCGCTTTCAAGTAATGCTTACCGTACCAAGATAGGTCGACCCCTATTCGACGCGCAAAGCGGACTAGTGCATGACGCATCAGAGCCACGCCGCCACCTTGTGGAGTAGAACTGAAGAATGCGATACGAGTCTTGTTGCGACGTAGCTTCTCTGCATAGGTCATCATAGTCTCCCAGGTGGAGGTGCCACATGTGTCTTTGTAGTTCTGAAGAGTCGTTAAAGAGGCCCGAAATCCAACATCAGTCTGGACAAACCCGCGAAAGCCAACTTGTAGGAGGGGAGCTTGCGAAGGCCCGAAGTACCTAAGGTGAGGTTAGTGGTAAAGTTCACCATTTTCGAGGTTGTCTACTCACATGACGCATTTTCGAACCATTGAATCAGCCTGTTCGTCAACACGTTTCACATTCCAGAAGTACTTCTCGCCCTTCCTGTTCTCTTCACCCTCATCCTCTCGCTCAGCAAGTACTACAATCGGAACGATATCCAGATCTAGCCACAAGCGAGAGCATAGCGTTTTGCTTACACGCCCAAGCGTAGCTGGTAGGCCGGCTCCGATGAACTTGGCAAAATTCTCATGCTCATAATCTTCAACCTCCTGGAGGACGTATTCTGCAATGACATCTCGACCGATCGCTTGACTGCCGCTGAGATCAAGATGCTTGACGGAAAAGTCGGTGAGGTAGACACCGTCGTTGATAGCTAAAGCAATGAGTGCAGTTTGGTCATTTGAGAAAGCAGCTGATATGCCGAGGTATAGCCTCTGGCGCGCGGGTCCAGGTTAGCACAATGACCGACCCAACAATCAAGGGTAGCTTACCGTGAGGGCCGGACCAAACTGACCTTCCTTCTCAGCAGCACTACTTAATCGCCGTTTGCGATGTACAGATGTAGTCTTAGAGAACTTTCGACCATGTTTGAAGGCCATGATGGAAAGGATGAAGGGGCGAAGGCTCTTAGGTCGACCCGACTGTCCAGCATGAAACTCGGAGGGAGATTCATCGTTGAGGCGGGAGGGGTCTTCCAAGGAAGGAGGGATTGGTAGACCACTTTCCGTACCGGTCGGCGAGGTTTTTGGAGCCAGAATAGGGCCGGATTCAGCTGTTAAACGTAGGTACTGCGTTGCAGCATTAGGGAAAGCAGCTTGGTAAGGTCGAGCTTTGGGCTCTTCCCGTTGAAGTGGCTGATTTTGTTCCGACATTATCGAGTTGCCTGTCCAATACGACTTGGTTACAAGTGCTCGTACTCCCTATAACTCCCTTGCAAAGGGTGTTTACTAAGTGTTTTTCGAGATCTAGTTGGGATGGATTAGAGATTGTAGATAGTAAGTTAATCGAGACTTTTGTGTATGATTCTTGATGGGCGAGGCACACGATAAGCACATAAAGTTAATATGGCATATAGAGTAAACAAAATCATATAATTTCTATTAGCAATGTACTTACCTTATATAGAGAAAGCATGCTTAGAAACAGTTATCCAGTGCCGTGATTGTTTAAAGGCGGCATTCACATGACAGTGTTTAGTTGTGATGATCTGACGTCGTAAAGTTAAGAAAAAGGGGGGGAGTGGGGCGGGGGGCTTATGGGTGTGTAAAGTGCAGAAAACCTTATTAACGGATATAAGAGCCGGGGTTATGGTATTTAGGCGCAGATTTAACCAGGGATACAATGCTAGCTAGCACATAAGGCTTATATTTGCATACTAAAAATATTATAAGGGTTAGCTTATAATATCCTTATGTTATTAATATATTAATACTTATAATTAAGACATTTTAAGAAAAACTTTAATTTATTATTAATAGCTTTTGCTAATATACTGAAATAATTACTTTAAGTATATTTTTTAAAGCTAAAAAAAGACCTTTATTTATTAGGTATTATATTAAAAGTCTCTAGGCTATACCTTTTTATATAGCTAGCTTTATATTTATATTAAATGTATTCTTAAATAATAAAGTAATAGTAAATTTTTAAATAAGTATTAAATTATTTAATATATTAAGTATTATTTATAACTATCTATAAAGCTTAAAAAATATTAAAAAGCTATTAAACTTAATATATTATAACCCTTGTAGTTATGTTATATATACTTTATAATTTCCTACTAAAACCGCACTAATTATAATAGGACTAAAAACCTGCTTTCTTAGTCCTCTAGATCTAACTATATATAATAAGACTAATATATAAAACCTTTAATCTAAGACTAACCTATATATATCTTAGGCCTTATAAAGGTATAAGTTAATATATTATAATAAATACCTATATAAATATATAATATAGTTTTATTTAGTATATTTATAGATCTTAGCATGCTAGCTATTAATAAAACGTATTTATATTAATTAAGCTTAATATATATTAAATCTACTATTAAGATATATAATACTTCGCTCTGCTTAGCATTATGCCTTATATTATCTGCAAATATAAACCTAGTATGGACTAGTTTACCTGTTTGGAAACCTAACTATTAAAATAATGGCTTAATTGCTTAGTAGGTGGCGAGGTGATATTGACCTGTAGTAATAATACGGGACTGGATTGCCTAATTTCCTGTATTAATTGCCTGAATGACTGTAATTCATTCCCAGTTCCCAGGCTGCACTGATTTTGACCTTTTACGCCTCTCTGAATCTCTGACAACCACATCGCTTGCAGTTATACCCATCATAAAGCCGATCTCATTAAAGTTATACCGGTAAAATGACCATGGGCTCGCTATAAGTTCAGAATTAGTGCTGTTTAAATAACATCCTCTGCACAAATCCGCAGTGTCTTATTTACGTATTCATCTGGCTCAGCCGCATGATTTGCACGAAAGTTTGACCAAAAATCAGTATTGAAACAAGCTACTCCTGCACGTCGCCTCGGCACCTTGCTTTGCACTATAACCATGATTTCTTCCCTGCCCTGGACGTTTGAAGTATCTCTTCCGCCACAACCATTCTTTAGCCAGCTATCTAAATAACTTTGACATAACTTTCATAGCTCCATCGCTGTTGGCAAAACGAGTACGTCGCACCTTTGCTGTGGCATCTTATCGTCGGCTTACCCTGCACACTTGGTACTGGGAGTCAGATCTTACCCTCTAGGCCGCTCGCGGTGTCTGCTGATGCCGGCCGCCGACTGAATTGCTTGTAGTCGCGCTTCGTCATACCAGGTGCTTAATGTCTTGCCTTGGTATGTAAGGTCTTCATCCTTGATAAATGTGTTGGTGATATAGTAACACAGACCTTCGGGCTTGGGTGCCATTTTGGTGTAGATCTGCTGGCCTTTGTTGTTCCAAGCGTGTCGTCACAGTTGTCGGAGGACAAGCTTTTCAAATTAACAGGTGAAAGCATGTAGTGGTCAGGGAATGATTATGAGTTAATAATGATTTCACCGGACCGTTCTACTACCACATGATACCTGGTTAAATCTAAAACTAAGCCAACCTGGAGCCTTATAATGGCTGGCTGTATTCTTTTTGGTGTTCTTTTCAGCTAAACAGAAGAAAGGAAAATAACTAGCTGTTCAATGTTGTGGAGATTCACCTGGATAGCCAAGGGTGTACGTGACAAGCTGAGTGTTGACGACAACGGATTACGGTGGCTAAAGGTTGCACCGGAGTCGAGACCCAGTGTAACCACAAGCCAGAACCAACGGTGGTCCACTTCCTATGTGGTGTTTAACGAGAAATTTAGGTCTCGACCTAAGTACGTAGTACGTGGCAGTATTACGGCCTCGTTGCTGGCTGCGGTGCGTTTATTTTAGTACCTGTGCAAGGCTATCGGCTATGAAACAAGTCCATGATTTGTCAGTGACTAAACGCGATTTCCTATGCCACCTTACACTAGATGAAAATCTAGACCATCCAGCTCAATATATATGGCTGGTAAGGGAGGAGTGGGGCAACGTGGTGGCGAAGGTACTTGGTTTAGGAATCAACCTGGTGTAAATATCAATTCTTAGTGCGCAACGGCCGCCAATCAGCCAACTGTTCATTTATTTGTTCATCAGATCATGCGGCTGGGGACGACTTTTCCTTTAGCAACTTCCCGAGACATCGGCACGGGTTGGTCAGAAACCGACCGACAGAGCGTAAAATCATGCCGACTTGATGATCTGACTGGGAGGCAACCTAACGCAATTCTAGGTTTCAACGAATGGCGGCCTTCCTTTTCTGCACCTCTCGTAGCACCGTTGCGCTCGGAAACAGCCAACCGCCGCCAACATGTTACAGCAACTTCCAAAAGTAATTTGTCGATTTTGAAGACGCTCCCGTGCACTACTATGAAGTACTGGGAAGACACTCCGGAACCACGAGAGACGGTTAGCAAGCACGCCCCAAGTCCAATAATATTCTTTTTCTCGTTATAACATATTCTTCGGCCTGCTAAGCAGCTCCGAATATTATTTGTTGGTGAAGAAGGGGATGACAACAGCTTCGATGATGTACTGCTAAGCCGCAGCACAGGCTGGCCGTCACAGCCCACCAAAGGTGCCATTATCCCGCAGATAATTGAGTTTACGATTGAAACACCTCTCAAGCTCTGGGTGTCCCCCACATACTCAGCAATCAAGTTGCAGCTGTCGAGGTCTGCTTTCATTTTCCTTCTTCCTCAGCCGCATTCTCTCGGTCATTAACTACTCGCTCAACGGCAGTTTTAATATCCTCAGCGCCATCAAGCATATCCAGCCAGGATGTCTGCACCGCCTCATGCTCAAGCAGCAACACAATAACTTCAGCTACAGATGCCCGGCTAACATTGCCCCTCGACGTTGTAGTTTTCCCAAGCTCAATCGGTCCTGCAGGTTCGTCCGACAGTATGCCCAGCCGAAGACTTATCCCCGAGAAGTCGGCTCGGCTGGATGCCTCCTCAAGAAGTATCTCATCTGCTGCTAGTTTGGCTTGATAATAGCTCAAGAGACCGCCACGCTGCATCTCTTGCGCGTATCCCCAGGCGTCGTCATCCCACCAGCTGGGTCGCTCTCGACGAGAATTAATGTACGAGACGAGAAGTAATTGTTTAATGGTCGGCGTTTGGACTGTAGCTTTAATGAACTTAATGGCAGCATCTCGATCGATAGCAAAAGTCTGGCGAGGTTATCAGTAGTCATTTCTGATTGATTTGGCCCATTTCTTACTCGGTCAGGTCTTGCCTCTCCCCCTGCTCCAGCGCACCAAACAACGGTATCTGGTTTGACTTCATTGAGGATCGATCTTGCTTGGGAAATATCGTAGACATGTTCCAAATTACGGACCAGCACGTTCAAATTTCCCTTGTTGGCAGCGGCCAGGCTGTTGATCTGGGAGACTTGGTCCTGACTTCGAATAAGGCTAGTGACGGTCCACGACTTCCTTAGCAGTTGCTGCGTAAGGATCTGAGCAATCCTCCCGTGGCCGCCGATTATTAGAACGTGTCGACTCATTGTAGAAGCTGACAACTTCTTTGGAGGCGTGCCTGCGCGATTTGCTGACAGTGGTTGATCACTGATATAGGCCAGACTTTGGTAAGGCAAATCTAATGGTCCTGGTCGCTTAAAATAGACCGCGCAGATAACTTCCATCTCAAATCTCCGCACCGGGGAGGGAGGCACTAAGCAGCTGACAACTAATAACGTAAATCATGCTAACGTGACGATACGGTGTCGAATAATGATGAAAAAAACAGCTTTACAATGTCATTATGCAGTCATGATCCACAGGATATAGGGCGCGTTACTCTCCGTATGTGAAGGCAGAATTCCCAGATGCTCATTTGTCAACCTGACAACTTAAAGTCCGGCTATGATCAGAAGTAAAGCCACATTATGAGAAGGTTGGGTCAAGAATTCCGATAATAATCGACTTAGCAACGTGAAAATAATTTTACCCATCCAGCGGTTGCCAAGTTATTCGCTTCCCTCACACCCTGTAGCAAGGAACTCTATTCTGGTAGCAGCTATGAGCCCCGTATATAACAACTGCTACCTTACCCTTCCAGGCAAACTGGGAAACTGTGGGTCCACTGGAGCTTGCCGGCCGATTCAATTCCATAACGAAGATGAGTCTTTGAAATATTTTAGGAAGAAACTCTAAAACTATTAATCTTATGCAAACTTAGAGCTAATTAATTATATTCTGTTATCTCTATTATTTCGCAAAAATGAATATCTAAATCCCTTACCTATATGTCAGAACACGTAATCAAATGCTATAATTAAAAGCCAAGTACAGCCTCCGGTTCAGTATTAAATATTATTCGTTCAGCAAATCTGATATTATAGTTCAAAACGATCCCTCAAGAAGCCTTATCATCTGCATAACTTATTCTGCTAAACCAACTCAAGGATTGGATCGCTAAATCGGGGTTCACTACTGTGTTCAACCTAGCCGTCCCAGAAGCGACCTTAACGAGATTTTTAACAGAGTCATTACTTAACACATCAACAATTTGTGTTTCAACTTCGTGCCAATCACTTCGGAGGGAAGATGCAGCAAAATAGGGGATTTTTAGCAAGTTGTCGGCAAGAAAAACAAGGCGTCCTGCCCCAAGTCGACGGGCAATGGCGAGGCCTATGCCGCCGGCACCAAGTGCAAGTAGTCCACTTATAGATGAAGCCATTGCAAACTGGTTTGAGAACATATAATGGCGAGTCGGCTAAGGTTGATTTATCTACGCCACTAGACCACGGTCTTCATCGTAATTAAATACAGCCCATGTCCCTCTGCCCACCAGAGAATACGTCAGCTAACGGGTCAGATCAAGAGATTGGCCTGCTGTCGAGTCAGATCATGGCTTGCGGCACACCCAGCTCCAACTCCCTCAAAGTTAAATAATAAAGAAATGGGGTTTCCGGATTAGATTATGGCTACGATAGCGCCCCATTTAAGTATGAGATGTGGTATGACGGTGCAGATAGTGCAAAAGAAGTTCTTGCAAGGTGTTCGGAAATGCAGGCATGATCTGATGGTCCAATTCGGATTGCGCCATCACCTCACATTGAAAGTTTCCTGATCCAAGATTGGGCGTTTGGGGAAAAGAAAGCCACCACTAAAACTGACCACTAAAGGTAGTGCGGGGTGGCGGAGAAGGTGACAAACTGTTAACCCAACATCACATGGCACGTTGCTAGCAGATACACCTTGTGGCGTGATTTATGTTTGTAAAGAAGGTATGCCTGGGACCATATTGGGCTGTGAAGGTTGGGATGGGATCACAACTACAGAGCGAACTGTCATTAGCCTGTCTGTTATTAACCAATAAGACATTTCAGGCTAGTCTGGCGTTAAAAACTAACATCATATGGGGACGTAAGCGTACGCAGAGACAGCTCCTTAAGTCCCCTCCTGCAAGAACAAGGGTAAGAGTATAATACAAGACAGAAATTGGATCCGGCCTTGACTGTCACGCATACCTATATAGTTACGTCGCAGGGCAAAAGATTTGGCATTGATCTCTACCGTAGCGATCAACTAGGTGCACTAGGTGTATATCGAGCCTCCGTTGCGGGGACCAATCGTAAACCTTACACCCAACTACTGCTTACAAGGTTACCTTACTGCTGAGTTTTGCCGAATCACAAATCAACTATCTTGCAAAGTGCATAACGTGCGCGATAAGCTTGTGGATCAGACAAGTATGTGGATTAGTTCCACTTTTTACCTAAAAGGCATACTTTAAAAAGCATTTAAAAAGCTTAATTTAAGCTTAAAATAGCTAAAACAAAAATATAAAAAAATTAAGATATAACTATAATATAATTTTTTAGGATTTTTTTGCTATTTTATTTCATATAATATTAAGTAAAAATAGATTTCGCACTATATAACTATAGTTTTCTATATAAAATAAAATAAATAAAAATCTTTTAAAAATGTAATTAAATAGGATTAACTATATTATTTTTAAATATATTTTTCTTAGACTTTTAGCTAATTTATTTAAGTGCCAGAATGCTCTAGGTTAAGTTATTTTTAGCTGCACAGTATACTAATCCACATACTTATTTAATCCACAAGCTTATCGTATATATTAGCATATTTAGGACAGCTTTTCTGCGCACCTTTATATTTACCTGGCCTTATTTAAAAATCACCGTGATTGGCAACTACTTTCGGGCCTAGCAGCTTCCTAACTTTTTTTGAGCGAATCATTCGTAGTCCGATGAAAGCTGGTATTGTCGCAGATAATAAGCGCGCAGAGCGCGGTAAGTTAGTAACTCTTAGGATTTGGTCCACCGTAAGTCCTATAAGGGGGCAGGTTTATAAAAGCTGGTTGGTACGATTGCGGTGAATGTCGAATCTTTTTGCCCTATAACTTCACGATTCTGGATAAGTAGAGAGATACACCGAGAGCTACCATAACAATTGCACCAACCATACTTACGCCCTGACTGAGCGACTTAAACGACTATATTGAAGCAAAGAAAAAGAAAAGAAAACGAGAAGGAAATCGGAAGGAAATTGGAAGGGCATAAAGGGGAAAGAAAGGGTAAGGGGCGGTTCCCCAGCTTAAGTCTCAGGCTAGCGCAGATCCCGAGCCAGAAGGTAATTGAAGGATGAACACAGTCCACCATGTATAATTTTATTCAGACCAGTTGTCTTCAATCGCGCAGAATACAGCAACATTACTAAGACAGCCCACGGCTTAGAGACAGCCCACGGCTTAGAGGCAGCCAGGTTCTAGCAGGGATGAGAATCAGTAACATTCATACCAGGACTATATAAAGTAAAACAATCTTCCAGCTAAATATATGTAGCCAGCCAGCATGATAATTCAATGACATCTCTCTCAACTTGACTAGCTATACTATCATGGTAAAACTTTGAAATCGACATCACTTGCTTGTATCAACGACATACCGACCCACAATCTCACCCTTAAGCATCATATCATAGACATCCTGTAGCTGACTTAGACCAATAAGCTTGTGTGGCGCTTTAATCAGGCCAAGGCGGAAGAATTCAATAGCCTCAGCTGCGTCCTGGCGGTTCCCCACATAACTGCCTTTGATGTTGACCATGCGAACGACAGTGGCGAAGATTGGTGCTTTGAGATATGCAAAGCCCGGCATACCAATACAAACAACACTGCCGTGTGATCGAACATATTTGTATGCCTGCTGAAATGGCGCCTCGTGGGTTGCGAGCACAAGGACAGCGTGGGGCCCGAACCCGTCGGGGACCGCGGCCCTAACATCGGCGGCAATATCTGAGGACACTTGGAAGTCGATAAACGCTGCTGCGCCCAGATCTTTGCAAACCTTGGATTTATCGTTCCCTGCGTCGATTGCGATGCTATGGACACCCATGGCCTTAGCGTACTGTAGAGCGAAGCAGCCGAGGCCACCACCTGCACCAACTATAGCGACGTATTGCCCCGGACGAACACCAGATTCTTTAAGCCCCTTGTAGACGGTGAGTCCTGCGCAAAGGATCGGGCAAACGTCTTCCAAGCTACACTCGCTAGGAATGCGGGTGACATGTGCCGCCTTGGCAACAGCATATTCCTGGAAAGTGCCGTCGACGGTATAGCCGGAGAGGAGAGCCTGAGGACAGAGCTGCTCATCGCCTTGCAAGCAGAAAGTGCAGTTTAAACAAGAGCCATTCAACCACTTGATCCCAACGTGGTCACCAATCTCTATGTTCATGACAAGCTCACCCTTGGCGACCACGACACCAGCGCCTTCGTGACCACCAACTAGAGGCATCTTTCTCTTTAGGGGCCAATCGCCCATCATAGCGTGTAAGTCGGTATGACAGACACCGGAATATTTCACATTAACCAAGACCTCATCAGGGCCTGGCATATGCAGGGGAATTTTCTTATGAACAACCACTGTTAACTGATATCAATATCTAGCATATCAAGTTTGAGATAGAAAAGGAGAAACATACTGCCGCCGGGCTTTTCGAGTACTTGCGCCCATTGTTCCTCTGGGATTTCAATAACAGACATGGTTAGTAGTATATTCGGGAATAAAGATCAGCAGAGGTGAGCCGGCTCAGCATCCATTTGTCAATACGCGGCAGGAATTTGAGGCAACCTGCCACTTTAACAGTATTTTAGACACATAACAGGAGCCACGGAACTCGCCAAGACGTTCCGAAGAGCTGTGCAGGATTAAATGAACACGCAAGCTATCATATGTTTGATAGCTAGCCACAAAGTCAAAAATACAGCCATATGACTTCGACCATGCGATGCAAACTCTGCTTGCTGGATTTAAGTTAAGCCACGAAAGCTTGTTCTGGCAGCGCAGGTGACAGTTCGTGAGGTCATGATTACTCAGTGTTGGTGAACCACCACGCCGTATGCTTTTCATCTGTTTGTTCTGATGGATGCATGCTCCGATGGTATAAAGTGGGATATGCATAAGGGACAGGTATAATGTTGCCCCAGATACCATGGAATAATGCAACCTGAATGGAATGTATGCCCGCAGGGTAACCGACGGACGGTATCACTATCCGCCATAGTTTCTAAGCATATCGCGCTATATAATAAGACCAGTTAATTTAAGAATGAATCTGTCTGATGATTGAAAATGGCTTACCAGATTACGAGCGCGTCGGGCCAGGCCCAATGTTGTCCTGGGCCCTCGATTTCTATCTCTGTTGTTACTTGCTTATACATCCGCGGTGGAGCGACTGAGTCTAGCTGTTGCAAGTTGTTCACTTCGGAGTTTGTGCTGCTCGAAGATTGTACGCTCTCTGACTCCGTTGAGCTCGCGAGCGGGTTGTTAGTAAGGGTTCTGAACTTAATACTTCCTTGTTGTTAGCTCCGGTACCATATGCTCTTATTTGTCTACCAGGGCACGACATACTTGTATAGAAGTAGGATATAGAAGATAAAAAAAACCACGATAATGGTGATTATGGGAATCCATTGGAGCCATTCTTCGATTGGATGCGCTGGGGTTTGGTCGTCTCGACTGGGTGGGGTATTATTTAATGTCGTCATGATTGCTTGATGGTTTCTTAATCAGACCACTTAGTCTATCATTCCAAAATGCACGAAGCGCGTAACTGCCGGATTTATATTATAAATCACCTTAAGCCTATATCTGGCTCACATAGCTTGAACTTCTCGTTAGCAATCTTGCGCCGTGACCATGGTCCGGCATCGGCCTTGGCCTGTTGTGGTCTGATCTCGAAAGTTTATGTCGAAGGCTCCACGCAGACTCCTTATTTGCGCATGTGATATTATCCTCTTCCTTCCAGGTCAATCAGGCCCCCAACTGCAAAAGCCTCACCCATACACAACCAGTTGCCGCCAGAGGAGATGTCACTGCAAAGCTAAAAGGTCGCCCGGAGATTGCCCTTCGCTACCCACTCAAGCCATCAAGACAATAGTTGCGATACCTACAGTCCTGATAGTGGTCGTCGGCGCTGCGGCTACACCAGTAAAGACAAAAACATCCTTCCACCTTTTACAAGCGCACAATGATACCCACGCCCTAGCCAGCCAAAATTTAGTCGGCTCAGGCGGAAGGCTCAAGCCCAGGAAGCACCCTAAGCAAACCGTCTGATCTATAGATACATAAGTACAAGGATATCGATCTGTCAATCAAACAGTTCACATGGCAAACACCCAAGAATGCAGCTTATATAAGCGAAAACAACAGATCAACTATAAGACCTTAACTACACATCAGAAAAATACAAAGTTAACTAAAAGCCGGGATCGATACTATTAGCGATAATGCGGTCCTTACTGGGAATCTTCATTAGGTACCGCTGTTCAATATCCTTGATAAGATCTCCACATTTTCAGGTTAATAAGTTAAACTTTTCTAGAAAGGATTCGGTCTCATGTCAAGGAAAATCTTAAAACCTTGTTCCTCGGTAAAATAGGGTTTGTTGTTATTATTTCAAGTTCTAAATAAAGACCTCACCACTGCTTGATTACCAAGGAAAACGGCGAGAAATCGACACATCTTGTTTCTCTCCTTGGAAAGATATTTCTCGATTAAGATGCAGTTCAAGTCTATGCCGCAATGCTTCCCTATTTAACTTTTGCATTTTGAGGCCCAGGCATTTTGATACCTTGCTTTGTGCTCTTGTCTCATTAATGCCCGCATAAAAGCCCGCCGGTTACACTCACGGATTTCCAATTAAGGCCTTCTTCCGCAGATCACTGTAATTATGCTTCTTATCTTGTTTTATGCTATGCGATTCAACTGCTGATTTCTTGGCTTAAAGTTGTGTATTTGCTTCGGTAACTTATTGTCTACTGCGGATGAACTTGGTGCTAGAAGGATAAGCATCTGCAGGTTTTTTTCTTCTTTTTTTGCTAACGCGATAGGTCGATTTTTGTCTTGCTGTGATGCAACGTCGTGTGTGTTAATGTCTGTATTCAGTCCACTAGCGTATTTTAAATAGCCAAGAAGAAAATATGATTCCTTCTGTTATGAAGCAAAAGGCTCTGAGATACGCTTTCTCGCAGAGCCAGCTCCGCGTTTCAGCCAAGGCCGTCATTCGATAACAGGATAACAAGCGTTGGGCAAGCACTAGACTACCAGGTCCGTGAAAGAGTTACCTAGAACTATATACTAAGCATGGTATTTTGAATTTATATGGCAGGATCAAAATTTTGGTGGTGCGTTAGGTGGGGGCGTCCATGGAGTGGTCTTTGATGGTGTATAGGGCAACATTCACCTCGGTAGCGTATGGCGTAATACCGAAGAGGGCTCGTTAGGATTACATTAAAATCACGAAGGCGAAACCTATCTCCTTGAATGTATTAAGCCTCCAGTCAGGTCAATGGAGGGATATGTACTTAACAAATTCGCAAAAGTTAAAACGTGCATTATTTTACACCGATTTTCACCCTCGTCGAAGTCCTCATAATACAGGCGTTACAAACGTTGGCCTCACTTTAGTAATATATTTCTTTCTGTATTTACTTACTAAGAAGGCTTTCTCACGTATTACTGAGGTGGGGCGCTATGCTTAATGGAGCCTCGACTAATTCGAGGGGATAACACGACAGGCCAGATATCTATGAATATAAGAGATTTAGAGGATGAGATAAGAGTGGCTGCACTGCCAATAAAGCGCAAACTTGCACTGCTGAAATCAGAAACATGGTCATCAGGGCAAAACATTACTGCAAACATCGTCATCAAACAGAACATCAGACAATGACTCGCTGCGTCTGACGAACCAATCGCGACGCTTGGGGATACTGACCCGTTGCATTATATCCTCCAGATCACAATAGACTACTATTCTGGTCGCGTGTTCTTCAATGAAACCAAAGGCGCCTATCTCGAACATGCCAACGCATTCGTGGCTGTAGCAAAGAAAAAGCAAGGTATGATTGTAAGACGTCCGGGTTATGTAGATCCTCATATTACCAGTCTCTTTTGCTTTCTGCTGTTTCCTCTTGACGGGATCAATGCATTAATATCATTTAGTTTCGTTCTGCCACCCGCCCCGTGCATAGAATCAGATCATGGAGAGATGTCGAGTTCTGGTAACAGTTTGGGAGTGGCCACCAGCAGCTGTGGAGTTGGAAAGAAGTTCATAGTGAATCACCTTGAAAACACCCAGAGTTCACAGGAGTTCTTCTCCTCAGCCTTAGGTGCCTCCAACATATAAATCATCCCAAGTCATAAGCAGCCAATAGCAATAGTTCAATAGGAACAGTTATTCTCCATCCCCGAAGATTCTCAACCGCCGAACCATTCGCATGCTTCCCTTATGTGCTAACTTCAATCTCACATGCCACTGCATCAACGGGATGCGATCATCCTTAAGCTATTACCGGAAAATATTACCAAACTGGACATTCCGGTCCATCTCCTTCCCCACCGCCCCTACCACAATTTCAATGGCCAAAGGCCTCGAAAACCTGTGAACATAACACTCATTGGAACCAGATGAATTCGTTGCATCATGCACGCGCAGTAACGAAAGCAACCTGTACGTAGACGTATATGTTATTAGTACGGTGGTGTTGGTGTTGTAATCAGCCATAAGCAAAAAGCCGAGGTACTTTTTGATTGCTGCACCGTGCCTCTGACAAGGTTCGTGGAAGTATGGATTCCCTGATTGAACGGATCTGGGTTGTAGGCGGGCTGGTCGTGGCTGATGCCATCGTCGTCATCGTTAATCAGAGCTTGCATTAAGCGGGGTCCTAACAACCTAGGTGCCCTCAATAGATAAAAAGGTGTGCTTATATTATTTTTATTAGTTGTGCGCTAAGAAAGTAAGAAATCAGGGTCAGGTGGTTGTCCCATGCGGCGTGCGGGCGATGCCCCGGTTTGTTCGGAAGGCTGGACCCTGGGCTTCTACAGGATATGCAGCGGAATGGCCCTCTTAAAAGCAACGTGGGGATCTCGGGAATACAAAAACATCACTCTGGTAGTTGGAACAGCTCTCCAGAACCATGAATTCGGTTTCTCAGATCGCAATTGTCGGCGTGGGCCAGGTCGGAGGCGCCGCAGCATACTCCATCATCCTTACCTCTTTCGTGAGCGAGTTGCTCCTCGTCGACATCGATGTCGATTTGAGAGACGGCCAAGTCCGTGACCTTTCCGATGTGGCCTATAGTTGTAACAGCAGCACGCGCGTGCGAGCTGCCTCACACCATGAGGCAGCCAAGGCCGACATTGTGGTTATCACAGCGGGATCCAAGCACATGATAGGTAAGCAATCAAATAGGAAACGATCTGTTTGCTTGCTGTGATTGACCGTGCGGGGCTCATTTCATGTTCCCTAGGTCAAACCACTATCGACCAGATATCCCGGAACATGTCAATTGTTCGGGAAGTAGTCGAGACAATGAAACCGTTCAGATTAGACACAGTCCTGCTTGTCGTCTCAAACCCTATTGACCTGCTCACATCCCTCGCCCATGAACTCTCCGGACTTCCGACATCTCAAGTCTTGGGCTCAGGAACGTTCCTAGACTCGGTGCGGCTCCGTGGGCTCGTAGCCATGCGGGCTGGAGTGAGTACATATAGATCCTGCGGTCTCTTTGAAGTTGGGCTAATGGAGTTCTAGATTGCGGCTAATTCGATAGATATCTACGTGGTGGGCGTACACGGAAACCCCCAGGTCGTAGCATGGTCAGCGGCAACAGTTGGTGGCGTCCCCATCAACAAAGCCATCCCCCCTAACATCCTTGACCGTGATAAGCTTGCGGATGAATGCAAGCATTGGTCGCAGAGCATAATCAGAGCTAAGGGTTCGACTCCTTTTGGGCTTGGCTCTATTGTGTCCAGTTTGTGTGCCTCTATCTTCTTGGATAAGCGCAATGTCTGTCCCGTAAGTCATTTCCAACCTGACTTTGGTTGCTATTTCAGCTTGCCCGCGGTCCTCGGGAAGAAGGGAGTTATGAGTACTATTCATATGCCGTTGGACAGTGACGAGGAGGCACATGTAGCCAAGTCAGCGAATGAACTAAGCGAAACTATTGACTGGATCCATCGGAGTTATTAAGCCAAGAATGTCGTGAGACAGGTTGGATTTTTATAATCTGCTAGGCAATCTACTATCTAGTAGCTACTTGCGTTAGAGTTGACTAGTAATGTAATCTTTTTTACAGCCCTGGGCAAAAGTCCCGACATATAACCAAATTAGGCCCCGTTTTTTAACTTTTATATAAAAAGCTATATAAAATGGCTATAAGACTATAAGTACCCTAATATAATAATTAAAAGGTTAAACTATAAAAGAAAATAATAAAAATAATATACATAACTTAATAGTATATTATTATTATAATTTAAATATAAGTAAATATTAAATTATATTACTACTATTTAAAGGCTTACTTACTAGCTTATTAAGCTTATATATATTATATAAAGCTCTTTATAATATAATATAATAGCTATATAACTTTAGTTAAGCAGTAAAAGTTAATTAACTATTTTATATAATTTTATATTATATTATAAGAAAGTTAAAAAAAGCTATAATTCTTAAAAACTTAAGGATTTTAAGCTTTCTCTTATATTTAAAAATAAGAATATAAATATAAAATAAAATTATTATAAAGTAAAAAAACTAAAAATTTTATAATTTAAAGCCTGAATTTTAATATATTAAAATAATACTTATAAAAAACCTATTTTATTAATATTTTATTAAGTTATTATAAATACTTAGAAAATAGTTAATAAAAAATACTATTAAATTTATTAGTATATAGCTATTTAAAATTATAATAAAACTAATAAAAACCTTTTAATATTTTATTTTAATATTTATATACTTAATTTAATTAATATGGCCAATTTTAGCCATGTGTTGGGACTTTTGCCGACCCACTGTAATTATTAAAGTTACAAATAAAACAAATTTATTCGGTCCAAGTTTCAGCACTATAACTACCCCGTCCTGTGCCATAATACATTCTAAGTTAGCCTCTAGTTACAAGCCCACAGTTAATCGTAATTCTGCAAATATACATCAGCACGTATTTGCCTGCTCCTCCCACTTAGGCATCAAGCTTGCTCACTAGCTACCACATGCCTCTTCACCGCAATAAAACTATCCAGACTAATAGAGATTGAATTAATACTAGCCTTAACTAGATACTTAGAAAACTCAGAATAGTTACTTTATGCCTAGCTATAGAGCCTAATCTTGCACCTCTTATTATAAATTACTAAGATAATTTATATTATTATTTATTTAATTCCTTTATCTTACTTATTAAATAAATTAGCTAGTTCTCTTAAGTTATAGTTTATATTAAGTATTAATTATATTAGCTTATTAAAGCTAAAAAGAAAGCTATTAAAATACTTAGTAAAATAAGTAGCTAAAATACTATTAAACTATTATTACTATACTTAAACCCATTCTAAGTTATAAGTTTTAAAACAATTTTAGTCTTACTAATTATATATTAAAAAAAGATTATAATTCTAATATTAGTAAGGCCTATCTTCTCTAATAGCTACTTAATTATATAGCACTTAAGTATAAAGCCTTGCTTATAATATAATAAGCAGTAGTATAAGGTGTTATAAAGCCTATTATAAAACAGTCTTCTTTAAGCTTAAATTTAGTACAATTAATAAAGCTAATATATTTATTTATCTTCATAATTACTTATATAAGTAGTAGCTTATTATATCTCTATAGCTATATTATATAGATATTATTAATTTCCTCTAATTAAATAATAACTTATTTCTATTATAAGCTATTAACTAGACTTATAATTAGACTTAGAGCTTATATATAAGTATTAACTTATAACTATAAATTACTATATATATTTATTTTATATTAAAAAAACTATAGATTATTACTTATTAATATTACTTCTTTATATTAATAATCCTTATACATATTACTTAAGTATTAAAAAATATAATAAGTATTAATTACTTAATATTATAATAATTTAGTATTTTAAATAAGTAAACTAATTTACATTAGGTTTACTTTTATAGATTATATAAGGTATAGAGTAAGTAAAATATAGTATTATATCTATAAATAGTTAATAAAATAAGTTAAATATATTATAGTAAAGAAATCATATTAATAGCTAACAAGTTATAATTTATAAAGTGCTAATAAATATATTTTATATACTTATAGTATTTTATAGTTATAGTTATAATCTTAGGCAGAGTATTATAAATTTAATTATAATCTTTTTTAAGTAATTATAATTATAAGTATAATTATAAAGTAAGAGTCTTATAATTAATAGAAAACTATAAGGTATAATAAAAATATATAATTATAAGAGTTAAAATAAGTATAATATACTATATAATTTATAAATATAAACTTATTATAAACTAATATACTTATTTAAAACTTAAATTATTATAAGTAGCTTTTATTATTATAAGTATTTACTTAGTTAAAAAAAGGAATTTTAGTTTTTTAAAGACTTTTTAATTATTTATATAACTTTATTAAACTCTTTAACCTATTTTAATAATTAGTTTATAAGACTTAATTATTAGGATATTATTTTAAAAATTAATATTTAATTAAAATATTATTTAATTAAGAATATATATTTAAAAAAAGAAATTATAATAATATATTTATAATAATAAAAATATTTCTATAAAAAAGTAAAAAAAAGTTATTTATAATAAAAGTACTAAGTTTATAATAATACAAATTACTTTAAAGGCTTATAAATAAATATAAAAAGTATTATAACTAATATAAATAGTAAATTATATAAGAAATTTAAATTATAAGAATCTTTATATTTATTTTTAATTAGTTATTTATTAATATAAGTTTTATTTAATATAAAAAATATAATATTGTTTTTTTATTTAATAAATTATAATTTCTTATTTTTAGTGTTTTTGTAAAGGTGGCTGGTTTCTAGATAATTAACTATAGGTGCTGCTTTAAATTGCTGCCCTTATTCAAAACTTTAGCCAGTGACCTATCTTAAAGACATCCCAGTGAAATTAAAACAATCAACGCTATAATAAAATTGGGTTAATTAAATACATTTACCTATCTTCAACTTCTATAAATTTAACCGGGATGAGGTTGATAGTGGAATTAATCGCTAACTAGGGGCATATACCAATAGCAGGTGATCCCGGTTTTTGAACGCGCACCTCAGATTAATCTCCGCGGGGTCTGCCAGTAGATTGGCTAAAAATGATCACTGAGCTCGACCAAGTTCAAACGAACCTCTGGCCGCAGTTTAAACTGACCCCCTGCAGGCATGTGAGGTTCTATACCCATTGCAGCCCATAGTAGTCGGGAAGTTACCCATGAGCTTCACCCTATGAAAGCTCAGAGGTTTCGCGCGGCCTCCTGAGACCCGTGAAGCCTCTCTTTCCTACGAGTTAGTGCTAAGACACGCCCCTTGTTGGTAGCGAACGTAACCTCTCTAGGAATGGGGTCCGAGGCCGTTACAGCTTTCCCGTAGGTTCACCCGTTGATCTGGATTGGTTTGTCTGTTAAATTGCATTCACCTGTGGTCATATCTCTAGACGCTAAGATGGCTGTCATCGCGTCACAGGACTCGTAGTGGCTGCCACTAGCCTCCTCTATATCTAACTGACCCCGCATGTTGCACATATGATTAAGAACCTGACCAAGCCTCAGGTGATGTGGTCAGGCCAAAGAGAACTCTATTTGAACATTCGTGGCGATGAGCATCATAATCATGGTGTCGGGAAAGAGCGGCAAGATATGCTAGGACAATACATGAGACCACCGATATCTCGACTAACAACTACCGACGCTCTCACCCAATACGCGACCAAAAGGCCGCTAACAAGCGCCTGAGCCATAGTTCCATGATGACCTTTGACTTATTCGTGGTGTGGGTCATTTCGCCCTGGTGGGTTGTTTATGTCGGAAACTTACGATCATATGTCCGAGACATTATCTCTTCAGGCGGCATAAAGCTCCGGCGGGGTCACGACAGGGGTGTAGGACCTATCAAAATGAGCGCTACTTGAAGTACATTCTCACACACCTAAATTTGCGTGTGATAGAAGTACCAGCAGTCAGCCGTGTTACAAATAGCTACATCACATACTTTGCAGCCGTACACGGTCTGCACCCTTCGTTCATTTCCTGATATCGGCTGTAGATAACCTCCTTTTTCCTTCTTCCTTTTAAAGGGTCGGGCCTGACCCTGCCGGAAGCCTTTGCAAGCTAGGCAGCTTGAATGTATGCCCCGATGGACATGATTGATATCTCTTTGTAGGTGAATTTGCCGTGCTTCTGTATCCTCGATGTCTTCTTCCATTCCTGTACGGCCTCTCTTCCTTATGTGACTTTCAGTTGCGTATCTGTTGAAAATGGCATTATAAATGCACTCCTTCCAAGCTTTAAGCGTGCTATAGGGCTTCCAACGAGGCTGCCGTGTTTTCTTCTGTAAAATGAAGCTATTCGCAAGTGCGACTTCAAGGAGGAAAGACCAAAGCAACGCTTGCCAAGGACCGCGCCGGAATCGGTGCTGATATGTTGTATAAGACCGTATCTGATCGCCGCGGTCAACGTGATTCATTTCATCGTTATACTGAGCGGCAACAGTAGGAATAGGGATTATCTTGAAGCTATCACCATTGAAGACCTGCTGCAGGCGCTGTGACTCTGCCTTTGTGCCTCTTTTGGCGGGCTTTTTCCTCTTTTTTGGTGTGCGCTCGTGAGGGGCTCCGCTAAGCACAGTTGAAAGGAAGAGCACGATGCTGCTATCTTTCCAAGCGATTTGGATGACCTAAGGAGAAAGGAAAAGGACAAATTAGTAAGGGAAATACAGGTAAAGCTGTCCATACCTGTTTATCTTGTGTCGGGATCAAATATACCTTATTATATTGCAAAGCTATGCCGTCAGGAGCTTTTCCGGTCTCTTTTATATGCTTCATCTCGGTGGTGATGCCGCAGTTAGGGCGTGCCGTGCCTGTGGCACCGTGGCCAAGCTGCCGAAGAAGGCGGAAGAGCTGCGGCGACGAGAAGAGGTTATCCGTGAAGACGTGATGTGTCTGCGTTGACAGCCTTTTTAGTAGGTGAACCACGACGCTTTGTGTATTGTTGAGAGGAATCTCGGTCCGTAGCTTTCCCTTCTTGCCATACGGCGTTGGTGTAGGTAGCTCGACTATAACAGCCTTATATGGTGATGCCTTCACGTGCCAAAGCCACTGCAGAAAGAAGCCCTGTTGGGCGATAACCCAGACTTTGAACCCCACGGGCGTGGGTTTATTCTTGACGACTGTTGTCTCTTTTGATCTGCCTGTAAAAGGGATCATACACTCATCTACAGTGAAGTTAGTCCCTGGAGAATAGAGCTCGATAGACACGCTTTGTATGTGATTAGACCACTCTTCAGCCGCTTGGAAGGTCTTTGGAAGGTCGCTCTCATCCCTCACATCGAGCTTGGTGTAGTCAAAAGTGCGGAAATACCTCGTGATCAGCTCGAACTTCCGTAACGGCATGAACTTGATGATTGAGTGAAGAGGGCGCTGATCTCCTAGGCTAGGGGTCTTCCAATGGTCTTTGATCGATATTTCCCTATGAATTCCTAGGTAAATAAGGACCCCAAGCCATACATAAGCTGTTGCAGTAGAGATGCCTTCCCACTTGAGAATGCGGGACTGTTTGGAAAGGGGGGTATTCCAGTTGTCAATAATGCCATTTTCAAGTAAGTGAGTGACCCAGCTGTTGGTGTATTTAATCCATGACTGTACAAGGGAAATAGGTACGAAAAGCTGGAATAATTCAAGTGGTTCCTTGGGTAGAGGGTTGATCTTGAAATCACGATATTCTAGGTTAAAAGGTTGAAAATCATCACCGCAGCCCTCTTCGGGCGGAAAATTAGGCACGCCGGTGGGGTCATCAGCCGCCCTCAAAGGCGGGGTATCAAAGCTGTGATCATCTATATAATCAGGTATCTCTTGGGAGCTCATCGTTTTAATTAAGACGCGTTAGGGTCAATTTGTATGAGGATTTTGATGATTTTGGCTGTGTTGAATGAAGAAGCTGTCTGACGAGAACTTCACGTACCCCGCAGGTACTAGTGTTGTTAGTAAGCAATGTGGGGCGAGTGACCTGCCGGAGCCTTATGCCGCTCAAAGAGATAGAAGCCATGACTGGTCACTTAGAGACAACAAAACAACGCGAAATACGGCATTTATATAACACCACTTTCTACTGAAAATTACTTGGACTTTAATAGGAAGTCGCTTTCAAACGATTATTCATGCCTTATCTTCCTCCAGGTAATTTAACTAGTTACCGCAATGCCTCTGCCTTAAGTACGCCTGTAGCATTTCTTGGGGTAATAGGCAGCATCGTCGGTCTATTATTGATAGTTATTATCTTGTACGCACATCGCTCAAAGTTTTGCGATTCATGTCCACGTTAACAAAGCTAGCTTTATTATAAAATCACGATATCCTTTCCATCTACAGATCCTCAACAACGCAAGCCCACCAGAAAAATATGGAATAGTACAGGGGTCTAACAACCAGGCGAAGTGGACTCCAACGCAGCCTAGTTCGGTTGAAGTCTGGTAAGTTCTAAGTTGAAATGAGAGATTTTCCTACCCATACTGATATCAGTATAGTGCAATATGCATCGAAGTTCTTAAGGACCAGGACAGTGTCCGACGATTGATATGTAAACATGTCTTCCATACGGATTGCATTGACTCCTGGTTTCAGAGACACCATGTCGACTGCCCAATATGCAAATCAATATTCATTCCAGACAGGCGCAGCAACCCTAAAGACGTTCATTAGGCGATTTTTCATAAGCGAAGCAGGATTTATGAAGGTGTTAGGCTTCTAGTGATCGAGAGATATGGAAAGATCGAATCTTTAAGGGGTCGTGCAAAGCCTGCAAAATACTCGACAGGAGGTTTTCCTTTAACAATTCGCTTCCTCCCATTCACAAGCCACATATATTTAATTATTATTCTATGTATTTGGGGCAATGGTCTGTATAGTAGATGTCTTATATTTCTTCCAATTACAGTAGCAATCTGAATTCAAGACGTTTTGTTAAAGCTTACTTTTATTAAAGTTATATCTTCATGCAGGATGACTCTCAAGCCCGGTCCAAAGAGGCTCTTAGAATCAAATTTTGTATTGAAGGGATGCGTTATATGCAAGCTGTTACTAAAATCAAGGCTTCCCAAGATGTCAGGCTTCGGCTTAGGTAGCACGGTTGGCTTGGAATTAACTACCCTTGCGATCCTTGTACACTTATGAAGATGTTTCGTTACTAGTCTCCCTCACTCGTATAGCCTGACTTTACAGGACAATATTATAAAGTCAGAGTTGAGCGAGAATACAACTTTGGTTGCCGAGTTGTGATATTTATCCGTATTCTTAACACATTTCCTACGATAAGTTAATCGAGGTCAGGTGCTGCTATTTTTAGATAGTAATGCCTAGATTTTAAAATTTATAAGTATTATTAATACTATAGCATGGCCATGGCCTTAAAGTTTTTATAACTATAAGCTACTATTAGCTAGCTAAATTATAATAATATATTTTTAAGTAAAAAAAATAAAATTAAATTCTTAAACATCTTTTTCATTATTATATTTAATAAAAATAGCTTTAAATATACTATATAAATTAAAATATTAAGAAGTAGTCTTTTAAGTAAGTAAAGAAAATACAGGTTAATATAATTACTAAGAGCTAGTATTTACATTACTTAGTTAATATAGTAATTATATTATTATAGTAAATAAACCTTATTTAATATTTACTTTTATTATAATAGCCTATTTTAATAATTGCAATTTTAATTAAGTAAATTAGTTTATATTATATTTATATTTATAAAATACATAAACTATTATATTAAGTATTTATTAAATATTATATTTCTAAATACTTAAGTAATATTTATAAGGCTTACTAATATAAAGTAGTATTATTAATATATATATTTTATATTAGCTTATAATATAATAAGCCTTATATAATATAAGTAATTAGTAGTATTATAAGCCTATTATAAGCTTTTATAATAATTTATAATTCTTTATAAGTTATAATATAAATAATTAAAGTAAAATAAGATATATATAATATAAGTACTTTCCTTTTATTATGTTTTAATATAATTTCCTTCTTTTTATAAATCTCATCTTTAAGATGTATATATTTACTTTCTTTTTATAATATATCTAATATATATTAACTTAAACTTATTATCATTTAAGTATTATTAATATAATATTTAGTTTTAAAGCTATTTATAATTATATTACTTAATTTAATATTATTAAAAATACTAGCTATCTCATTATATTTTATAGCTATTATAAATTATAAACTTTAAAATATTAATTTAAAAAAGGGTATTTAACATATATATACTATACTTATTATAATAATAACTAAATAAGTATTTTAGTTATTTTATATATTTGTAATATTAAAAGTATTAACTAAATAAATTTAAGACTAAAATATTGTATTATAATTTTAAAACTTTAAATATATTTAAAGTAATTAGGATATTATAACCTAAATAGTAAAAGGCACTTATATTACATATACCCTGCCTTATAACCTAACTTATAATATAAACTTATAACTTACTATAAGCCAGGCTTAAAATATTATAAACTATCTAATATATATATATATATCTATTTATTTAATATTAAATAAAACTTAGCTTACTAGCTATTAATAAGACTTCTTTACATTAATAAGCCTAATATATATTACTTAATTATTAAGAGATATAATACTTTATATTAGTTAGCATTATGCCTTACTCTATTTGCTAATATAAATCTAGAATAGACTAGTTTATCCCTTAGAAACTATAACTATTATATAAAAATATTAAGTTATTTAGTATTATTAAAGGCTAGGTATTAAGGGCTATTAATATAAATAATTATAATAAAGTGTTTTTTATTAGTATTATTAGTAAAAGCTTTAATTATATTACTAAGGTAAATAAACCTTATTTAATACTAACTTTTAATATAATAGCTTATTATAAAGGTCTTTTTATTTAAGTTATTGATAAAAAAGCTAAAAACCTAGATAGCCTTTTACAAGGTTAAAAGTAAGGAAGAAAAACTAAAAAAACAACCTTTTAATTTCTCTACTTCTATCCTTAATTATAATATATTATTTCCCTTATTATTATACTTTTATAATTTAAAACTATAACTATCCTAGTTTATTTATTTTAAGTTCTTAGTCTTTTTTAATACTTTCTTTACTTCTTACTAAATATCTTAAAACTACTTATTATATATACTCCCTACCTTAAGGGCCTTTATAAACTTCCTCTCCCTTCTACTTAGCTATATTCCTTTATATAACTTTTATTTTAAGTCCGTTAGGCTTTATATCTTAAATTTAAAAAACGCTTTATTAATTAATAGGTCTTTATAAATAAAACAATTTTATAATTAAAAGTTACTAGCCTAATATAGCTAATATTATCCTTATTAAACTAAGTCTTTTTTAAATTTATAATTATTATATAAATTGTATTATTTTTATCTTTTTTATTTTATTTAAAAGTATATTTAAAATAAAGATTTAAGTTATATAATAGGCCTTATTAGCTTTAAGTAGTTATAGGCTTTTATAAGTAATAGGTATTATAATTATATAGCTATAATACTATTAATAGTTATAATTAGAAGTTAGGTTAAATAGCTTATTATATAATAAATAAATAAAGTATAATATAATATAGGGGTTAATAAAAAAGTAGCTATTAAAGTAAGTTAAAAGAAAAAGACTAAAACTAGCTAATAAGTAGGTAAGGCTTTTTAGCTAGTATATATATAGCTAGGTTTAGGCTATAATTAAAGCAGCTAATTATAATAATTTAACTTAATAAAGCTTTACTACCTATATAAGTAATAAATATTTAAATTATATTAAATTTTAAAAATACTTAAATATAACTTTTAAGGATAAGTTATAAATATAAAAAATATAAAAAATAACTATTATTAAACTTTATATATTAAGAATATACTTTAATTAGCTATAGTAAATTAATTTATATTTATAAATATCTTTATTAAATAATTATAAAAGAAACAACCTTAAAGTAAATTTATTATATAATTATTAATATTAGATATTTATATACTAATATTAATACTTATTTTAAACTTATTATAACTATTATAATATTAAAAATATTAATTATTAATACCTATTTATTTTAATTATTATATAACTTATATCTAATTAATATTATAGTTTTTATATATAAATTTAATTATTAGTAGGCTAATAATAATAATAATTATTATTAAGAAGCATTGCACTGGTATTGCTTAGTTAAGCCTGGGATTTTAATTCGTCCTCTCTTATAAACTAAGTTATAAGTTCTGTAAATGTGATGTTTCACGCGATGTCCACAGTTGCAACAAAGTCCCCCAGGGTTCCTAAAACCTTCACAAACTAAAAGGTCAGGAGCTCCGAAAGTGTTATTAAACCCACTTGCGCTATTAATTCCGAAGTAATTGTTATAGCAGGTCTTATGCCCTGCGACTTAAACGCCACCGTCACTGCTTCCAGATTTTATGCATTCGACATAGCCGCATGCAAGGCATGGACTAGGATAATCTCTTTTCACTGGCCTAACAACTTGAACTTCAAGCTGACGTTGAAGTACCGTTTGTTCTATCCTTAGTTCTTCGAAACGGGTCTCAACCGCTTCTAATCTCTTTTAAGTGACTTCCAAGAGTATGTCAAGTGTATTGGCTGCGTGCATGACTTGTTTGATATAGGATCTCGCCCTCCCCAATCCCAAGGTTTTCTTTAACTCGTGAGGGTTCCTTCCGATGGTGCTTTTGACAAGGCGTCTGGACTCTTGGGCTAAATGCTTGAATATCTCACCATAGTTGACTTGATCACTCAAATTCTGACCCTTGACCTTGTATATAGTCAGATAGCGGAAGCCTGCAGAGTCAAAGAAGTACTTGTTGCCATAGCCTAGCTTAATTTCAGTCTTTTCTCTGTCAAGGAGGGCTTCAAGGGGTAGATTTGATAGGTCCAGCGAAAAGTTCGTAAGGCAAGCATCCACAAAGCCGAAAGCAATGTTAGGCTTTATTTCCTTATATAAAAGAGATAAAAGTACAGTCATATAATAGTCAAAGTGTGCCATAAGCCTACATCCATTAGACCTTGACAGAATTAGGATAGTGCTTATTTTATTGATTGACTTGAATATATAATCGAAGCGTTTTATATGCTCCTTATCATTCTCAGGGCCCCGCATATCACCAAACCCTGGCGTGTCAATTAAGCAAATAGTTACACCATGTATATGCAGGGCATAAGCCATATAGGTCTGAGGGGATAAAGAATCGTCAACCGGAAACTTGTTAAGGTGAGAATGGGACTGTCCAATTTGAACTTTAATAATTTCCCATTTCTGATTGACCATGGCCGGAAAGTTGAAGGATGACGAAATGGCCCAATGGAAGCCAGGGGCTTTAAGGGCATCTTGAAGACACTCGAATAAGAGATGGTTGATAAGAGAATTTAGGAAAGTAGACTTTGCAATGTCTAAGGGTCCCAAGATTAAGATATTATACTGATTACACTCGTTGAGGTTATGCAAGAGACTCGCGAGGACTTCCGTGTCTTAATACTTTAGGTAGTCATTCACGTAAGCTTAATTAAAGCATTTAAACACAACATCAGCAAGTACCTTAACATAGTCGAGGGGATAACTACAGTGTTATTTAACACTACTATGCCACTAACCTGCGCTAACTAACATTATAATATTACTCCCACTTAAACATCTTCCCAGCCTTTAATATCTCTCTCTTATTCTAATTGATAGCATACAATTAAGTAAGTCACTTCTAAGCAAGCCTGTCTTGTAAAAATATTCCAGGATAGCTTACAGCATAGTAAGAAGCTTGGCATAGAAGTATATCTCGCTTAGCCACAGACTTAGTTAATACTAAGCTGGGCCTGGTCTTATAGACAACTAAATAGCACATTCATGTCCTCAAGCCTGATTTAGAGATCTATAACAAGAGCTTAACCCTCTAAATAAGAATAACATCAGCGCTTCTTTAATATTTCCTCTTACTAAGTATAATTAAATACCTATTACTAGCTGCATTAAGGAAACTTTAATTAGTTAAGTTTTAACTTATTATAATAATTAAGGGTTATATAATTAAAGTTTATAGTTAGGCATTAAAAAAGTATATATTTATAGAGGGTCAGATAAATAAAACTTCTAACTTATCATTTTATTAAGATAAAAAGACAATCTAACACGAAGATTTATTACTAGAGATAGTGACATCTCGCCTTGACCAAGTCTAGCCCATTATCGACCGAGAATAAGGAAAGCAAAACCTAACAGGCCACGGTAAATAGTAAGGTAATCCCTTTCTCGTTTCGCCAACTCCTCCTTAAGCTGTTGCCTGAAAGGACTCTCTGGACTCTCAAGGATCAAGGCTCTCTGGCCTGCTCGATGTTTTGACTCAAAATCATCCCACTCACGCTGGTCTGCTACCCCCAGATTTAAAACCTCCCATCCAGTCTCTCGACTCGCAGCGACTAACTCAGCTAGTGTGAGAATATCACTACCAAATAGGTCCAGGGCTGCATTGGTTGGAGGCTGATTCCAGATCATATCGCCGACGAGAACTCTGCCCTTTGGGACAATTTCGGATAAGCGGTCGAACATCGCTTTACTGCCCCCAAGCGCATGCGACGAGCCTATGCAGATAGCTCTACTTGCAAGCCCAGTATACTCGCTGGCAGGTTGCTGATTGAACTCCACATTGAGCCCTCGATCCTCAGCTAGTTCTCGAGCTCGTTCTAAATGCGCGGCATCTGTGTCAATTCCGACCGCAGTGATTTTCTCTCTGTTTCGTGAAACTGCCCTAAGAAGGATCTCTCCCCACCCACAACCCAAGTCAATAACAGTACAACCGTCAACCAGCTGGAGGTGGTCAAGAAGCTCTGCTGCGCGGGTTTCAGACAGTGGTGCGTTCCATATCATGGCGGCGTATCGCGCCTTAGTAAAGTTTTCTTGTTCCATGGGAACAGAAGTGGAGTTAAGGTAGTTGATTTAATGTTGATTCTTGGAGAGAATTGTGGTTTCGATAAGGCGCGTAATGCTTGAAGTTAGAGGTAGGGCATGTGTTCGAAGTTGGGAATGTACTAAATATAAGCATGGTGGGGGATGAGTCATAACTATATAAGCGAAAACTGCTTTACCTGGTTAATTATATATTCCAGGTCTGGGAGCTTAACAGGGGTTTAATGATTTAATATTTACTAATAAATATATTATAATTAGAGTATAATATAGTAAGGCATATAATATACTTAAGACTTAGCTAGAATTTTTAAGTATTAAACTAGCTATAGTAAAAGGCAATTAACCTATTACAATAATATAATAAAAAGCTATATACTTATTACTTAGATTATAAATACAATAGCTAGTGTTATTAGTTATCTAGGCCTATTAGAGATTAGACTAAGGAAGAGATTATAGCATATATTAATTAGGACTTTGCAAAAACTAAATACATTAACACTTAGGTAAAAAGTCAGGTAAAAAGTCAGGTAAAAACCAATCCCAAGCAAGATGCCTAATGTAGTATAAAAGAGATTGAGCAGCAAGCTAAAGAGCATACACATGCTCAGTCAAGGCAATATATATAGTACTCTTTCTATATGTAAAGCTTTACTTAATATTAAGACCTATAACTATCTGTTGTTTAATCCTAATGCTGAACGCGTTGATAGCTCTGACTAATGGATGATGTCTTGACCTATAAAAACGCTATCGCAGCGCCCGGGCGCCGTTCCAGTGGGAGCCCCGTTGATCACATGTCTTAGTCATTAACTAGCTTAAATTAAGCATAACGTTAAATGAAGGGATTTAAAACCAGTGCTATTGGGCGAATGCTTGGTGCGGCTGAAGTGACGGGGGTAAAGATTTGCATAAGGCGGGAGGAAAGACCGCCTCCGCGAGCATTTAATTAGCGCAACCGGCGTAAATTTCGTCCATGGAGAAATCTGCTTACCTTGCGCATCGCTGGCACGTTTCTACTGTCTCTTTATTTCTCTAGCCTTCCAGCTTGCTGCTTATAAACTATCATCGAAATGGCATATCTCAGCACGCTTCGTTTTCAGCTCTTGATCGTTACGCTTCTTGCAAGTGCACTTTGCGTGCAGGCTCGTCGAGGTGGAGGAGGCGGCGGTGACTATGACGGTGGATCAAGCAGTGGCGGAGGAAGCAGTGACGGCGACAGTAGTGACAGTGGTCCTAGCCCCGAGGAAAAAGCACGCAATGATGCATGTCGGATGGAAGTTGGTCATACCAGTCCAGTCTGGCTGCATCGTTGGGTTGGCACATTCTACAATGGAACAATAGTAAGTGGAGAGAAGTCCCTGTAACCAGAAACGAGAAATGGCTGTCATCTAACACTCAAGAATAGGAAATTTCAATCGAGCTCGATCGTTGTAATGGCACTTGCAAGGAGTCAGAGAGTACGGTCAACTGGGAGCTGACTGGCGTACTGTCTATACTGGATCCTATGCATTCCGCTGCAGGGAATAGCAGACCTCTTGTGCCGCGCCCAAAAAACCCCTTCATTGGCGTTCTATATGGATGGCCCAAGGGCGTCAACCAGCAAGAACTTCTTGCACATCGCGACGACACATTTCTTCCGCCGTCTGTTAACCTCGCCATGGAAACTGTCTCAGATTTTCACTATAATGAAGTCATGTACGGGCTTAATCCGTCCGATACTGTGAGCCGTAATAATCCAACCTGCAGGGTACAGGACGTGACCAGTACGGACGACGGATACGAATTCGAATGCGTATATGATGGACTTGGAGTCTACAGAGCAACGGACAGCAGCCAGTTCACAGCCCCAATGACCAACTCTAGCGGAAGGAATCCCGTGTTGGTAGAACCTGGGAACAACACTATGCTCTCCGGCAGCTTCGATCCGAATTCAGCTGAATTCGAATGGAGAGGTCCCTTTAACGCATTTGCTGGATCCTTCGGTCAGGATTCCATGAGGAATTCTTACACAACCGAACGTAACCACATAAGCGAGGATAAAGCTCCTTATATAGGCGAATTTATAGTTCGCTTTCATGGCAAGGTGGATCCTGAGCATAGCCATGAGATGGTAGTTAAGAGTGGGCGTGATGTGAGCTGGGATAAGGACGAAGCAAAGATCCAAAACGTTACTTATTGTTCAGCGGCCCTTGGAAGATTCTCTTATAACCTGTGGGAACTCTCTTTGTTTTTCTGTATACTTTTCATAGTTTATACATAGAGAGGCTTAATGCCAGACTGACAGAATGGCCAACTAAATCACAATACGGTAGCGTCAGGACACAATTCAGAAGGTAACTGTGAGAACTCATCCTTGAGCACTACCGAGAAATTCTTCTGTTAAAACCTATGAGAAGGCTTTGTTATGCTGCAAATCGAGACTGTAAGATAAAGGAACTGCCTTTCCATGACTAAAATGATAGAGCATATATTTAAAAAGCAGAAAATAAAATGGTTCTCGTCCACTGTCGCCAGGTCTTTCCTCCGAGCAGGTTAGTAATTTGCGTATATCAGTTCCTTGCGTGCTGGATTACAGGCGCCAATGTAAAATGTCTGAGATCCTGAATACGTAGTCTGCATCAGTACCTACTCACCTTACATTCCAGACTGTAGGGAGTTATGATGTAATTTACAGTGTTACCCTGACCCCTCTTTCTGTCGCCGACCTTTGTATATAAGATCTGTCCATGTAGCTCTCACTAGAAGGATTTGGTCAATCACACAAGTATTTAGTACTTCCTTTCATCTTCCTCAAACTCAATTATACTACTCAACAACCACGAGCCTCACTCGGTCACTCTGAATCTCCGGGTTGGAAAGCTGATCCTCGAGGCTATTAAAGGACTTGCAACGTTTGTCGACCATAGTACTCTGTTGGGTCGTGGGCTGCACATTGTCAAGTGCGAGACGGAGATGCTAAGATCGGCAAGATCGCATACCTCGCAGACTTCTCCCTCATCCGTGCCCTCAAAGTCGCCAAGCCGGGCGCTTACGAGGGCGACTTCTGGCGTGAATTGGCTGGCACTGTTTATGAGGGTGGCGGTGATGGATCGGCCAACGAGAATATCCTAGTGTCTGGTAACAAGGCCGTCTTGACTCGTTACGCAACTGGCAGAACAAAGATTGAGCGACAAGCCACACTGGAGCACGGGGCTGCTTGCAAGCATTGTCACGTCTGCTTGATGCATACAATACCGCTGGGCGGCATTACAAGGCTCGCTAGGCATATGCGCGAGGTCAATTTCCTGTAGATGAAGGCTGCTATGGATGCTCTCAAGCCTGGCTGCGAGATTGGTGACGTGTTCGAAGCCTATGCCCTGTATGACCGATGAGAATGGCCTCCGTGAACAGAGTTTCAATGTCTGCGGATGCAGCATGGGCGCAACGTTTGCACTAACCTCGATGGACTCTCCTATGTTCGTGCGCGGTCAGAAGGTCGTGACCCCAAAAAGGCATCGTATTCTTTATCCATTTTATTGTGATGGATATGGCTACAGACCTGGTCAGTTCTATCGGCCAGACTTTCTAGGTCTGATGATGGCTGTGTGTCGCTGTTCAATTTGACGTTTTATCTTACTCACAAGCCAACTATCGCGGCGTAGAAGAAGCTTCGAAAGGAAGATTATGGTTTTACTGCGGACGAAGAGGATGATGGGGAGAACCAGCAAGAGTATGAGCTTTCTGATAGTGATGTGGATGCTGGGGATTATGAGGTTGAGTATGACTTTAGTAGTTATATCTTTACATGAAAAGCCAAGAGCCTTCCAGACTTGATAGCTCCTTGAGCCAGTCCCAGGCAGAGTAACCCATCGACGAGTACTCAGTTGCATGAGAAGTGCCATATGTATGCGAAGAACTGGGATTCGTCTGGTCGTATTTCTCCCAGAGCTTTCCCAAAACATTTGCAGCATTCTTGGTGTTGGCACAATGCCCTGTGTTCCAGATCCGATCCAAAGTTTTGAGCACCCAAGCTCTAGTTTCATAGGTTGTACTTGCTGCTCCGGCAATAAATGTTGGCCATATGAGACACTTAATCAGCTCATCGTCCTCTCGTTCGAGAAATGCGTACTCTGCTATGAGATCTTGAACCTGTAGTGACTCAGATGTGAGACTACACCCGGTGAGGCAGGCAAGAATACGGCAGGCGTAGATGTCAGCTGAGAGCTGCCAAATAGTACCAAGTCGCACCAAATCTTCGGATGATACTTTCGAAACTTCTGTAGTGTTATGCATAGCCCACGATACGATATCATATGAACGCAGCCGATGCAGTGCATCTTCAAGCACGGCAATGTTGGTGGTATGTTCAGCGAAAACAAAGTCATGCCGTCTTTGAGAGGCAAAGATCTCAATAGTCGATAAAATTTCGATAGGGCATCCGATTGGCGTGATGGTAGAGAAAGCTGGAGTCCGCATGGAAGATAGTGTGGACGCACTGGTCAGAACCCCAGGCTTTGCAAGAGACGAGCCAAATATTTGAAGACTAGGACAAGACTTTTAGTTTCTCAAATCACAAGTATCGAAATGGCTTCTGACACAAAATCACTCACATGGCAGCCTCGTGGAGAAGATTCTGAAGGTTATTATCCGAAGAAGATGTACCCGTCATGGCTCCAACTTCAAGCATCTTCTTGATACCTTCAATGTGATAGCTCCAAGCACCAGATCCGCTCTCAAAAATATCCAGGAAGGCAAGGAGGACAACGGTGATGAGCAGGGACTGTTGATCCTGAGTAGTTCTATGTCTTGCCAATGCTGCAGAGACCAACCCCAGACAATGGCTTTTGGACCGTAAATAGTAGTTCACTATTGATCCGCTGCGTGTGTTTAGACTGCCTAAAACGGGTTTCGATAGAGCGGAGAGAACTGCTCCATTTCTGGTTTGTGGTAACAACTCCGCCATTGGGCAGTTCGTAACATACTGAATGTAGTGGCAGGACGATATTGTCATTATAGCACTTGCTACAGTTGGTGTGTTGATCCAGGGAATGACATTACGATATGGGTTGTTTGACAGATCTTGGAGGACCAGAGTTGGGCAAATGCAATTTGAGACTGGATGCAAGTCAGTGGGAGATATTTAATACAGAACTGACCCAAAACTAACAATAGTCGATAAAGAATCTTGACGTATAACTCAAATCCTTGAATAGAGGCTCAACAAGGGCCACTGGCATCGGAATACCTCCGGACGCTTTTGTCAACTGTTCGTTCTGGTGATGCTGTCCTTGAGAGATAACTGATGTCGACCCTTGTAACGAAGGTCTTTGCGATAGTGGCTGAGTTTGGGCATCTCCAAAAGTCCGATTTTTCATAGGCCCTCGCCGAGCCACTCCGTCAACCCAGACCAGAGGCTTCTTGTAGCCGAGGCACTCAACACCGTGGCTCCAACATTTCAGGCAGTGGGGCAACCCTCCGTCGCATTTGAGGCGGCGTTGCTTGCAGCTCCAGCACTTGCGCGTCCGTGACTTGGTCATCAAAGCGTATCTTATGAGTGTATCCAAAAGGATGGGTTTGTGGGAGTACAGCAGCCCTGGCTCGTGGCCTGATTGTGGAAAGGTCTATATCGACAGGATTCTTTCTTCTCCGTGAGGACCGATCACAACGTCATCAACATGTGTTATGCAATGGACTCTCATTGGTTATCTATGCTACAATCCCACAAAAGCTCAGTTATTTACTATTCTCAGTTTAGTGCTGTTGGCCTAGTTCCAAGCATAAATCTCACGCTAGTACAGAACAAGACGTGGATGTGACGCTAAACATAAAATGGCCGAGGGAAGACCTCACGTCTCGACTTCAATGCCTGAACAGACAGAGACGTTGACATGATTAGTACTTCCCTGTTTTGGTATCAATGAGAAATTTCTTCATGCAGGATTTGTCATGAAAGCCTTGGCAGGGCAATCTGTAAAACACCCCTCTCCTTGACACCTTTACCACATATAGTTTTAACGCCCCAGGCCATAGCCTGTAACAAAATAAACAAGACTTCAGCAGTGATTGTTTGTAGAAAATTTATTATCACCACATCCATATACCACTAGGCATCTGTGATATGTTTTGTCTACTCCCATGGTGTCATCAAAATGTTTGCCTCCATCTGTTTATCGAACTGAGGGATGTGTGTAGTATGGCACCAAGGCTTGTTGGTCTCCTCCTTGCGGACTGTGCAGGCAAACCAAGAGCACCAACCGTGACGAGGAATTGCTTTGTTTATGTTATCACGAGTGGCTTCGTCAATCCAGCTGCCAAAATCTTCAATACCTTCGTACACCCCAACGTTGTCATACAGCGTAGCAAGCTGAATCAACTGGCCGAGGAAGGTAATTGTACCGTCCACGCCCATGTCTTCATGACGGATGATAGCCTCGGCGACCGCCTCGGCCTGATCGTTGCTCCCACCGAGGACTTTAAGCACCTCCATTGCTTTGATACCACCATAGATATCGAAAGACATGCGAGTTGAAGTGAAGTAAGCCTGAGCAGTACCAATATCATGCAGAAGGCATGTCAGCGCCCATGTGGATGGGGACAAGGCCTCTGCATGCTTGGGTAGCAAACGCCTGGCAATAATGGATCCTGATAGGATTCAGCAATGTCTTTCTCAAGATGTCGAATACAAATATTGATCCTTACCCCAGTAGAAAACCCGCATAGAGTGGTTATAAGCTTCTTGACTCAGACGTGCCTTGACAAAGGCTTGAGCTTCAGACACGAGTTTGTCGTCAGAGGGGAAAACGATGTCTTGGATAGTGTAGGTTTGCGTGGCTCCAAGCTGTCCGACTGAGTCCTTGACTTCTTTGGCGCTGACAGGCACAGCGGTCCAGCCGTTAGCCTCGACTTCGGCGGGTGACATTTTGTTAAGATAAAGTGGGAAGTGTGATAAAGCCTGGGCGAGTATGCTGATTGCAGGAGTGTGTGAAGGGTTATAGATATTCTTGAGGATGTGTGTCTCATGGACGTCTATTTATACCCAAACTCAAGTCCAAAATTGACTATAGGGGCCTGCGATCCTCTGTACGGCATGACGTACTCATGGTTGGGATTTGACATCGAATGAACTGATTCGTGATGCTACCCTGTGTATTTGTAAGTAAGACCCTTTTGCAACCAATGTTTACGGGCTAACGACCCGGGGTTAGTGCGCATTGAATCAACTGGAAGTGTTGCATGAGCTTTGTATTGCTATATTTCAACTACTAGAGATGCAGATTTCCACGGAAATGGCTTACCTCAATATTTGGCGCTTGGCCAAAAGAAGAAAATACAGAACTAGCGGCAATGCAGGCCAGTACAGTCGGTCAACGATTGTGGGTATACGTTATGACATTACGCAATTCACCTAAATCATATTTCCGGGATGAGTAACATACGTGCGATGTAATTTATTAGTTACGTATGTGTTAAGTAAGCGAAACCGAACTGGCATATTATAATTAAAAAGAGCCAACCCTAAATTAATTTAATACTTAAATAAAAAAGTTAAGGATTAAAAAAAATATTATTAGCCTTAAGTAAAGGTATAAATACTTAAAAATAGTTTTTATATATTTATAATTATTATATTTTTTATATATAATATGTTTAATAAGCAAGTACTGCAGATAAGCAAGTATTATACTTTCCTTAACCTTTTTAAGTTATAGCTTAAAAGCTCAAGCTGCAGTTTAAAAAGGCTAGCTTTTACTTATTAAATTCCTCCTTAAATAACTTCAGAATATCCTTATAAGTCCTTATATTATAACTGCCTTTACTATATATATTATAGTGTTAATTATCTAGTTACTTTAACCTTCTTTAATTACTACATATTAATAATTTAACTATTACTTATATATTAATATCTATTTAATTAATTACTTATAATACTTTTTATATAATTATAATCCTTTCTTTTTATAATTTAGTCCTTTTTACCTTATAATATTAACTTAATATTTTATTTATATTTTAAAGCTTTTAAAGCTTAGCCCTTAATAATATATTTTTATATATTATAATTATTATTTTATTTATAAAAAACTGTAAGGCTTTTAAAATTAATTTTAAAGAGCTATTATAATAATATATAATTTAATTATTAAGGTATTTAAATTAATATTAAGTCTTAAAGACTATTTTTAAGGTCTTAAAAGCTTATAATATTAATAGTTTAATAGCCTTCTTAAGGGATATTAGGGTTTATAATTATATATTAAGCTTTAAAATTATAATTTTTAAATTAAAAGAAGTAATTCTAATTCTTTTAAAACTTCTTTAAATATTACTTTTTATAAAAGTAGCCTTAAATATAATATAAAAGATAGAAAAAAACTTAATCTTAAAAATATAAGTTATAAAGTATTTAATTAAATATTTTATTCCCTAACTATAAGCCTATTTTAATAACTTAAAATACTTAATATTAAGAGGCTAAAATAATTAAAATATATAAATAAGTTTATAAAGTATAATAATTTTATTTTTCTTATAATATCTCTTAAAATTAGCTAAGTAATAGCTTTTATAATTATTAAGGATTAAGAAATAATAAGGACTAGTTAATTAGTTTTTTATAAATTAATTAAAATACTTTAACTACTTAAAACCTAGCTTATGATTTATTTATTTATTTTAGCTTATTATAATAACCTAATTACCTAAAAGGTTATATTTTTGATATTAATTAATAAGGTAATATTAGCCTATATTAATAATAAATAATATAATTAATTAACTTTCTATATTAATTACCTAAATTATAGTAATTTATTTTTAGTTTTTAGGCTATATTAATTTTAGCCTTTTTTATATTTCTAAACCTATAATAGCTATTTTAGTTATAATAAGGCTTATTATAAAGCTAGTTTTATTAAAGTTTTAGATATTATTTAATTAAATATTATACTTTATAATTATATATTATATAAGCCTAAACTAGCTATAAACAATAATTAAAGCTTTATATTTAGCTTTTTAATAGTTATATTTATAAACTAAATATATTTTTAGCTTTAATTATTACTTTATAAAGTTATAAGCCTGGCAATTACTAATAGGTAATATATTATAATTTATAAGTAAAGAATTAGCTATTTCCTTTATAAATTATAATTATAAGGAAAACCCTTATAAATTTAAATTAAAAATAAATTAAATTATTATTTATTCTTTTAAATTAAATAATTTTTATAAGTTTAAGATAAAATTATATTATAATTAAATACCTTATTAATAATAATATAACTAATACTTATTAATTTTATATATCTTAGTAATATATTAAGTGTTTAATTTTAAATTATTTTAAAGGGCTAAAAAGGTAAGAAAGGTTTTAGCTTTTTTTAAATATTATAATATTTTTAGTCATTAAGAACTAATTAATTAAATAAAAAGGTAGATATAAGAGGGAAAAGTGCAGTGCTTGCTTATCTACAGCGCTTGCTTATTAAATATATTACTTTAATTTTATAATATAACTTATAGTATTAATATACTTTCTTATAAAAGTAATATAAATAAAATAATAAAAACCTTAAATAAATTCCTTTAAGAGTATATTATAGCTAAATATATTATTTTCAATTATTAGCTATATTAAAGCTAAATTAGACTTTTAAAAACTATTTAAAAATTGCTTTTAAGGTTAAAAGTAAGGTATTTTATTTTTATATTTATTTTACTTACTTATTATATATGTAATAGTTATATATAATAAATATGGGCTTTTCTTTAGAGTATATTTATACTTTAAAGTTATTAAGGCATAACTAAGCTATTATAAATATAAGTAAAATAAGAATAAAATTAAAGATCTAATACTAAAGATAGTTAACTTAGGGACATTTTTATAATTATTTTATTTAGAGGATATTTTGATCTAGAAGTAAGTCTAGGCTACTAAATACTTACTGGAAAGACAATACTTCTCCTGTCCTATTAAGATTCAGCTTGGCGGCCCCCGTATAACAGCTTGAGGTGGGAAAAAGAAATCTTTACTACATCTTTGCGTTCTCTGCATCGCCAGTAAGTGCACAAAAAGAAATAGCAAGGCGTCGACTTGGACATCAATAATGGCAACTCTCCTGGCTCCTTACAACCAGGCTATGCAGCTGGGAACTGGCAAGCGCTTCATTTTGTCTTTAGAAACAACTAAAAGCTAACAATCACCCTGGTACGCTTCAATTCTTTTACCAAGAAGCTCTGTATTAATAATGCCGTTTTATCATCTCGTCAGTCCGAAGCTGAGCAGGAGGAAGACGACGATGAATCGGAAGAAGAGAGCTCAGAGGACAACAACACGAAAACAGATGTTGCAAAAGTCGATGACTTGAGCAAGAAAGAGGTTCCAAAACTGGAGCAGTAGAAGAAACGCCGCCCTATCGCTTAAGAAGTCTGATTTAAAGCATCTATCATTGACAAAGTCACCGACGTTATGTCGGAAATAAACATAATAAAGAATTATTTTAGCTTTTATAATAATTTAATTTCCTTTTTAAAATAGCTTTTAAAGATTATTAGCTTATTATAATAATAATATATAAATAAGAAAACCTTATTATTAAAAATAATTTACTTAATAAAGATAGTATTATTTTCTTTATTTTAAGTTTTTATAAATTTTATTATTATAATATAAAGCTTATTTTTATATATATAATCTTTAAAAGCTATTATTAAATAAGAGATTAAGTTAGGTATTTTAATATAAAAAGCCTTATTAGGTAGCTGCAGGCTTCTTTAGATAGGTATTATAATAGTATAGCTGTAATGCTATTAGCAGTTGCGGTTAGAAGGGAAAGTTAGGTCAGATGACTTACTAAAGCGTGATAGATAATTGAAGCGTGGTATCCTTTTAGGTAGGTTATAGGAAGAAGATTAGGGCTAGTTAATAAGCAGGTAAGGCTTTTTAGCTAGTATATATATAGCTAGGTTTAGGCTATAATTAAGGCAGTTAATTATAATAATTTAACTTAATAAAGCTTTATTAACTATAAAGGTAATAAATATTTAAATTATATTAAATTTTAAAAATACTTAAATATACCTTTTAAGGTTAACTTATAAATTTAAAAAAAATAATAAAAAAATAAAAAAATAAAAAATATTATAATTAATTTTAATAAGTATATACTTTTATTTTTATTTATTATTAAACTTTAACTAATTAACCTTTTAGATTTAAGTTTAAATAGCTTATTTATTAAAAGTTTAAACTTAAAATATAAAGTATTTCTTAAAGAATTATAAACTTAAAATTAAACTTTATTTATAAAAGCTATTATTATTAATAGCTTTATTTTAATTCTTAATATAATTTATAAAAAAAATAAACTTTAAAAATAATGTTTTTAAAAGTTTAAGTAAATAGTAAAATAATAATATATTACTTTATTTCCTTTATTTATATTAATAATATATTAATATTATAGCTAATTTACTTATTTAATTATATAATCTATCTTATAACTCATTTAATCCTCTTTTCGCTGCCAATGCCAAATTCATAACTTTAGGTCTTTAACTTTAGGCAACTAAACTTACATAAAACTTAATACATTTCTTCCACAGAACCCCGCGATTACCCCGCTTCTATCTACATCGCGGTACGCCGTCCCCCTTGTCTTTGCGCTCTCGTGGTCTATGACTATAACCAGCCTGGTCTTCACCAGCCGTCGATCAGCTTTACAGCCTTCGTTAGCTCTACCAACTGTTTCTTTACGTCATCAAGCTAATATCTATACGGGTTCTCAACAGTCCCCGGTCTAAGGTCCTTGATAAATCCCTCGTCGCTTGCCTCTATAGGCCTTCCTGCCATAAGGGATCGCTCTAGCTTCTGCAGCAGCTTGATCTCCTCCTTAAGGTAGCCTTTGGAGATCGTCAGCTCTTTGCAATGACGACGTACAAGCAAGAGGACCTCGCAGCCCAAAGCAGCTCGCCGGTGATGTCATCCTCCTTATCCCAAGTCTTTCCAATCTCCATTGCTATGGCATAGAGCTCATCCTTGCGTTCATGGTCTTCAAGAACTGCCGTAAAATAAGGGATCAGGTCAGGCATTTTGGTACGAAAGGCCTCATCGGGTGGCTGCAGGCTTCTTCGGACAGGCATCGTGACGGTGCAGCTGTGATGCTGTTAGCGGTTGCGGTCAGAAGGGAAAGTCGGGTCGGATGACTTACTGCGGAAGCGTGATGGGTGATTGAAGCGTGGTATGTGGGTTGTAGGAAGAAGGTTGGGGCCAGCTGATGAGCAGGGCTTTTCAGCTGGCATATCTGCAGCTAGGTTCAGGCTGCAATTGAGGCAGCTAACTATGATGATTTGACTTAATAAAGCTTTGCCGGCTGTAGGGGTATTAAATGTTTTAAACTATATTAGACTTTAGAGATGCTTAGATATACCTTTTAAGGCTAACTTATAAACTTAAAAAAAAATATTACTTTATTTAATAAATAAATTAATAATTATATTAATATTAAATAGCTTAAAAGAAATTATTTATTATATATTATATTTATTTATAAGTTAAATATAAAATTAATTAGTTTAAATATTTAGAAATATTAAATAATAATATATTTTCCTTTTTTTTAAATTAATATTAAGTAATAAAAAGTTAAATAAATAGCTATATACTTTTTAAATAATATTTACTATAACTATTTATTAATATATTACTTTTATAAACTTTAATTACTAAGTAAAAAAGTATTTAATACCTTAAAAGCTATTTATTAATAAAAATTAGTAAAGTTTACTTTATTACTTACTTTTACTTTAATAAATAAAGTTAATTATATTAAGGCTAATATAAAGGCTTATAAAGTTAAAATTACTATAAAAAATATATTATTAAATTAAAAGGTTATTTATAATTAGCCTATTTTAAATATAAAATTATTATAATACCTTTTAATATAATAAGATAAATTAAATAATAATATAAAATTAATATTTAAACCTAGGCTATATCTTAGCTTAAAGAATATATTATAAAGAAGATATTAAATTTATTATATTAAGTTATATAAAATATTAAAGATATAAAGATAATATAATATAATAGCTAAGAGCTTTAAGGCTTAATAATAAATAATAATAATATATACTTTATAAATTACCTGCCTAAAAGAAAAATTAACTTAGCTAAAAAAGAAAAACGAAAAAAATGGTAATATTAAATCCTAAGAAATATTTTATAATTTTTAAAAAGACTTTAATTAATAAAGAGTTTATATTAAGAGGGGTAACTTAAAATATACCTATTATAGTAAAATATATTTATTTAAGTATATAGGAGTTAGAATTAAAGGCTAGCTTAGTTATAAAAGTTAGAGATAAAACCCTACTATAAGTAGTTAAGGCAGCTAGTTAAAAAAACTAAGATATAATAAATAAACCTTATTTATAATTTATAAAATAAAACATTTTATAGATTTATATTAATTTAATTAAGTGTTATATAAGTAATATTATTAATTTTTAGTAATTGCTTTTTTATTTTACTTACTAAAATAGGGGTTATAGATAGTAATATATAGCTATTTATTAACTAACATTAACTTAAAGGTTTTTAAGAGGCAGGCACTTTCACAGCCGTTGTTTCTGTAAAGGCCAAGTCAGAGAAGAAGAAGCAAGACATTAAGGTAAAGTCGGTTCTTATAAAGTAACACACATGGCATATACTTATCTTTCCAATAATTCAGGGCAGACATCTTCTTTACCAAGCCGAAGAGTGAAGACTCTCAGAAATCTTATGGCAAGGGTAACAACAAGTTCAGTCTCGATTTCGGTTTCGATAACCTTAATAACAACTTTCTGAAGGAGAACGAAACACCTATCTCAGTCTCGTACACTGGCGGAGGACAAGGATTGAAGACACGTACGTTTTCGCTCGCTGCATCTGCTTGCTCATAACCTGGACTAACCTGTGCTAAACGTCTAACCGAACAAGATTGGACTTTTGAGACAATTAAGAGTGCTGCACTCAGGTTTCCAGATCTCGTTGCGAATACTCCTATGCGCACTCACGCCATTCTTACCAAGTATACTTCTCTTCGTAACTACTATTCGATGTTTGGCAGCATTTCCCCTCCAGCTTTTGAGGTAGTGGGCGTCTACTCGATGCTACTCCAGGAAGCTTACCTGAATTACAAGACTATCACCATGGATCTTCAGGTTCTCGCATTCGAAGTCTTTTCGGGTAGAATGAAACTTGTAACATCATCTGAATACCTACAACAAGTCGAGAAGGCCAAAAAGAGAAGGCTCGTGAAGCAGCTAAGAGGAAAAAGGCGGTTGATGTCGCGACCAAGGGCCTACCTGCTCCTGCTGACGAAGCTGACTCCAAGTCTGATAGTGACATGCCAACTTCGGAGTCAAAGCAGGAGGATGTTAAGAATTCTGAGAATACTCAGACAAAGGAGCTAGAGAAGAAGACCGAGGAGGCACCTGAGACAGCCCTCAAAGATGCTACGGCGAAGAAGTCCCCCGGACACAACCACTCGCGGCCCATTAAGGCTACCAAGGAGTACAAGTCTACCCTTCAAGGCCTTAAAGATGCTAGTAGTATAATAAGCACTCTTTTTGGTCCGCATCATGGAAGAGATCAGCATCTTAAGAAAATATCCTGAACTCGCTCTTGAAGATAATCGAATTCAGCCACACATGAGCCCGTTCCTATTCAAGGAATTTCTCCCAGTAAGTCTTGTTTTTTTTTTTCTTTTCTCTGTAGACGACTGATCTTCTACACGTACTAATTGCATCATCTGTAAAGGTCGGGCAGCCTGTTGCACCAGAAGAGGAACAAGATCAGAAGTTGACGAACATAACCGACCGCATTGATATGGTAAAAGCACAAAAGAACGATGATGCTCTGTGAGATAAGCCTCACAGATGGATGCATGAAGAAGATTGAGTCCGAACGAAGCATTCCGAGGAATATGAAAGTCAGAGGCAATACTTTTGAGGCCTGCATTAGTTTATTGTTTCAACATGAGTTTTGACAGAGCTTTGTGAGACTCCCTGGAGCCTTGGTGTCAAGCTGTGAGAACCCCGAAAAGTATCCACTTAATCGCCGTTATAAAGCTCAAAAATTATATAAAGTTATGTGTAGGAACATATTCAACACTGGTGAAATTGAACTTATTAGCTGTCAGGAAGAACTTGGACTCTAAGAGGTCCGCTCTCTCCATCGTATAGTGACCTCATGATATAGTATCTTGTGTTTAGTGCTCCAACCCTTCGCTTAACTTCCGTTCTCGGGGCAATCGAGAGGCCATGTAGCTGCAAAAGGAAATCATCTGAGTGACAAACTAGATATAATACTGCCGCCGGCGTTCCCCAGCTTTCGGATCCCAGAGGTGAAAGAACACTCGAAGACTTGCAAAGAATTGCCACCGTGACGATAATAAGCACGAGAAGCATGAAGGATAGAACTCCAACGCTTACCCAGGTGCAAATATCGAAGGTTGACCACGTGATTGCGTTGCTAAAAGGGATATTGGCGAGCGCTATTGGTAGAAAGTCACTGAGGATCGTGACCAAAGAAACGAGAGCCAGCATTTTATGTCCATGACGAAGGTACGTTACAACTCCCTGGTAGGGACTCGGTGATAGTGGCATCAGGATGGAGTGCTTAGCACTGATTGGCCTTTGCGACATTTCCAATGCAGGATGAATCGTGGCTAATTCTGAAACAAAAATCAGCATAAAGGTTCAAGTCCATGTGCCTCAGGAAGGCCGGCCAAGAGAGACAGCTACTTACCCTGAAAGATAGCAGCCCATCCAAATCCAATAATCACACCAAAGATCGTGAAGAGAAATCGGACCCCAAATATGCTTTGAGAATCCATGAACCTCTCAAACCCAGTATTGTTATCGGTAAGTCGGTAATACAGAATCAAGATACATAAGCCAATAATAAAAATTGCAAAACCGAGCACCATCAGAGCACCTAGTAGTATTGATCGACTCGATGATTGCGTGTTGTTGACTTTTGTCGACGTAGACTTAGCCAATGGAGACAGATTTTGAGTATCGCCGTTTGTAACAATAATTCCATATTCTTGTTGTCCAGACAAATACGTGACGCGCCCAAATTCGAATTTATGTTTTCCTAATGTCGAGCTGGCTTCGTCTAGCAAGAACATTCCATCAGGTCCCATGGGCAGCCTGCGCATCAAAGCTGAGAGGTATGGATTAATAGCAAGGCTTGCAATCCCCAGCATGCTGCGTGGATCAAATGAGACCCCGAGGTTTCTCCTGCTCACCAATAGCATGTATACAATATTCAAGCATGCCATGAAAGCAAGCAATGCCTGGGCTACCCGGATCACGGGATCAGTAGCTTCAAGCACCGCTGTGCAACGATCTTTCCAGTCCTGAAGACATCCGCCTTGCAGTTTGAGATGAACGGCTTCAGCAGCCAAAGGGATTAACAAGGCTGAGCTATACTTGAGAAAAGTTGACAGAGCAACAGCAGGATGCCCAATGAATAATCCCGTAATCGAAGAAAAGAAGCCATGGACACCATTGTAATGAAGAAGTATCGTCTCGGATGCCGTTCCGCCACCGGGTGTTGCTAGTTGAGCGAATGGCTCCAGACTCTTTGTCTCAGTATCCAGCACTTTCCACAGGATGGAGAAGAGCGATGCCACTAGAGTGGGTAGAAACGTGCCTATGAAGTACGATGTCTGGGCTGATAACCATCCGTCATCGCCGAGTGAAAGCCACCCAATGTTCGGACCTGGAGCGGTTGGACCGCCTCCCCTTTTTGTCAATGGTTGTAATGTGATGTCGGAGTGTGCAGCACTCGAGTCCGAGGTTTGGGCAGGAATAAACGTAAGAGTTGAAGTGGTGCTTGTTGAATTATCCGTTGTGTCGTCTGTCTGCACTGTCTGTGATCCTGGAAGTGCGAGGCTTGCCGACTCAAGAAGCATGATAAGTGCCAAAGTGAGGGCAAGGTACAACAGTAGAGTTGGGGTTTGTAACGATAATGGTTTCCACCTTGGTTGTCTTGATTTTTGGTGTCGCTTGGTTCTCTTTCGCCATATGCATGAAAGGCAATAATAAAATAGTAAACCAGCGATTACCAACAAGACGGGAACTATCGAAAGCACTGCAACGATCCTCGATGACCCAGGGATTTTGTGACCAACTGTATCAGAACTGCTGTTATTTGAAGATGCTACACCAGCCATGATTAATAAATAGTAGGCAATAAATCCGGCCAGGACTTGAAAGAATGTCTTGAGTTTGTTGTTTTAATCTACCCTTATTGCTCTACGTCAGCACGTTTTCGGTAGGGTTATTGAAAATGGATAGGCCGTAGTTGCCCGAGCTGTTGATAAAGTTGCAACCGGGGTAAAGCTGGTGGATTTAAAGTTATTGTATGGCGATAGAGAAGTAAGCGCTGGTTGTGATACGCACTACTATTTATCTCAGCCGGGTAGACATGTGATTTCGCGTTGTGTCAGTCGAGGCCTTTTATTCGACGGTTTCAATTCGAAGTTTAGAGCAGAGACGGGTCTATTGAAAAATGTTACTGTCCTCCGTGTTTATTCGGAAATCAGTCTAGGTAGGTCGAGAACCGGAAGTTCGGCCAGCAATCTCTCAGCCGCAATACCAGTCTCAGAAACGTTCATTGGGTCATGCAGGGTAGTCCCTGCACGCTTCAAAAAGCTTGACGCCTTCATCAATCAACATCTCACGGACCGCTTGCTTAAAGTCAAGTTCAGTCTGGCTTCTGCTACTAGGTCATACTGTACATATTGCAGAGGGCATGAGGTACATTCTAGAGAACCAGAATCGCTTCGTGGTATCATTTACAGAAGTATTAAGACGCATATAACTGTTGTATTTACGGGAATATGCAGCCCACTATACCTTATACGGAATCAGGAATTGTCTGCCCTGGGTGGATGTCTAGCGTTGCGAACCCCGCTTTAGACGTCATCTTCGTCATAGGACGCAACACTACTATACCAAGGACAGCTTGTAATTTACTAAATTATACACTTTTTGTCTATGCGCTAGCCCCTCCCTAACCCTATAATCTTTATAGAATTATATCCTTATTATTTATATATATTACTTAGAATTTATTATTATATTAATTACTATTAGTAACAGTGTTTAATATTATAGCTATATCTTTATAAATGTATTTACTTAAATTAAAAATAAAGAGATTATAGTATTAATAGCTAATAATCTTTATACTTATTATATACTATTACCTAAAAGAGGGCTTTTAATAATAGATTTTAAGTAAAATTTAAGTTATTTAAATATATTAATATATATGTAATATATATTTTAGCTAGCTATATATTAAGGTATATAAGCTCTTAGTAGTTAAATAGTTTTATTATTATTACCCTCTTATATTAGCTATAAAATTAATTTTAAAGTTAAGATATTTATATTATAAAGAGATTATTTAAAAGTACTTAAATAATCTATATTATAATTTTTAAAATAAGTAAAAAGACCTTATAGCTTTAATATACTTATTAGGCTAAGTTACTTTATAATAAATTACTTAAAATTTAATTATTATAGCTAAGTAACTAGCCTTATTATTAAGTAAAAACTATTTACTTAACTAATAATAAGGGTTTACTTTATAAAGCTTTACTAAAACTAAAGCCTAATTATAAATTATTTTTATAAGCTAAACTTAATATTTAATAAGGTAATAGCTATAGTTAATTATATATAAATTATTTCTTATATTTAGTTAAATATATTTATATTAGATATATTTTAATTATGTAAAACTTTACTTATATTAAGCTTTAAGAAATATTTAATTTAAAAAAAAATAGTTTATTTACTTGATATTCTTTATTACCTAATACCTTTTATAGTAATATTATAAGGTATATAGCTTATATTTAAAATTTAACAAGGTAATAATAATACAATATATTATACCTTATAAATAATTATTATTAATAGGAAATAATAATATTAGTAATAGCTTTAATAATAAAAATAAAAAACCTTATAATAAGTATTAATATAATAATTTTAATATTAACTTCTGTTATAATGGCCTACTATAGAGGTGTTTTTGTTTACATTACTAATAAAAAAGCTAAAAAGCTAGATGGCCTCTTACAAGGTTGAAAGCAAGGGAAAGAAAAAAAAATTTAAAATTCCTTTTAATTATATTATTCATTATAATAGTAAATTAGTTAATTTACTTTTTTATTTTTATTAATTTTTATTAATTTATTAATTTTTAAAAAGTTATCTTTTTATAATTAAATAAATATAAAAATTTAATATATATTAAATATTTATATAATTAATTAATTCCCTAGTTTAAACTATTACTCTTTTAATACTTTTACTTTATTTATTTTTTATATAAAGTTAATTAATTAAGTAAGTTATAACCTTAAGTAAATTTAACTTTTATTAATTAACTTATATAAAACTTAAAATAATTCCTTTAAATTTTTATAAAACCCTTCCTTTCCCTTATATTTATCTTAAAACTTTATATATAAACTTCTTATTTTTATTTATATATAATAAAGAGTATTTAAAGTACTTATTTTATCTTTATAATTATATTAATAAGCTACTCTTTATACTAAGCTAAGCCTATAAAGGTATTAAAAAAAGCTGCCTTTTTATTATTAAAAGCTAATCTTATAATAAAGCGTTTTCTAGCTTTTCTAATTTATATAGCTTTTAATTAATTTAGGCTAAAGATATTATATCTTTTAAATAATATAACTTTATATAACTTATTAATTATATTAAGTTATAATTAATAATACTTACTTTAATTAGATTTAATTTCCTTTTTAATAAGAAGTTTTTTTTAATTATTATAACTATTATATTCCTATTTTAAATTATTACTTTTTTATTAACTTTACTTTACTTATTTTTATATATAAGGTTAGTTAATTATATATTATATTATATATATTAAATTAATTAAGATATAACTTTAAGTTAATTTAACTTTTATTAACTAACTTAATATAAAACTTAATATAATTTTAATAATTTTAACTTTAATAAAATTCCTAAACCCTGACTTTACTTTATATTTATCTTAGAACCTTTTATTTATATATAATATAGAGGGTATAAAGTACTTATTCTGCCTTTATAATTATATTAATAAGCTGCTTTTTATCTTAGGCTAAGTTATTTATAAAGGCAGTAAGAAAAGCAGCCTTATTTAATTAAAGAAAATAACCTTCCTATAAGGCTATTTCTAAGTCTATAAGACCTAATAACTTATTATTAACTTATATTAAAATAATTAAATTAATATAATATTTCTCTTTTATATAACTAATTAACTAAATTAGATTATAACTAAAGGTTATTTCTTTAATTAAGTTAAGTTTACTCTTTAATAAGAATTCTTTTATAATAATAATAATAATTATCTATATTATAAAGATTAATTAAAGTTTCTTTAAATAGGTTAAAAAAAGAAGGTTAATCTAGCTATTAAGATCTAGTATTATTACTATTTAGTTAAGGCAGTAATTACATTATTAAGGCAGATACACCTTATCTAATTTTAATATCTATAATATTAGCTTGCTATAAGGGTCTTACTATTTAAACTATTAATAAAAAAGCTAAAAAGCTTAATAGCCTTATATAAGACTAAATATAAGGGGAAAAAAGGATTTAGATATTACTTAATTTATTATAGTTTTCTTTTTTATATAATAAATTTATAATATTATAAATATAATATATTTTAATATAAATTATTTTAATTTTATTAATATTCTTATATTTTCTAACTCCTTATATATATTATTTTTTATATAAGTTATAATACTTAGTATTAAATTTATTAAATAGTAATTAGTATTTTTATTTTTATTTTTATTTTTATTTAAGGTATTTATTTTCTTTTTAAAGATATTATATAGCCTATTATATTATGTTTTTCTATATCTTATGCTTTATATATATTATTATTTATATACTTAGGCTAATTTATTTATAATAAAAGTAAGTATCTTTCTCTTATTTATAATTCTTAAAACTTATAATTATTTCAGGTATTTATTTTATTTATTTTCTTAATATTATATATTAACCTTTACTTAGTATTTTAAGTTATTATTAAGTTTTTCTATTTTATTTAAATTGTATTTTATTTATTATTTTTAATCCTTAATATTTTTAATATTTTTATTTTTAATATATATTTCCTTTTTAAGTTATTATTTTATTTTATTATCCCTAGCTACTAGGTCCTTTATATTAGCTTCTTTATAAATAAGGAATAAATCTTAAAGCTCTTTAATTACACTATTTATATATAGGATGTATTTTTAGATTTCTCTTATAGCTTTTAAACTAGTAGTATTATAGCTATTTTTATATACTCTTAGTATTTAAATATATATAGCTATCTAGGGGTCTTATTATTTAATTAGTCTTAAGGTTTACTTATTTTAATTCTGTCCCTTAGTTTCTTAGGCTTGAGGTATTAGTATATTATATATCTAAGCTAATTATAATTATAATATTTATATTTAAATATATTATATAGCTTTTTAAGGGTTTTATTACTAGGTTAGGTTACTTTAAGTATTATTATATTATTAGTCTAGGTAATATAAGGTAAAGTTATTTTTTTACTTTATTTTTATTTTAATAGACTTTTCTTTTTTATATTTATATTATTATTTATTAATTTAAATTATTATAATAATATATTCTATAATATTATTAAGTTAATTTACTTTATATAATTTATTTTTAATTTTAATTTTAGTTTTTTATGGTAAATTTATTTAACGGCTTTATTATTTTATTAGGTTTTAAAGGCAAGATATTAATAATCTCTTAATTTTATATAATTGTTTTATTTTTTAGGCAATTTTTAAAAATAAATTTAAACTACTCCTTAATATATCTTTAAATTAGTAATATAATATATAATACTTTTTTTAATATATTATTTAATTTAGTTAAGAATAAGTAAAAGTAAGCCTTTATTTAAGTTAGGAATAAGATTATATTAATAGCCTATTTTTTAAAAGGTTTTAGCTTTAGTAGCTTTAATATTTCCCTTATTTCTTATCCTTACAGGAGATTATTATTATTTTTAATTTAGGCTCTATTTTATTTATTAATATATATTTATAAATTATAAATAATATTATATATTTAATAACTCTTAAATATAATTTAAACTATATTAAGTAGTTTTCTAATATAAAAAAGTATTAGGCTAGTATTACTAAATATCTTAATAATATAATATTACTTAATAATATAATATATTTTAAACAAAAGCTATTAATATATAATAGTTATAGATTTAAATAAATTAACTAGTTTATATTACGTTTATATTTATAAATTATATAAAGATAAATAAGTATAATTTATATATTAAAGGTATTTTTAATAATTAGTAAGGTTATTAAGGAATTAGTAATAATCTAAGTAAATTAGTATTAATTATAATTAATTAGTTATAATTATAAAACCTTAGTGCTAATTATCTTTAATAGGAAATGTAATAATTAGTGGAAAGTGTAGTGTATATATAATAAAACTGCTGGGGTTGTAAAATACTAGTAATATTTACTTTACTATAACTATTCTAATACTTAAGGATAAGCTACTTATTTATATTTTAAATAATAAATTTATTAACTAAAGTACCTTCTTAACATCCCTTAGGATAATCAGACTACTTAAGGAAGAGTTAAATAAGATGGCCGGTAATGCAGCTATAGGTGGCCGTGGTGAAGTCTCGGACTGGTTAGTAGTTGCTAAGAATAGAGGGCAGATAATAAACCTTTAAAAGTGGGAGCAAAGTCTGACATTTTTTAAGATATAAATAGATAAATATTACTAAATAGTATTTTAGTAGCTAATATATAGAAAGATATTATATAATAAGAGATTCTAGGAACTTTAAGCCTAACTCTGGCAGGGACTTAAGTTATATTTATTTATACCTTATAGATAGGCCTAGCTATCCTTAGTACTTATAACTATTTAATATATAATATCTATTATTATAATTTTAATATTATTTTTAAAATAAATGAGATTTAAAATAGTTATATAAGAACTTTACTAAAAGAGAGGTTAAATATTTAGTAATTAAGAAAAAGGGCTGGCTTATTTAGGTTAGTTTAAAAAAGAATTACTAGCTTAGGTATTATAATATTTAGCATATCTTATAAGTATATATTCCTAGTTAATTAAGATTAAAAGGGAGATTTTAAGGTATTATAAACGCTAGCACTTTAGAAATTATAAGGATACTACTTATATATTAAGCTTTAATAAGAGTATAATATAAGATATAATTATTACATAAGTTAATATAATAATAAGATTAATTAGAGATATTTATATAGTAATATAAATATCCTTATAAGTAAGGCATATAAAATTAATATATTATTATATATTATTATAATTAATAACAGAAGTAAGTTAGTTTAATAGTTATTTATTATAAATGCTTTAATACGAAGTCTTTAGCTCTAGCTTAGGGTTTAATGCTAATCCTAGGAGATAGAATTATAAAGGTTAATTATAAACTTAGTTATATTTATTAGCTTCTGATGCTGCTATAATTAAACGAGAAGTATTATTATAGGGTATTTAATAGGTTTGTCTAAAAGGGTCGGCTATAATCATTAAGGCAGTCGATTATTAGCTTTTGGATGTGGACTGGTGGTGGGACCCACGACGACATCAGAGTCCGGGGCCACTGGGTCAGTATTGGGTTACTACTGCTAAAACACTATAAAGAGAATATCCAACAGCTAGTCGCCTTGGCCCACTACTCATTCACCGAGCTCGCCATCACTATCAAGATAGACAAGCCATCCGTGCATATCCTCAACTCCAAGCGCCAACCATCAGTCTTTTTGTTATCTGGCCAGTTTTAACCGGAAGGTTTCATCTCGTGGCTAGCCATGGAAGACATTTAACAGCCAACAACATGGTAGATTATTTCAGGCGTCGTGTAGATATTCTGGACGTTAATTCATGTGTTGTCTGGCCTCATTGGAGTCCAATATGCCCTATATTTGCGAGCATGCTCAGACGTTATAAGGTAAATTAAGGTAAGTCTACTAATACAAAAGTAAATAACTAATTGTAATACTATGCAAAAAGAAGGGTACTACCACTCAATTGATCTCCAACCCAGATAACTCGAAAGAAACACAGTATGCCAACCACTCATCCCGTCCTACCAAGTCCAGCCGAAAGACTAACATAGATTTACCGCTCACTTCGGGGGATAATTAGGAATATCCACGAGTCCGTCTGCAACATAGTTATAGCAGTCTCCTGCGCAACCGATATTTCCGCCATTTGTAATAAGGAGCTTGGGCTCTCCCTCAGCAGCACTCCTATCAGGAGTCTCAATAATACGAAGCTCGCGCGAATAAGCTGACCACTGCCCGACATTAACCGGCTTCCAACCCTTAGGGTCAACAGCATCTGTGTTAACAAAGACTTCCTCCCGGCTGTTGCCATTGGCAATGAAGATTCCCATGCCCTCCTTTCCGGGTTCAGGGGTCCAAATTACAAATGGACTGCCGTTAGGGTTCAGTTGTCCGTCATTAGGAATGATAGGTTGCGCGGTAGCGGATCCAAAGTCAAGAGGGTCTTGGGATACCTTGTAGTAAACAGGGCAACCACCGGTAAGAGGCCCACCGCAGTACTCAAACGTCATAACGTATTTCTTGGAGATAGGGCTATAGGCGACAGTTGCCATGCCAGGACGTTGATCAGGGTTAGGAAAAGCGACATCGTCAACAGCCTTGCTCCACTTGCGTAGATTCTTGGTTGTCTTGTGGGAGAGTTTCTGATTAAACTTGGGGTCGACTTGGGTAGAATAATAACAAACAAGCTGGCCCTTGTGCATCATAAGAAATGGCTCCCAAACGGCTTGATCGCCCTGGCTGATAGTCTCAGGTCCAGGGCCGTAAACAATATGGCTGACAAACTCCCAGTCTTTACCCTGATTCTCACTAGCATAAAGGTCGATGTAGGCTTCGGTCAGATTGCGAGGAGTAGAGACGCCGGCGAGCAGAATTGTGCCTTTGCGGTACCCGCCAAAGTCCTGCGGCAAGGCGTAGAGAAAAGGCTGGTACCAATTGCCCCAGCCGTTGACCTGATCCTCAACCCTAGCAAAGGGCTTGTATGTTGCACCACCATCTGTAGACTTGTAGATAGGGAAGTAGGTCAATTCCACATCAGGATCGTAATCCTCCCAGGACAGAAGAAGTGACTTGTCGGGTAGCTGCAGAGTTCGGCCGTAAAGGGTACGCCAGCTAGTAGCTTCCTTCTTGGGTTTGAATATAGCGTTATTGTTGAAGTTGGACCAAGGCTTCACAGCTCTTGGTGCCAATGAAGCTGCGAGGCTCGTGGTCGCGAGGACCGCAGCAGCGAACATGCGGCTGAAGATCATTGCGAAAGATGGTTGGAAAGCCAGAAGATAGTGGGTGGTTTGCTTGGTGGCTCTTGAAGACTGAATTTTACTGAGACAGAAGCTGGGAAAGCCATATTTATAGGCATTTTCATGGTTTTATGACGACATCTTAGAGCGACAACGAAGAAAGTTATCAAGGGTAGTGAGCGGTAGAGACAAGCCACAGCTTTCCTCTCCCCATGGGATGCTCGGTTGATCACAGACTGGGGTATAGCACGGAAGAAATTTACAATAATTAGCCCAAACAGGAAATAGCTTAAGAGGAATAGATAAAGTAGTATTAATACGAGATGGCTTGGGCCCGAGCACCACCGATTGCTAGCTAAATGTTAGCACATTAATAATTGAAGCTTCAAGTTTACGTAGAGTTTCTTGTACCAAGTCTACGTCTAGTTACCCCTGTACCTTGCAGCATAACAAGGGAGGGATATGCGGCATTCTAGCCAATCAATATGTTCCATTTCCGATGCGGGGAATCGAACTCCTACTCGGTGCAGGTCTAGCTGAAGATCATGACCCCAGGAGGAGAAAGATTCAGAACGACTGGGGGAAAAACAAGCTGTTTGCCATTCCATGTGCCGAGTATGGGCTATCTCGCTTTTCCCATACCGTCGACTAACTATGAGTCCATTGGGTGACAGGCTGGCAGTCTGATTCCAACCCATGATTGGTAAATTACTATTGAGCATCATACGATTGAACAAAAGCGCACGTATCACACAATTGCCTCTCCATGCGTATAGACATTAATTGATTGTTGGTACCAAAGAACAAGCTACTTCATAAAGTCGCCTCTAACCCGTGGTGATAGGTCTAAAGCTGATTGAGCTGCTTAGTTAGTTCTCCGCTCTTTACTCCGCTTCCCCATGCCAGGATTACGGGCGATCGGCATAAGAGCCAATTAGAAACTGCCATTTCCGATGGCGAGAAGAATGCGGGCAAAGCTACAAGTTTACCCCGATGTTGTATTCCGCCCCCTGCTGCTCCCCAAATGATTACAATTGCTTCAAACAGAAAAATCACTACTCAATCAATACGATGAAGCCCACCAAAGCGTGCCACGAGTGCCGAAGAAGTAAGCGGAAATGCACCCGCCGAAGCGGCCGAGTAGGAGACTCGTGTGATCAGTGCCAAGCCAAGAACTTGAAGTGCACAGCTTCGTTGGCCAACGTCCCGTCCCGAACCCATGCCCTACTGCCAAACTCGAGTCCCACACAGCATCAGGAACGTTCCATCGACGTTCCCGTTGACGTCGCTGCTCGCCTTGTTGATTACTACCTCACCAAGCTTCACAATCGACCTCATAGCTTGTTCCACCCAGCTACCCTGAAGAAACAGGTGCAAGATGGCTCCATAAATAAGGCTCTACTGCTCTCTATCTGCGGTATGGGTGCCAGATTCGACCAAGACGACGAGATTCGCTCTCTGGAAAACAGCTATAACAACGAGTCCAAGCGCTTGCTTCTGGCTGATTTAGAAAACATTTGTATCGAGAATGTGCAGACGTGTGTCTTGATCGCTAATCTCTATGCTGCCCATCTGAACCCTTCTTCTGAAGCCCTATTCTTCCGTAAGCGGTATTAACAAAACATTCCATTATGCCAGCCACTTACCGTTCACAGGCATAGGCGTCAACTTATTGCAAATTATGGAAGCCGGAACTTCTTCAGCGGCTAGGACATTGATAGATCGCGAGATAAGGATAAGGACTTGGTGGACGCTGTACATGGCTGATCGCTGGTCATCTTCCAGTCTTGGACTAGCACCTCAGATCCGAGACACCGATCTTGCTGTTGATCTTCCAATGCACGAGCCTATCTTTGAGTCTCTCTCTCCAGACGAGACCAAGCTGAATATCCCATGGCAGCCAGGACTTTGGGCGCACAAGATTTCTTTAGTTCGCCTGTTTGGACCAATTAAGGATCTTAACCATCGCAGTGTCTATGGAAACATCGACCATGACGAAATCGAGTCGACTGTCGCGTCCCTCTCCAAATTGCTAGACGACTGGGAGTGGACAATCCCCCCGAATGTCAGGCTGAGTACAGAGAATCTTGAGCGATACATCGAAGTAGGTCATGGCGGCGCCTTTATTGCTCTCCACTTGGGCTATCACCACTACGCCACGCTGCTATACTTTCGATTCCTCGAGCCCGCGGCATCATCATCACCCCTGGCGGCGATATATCGTGCCAAGTGCAAGTTCCACGCTTCGTCATACAGCGATCTGATAAAACTATCTCGTCAGAAAGGAAATTGCGAAGTCGTCTACCCAACTGTCGGTCACATGGCAGTAGTATCCTCGTCGGTTCTACTCCATACGCTTTTGTTCAGTGTGGACAAAGATGTCCAGCCTGCTCGAGATGCCCTCAAATCAAACTTTGAGGCGATCCTTGAACTGCGACGTTACTGGCCAAACACCGAATCCATGGTACGTCAGTCAAGTGTGAGAAAATGGATGAGACTGATCCTCAACAGATCCACCGACTCGTTACGTTTCAAAATTATTGCCTACTCTCCAATGATTACAGAACACATACACTGGACGGGTGGATGTTACGTTTCTTGATACAGTACTCACTTCCTCTTGGTGCGAAAGAGGTTGCACCAGTGACATCGGGCATGGATCTTGACATGGACAATTTTTCAGCTCGTACTCAAGCGGTGACTGAACAGGGCAGATACACTGCATTTGATATTGAGGATTTGATGTTGGATGACATAGACATGTATCATGTCGACGGAAGTGCTCCCAACTACGAGATGAAAAAATCATAGCAGAACAATAGATAGGAAATGTAGGATTTTAGAACTCAGATACACAACTAGGGGATTTAATGATACGGACAGTCTTTAAAATCCACAAGCTACTCATGGATGGAGTAAAAGGTTACCTCGGCAATCATTGTCCTTGCTGGGATAGTGACAGATATGGGAAAGCCGCCATAGTCAGGGTCCTCGTTGGGCATCATGGCAAAGCTGCCACTTCTAGTCTCATCCCCGTTCAAGACACGCACTGTTCGTAAGCGGCCAGTTTCCTCGTCATCGACGGCCTTTTCCTCGACTTTAAGGATACCCGTGAAAGCTGTGTTGGGTAATGAACTCTTTGCGCTAACATGGAACCCCCAGCCGATCAACAGGAACTTGCCATGCCCTCGATGAATAACCATGCCTGCCCCTGTTCCTGGCTTTCCAAAGACGAAACATCGTTCAATCGCGATGTCGAAATCTCCCCAGCTCCGCTTGACGGGATTCGAGATACTGTTGGGTGCGCCGGTTGGTATCTCGTCGAAGCAGAAGCCAACAGATGAGTTGGGCTGACGCTGGGCCTCAAGGACAATAGCTGAGACTGACTTGAGGAGTCCGTAATGCTTGGTGAAAGGATTATCGGCTGGGTCTACCGTATCAACGCCAAAGGGAGCTACGCCCATCGCCGCATAGGATCCATAGGCAATCCACATACGCCGAGCGCCATAGTCATCCCGTCGCTGTTCCGGGACAAAGAGCGGCTGATTTCTATGCCTATATTTCGCACAGGACTTGTCGTAATCGTTGAGATAAATATCAGGACCAAGGAAATCCAGGTTAGGCGCAAAATGCATCCAGACATCCATGACGTTGCTCACGGCACCGCCTGAGGGATAATCACCCGGCATACCTCCCCCGCCCACGACGACCGGGAAGTCGTTGTCCGTATCGTCTCCGGCATAGTTCATCCACATATTAGTATAGTGCGGAATGGGATATTGTGATTTGCCAGCTCCTGCGACTTGGTTGACGTAGAGAGCATAGTGGTATGCCATAAACAGTTCATCGGTACGTGGACTTGATCCGAAAACTGTCTCCCAGTCGCCGCCTTCAAGTCCTGCAGGGTTGAATTGGACCAGGTTGTGCTTTTTGATGTCTTCGTGAAGGTGTTCCCAGCTTGAAGTGAAGAATTCGATCAGCTCCCGTGGAACAGGTTGGCGAAAGGACTGTTCAGCCAGTTCAGACCCATCACGTGAATCGCCCAACAGGCCACTCTCATTCTCGACTTGAACCATAATTACAGTGGAGTGAGACTTATCGAATTCCCGTAAATGCCTCATAAGGGCACCGAACGCTTTAGCGTCAGCCTTGCGACACTCAGGGTGGAAGAGTGATACGACATCAGCAGTTTCAAGACGACCGCCAGCTTTGCGTAGTTTCGCTCGAGGAAATCGATTTGGGTTCTGCTTGACCCATGATGGCACGTATGTCGAAAGCCCTGAGCCTCGTCAGTCCATGTGTCCCATGGCAAAAGGAGTCTTACCGTTTTTGAATGAGCCGAACCAGAGCAAGACAAGATGCATCGAGTGCTTTCGCGCTGCAAGAATGATCTCGTCGAGAATAGAAAAGTCAAAAACATCTTCATCGGGCTCTATCATCTCCCAGGTCACACAGCCTAGCAAGGTGTTGATGTTTGTGTCGACCATCTTCTGCCAAACTGGCTCCATGTACTCGACCGATGTCAAGGAAGAGTTTTGAAGTTCGCCTGCTCGTATGAGGAACGGACGCCCGTTGACGATGAGCTGCTTGGAATTCTCATTTTGTCTCAGGTGAGGAATGCTGATACTGAGTGATCCCATGTTGGAGGATGGTTGATGTTCCGGTGAGATAATTGCAAGATGTAGTTGTGTTCAAAATGCAAGGGAAGAAACGAGGTTGGAAGTTGAGGCGCAGAATAGAGTCATAGAGCGAGTGAAAAATGGGAGGAATAAGCGTGACAATCCATGGTTTCATACTGACCGGAATTAGACCCTTGTGATTGGTTAATAATCCGAATGGTTGAGAGTTAGGCGGCCCGGAATACTGGCCTTCTAAGTGGCTGCAATGCCGCTCCTTAAGAGGACGTAGCGTGATTATACGAATAATAAGCGATGAACTTAGATAGAATCCTGATAGTCTAGAAATTGGGGCCCATTCAATCAAAGTGGCTGAACTAACGCTGGATCTGGGGTAATTGAATGGTGCGCCTTTCCACTTACCCAGGTTCAACAGCTTCCAACCGGTGCAGCATAAACTTGTCGTGTTCAAATCTCAGGGCCTTAAGAAGGTGACCTTTTCCCACTTATTCATATTCAATTAGTTTCCACCTCTTTTTACGACATTGACCTTTATCACCTACTTGATCATCATGTCTTCCGAGAAGAACGAGGCGTATTCCGTCGATCATGAAGAACAACCTCATCTCCAAGTCCCGCATGTAACATGGTACAAGCACTCCGGCCTGCGCAGCCTATACATCCGAATGCCACTACTCATGCTCTGCGCTACAATCAACGGTAGGAATGGAAATGAATTCTTTTAAAGAAGACGAAACCTAATCAATAAACTCTTCAGGATATGACGGGAGTCTACTTAACGGTTTGCAGACTATTGAGAACTGGCGAGCTTGTATGTTTACTTTTTTGCTTTATTGTATTGTGTATGTCAAGTGAATCTAACACGCGCAACAGACTTTGGTCATCCTTCTGGCTCTACGCTTGGCTTGTATACTGCAATCGTCAATATTGGTGCTTTTAGTGCGTTGTTCTTCTGTAAGTTCCTTTATCTCGCTTATTATAATATCTGAGCTAACCTATTTCGTGTAACAGCCCCTTACATTGCCGATCAGTTTGGACGACGCATTGCCACCGCCTCGGGCTGTGTCATACTCATAGTCGGTGTTGTTATCCAAGGTACGTCAAGTTCAGGTTATGCTGTAATCCTAGAACAGTAGCTGAGTAACTATAGCGGTGCCATCCGTCAACGAAGGCATGTTCATCGGGGGTCGATTTCTCGTCGGATTCGGATCCAATATCTCCATTGGTGCCGGGCCACTTCTGATCATGGAGCTGGCGTACCCTCAACATCGCGGACGGCTCACTGTCATGTACAACACCTTGTGGTATGTTGGATCAATCATTGCGGCTTGGGCGGTATTTGGGACAATTAAATACACCGGAGAAGCCTCGTGGCGTGTTCCTGTTGCCCTTCAAGCTCTCATGCCAACGCTGCAATTGCTTGGGGTGTTTACCCTGCCCGAGAGTCCTCGTTGGCTTTGCTCTAAAGGCAGGAATGAAGAAGCTTTGAACGTCTTGGTCAAGGTGCGTATCTGTCGCTCAGCTTCTGTCAAAGTACTAACATCGAGGCCCTAATAGTACCACGCGAACGGCGACAGGGCCGACCCCTTTATTCAAGCTGAGTACACAGAGATTCAAGATACTATTCAACTAGAGACTCAAGCGGCTGAGACTGGCTGGATGGTTTTCTTGCAAACCCCTGGCAACCGCAAGCGTCTACTACTCATCATCTTGACCTCATTCTTTTCTCAATGTTCAGGTACGGAACCTGGAAGACTGTGCATCGAACATCAATACTGATCACCGCAGGGAACGGTCTCGTATCTTACTACCTCCATGATATTCTGAACTCTGTTGGAATCCAAAAACCTTATGACCAGTCCTTGTTCAACGGCGGTCTTCAGATCTGGTCTTTCCTTGTGGCAATTGGTTTCTCGGTCTACTTTGTCGAGAGATTAGGTCGCAGAATGCTCTTTCTTATTGCAGCTGTTGGCATGCTGGTAGTGTTCAGTGTCTGGACAGGGTATGGCCCCCTCAACCTGACTCAATTTTATCAAAGCGACTAATGTCTTTGCAGATGCTCCGCGGTATATGCCGATACAGGTAATATAGGTGCTGGACGGGCCGTTCTGGCCATGATCTTTCTCTTCTATGGAGTTGCTGGCTTCGCATGGCCAGGTTTGACCGTTGCCTATTGCTCCGAGATCCTCCCGTACAGTATCCGCGCCAAAGGCTTGGCTATCTGTCTAGGTGTAACGGCTCTATCTGGTGTTCTGAACCAATACGTAAACCCTATCGGCTTGGATAAGCTGGCTTGGAAGTTCTACTTTGTCTACATTGTAATTTTGGTCATTGAGGTGGCTTGCATATGGTTTTTGTTTGTCGAGTCTAAAGGTCCGACGCTCGAAGAGATTGCTGTTCTATTTGATGGCAAGGACGCAAAGGTCTCGAAGAAGCTGACCGAGGGCGGAAAACAAGAGACATTTGAGAAGAGGATCGAGGTTTGAGGCTACAGCAGGACTTCGTCTAGGTTACTGGACTTGTATTTGGGATCCTGGGGCGCGGATGAATCATAGCTCTGAAAGTCCCCCAAGCCGATTGTTCAAGCATAGAGATAGAGAGCAATACATGCGGCCAACTTGAATTCTGCTGAAGCCGAGGTATTTTCCTTACACCTAGTACGAGCGAGAAATGGCAAAGCCGAATACTGATCTTACAACTAAAGGGCAACTAAAATCGAGCCTGTTCTTCAAGTTTCCAAGTATTTCAAATATACCGCGTAGCCTCTGCAAGAGACAAGTCGACTTTGCCTTTTATTCTATACGTTATAACAGTCTCTAACATCGCATTAAAAATGTTTATTTTTCTGCTTATCATATTTACAGGCCTGGAGACCTCCTCCGTTGAGTTAGGCCACATCTATCAGTTCCTTGTAGAGTTGGAGTCTGGAGTCTGGTAACGGCCGCCTCAGGTCCAAGGGTGCCCACCCTTCCCAAGCTTAGCATTTAGAAAAGCCCGGCCGAGCAGGTTATCGCGAACAATCTGATCCTTGTGAGCCTCCATCTCCTCAATATCCCCTTATGATGCGGTCCAATGTCAGAAGATTAGCCAGATTTGAGCAGGGGAAGGCGGACTCACAATTTACGCTGACTATGCCGCCGCGCATCCATTCGGCACGCGGAGTGGACAGGAAGAGTGTCCAGCTACCACTAAGACCGGGGCTATCCTTAGCATACGGCTTCAATGAATCGACTGTCATCCCAGTCTGGACAATCCCAGGGATAAGTAAGAAAACGCGCAAATTCGGCTGCTCAACGTGCAGGTTTTCCATGATGCGAACAAGGGCCAACTTAGACGCCGTGTAGCCCCCCATACCGGGAAACACGTTGGCGATGGCGCCTGTGGTGAAGCTGATAATCGTGCCAACTCCGTCTCCCTGGGCGAGAAAGTAATGTGTCACTAGGTACGATCCCAGCACGTTAACCTGAAAATCGTTAAAGAATTTCGTGGGATCGGAGGTGCCTACAAGGCCCCCTTCCAAGCTGCCCGCACTGTTGATGAGCACATCGACCTTACCGACCGCCTCCTTAGCGACCGCGAAGAGCGCCCCAACCGAGGCTTCGTTGGTGATGTCCGCCGCATGGGCGAGGACTTTGGTGCCTGGCGGTGCAAGACTCTGAAGCCGTGTGGCGATACCCTCAAGCACATCGATGTTGCGTCCGGTAATCACGATGCCGGAAGCTCCCGCGATGGCCCACGATTCAGCGATGATCTGCAGCTTAAGTCACGAGAAGGAATAATCGAGCTCCAGAAATTGCGCTTACCTTTCCTATACCCCCAGAAACGCCGGTAATGAGTACTGTCTTTCCATTCGCCGACAGCTCTGGCTGGGTTGGCTCTAGCAGTGGATAGACATCACGTCGGACTTGCTTGGTCAGCTGGTAGGGCAGAGTGAATGCGTCAGGGTCCGAATAGTCCATCATAGCTGAGGGTTTCTGGTCTTTTGCTCACGGGCACGAGAGATCAATGCATGGACTAGAGTAAGAATGTGAAGAGCTAGGTATTGGGAGGTGTATACATATTTCCAGGATGTTTACGGGATGAGTGGGTCTTTTATACCATATATCACGGGAGGCGCGGTGGCAACGGATTATGTTACTACGCGCAGTCTGAACCAGGGGCATGTGTGAGACCCGGTCCTGTTGGCCCCTAATGCTGACATTGCAGGATACGAGTGATATAGACGCAGGGATCTACAGGTCGGGGATCTATTCAATATTCGTCCGTGCCAACCCAGACGACTCTCACAATTTTCCGCCATTCTTTCAAAAACCACCCCTAGATCCTACACTTTTTGTCCGTGCACATTAATAAAGTAACTAGGTTCAGCAAAAACAACTTGTGGTTTATCTATCTTTTTTTCTCCTATCAATGTATGATGGCTGTCAACGGACGGACGGTTGCCCGTCCTTCTAAAATGGGGTGGGTCTCTTGTCACCTACTAAATCTGGCATAGGTCTGCTTACAGTCCCGTGCAAAAGTTCCGACACATCCGAGGTCCGGACCCCGCTTTCAATTAAACATCAACATCAACACCACAACTTCATCGCGTTATTTCTATAGGAAAAGATGCCTCGAATACGGCAAAAAACACATCATTCTCCTTGCAAAAGAACGAGGTTTGTGACGATGTACGAATCAGGTGTTCGCGTGCAGGATATCGCAGACAGTGAGGGGCTAAGTCGGCACGCGATCTATGGAGTCATTCGACGGTACCGTCACCAACAATCAGCAAAAGATTTACCTCGCTCTGGAAGGCCATCACGACTATCAGATATAGATAAAAATCATATCAAAATACTCATTGGAAGAAACGCTTTTATCTCATACCAAGAAATAATTGATTGCACCTGTTTGAACTGCAAAAGAAGCACAATTCGTCGCTGGCTTATCAATCAGAAGATACAACACAAGCTTGCACTTCGACGCCCGTTTCTCAGCGAAGAAAGTGCTCAATTGAGAAAAGCTTTCTGTGAAAAATATCGTCATGAAGATGAGTCTTTTTGGTATAGCTGGTGGTTTTCTGATGAGGTCTCTATCGACCGTACAGACGGTGACTATACCAAGTGGTCATTTTACTCTGCTGTAAGTCTAGCCCCTTCTATTTCAGAAGCTTCTTTTGACAACACCACAGGGTGAGAGACTCCATCAAGATAAGGTGCAGCCCTGTAGACGGCCTGCCAGACATTCTCAGATGTTCTTTGGTGCAATTCACTATGATAAGCCGTCTAGGATCGTCCCTCTTGCCGGCGATCCTGAGTCTGAGAGGGGAGGCGTAACAGGAAGGATTATTCTATCCTGTTTACAGTCTTATCTTCCCGGACTGGTCGAGGAAGGAGAGACTTTTCAGCACGACAACGCCCGTACATATAAATGCCGGAAAGTTCAGAATTGGCTGCTGCCCTGGGCAAGAAGAACAGGAGTCTTTCTTGCTGACTGGCCGCCATACAGCCCTGATCTCAACCCCATTGAAAATCTATGGAAAGTCCTGAAGAAGAGGATATGCGATAGATATCCTGAAATTGCTGCTTATCCAAAGTCTGCAGCAGCTTTGGCCCGGCTGATTGAAGCTGCAGAGGAGCTTTGGTCGGAGGTCGAAGATGAAGTGGTCAAAAACGTGATAAAATCGATGCCCGACCGGTTGAACGCCTGTTACAACGCAAATGGCTATTATACCAAGTATTAAACTATATTTCTGGAATCTCCTTTTAAGTCTCTACAGATTGATATATATATTATCTAAATTGAAGAATTATTGCCCATGCAATTGCAATCCGAAATGGCAGTATGAGATCGAGGTAGTTGGGGTGGATCCGGAATGTGTCGGAACTTTTGCACGCCCACTGTACTATCGGACTTCTTAGCGCCTGTCCTATCTCAGAAAGGCTGGTATCCGTCAGCATATCGACCACCTCTCGGGATGTAATGCACGGGCAAGTATTTACTGTAATTCGACGAAATACAAGCGACACGACTCATGTACGGATGCACAGCCTGGCTCTTGACGAGTTCGGTCTACTGAGATATCCTTAAGATTGGGAAGCATTCATGAGGCACACGTGACACAGCCGTGGCGGTCCAACCAAAGTGCGATCGTTCAGCTGGCTGGTTATCCAAATGGGCCTATTATCTCGAAGTCACTTAGACCTTGCAGGGGGTCAGCTTACGTCAGATTATTTAAACAAACGTTTCGTCCGCCAAGTTATTTATACTCACGCTTCGCACTATGTAATACCGGGTGGGGCAATGGACATTCCAAGTAACTAGCTATCTGAACGAGCCTATTAGCTTGTAGAACTCTGTGGGCCTATTACCTTGAAGTCACTCAGACCTTGCAAGGGGTCAGCTTATGTCAGATGAGTTTTGTCCTAGAATGTAATGGTTGGGTTTTCTAAACAGGTAACCTAGTTAGTACTAGGCTTATATTTGCAAATTGTTATATTTCTTAATAATTAAGTAACACGTGTCAGGCTTATAAATAGAAAGAAGTCTTATTAATAGCTAGTAAGCTAGGTTTTATTTAGTACTAAGGGATTATATATATATATTAGAGGATATATAAGTTAAACGTGGTCTATTTAACTATATCCGTAAGTTGAACGGCACTCGTTCGACTATTACAGGGTAGGTAGGCGCTTATTGGGTGGTAAAGGTAGAGGCACCTTACCACATACGTCAGCATGTTGAGCCATAATATAGAAGTTAAGTTATTTATTTTAATATACTTACGCTTTGCATTATATACTACTAGGTAAGACATAGGGCTTTTTAAGTAGCTAGATATCTAAACAAGCCAATTAATAAATAGATAAATTTATTATACCTAGTAGCTATTACTTAAAAAACTTTCAAATTTAGAAATTAAATATATTTTACTAATTAATTTCTTAATCTTACTAAACCTTATATTTCTTACCTTATTTTCTTTTCAATTCTCTAAAGCCTTTTTTCTTTTTTAATTAATATATTAATTAGTAATAGTAAATTAACTTAAAGCCTAATTTCTCCAAGTATTTAATTTCATATTTCTAGCAGCTAAAGTACTGCCTGCTTTTTATTATATAAGGAGTAGCTATTATTAGTAGGTGTATTTTAGGCAGTTAATAGGTAAATGGTTCCTGATTGGTATGCTTGGCCTACTACGTACGAGCTCCACTACTTACAGATATAAAAACCAGCAACGCTATCCCAGGCTTTTTAACTCATCTTACAATTAATTATAACTTCCTATCTTACATAACTGTCACTACTGCTAAGTAGACTGACCGAATCTTCACTGCCACCAACATTCCAGTTTACTCTCTTGAGATTGACATCAGTTTCTCCCTGGGGCGACCTGACTCTTGGAGCCACGATGGCTATCATACCCGGCCAGTTCCGCGAATTCGCATCAGACCCGACGAAAGCGGAAACCTAGAGCCCCAGAAGTTGGTATTATTGGATACCTAGTCAGACTCACACGGTTGACCAGAGAGACTTCAATGAAACTCTACTGCCCGTCAGCTGCAACGCTGTCGAAACCACAGGCTATCCGTGAAATCGATCTGAAATTGGATGGTTGCCTAAACTGCATCCCATCGGCACTTCGCCCGACAAGGAATAGCTCGTCGGCCGGATCACTAGAGCTGACAAGACAGCCTGCTTATATCCGGAAGCAAAGACTTGTACTTGGCACCAGTATGTCTAATATTCCCCGCTTTCGAGTAGATACTGACGCAGAATAGAGTATTACAACGTCCGCATGCTCCTCCACGCGTCCCTTATAGACACGACCACGGTCTAAAGCCTATCCGTTGATTTCATCGGAAGTCTGAAAGAATGCGTATAATCGGCAAGATTGACAATAGAGCTTGTCTATGAGAACTATTGCCATTATGAGTTCTTTCGTACTTGGGGAGGCATATCCATATTTATCAATGCCACCAAAGCTAACGCAAATATGTGGTTTAACACAACATATGCAATCTTCGCATCTACCATTATTCTATTGGTTGCAAATCAGAACGTGGAAGCCCCAGAGAAACATCGATGGCAAGAGCGTATCTAGGAAGGCAATTGGGATATTGGGTGTCATGCATGAAAATGTTTGTTGCTCGTAAAGCAGCGGGTATCATCAAAGGATGTCTCGACTGGCTGAAGAGGAGATAGGTTTTTGGAGCTTTTATAGTTATAGGGGATGGGAACCTTTTTGATATGATGTTTGATGAACGGATGATGGAGCTGTAATAGTCCTTCCCTTTCCATGTTGCTAGTTGGGACGGAGCGGGCATATTCCTATGGATAAACTTTGGACCTACTAATCTATCGGAGCAGATGCCAAACTCTGGAACATAGCTCTCGGTAGGTGTTATGCCATGTTCGGAGAATGGTGCAGGAATTTATTGATGTTCTTGAGATTTGGGAACGGCGTAAAGATACACGAGCGTTTCATGGTGTTTATACCGGTTGTTTAGTCGTCCACGCCGAATCTTTCTGATACTTTGGTTTATTATCAGTCCGGATTCATCTTATGTTCTGCATACTTCTGATGTGGTGTCCGTAGAGCTTTATTCATGATATAGAAGAAGTGAACTCAGCTGCCAAATCCATGAATCTCTTTATCAGAATAGTTCTGAAACAACCCGACCCTGCGTCTCATATACATGCGGTACTTTCCGTGATAGCTTCATGACCCACAGCGTTTGCGCCTTTTCCTGGTCCAAACCTCCATGAAGTACTCATTAGGGGTATCCGGCAGTTCTTTCTCACTCACCTATGTTCGCCGAACGTTCGCCTCTATCGTCTCCATTCGCGTTCCACCAATTGTTTCTACCTTCCCGATCGGGTAACCAGCCTTACGAAATGAAGACCTAACTGAACTCTAAGTAGTGCGGATGCGTGACGTTACGTGGCCCAAGCACAGTAGTGTACATTGGCTAAAGGTATGCACGTCCATATCAAGACTGAGAGCTCATACCAATGGCGCACATACATAGCTTTCCACTCTCCCCTCTCTTTTATCCAGAAGAAACAGAATCGTCAATCACTTTCGGTATCGACTTCGCAACCGTCGAGGGTAAACATCTACGTAATGGTCACTTTCATCTTGGTAACTGCGTACGTAGCATCGGCTAAAATGTCTATCGTGATACCGTTGCATCGATGCATGATGAAACTACCCTTTTCGACTCCGGCTTTGGAGAGAGAAATGAAGTCCTTGTAGTGAGTCTGACCGCTCTATGTTGTATTAAAGCACGGTGGGTATGCTGGACTCCACTTCTAGCTGCCGCTGATCGTGGTCACACAGAATGTGTGAGACTGTTATTGGACCATGCAGAGAGAAATCACAGAGATCAATATGGCAGAAACGCCACATACCTTGCTGCTGAGGCTGGACATGCCCAAGTGCTTAGAGAGCTGCTCCAATGGTCGGATGTTGAGCTCGATCCTTCAACAGGTTCCAGGGGCCTTTCACCGTTGGAAATAGCACTCAGAAATGCGAATGAGGAGGCCGCAATGGTTCTGATACCCTATTCCGATATCAATCGTATATGTCCGACTGGGGACAGACCATTGAATCTCGCCGCCAAATCCATGAGCCTTGAAGCTATTCAACAGCTCCTTGCTCAAAGAGGTATCCACGTCAACGCAAAAGGCTCCGGAGGTCGGACTGTTCTTCACACTGCCGCTATGTCCGGGGATAAGAAAATGATAGAGCTCGCACTAACCCATCCCGATATTGATGTCAACATTCGCGACAACGATGGCAACACTCCTCTTACTTTTACAATTTTCAAGGCTTTGCTATCAGGACAGCTTGGAGCCAGTTACTCCATTACTATCAAGACCTGAGTTGGATATCAATGCACAAAATCTGAACGGCAACACAGCTCTTCTCATAGCTGCATCCATCACAGTCAAGTCCCTTCGACCAGAGGGCAGAGTATTCAACGCTCTCTTTCATCATCCTGATGTAAACAGGGAACACAAGAACAAGCTTGGTCAAACCATTTTAGTTCGCGCTATTAAAGAAGACTCAAGAATAATCCAAACGATTATAGAGGGAACGAGGTTATCACATCAGTTCCATGAGATCGATGACGATGGGGAGACGTTGCTTTTTCTGGCTGCTGAACCAGAGTAATTATGTTTTGCCGTGTCTGGTTTTGATGAGGGGAAGCTATTAGTCCCAGGGACAAGGAGTCTGTGTTGTGATGGACAGTAATTATTGAATCGCACGCCACATGCCCATTGTCAAGTAGCACGCCTAGCATTAGTAATGACCAATGTTGTTTCTCTTATCGCTACCAACATCACCAAAAGTTCTATTCATCGCACGGCTCAGACACTACTCCTGCCGAGTCAGAAAAAGAGCAGTGCCAATAGTTTCACACACCAACGCGACTTCCCTGAAATACCAGCAGCCGACAGTCGACATTAATGTGCCAGGCGATAGTCTCCCTGATATCATCCGTCACTCAGGAATATCACAAGGAATACTTCTTTGGCATCAGAACCTGGTAAAGAAAGGGCATTCTAGGCCTTAACGGATAAGTTCTTCCGCAGACTTTAAGCCTCGGTCTCGCCTCTCGCGAACTTCTGACACCTGGACCTATATTGCCGACATGACTGGCAGTGGCATGGTCGACATGGTGCAAGGTTCACAATCCTCGCTCAGATGTAGGCCAAACTTTGGCACCACCCTCGAAACGACACAGTTTGACGAGCTGGATGAAACACATTGTGTATCCGCAAACTGCTGATGGAGGCGCTCCGGCTGTGGTTAAGAATCAGAAAGTTGGCAACAAGGCACATACTCAAATTTGATCTACAAATGATGTTAGTGAGGACCAAGACCTCCTCAAACCAGAACCCTGGAGGCAGCGGGGGTATGAGATCCTCAGATTTACATTTGGCAAAGACGCCATTAGTATCGAATGAGCCACCAAATGTGGGTTTCAAGAGCTTTCTACGGCTGTGAATGATACCATGGCCTGCAAAGCACTACGGGATGAGAACAGCGCTTCTTATCGAACTTGGCGTCAAACGTCCCATTGGAACAAGATAAGCTGGAGGCATACTGATTACTAGACCAGACATTTCAACTTGCCTTTGATGTCGACCTTGTAGCAGAAGTTAACCTCGGGCTTTGCATCGGTGTATCCTAGGGGCTGTTGACAATATGTTGGTCAAAAGAAGATAAATGAAGCTCAGAGAAAGTCATACCTGGTGGTTGGCTTCTGCTCATTTACACTTTTTGTGAGAATATTAATGTACGATATTTAGCTGTGAGCAGGCTCCGGCGCCGGCGCAACCCGCATCCCCGAACCATATAACGAACTCAGGTCCTTGGCGACAAAGCAGAACACACAACGATGTTACCAGCGAATCAAGGTTGCCTCCCGCCTCAGGCCCTGGGACTGGGTGCCCGACATATTCATCCCCACTCCGATCAACTGATCGAAGAACGCCGTTGAGGCCGTCGCTACCCTCGTCGAGAACACGTGCAGGCCCAACTCAAAGGTTACTATGGGCGAGCTTCAGGACTTTCTTGTGGACAAGGCTGCGAGGGCACCCAACAAGGCCCAGAATGCGCCCTCGCCGAAGCAACATTGCAACAACGCCAGAGCTTGGATGGGGAACCAGGGAACGAATGATACTGCTGAGCAAAGAATAAGGCGAGCTGGTACTGCTACTCATGGTACGCCTTTGAGAGAACAAGACGACAACGACAGCGAGAGTATCACCGTGAGCACCATGTTTGACCGTGCTTCGGTTGTTGGGAATGACTGCCTTGAGTCTGGTAAACTTGAAAGTGCATGTGTCTTTTAGCCGCGCGCACCGGCTCCACTGGGGCATGATTTAGTCACACCTCACCTTCCGGGCGCGGGTTCCGGCTGCCGAGCTGACATTAGGTTGCTGCAGACGGTAGGAATATGCGAATGTGTAGAGAGGACAGCCGGCGTGAGACGCAGAATTGCGCTTGTTCATGTCAATGACCATGGCAAAGGTCATTTGTCAGGAGGAGAAACGCATCAGTCGACGTATCTGGCTATCAGCGTTCCCAAGTGGGACTGGGCGGCACGCGGTGTAATTATTAAGCTGGAACGGCATCCGATTTACCGAAAGACCGCTATGATAATCCCACTAGCGCAGGAGCTTGTTATGTAAACCACCAGTTATTGCAGATGACTTGAAATAAACTGAATAGTCTATCCAATCTACAGTATTACGTCAGAAAATTTTAACGCTATCAACCATGGGCAAGGAGTTGTCAAAACAGGAGGAACTCCCCGAGCCCAAAGAGCTTCTGCCTTTATCGCATTCTGAGTTTAACGTCTACAATCGCCTCGCAGTGCGAATGGACCGATTTGTATGTCTTTCTGTTCTGCGACAGCCTTTATAAAGCCTCCATTCTAATGAAAGAAGCATGACCGCTTCCGGTACATGTGGGATATACTCTACAATGCCGCCGATAGCCAGAAGCGGCCGTCCAATCTATCCCTCAAGCAATTCATTGAAACAGGTTAGCGCTCCCCCCTGAATCTTGCATGGTCTCCACTAATACCTTGGCATGGTAAGGCATCCAATTCATCGACAATCTTGAAGGACACCATGGAATTGAAGAACGATACATCTTCCCCATCCTGGCAGAGAAAATGCCAGAGTTCAGAACAAATACGGGCAACGAAGCGGCCGCCGAGTTACTCCAGCAACATGAGGAGATCCATAGTGGGATGACAGCTATGCGGGAGTACTTAATAGCCTGCCGATATGGTGATATCGAGTTCCAGTTCAATGTTCTCAAGATAAAAATGGAATCATGGGGCGAGACGCTGCTGAAGCACCTGGACCAGGAAGTCAAGACATTGGGGGCTGAAAGCATGAGACGCTACTGGACAATTAAGGAGATGGCCGAGTTCCCATTCTAGCAACATTGTTAGGATCGGGCCGCTACTCTGTCCTGCCGTCAATGCTACCTTGATATAATAATTAGACCATTCATTAGAAGCGCTTGTGGCAAACGGAATCAAGAACCGTTTAGTCGTCGATAGCCTCTTGCTTCAAGCACTATCTATCACATCATTAAGATATCGCTGTGAACACATTAGGCCATCTCTGAAACGACTCACTGCCCATGCCCTCGCCCGGTTGTTGCTGCAAAGTCGCATTTACCGTGACCTAACTTTGCTAAAGCGCCGTATAGAAATAAATTATGATAAGAAGAAAAGAATAGACTGTTTGCATAGTCTCATGAAGACAGAGATTCGAACCTGATAAATAACAACTTGGACTCAGCAAGAAAAGCTATATCTGGCGGCTGCCAAAGCCAGTTATAGAACGGAGTCTTAATGCATTTCTTTTATGACCTTGCAAATGTAATAGTTTCCGCGTAGGTAGTAGTATAAGTGCTGCTGGTATAATTAAGCTATTATTAAGTTCTATCAATGATATATGAAGGAGATACACCCAATAGAGATAATTACACACGATCCCGAATACTTCACCACCTCACCTGATACAATAACCCCATGGTAGTAACATACTCAAATCACAGAAAGGCCTGATCGCTTCAACGTCGAGGAAAAGCGCTATCCTCCTTCAGCCACTCCCGTACCCCTTTTACGCCAAGGTGAATGCTCCTCGCCAAAGCCATGTCAAGGTTATATCCTTCCGCCTTGAACAAGTCTAACATGGTGCCGACCTGCTTTACTCCAGCCTTTAACCCTTTGCCCAGCAAGCCGAACGTGGTTCCAATACCGTGGCCCGTAACCTCTTTGAACGCGATATTCACGTCTCTGAACGTGAGCTCCTCCCCCGCGATGCCGATTGCTTTCTTTGCATATTTCTCATGGTCGTTGAAAACCTCTGCTGCAAGGATACCAATGTCTGAAGTGGCAATCCACTGTAGCGGCTTATCCTTCATCACGTCGCGGAAACTGGTCATAAAGACCTTAGCTTCGAAACCCGGCGCAATGTTGTCGAAGAAGATAACAGGTCTCAGGATCGTCCAGCCCATGCTTCTTTTGCCGTTTGCTGTCTGGTCTCGAAGGTATTTCTCAATCTGGTTTTTTACCTGGAAATGGGGGATATTGGTCGCTTTGCCCCACGACTGATCGTTGCCGCCGCGATCAACACTTGAGTAGACAAACTGTCGTACGTTGCGCTTGATGGCCTCGTCAATCAGCCCCTTGCCTTGTCTCAGCTCGCTCTCGGATGTCGCTCCGCCGCCTACGGCAGCTTGGACAGAAAAGACACCCCATACGCCCCCGGAGGCAGCCTTCTCCGCCACTTGGAAAAGTGCAAATACATTGTCAAGGTCCCCCTGAGCGACCCTCACGGATTTTTCTCGACAGGCCGTTCAAGACCGGTGACCGAAATGCTGGGACAAGGGGCGGTTGTGGCATCATATTCACCCGGATCTACTCCGTACCGGGAAGAAGAGTGGAGATTCACCAGGGTTACAGCCACGTCAAGGATTCTTATCATTAGCGGCACGATTACAACGACTTACCGCGCGGTACGAATAATTAAAATGAAGAAACCAGGCCATCCATACCCGCACGGGTACCCGTGCAAATAAAGTCACACGGGTACCCGTGCAAATAAGATATCATTATATCAGTAACCCCGATTATTCAAAAATGCCTTATATAAGCAAATTAAAGCCAATTAACTGCTTAAGACCCTATTTTTTATATATCCTAGATTTAGTTATCTTTATTAACCTAATTCTCTATTAATTAGTACTTTACTTGCCTTATTTATAATAGATTAAGCTCTTAAAGTCTTCCTTAATAATACTTTCCCTTTAAAAGCTATTTTTAGCTTATAAAGTAAGTTACTTATAGTAATTAATAAATAGGTAAGTATATATAGTTATGCCTTTATTATATAAAGATCTTTAAAGGTAAAGATTCTTAGTTAAGCTTTTATAGTTACCTATATATATAATTATAGAGGAGGGCCTAGGTCTAATTAGGTAAGTAAGAGGAAGACTTTATTATGCTATATAGCCTGCCTCTTCTTAATTAATGCTATAGAGAGTAGTTATAAGACTTAATAAGCAGTTAAGTATTACTATAACCCTTATACTTATATATATAACTATAAGCCAAGCTATAGGCTAAGGGCATATCTAGTTTATTATTAAATTATAAGTAATTAAAAGCAGACTATATAGCTACTTATAAAAGCTAGCATAAAGCCTAAAGAGATATAGATATTTATTAGGCTTTTAGATAAATTCTGCCTTATTATATAGCAGGATATCTATAATACTATTATATAAAGTAAATAAGACCTTACTAAAGGCTAAAGCTTAATATATACCCTTATTAATAAGCTTATTAATTTAGGCTTTAAAAGCCATTTCTGCCTTAATTAAGATAATAAGGTTACTGCAATATTCTTTACTAATATAGACTTTCTTATATATACTAAGTCTTATCTAGAAGTTATAATACTTAACTATATATATAAAATAAATAAATATAAGATACCTCTTCTTAATCTTATTAATATTAATACTTATAGAAAGAGCTTTTATATTATATTTATATTTATAAGTAGTAAAGAAGAAGCAGACTATTTCTAGGTTCTCTCTTACCTTTAAGAAGTATATAAAGCATAAGGAATAGCTCTTCCTTCTATAATACTTATAGATTAATATCTTACTTATATAAATATAATTATAAATATAGCTGCCTTTCCTAAGCTAATATATTTACTTTATATCTTTTATATTAACTAAGCTATTTTGGCCTATTATTAACCTAAGTTTATAAGAGGCTTAAATAACTCCTAAAGGCATAGTAAATAGCTTAAGTTCTAGAAGAGCTTTAATTAAATTATAAGCTTAAAGACTTAGGCTATTTATAAGAAATAACTAAAAAAGTTTAAAGATACCTATGCCTTAAGCTATTATAATAAAGTAAGTTATATTATAACTACTTAGCTTAATCCTTATAAAGAGAAATTTATAAAGGCTTAAATAAGGAATACCCTTTACTTTAGTTATATAATAATATTACCGGTAAAGGGGATATATAATCTTATTAAAAGATACCTAAATAATAACCAAGCCAATCTCTTTAAGTATTAACAATATATTAAACAAGCTATAAATAATTAGCTATAAAGCCTTTATAATAGCCTTACTTATAATAATATTAATAAGCCTATTATTTAAAGTATTTAGTTATTATAACCTTTATTTAATACTATTATTAGTTAGGTCTTTTATAAGGCTTTACTTAAGGTTAAAAAGCAAGCTAAATGCCTAAAAGCCTATATACCTATATATATATAAGTATTTAGTAATTCCTTTAGTTTACTATATACTTATATCCTTAAGCCTTTACTAAAAGATAGTCTTTATCTCTAACTATCTTACTTTTACTTTTATTAGTATTTATAATACCTAGGAGCCCCCTTACTTCTTATTAAGCCTTAAAGGGTATTTAATTGCTTTATTAATAGATTAATACTGCTACTAATAAGTATATAGTAAGAACCTTATATATTTAAAGAGGTTTAAAAGGCCTTATAGCTAAGGGCATAACTATAATACTCTATATACTAGCAGATTGGCTATTAAAGAAGCTTTAAAATATGCCCTTTTTATTATAGTAATATATTGCCTGCTCCTTATTAAGTCTTTTTAATACTATAACTAATAGCTAAGCCTTATATAAATCCTTAATTATAATTAGTTATAGCCTAACTTACTATTATTATAATAACTAAAACAGAAATATATATAATAATATATATAAGGACTATTACTTTTATACTAATTATAATGCCCTTTCTAAGTGCCTCTTATTTAAGTGCCTCTCCTTAAGCTTTCCTTTAAACTATAAGTATTATAGTAGCTATACTTAAGGCATATAATAATACTCCTGCTATTTATAGATAATATATATTAGACTATAATAAATAGTATTTATAATAGCCTTAATATTACTATATTAATAAGCTATATTAAAAGGCTATAAAGCTTTATTTAAAATACCTAAAGGCAAATTATAAATAAGCCTATAGCTTAAGTTAAATAGGTATTTATATAAGAGCTTTAAATAGTAAGAAGCTTTAGGATTAAATTAAAGAGGAGATAAATATATATATTAATTTCTTAAATAAGGAAGAGGAGCAGGTATATTATATAGTTACTAGTTAGGCTTAGTATACTAGCTAAAAAGGTATTAAAGATAGTATATATATTATAGAGGAAGATAGTTAAATATAATAGGTATATTATAATAATTAAATAGCTATATAAAAAATAATTTATTGGTAATTAATTAAATAGATATATATATTACTAAAAAGAGTAGAAAAAGCTTTATCTTTAAGTAATATAACTAATATTTATTTACTAATTTATTATACTTTTTAATTAAATTATAAACTTATACTTTATTAAAGTTATATCCTTAAATTAAGGCTATTATAAAGGTATTATAAAAGCACTATTATAATGCATTATTATAGCTTAAGTTATAATAATTACTTATTTTTAATGCATTTAACTATATTAAATAATAGTTAATATATATTATAAATTAGGAAATATTAGCTTAAATAATTATTATAATATATATTAATATAATAACTTAAAGGTAATTTAGGAGAGTAATATATATATAAAAGGCCGGCATTAATACTGCTTTTAACTTCCTTTTTTCCTTAATATAATATAATATAATATAAAAAGCATTTTAATAAATCTTATAATTACTATATTATCTATCCCTTTAATACTATATCTCTTAACCCTAATAATAATTAGGCTATTTAAATCTATAAGGATAATATAGCTACCCCCTCTTACTATATTCCCTCTAGCCAAAACAACTAATTTATCCTCTAGCCTATATAAAGTGCTAATAGCTTGCCTAGCTATATAAGTACTAGTTAGCATATAAAAGAGTCTTCTAGATTCTTTACCCCTATTCCTATCCCTATTTTTACTAGTTAAGAGAACTATTTAATTACCTAGCCTATATATAATATATTTAATATTAATAGCTAAATAGCTTAGAATACTTTAGTAAATATAAATTATTAGTTATACCTTCTAATACCTTAGCAGCTATATATAGCATATAATACTATATTTATCCTAGCTAGTAATCTAGCTGCTATAACTACTACTACCTATAAATACTATATTAAGGGTAACTAGCATATAGGCCAGCTTTACAGTGCTATTAATAAACATATAGCTTGCCTAGTCCCTAATACTATGCCCTTCTAGACTGCTAATAGCCTTATATATTAAGATTAGGCATATTAAGCTAGTCCCCCTATCCCTAGGACAATATAGCCTATACCTGCAGTTAGAATAACTATATATATACTAACTATTTAGGTTATATAGCAAAATAAGATATATATTTAAATAGTTAACCTATAAGGGTATATATAGTAAATTTAGTAAGGAAGGCAGTAAAGGGGAGACTTATATATTACTTATTTAATAGCATAGTGCCTTATTTATAGCTCTTAAGGAATATATAATATTACTTTATATATCCTATCTAATTATATATATATAACCTATTACTATAAGGATTAATTAGGCATATTTACTGCTATTAAGTTACTTGCTAATAAAATAGGAATTTAATATATTAAAGTAATAAAGTATATATTATTAAATTAAGCAAAAAAAGCTTAATTAGATAATATATAATATATATATATAATTAATTGGGGTTGCTGATGTAATGATATCTTATTTGCACGGGTACCTGTGTGACTTTATTTGCACGGGTACCCGTGCGGGTATGGATGGCCAAGAAACCAGCCGCTTAGTAATCATGTTTCTGAATGTGTTGGAGCCACTGACCGAGGCAGAGGGAAAAGTGTCATGGTTTATCCATCGGACATTTATTACAGACTACGCTACGTGGTTCTTCCAACAGTTGGACCTTCGACCCTTGTGTCTTCATAGCAACAGCAGGTACAAGAAAGACCTAGCTGCAAGAACCCTACCGAAGTCCAAAGGACTAACCTAGACTCCAATCCTGATAAACTAAGCAGCTACCCTGCGTAACGGAAAAAAGTGCATAATCAAATATGCCGTCATAGAGCATTCACAGCAACATCACTTAGAGATTACCAGGGACCTCTATATATGTCTTAAGAGTATTCTTTTCCTTCTGATTACGATACAACCATCAGGCCACAATTGCCAGGGACCTTGTATAGCGGGTTAAAGTTTTCGAACAAATTGCTGGCCAAAGGTATCCCTGGATTTCAATACGAGATATTGTTAATAGCGCGCCAGTAGAGATCAGCTTAAAAAGCTTGTTCCTAATTGTGATAGGATGGTAATTATGATTTAATCCCTCATGAGCTATATTATTAGGTTCACGCACGCTGTCCTGGCTTCATCATTAAAGCGTCTAGGTTTCTATTACAACTCTTCATCGCTTCTACTATTGCACCAACGTATTGATGATGAATTTCCTCTCCAAAGTATTACTACTTTGCGCACTGGCAAACAGTTCAATACTGGCTGTGCCGAAGGCAAAGCAGTTTACCTCACGCAATTTCTTGCTTGAGAGTAGGGCTCAACACCAGTCCCGAGATGTGAAACACATACCGAGCTTCATCTGGAACGGAGGCGAGGTTGCTGGTCCACGTTTTGCATCCGTCACTGCAGAAGTCATCATCCCCAACATCACCTTCCCGTATGGATACAATGCCAGCGCAACCTACAGCCCTTCTGTTTGGGTCGGAATTGGTGGAGACAAGAATACTTGTGACGATCCTGCACGCATCAAAAATGGAGGTCTCATTCAAGGAGGTTATTACTACCTATACGACCCTCAGGGTGACTTTGGTGTTTTCGCCTTTTACGAGTGGTTCCCAGACCCGCCCATTTTCTTGGACGACACAGAGGGCATTGAGACTGCAATTGGTGACCACGTGCGCATGACCATCACCCAAAAGGACAACGTGACTGGTACCTTTACGTGGGAAAATTTCACCTCAGACAAAAAGTAGGTTGTTGCAAAGAATCCGTTGACAAATTGCCTCTAATCATGGTAGGTTTACAAAGGAATTGAAGGCCCCTGCAAATGGGACTTTGTGCACGAATCACGCAGACTGGATCGTCGAGAGCCTCATGACGCGCGAGAACCATGACACTCTGTTCCCAGATTTCGGTGATTTGTCCTTTACTAATATCAAGGCCGTATCGGAAGCGAGCGAGGAGATATCACTACAGGAGCATGGCATTATCGTTGAGGCTGATCCTCTATACCCGAGTGGGAAGAACTTGACTAGTTGCGAGATGGTGGGATCGGATGCTACGGCATGCAAGTGGCTTGGATACAAGGGAGTCTTCGAAAACTAGATAAGCCAGTGAAAATGCGCGGCGGTGGCGTTAGAAGCTAGGGATGCATAGAATAGCCAAGTAAGCTGATGGGAATCGCATACAAGATCTGGGAGCTGGATTCTGTCCTCGTCAGGTGAGTGCAGTATATTGCAAGCCCATGATCCGCTCATGGAAGATAGGACCTATCAAACCGTACTGGATATCCATTATATGATAGCCTAGTACCGACATATCCTGGCCATCGCCCGCCTAGTCCATATCTAAGACCACCCGTGTAACGCAACCCACCATGATCCGTGATGGTGTTGTAGATGATTTAATAGTCACTGATAGCTGATCACTTTGACCGGAGCTCAGTGCCTAAGATTCATAATATCTACGGTTAAATAACAAAGCTCACTGGCGACCTAGTGACTAACAGAAGCGGGTTGTTGCGCGCACATGCCCACTTGACAAACGCTGGTCCTCTTGCAACTAAATCAGCAGTCAAGAACGGCGTTTAAATTGACTCGAAAGTTTGAAATGACATTCTGCGACCTCCAGAGTAGAAATAAAAAGCCCACTGGCTCCCCGGCGAGAAACCTGAGGCTGCTGCCAAATGGTTATTTGCATAGCCATGACGCTCTTGAAGCTAAACGGGAAGATCTGGGAAGCTTGTGGCTTGCTTTATTGTTTCTCTTATGACGTTCGTTGTTTCCAGACTTATATTAGTTTAGTCATTGCCTCCCTGAACAGAAATCCAGCCCGGCTTTTGAAGGACATCTAAATAGGCAGGGCGATAGTAGTAGTGGCTTATCCTTTATTATATTATAGAAACCAATTATAAAGACTTTAGTCTTAAAACTAAATATAATATTATTGAAGGAAATAATAAGTTATAAGATTATTTACTGTATATAATTTTAAAAATAGTTTTTAATTTATATTTTAACTTAAAAATACGAAATATTATTTATATTATTATATAATTAAATATTATTATTATAATTATAATTAATATTTAAGTAAATAAACTATCATATATTATACTTAATTACTTTATATAGAATTTCTGAAACTAATAGCTCTATCTTTAGTATAACGCTTCTGTCCGAAATCCTTAGCACAACCGCGACCGTCGGGGAGATGGAAACTCAAGGCGGCTACCACCCAATTACTCCCTCCCACTAACGGCCCACTCTTCCCCAACCTTCAACACTACACTGAATGACCTTTTTAGAGTTGGCTTCGAAGACATCCCCTGTTTAGTTTGCGAGACAGTCTCGGGCAAAATGCTCGTGATCCCGACTTGGATGCAACCAACTCTCCTTCCTACCCAATGAGACACAGCCAACAAAAAGGTAGGCCTCCCCTAGCGCATGATTTTACCCATCAAACCAATACGACCAATCCAATGATCACAAAGCCATCATTTGCATGTTATTATGGGGCCCTGTTGGTCGAGCCGAGCTGCAGGAGACGACCCACCAAGTCGATGCTTGAAAGTTGCCGGTTTGGGGCCTGTTTGAAAGTGTAATTGTGAATTGCCTTACCGCCTTGATTGGATCCTGGGTGAGACACTCTTATCTGGAGAAAAGATGGAAGACAAAATACAAAAGCCATCAATCCTGATTTGATTCCGGTTAAAGTTTATCCAACAAACATCCTTCCCCTTTCACGGTCGCAGCAGTCCAGTTTATGAACAACATTGAATACTTTCCCCAGATTCAGGACGAGTCCACGGAACTGAATGTCGTGGACTCGGACTATCCCCTCGATGGTAAGTAGAAATCTTAAGTTATGATGCAGTACCCTGGAGTACGCGGCACTAGCCACTTTACTGACGTTATACCTATTGTAGTCTCGCCAACACAATTCGCAGATCCATCCACGGTGCTATCTTATCATGAAATGGGTCAATGGTTTCACCTGGAACATTTGACGCAGGAAGATGCTCCTCTTTCTTCTTTCATGGATCAACAAGACATGTTTGGTTTGGGCATGGACTCTATGCCCCAGGCCATCAATGACCTTTCCAGTATTGATTTCTCACCACCAATGGTAGAGGTGGATTCGCATTTTAACTACCCTGATCCCTCTCTCTTTGTTATTACAGCTTCTTCGAATTCACTGTTTAACCTCCCTGAAACCCAGGGTGAAATATATCCGGGAGACATGTTGCCTTCTGGTTCACTGGATTTCGACTTCACTCTGTAGAGCGGAGATCCCGTGTACAACCAGACAGGTGATTCTGTCCCTGGTACATCTTGTCCTCTGTTCCTTGAAGGTGGAGCTACACAAACACACTCATTTTACAATATTGTTTCCGATCCCTACCATTCTCCTGACAATATATCCGCGAGTGAGGGTCTAAGCTTAGAGACGATGGATGCGCAGAAGTTTAAAGAGTATCCTGTTACTCGTTTGAAAAAGAACGAGTTTATCGAAAATGGAAAGTTCCTTTACAATAACGCGGACTGTCAAAAGACCTTTGATAAAAACCGCGAGAGGAAGTAAGCCACTGCAAGTTTCCGAGTTTGCTCTTGCTAATCAAGGCTGAAAGTAACCATCTTCGAAAACATGAAAAACCTTTTCATTGTTCCTGGCCTGGCTGTCAATTCAAAGATTCATGGAAGAAAGATATCATTCGGCATTACAACAGTCATTACTCGCAAAAGATCATCCCATGTCTACAATGTCACGAGACTTTCACAAGACCTGATAACCTCGAGAGACATGTCAAAGAAATACACGAGAGGAAAAAGAGAATGAAGAAGTCCTAGCTACACAACTTTCGTTAACAATGCATACTAAGATAACTATGTGCCTCAATGGTCCAGTAATCCACTATTAGCAGTCTTGAGTAAACAGCTCTTCACCGATCTGGTTACCTGAAGGGCGAGGCCAGGTTTATGATCTCCACCTTTGTCGATACCTTCTCCAATCAAGTCAATGACCCAAACCTACACCTCCATCAGATTCCTCGTCACTATCTCCAGACCCATTATCAGTGTTATCAACAGTCTCATCATCATTGAGATGCGCCAGTGAATCGGAATCTGTAAATGCTATAGTCGTCAGGATATACTTGGATGCAAATGTGACGGTGGTTTTAAATGAACTGACCATCACTTTCTCCATCCCCGCTCTCAAACGCTTCTCCAACTTCAGAAAGTGCGACAGATCCCATAACCGCGGTGATATTTGTTATCGAATCTGGCTGCCATGGGGTCGGTTGTTGCTGGGTTACAATCTGCTCTTCCACAAGGTTGCTTAGCTCTTTGCTAAGGTTTGCCAAAACACGGCGCTGGTCTGGCCAGTGCTCACTGTCCCCGCCCTCAGGTAGATCGATAGGACGCCAGTTGAGATATGTCTTTTGGTGAGATTCGGGCTCCACAAATCTACCTGGATGCCATTTGAAGTATAATTTGCAGCAGAGGCATGCAAGCTTGCTGCAGGCTATGTAACGATCATGTCCCACAAAATTGCGTTGATTGCGATGAAATTCTTCGAGAACCTGGACCTCTGCGTGCACATTATGATGTCTTTCCTCGTCGTCATAAACAGCCCTGATCGCATCTTCAAGTCGCATTGAGCCATCCAATTGCCCCAGATAGGCTTGCAGGTCCTTTAGGCGTGGATCATCAGCAGGAAGCATTCTTCTGAGTATTGAATCCAGGTTTCTTAAGCCATCAGTCACAGGTACCCTTGCCGCGATTGGGGCTTCTACTCTTCTGATTTCGTAGGAGTCAAATAGCGGTCTTAGTAGAAGTGAGTCGTTAACGAGATTGGCAGGTGTGCGAATCTTCTCAGCTAGACGGCCAATGAGATGCTTGACAGAATGAAATGACTCTGCTACTCCCTGTGGAGCCACCATCATCTCTTGTTTAAGAGCCTCTAATGTCGCTATTTGAGGATCATGGCGAGCGTTGTAAGCAGCCTGACAAAGGATCAGAGGGTCGGTTGTAGCGGAGGAGAATTGAGGTAACCAGTCTAGTAAAGCGGAAACTCCTACTTCTTTGTCAGCTGTGTTTTTCTTTTTTTTTTTCTTTTGGCCCCTTCTGTCTCACCAGGTGTCTGAATAGTGTCGAGATTAGCTGTCAAGTAATTCTCGCAGAAGCGCGCAGCCCGCTCTAGCAATCCACGTTCTTTTCTTAATCTTGGAGCAGCAAACTGGATAGAACTGAATGTTAACATTGCTATTAGCGTTTGTCTGTCTGTTTCCGTAGAGGTTGGTTCTCTTCGTAGATCCTCTAGGACAGTAGAGAGAAACGCAACAACGCCATCATTTGGCGACACGTTCGCTGCAACCCAAAATACAACACCGTTGCCCCGGGACTCCAGAGCTATTGAAGTTGTTGTTTTGCCGCCTTTTTGGTAGTCGCAAAAAAAACACAAACTTGACAGAAACCTTCGTCTTGCGCTTTGCAGGTCTGCAGGGGGTTGGGAGACGGCGGTATGGGGACCGTTGGCTCTTTTAAGGATATGAAATAGGGCAAGGAACTCAAAGAGTCGAGAGAGAATTCTCATGTACTTGTCTAAACGTGGTGGCCCGATACCCATGTTGATGGCAGGATCTGTCGTGATGGTCGCCGGAAGACTAGGTTATTTTAACAATGCAAGAGCTGTTATGAAAAGGAATGAAATCAGTAGGAACTAGATGTCGAGGAAAAGGTTGCCTTTATATGTTTATTCGTTTTTCCTAGTTTTGGGTGTTTGAAGCCCAGTCAAGTTTCCTCGTTTGACTTGGTAGGCTTCCCGCGTTTGACTTGGTAGACTTCCCGCATATGCGGGTAGTCCTACAGGGGGAGACTTGAAAATCAAAATCGGCTAGCGTCGAGCGCATTCGATGGATGCCTGGCCACATATTTACTAACTTCAGACAGCGCGTCGAGGCAATTGAAACCACATATTTTGACATGCTAGGCTTCTCAATAGAGGGAATATTAATAAGCGTTCTGTATGAAACCAGAAATTAGAAATAAAGAAGAAGAAAAGGAAGTATAATAATAGGTTGGTGCCATGAGCAGAGACGGGAAATAGACATAGTAAGTTCTAACAAGAAATTATCATTCCCTATTCTATGTTGTCTCAAACGTCCTGCCGTGAGAAGACACCAGTCAGCCAATTCCGTCATCAATTTAGTGCGGGGTTGGGCCGCAAAAGCGAATCAGGCATACCTGCATCGTCCAAAGGGAGCTGAAGCCATCTATGTCATCAAGTCTCAATGTGCAGATACAATTCTGAGAACCTAGATTTTCGTGCGGGGTTAATTGTTGGAGGCCTCATTTTCCCACCAACCTTGCTAATACTACAGTCGTCTCTTTGCCATCTCTACTTTGTCACCTCTACTTTGCTATCTACCTAATGCGAGTTATCTAAGCTTGAAACTTTACTACCCTAATTCTGATTCTTTGCTATTATGGCAGCAGAGTTTTGTGCTGAATGCACAATATTCAAGGAGAGTTTCGAGAGCCTTAGCGGAGACTACTCAGAGGAAACTCATCGAACACCATTCAGAAACTTTGCCTCCTTGGAGAGCTCAGCGCTTCTGGGTTGCTCCCTATGTCAGATCATCTTTCAAACGTGGCATTCCGATAGATATTTTAAGATATATAAGAATCATTCACTTATTCAAGTTAAGGGATATGTCTGGGATAAAGACGATTCTGAAAACGATTCTGAAAACGACTCTGAAAACGATACTGAAAACGACATTGGACACAGTTTCGAATCTAAAATCCAAGGGATCTATATTTGCTATGAGGATTCTAATACTGGTTTTACCTTATATGACTTCACCGATGCTGGAATTAGTATGGAACAATTCAGCGAATACCAAAACGCATCCTGTCAGATAATCGATCCCAATGCCCCTGACAGCATTAGCCAGATCGTTTCTTTGGCTTCCAAATGGGTTCAAAACTGTCGCCAGACACACCAGAATTGCGGATCTTATCACACTAAGACGGAACCTAAAGTATTACCAACAAGACTTATCGATGTTGGCACAGATATTCCCGACCAACCACCATGACTATTTGTTCCTCTGCGTCATCTTCGCAGCCTTGAGTATATTGCTCTGAGTTATGCATGGGGCTCGACGGGCAACTTCGTCAAGACGACAGCCTCAAATCTGGAAGCTATGACTCAACGCCTGCCATGGCCTCAACTACCCAAGACAATTCAGGATGCTATCATGGTTACACGAAGGCTCGGCGTTAGGTACATCTGGGTAGATGCCCTATGTATCTTGCAAAGTGAGGGACCGGATGATATGAGTCATAAGGAAGATTGGTCATATGAAGCAGCTCGATTTGGACAATATTACGAAAATGCTTTGTTGACCATAGCCGCAACTGGAGCCAGCTCTTCCGATGATGGATTATTGTTACCGAGGCCAATACTGAGATTTGAACCAAAGTCTATTACGTTTCGGCCAGGAAAGGCTTTGAGCTATACTATTCGATCAAGCATACCTAGTTGGCTTTCTGAGACCTATTTTGGGCCCCTTTCTGAACGGGGATGGGCCATACAGGAACGTCTTCTATCGAGAAGAGTTCTGCACTTTGCCGAAAATATGATACTTTGGGAGTGTCATGATCGCCGAGCAACCGAACTCGATCCGCAAGGGTTGAACCCTAATGGCCCAGAAGACTTGAATTTATTATTTATTGAATTCATGACAAAGTGTCGAGATCTTTACGCCAAGGGTCTGGAATCTGATGATTTCATGGACGAATGGTACGCCTTTATCGAGATGTATTCAGAAAGTAACTTTTCCTTTGTTTCAGACAGATTGCCGGCCCTGTCTGGTATCGCAGCTATCATTCAACAACACACTCAACAGAGATACGTTGCAGGGTTGTGGGAGTCAGATATTCCTAGAGGCCTGACGTGGCAGGCCCTCGGTCCTTTTCGTTTCGATACAACGCAACTAGTCGATCCTCCAATCATCGGTAAACCGGTAAATTTAGATACACAGGTTATATTGCCTTCTTGGTCCTGGGCAGTTTGTAGAAGCTATGTTCGGTATTTTTGTGACAATGACTGGAAACCATTGGTGGAAGTGGAGTCCTGGGAAATCGACTCACAAGGAACAAGCACTTCAGGGCAATTGCGTGGAGCAAGGCTAACAGTTCGCGGATACTTAGGAATGCTCAATCTAGCTGACTTGGGCTTTGTGCCCCATGCAAGTACTGACATAGCGGATCATGTATTGGGGCGTGATCCAGAAGAGGGCCATACTGACTTCTGTGAGCTTGTATGTATGGATGCAAAAATGGATTCCCAAGTCAGACATCTGTCCCATCCTTGCCTTCTTATTGGAAAAACAAATACTTCTACCCCGAGTTTTGGTAGACAGACTGCTGGAGGGGCTATTATTCTTCAGGCGACTGGACGCTGTTTAGGCCTCATTAAGGAGTACAGGAGGATTGGATTTATATCTCTTCCAATTGAAGAGTGCTTGTCTAATTTCAATAACGTGATGACAACAGTTATCTTAATATAAGGAATTTCTTATACTAATTTAATAGTAATAGAGATGCTTACGTTGCCCAACTCTTAGCTTTCTACGAAGTTTAGAAGCAAAAAGAAGCAGCCAAGGCTACGAGAAGCACCAATAACGATACCCAACTCTGTACTAGGTCAATCATCTCACAGCTCCTCCTGCTCGACAATTTTAACTCTCTCTTAACCTACATTGACTAGAAACATTGTGCAAGAGCCGAGTTACCAATCTAATGTCAGATCTGTCTCACGATGATTCGCCGGCAATTTACAGCATAGCCCTCGTTGCCGCATGAATCAAGACTTGTTCTCCACGCAGAAGTTCCTCAAACAGTCGTGTCCAGCACATCAAGCAGATGCGCCTCTTGGTAACGCTTTGACGCAGAGCAAAAAGGCTGGTCTCTGACAAGTGATCTTTACACATTTCAGCCATGAGCTACGGCATATCAGAACGGCAGGGACCAGGAAAAGAAATAACAAGAAGAGGCAATTGTAGATGCTAACAGTAAGGCAGATGGCATTACAATTACGGGGCCAGCAGCGATAATTTAAGCAATGTTCCTTCTCTTCATCGAATATTAGAAGACGATTTGTCTTTGAATATTGAGCGCCCCTCAAAACGTCCATAGTCAGATCTGGAGCCCGCTTCTGCCATCATAATTACTTAGACAGACAGATGTCGACCCAGATTAGGAACGAAACAGAGATATCTCAGCTACCTCCCCGCTTATTGGGAGATGTCTCGCCGCACTGAGTTATGAGATGCGACCTTGACACCAGTCGTTTTCTTTTTACCAAGTTTGCAAATTATACCCCAAGCGGCTGGCCCTGTCAGTCTTTATTTCCCCGTCTTAAATTTGTTGAACATGTTTATTCATGCATAACCATGACGGCGCACTTTTGATTGGCTGCAGCCCTCTCCATACCGCTTTAGGACTAAGCTCACCTAACTAGGCCTAGACCTGAGGATAACGATAACGAATTAAGAAAAGAGAAATAACTAGAGGAAGACCGCAAATAAAGGACATATAAATAATAAAAAGAGATATAAGAGAACTTAGTAGTTACAGGTAAGGATTTTGTTTTTAAAGGCAGTTTTAGGGCGGATTGATGGTCTTGCTGTGAATCTATAAATCAGTGTTTAGCAATCCGCACACTGGGTGATGCTGCGCTTACTACTAGGTCAGACATGGCCGGGAATACAAGCCTGCGGGATATCGAGGAAGGATTATATCAACAAGGGCCTTGGGGAACTGGGCGCTTTGCACGGAAATAGTGATTCAAGGCCATGACTAGATATGCGTCGCGACGTCTCCAGAGTTTGTCAACGAGGAGGGAAGGGAATCTACATAGATAGTAAGTTCTACAGTCCCGTGCAAAAGTTCCGACACATCCGAGGTCCGGACCCCGCTTTCAATTAAACATCAACATCAACACCACAACTTCATCGCGTTATTTCTATAGGAAAAGATGCCTCGAATACGGCAAAAAACACATCATTCTCCTTGCAAAAGAACGAGGTTTGTGACGATGTACGAATCAGGTGTTCGCGTGCAGGATATCGCAGACAGTGAGGGGCTAAGTCGGCACGCGATCTATGGAGTCATTCGACGGTACCGTCACCAACAATCAGCAAAAGATTTACCTCGCTCTGGAAGGCCATCACGACTATCAGATATAGATAAAAATCATATCAAAATACTCATTGGAAGAAACGCTTTTATCTCATACCAAGAAATAATTGATTGCACCTGTTTGAACTGCAAAAGAAGCACAATTCGTCGCTGGCTTATCAATCAGAAGATACAACACAAGCTTGCACTTCGACGCCCGTTTCTCAGCGAAGAAAGTGCTCAATTGAGAAAAGCTTTCTGTGAAAAATATCGTCATGAAGATGAGTCTTTTTGGTATAGCTGGTGGTTTTCTGATGAGGTCTCTATCGACCGTACAGACGGTGACTATACCAAGTGGTCATTTTACTCTGCTGTAAGTCTAGCCCCTTCTATTTCAGAAGCTTCTTTTGACAACACCACAGGGTGAGAGACTCCATCAAGATAAGGTGCAGCCCTGTAGACGGCCTGCCAGACATTCTCAGATGTTCTTTGGTGCAATTCACTATGATAAGCCGTCTAGGATCGTCCCTCTTGCCGGCGATCCTGAGTCTGAGAGGGGAGGCGTAACAGGAAGGATTATTCTATCCTGTTTACAGTCTTATCTTCCCGGACTGGTCGAGGAAGGAGAGACTTTTCAGCACGACAACGCCCGTACATATAAATGCCGGAAAGTTCAGAATTGGCTGCTGCCCTGGGCAAGAAGAACAGGAGTCTTTCTTGCTGACTGGCCGCCATACAGCCCTGATCTCAACCCCATTGAAAATCTATGGAAAGTCCTGAAGAAGAGGATATGCGATAGATATCCTGAAATTGCTGCTTATCCAAAGTCTGCAGCAGCTTTGGCCCGGCTGATTGAAGCTGCAGAGGAGCTTTGGTCGGAGGTCGAAGATGAAGTGGTCAAAAACGTGATAAAATCGATGCCCGACCGGTTGAACGCCTGTTACAACGCAAATGGCTATTATACCAAGTATTAAACTATATTTCTGGAATCTCCTTTTAAGTCTCTACAGATTGATATATATATTATCTAAATTGAAGAATTATTGCCCATGCAATTGCAATCCGAAATGGCAGTATGAGATCGAGGTAGTTGGGGTGGATCCGGAATGTGTCGGAACTTTTGCACGCCCACTGTAGCGTCTTTGCAGGGGAGTTTAAGTTATTAGGCTAATTGAAGTAGTAACTTTGGCTTTATGAGCTAATTAGGCGTATAAATACTGCATTTAGTATGCATAAAGTATCTGCTTCCCTTGAATTTTTAAAGACATAGAGTGCGCAGACCTATTGGCCATGGTATAAATGATATTTCCTTGATGATGTTGGTATAATTCTGCTATCGGATCCGGCTGCCACAAGTGCAGTTTAATGGGTATTTAGAGCCAAGGGGAATTATAACAACCCGCTGGTTATAAGCAGGGTTTCTAAGGAGTGCTGGTATACCTATGATGATTATTGATAATACTAAAATCATGTAATATGCTCCGGATTGGCTCATGTATGTGAACTTAAGAGGTCGGACACCCGATAGTGGCATCTATTAGAGATAGTAGCAGTGGATTTGCATTTATCGCCAAGATGCCATATGGCAAGCGTAGTATAACTTGCCGTCTTAGTACCTACTGTTATTAAGTGTGACGTCATAAAAGCTATTCTGTTCACAATGGATAAGCGTGAAGTTTGAGGATGGGAGAATGATTTCAAGAGTGGCCCTTTCGCCTGATTAGACTCATCAAACATAATCAGTCGGAGCGGACAGCAACTGCCTTTATTGACCGTTCACCTTGGCTACAAGACGGCGCTCAAAAATAGCCCGGGAGCCGGAGCAGATTATATAAGGCTGGTGATCTGTTACTACAGTTCGTCAGTCGCAAGGACACTCAGGTCATGATTCGCGGCCAACGTGTTGAGCTCGCTGAAGTCGAGTATCAAGTTCGATGACACTTGGAAGGCATTAAACAAGTCCTTATCGAGATGACTAAGCGCGGTGGTAAAGAAAGCGACTCGAGACTTTTGGCTTTTGTTGTGCTTAGAGAAAAGTGTCAGCTGTCTGCTATCAGGGTACCAGACGCCCAAGGCATGGGACTTCTCGACATCCTCGAGGAGACTAAGCGGTGGCTAAGTCAAGAACTACCGACGTATATGGTCTAAACTGCTTCCCTCGCGGTCGACGGTCTTCCGTTGATTCTGTCAGACAAGATATACCATAGAGGACTCCGCGATCTCAGCAATCCCCCATCTGTCCAATATCTCGCCCTGATAATAACGGCCGGGCAAGGACTCAAACGCCAGCCACTATATTCGACGCAGACGTTTCTCCAAAAGATATAGCCTCAAGATCACAATCGACTGATTAAAGACAGCACTAGATAATGACCTCTTCCCGCTCGGAGTCGATTTAGTCAAGGCTATAAAAGCCGTAGAAGAGGTCCGAAAGCTCGGTTAAGAGATGAAGGTAGAGCAGATGTTCCGACATCCTCGACTATAGGATATTAGCCGCATTCTTTTAGTTGCTATAGCGGGAGCCCAAACTGTCCCACGCGTGGAGATGTCAGGCCCAATCCAGCAATACTTTGTACAGCAACGACTCTGGTTCCTTGAAAAGCTTCATACTGGCCTCTCCTCATACATGATACCTTCAGCGGTGCGCCTCCGTGGAACCCCCGACCTAAACGCACTCGAGACTGCGCTGTCCGCCCTGTAACGCAGGAACAAGGCATTGTGGGCTACATTTTCTGGCGTGAATGGCATGAATCTGCAGAGGATCCATCCCTTGCAGTCGAGACAGATATGCGTGAGTAATCTTATCGGCTGCGGCGATAAAGTCCAACAGGCCCTCGCCAATGGTGAGACCATGCCGTTCAATCTGGAAATAGACCCCGGTAGAGGGTTTCTATAAATAGGCTCGGCGAGTCAGACCACTTGTTTGTAATTGCTATGCGTCATATAGTCTCGGATGGCTGGTCGGCGGATGTCCTGCTCAGGGAACATGCCGCATTCCACTCTGTCGCCCTTCACAGCCAAAAACCCCACTCGGTAGTGAGAACATTACCTATCAGCTATAAGGACTACTCCATCTGGCAGAACGAGAAATTTAATCAGCCGAAGTTTCTTTTTTTCTCGTCTTTGCAGCCTTTCTTGCCCAACCATTGTGTGCGCTTCTGCAGCTAATTTGCCTCTACCGTTGGCAAGGTTTTCATAAATCTGCTCCGAAAGCTTTCCGAATTCATAATGAAACTAGCCTTGCCTCCTACAAGAAAGATACTGAACCAGACTATTCGTCCCAGCATCAACGCCAGGTCGAATGAGAAGGCGCCACCCTCGAAACATGCTTCATCACTCGCATCACTAGACAAGGGAGGCGAGCATATGTGAAGATGGAAATTGATCCAAAAATGGGCTAAAAGATTATGCGAAGCATCTTCTGAATCAGACTTTGGTGATCAGAACCTGACCAATGCGGTTAGAAGACCACTCATCTTGGTGGCGTCTAGCGTTGCTGGGCTGGTAACCAAAAAGGCGAATCTGAAATCGCGCAACACTCCGAGCCTCACCTCGAAGGACTGCAAAATAGTGTCAAGAGAGCATCGTCCTCATGTATGTGCCTCACCGCGGACCATGGATGTTCAAATGGGCAACCCTTCTCCTCTCAGCTTTTCGAAATCGCGAAATTCGAGGGCCATGTTGGGGGGCGTATTCACGCGTACCATATCGATATAGCCAGCAATACTGACACGGCTGGTATCTTGTTCACGATTGTATCCTTGAGCCCTGGCAGTGCGGCCAAGTGAGGCTTGAAAAAAAGCTTGCTTGTTTAGCGAAAAAGCAGTACTATCACAGGGAGATCCTGATTAGTGCAGCATATTTTCTCGCCTACATGCTCAAGTAGGGGGCCTTTGCTTCTTTGCCTAACTTAGGCCCGAATATAGCCAATCTGGAAGAATTATTAATTATTATTAATCGTTGTGTTGGACGGTACATGCGATTCAAAAAGCGGTCATAATGCAGGTGTTCCGCCAATCACGCACAGCTTACTAGATCAAGTATGCAAAGCGAATTGAAGAACTAACGTGGAAATGTAGAGACGTGAGGGGGCTAAGGGTATTCAGTAGTGGTATTTGCTGTAGATTTTAATACTGGCTAGGATATGGAAGAATCAGTCTTTTGGAACTTCGTTCCTCCTAGCATGAAAACCTCAATCATCACTCACCATCCCCACGCAACTTGACCAAGCCCCACAATACGTAAGTGTGCCCAACACAATGTAACTCATAAGCCTACCACATTTCGTCAGGCCTCATCAATTCAGGCAGCAACTCTATCTATCTATAATAAACGTAGAATAGGCAATAAACATTAAATATCAATAAAGGACACATCTTCTCCCATCTCGGGATTATACTTCAATTCCATCACAGCTGCTGGGCAGTAACATATCTTCGCTTATTCAACTGGCCCCATCAACTCTTCGGGGAAATGCGTCTACTGTCGGCGAGAGCCCTTCAGTTTGAGGAGGTCTTCGAACCCAACATCCCAAATTATGCGATACTGTCGCATCGTTGGGAAAAAGAGGAGCCATCCTACGTGGACATGAAAACTACAATCATGCAGAGGAAGGCCTGGAAACCAGGTCAAGGGTCGCCTTGGAAAAGTCAAATTTACCATAAGATCTACCAGTTTAGTCTCATGGCTTTACAGGCTGGATATGAATGGATTTGGGTGGATACATGCTGCATCAACAAGGAAAGTAGCGCTGAGCTTCAAGAGTCCATCAACTCGATGTATCGATGGTACATGGAATCAGGAGTTTGCTATGTGTACCTGTCAGATGTGTCTACCTCTACATCTACCGATTCTACAAGGCACAGAGGGTCATTTCCATCGAGACTGTGGACTGAATCATTCCAGAACTCTCAATGGTTTACTCGTGGCTGGACGCTGCAGGAATTGTTAGCTCCTAGAGACCTGATATTCTTTGATAAAGATTGGAACAGGTGTGGCAATCGTGTCGAGCTACAAGGCGCCATCCAAGCAGCCACCGGGATAGATGCGACCAGCCTCACCAAAGCCTCACACAAAGATAGAACATTCCTTCGGACCATTCGGCTAGGACGGCTTTTTTCTTGGGCCGCCAGTCGACAGACTACTCGACGCGAAGATCGAGCATACTCACTCCTGGGACTATTTGACGTCTACATGCCATTGTTGTATGGTGAGAAAGATCGAGCATTCTATCGCCTACAAGAAGAAATAATCAAGGAGAGCGAAGATGCATCTCTGCTTGCCTGGAGCTATACAGAGGCTGACGATGGATTTGCGCCGAACGGCTTGGCCAAATCCCCCTCGCAATTTAAAAACTATCAGAATTTAATGACAGAACACCTTACTCAAGTACCCTATGTTGCGATCAGTCCGAGAATGATAGCAAGGGGATTGCAAGCTACCCTGAGGATCAGAATGGATCCATACGAGAAGAGGCTCGGATATGCTGTTTTGGCGGATGAGACAAACGGGAGATCCCTGGTTCTCCCTATTCTCTTTTGTTCGCTAACGTTCGTAAGAACTTTGGTACAAAATGAGTGTGTTAGATTTTCGGATCCCGTTTGGGTTCCATCACGGTTTGTCAGCAAAGCTAAACCGAGATCCATTTGCTTCATTCGTCACGTAGAGGCTACCTACCTCTATGAGCCTGGTCATGGCCTGAGTCTCGGCTCAGCAGTATGGAAGAATTATATTACAACTTTCACCTATCCTATTCAAACGCAAGCCGGGCGTCGCCATTTTCCTGCACTGTTAGGAAGATTCACAACACTTCCAGAACAAAGGGAAAAGGACTATACCTTTATTGTAGAGCTGACCGCTCGTACAAACGCCAAGCGAACATATGTTCTTATAGTTAACTACCGCTCTAGTGGCACAGGTATAGAAACTAATATGACTGTCACAGTTGTCCGGCGTAAATGGCACATTAATCTAGCATATGCCATGAATCTTGTGCAACGCCGAGATAACCAAAAGTCATGCAAACTCCCAGACGAGCACGGCAATGCTATTCCAACAGCAGAAATTGTTTCTATTTCTCATGTTACCAGCTTATGGGTTAGCGAGGCTGAGAATGACTTGGACAAAGCTATTTCACGTCCCCGCAAGGACATCAAGGTCAGAACGCTCGGTATTATTAGGAAAGGATCCTTTATTTGACATATATAGAAGCCCTTGGGAACTATCATGTGTAGGGCCTGGATGAGGACGGTTTTTCAAGTTGAGTCTCGTTGCACGACTTGACTTTGAAAACGATATCAAAGAAACTAGAAGCTAGACAGAAAAGAAGATAAGGAAGCAAATTATAATGCGAAACTCCTCCGGATATGTGAAGATTAAGTGGAATTGTAGAATAAAATTGAGGTTACTAAGGAGAATTTCAGTCAGCTGAAAAAGTACTTTAGGGAGAAGGCAGAAAAGGTTGCAAGCGAGCTTTAGAAGGATATTGCGGAAATGATTTTGGAGGGTAGAGAATAACACTGTTGTCCCCATACGATATTATTTTCAAGGTGTGCTTTAATTTCCAATGATATCTAGCCTTGGCTAATGGATCTAGATAACCACTCGCCTGTATCCCAGCAAGTGTGAGGAGCGATTGAGGATCTCGGACGTTATCACGAGTTGGCCAGAGTCAGTTGAGCTCGGATTCGCAGACGATAAGTAGAAACACCTTGCCTTGGTAGATCCTGATGGATATACTCTTTGGATCGATATGCTGGATTGGAACCTGGGAGATATTTCATGTATATTAGTGATAGGTCTGTAAAGAGGATTGGTGTTGTTTAGTGAGCCGGTTTTCCCCCTCCTCGAACCTCTACACCATATCCGATGAAGTCAAACGGGAGTCTGTAACAAATGAAGCGACTTTCGTCGTCAATCAGCGTACGTCACACAAACATATCGTCACCGAGCTCTTTCATCGCTTCCTCGATCAATGCTGCAAAGGTGCTGCAAAAATTTTATGGCGCATGGTCAAGCCAAAGAACTTGATACTATGTAACGATATGCACAACAAGTTTATGCACATCCGAATCCCACAAAGATCAACAGCAACTTTCAAACATATGTTAGAGACCCCTGTCAAGACGCCCCCTTGATAAATGTAGTCAGTCCGTCCTCCAAGTGAATGAAAGTCTGCGAGCCTGTTGATTTGCTACCAGGGACTTAATGAAGCCCAGGGACTCCAGAAAGACCACCGGGGTGTCAGCGGGGAGAGGAGTAGGCAGACCAGTGGGGAGGCCGGAAGGCAGGCCCCCAGGGAGACCAGGAATACACTGTTGGATACCAGCTACGAGTTCGGAGAGACTACGTCCTATTAGTCAATGATGCGTCTCAGAGCATACTCATAGAGTATCGGACTTACCAGACTACCACATCGGCAAGACCGACGGTGCTGGTAGGTTTAAGATCGCTAACGCAGTCGAAGATGCTAGTGATATTCTCAAGACAGGCAGGGTCGAGGGAAGGAACCTGAGGCTTAGGCGTAGCAGCGCCGAGGGCAAGGACGGGAAAGACGAGCATGGCGTAGGCCTTCATGATGATGATTTGGTAGGATTTGTAAGATTGAAAGTGGTTGTGTCAGAAAAGTGCTGATTGTGAGTGCTGATGATCGAGTGATGAGAAGGGAAGATGCAGCTGATTTATAGTTTTCACAGGCCATTTTAGAATTGCCTTAGAGGGGAGTCCTGCTATCGTTGCCCTTTCTCGACAATGCTAACATACGTGAGTCTCCAAAGGAGGTGATCCAATTCCTCCTGGGGTCGCCACTGTGTGGAATTAGAAGTCAAACATCAAGATAGGTGCGTTACATGTCATGAGCTTGTCGGCATATATGGATGTTGGGAGATGTGCACTTGGAACGTCCTGGCAATTGAATCTGCCCCACCGCGCTGGGCTTAAACCTTGATCTTCTGGTATGTGATCGTCCCGATTGGCAAGTCTTATAATTATCCCTAACATTCTAAGACCTCCCGCGGCTGTCTATGTCAGAGCCTTCTGACAATACAAAGACAATGCCGGTAGTTTGTCGTAATTCGGTTAGGAACAACGATATATCTGGCTGGACTATAGCTTCAATACCGAGTCCTTGAGGCGATTATATTCCATGCGATGTTCTTCATTTTACGTTAAGCTAAGCAAGTGAGAGATAGTTTAACAATTCTGATTTGGGTTTTCATTGTTATAATCAGATATTCTCACGGCATTAAAAACTATAAACTATAACCCAAGATTTAGATCTTCTTCCAAGCATACAGAATCTATCAAGAGAGTGCGGGGCTTTAACTAGACCAGTGTTCATACAAAGAAATTCTGAATGAATAATTCAAGGGAAAATTGAAGCCCGGGGAGCCATTTCGATTCTGAAACACTACAGAAGAACCTATCCCTTTACTTCGGCAGCATGTGAAACAGCAACTGCCGTTCCAGTCTTAAGCACCATTACATCAGACTAATTAACACCAGGGCCTGACAGCCTGTTATAAGTTCAAACATCGTAAGCAGCATGATACCGAAATTCAATTGGCGCAGAGAAAGTGATCTGCAAGCTGTCAGTTATGCCTGAATCATGTGGATCCACGGTCCGCTGATCCTCTCAGTCACATTCGTGAATGCGAAAATCTCTTGCTGAGTAGATGAGTACGCGTCAGCCCTTCACTGTACTATATCATGGAAGATCGAATATCTCCCTTGAGTAAGTTTGGGGTAATATGTATGGTTTTATTTCTTGACCAAGAGAAGATTGAAGTGTGAGGCAGAGTGATGGACTTTTTGAGAACGATGACATCGTTCCATAGCAGGTTCATCACCCTGGGAGATACCAGTATCCACCAAGACAGTAAATACAATTCACAACTCGTGCATATTCTATTAGAAACACGCATGATATTTCTCTACTATCCCCCACTTCTTCCTGGTTCTTGGCGCTGGTGCCATACCTGTCAGTTCTCATAAGCCTATAGACCTAGCCATCCATGAGGCCAGTGAGTCCAAGGCTCTACAGCTAGCTACTTATAACGACCTTGAGGGCGGAGACTTGCCTAAATGTCCTAAAGCCATCCTGATCTTTGCCCGTGCCACTGCTGAGGCTGGAAACGTCGCCCCTTGCATTAATATGCGAGATCCTTTCGGCCAAGGAACTAATCAAGAGAGAAGGCACCATTGTTGGACCAATTCTGGATGGATCCATGCAGCTTACAATTCACGAGATTTAGATCCAGGGCGTCAGTGTTGCATACAAGTCTGACCTTCTCACCAGTCTTCATTCTGACGGGACTGATGCTGCTTCGATCAATGAAAAGACTCTTCCAGATGGGTAATGACAAATGCCCCAACACTCCAATAATTGCTGCTGGGTATAAGCCACTTTTACTCTTACGGAAGAAATTTGCCATACTGGATATCACTCTCATAGTCGGGGAAGTGTTCTTTTTGGGTATGCCTTGTCGAAGCTTGATGATACATCTCAGAACATGGTCGCAGGCGCTGCTCTGTTTGGCTACACCAATAATAAGTAGTTGGACGGCCATAAGCCAAACTATGCCCAGGGTCGAACTTAGTCTACTTCTTGCCTACTGATACTGATGGGGAAATGGAATAGCGAGGAGTAGGGTTGTCTACTGTCTTGCACCAGCTTGATCCCTCCAATATTCAATCTTGCTAATATCAGCTAGATAAAGAGTATTTTAAAAGAACTTACTTAATTATAATAGTTTTCCGATCCAGCCAAATTGGACTAATAGGAGTAGTTGTCTGGTAATCTGGCTGAAAGTACCCGACCCTGTAAAAAGCCCCACTGCTTTACTTCAGAACTATGCCTTCTGTGATAAATCTGCCCATGTCGCGGACTGCCAAGCAAAAGAACTCCTTTTCGCATGGAATGTCTTGACTATCCCACCGGATTTGAATTGGGGCAGAAACCTCTTGTCCACCAGGCTTGGCATATACGGGTCGGGTTCCCAGCAAGCGAATCTTCAACAATGCTCCATCTACCTCTAAACTTCCTCCTTTAACGCGTCCATATTCAACTTTATCATCTTCAAGTTCAACCTGGCAACATTTCACATCTAACATTAAACGATCGCTGTCGCCTTGGTACGGTATGGGTTCTGGCCAGGATATGCCGCTGCGAGCCAAATGCCACGACCAGGTGGGAGATTTCTCTTCAGTTGACAGTATGTCCGGGTAGGTTGCTTGATCATTAACATCCTTGATATACCATAGCAAGCCGAACGCCATCCAAGAGGTCCACAGTCCTGCCATATACTGATCAGATCCGATATTATGGCGTTTGGCGTGGTCTGCTGCTACAGCCGCGAAGGCTGGTAGTCGATCTTTTGCTTTGCCGATGGACCGAGTAGTGAACTCTTCAACCATATCTGTCCATTCGTAGGACCTCTTTACTTTATCAACCGTGGAGTATTTATCAGGGGACTCTTCTTCATTTGATCCTCCATCAACATGGTAGTCATGAGCACAACGCCAAATCATTTGTGAGCTCCCGAACCGCAAAACTCGATTTGCAAGCTTGTTTTCTTGTAAAGTCCAAGCACGCGAATCGATTGGTTCTGCCCTGATGCGCCTGATCTCTCCTTCAGCGCAAAATGCAAAGTCTTCAAATCGGTTGCCCTCGTTGTCAACTTCGTGCCAGGGGATTGCCCAAGTGCTAAGGTAGCAGGATCGAAGATCGCGCTCGTGGAGGAAGCCTTGGTCGCTGTGTGACGCCGTGGCTCCTGAAATAACGATAGTGGCGTTCTGGTAGATTTGCCACATCTTAGAAATCTCTTTGTTCTTATCCTTCTCGCAATCTTGAATAATACAGAGAACATCCACCCAAAGGTAGTCCAGGCCAAGGGCGCGTGCTACCTTTACTGCATCTTGCAACGTCTTTGGCAGCTGCATAAAATCAAAACCTTGTTTTCGCATAGCCAAGGTATCCTTCTCTGTCTTGAACCTGTTCTGGCCTGCATCGCCCCAGCAGTAACTCAACGCTGCATAGGATACAAACTGGGCTGTGTTTGCATGTTCAAGGCGTAGGGCTTTGCAACCAGAACCTCGAACATAAATAAGTCGCCTAGGCATCTGTGGCTCGGCTATCTCTCCACATTCTTCGTGATTATTCAAACACTCTTGCAGCCAACGTTTTGCCGTCATTAACTCAGCCTTGGGCTGCAACGGGATGCTCTCTATACGATTGCTTGGACAACTTTCTGGAGAATGTTAGAAGTACTTTCACTAAACGGAGAGGTGTAGGGTAATCACCCTCATCAGCAAAGAGTATCATCGGTTTCTGTTCCAAATTTACCTGGGCGTACTTTATCATCCATTTACATGTAAGTCGTCCTCCATCATTGGCTGAGAATTGGATACGAAGACTTAAATCATTCAATTCTTCGAGCAGCACACGTAGGGGAACGATGGGATAAAACAATTGAAGCAGCTTGCTATATGCAGCTCCGCAGATTTCGCGCAGTAGCCCAGATATCGAACCATTTTGGGTTTGATGTAGTTCCTTGAGTTGTAGAGAGAACATCACACAGCCACTATTGGCGAATTCGCACACTTGCTGCAGAGTATATATCTTCCAGGTGTGTAGACAATTGCCTCTTTCTTCGTCTTTTCTGTCTCCTGGATTGTCGATAATCATGAGATTGCGACACAGTCGACAATAATGAGGCTGAATGCCTCCTGGTAGCTGTAGTATTTGCTGCTGGCTGTCATCCATTATGGCGAGTTCATGAGGAAATTGAAACTTCATTCAGTCTTGTATAAATTGGCATATATAAAAGTTGTCCCGGCGGTTTTAGGCACCGAAGCAGGTGACGTGGCCTTTCGTTAGTAACCTCAATACACTGTCTAATAGCTGATTGGATTATGCGATATTTGTAACCTCTCTTTCCCAATACCTAAGAGGATGTGGACTGCAGATACTAATTGGATGAGCCAGTGCCCCATTTAATGACCTACCCTATGGTTTACCTTATTCCTTTTATGTAGCTTCAGGTAAATACATAAAGATATTATTGACTGTGGCGTCATAAATAAGTGTGCCTATTAGGCTTTATTGATACCCCAGTTAGTTTATCTAAGACTAAATACAGCTGCGTTGATTCTGCACTGGTAATATATAATCCTTGCCGAGTGTGAGAGAGTAATAGCACAAGACATCTTCGACTTTTTGTAGAAGCATATGTATTCCTGTGCACCATAAAGGCTGAGAAACAGATCCGAAGACATCAGATATAAGGTAAGTATTAATTTCAGACTGTCCCCACCTATGATTAAAATCATGAAGAATACTGCTGGCATCACTGTGGCGTAAATAAGGCAAGACTTCTGTCATAAACGCATTGCCTCTTTCTCCAAACTGTGGCTTGACCTATCGTATAAAGGGATATTGAATAATACCTCTAAAGTGGATACAAGCAGCAATGGGGCTTACAACTCGGCGGTCTCTGGGGCAGCAAATACGATAGGGGTTTGTGAAACCATTCATATATGAATGCTCTAGAAGAGCTAGCAGCGTGCTGAGCTCGCCTGTGAGAGACAATTCTCGAAATGCTTCAGTTGGAAAATTCAATTTGACCCGCAAATCAACTTCATGTCTTACAGGCTATCGGCATCTCCCGCTCTACTTCTGGGGTGCTCCGAACTTGTAGCCTTTGGGCCGTCTCGGTTATATGGTCCTTGATTGAGGCTTCTGCTTTGCAGCTCTTCAGCTTGGCGTAGTGCTGAATAGCCCCATTCTCTGATTTGATTCAGGCGGCCATTTGAGTCTCTCCGGCGGCATAATGTGTGATAAAATCCTGTAGGCCTTGCGACAGGTCGTCAAACCCCTTCTGTTGTTGCACTACGATTGCATCGTTGCGCTTACTGTTCGTATTATTAGAAATTGCTGGTCGAAAAGCAAATTGAACCTACCATACGCGTACCAGGATCTGAGTTTCCATAACAGTCTTGTATTGATCAACTGCTTTTTCCAAACACTTGATAGTCTTCTTGTTGTTCCAAGTCGTCATACAAGTATGAGGCGCCTTCGCTAAATCTCTCGATTGATTTTGACGCATCACATCTCCTAACTTATCCATCAAAGTCTTGCAAAGATTATTTAAAACGTTCATCATCGTCTAATCTGTCTCGTTTATTAGGCCATGACATTATCTCTTGAGGCGGCGTCAAGAGCTGCTGGCTGAGCGCGGATTCTTAGCTTGTCTTGACTCGGGTCACATTTGGCTCCTCGGTGTATCTTAAAGGTAATGAAATTATATCAAGCTATGCCAAGATATGCTACCAAAGGCTCATGTCTCCCCCACTTCCCCCTAACATGTAGCAAAAGGCGGGACAAGATATAGACAGACATACCATTCTGGTCTCTAATATCAGAACCTGAGATCTTCTGGCCACCCAAGAAAAGGGTGCCATTTCGGGGCTGCTCGAACATGGAAGCCATAGTTGCAGCTATTGGTAACGTTGACGGTAAAAGGCGGCTTCGTCAACGTGGGGATGGAGTCAGGAAATTCTACCAGCAGGCTACCGTACGCAGACAGAACCTGAGCTGTGAAGCTCCAGTGCCCCTCGACCACCGCAGAATGATAGTTGGACTTTGGAATGCATTTTCAGCCACTACAAGACAGTCCAAGCAAAGAAATATTCCCACAGCGGTAGGGTAAGTGCGAGCACCAAAGATAAAGAGTGGGTTGCAGTAGAGTAAACAAAATCAATCGATGCCGCTCAAGGTTATCAATGGGACAACACTGTATCTCCGCTACTCTTCGGACGGAAATGCAGATTAGGCCCAAATCTGTTGGGTCAGATTATGCATGGTTCAATGCAAGCACGTGAGACTCAGCGGCCAATTGCCTTATGCAACCCCCGCATCAGATTGTCCAGCTTTAAAAACTTCATTCACTTCATGATTCTGGTGCTATAACGTATATTGTCAATTATAAATGCTCCGGAATGCCTTCCGCGACAGGCATCCGCTGCTCTGGATGTAACAAGAGCTTTCGATCACACTATGCTAAGCAGAGACATACGTAGGACTCCGAAAACATCATCTTTGTCGTCTTTGCCCCGAACCATTGGACTTTGAGACATTGGGTGAGTTGAATACTCACTTCAAGGATATCCATCACATATGCACTGTTTGCAATTATCGGAGCTTTGGGAACGCCCATCGACTGGCTCAGCATGATATGGACAAACACAATATATGCATCGTGTGTCGAAGAAGCTTCCAAACCGCGCAGAATCTGAAAATGGTTCGCTCTCGTCTAATCCCGAACTTCTTGACGTTAAGACAAGCTGACATTTATTACACAGCATAAGCTTACCCATGCTGAAAGGACCATTGAATGCGCAGGCTGTGACCGGATGTTTGTTACTGAATCCGCTATGCTGCTGCATTTGGAAACTGGAACATGTGCTTCTATTGCAGACCGATATTATGTCTTGAGAGTAGGGTGAGAGTGCCATCGAGCATTTTACTACATTTCTGTCACTCCAGGTTATGCCTTTCAGTGTCCAACTTGCGAGACACCGTTTAGTCTAATGAGTGGCTTGGCCTAGCACATCGAGAGCGACCACTGCGATGAGTGTTTGGATGACGATAGACCATTGAGGGTGTTTTTAGATCAGTTGAGGTCGAGATTGAGTTAATCACTTCTGCTTGTTATCAATGGAAGTGAGTTCTATGAGGGTGGATTGTTGGCCGATTGAGGAGCTTTAGAGTAATATTCCCTCTCAAGGTAATAGGCTAGTTTGGTAGCAGTTTTATGTAAGTCTTTATAAAAAGGATATTGGATTGTATTAATGCAATAAAGTTTGCTGCATACATGCTTTAGAATATAAGTTAAATGGTATAATAAAATATAGCAAAAAGGTTATAAACCTGGCTGATGCTATGCCAGTCCTGGAATAGATAATTGCAAATAATATAATAGAAATGTTCTAAGCTTTATGGTTGTGTAGGTCATCCTCGTCATGAAACTCGTCATGAAACTCGTCATCGTAATGATCACACTTATAGATAACGCCCTCAGATTCAGATGATTCATCCCAGTGCTCTAAATCGTTCATGTGCTATTTAACTGCCTCCCGGCTACTAAAGTAGCGATTGTATATATTACACTTAAAGCAAGGAGGGTTATGACCAGTAGCGTTTATATGCTGCTAATGCAATTGCTAACTGGTCGGAAACTGCTGCCTGTATGTTCTACAGGTAAACATGATGAGATTGAAGAAGTTATTATTTAAATCACCGAGGAGATTGGGTCGTAGCTGAGGATTAGAAATGAGAAAATTAGTAGGGGAACAAGAAAGGACCCCAACAAATCCGGGAGGCCCACCAGGGATAAGGCAGCAATACAGACGTTGGCCTCACGTTTACTGCAGCCTAACCCTGATTGGTGATTATTTGAATCAATGGAGAGGGGCGGCAGTTAAAAAAGTAGACTGATTTTAGTAATCAAATTCGTGGTTGGTTGGGGACTTGCACTGGTTTCTCTTGTCTCACTGATGTATGCCCTGGTTGGCTGCTCTGTGAGAGAAGAGGAAACAAGAATCACAGGGAAGTGATAAGTCTCATGCGGGGTCAAAGTGATGACGTGGCCTGATTTTAATTGTAGTGTACAACAAGTATCTAGCTTCACAATGAAGCCACTGTTAAACCGGCGTGCTCTTTGTAAATTTCCAACTAAGCTTCTAGCAGAGACCTCTAGCAAAAAGCCATCAATCTACATATTCGGTTTAAAAAGGGATATCTAGCTTATTCTTAGTATATATAGGTATAAGCCCTTCTATTTGAGGATAGAGAGAATTAGATATGGGTAATAAAGCTTTCTAAGAACTCCCGTAAGGAAAGGAAAAACAACTATCTATAACAACTACTGGATGGCCCTCCCGGGCCTAAACCATAACGCAATGAGGAAAGGGAAAGTGATGAGGGCCCGACTAAAGCGATCCATCTACTGAAAGTTGGAACGGCACTTTCGTTATAAGCCTGCGAGCTAGATCTGTCCCTGAGTAATGCTATTTCAACGGCGTCAGGGTTTAAAGGTCCTGGTGACTCTTGACATTTGGAAATTATGTCTCGGCTTTTCGAGATAACTTGGCCTAACATCGCGTAGAAGATACTAGAAGTGATAATAATTCAATGTAAATACCTGAGGCGCTAGCTGACTTAATTTCTCATAGACTCTATCTAAGATTGCGAAGCCTCTGACTGTTAGGAGGTGGCCTAGCGTTGGCTCATTATACGATGTCTAAAGCAACCCATTTCTTCTTCTTCTGATTCTTGTGACGAGGACTTTTAGTCTCGCCAATCAATTCTGGCGCAGGTCGGCTGTCTTGATGAGGCTGTGGCGAGAACGAACCCCAGAACTTTGCAGAACTTGACGTTATAAATGCTCCCTGCGCGTTCTCTACAACCTCTGGCACCTTTTGCTTACTATCCACTTCTTCAGCTGAGGATTTTGCTGCCAACGGTACTTGTCTAGCAACATTATCGCAAAGCCCCAAGGACGATGATTTGGAAGTAAACAGTTGTTCTATTACTGGCTTGTCAAACCACAGAGCTTGGGGCTTATTGAACTTAGCATCACCGTCCTGGATCGTCGAAGAATTTCCTAGGCTGGGAAACGGATCGTTGCTGTCAGCATCTAGCTGAGTGTTGTGATGTTGTGCGAGAATTCCACCAGTACTAGGAGCCCTCGAAACCGGTGCTTTGAGTTTAGAAGCTCTTAGACGACTGCGGGGAATTGGAACATCCTTAAGAGGGGGGGTTGTAAACATCTCACGGATCCGTGGGGAGAGGCACATTATACCGATATCGCGAGCCGTCGCGAACTGCTCTGATTCGATATCAGGTGAGGCTCCGTGATCTGATAGAAGCTGTAAAGTTTGGATAACACGATCTTCCAGCTCCGGGCAATTTTGATAGACAACTTCATGGAGGGGTGTCTTCCCGTGAGAGTTAGAGACATTTGGATTAGCACGGCGATCCAGCAAGAACTCCACCACATTTGGCGAAGCAAATCGACAAGCAACATGAAGAGTCGTACTCTGGCTCGTCTGGACGACGACTAGATGCCCTGGTTCAACATGGTCTCGTAACAGGCATATGGCAATTCCGGCGTGGTCTTGACTCAAAGCAGAGAATAGAGGGAGATAGCCTTCATCATCATATAATCCTGGATCTGCTCTGTTTCGGAGTAGCAGTTCAACCATCTTTTCGTTGCCACTACCGCAGGCAAAATGAAGGACTCCTTGCCCGCGGTGACTGCAATCTGCTGAGCGCCAACAGGTATGCTGACAATGATGCATACGGGATACCGCCGATTTGAGGTTCGGATCCCCCCCATAGCGAAGCAGTTGGTAGAGAGTGTTGTTTAACATTGATTCCCACCGTGTGTATAAGTCGTCTCGCCCATCTAAGAGGTAACAAATTCCTCTAAAACTGCGCCACGGAACCTTTTTCATGGTAGCCAGATGAATAGCAGCCAGTCCAAACCGGCTCAACCTATTCGGATCAGCCCCCCTCGTCAACAGGTACTCTGTTGCTCTTGGTAAGGAGTAACCGCAAGCGATGCGAAGGCCGGCATCAAGGAGAGTCTTATTATGTGGCTGCGCTACAGCGAGGCACAGAGGCGTCAGGTCTGGGTAACCTTCCCCAGGCTCCCAAAGATCTGTGCCAAGCTTGATAAGATGACTTGCAACATGCGGAGCATCTCCGATGATAGACAGGTGGAGATAAGTAATGTTTTTTAACTTAAGTTGAGGTACAAAACTTGACAGGTTTGATGTCAGCTGAGCGACGGATACTGGAATAAGAAGAGGAAAGAGAAAACTAACTCATTCAGCCGGCTACTCAACTCATGATAGACCAACCATTGCATCATACGCTGCGAGTCAAGCCTGATAGCGCGGAAAGCGAACCTCTGGAACACCAATTCAGGACGTCGGAATTTACAACAACCTGCAAAGGTAATATTAAAGAGCGTTTGAGAGGCCCGCCAGCAGGTATGGCGAGCGCAACGAGTAAGGGAGCTCAAATCTCTCAACGACCCAAGATACTCTATGATCTGAAGGAAAAGCTCTAGCGGGAGGCCTGCAATGTAATCCATGAGGAAGTTTTTGGAATGTTTATAGCTTATTTCAACATTCAAGCGTAGCTTGGGAATGTCCGCAGTGCTTACTCTACCCCGCAATGCTGTTGTGACACGTGATCTGTGTATCTTCAAGCCCGAGGCTTTCGAGGTAGCCATCAAGATTATCCACGAATAGATACACGAATCCCTCAAGATGTACATTTAGATCTTCTGGCGGAAATTGCTTCTATTGTGGAGAATCTGGTATGCCATGATGTCCTTTCCTTCTACAGTCACAATTGGCACGGAACAATTAGGAAGAGTATTCCTCTCTTCTGCGATAAAAAGATAAGTCACTGGCTGAGCTTATCCTTATCTCATGTATCTTCGATAATGCAGCGCTCTTTGAATATTCCACTTCGGTAGCTATTCGGCATAGTAATGATGTTCTGTCTAAATTTCTGCTGCCAATCCGTGTGGACATTCTTGGTGAGTGAACAGTAGGGATTTATGACTCGTGATGACGAAGGCAGATGGAGGTAGCAAAGTGACAGCCATGGAACACCTGGCTGATTGGTTGGATGAGATCGAGGACGGTCTCCTTGAACATGAACTGGGGTGTAGCCATGGGTGTAGATCTATGCTTTTAAGATCCTTGACGCATGATATGAAAATATGCCGATTATGCCCGCCTCCGGAACCAGGATGTCTATCATTTCGATTGAGTGCATTATTAAATCCTAGCGTAATACAGAGTCGGCAAGGCAATTCGCCATTCCTCCATTTCCTAACCTTGAGTTACTCGCATAGTTGAGTCACTTGTAGTATATCTGGGGTTTGATTCTAAAGCCCAGTCTTCAGTAATATAAGGCTAAGGAAGAAAGGTTATGTAGTTCTCTGTGAGCTTTTACTTTGGGTCCAGGTTACTGTCTATCCTGGTGTCTATACAAGGTATTTAATGGGTTGTTATTGACGAAAGAACTTATACTAATTGGCCGAGCTCCCAGAATTCTAAGGAGGACTGGGTATGTATATCATGGTCCATTATGGCAATCAACGGCCAGGCCAACACTCAGACTCTGGATTCCTCGATGTAATCAGCCAACCGACTGGAGTTCAGCCGTGGCGATACTAGTATCCAAGGTCATCTACATTGAACCCTCTGGTGGTGGAAGTCTCGTCTTGGTAATGTTGGCAATACTTTTATTTAATGACGATATGTGTGCTGGATCGACTGCGCCAACTAAGGATTATAGAATGTCCACATAAGAGTTCTCTGCATAGTCGTCACCCATATAGTCCTTCTGCTATTGGGAGTCGGAAACGCTCATCTTTGTCAAGCGCGAACAGAGCAAATAGGCTATCGTCCTGACTGAACCTCAATTTCTGGCTCGATTGTTGTTCCCTCAATCATCATATTGCTCGGATTTATATCGTCGATCTCGTCTGGAGGCATCTCTAACTGAAGGGTCAGCTGTGTCGCCCGCATTGCGTTGCCGAGGGTGAGGGCTACCAAGTAGACATCGCCTGCTCATGATTTCAATCGGTCGATGGTTCCTTTCTTGATTTTGTCTGGGATTTTCCGAATCCAAGAAAATTGGCAAATCTCATCCCTTGCTAATTGTAAAGACTCATGGATTTGAATCAGTGTTCTTTCGGCATCTTTCTTGCCCTTTCAAGCCCAAAGGAACTTTCTGATCCATGTGGTGTTTTTCTGAATGAACCTCAAACACTCACGAGGTCAGGAAGAGTTTCCACCAAGTCTATTTATCCAACGTCAACAACTCCTTGCGGGTCAGCATTTTCCCCCTTCTCTTCGACATCTCGAGGTCCGTATGGTAATGGAAATTTCTCAAAGCTCTCAATCTCGCGGACGGTGTACAGCAGCAAGTCTCCGAGATGAGGACGGGTAACGTATGATCGAGATTTTATACTACTCTGGACTACCCCTTTCTGCCGAAAGTGAGGGGCCTGCTCTCTATGGTTACGACATAAAATATGCGGTCAATAATACGTTGGATACGGCACTGGAATGCATCAGGGAAGATACAAGCCACTTCCTAGATGTTCTGCTCTATCAGACACTCACTCGAGGTACAGTGCGCAACAACGATTCATCGACAAAGGCGCCCATGCTGTCCCTCATTTTACTGCAAGAAGTCAACCGCTGGGAATCTGTTTAGCGAAGCTATGAATTATAGACAGAGATATCAGCGAAATACTTTTGAAAACCCTATTACTGCGCTTGCCGACTGGATTTAACCTCAACCTTGAGGCCTCTGGTGGCAGGACAGTCTCATGTGAGGCATGGGACCGACATCAATGCCGAACATAGTGAGAATGGCACTCCACTGGTACTGCCAGGATGCATGGCCTACCCGGAATAATCTGAGCAGCATCTGCATAATGAGGCGAGAATCCAGCTCCAAGACGAAGGTATCCCTCATCAGTCCTGCATTGTCTGTAATCCAACCTCAATTATTCTATTCTCTCTTGATAAATCAGTATATCATTATAGTAGAGCGAGATCCTTGATGGTATAATGGCTTTTTTATATAAAAGGCGCCTCTATGTATGGCTTTGTCTAATGGGGACGTCTTCTTGTGTGGGGAGATGAAAGTCCAGGAATCTTTCAGTATGCATAGCAAGAGTTGTCTCGCCCAAGCGCCTCAGCTCAGTAGCCAGATGAGAGAGGCACCGCTGTTCGTCCTCAGCAGCAGCGCAATGCCTGTTCTTCGCCTCGGGCAATGGAAGACGAAACCTGGCGGTATCAATGATCCTACCGAGTTTCCAAAGATGACCATTTGTGTTGATACCATACCTGCATTTAGCATTCCTCATTTTAATTAGGTCAAAGGAAGAAGCCTTCACGCCTCGCTTAAGAACCTCCATGCCTCTTTGTCTGAGACCATAACATAAAGCCGGACGGATTATTTATCAGTTCTCACTGAGTTTCCGGCGCTCAGATGCGATACACGACTACACGCGCTCTGGTATGGTGTGTTGCCAATCTAGATACGGAGACGGGAAAAATATCGGCAGTGACTCCGAGATCAGCATGCCAAGCTGCGGGATGCATCTTAGCGCAAGCCTTACAATTCGGGGAAGCGGGGAATCAGAGTGCCGAGTGAGCTCCGTAAGAAAATGCTTCTTTATTAGGCTGAATCTTTAGCGGTATTGAGTTCCGTTGATAAATAGTAACGTAGCTAGCTTGGACCCAATACGTTATTTATTATTTTCCAACTCCTCTTTTACCAATTCAATTAAGTTACTGGCATATTCATAATCCGCCTTGTCTGCTGTGTTGCAGTACACCAACCATAACCATGAGACTCAGCACTGCTGTCAAATCGGCATGCTTCCTCCTTCTTGGTCAAAGTACCATTGCTGAAGGTGCAGCGGCCCCTCGAGGTTTTCTTCAGACTTGGCCTATTCCCGATGGCGTCCCTATCGCGACCTCTTTCGATGTCAAAGCTCGCGTCCCAGGTGGCAAGTGGGAAACGATTGAAACATATCAACCTGTTCACAACGAGGTCAACTTCACCACCGGCGGGTCTATTAAACACAATTCGTCTCTGGCATACTTCGACTTCAACGGCACTGTAGAGATTCAAGCCAGATATCTCAAAGAACGAGTTTCCAAGGCCGTCATCAGACCTTATTCTCTCAACCTGACCCCCAAGAAGTCTGGTTCAGTTATTACTTTCACCTTGAGCGAGCCGCGAGATGTTATTGTTCAAGTCAACGATGACATTTTCGACGTTCTCCACATCTTTACCAACCCCCCTGATGCGAAGGTGCCATCTGAGGACGATAAAGATGTCATGTACTACGGTCCTGGCTATCACAAGCTCAATTCTACGCTCGAGGTTGGATCTGGCAAAACTTTATATGTGGCTGGTGGAGCAGTAGTTTCAGCTCCTGATATTACTGTGACCAACTCGAGTGATGTAACCATACGTGGACGAGGCCTCTTGTACAGTTCAAAAGGAAATGCGCTACAGGTCTACCGATCCAACAACGTCTTTATCGAGCGTCTGGTTGGTATCAACTTCCTCCCGAGGGCTTACGAGTCAAAGGATGTGACATTCAGTCATTGGCGCGACTTCAGCGCAGTACAATGGGGAGATGGAATGGATGTATACTGCAGCGAGAACATTCTTATTGATTCCGTCTTCTTGCGCAATTCAGACGACTGTATTGCGATTTACGCTCACAGAGATCAATGGTATGGAAACTCGACGAACATCACCATCCAAAACTCAATTCTTTGGGCCGATGTGGCACATCCCATTAATGTTGGAACCCATGGCAATACTGAGGACCCTGAGACCATTGAAGGTCTAACTATTCGCAACGTCGATATCCTCGACCAAAGAGAGGGACAGGTCAACTACCAAGGAACCATCGCACTCAATCCTGGAGATGGCAATCTGATTCAAGACGTCTTGGTCGACGACGTGCGCGTCGAAGATATTCGCGTTGGCCAACTCATCAACTTCCGTGTTATGTATAATACCAAGTACAACACATCACCGGGCCGAGGGATCAAGGATGTGTTGGTGCGTGATTTGAAGTACACTGGAACAAAGGCCAGCATGTCCATATTCGTCGGTTATGATGAGGACCGAACCATCAGCAATGTCACATTTGAAAACCTGGTTATTAATGGAAAGGTTATCTCGGACGACATGCAGAAGCCGGGCTGGTACGCAACTACGGATTTTATTCCCGCATTTGCAAATGAGCATGTGCACAATCTGACTTTCACATCTAGTTGAGAATTTTTATTGTTAGTAACAGGTAGCTTGTCAAGGGCCAGACTGTCATTGAACTAGCTATTTTAGCCTCCTTGGTGTTTTCTTTTCTTAGAAGCTTGGTGCACCTTATTTGGCTCTCTAGTCAACCTGCATATAGCTCACGAGTAACAAACTATTTATTGCTTACTGGTAGAACAACTTTGTAGTATAATGAGGTGATTCGGAAAAGAATTGTTTTCTTGGTAGCGGCGTGTTGCAGGTCTGAAGCCTAGTGTCGGCATCAAGTCCGCAACATAACCCGGAATCCGAATTTCTGCAGATCAAAACGGGTTTGAATTACCCGTCGCTATAGTACCTCTGTATGAAAAGAGCTAATCATTGCTGGGTTCAAATCTCCCCGCGTTTGTGGCCAGACTTCCTCCGCGAGACCTACCACTTTGTCACAAAGCTTTTATCGCTTTAGAGGATCTAGGGTAGTGCGATGTTCTTTTATACATTGATATACATATATATATATATAAATACCTTCCTTTTCATAATGCTTTGCCTTTATTCAATCTCGATCAGAGACCCAGAGTTTTCACGGTTAATCCTCTAATTATCAATAACAAATTGCCCTTCTTACGGATCAAACACCACACGGTGTGGCTACGACAAAGAGTTACGGGATATAGCTCTGAGAATCAGCATTTCCGAGCTGAAATCGGAACAACATTAGATTGAGATGGCCAAGGATTCCATGACTTACAGGTCAAAGGCCGTTTTTCGTGTGGCTATTACCATTTTGATCGAGGACTTGAGTACACAAACAACTCCTTATCGGCTTCTAGGTAACCCTGACTGGTAAATCATAGGTTGTGCTTCTTTCGCTATTGACAGGAGCGTTATCAGCAGCATCAATGCCATCCCCTCATTCTGTGAGCATTACGGCTTTGGTGTAAGCGGCGGTAGCCTCGTCGTCATTCTCGCTGCCATGTCTATTGGTAATGATGTGGCTAGTCCTTTCCAGTGTCTCGTAGATTGGATCGGTCGACCTGACGTGACCCTTCTCGGCAGCTCAATTCTAACTGTTGCATCTGTTCTACAGGCCGTTGCGTCTAACAAAACCTGTCTTATCATCCGTTGTCTGTTTGCCGGCATAGGAGCATCTCTATCGGCCAAAACGTGTAGGCCAACACTTAACCGCATTTGCCTTTCCTTTTTGCTTTTCCATTACGCGGGAATCTAGTGATAGGATATCATTGTGACCTAGACCATCGGGGGGTGGCATACTAACTAGGATAGCTACCATTTTTGTGCCTGATCGGAAGATGTAACTCTCAAGACTAAATATCTACTTAACTAGAGTTCCGAATGGGCCATGAAGTGAATATGATACCCAGGCCAGTAACTAGATGGAACGAGGCTGTTTTATGCTCCTTAGAGTATTTAATATACCTTTAACTAAATGCTACTCGGTATGATGATATGAATGTAACATCTTATACCCTCCGCCCAGTCTAAACTGGCCACAAAAACGCTCCTATGACTTGTCTATAGCTCTCTTAAGTATTTACACATCTCTAATTTTCCTCTGAGTAGAAATCATTAATCCAGTCGTGAGTGACATAAGACTCAACCCCTACCCTAGGCCGAACTCGGACTCTAGAATTTAGTAGTGAGTTCCATAGTTAGCAGGGTTCAGAGAACGTGACGCCTCGTCACAGTGAAGAAACTCCTTGAAAGTGGCTCAAGTGGATCGATTATCTTGGCAGAAAATTTTCTGACCCTCTGATTCTCTCACTGTGAGAAACTTTTCAATGTAACCTCACTAATCCTTTCTGGCTTAGGCTGTTCATCCCACGCCGGCAGCAATCATCTTATCAATCTGATTACTACGGACACTCTGACATCTTTTGAGGCTAGCTCGGCATCTATGGAGAACTAACGACCATGGATATCTTTTCGGCTAAACTTAAGTATGTGAAGCGCCCTCCGTCTACTGCCTTTCACTCCAACCAACCCTCAACATCCTGGCCTCCAGTACTGTCTTTATCTCATCCATTAAGTATAATTCTTATCAACCTTCAAACTCATGGCGCAACCACAGACCCCGGAGAGCTTTGTAAATAAAGAGAAGCTCGTACCACCTCACGTCTCTGTCAAGGAAGAGCACGTTCTGTCTGAGTCGCAGACTTCCCAACCTTGTACGAAACCGGAAAATGACGGTCGTCAGCCAGTACCACTGACTTGGAAGCTTGCCTCCATCGTCCTCGTCACTGCAATTGGCTTTGGGTCGCAATGGAGCTCTGGTGTGACCTCGGCCATGAAAAGCACCATCAAGAAAGAGCTGCATATCAACAATACCCAATTCTCCCTCTTGGAAGCTAGTGAGGATTTCATGGTTACTGCTTTGATGCTTGTTAGTGGTATTGTAACTGATAGGATTGGTGGAGCCGGTACGTCTAATATGAAGCATGGAAGGACTTGACGCTGATCAGACACAAGGCGCCATGTTGTATGGCAATCTCATCTATTCCATCGGATCCATCTTGGTAGCTGGGGCAGCCCAGACTCGATCATACAAGTTCATGATGGCTGGCAGGGTGGTGCGAGCTCTTGGGGACATTGCCACCCAAGTTGCCCAGTATAAGGTTTTCTCGTCTTGGTTTGCACCTGGAAATGGGTTTGCCTCAACGTTAGGCTTTGAATTAGGGATTGGTAAGATTGGGGCCTTTGCCGGTAAGTCTTCAGCGAACATCATCTCCAAGAAGCTAGGCTTTGCCTGGGTTTTCTGGATTGCGGTATTTATGAACATTTTCACCAACGTCATGACCGGTGTCTTCTATTTCTTCACCAAGGTTGCCAACCGCCGCTATCACGGTATTAATGATCCAGCCACTGGCGAGAAGCTCACTGAAAAGACTCGCAAGTTTGAATACCGCAAGGTACTGGAACTGCCGTGGACATTCTGGGCTGTTATGGGCTTCTCTTTGTTTGAAACAAGCGCTGCTATTGTATTCCTACAGAATGCTACAGAACTTGCTGAACAAAGATTTGGCACCGATTCTATTGCAGCGGGATGGTACAGTTCTGTTTTACAATACTCAGGTATGTTGTCTTGTCAACATACTGTCGCATCGGATTAGCTCTGACGATTTTTTTCAGGTTTCTTTGTCGTTCCCTTGCTGGGAGTATTCCTCGATCTCTATGGAAGCCGCATTTCCGTCTGTCAGTAGCTAATCAAGTCGTACATAAAAAGGAAGTTGCTAACTCTACACAGTGGTCTTTTGTGGTATTGGCATGTTTATCTCGATGCTTCTGGTGTGCTTCTCAGGAGCTGTCAAAGGAACAGCCGCATCATTCGGCGTCTTCGCATTCGCATATTGCTTCGGTCCTACCACGATTATCGATAGCACACGTACATCAATGTGGGACAGTACTGTCTTTGGCTCCGCTTATGCCATCAAGATCACAATGAACAATGCGTAAGAGCAACACCCATTATATCTTTCGCCATCCATATTACTAACACTTACTCTAGAATGAACATCATTGTCCGAATTATCACTGGAAAGATTCAGGACGCTGATAACAACTCCTACGATAAGGTGACAATCGTCTATGTTATCCTTGCCGGACTTTCCGTCCTCGTATCGCTACTGCTCGCGTTTGGAGCGTGGATATCCGTGGACCTAGGACACCTCCAATGGTCACGAAAGAAGAGAATTGCTCGGGGAGACTTACTCAACGAAAGGAAGGCCATCTTTACCAAGGAGAACGGTGAAAAGAACAGGCGGGTGTCTCTGGCTTGCTTCGCTGCCTTGATTTTCTTGATTATGGGTAGCTGGTGTGGATACTTCTGGGGGGTTGCCACTGGAAACAATGATTAAGCTGGCTGTAATTGGGACTTTTGGACTGGCCAGCGTCTCGAGTATTAATAGTTGGGGGCGAGGGTTATCTGAAGAGGGCTTGTAGACTATCGATAATCTGAACTCCAAGATGAAAACAAACAGAGAAATACAAGTTGTAGAAAATTGACGGATTATCGGACTGTCGTTACCAAATACACCACTTACCCACTATTTTGACCTCATCAAAAGACTTGCAAAAACGTTATTGCATAGCCGATGTGTAGCCAGCAATTTGAGCGGTCGAGCCACGAGTGTCAGTGCTAATGTCGGCGTTGAGTCCGTTAAAGCGGCCTACAATACCAGCCTGCAGCATCTGAGTGCATGTCAGCGGAGCCCAATAATCATTGAGGCGTCTCGATTGCCGAGACTAACAAGACTGAACTAGAACACAGTATAGAACTCATCTATATCGGAATACAATTCGCCCCAAGTCTATGTAATGTAATTCTAGCAGCCGCCAAAGTCCTCACAGTGGACATCTATTCTAATGTTTCTTTTCATCTGCCATTTACTTGCCGAATCTTGCACGGCATCCATGAGCGACTTGGGCCCACAAGACGCGATGAGCACCCTGTGATGACTTCCGGATGCTCCAACACCGTTGCTAATTATGCCATGTATATCCAGCTTCTCAAACACAATATTAGATGTCAGCTCATCGCAGGTTGTTTGATGAGTCAACCCGCATAAATCGCTCATCTCAGATAAAGTCTCATAGTCAAATGTATCTGCTCCTAGAAGAACTTCACTTTCTGCGCCGCATGGCGATGGTTGTAAGTTGGTGGCTATTGGAACTGAGTCACATGCTGACCGTTCGCCTGTCACGTAGACCTTCAGGCTGATGGGATACCTCGACTCCGCAATATTACATAAATGGCGGCGAAACCAGCTTAGCTGTTCTAAAAGTTACCAGCTATTAGAGAAGCTTTCTGTGTAGTCGGGACTTGATTCAAACATACCTATACGCCTCACCGCCCATACAAACTCGATAGACTGGAGTGCAGCCTTCTCGCTCTGCATCATGATACGGTTCATGACTCCAAAGGTAAAGGCAGCTCCACTTCCACCGGCAATAAGAATCAGCTTATCGTAGTTGCTCATGTCTGGTAGTGACCCATATGGCCCATCTATCGATGCCGATAGAGTAGTCCTGGGATTTCGGCTTGCAAATGTGCCAACAGCTTTGGTGAATCCTTCATGCGATTTCATCACTAGCTCTAGACCAAAGGAGTCATTGCAGACGACAGTAAACGGATGGGTCTCATAGAATCGAAGTCTAGGAATCCATAAAAAGCAGTGTGATCCAGGTAAGGCGGCTTCCATACCAGGCTTCTTAAGTACTACTCGTGTTCCTCCAACTGGAAGAGGATAGAAAATTGCGGAGTTGTTGATGAGGTTGCATAATAGCCTGCTAAATCTTACGAGTCGGTCTAATGTCCACATGCTGAATATGATGAGCATCACCGTTGGAATCTTTTTCGCCCAGTTTGGTCTATGCAGCGCTGTTAAGAGAACAACCGCCACGAAGCCAATAATATGGCTAGCATAGAACAGCTCGTAGTGCTTATGTCTAAACACTCCCATTAGTAGGATAAGCATGGCAACACCCGCCCCCATGCCTTCGATATCTTCCCTCTTCAACAATCGCACTAAGCGACCTTGACGTCCAAAGTGTATCGTGTAGACAAGGGCGTGAAGAGCGAGGAGGAATACAGTTGTATAACCGACAATGCGATGTAAAACATTCAACTGGCTGTGCGAAACCGCTGCCAGAGGGCCTAAAGGTGTATTCTTGAGGCCAAAAAAGACACATAGGGCCATGTTGCCAGCGCACATCCTGACATATGTCAATTACGCATCGAACACCATGAGGGAATGATACATCCTACCATCCAAATCTAGAGGCCCAATGATTTAAGAGTTGAGGCATCGCAAGCATGTTTGAGCAGAAAGCGATGTTGCCAACAAGATAGATGCTGATCATCACGATGAAACCCATGGAAGGTCGCCCAAACCACGACGCTGGTAGACGGCTCTGCAGAATCCTATGAAGAGTATGAGTATACTGCTAACCAAACTTTCAGACAATTTCACTTACTGAAAGACCAAGAGAAAGGCCTCACGCCCGTAAGTCGGTAACGATGCGGAGGTTTTCAAATGTGGAGATCTGATGCAAATGCTGCGCAGCCAACGAATGGCGACAACGAAAAGCATGAGACCACAAAGAAAAGCAGCATACTTGATCAGTGCCTCTTCATTCTTCAGCTGCTTGGTACTTGGTGGTTTAAGTCCCTCCATTTTCGCCAAGGGACGGTGGTATGATGGAGGGAGAATGACAGATGGCGATAAAACATCCCGTCCTGATTGATAAGATTGAGTCAAATTTTGATTGATAAGTTTAACCAGGCTTTCGGTCAAGCGGCATTTCTCGTGCCTTGTGAGGCCCACCGCGTGATCCCAGTCACGCTGCGTAGTGGTCGAGCTACGAATTTTTCCGATCCAGCTGTAAGCTCTGATTGGTCAAGGTTTTGGCGGAGAGGGTGTCATGAGTGTTCTTAATTTTAGCACGCGTTAGATCCATTAGCTTGAGTGTTATCAATCTCATTCGGTTTTCCATCGGCTGCGCTCCCAAGAAAGCTAGACTGGGTGTCTCGGCTTCAAGCCCTGATAGGTTGTCATGGTCATTATGGGGCACGGCAGGGATTATCAGCATGTTCAACTGTTCACTGTGAAAAAACAGTATGTTTATTAACCCCTGCTCTAGAAACACTCGAACTTGAACTTTACCCCTCTGTCCTTCAGTGGAGAGGGCCCTAGGGTTCACTCCCCTGGATAACTAACTAGCTGGGATGTTTGCAGGATTGGATTTTTCACAGCAAGATGGCTGAGAGTGAATCAAAGCAGGTACAATGTTACATTCAAACCACCAGTGGTCACAGGATCCACAAGATCAGATAAGATGTCATGTCAGGGTAGATTGATAATTGGCTCGACTGGGGTGAGGTCAGCGAACACGCGTACTGTACTAACCGGTGAACAGACCCGAACACTGCGCGTGGCAAGACAATCCACTGCAAAGTTTGCTTAATGAGACTCAACCGTTTCTATGTACGAGCCTTAACCCAATGCACGACACACGAGACTGCACCATGGAAAGCTGTCTCTGCAGCGCAATCCATACCCTGGCAAAGGACTACAACGAGGCCCAAGCCAAAGACCTAATCCCTGCACTAAACCGCCACCTGAGAGATCTGCGACAATTTCTAGCGCAGGCTAAATCGCTCAGTCGCCAAGTGCAGTATCAAATCACACCGCGATACCAACGAACCGACAAAGCCCTCTTTGTAGACTCGGTTGACCTCGCCCCTGTCAATCGGGTATGCTCAAGATTCGACAAAGATGAAGATGGTTTCTGGGCGGGCTCGGATGATCAGGTTCATCTTGAACTGCGTCGGCGACTTGCCTGCGTTGTAATATTTCTTCGTTCTAAATTGGATGCTCAGGTGCTGGCGTCTCCTCAAGTGGCTAAAGTATTCCCTGGAGTGCAAAATTTAACCGATATGAGAAACCCTGGCAGGAAGTATGTTCAAATATCACAGAGACTTGGCGATATAGGAGCAATCTTTTGGCTTCCACTCAACATCCCACCTTCGACGTACGGATCCATGTCCTCAGACTGGCAATAGTCGAGAGTGCTAACGCTATGTAGTTATGAAAGATATCTCAGCATTGATGACCAAGAAGTATTCAGCCATTTACTATCACTCAATCCAACATTTCAGAATTACAACGATCTTGTACAACGCCTGGTAATCAATCAACTTTGCGGTCAGTAATCTCATATGTAGTAACAACGATGCGGTACTGATTGTACCTGCAGACCCTTCTTTGTCAATACCATATCACAATCTGTTTGGCGATTTTACTTCATTTATTCCTGCTAGAGACCAGTTATTCCTTGCAATGTACGCACTTGGCGGCATCAACATACCGGCTATCTTGCTGAAGAGTGTTCGCTTGCCACAACGACGTTGGAACGCCGACGGCGAGGTAGAACAAACCAGTGCTGCTCAGTTTGGCCTACCCGTTAATCTTGTTGATCTTTTATGCGACGAAGCAAAACTCTCTGAGACCATAGCAGGGCCGTGGGTTGCCGATCGAGTCCGGGAAGACAATACCATGGCTTGGTCCTTGAGCCCCGAACTCATGTCGAGTTTCGCGGAAGTCTTACCCGCACCAACGATAGAAGAGCTCGAAACTACAGCTTTGAAGCTTATCTGCTTTGTTTGCCCACTGTGCTACGAGGGTAACACGGACTGGTAGGATCTGTCCCCGCACGTTGTATATCACCACTGATACGGGTTTCTCGGGTCACCGTCGTTGAAACAAGAAGTGTGGGCAATACTTGAAAGGCTTCTAAAAACATGCAAGATATCAGCTTCCCTCAGGACCCACGTTATCGAGACCGTTCTGTATTTTGGCGAGAGAGACTCGGTTGCCATCCGCCATGCTGCCGTCAAGCAGGCCAAACTCCTGTTGCGAAAGCCAATGCCTTACTATCTCCATGCCTCGGCTGTGCTCTTTCGCAGCATACTCCATCGAGTTGATGGAGAACTTGCCAAGTCGGAAGCACATATACGCGACTTTCTGTGGCGTGGGCCGCGCCCAAGTACCCGTCGGGACCATGCACTTGAGGGTCGTATTCATATTTCCCAGATGGAAAACAAGATCAAGTGCTACGACAATGATGTGCCTTCATTTGCCTATAAGTGGGAGGCGGAGCAGCCGTTATCAACTCTGGACATGGAAGTAACTTTTCGGCTCCAGAGCACAGCCGCGCGATACTTCCAGTCCATCGGTGATTTTGATGCAGCTAGAGGTTCCCTAGAGCAGTTTCTATCACTGGGACTAATCAGGCCTATACCTGCGAATTCACGTCGAGTCTTGCTTGGTAGATTAGCTGATGTGTACTGCGAGAAGGGGGAGTACCTCAAAGCGATTGAGATACTCGAACCGGAACTTGAGCGTATTAACACATGTGACCGCATGCGTCGTGGATTTCGAAGACTTGTTCTGGCACTGGTAGAGGCCAATATCGGGCTGAGAAGGTTAGACACAGCAGAGTCAACACTCCAGGAGTTATTGGGTGATCTGCCTCCTTGCCCAGACGATATTCACGACCAACAGCTACACATGAGGATACTACTGGCGTCAGCACGGATAGCCCATCTTAGGCTAGAGCCAGGTGAAGCCATGCTGCGCTGGACATTCGCGCTTGAACAAGTTAGTCACATGCATCCTCTCGGTTCAAGTGGTGGGTTTATAGCCGCCGTGTGCCACTTGTCCTTGGCTCACGCACAGCTCTCGATCGGGGAGAAGGACGGTGCTCGTCTCTCATGGACAACAGGGCTGAAAATCTTAGCAAGCGAGAAATGCGAATTCTGGATTCCTGTTGTGCCTACGGCTTGGGTTCAGAGGGTAGCCGGAGATATATACCATTCGCAAGGCTGGCCCTTTCGCATGATGCTACCGGGAGGAAAGCCGGATATCACGCAGCATTATTTTCAAGGTAGTAATCATAGCATTTAAAATCGGCTCTGGTTCAGATTACCTTTCAGGTGTGTTGGAAAACAGCGGTGAGGGGATGCTAAGTCAAAAGGTGAATTGAATCGGGATGGTTTCAGTTCTATTGGTGCTTGGAGGAGGGATTATTGACATGTTGCGAAGCAGCCCACTGCGTATGAAATCGGCATATTGCATCTTGGTATACGAGATTGACTCTCTATAGGATGATTTACAAGCCACAAGCATAAGCTCAAGAGCTAATTTGAACTTCACGGCCTATCAGTACCTGCGACAGTGATGAGCCCAGTTTACCGCAATTAAGCATGGTAGAAATTTCTTCCAAGTTTAGGCTTTTATATATTGAGATATGCTTTTGGTAACTTGACTAGATCTAGCAAAGTAACTCCAACGTCTTGGTGCATTGTAAATATCCCAAGCCAAGCACTGCAAGTCATAGAACTCGGCGGGTAGAGAGCGGGATGTGTTTTGGCCAGACCAACACTCGCTGACAGCAGATTCCAGCACATAGTTAAAGTCTCTGGCGAGTGGCCATCGTTTCGCGGCAACGTGGAATGAGTAGATGAGGAGATAAAGCTTCTCTGGTACGGCCGTACCGATCGCCTGAGAGTATATAATGTAGAAACGAGCCGCAACAATAACACATGACAAGATATGGGGGTTCATTGTTTCGAGTGTTTTATCGCTTGCACCTCGTATAACTTCGACCATCTCATCGCAGGTCGCCAAGCAACGTTCACAAGCTGAAGGCCAAAGTGGGTTTGATCCAGATGCGCCAGTGATCGGCAATATGGGCCGCTGGTGTAATGAGATGACAGCGCTGTGTATAGTGCACAGTATGAGGATGCTGTTTGGATGTTGGCCTTGAGTTGGGCTGGCGCTGTTGTTAAGCAGAAACGGATCCGAATAGAGGGGTGAACTGTAAGCAAGTATCCCTTCAAACTCGGCCTTCCAAGATATCAAACGCCGATAAATCATATCACAGTTTGCTCTTCTGCCGTCGAGATCTGTGGAAGACTCCGGGCTGTACGATTCTTGTAAGAATTGATGAAGCTGCCACAGCCTCTCAGTTGCCAAGCTGGCGAAAAGAGAAAATGAAGATGATGTTACTGAGCTGCCAAAGAGGTAGGTATCCATCATTAATTCAGGGTTGTCCCAGATCTCGTCGTCGCAAGGTACGGCGGCTCCGGGCTTGGGGCGGTATACAGATAAATTCCATGCAACACCAAGAGTAGACACGGAGTTCAACGCCTCCATCATCCAGAAAGCGCGAACTTTTTCTTCTCGTTCCACGGCTGTCAAAGGAAATGAGAGCATTCGTAGTGGTATTGCAGAAGCGACGCCAAAATTACTGCCATGAAAATCGACCAAATCTCGTAGGCCAAGCTGCATGCTTATTCTGTCTCGTTCAGCAACGAAGGAAATGAAAAACGGGATAAGACTTTGTATTACCTGATGCAAATTCCCATTATGTTGTAAAACTCTGTCATGCGACCCGAGCCAAAAATTGGAATTGTCAGGATAAGGAGTGGCTGAAGAGATGAAAGAGACAGGTTATGAATGGAGTTGGTTATGATCCCGTCGGTGAACATCGAAAGTCGGTCTTTTTCCACGGAGATGTCCGGCTCGGGACCTGTTGGCTGCGTTGTAAGGATGACAGCACGGATGGCCTTGAGAACAACCGGAACGGGTTCCCTTTGGCCATGAGCATGCTGTTGACAGATTTCCGAGACCGAGGGTTGGCGCAAGATAGGGAACCAAGAGTGATACTCATCGAACCAGATAGCACAGTAACATGTAATATCGTGCTCAGGAAGGGGACCCAGTTGGTAAGACGCGGCGCCATGCACTTACGGGCAGCCCTAGCCCGCCTCGGCTTAGGAACTGTAAACAGTGTTTAGAGTACTTGCCCTTGCGATATGAGAAGGAATCATTTAAACAAGATCAAGAACACCAGCCAAGCAACCACACTGGTCTCTGATCTGACAAATGAAACCTCGTCTCAAAGTTTTGCCTATCTGTTGATCCCGACTTTTAAGATGAGCCCTGTCACTTCACACCACGAGTATCCGCCCTTTCCAGACGGTGTCGGCACGGCGCCGTTGGTGTCTATCTCCCTTGCCAAGCTTAAAAAGGGAGACAAGGATGAGTTTGCCCATCTTTTTCAAGCTTCAAGGGAGCTTGGCTTCTTCTACATAGACATGGTGAGATCTAGCCTGGGCGAAAGGATCATCCAGCAAGCTGAAAGTCTTCAACTTTTGCAAAAACAATCCTTTCAATTGCCGAAGGAAGAAAAAGAGGTCTTCAATGCCAGGTTGAAGACTTATTTCTCTTATAGAGCCATGGAGACCACGTTCCCAGACGCCGATGGTGGACTCAAGCGGAACGAGAGTTACAATGTTTGTTCTTACTTGCCTCTGTTCCTATATGGGAAACCTTTTGACGTTAGATGCTAAGAACTTTTGGAAATACAGATCCGCAAGGACGATTTTGCTTAAGATAGCCAAGGGTTTCCTGTCCATCCGTTGATCTGGAAGCACGGGTCCAACTCCTGTAGTATACGCGTGACTATCGCCGTGCTACTGATACCATATTGGAGTGCCTGAAAGAAAGCCTTGGGCTCCCCGTTGGTACGCTAAAGAATCTGCATCGGTTTAACCGGCGCTCGGGGGATCATATTCGCTTCACCCAAGCTGCCACTATTCCATATAACGAAAAGAGGGCCAAGGGCGGGGAGCATATGGACTTTGGAACACTTACGGTCCTGTTCAATTGGCTGGGAGGACTGCACATCCGCATGCCTACAGATGGACGATGGCTTTATATGAAGCCAGTGCCCGGATCAGCCATCGTGAACCTGGGCGATCCTATGGTCATTTTCACCGCGGGCATCTTGCGATCCAATATTTATCGGGTTGTTCCTCCCCCGAACGCAGTCTGAATTGGTCCGACAAAGGTTGGTGTTTTTCTGTCGTCCCGAGGATGATGTGATCGTCAAAGCGTTTGAAAGGCGGTCTGATAGACGCTCAACCCGTACTAGATGCGGGTAAATGTCTTCCCGAGATACCTAGCCACGAGTTCATCACAAGACGGACAATGGGTGACCTCAAAGGAGTGTACATATGTGAAGGTGGCCTGGAACAGCTGGAAGAGTACACCATATAAGAGTTGGATGGTAACATGTTTTCATGTCAACGGTAGACAAAGTCTTGAGAATGGGCTGAATTTTCACGATATAATAAGCGCAATCGCTGTGTCCAAGCTTTCGTGTGAACCTTGTATATTGATTGGAACTTTTGCAAACACCCAGCAACCCGACTGATTTGACTTCTCTCAGAAGTAACATGACTCACCCAGATGACTGATCGCCCAACGGAAAGGAAGCTGACAGGCTTCTTACAAAGCATAAGAACTTTAATCTGATCACAGTGATAGGCAAGCTTACTGCAATGCAATTAGAAAACTCAAAATTGTGTGAGCATGAGAGCATTGAGATGGAGTAATGGAGAGCTTTAGTTTTAGCTTCTAGCTTGCCGTTTATATTGTGAAAACCATCTCTACCATTATGTATATGTTACCGTACTGAAGATCTTTTATAGATATGCAGCAAGGGTGAGATTTACGCTGAAGTCAATGTACCGCCTTTAAATGCACGGAACGATCGATACCGCTGACGACTGAGGGTAGCACGATCACACCTAGCCTTTTGCTCCTGGCCACATACAGTTTTGAATCATCACAAAGCGGGCATGCACCCGATGAGGAGTCGATGCTTTGACTCACTACATCATATGGCGCGGTTCATTGTTCGTCCTGACTGAAATTTGGTGACTCATCAATACGGATCAAATTTAAGTCGTAGATAAAAGAACTTAACCGTCATGAGGAGTTCAAGACGGGGCATTCTACCCTACTCTTCAGAAGATGACCAGGTCTGCCTCCAAGACCCGCCAATGGAGAAGTCCGCCACCCCAGCTCCAAATCCATGGTGCTTTGCCGGTTATCAACGCATTCAATCAACTGAAGACGTAATTCTTCCGCGGAGAAAGGAATTGAGCTGGTACAAGCAATATACATACAGTATCATAGTGACTCGATGTATACCACGGGCCGTTACTTGATAGTGTGGGTGTATCTCGGGCCGTCTACCAGCAAAGGGCCCGAGCGAATACCAGCTCAGATATTTGCCGCGTGGCTCTACATGGCCCGAAGCCAGGCGATGATATCTGGGGCCCCGCGATTAGATCTTGGTAAAGGATTCAGTCATTTGTGACAGGCAGACTCGAACTTTTGTTGAATGCAGCATCAGCTCCGGGACCCCATTCTTCTTCTACTTTCACCATCGTCTTTATCCTTTGCCTACCTTGCAACAAATATCACCACGACAGTCAGAATGGAGAAGCACGGCCAAGATAGTACAATGCTGAAGGATTCTACGGACTAACCCCAAACCGACTTTGACATCGGTAATGGGGAACAGCAAATTATAAATGAACGGCCCCAAATGCCTGGCCTACAACGTCGACTTCGAAGCCGGCACTTACAAATGATTGCATCGGTTCGTAACATGTAGCCAAGTCATAGGAACGGGACCCTCTTACCAACATTTCTTAGGTGGCACCATTGGCACTGGTCTCTTCATTGGAAGTGGATCAGAAATATCCTATGGCGGTCCTGTCGGAGCCATGCTCGCCTTTGTGTTTGTTGGCACGATAGTCTGTTACGTGATGACATCGCTGGGAGAGATCGCAACCTATCTTCCTATTCCTGGAAGATTTGCCCCGTACGCCGCAAGGCTCATAGATCCCAGCCTAGGATTCGCCTTGGGCTGGATCTATTAGTTCTCTTGGGTAACGACATTTGCGCTAGAGTTAACAGCCACCGGCCTGATCATACAATATTGGGAGAACTCTATCCCAATCGCTATTTTCATTGCTGTTTTCTGGGTACTGATAGTTGCACTTAACCTGCTCCGGGTTACCTTCTACGGTGAGATCGAGTTTTGGCTATCAAGCGTTAAGGTACTGACAATCATCGGCTTCATGATCTTTGCCATTTGCATTAATGCTGGAGTTGGTGCTGAGGGATACTTTGGTTTCCGCTACTGGGTGAAACCTGGGCCATTTAATGAATACTTGATCAAAGACAACCCTGCACTTGCCAGATTCGTCGGGTTGTGGGCCGTCATGATCAAAGCTGGGTTCGCTTATGGAGGAACGGAGCTTATTGGTATGGCCGTCGGTGAGGCAGAGAATCCACGAAAAGCCATCCCCTCTGCGATCCGGAAAGTGTTTTATCGCATAGCATTCTTCTTCGTCTTCACCGTAGTATTTATCGGTATCATTGTTCCTCCCAACGACCATCGTCTCACTGCAAGCGCTGAGGGTGGTGCGAGCGGCACCAACGCCAACGCGTCACCTTTGGTCCTTGCAGCCAAGCGAGCTGGCGTCAAGGTCTTACCATCACTCATCAACTCGGTCTTCCTTACTGTGGTTCTCTCGGCTGCCAATTCCAACGTTTACACTGCTAGCAGGACTTTGATTGGCTAGGAACAGGAGGGCTTCGCCCTTCGCATCTTTACCAAGACCACGAAATCGGGAGTTCGTACTGGAGTTTGCTGTTCACGTCCCTTTTTGGTCTCTTGGGCTTTTTGAATGTGTCAAATACTGGAAGTACCGTTTTCGAATGGTTAATGCAGATGGTTGGTCTGGCTGGCTTCGTCACCTGGGCATCACTCAATGCTTGCCACCTAGCCTTTATGAACACATTGAAAGCTCGGGAAATCAGCCATGATACCTTACCATACAAGGCTTTCTGGCAGCCATAGTTTTCCTACTATGGCATATTTTTTAACGTCCTCATTATGTTTACTCAAGGATTTACTGCTTTTATTCCGCACTTAAAGGTTGTCGATTTCTTTATTAACTACCTCAGTCTCATTCTTCTCGTTCTGCTTTGGATTGGTCACAGGCTTATCTTTCGGCCTACATCTTTCAGGCCTGGTGAAGCTGATATTGACACTGGTCGAGTTGATGATCAAGATCGTTGATACTGGGTTCGAGCGTTTTGTTAGTCTCCGGGTACATCAGCAAGTAAAGACATCAGGTTGGCCTGAGGTTATGTAGACCAAGACATGACACTGTACATATATAATTATATATCTATATAGACCTAATGTTACCTTCAGAAAGGATATTCCATGTAATAGAAGGCCTATTTACAAACTGGCATAATATGTTAAAAAATGAGGAATAGCTTTTCATGTGTATCTTCACGTGCTGGTAAAGGAAGGCTTAAGTCTATATGCCCTGTTTAGCCTGGTTATAACAAACAAACAGGAACGAAGGACTTTCCGAAGCCGGGAGCGGACTTTCCTAGCCACAGGCCAATGCAAATACAGGACTTAGGGGCGGAGTTGACAGCACGGCGTATTTCACCACAGTTAAGCTTGTGGCCTGTCTGCAGGCCAATGCGGACACTGGATTTAAGGACGGGGTTAACGGTCAGGCGATATCACTACGCATTCAGCTAAGTGACTGATAAACACAATTTAAATATGGCGCTTGCCAACAAGAATCATACTCATAAACACTGTTAAATGTTATTCTTATATATCCGTGTTGCACTCAAAGGACAGGATTATAGAGAAAGAGAGAGGACGATGACTGACATTTTCAATATCCCAAACTCCGCCAATAGCGTTTCGGTATCCATCATCGACAGCACAACGATGATCAAAGGAGTTCCGCCACAAGCATTCATGAAACCTCAGTATCCTGGCCACGATTCCCTCATACTACCTTCATACTCATTCCTCATCCACAATAAACGGCTGGATCGCACGATAATCTATGATCTCGCCGTGAGAAAGGATTGGGAAACCTCGTCACCACCAGCTCTCCAGCAACAGCTAAAGCTCGCCAACATTTCTGTCCAAAAGGACATTCGAGATATACTCGAAGAAGGAGGTGTAAATCTTGAATCTGTCGAGGCAGTGGTTTAGAGTCATTAGCAGTTTTGACCACATTAGAAATCCTAGCCGGTTTGAGAAAAACACCAAGCTCATCGTCGGTCCTGGCTTCAAGCAAAATCTCCTCCCATGCTACCCTACCATCAGGAACTCTACGATCAACGAAAAGGACCTCATGGGACGCGATTTGTACGAACTTGAATTCTCTGATACTGGACCTAAAGTCGGCCGCTTCCCTGCATTTGACTATTTCGGCGACGGGTGCTTCTACTCTCTTGATACTCCGGGGCATGCCGTTGGGCACATCTCTGGCTTCGCCAGGGTGTCTTCCAATCCGGATAGCTTCATTCTGATGGGAGGGGATACTTGCCACCATGGTGGATAGCTTCGCCCCAGCCCCCAGCTGCCACTGCCCGATTGTATCGTGCCCAACCCTTTATTGCTGGGCCGCACACCTGCGCCGCCCTGCCCAGGAGCGATATTCGAGGCGCTCCTCGCTGATAAAGGCAGAGACAAGCCTTTCTACTGCCCTGCGGGTCCTATTCACCATGACCAGGAGGAGACTAGACGAACGATTGTGAAGTTTCAGGAAGCGGGTGGGAGGGATGATATCTTTGTGGTGCTTGCTCATGATGAAGTACTCTTGGATGTCGTCGATTTCTTCCCAAACACCGCTAATGACTTTTTGAACAAAGGATGGGTACAGAAGAGCCGCTGGTTATTCCTTCGAGACTTGGCACGTCCAGCTGGTTACGCAGGGGGATCATCATTCCGCAGAGGTAAAGGTCGTGCTGATGAGATGGGTTGTGTATTATGTAGGCAGTTGATTTAGTGTTTTCTAGTATAGTTGAAATGCAGATGGTACCTTAAAGCAAACTTGAGACATGGCGTTTTATGCAAATATTGTGTGTAATATCTCTACTATATCCACGGCCAGCTAGCCCGTAGACTCACAGCAATACATCCGCCATGCCAAATGGAAAGATTTGGGATGAAAGGCATGCAATGATTCTTGTGAGAAACAATCGCTAAACTAGTCAAAACGATTCATCTGATTTAGCACTATCTATTGATGAAGATGGCCAAACTCGCGCCACCAGCGAAATGAATTGCTGTCATGTCTAATGATTTAATGAAAGTAATTTCCAGCTGTTTTCTTCGCTTTGGTCCACGCACTATCCAAAACCGCCACCACGTCGTCCGGCAGGGGTCCTAGCTCCAAGTACCTCAGATTTTCTTCTAGCTGTTTTATACTACTTGCGCCAATTATGATAGCATCGCCATGATCTTTGCTTAATTTGGAATGGTGCATCATCCAGCGTAGCGCACATTCTGCTTCTGTGATACTGTGCTGTCCAACTGCGTGCCTGATCTCATCGAGCGCAGAGAACATGGCCTCGTTCCAGTAACGGCTTCGGTATATCTGACCTTGACTGGTATTTGGGTCAAATCGGGACCCTTGCTCGACATCAGAGAGACCAACTCGATATCTTGAAGTCAGGTAGCCTCCAGCCAGGGGGTTAAAGGCATGAAAAGACATTTCATAGTGTCTGAGGCAGGGGAAAAGCTCAGGTTCAACACCACGGTGAATGGCGTTGTACAGACCCTGATAAACCATAGGCCGGATCCAGTTGTTCCTGATGCAGATCTCTTGAATCATTGCAACCTCCCAAGCCATGAAGTTGCTGATTCCGAGGTGGTTGAAGTATCCCTCATGATGCAGCTCGTTGAGTGCACGGAGTGTAACCTCGAACGGTGTATTACGATCCGGGCCATGCAGGTAATACAGATGCACCTTGTTGGTCTTAAGAGCTTTCAAAGATTTCAGGAGATTGGCTCTCAGGTCGTCTGGTTGGTAAGTCAGGCCAGGGGTTCCAAATGGGTAAGCCTTGGTTGCCATAACAAGTTTCCGTCCTTGCCAATTCGTGCCGCCAAGATATTCCTCAGAGGAACCATTTCCGTAGTAGCGAGCCGTATCAATTTGGTTATGGCCGTGGTTTTGGAACACATTGAGAAATGCTGCAACGTCCTATGGGTCATGAATGCGTGTTTGTTCAACTCCTGTATGCGTCAGTATGAGTTAACGTGTCTGGGACTGTAGAAAACTTGCCTGCCTTGCCAATTGTCATGGCACCAAGAATAATCGGCAGTTTCGTCTTCTCCATAGTATTGGCTTTTATCACTTAATCCCAAGGTGATGCTAAAGGTGTTATCTGCGACTGTATTCCAGAGGATGTGTTGCGTTGGACTGAGTTGGCCCATTTAAACTCAGAGTAACCTGGAACACCAGTCCATCTGCAACATAGTATTTACGCTTGATTTATCTCCGTAAACCCGAAATACTGCATGACCAGGCATACTACGGAGTAAGAATGTCCACAACCTGAACTGCCGATGTGCTAGTGCCCTAGGTGGGGAACTGGCTCTGTACACAGGGGCCAAGCTGGCTTGCACAGTCCCCGCTTCCTGAAAAGCGCTGAAATGCACGGTTACGGTGCTGGCCTAAGCATCACCAACCTGCACATCAATAAGGTTTTCGGCGTTAAGGCTCACAAAATGCATAAACATGCCCTTAACTCCCCGAGTATGCTTTAACGCCGCCCATAGCCTTGATCGGGAGTGATATTAGAAGGGAAAAAAGGGGATAACTAGGTTGAAAGCTTGTCCCAGCATATAAGGCTGTTAAAAGTAGCTCTGCATCAGATTATCTACACCCTCAGCTTCACACCGTTCTTAAATTGAAATATTTCTATACGAGATTATCACTCACGCTTCTCATCATGTCGACAGTTTCTTCTAGAGTTGCTATTGTCACCGGCGGCACATCCGGCATCGGAAAAGAGACAGCAGTCCTCCTTGCCAGTGAAGGATGGAGAGTCGTCGTGTCTGGAAGGAATGAGAATGCAGGTAAACAGGTGAGTTCGCAAGAGTGTCATCATTCATCAAACTTCTAGTTGCTGAAGATCATGCTAGGTTGTTGAGGACATCAAGGCTTCTGGGGGAGAAGCGACTTTCGTCAAATGTGACGTCTCCGTTGAAGACAGCATCCGCAAGCTTGTGGATGAGACCGTCAGGATCTACGGCAAGCTAGATGGTTGCGTCAACAATGCTGGCATCGCCACTGATGTCGCGCCATTTGTCGACTTGAAAGCCGAAGAATTTGAGAAGATGATCCGCACCAACATAATGGGTGTTTTCTGGTGCATGAAATATCAAGTGAGTTCAGCCTTGCCACCAGTACTAGCGTTTTATACTGAGGATACGTGTCTCAGCTCAAGCAAATGCTCCCGCAAAAGTCCGGCAGCATCGTCAACCTTGCATCCATGGCAGGATTGAACGGCGTTCGAGCAAGCGCCAGCTATTCCGCAACCAAGCATGCGGTGAGTCTCTTCTTGGATAGTTTCTTGACGACTACTTCTAACTTATTGCTTTTCCTTATGCAGGTGGTTGGACTTACCAAGAGCGTTGCTATAGATTACGCCACCGAGGGGGTAAGGATCAACGCCATTGCCCCAGGAGCGATCAAAACAGATCTTATCCAAAATGCTATCGATTCAGGTTCCTATAGCGAGGAGAGTCTTGCTGCAATGTTTCCCATGAAACGCATGGGTGAGCCTATCGACATTGCAAAGGGTATCAGCTTTCTGCTGAACAATGACTATGCAACTGGCACGATTCTGAATGTTGATGGAGGGTTGTATGCGCAGTGAGCAGGCGAATTGTTGATTGGTCGGTGTATAGCCAGATAGAATTTCGTATCAAATACAGAGGAAGTCTTTGAGAGCATGTTTGAACATTTGTTAAGGTGATGGCCTAAACGTATTAAGAAACCAGTACTGGCAAAAGACTCCCAGCCTCATTAAGAAGAAATATGTCAGTATACTAAGCATACTAAATATGTAGCTCAGGCACGATCAATGCACACAAGGCGCCAAGGGAGGGCGCAGGTGTTACTGGCATGGCTGGAAGCGTCCAAATAAGCTCCAACTACTAACGTAAGACGGTGCAACATTACTCGTCTCTAAGTGGGGCGAGGACGGAGTTGGAGAGATTAGGCAGTCTTATCCTAACTCCCCGGAGGTAGTGAGGCTTTTCAGATGAGCCGCGCGGTCCCAACATAGCATTACCTAAATTAAATCTGCAAACCGGTTTCAGTATTGGTTTGTGGCAACAAGCTATAGTGTATGACTACGCTTTGCTGATGAAAATTTCATCAGAATACCGGTCAAATTCTTAATGATGCGCTAGGCAGACAATGATCATGGAAACCGTTCTGGTAATCGGGGCCACTGGCAACATTGGCGTATCTGCTGTCCGGGCTGCCCTCAACACTGGCCGAAATGTCATTGCCGTAGTACGAAACAAAGCCAGCACCAACAAGTTGATTCGAACCGTCGGAACATCCAAGGGCATAACATTCGCAGAGGCCGATGTCACGTCCCCAGACAGTGTCCAAGGCGTTGTTCAACGCGTGCTGGAAGGACAACTGCCATCCTTCCACCATGTCTACTCGTCAGGTACGTGAATTTAGAGTCGAGGTCATGGGCCAATGTTAACAACGTGACAGTCGGAACTTTCGACCTTACTCCCCGCATCACAGACCTAAGTACAGAAGCGTTTCGAAGGGCCATGAATGTCAATGTTGACGCCAATTTTTGTGAGTCTGCTATCACATAGCGTACCCTGTAGCTGAACACGTCTTACTTGTTCAAGTCGCCTACCGAGCGACAGTCCCGTACCTGCTTGAGCAGGATTATGAAAAGAGCACATGGACCCTTGTGACAGGAGCCGCAAGTGATAGTGGTGTAAGTTACCGGCCAACTCCAACCGAAGCGATCTATTCCGGCTGACCATCTCATTTCCTGTGGGCTGGTGTTACGGCAATTAGCCAAGGGGCTCTATACTCCCTGGCGACTGTCGTTTGTCGAGAATTGGACCATACAAATGTTCGTTTCAACGAGGTCTGGCTCGCATTCCGAGTTGAGCATGATGAAATAGCAGCAAAGAATGGCAGCATTGGCTCATCTGTCCTGGCTCCGCATTACGAGCAAATTCTGACGCGGCCAGAAATAAGTGCCAGCCGGGTCCGCCTTGCAAAACCCGCGGACATCGCCAATTTTACGTATTCTAAGAAGTTGGGCTGAGGGGGGAAATCATGCTACTACAAAGTTTTTTAAATACATTTGTTATTCTTATTGTCACGACGGGGCGCCAAGCAAGACATACCTGGACGTTTCCCCCTGCAAGCCATTGCGTTCAACTGGAGAGTAAACGTAACCCCAGCTGTATAGATAGCTCAATTCCCAAAGGTGAATGACCATTGACCAGCCCAACAACTGTCCGCCCGTAGCAGTGCCCATCTTGGATAGACCGCCATGGCTGCTACATGGTAAAGTGTTAAAGAGTACCCTTATTTTACACAACTGGCGCTGAGAGAAAGGGGAAGCAAAAATGAGAGGGAGCAAAAAGCAGCAGAGTCTCATGGTAACAAAGGCAAAGAGACTTCTAAGCTTCAGCTTGACAAGAAAGGCATAATTAGCAATCACTGTTTAAGAGAGTTATTGGGAGTAACCTATTACATGTAGAACAAGTATCTGTCTATTCTATGAACGAAAATATCTAGAGTTAAAAGGAAAGCCTACTCATGACCTCGGGGGAGACATGATTTAAATATAGTCTAAATACTCGGTTACCCTTACCGGAGGGATTTCATCTGATATTTATTCTCTCTTGTCAATGACCAGTTTGATGGCTATTCTTAAAGACTCACTATTTACGCAACCCCAGCTCCCATCCACACCATATACAGAAGCAGTAAAAAGACTAGCTTTATTGCCTATCCAGATGTCAGGACAGCCAGAAGAGGCAAGGGGGTTAGCCATGTATACTCTGGAGGAATCCATTCACATGCGTAATATCTGACGGCTCCGCCTTTCGACCTAAGGCTTAATGAGTTGTAGTCAAATCTGGGCAAAGTTGTCGAGATGTCCCTGTGCCTACCCAATGTTGTATTGAGCGTGCTGCAATTGAAATTCCCTGGTGGAGCCTGAAGAAAGGAGCACCCATGCGGCCGTCGTCTATCGACCCAGCCGAGGACTTCTCGACTTTTCCGACGTCCATAATCACAAGATTTCGGCTGTCTAATGCTTTCTCCTCTGTTGTTACCCCCTGTTTTATCTCAATTTTGTTCGAAGCAGGACTGCGGATTAGACGGCTTTTTAGAGATGCTGCCATGGATGATTGCCCTTCATCCATGTGTAAGGTTTGTGCGGGCAGCTTTGGAGACGGTCTAACTCTATGCATCCAACATTGGAAGGCAAGGCATTGAAAGTCACGAGAGTCTGCTCCCTGCCTCGTGGTACAGTACCTTTTGTATCTATAATGCCCCAATATTCCACGTCGCTGCGCCATTGCACCCTGCAATGACGGCAGAAGTTGGCGTAAAGGGGATTCTTAGTTCACTGTGCCACTGCTCACGTTGAAGCAATGTCTGTCATTCCTGAACTATCGCACCGTAAGATAGATTTCAACGTAATGTGCTGCTGGTTTGCGCCAAAACATCACATTATGGCCTGTCCATCAAAGTCGCACGAGTCATTGGCGGGGCTAAACACCGAGAGAAGTGCCCTGGCGAAAGACAACCCTCACTACCCTCTCACCTTTGAAAATTAATTCAACGCAACCGTACCCCGCCCCAAAGGAGAATTTACCTCTCGGTCCGGCGGTTTTAGTCTCTTTGGTATAGTTCCGAGGAGTTCGCTCACATTTAGACTAACACTTTCCAGAGCTCCGATCGTGATGACATGGCGGTGCTAACACTTCTGTGCCTTGGAACAACAAAATGCAATATGGGTCTTCACCGACATATAGATGGAGCATCCAGCAACCGATTGCACATCCGTATGTAAATCACCAGACTTGCATGTATGGTTACACCCATTTCATGGCGTCATGTATGAGATATAGTCCATTCTGAGAGCAATAGCTACTTAATGTCCAGTCTGTGTGAATTTAGCGGCACTGATTGCAGTATCTAATTGAACTAAGCATACATCACCCATAGAGGCTGCGCGAGAAAGCTCCCTCCATTTAGTCAATGATGGGAAGCATTAGATACGACTCGTAAGAAGAGCCCGAGTATATGTAGTGCTTGCCTTGCTTGACAGTTCGCTCGTGGAACTGCACTACATCCGGTGTCGACTGTCGGAAGCAGTCGTTACCCTGTATCTTGATCCTCAATGTCTCACCGGGGCGGAACAGCGTCGATGTGCGGAGGATCTCAATGTCGACTGGGACAACTTCATCCGGTTGAAGAAGCAACCGCCTGGTGTGAGGATGCCAAGGTCTATCAGTGGTGCTGCGGTTGATAACAAGTTCTCGGTGGCTGACACGAAGCCAGCCGAGGCCAAGAGGTCCATCGTCGACCATGGAGAAAGCCACAAACGGTGCAACCTTACCGTCGACACCAATCTTGTCCAGCTGCACAAACAGGTCCATGTCGTCTCCCTTCTCCGTCGAAACGTAGAGCCTGAGCCGCATGCCTCCCGTAAGTTCCGTGTCCTTGGTAAATTCGTGCGTAAAGTGCACACACTTGTCCTGCACAGTGGACTCGTAAGACGCGACTGACGTTTCTTCCGGCTCATTCGGCCCGAGCTGCATCGACCCCGAGTCAAGATAGCACTTTGTGTACTTGGTGCGAGCCAGAGGCCACTCGTTCTCACCTCGAAACATTCCCTGCCACGCCCGGTCCCGGACCTCCATCCTCACCCGAGGAAAGCTATCAACCTCGCTCTCCTCTCCCTTGAGGTACTTCTTGAAGAAGGCATCTTGTCGGGAAACGCTCTCCTCCTCGAAAAAGTAGCGCCACTTCTTGCGGCCGTGGATCTCAAGCCACTTGTCCTTGGAGCTAACCCCTGTCCAGCCGTTGAGGCATCCGCGGGTGTGCATGCCGTGGTCACCCCAGTCAATGACAGCATAGACAGGCGCAGTGATGTTGGAAAGAGTTTCGTACTTGTCCTTGGAGCGGTGGTAGTCGTCGTACAGTGGATGCTCTTCGTGATTCTTGATCCAATCTTCGACATAGTTAGGGCCACAACGGCAAGACCACATGGTAAAGTCCATAAACTTGGTCTCAGGGATACCGCCGTGGTGACTGTAGTCCCGATAGAGGTCTGTGAATCCCTCCCAGGGCATGAAGCAGGCAAGATGCGGGGGCTTGGTCGCTGCGATTCCCCATTGAATGATGGCAAGGTACGAGACTCCGACCATCCCGACCTTGCCGTTGGACCAGGGCTGTGTGCCCAGCCATTCGATCAGATCATGGCCGTCCTTGCTCTCCTGCTTGCTGAAGATCTCCAGGTTACTCTCTGATCCCCAAGATCCGCGGCTATCGCCATTCACAACGATGTAGCCCTTCTTGGTCCAAGTGATAGGGTCGACTCCCTCCCAGGCTGCATACTTTGAGACCCATCCATCAGGGACTCCAGAGCCAGGGAATATGGCGAACGTCTTGGGCCCGTGCTTGCCATATGGACTCATGGTGAGAATGACGGGAAGTTTGCCCTTTGCACCTTCAGGACGGAAAATGTCGGCATATATCTTGATGCCATCACTCATGGGGACAGGTACATCCCAGGTGACTTCCATACCATCCGCAACCTCCTTCTGATTGATTCGGAGGCCAGGATGTTTGCCTTCCTCAGGGTCGAGACCCTTTCTCCAATAGAAAGGATGAACGCCCATCTTGTTGAGATTCTGGATGTCTTTGATGGCTTCGGATGTCATGATGAGTGTAGAAAGAGGTGAATTTGATCGTATGAGAAGAATACCTCAGTGAAGTTGTGCGACGAGCAAAAGTCTGGGGGCTTCTACAAGGTCTATTATACCGTGGGAAAGCACATAGCTTTCCATCGAATCGACAACTTTAGGCTCCAAAGCCTACTCCATTTGGGAAACTCTACAACACCGAAGCCCGAAGCAGAATACTCACATCCTATGGTCAGCTCGGTAGGCACCATTTTGAGCCTATCGGAATACGTGCCAATCTCCCCGCACAAGTTCCGAAATATTCGGCATTTGACCCCAGCTCAGTTACCCCCTATCTCCCCCCGTACCCCGTACCCCGTGGGGGATCTATCCAACTGTGAGTGGTTACAGTCTCTTATGATGGCACAATACCTGATTCTGCGGGGAGGACAACATCTAACAGGTCTTGAGGCTTTGAGCTTTGGGAAAATGTCCATTGCCAGACATAACAGAGCCTATAAGTAAGCCGCGTAGCCACCATTTCTAATCTTTCCCGTAATCCTTTTTGGGCTATTATCTTGTCTTCAAAGATTCTATAGCCATGGCTTCTACATCGATAGTCCAAGTTTCTCGGGATAACCTAGGAGTATTCCACATCTCCGATGTCCCTGATGAAACAATTAAGACTGCCAACGAGCTGCTACAGGCAAACCATGAAGAACATCACGTATTCTTCAATGATCGAGGTTTTCACAATCACGTTGCTCATTACATACTGACGCAAGCTGCCTTAGGAGCTACTCCAACGCAAATGCATCGAGCCTACATTCAAGAAAAGACGCTTCAGCGACCGCAGCATCCTCTGGATGAAGAAGTAGTCAGCAAACTCAAGGATGAAAATTATTTCCTCACTTGTCTTTCTCGTGCTGAGAATTATCATAACTACTTGCGATTCTTTGAGCGTCAAATTGCTGAGCGTGGGGTCAGTTCTGTTGTTCATGAATATCTCTTCTCACGCTCGCGGATCGCAGAAGCCCTTCTTTCACGGATGTTTGCAAGTCAGTACTCCCAATGCTATGTGGATTCACTTTAACTAATGTCTCAACACTGCAGGCTTTCTACATCCTGTGATTCACTTTGGATTCGGGGTTGAGTTCAATCAGCCTGCCATCATTGCTGAAGGGCTTGCCCAGAGTGCTGTCCACCATCCTGAAGTGGCCCGCTTTTACAGGGGCATACAAGCTGCCGAGAGGTCATTTACAGACAAGCCGAGTCGACCTATGATCGATCTCATCAGGGACATAGAACATAACGAGGCGATCCGCTCGGCTCCCTGTTGGGGAGATGGAAACTGGATTGACGACAATCCACTCGGCAAAGCTCCAGAGGAGTTGTGGAAGATTGCGGCGCAGTGGAAAGTCTCTCCAAAAGAGCTGGAGCTCAAACCAGCCGAAATGATCAACGTTTGCACATTCTATACCGCCACCGCTCAGCGACCAGAAAAGCAGCAGAAACTCGACTTTTTCCTGATCCACGACGTCAATTGCTCCATCTTCTTTTCTGCGCTTCTTGAAAAAGACTGGATGTCTGATGAAGACAAGGCTCGATTGTTGGAGTGGAAGGGTCGCTTCTATATTGTCGCCTACGCCGCAAGAGGCAGCCCTCGGATGCTGATTGACGAAGTTGTCAACTATCAACCCAAGAAGCCAGAGATGGGTTGGGAACAACTCTTTAAGCGTGCCAACGCTTTTCTAGATGACTCCCACGTAACTAAGCTTCTTCGGGCCCTGGCAAATGGCGAGAGAGTGTCCCGGGATTACGAGGGGAGAGCAGACTTTCCAATGAAGCAAAGCATGTTTCTCCAGACAGCACATATTGCTCTAGATTCCACTGAGGAAGCATTGTATCCGGATAGATGGGTCAAGGGCGCTGGGTTTGAGCAGCAATGGGCAAAGTTCAAGGACAGAGAATGCAGTGCTACTTTTTAGTACATCCGCTATGGGGTGATCTGGTTAATGCAAATCTATGCCTTCGTTACTTCCATACTCCTTCCGTGATTAACATGACGTCCTTCTCGAGCCACCACTCTGGTTATGGTGCAGCTATAGGTTCATTTTCTAGCCCTGCTTTTTACTTCTGCATCTCATAAAGATATCAGGGGCTATTTGTCGATTAGTGCAAAGCTTGGCCGTTTACCCATTTTCGAAAGTTACAACAGAAAGTAGTGTAGGTAATATCACTAGACATGGTGAGGATGCATTGCATGCTTACACAACGTCACTAGTCTTATATTTCTCCCTTATATAATAGTGCGTTCAAAGACCAAAAACAGGTAAGTTCTGAAACTTTACACGGGGATCAATTGCTCATTGGCACGTACAGTGATTTAGTTTGGAAATGCACAATTCAAACTCAATACTATTATACTCTAGCTATCTGAGATTGCTATGTTCTAGAGTGCCTGTTTCGCCAAGGTGTTGGTCAATACCTGGGGATCCTTGATCTAATCAGCACACGGCCCTTTGGATGGGAACGTTAGGGGCTCACCAAGTATAGCGTCAGTTGTTCAATTAAACGTCGACCATCGACTTCTTTCAGAAGAAATTGGGCTGCACTTTTATCCTCAACGACAGATCCGTCGGGGCAAGTCATTTCGTAGTTTGTCAAGATGATCAGCTCAAGTCCGGCTGGATCGTATGTATATGCCTTTAACGGTTGGTGCTTCAGTCCTGGAAAAGATTTCCAGAAGTCTTTAATATGTTTCTCGGTGGCTATTCATTTAGTAACTGCACAGCTGGACTCGAGGAATATCATACCAGCATGGCCTTTGAATACATGGCCAAACGCTCGGAACTCCCCATCTGGAGCAAACGTCTCGCTCCATGCCTTGCCCTCCTCTGGCGTTGACCCATCGAGAAGCTGATAAAAGGTATTAAAGAACTGTTTCTCTGCGTCCGTGATATGACTCGGCCAAGCAATAGCTAATTCGTTATCAGGCATTGCGTACAGCGTTACAGGTCAATCAAGGCGTTGAGGGTAATTACTACAGCGATATAAGACAATGACCGCAAGTCAGTAATGCTTGGAGTGGCTGTTGGTCACTCGAGGATATATACTTTCGGTGGTTTGCCAGTAAGTGCAAAACCCATACACCTCACTCCATATTATAGGGCTGAAAAAACCCCATGGGGCCCCGGATCCAAACGCTCGGACTAAGAACGGCAATGGCTGTCGGGGACTTAACGGCACTTACAGAGGCGAGGGGGCTGTCAGAAGATCCGGTGAGCTTATGCGACATGCTCTTTGTCTCGGAAGAGACGTAACCTCTGTTCCAGGGTCTTAATGAAGCACAAGGTGAATGAAAGGTAATGTATATGATAAAAATGTACCTACGAGAAACATTAATTATACTGCACAGGTTGCGCCCAGCGGGGGTAGTTAGGAAGCTAAAGCCGGCTTTCCCCCCTTACTCTATGCCCGAGCGGCTTGATGTCAAGGCCTGTACCCCGCCCTAAAGGAGAATCTAAATTGGGTAGTCATAAGTTACACAAGTCTGGAGAAACTGAGGGATACTGGGCCCTCCCCAATCCAATTAATTGCTGTAAGGTTCCCGTCCAACTTGCGAGACACCGTATAGCTTTATGAGTGGCCTGGTCCAACGCATCGAGAGCCACAACCGCGATAAGAGGCTAGATGACGAGAGACCATTGAGGGTGTTTCTCGATTCGTTCAGGTCGAGTTCGGTTTGATCACTTCCGCTTGGAAGTGAGTGGGGTAAGACTGGGGTGAAAGTCTGTTGTACTCCAGGTCCCTCAGCAAGTCCACAAGCTATGGAGCTAAAGGGTCTCTCTGTGGGCAAGAACCTATAGCCAGCTTCAAAGGAATAATGCCGAGATCGTGGATGCCTATAATTACACCACTTTCTGATATGGTGCTGCTGAGGAAGTGGAGACGGCCTAGTGCCAGTCCCAGATATTGAGACAACGAGCTAGGTTGGACAATCCGTAGTCTGTTGTAGGATGGGCTCCAGCAAAGCTTTGTGGCGGTTACCCAGGAGAGAAACTAAATAACATCTGTTTAATTTAAGTTTTTTCTGCTCTTTAAATGCGAACCCCTTGTGCTTCAGCCCTCTTGACTATGGACATCTCTTGAGCAGTCGACCGAGCGGGGCGAGGTGCCACCAGGAGTTCGTTCTTGAAGCAAGATCGGATAATGAGCGAGACTACAGGCGTTAGTCGCTAAGGACATTTGTCGATCGGAAACTCTGAGTATCTCCTGTCCATGCATTACTATTTATCTTGTTGCTCGCTCAGAGGAGACAGAGGATCAATAGCATGGTTGCGACTAGGTATTGTAGAAGAATTGGCTCAAAGGGGCGCAGGAGGTCTACTCGAGGTGGCGTCGACTGCGAGTTTATCCGAAGCTGGAGCGAGTGTAGAGAGCTATTCATGCATAGAGGGTATTCCATGTACAGGCTGATTCGTTTATCTGTTGAACAAGAGTTATAAATCGACGAGCGCGAGTGAGAGGCTCCATGGGCGCGGTCATGTTTCGGCCAAGCCAAGTAGTGCTTCACACATATCGAAAGGTCGTATCGAAAGGCTCTGGTTGTCGGAAGCTCGCGATGGTTGACTGTCGCACGCGTAATTCTAAAACAATCATCTCCAGTAAATTGGATCCGTCAGTAAATAAATGTAGTCTTGAGAACTTGGCCTGACACGCGTTTCGTGGCAGCTGGGGGCGCGGGGACGGTCGCTCCCTTGACGTCGCTGAGACAAGCGGTTGCTGATGAATGTTTCACTGTATGTACACTTAATCATGGAATCGACACAACACGGGCTTCGAAATGCGTTCGGGGCTTGATAGTAGAAGTAGGCGGTGATTAACAAGGGCGGGGTTGAGTGCATTCCATGGCATCGCAACTGACGCGCTATGGAATGTTGGAGACGCGCCGTCGCGCGCTAACTCCTCGCTTTAACCTCCCAAGGACATTTCCCCACCGATTTGCACTTTCACACTTGTTCCCGAAACGTCTGTAGATTGTCTCATTAGGTTCTGCCAGGGAAGTCAATTCTGGATCGTCCAAAGTTACTGCTGTCGTCTAGAATGGTCTTGACACCATCGGCTCAGGCTCTAACATGAACGGCATTCATCTCTGTGGTATCAATATTCAGCCTCGTACCTTTCATCCTCTCACTGCCAACCCTGAGCAGACTTGCAGTCGTTGGAGACAACAACGCCAAATGCGTTCCGTCATATGCCCCCTGTTTCTCAATGATCGTCGCGTAAACGACAAGATTCTCAGGGCTTCCACCAGGCTGAGAAAAGGAAAGGGTGTGTAGGACCCAGTTGGAAAGGTTTCAGCCCGGGCCTGGGAAAACTTGGCATGAACGCCACAGCGAGTAAGCCTGGTGATTTGTTTGTCCAATTAGTACGACAGGCTTGTCACAGGTCGACCAACGGAACAACAAGCCAAGAGTAGGTACACTTGTCGGTGAGACTACAATGGCGGTCGCCATGAGTCATTAGCCGTTACTAATATTGCCATAGCAATGAAAAGGCACCGCTGAGGATGACTGTATTTGACAAGATGTTTCGACGCGGCATGATGTATGAACACCTGTATGTGCTCAGTAATTAGTATGATCTTGTTGAGCCGAGCGCGTCAGCATGTAGTAGGCAGTCCAGGCCCTCTTTTTGGCGGGCCGTTGTCTCCGTAGGCCAGTGTGCACCTGTTGCACGCTGTAGACGTCACAGCAGGCACATGGGCGCCAGCCACTGAGAAGCAAACTTGTAGAGCTTTGGTGAACGTCGACCCGCTTGTCAGCCCACTTGTCGTATACTAAGGGAGGTGTCGCGACACGACGTTCTCTCACTCAGGTTGTCCTACCAACGCTACTTTCCCCCTCCCGGGGGGTTGAAAATTGGCGGTATGGTTACAATCACTCTCCGAAATTAACGATTCTCGGGCGACCACGAGGAGTACTGTACTGTACATATGTATCGCGCTATCTACTTGATCACAAACTTCCGGGACAAGGATCCTGCCGTTGTGTCAAACTTGCTCATCAATGAAGCGATGGACGGAACAAGCTTAGCGCAGAGAACTGACGCCCGCTTCATGGTGGTCTCGTAATGGGAGTGGCAGGCTGCCAACCCCGTGGCCGGCCTCCCATAGACCTCACCGGCGTTGGCGTGAGCTTGGGCCTGGTCAATTAAACCACGCGTGAGCAAGACCACGTTCCACTTGAATCACTATCATCACAGGGGGCGCGTGCAGATGCCATCTTGTCGTGCAAAACGCGTATCTAGTCATCAACCCATCGCAGCTTCGAGCATCTTTCCCCTTTACAATGGATCAATCACATTTCCGCTCCTTGGTGTGTTAGCCCCCTGGTATCGGGTACGTTATGTACCTCGTACCGCATGTCAGTCGTTTGTGAAACATGTCAAATGTTCAATGACTTGTAGCGGACAAGGTCTATTGTTTGCCTAATGCAGCAGTATTCTTTGTTGCCTCTATCTCTGAGATCATAGCGTATGGTCCTTGCCACGCTATCGTCGGTGTTGGTAAATGTTCCGGGCTTGTTTCTAACGGAGAGTTGAATAACCTTCCGTAGCCTGATCTCAGAGATCGACAAGATCTCGGACATGGGGGGGCCCGCACGTTAGTCAAGCCTTCCTTGTGCTGTTCGCTCAGGGGTCCACTGTAAACTTAAATTTACTACCCTGTCCCATGTTCTTCCACAGACACAATCACCGTTTTGCTGGACCAACCCATTGACGAGTTTTCCCGCTGCAATTAATGCAACGACTGGTAGTTAGCCTGTCCAAAAGCTCAAGGAGATTCTTAAACAGAGAATATCCGACACACAGTCAGAGCACATAGTGTAGCATTCCGTTTGACAATCAGTGTCGGAGGTCCATGTGTTCTGCACTAATCATGTTTCAAAGCACGCTCCAAACGGTTCATCAGCAATCAAATTTACTTAATTCTGGCTCTTCAGCCCCTTTCTCCCTTGCCGGGCGATATTCCCTACGCATTGAGGGACCTGCTGATGGCTGGCGCAGCTGGGTTCGGAGCCAAGAAGGGCAAGCTGAGCGAAGATAACGTCGTCTTCGCTTGTGGAGGTGGCGCGTGGATCCTGTCAGATCAGTGACATGGCTGAGACAACAGGCGAGCGGGCGCTAACAGCCGCCCAAAAACTCTCCCCTTACCGGTCTTCCGGCCAAGCGACAACTGTCCCCCCCCCCCCCCCCCCTCCATTCTGGTGGTTTAGTAACAAGCCACAATAAGATGGGCGGAAAGAAGCAAACTCGTGGCCTACCGTGACCTTGCACACGTCTTTGTCCGCGAACCTGAGCCAATGAGACCTCCTGACATCTCATCATGTCATTCATAAGCTCCACTCGCGTAGCGGCGGTCTGGAGCAGCGTGTCTCTGGATCAACATGGCCAAGTGACCGGCATCTTCGTTGCGGAGCAAGCTCTCCTCTCTAAAATTTATCTATTGAGTTTTCGCATTTATGCCGATTTACATCCATTCCCAAGACGGAGCAATGCTATTCTTAATAAGCATTTTTCTGGCCAAGTTTACGTGACTTTTCTCATCTCGCGTCTCTGCAGCAGGTGGCCATGACAGGATAGGCCAAAGGTCTAGACTACGCTACACTACAAACCATTGTAGAGGACCTACCGGAAGTCATTTGGTGTTTTGATCCCCTGGGGCCATTTCACTTAACCTCTGCATCATATCAAATGGATGGTCAATCAAAAACGCACAAACATTTATATCCAGATGTATTACAAAGCACTAAGACTGTCTCCTGCTACAGTAAACAGCAAAGAGTATCCAGTCCACCTCATTACCAAACACGTCCAGAAACACACTCGTCAAGACGGCTTGGGAGCCTTTCTGCTTCTGGGCTTCAGAATCCGTTTGATGACAGGATGCTTTTGTGCTATCCTGCACAACTGGGCCCTCAACCCACTAGCGGTTTTTGGTTTCCGTCTTTTATTGTATCCGGTGGTGATTGGTGTCAACGCACCAGCGGTTTTTGGTTTCCACCTTTTGTTGTATTCGGCGGTGATCGCTGTCCATTCCATACCTTTCAGTCTACAATCTACAAGGAATCTATCCTTAGGGCATAGACAATTCAATGCTTGTGTTTCGGTAGTAGGGGCCTCTGCAACGATGGTCCCAAAATGCTCTGCAGTGCTCCACGGAGCGACGGTCCCATTGCATTGGCCTGATGCTTGTTGGAAAGGATTTTGATCGACTTGCTGAGGTCCAGAATCGCATTGCAGGCTGGATAATCCATAGTCCGTTTTAGGATACACTCCAGTAAGGTTTTGTGGCCATTCCCCATAAGAGAAGCTGCCTGTTTGATAGGGCCAATTGATGATTGGGTAGGATGGGAATACGACGGCGGAGGCTGCTGAGGACTGGTGGATATGGGAATATGCCAAGGGGGTAGGCATATATAGCCAAGAGAATACAACCGGAGGTGACTTGTGTGGGATTGTCGGAAGTGTCCAATTGTTGGCCTCTGCATCAGGACACGGATACTGGTACATTGACAGCTGAGTATCCAAGGCAAGCCCACTATCAGGATAGAGAGGAGGATAAGAATCAAAATTTAGATTGCTGGATTCCATTGCCTAAGGGTGTTGAAAAGGTGTTGAAAGGTGGTGAAGGACGCTGAAGAAATGATGCGAGAGGGTGGGATTTTATACGTGTCAATGATACATGCTTCAACCCAGACATTTACCGAAGATTGTGCAACAATCATGACTTATCTTATTTTATTTGCTTTTTTGTTTTTGTTTACAGCCCTAATAACAGCTTAGGTTCTTGAAGTACAACAGAAGGCTGCGTGTCTGAGAGTCATTGAATCCACAACTCATTGGCCAGACGGCCCAGTATCACGCTCTGGAACAGAGGTAGGTGTGCCAATCCCACCGACCAGACCCTGATCCTAGAGGCCGGGGCGAGAACTACAGCCCTCAGGCATAATTCTGTCCAATCGGATTACCATCCACAATACAGGGATCTACGAGCGACAGGAAAATTGGGCATGATATGTCAATATTTCATAACTGTCAGTTCGCGGGAGGAAACAACTGAGTTGAGATACATTAGGGCTTGCCAGGCCCGCGGAGTGTAAGGAATCTTAGTAAGTGCATAAGCTAGTCTTTAAGGCTTAACCTTACGTTTACCCTTAGGTAAGCCACACGCCTACCTTGACCAGCAAATGAAACAACCTCGAGGCTACACTCAATAACAAACTCCGCCCCCAAGACTGAACCATTACGCGAAGAGAGAAGTAAATCTTAGTTTCTATACATGAACTCGCCTCCTGACAGATATCCAGGACTGTCTTATAAAAAGCACAATAGTTATGCATCAGGATGAACGAGACTACAATATTTCTATTACAATATTTCTGACAAGAAGCTAAAAGGAGCATAGGCAAATCATACAATGTCGATATACATATGTCTATAAAAACGGAGCCCTACGGAAGATGAGGCAGGACATGAACAAGAATTCGTTATCGTCTAGCTTACAGACGAGGTTCCTTGCCTATAAAATACAGAGATAGGCCCATAAAAGTGAACCTTAAAAAGGAAGTCGGGCCTATAAAGATTTATCGCTGCGATAAATACTTGTGGGTTTTTCTTTACACAGAGGCATAGCATTTAAACTCAATGTATTTCTTGCTCTTCTCTAAACCACGAAGGTAACTTATGCTTATCCCTGTTGTTTTTTCCTGTAAGAAAACATTTCTATAGCGGTAAAGCATAATTCAGCGAGTATTAAAATCTTGATATAGCAAGTGAAATACGACGTTAAAGAATTATATGCCCGCGTATTTGAGTCTAGGCTCTAAAGGCTGGAGTGGCTGGTTTTACAACATCTGGGCGCAATGAAGATATGAGGAGAGGAGAAAATGGCAGTGTATTAATGAGAGATTGGTAGAGACTCCTTAAAAAAAAAGGAAACCCCGTATACGTAGTAGGCACGACCTTTGGAGAAACCCGCACTCTCATGAGACGATGATTTGACCGGTTCGAGAGAAGCTGTAGCAGGGGCCCAAAAAGCGGAATACAGCCATGGCTGGTTGGGATAGGAACATATTGGTGATCCTGCAGCCTCATGTAGGTGAACAGCTTGGAACAGGGGTGCGGACAGCATCTCCATGTCTGGGTGGTTACAGCCTCACCGGTCTGCAGGTAATACGGCAGGGCCACGGGTATCAATCGCTAAGAAGCAAAGCTCAGAACTCGTTCGTAGGCGAGAAACTAGTTCGACTCCTCAAGCGACTCCTCCTCAAGCGACTCCTCAAGCGACTCCTCAAGCGACTCCTCTAAAGACCTCTCTTATAAGTAATCAGCAGCCATCAAATATCAGCCTTCGGGAATTTTCTAGAGTAGAAGATAATAGAAGTAAAGAGGTCACGTTTAGGTACATGCCCTGAGTATAAGAAAATTTCCTGGCATTAGCGAAACACCGCCGAAATACATACGGCCAGTATATTGGCAACTGACTACAGTGCTCAGAATGTGACAAAGAGTGGTCAAAAAAAAAACAATAGCAGAGATAAATGTGGTTGCAATGCCGAAATTGTTTGGATCAAGGCTATATCAACCGCGCAGATACCAGGCCGCGATATTGCTAAGTCAGGCAGTTAGGGTAGTAATAATATTAGCAGCAATTTATAAGCTTCTACTATCGTAGCCACTCTAGCCGATAGAAGCACTAAGAGGCAAAAATTACTACCTTTAATATATTTTCTCTATATTGCTGTTACCTTACCCTTAGCTAAGGATATTACTAAGGATAAATTATTTAAGGTAAAGGTTAATCTAATAGATTACATAATTCTCGAAACTCTATTAGGAAATATTATTAACTGTAATTTTATATTAAAACTTAAGGGGGACCTTAGATATATCTTTATAAGTAAGAAGAATAGTAAACTAGTTCTTTATTAAAGTATCTTAACTATATCTTTTGCTAGCATACCTAGCCATATAATAAGTCAGATTCGTGGCTATGACTAGTTTAAAGAATAAGTAAAAAAGAACTCTCTAGTAGAGTATATTTAATCTAAGAAAGTATTATGCATTCTTCTCTAGGTATCTAATAATACCTACTTATAGCCTAGATTAACTATACCTAAGTTTTAAAACTATATATAAATACTTTTATCTAGGTATAGAAATCTAGATACCTATCTAAGTAAAACAGAAGCAGTCTAAGAAGAACTCAAGATTGGAGATATCTAGGCTTTTAATAATATTACTCTAAATGCTCCTGATAAGCTTTTATATAGGCCATGAACTTACTTTAGAACTAGGAGGTGCACTTTACCTCCCTCTGTGGTTAATTCTATAGTCATTAAGAGAAGTCACAGCTGCAGTACTTCTTATATTAAATTTCAAAAAATCAATAAGTATAATTATCTTTAGTATATTAACTATAAGGAAAGGAAGCCTATACTACTATTCCTGGTAATTAACTATAGGAAGCCAATATAGTTCTATTAAGAGATAGTTATACTGCTAAAAGAATTTAGCAAGTTCTGGATTTTTTTATTAAGGATAAGATTATAGGTACAGTTTAAACTAGATTTAAAGATAAGGATAAAGAGAAAAACATTAAAGCCTAGCTAGTGTTAATATCTAACTTTAAATGGTTTTCTAATAAGCTAGAGGACTCCTGTCCAAGAGGAAAGAATTGTTTAATTTTATAACTTATTATTAGGTAAAGCTTCTAGAGAGACGCGATTTAAGAGAGCATTATAGGTCTCTACGGGTTTCTATGTATATAGATATAGGAGTATTACAATTAACTCCCACGGGTTGGTTCTTTATATTAGACTCCGCGGATTGCTAGTGCTACTCGATTTTTGCCATTCATTTTTCCTAAACTACATACTAAAATAATAGAGCTACTAGCTAAAGGCTTAGTTAAAGAATATAAAGCATAATTGGCTTAATGCAGCTTATATGTTATGCCGGTATTAGAGAATGAGCCTCTTGACATTATGCAAAGAATAGAAACTAAATCTGAACATATCAACCATGTTGCAAGAAAACACTGAAGTTAAAATTCCATTTCAAGCTTTATAACATCAACAGGCCAACAATCCATTCTTCTTTATATATGCGTTAAACTCTTTCTTAGCAAGCTTCTTTATATCTTTTAACTTCCTCTCCTCCAAATCGACCTCAAGTTCAGATCCTCCCACCTTCTGGAAGATAAAAAGGAGCTATCTATCTTCGCTCTTATGGTATTATATAATTTAGATAACCATAAGTAGAATACCTAGGGTTTCATTGCTCTCCTTTATTTGCGGTTCTAGATTACTCTGCTAGTAAGTCATAAGAGCAATAAAGTACCAGGAGTAGATATTACTCTCCTTAAAAAACCTTTTCAGCGCTATGTTAAAACAGAGGAGCAAGAACTTAAACTGCCAATGCTAATACATCTTTCGGCCTATCTTTCAATAATAAAACATCTTTTAATAACTAAAAACCATTTATAGATCATTAGGTTGGCCTTAAGACTTTGCACTGGTGTCCTAGGTTTTATACTGATAACGCCATATCTCTCGTACTTCGGCCCCCGCCATATATATAGGCTAATATCAGAAAAAGACCTCAGAATTTGGCTCCTTTGACCATTCTTTGATAGGCGGTATAATATTAGGATAGAAGATAGCATCTCTGACTATTTAAACCCAAAATTGGTCTTTAAGCTCTTGATATTTAATGACCTTCAGAACTTAGGGATTAACTTTATCGTAAGGGCATGCTATAGGCTTTCCGTCCTTATCCTCATAGGCAGGCCAGTATATGCAGATAGCAGCGTTATTAAACCATTAAGCCATAGCCTCTAGAATCCAATATACACTACTATCTTTAAAAATACAGCACAACTTAAAATAGCACTGCAGCAAGTTGCCGGCTACTCTATGCCCATTGATATACTAGAGGGATCCCTGGTTGAGCAATTTGATGAAGAACTCCTTGGATTCACCAGAGTCCCCCTGTAGGTCATCCCCCGATATCGATGGCCACTCTGGTGTTTTGGAAAGCTTTGACAAAGGACTTGACTCATCGGATCGCGTATCCTCGATTTTATCGTTGTGTTGTAGAGAAGCCGCAGGTCTTCTTTTCCGCAGGGTACGCTACAGCCCATTTCGTCTGCGATGGTTGCCGTGCGAAAAAGGTATGTTATTCTTGTCTACCAGTGTTAGGCAACTACTTAACCAGCACACCATATACAGCTCAGATGTACTGGCCATAGATTCGGTTGCGAACGTTGTCGTAACCGAAACATGGCCTGTATAAACTCTGGTGTATTGCAGTCTAAGCGATGAAGAGGTGGGAAGCCCCGAGGATCCACACTGGTGAGAACCCCGTCTTCGCAATTACCATCGGTCATGTCGACGCTCGTGCCAGCGGGAAACGGAACAAGACAATCAGGAAGTGCCACCAACGGTGCTATTGTAGTGTCTCTCACGTTGACAAACTCCGTGTTACAATCTTTAGTAAATGGTTGATGAAGCCCAAGAAGGATCCCATCCATCATCTATAGATATATCTCAAATTGCAGTGAGACTTGAGGCATCTCACTGTGATCAACCAGTCATACAAGAGGAAATTGACGCAAACTTCGAAGACTGGGACATGCAGTTCCTTAAAGTGAACTGCTCCTATCAAACCAGAATCGAGTGGTATGAAGCAAGATTCAAACTATGGCTCCTACTGTCTTACTGAAGAGGAGTCTATGGTACTTTGCAACAGCCCAATGCGTTTAAACACCATTCATCAATGTTCAACTGAGTTCCCAAACCGAACCTTACCTTAATCCAGGCCATCATAGGTTCAGGAGGCTAACGACGTGGAAGGCCGCATCCATCACCAAGATACAAGGCCAATTGAAACGCCGCGTTCCTATACATGCGTTGCGTCATGATTATTGGTGGTTAGGCTGTCCCCTAATTCTTGAGAGGATCCAATGGCCTAGGATGGGAGTCAGAAGGGAAGAGATTTCGGGTGTTAAACATAGGGTCAGGAGGGGACTTAAAAGAATATGGGTCAGCAGCTAAGTCGGCAAAAACGAAGGAATAGGGGTGTGAGAAACCCTTGTAGGTAACCTGCTGTTGTACCTTGAGCCGCTAATTGTGCAATGTATCTCTAATTAATCTTATGCAAATCTATGACTAGTGCCTCCCACACTAACTTTTAAGAACATAAAGTTCTAAGAGCTCAAGATGCGTTTTATTATAGGAATAATGAGAATAAGCAGCTTAATGGAAGGCCAGAAGCGTATTAGATTTCAAAGGTTTATATAAGGATATATTCTAAAACGCTCTGTCTGCTGTTAATCGTGTGCTAGATGAGGCCAAGATTGAAAGGTCTCAGATAAAACAAGTCCTCCTAGTCAGTGTGTCTTCTCGCGTTCCTATAATACAGCAACTACTATTGTCGCTTTTTGGTGGAGTGATCCTTTTGAGGGCTAACAATCCCGATGAAGTTGAGGTTTCTGGAGTTTCTATCGCAACTACTATGGTGAGAGAGGGCCAGGATAACCCCAGTGCTCTTTACTTGTTGGGAAAGTCCTCCCGGCAAGCATCGGGGTTCAGTCAACAGGGGGCGTCATGGCGCCAATATTGCGTTGGAAAAGTCAAGTTCCTGTTTGCGTGGGCGGCAAACTACGTATAAGGCAAGACACTAAGATATTTCTATCTTTGAAGGAGAACTAAAATGGACCAAGAACAACAAGTTCTGGCTGAAATCAGCTTCACCACGTTAAACCTTCTTGCGCCACAGGAACAGGTTGAGCTCCACTACGAAATCAGAGTGGATTGGTGCAAGCTCAGGTCGTCTTGTACTGTAAAGGGGAAGAGGGAAAGCTCCATCACAATGGTACTCGATTCTTTTGGGCATATTCCACATGAGGAGATTGAACGTCTCAAGGCGGATGATAAGCGATATAAGATGACCGACGATGCCGAAAACCATCAGGTTAGCGTCCTGGATGATCTGGATACACACATCTCATCCCTGGACGAGACTCTTCACCAGCTGACAAAGTCTCTCGTGGTAGAAGGCTTATCCAAGTCTTTGGGCACGATCATGAAATGGACTGAACAGAACCCACATGCCAAAGTCGCCGAACATAGTCCAGAAGGTCAAGGACATTGAGAGTGCCATTCCCTTAGCCGAACGAAATGCAGCGCGAGATGCATTAGGTAGGAGCCTCGAGCAGACACGAAAAAGAGTCCTCTGTAATATGAAGATACCCGAGCAGACATACTTACTAAGAGAAATCTGCAGAATCACCGTCTGGTTTGAAAGAACGTCCATGCAGAACCTCCAGCCTGTTCGTAGCAGCGTCGAAGTTTAGACCAGATCCTAGCACAATTACCCACAGAGTAAACCGAGAATGACAAGTCTGGAGCGACACTAAAACCCGACAAAGGGAGTAAACAAGAGCCAGGCGAGATTCAAGCTGCAACCGAGGACACAAGCTCAGACGAAGCGATGCAGTTAAGAAACGCGTCCCATGGCATCGAGACCCAAAGCTTGGAAGGCATTTTCCTCTCCAGCTATGCAGCGAACGGATATCTCGTTTCTATTTTCCCTCAAAATGCTACTATTATTAATTAAGATTTTAAGTAGCGATAATATCTGCATCATCAATATAAGCATTGACAAGTGGACTCCAGTCTGATTCTCCAGTGTCGTAGAAGTAGGTGCACCACAACTTAAACTCGAAAACAGGATTGGCTCGGGCAGCAGTAAAGCTATCCGAGATACGGCGCAAGCTCCTGTCGCCATTAATCCAGGAGGCCGCGTATGTGTGGCCAACACCGTCGAGGAAGAACCCATATGTGCATTGGTCTCCGCCGGGGACGAACCAGTCTAGAAACCAGTACAAAGAAACTTCATATTCCTGCCCGGGCACTAGGTTGCCGAGCTGTGCCGAGATCCAGGACGCAGAGGCCTCCCCAACCTCAGTGACGGCGACCACCCTGATGTTGACTGATCAGTAATTTCCGAAGGACACCATATCCCAAGAGAACTTACGCGGAACCAGGATTTGTGCGGTAGTTTGCGTCAGAAAGAAAACCAGCCCCCGGGCCTGCTGTCCAGCCAGCGCCCCCATTATCGAACCCGGCGTTTAGAAGGAAGAGCGTCTCTTCAGGTGCAGCAGATGTCGTACTGGTCGCACTGGTCTCAGCTGCTGCAGATGGCGTCTCCTCAGCAGCGGTGGTTGTCGTTATTGAGATGAGCGCTGTCGATGATGCATCGGTGGAGGAGCTTGCCTCGGTCTGGGTGCTGGTTGAAAGTGTCACGGTCGAGCCAATTGACGCTGAACTGCTGGAAGACGGCTTGCAGGGGTTAGCATTGACGCTTGCCAAGGCAAAGATTGCACAGGCAGCGACCACTGCGCGGAGAGACATGGTTGCTAAGGCCGTAGATGATGAGACTCGCAGAACGTAGAGAGCAGCAAATTCTGGTAAATTCCTTTGGCGTCTAGATCTCTTAAAAACATTCTGGCAGGAAACCATTTCCGATTAGCGCCTAATTTGTAATCATTTAACGGCCAGGGGTATTTGCGGTGTGGCTTGGACTATTGTTCCAAAATATCAATAGTGCACGTTCTGGACTTAAAATAGAGCAACACAGCTAGCATTTGCCCGTGGCGCAACTAAACTAAATAAATTGCCCGTCACAACCCCGGCGGTTTTAGTATGTGAATGCCATAATTTTCAATCAATTGCCTTGAAAACCTCATGGTGGTGCGACTGGGTAAATATTGGATCACTTGGCTCTTCATTATAAGGAATGGCGGCAGCTTGGGCGAAGTGAATATGGTCCTCCGAGCGCTGTTTAAACCGATGCAGATACGTCAGCGTAACAGCAGGGGGCCCAAGGCTTTCTTCCGGGAACTTGAGAATGGTGTCAATGGTACGGCGACAATCATGTGTATACTGCAGGAGTCGGATCCAGTGCTTCCAGATCAATGGAGGAATGGGAAAGCCTTGGCTATATTGGGCATGATCGCCCTCGTGGATATGTATTTCTAAAGGTTCTTAGCAGCTAATACTAAAAGGGTATATAGATGAGAGACAAAAAAACATACAATATAACTCTCGTCCCACTTGAGTCCACCGTTGGTGTCTGGGAACGTGGTCTCCATGACTCGACAGGAGAAATAGGTGTTTGATCGCATTGAAAACATCTGTTTCTTCTTTTGGCACTTTAAAGAATTGTGTTTGTAAACCTTGGAGGCTTTCAGCTCGCTGGAACACCTTTTTGCCCAGGCTAGCTCCTCAGAAAGTAGAAACGGGCCGCTATGAGTCACAGATTCCAGACAACAGGCTTGAGAGATTTCGTCTGCGACTGACTGGACTACATCGAAGTCTCGCATCGAACAGTCACGATTGCAGGGAAGAGCATCAAGATCAAGGATCAGGCTCGCCAAGCAGTCCATGCTATTTTGAGCTTCAAGGATCTCATAACCATGGCCCTCGCCAGGGCTGGCAAGTAGGGATGGCGCAGACAGTCACTTGCTTACACTGCTCGTCACGGAGAGTACAAGATATAATTATCTAGTCCATGCAATCTAGCAAGAAGTGGAAGGTTTACTAAGAAGTGTTGTATTTAAAACAACGTCCTATTATTTCGCGGGCTTCTAATAAGAAAGTGATGGTCTATTACATGTTCCCGACTCTCAGCGACGCAAGTGGCGACCAAACTCCTGGTCTATCTCAGTAGCAATTACAAGTCCCTGCGCTCATTATGGTGCACCTGTTCCGTGGTCTCCAAGACAGCCTGCTTCTCAGTGTCTTTGAGGTCAACTTGTGCGACATTAGCATCATCACCATCGAAGATTCTGGCAATCTCTTCCAGAGTCGGGCCCTTGGTTTCGACGTAGAAGAAGAAGACAAAGACGAGCTCAACAGCGATCCAAACCTATTTCTTTATTAGTCTTTTGAATATGAGGGTAAAGTGAGAGAAGCGGTACTTACAGTGTAGAAGCACCAGAAGTTCCACTTGTTGGGGAGGTTATCGAGAGCGATGGGGTTAGTCTGGTTGCCGATAGTGAGGGCAACTTGGATGAAGAAGTTCATGATCATGAGGCCACGAGCACGGAGTCTGAATGGGCAGATCTCCAGAGCGTAGGCGACAATGAGACCGGACCAGGCGATAGAGTAGCAGACATCGAAGAGCCAGATGAGGGCAATCTGGGGGTATCCAAGGCGCTTAATCTCCACCTCACCGCCGGCTTCGAAGCGGGCGGCAACAATCGTCCAGGCCAAGAAGAACAACAGCATACCTAAGCGTGCCAAGTTAGCCTGAGAAAGGGGTTAGCCAGGGGGGATTTCTGCATACCGACAGTGGCAGTAAGGAAGAGTGGGCGACGGCCGAAGCGATCAATTCCCATTGAGCAGCCAATAGCAACGAAGAGCTTCAGCATGTTCTCTCCAGCGTTCAATCCGGTCTTCTGAGCTTGGTCCTTGATACCAGCACCCTCGTAGATAATGTTGGAATAGTTGCTGATCAAAGCATTACCCGAGTACTGCGAGATGATACCTAAGGAGATCAAGAGCATGAGACGGTAACGGTTGCCCCGGGTTCGAAGGAAATCAAGGTAGCTGCCGCTCTTCTGGGCCTGGTACTCGAGGGCGATGGTGTCCTTAATTTCAGTATACTCGAACTGCACAGTCGCATTATTGGCGTCTCCGTTGGCATGGTACTTTGCAAGAATGTTAAGGGCTTCCTCGTGACGCTCATGAGCCATGAGCCAACGGGGAGATTCTGGGATCCACCAGATGAAGGTGATCTGGATCAAAGATGGCACGGCCTGGATCAAGGTGATGGATCGCCACGACCAGTTGCTGTTGATGTTGATCGTACCAAGACCGATGAAAGCGCAGACTAGAAGATGTATATCAGCGGGTGCCAGAGCTAGACTTGTGATGTGTTGACTCACGTGTGGCACCTAGGTTCCACAAGCAGTTGTAGATGGCAGAGACAATGGCACGGTGCTGAGGGTGGCAGATCTCGGTGAGGAGAACAGGGCAGGACAGCTGGGCCAAAGAGTTTCCGAAGCCGACGAGGAATCGACCACCGAGGTACACTGTCAAAGGATTGTCAGCTGTTGCTCAAAGGAGTAAATTGGGCGACGACATACTGCCAAAGCCGTTAGTAAAGGCTGAGATGAAAGCACCGAGAATCATGATGAGACATCCCACGGCAATGGGGAGCTTTCGGCCAAAATGATCGGCCATAAATGGACTATGCCAAATAAAGTTAGTTTCATTCCATTTAGTCTACAAATTGTCATCCCTGCAAACAATGAAAAAAATAACATACGCGAATGGAAAACTGGCAATGCTACCAATCTGGTAGATAGAGTTGAGAATGCCAAGCTTGGAGCCCTTGGGTTTGCCAAAGTAATCCTGCCAATCGTCCATGGCCTGGGAAGTGTTCAACATGGAGCTAGAAATTCCCTGTTAGCCTAGTTCTATCGCCCAGGGCTTGGCGATCGCTTGGCTTGGCTTACCCATCGTAACCAGTGGTGGCAGAGCAGACACAGAGAATGGCGGCGTAAAAGTACAGCACGCGCATTCCAGGATCAGCCCACCATTTGACCTTGGCGAGCTGAGGCGCCTCAGCCTGAGCAACGGCGAGGTCTTGTTTGGTAGTCGCGGTACCGACGGCGAAAGGCATCGTGAAGGGCTTTGCCAAGAATGGGCCGGATATACAGATTGCAGAATTGGATTCTCAAAGCCGTAATGCAGTGCGATGCAAAAGAGTAAAGGCAACTTGGCGCCAAGCTCGACATTAAATATAAAATGTCAAATCCGTATAATTAACCTATTAACCGGGACCTGTTATTACCCCAGTACTCCGGCGAATATAGCCTAAACTGCCCAGCCTAATAGGATCGCCTCCCCGGGTATTTCCCCAGGGGGTGGTCTGCTGGACCCTCTTCTGGGGTTAGCTCCTCTAAATAAAGGGAAATGTAAGAGCCGCATGATTCGACGGCCCGGCAACCGAAGGGATTTGTCTGGTGGCGACCAACTGTTACGGCAAAGTCCTCCGCAAACCCGTATCACGCTACTCGCCTCAGACCCATCAGCCCACTATTTGTCTAAAAAGCCGCGGGTAAGTCTTTGACATTGATTCCATTTTTAAAACTCTCCAGAGTCCTTGAAGTCAGCTTTTTTATATGTGGAATTACCCATTGGTGACTCACTCAAGTACAGTCTTTGCAAGGTTGAGATTGTAAGTTGTACGTCGCTGTGCCTCGGACCTGGGAGAAAAAATCGCGTCGGGTATAACGAGCCTCTTCTGTCTGTTTCGTGTAACCGCGCATCTCGTCTGCATACACTCAGTAAGCCAGACACCAACGAGATGAGGTCGGGAGGCAGGATGCATGATTTGAAATCCCATGGTCCCATAAGATTAGTATTCTAAATGGTTATCATCGATTTTACGCCTTCAGATATATAGAGCCTTCAAGGAACAAACACAGCTACCGTCCAGCAGTCTTGACAATTTTACACGTTCCCGGAGACAACCAAGACAATCATGGTAAAATCTTATCTTTACATTTATCAAAGTTGCAAAATTTACAAAAGCCTGAACGCCGAACGCTATGTTCTATGACAGCTGTATACCAACAGCGTTATGCCAATTCTGCCCAAAAACACAAGGGTATCATCCAACACTCTAATCAATCCTCCAATCCTGCCGCCAATCATCTATCCATTTAATGCAAAACCCATTCATCGTTCAAACCGGTCCATCCGAATCCGAGTCCACAACTGAAGTACGAATGCACTCACGCGCCAATTGAGCACGCTTGGCAGGTGCGCCTCATCATCTGCGCCCTTGTACTCACCATCATTAGCATCCTGCTTTTCCTTTACCGCACGATCTTCGACCTGCCACTTCTCCTTGTCCTCTGAAATCAATGACTCCAGGGAACTCGATGACAGCCGGTCTCTCTTCACCCCACGGTTCGGGAGAATGCCAGTAGTGGTGGAGTCCTCAACCTCTTCAGCATCACTCAGCATCTCATAAAGCTTGGAGTATGGTATTGAGAGAGAGAGGTCAGGACAGTCTTGACAGAGTTGATCAGGTGCAAAGTCGTGAAGAGACAGGTCCAATGCAAGAGTCTGATTGATGGGACTTCCATCTGCCGATCGGAAGGGCTAAATCTGTCAGTTCGGCATTCTTGAGACTCGTATTAGGGACGTACCTGTGACTGAACAGCCTGCTCAATCTTGAGACTAACATCGCTACTCTCTTTCTGTAGCAATCTAGGCTTCCAGACAGAAACAGTGGACTCGCTGCCTTTGTTGAGATCAAAGCATATGACGACTTTAATGGCCCCATAGTGCAGTCGATGTAGTCCTTGGCGATCTTGGAGAGTTGCCTTCCGTCTTGACTCTTCGCAACCTCGACGACTACACACGGGAACGCGACACCTTTATAAGGGAACTGGGCATCAGGCTGGCGGTGTGATCCAGGGGCGTTATCGTCATGGTGGAGAACAACTTTGGCAGATCCCACTGTATTGATCTTGGCGATAAAGTCGTGGACTTGTTGACTTTGACAGCCCTGCAGGAACAGTTTCACATGAATCGCCGATACGAGGGACTGAGTAAAGGTCTCATGGGTCGGTGAAGGCATGCGAAACGTGATACGTTGACGTCGAGAGTCGCAATCAAATCTCCGAAAATTCCCTTCGATCTTGGCTTGAGAACGGGTGAATTTGTCGTTGCTGAGGTAGAAGCTCGTCAACGGAGCGACCTCGCCAGTCTCAACCTTGCGCTTGAAGTCGACGAGGCGTTGAGGCAGTTCGTCATCAGCGGCAGGGACTTGCGCTCGGGCGGGGCGATCTTTCGGTGAGACTTGAGATGCGAAAGTCCATTGGTGATGATTCTGGTGAGGTTTGATGCGTATCCTCCATAATTGGAGTGCACGCGTTGAGAGCGATCGATGGCGATGTTTTGTTTTGGTCTGAATTGAATGACAAGCGCGTTTGAGAAGTGGGGCGCCATGCTTATCTTATGTACTGATAACGATTAGGACAGCCACGTTTTGATCAAAGCCACAACGCCACTCACCTACCCTAGTCACCTTGAATTTCAATAGCTTCACCATAATAAGCAGCTTTTTTATTATTTGCTTTAATGGCTTTTATGGTATTTAGCTAATAAATAACTTTAATATTAATAAATAATTAGAAAAGGCACCTTGCTTCTTATGAAAATTTATTAAACATTATCCATATTGCTAAACTAATTAACATTACCTGTTTCATGACTCATTCATCATCATTCATCGTGGCATCATTGGCGCATCCTTTCACTCATACCAGAAAGCGTACCCATTTCAATTCCCCAAACACTATACCAGTTTGATGTCAACAGTCCCTCAGACGCCTATAATACAAAAGCCATCATACAATCGCAATGCCAGGCCAATTTACCACGAGAACCAGCTCATGCGACTCTCACTCCCTGACTGAACAAAGGCCCGGCATTCTAAAGTCAATGTCCGCAGCGAACGTGTCACTGATGTGACAATTTCCCCGTTGCTCTCCTCGAGTTGCTTGTTTTCATCACCGAGAACTGCATTGCTGCTCATCAGGTCCTTGTTCTGGGCAGCCAATGCATTTCTGCTGTTTTCCAGCTCCTTAATCTTTGCGACGATTTTATCGAGGACTTCATTGCAAGACTTTGTCGCATTTGCTGATTGCTCGAGTCTGCCCTCGAGGTCCTTGTATTTGGCAACAACACTATCATTGATAGTCTTCAGAGCTTCACTTTCAAGGACCAGGACTTTATTACTGCTCTGTAAAGCCTGGTTCTTTGCCGTGAGAGGCTCCTCGTTACTCGTGGCAGCATCCGTCGCATGCGCAATCTTCTCCAAAAGGTCCTGGTTCGTAGTAAAGAGATCTGCGTTACTTGACTCCAATTCCTTGTTCATCTCAACGAGGGATTCATTCTCAGTAACGAGATCTTTGTTACTTGACTCTAGCTCCTTATTCTTCTCAACAAGGGACTCATTCTGAGTAACGAGATCTCTGTTGCTTGACTCCAGCTCCTTGTTCTTCTCGATGAGGGCATCATTTTTGTTGTTGGCTGTATCAACTGACAGCTTAAGTTGGCCAATCTCACTGTAGAGATTTGCCTTCGCCATCACGTTAGCCTCGTGGATGCGATTATCGGGGTCAAAGAGCCCTTGGTACAAGGCTTGCACCTTGCGCTGAAGCCTTTCCACGTCTAGCTGCAACTTGAGATTATGCTGCATCACAGACTGTTTCTCCTGCTCGGATTGTCGGAGTTTCGTCTCGAGAGCTCTAGTCTTCTCAACCCAGTGCGCTTCTCTTTTCATTGGGTATGACAAAACTGATACATTAGCGTCAACCTCAATGTCAGTTTTCGTCAGAACATCCTCGGTCTGCTCTAGCTTGTCCTGCGTAGCATGCGTATTGCTCTGACTCATCTCTTTGACATGATCTCTCCAGTCACGAAGTGCAATAGCTAGGGCGCCATCGTCTTCAACCCACTCTCGTGGAAATTGTAGCTCTGAGAGCCGGCGGTGGGATGCGATTCTGGTGATAGGGTTGAGCTCTTGCGCTACTTTGATATCTGCGTCTGTCAAGACAATGCCTGCGCATGGCGACCCTTGGGATAAGAAATGCGCAAGATGTTGGATTTGTCGGGCGACCTTGAGGATCTCAACATGGGCCCCCGATTCCGGCTTCTCAGAAGAGGCTGCAGACATGTTGAGATTCAGGTCAATCTCGGATGTCTTTCAGCGCTCAGGGAGTGGATTCGGAGTAGTTGATGGTTGTCGTGATTGGGTAAAGCGGTGTAGAAGTGGGAATGGTTGACAGGGTTGACATTTCAGCAGGGATTGTCTATTTATAACCCAAGTCTTGTATGTTCAGAAGTTGCATGTTCCATCAGCCGATTTAATTCACTTCGACCTTTCACCTATGGATTAGGCAGCTGCGGATTAGGCAACTGCCTTTCTGTCACTGTCACAGCTGCTGTATTTCTGATATACCAAGAGAATGAGGAGCTCCGGCATTTCAATATTTGTCCAATGCATCTAAATGAAGCAATGTCTATAGAGTAAGGACATCTATGCCGCTGCAAGTCCGATGTTCTTTTTATCGACATTTTAATTTATCTATATAAAACACAAGTAACTTTTAAATATATATTTTGCAACAAAAGCGGCCTGTTGGTATTAAATGGGGAGACTGCCTCAGTGCTTTATACACTTTCGAACGTACATAACGCAGCACGTTCTTGATGTGTGTACCTAAGAGTAAAGCGTAATTGGCTTTTAATTGAACGAACAAAATCTAAGCCAAGCATAACAGCCACGCAAAGGGGTTGCCACAGCTAAAGTATTGGACATAACTCTTTCTTGTTCAGAGCGACTGTCGCGCAGGCACTTGGTGCTATGAACAATTACAAAAAAAGGAATTTTCGCAGTTACAGAGGCGCTCCTCACTCTGCTTATGGTTCATATTGGCAGTAATGAGGTCTAGCTACTGTGACACCTGGGAAGACTCACGGGGCTTGACATGTAGGTGAGTATCCTTTGGATGTTTTGTGTCTTATAAAGATATTGGCACAAACGGTCGATGGCGTCATGTACACTGTTCCTTTCCTTGTTCAGCAAGGTGCCTGAGATCATTCTTCAAACATAGTAGGTGTTTTTGTTATTAATACTTATAATTGCTTACACATATAGAACATGCAGAGAATAGGAAGCAACTAAGCAATCGAGCAGTGAGGATATGAACAATTGAATCACACATTGAACATTCCATTATGTTTACTCAAACGTAGTTAACACATTAATTATAAAAACGCTCATGACGCCAGCACTAGAACTGCATCCCAGCCTCTCGCCACGACGATAAGGGGCCTAGCTCTTGCCCTGATCATTTGAACAAGCAACTGCCTAATTTCAGCTACTACGAGAAGCAGTGATCATAGATTTCAGTGAACTCGTGAACAATAAAGTGGAACTGGAGGCGACAATCCGGGAAATAGAGGGCAAGATCACGGATCTTTGGCGCATCAACCGACAACAAGAGGAGAAGCTTAAGGACTTGGAGAAGCAAAACGAGGATCTAAATGTCAAGTTTGAAGCCACAAAGACAAGGCTTACACGGACCGAAATCACAATCCGAGCTCTGGAGGCAAAGGTTAAACTCCAGAAAGCCCAGAACGAAGATTTAAAAGAAAAGTCTCGACAGCAGCAGGACGAGATCAGGGCGTTGAAGACTCAAAAGCAAATGCGATAAGTTAGAGTATGCCGCCAGAGTCTCAGAGCTGAAGAGTGAGAATTCGGTCCAAGCCGCCAAGATCGCCGAGTCAGAGAAGGACAAGTCAAGCGAAGCCTTGGGCGTCAAACCCAACTTTTCTTTCCTCCAGTCCAAGCTTTTGCGCGTAGAATCTGAGTACAAAGACAATATCACAGAGCTGAATGCCAAGAATCTAAGGCAGGAAGTGGAATATAGAGAATTTATCGAGGTGTTGAAGAGCAGCAAGGAAGATTATGAAGCTAAGATCAAAGCCCAAGAGGATGACCTAAAGGAGAAAGAGGATACCATCTCAAAGCTGCGGATTGTTTTGCAAACAAGCGAGTCCTGGCGCAAAACTCAATCACAGCGACTCGTCCTGCTAGAAACCCAGGTCGAGACTCTAGAGGCCGAGAAGATCCTTCAAGACTCTAGGAGCCAAGAACTGGAAATGAAGTACAGTACCGAGATATTCCGACGTGAGAAGATACAACAGCGACTCAAGCTAAGCCAATACGATGTTGATCAGGTACACGAAGTTGCTCAGAGTCTGGAGTTTCATTTCAACAGCACCTATGTCAAGTTCTCTGGGGGTGACAAGCTACATACAAAGTCAGAATTGGAGGAAGCGTATAGAGAAGCGCAAAGGTTGCAGGATAAACGCAGGGGAATGGCTCTGGCGCGACGACTGCGTATTCAAGAGGAAGAAGATCGAGACAGCCATGCTTACTCAGAGGAAGATTAATTCTGCTGGCAAGACAGTAATGCAGTTGGGTGGGGTGGCTATCATAAGGCAAGTTTCTTTTGGTTTGAATGATGACGTGGCACTTGGGTCACGATTGCCCCCAGAGGGTATTATGAAATACATGAAATAACATACATTATCATTCCACCTTTTCTTTACAAGTTTTCGCGTTCACTGGTGAGAAAGGTAACATCCTTGAAGCTTTTGCTGCTATTACCTAACAGGTGTTACAACTCTTGAGGCCATGTCTCCTTGGGATGAACACGAACGGGAAAGTTTCAGCAACTATGCGGAAGCTTTGTTCTTTTCTATTGCTGTTATGATCAACTTACTTATTTGTACATTCATATACTGTAATTGTGTCACGCTGTCTTGTACTGTGATGGTGTTCAATGGTTTAGCTGTTCTGGGGACACCTTGTATTTTAATCTCACACCCACTGTGAATTTAAACCGAAGAAGATGTGATCTGGAATGCAGTGCGAATTCCAAGCTTTTGGAATACACATACGCCATGAGGAGCTGCTGTCTGGCGCTGGGGCCACTTTGTCTGAACATTGTTCGCGTATTGAAGGTAGTGCTCTAGAACAGATCCGCCAACAGTGTTTCATTGTATCCTGAATATGCGCTGTGGTTTCTCACCCGTTTGAATGTCAGTAACAATGGTTGACTGGCGTTGTCGAAAAGCAATGTCATCAAGGAAGTCAAACCTTCCTTCTTTGATAAATATCGAAAACCTCTACAGTCAAACTCCACCACCTAGTCCTCTGCTAAGATATCTTGCCAACAGTACCAACCACTCTCAAATAAAGACTTCTCTATGTCCTCACAAGCGTCGTTGGTAAAAGCCAAGATTTTTAGACATGACAAGTGGCATGATACCCATATGTAAGGGGTAGATTTGGGTTGTGATCGGCAGGATACAGCGTATTCATACAACAACCCCTGTGAAGGCCGCTTACGTTCCGACAGCTGAATACGCTCTGCTGGTTGGATACGCTAAATATTCAATACGCTTTTGAGACCAAATACGCCATAAAAAATGAATGGGCTTTAATTGTGCCATGAGCTGATGACCTCATGCATGCTCTTATAGACCAGATGGCCACAATTAAATTTGTATAAATAAACAATTACCTCTCATTCTATAACAGTCCTTCAACCACCGAAACTGACAATTTTAACCATAAAACTATTCTTTTGATCCACATCTAAAAAAGGCATCCCGAGTACACGTCTTTGAATATGCATTACTCCCAGCTCCTCATCACCGCCGCTGCCCTCTTCACCCAAGGCAGCCTGGCCGTTGGTGTCAAAACCTACAGTGGTCGTGACTGCACCGGCACAGAACAGACTCTCACCGTCGATCACAACGCAGCTTGCAATCCCAAAGTCCAGCGATTTCAGTCTTACAGAGAGAACGGATTTGGACCCAGCAATGGGCAGAGAATTGCATTCTATGCTCAGCCGAGTTGCTCTCAGGAGTCGTTCATATATGACACGTACTCTTACAATGGAGATTACTTCCATTCTAAGCAGTGCTACAATATCGATGGCCATTCTCCTGTCAAGTACGCTCAGGGTGCGAAACTCTATTAGTTAGGTATGCCTACGCTTCTGACTGAATGAACTCACTGGATGTTGTTTCTGACTTGACTCTGTAGATTAAACCCTCTACCGCCCCAGTCATTGAGCGTACCATGAAGGGGAGTTGCAGATTGGCAAAATCACATTCGCTAGCGGTTGCAGTAAGATCAGCAATGGAAAATGCATTCCCTTCAATTCAATAGGCGGAGTCACGAAGAAAGAGCAGTAATATAAATTAGAAGGATGGAAAGAAAGATTTTCCCTGGGACAAAGAGTCGTTCGTTTACTAAAGGCCTGTAAGAGGACTTAGCATTTTATGTTTCCTTTATTCACTCTCTAGGAATTCAGGATCTCTACTGTGTATACATTCATTTTACCAAGGACATACTGGTAACACTAACTGAGGGTTCCTGTATGACTTGAGTGAATGGCTTTTGCTTTATCAGGGACCCTATCACTGTAGCCTGTGAATATGCCATGAGGTTCTATTAGGCCAAACAGGAGAAAGAATATTGACAGTAATACGCTGCTCTGCTGAAAGGGATATGAAGACTGGACTGGAAGAAGTTCTGTAAGAAGGGTAGAAGACATCTACCTCAAGGAAACTGATTTTTGTTTTGGTAATGCCGTTTCTCATTATTTCAATCCCGTTGAGGAAATATCAATGCTGCATTCATCCACTAAATATTTGTGCTGTTTTTGGCGCCATGTAGATGTTTCTGCTTCACAAAAGCTCTTCTGTAAAAGGACTTGACAACAGCAGCCCGCAGGTGAAATACAGGGCTCCGGTTAGAAGCGTTTGTCAGGTCGGCTTGATGTGGCTTGACTTCATACTCACCAGCTGTTGGTTTTTGTCGCGGACCAACCCCCCTCTTTAGATGTTGAATCCAGAGAGGAATTAGTTTAATATACTATTAAATATTAACTAGATTCATATAATACCTTTTATTAGGTTTATAAATTACATAGCTATTAGGCTTATTTAAGATATTTATAATTATAACTTTATTACTAAAGTAAATTTATAAGAAAGTTAATATTAAAAAAGTTAGATTTTAATAATAAGTTATTAATATATACTCTATAATAATAAATTTAAAAATAAGTATATTATAGCCTTTCTTTTATATTATCTTTTAATACTTTAATACTAAGCTTTAATAAAGTATTATTATAGGTGTCTTTCTAGTATTTAACTATCTAAAATATAATCCTGAGATTAGTAAAGTAAAAGGTTATAACCTGCCGTAATAGTTTACCAGCATATACCTCTGCTACTATAGCTGCTTTTTACTTAGGAGTAAATTTATAATTTCTTTAGCAATTTCTGCTTATTTTAATACTAAAATCGCATTATTTAGGAGCCATTAACCTTTTTATTTTCTTAGTTAAAGAAATTAATGTTATTTCGCGATGCTGACCAAAGCGGGGTAGACGCGTTGGTGTTGTCAGACTTTTGGCACGTGATTGGACCTCTACTTTAACAGCTCTTCTTTATGCAAAGTTACCCAGGGATTCAAATCCTAAGCTCTACAACTACTCCTACGTCTTAGTCAACTATGACACAAATGGCGGTTGAGCAGTGCTGTGGCCATCTCGTTTGCTTGGCAACGCGGGCAACGCCCGGCGTCAGGCAGGACACCTCAGTGACGCACACAGTGGGAAGCCTACTGTAGCGGCGGTTACGTTTCCTGCTGGCAGGGCTTGCAACGCAAAACCGGTTTGATTTACAACGCAGGGGTCTCTCGTCTGATGGAACCCGCTGGTCTGGACTCCTGCACTCAACAAGTTCTTTCCCCAGCCGTAACCCCAGCTCACCCCCAAGATTTCGATCTAGACCGCGGCGTAGTATTAACCAAGCTGGGGTACAAACCCACTCGCCCACAGACTGGGGAAAGTGAGCGCTATCCTGAAAGTAGTAGTAACACATGTAGCCCTTATAATTAGCGTGATACCGAAGAGGATGGCAGTCTGAGAATCAGACAGCTCAGCACCGGATTGTTTATCTGGCTGTGACCCAAATGCTGGGACGTCGTGTTGTGCTGGTGGAAGGTAGTCGAAAGCTTATCTCCCTGGGGTTCCTATGCTCTAAGGCTTACTTCTACTTGGGGAATAGGCGAAAGCACCTCCGTTGGTCTGTCACACCTAGCCTTCCAAAGTTCTACACCGGATGTGGCAAAGAGTGCGCGGATAGATGGAAGCCCCGTGACCTCTCTCCAGCACAAGCGCGACCCTTCTCCTCAGGCATTTATATTTACAACACAACCCGTCACAATTTCCTCATATAAACGAGACATCATTCTGCGCACTCCCAACAATCGACAATAATTAGCGTCATGGACAAGAAGTCATCCGAAGACCTCGGTGCCAGGCACATTGACCGGGCTCCCTCAGTCGAGAAAGGGTCCCTTGTCGATCTTGACGAAAGACGCCTCCGTGCTCAGGGTCATAAATCAGAACTCGAACGATCCTTCTCCTGGCTAGGTGCCATTTCCCTGGCATACAGGTTTGTTTCTTCGCTATGATACGCAGGGATCCGACTGACATGCGCTTGGTGCCAGTATTTCGAACTCGTGGCTTACATACGCATCCACCTTTGGTCTCGTACTCGTCTACGGAGGCGGCGTGACCGCCTTATTTGCTGTCCTTATCGCTGCTATTGTCCAATGGATCGTCTTCCTTGGTCTGGGCGAGCTATGCTCTGCGTTTCCATCATCCGGTGGTCAGTACCACTTCGTTTATATCCTCGCTCCGGCCAAGACCCGAAACTTCGCCGCCTACGTAACAGGCTGCATCACCATCATTGCCTGGTGGATCGGTACCTGCTCTGGCATTATATACACGGCTATATCAGCATTTGGTTGTGCTGTCGCCTGGTTTCCGGACTTTGCACAGGAACGGTACCAGGTCTATCTCTGCTACATCGGCGTCATCCTTCTGTCGCGTAAGTCCTCGATGTCAGGGACTTGCCACAAGCTAATAACTTCCATCAATAGTCGTTCCAATCTATACGATCAAGCAAAGATATATCGACTATATGACCAAATCCGCCACGGGCTTTTCACTGATTGGTATGGTCCTCACCATTGCACTATGCTTGGGAATGGCCGATGGCGACTATGCCCCTGGATCAATCATGCTCGAGAACCGCGGCATCAGCGGCTGGAATCCGGGAACAGGTTGGCTTTTGTCAATTGCTGCTTCCCTGTACTGCTATTCTACAAACGGCGCGGTTACCCATATCGCCGAAGAGCTGCCCAACCCCGGCCGCAAGCTTCCCCAGGTCCTGTAAGTTAACCAACTTGCCGATTGTAAGCAATGTTTTAACCATCTCCCAGGAATATGTCTATGGCTATGGGTGTTATCATTGTCATCCCATGGACTATTGCTATACTATTTTGCATCAAGGATATGGAAGCCGTCCAGAGTTCTTTTCTTCCCAGCTTCGAGGTCTTCTACCAAGCCACTGGAAGCAGGCCAGCTGCAACCGCACTGCAAGCATACCTGACCTTTCTGTACTATAGTGAGCTTTTGACGCGAGGTACGGGTACGCGTTTGCTAACTGCCCTTTTAGCATGCATTCCTAGTCAGTGGGTGACTTGCAGCCGTATCACCTGGGCCTTCGCCCGTGACGTGAGTGAGAATTAGCGACTTTGAGGCTTGGGAACCACTAACCAGTCCAAGCAAGGTCTTCCCTTTGCAACCTACTGGCAGCACATCGATCCCAAGCGTGGCATCCCTTGGAGAACAACTGTCCTCTCTGCTGTGTTCTGCGCCATCTACGGTTTAATCTACATTGCAAGCACGGCAGCTTTCAACTCGATCATCAACGCAATGTGCCTCACTCTGAACCTCTCATACATTATTCCCCAGGCAATCCTGCTTACACAGGGCCGCGACAAGCTGCCGAAACATGCATACAATCTTGGCAGATGGGGATTCGCTGTCAACGCATTCTCGGTTGTATTTTTGGTTGTCATTGGCGTTGTGTTCTGTTTACCTCAGACTAACCCCACATCAATCAACACAATGAACTAGTGAGCATCTTCGTTACATATTCTTGACGCACATTTCCGCTTGGGCTATTTGCTAACTGGTGTCGTAGCAACGCTCCCGTCGTCGTTGGTCTGTTCCTGCTCATCTGCCTGCTCTATATTGAACGCCGCCACAAGTTCAATGGCCCCAAAATCGATTGGGACCTGCTCAACGAGGTGAACACAGCTTCATGATCGTACTCGAAGACTTCATGCACCCAAATAACATGGATCACGGTTCTCCTTCACCAAAGGCGTGGAGCATATGAACCAGCATCAAACGTCGGTGACCGCAATTCTTCCCACTCCCGCCCAACCTGACGTTTTGGTAGCGTGGACGTAGCCACTTTTGACAACTCTTTTGTCTCATCCTCGCAAATTTCCGAGCTAGGAAAAGGGATCGTTATATTATATGGTTTTTAGGTCGGTTAAGACGAGTTGGGAGTAGGCCAGATCGGATATTACGGATTGGAACTGTCCGATAACATTGTATGGTCTAAAATTGAACTGCGGGAAAGGAAGGTCGGATGAGATACCTACATTCTTGTAATTAGGTCGCTCAAATGGATCGTATTCTAATCATGAGTACCTTGCGAGTAGACGCCGCTTCTGCCGACGCCCGAATACCATAGGACCACGCTCTGGGGCCTTAGGGGGTCACGGTAGGTCACACTCCACCAGCCACTTTAACGCCCATCGCTTTAACATTCCGCCACTTAACAAGAGTAGCAAAACCCATATCGTACTTAAATACCCCTACCATTGACGAGACGACCTAGCCTACTCCGTCTTCTAGCTCCACGCTAATAATAAGACGACTCTCGCGTAAGACTAAAGGTAGCTGCCTGAAGGCTTGGTCTAGACGGAAAGCTTGATAGAGCCATAGCAGTACACAAGCATTTCAAGGCAGAGATGCAATAGTTATTTGTTCTTAACAATGCCAACGATCTAGTGCTTTGTAGTATCGACAAAAGACATAATACATTGCAGAAGACGATAAGTCTATTTAACTATATCCCATAAGGCCCTATAGGGACGGCCCTATAGACTAATTAAGATAAGCTAATTACAGGAACACTTATAAGTCTAAGGCAGGGGCTTCAGGCCTCCTAGATAATAATTAATAAGGCAATAGTACTTTATAAGACAGTAAGTAATAAAAAGGCTAGGTACTAGAAGCTTACAGATACTAGAGTATTACTTAAAGAGCTTTATTAGCCCTCCTAGCAATCTCTTAAGGAGGAGTATATATTAATGCTAATTAAGGGGCACTTATTAAGGCTAGTTACTAGAAAAGAATAATAGCGCACCTTATAACAAATCGAATTTGACAAATATTAAATAGTTAAGCTTCTTAATAGTACTATAGAATATCTTAATTAAGCGGTTTTAGCAGGAAAATAATATAGTATATAAGGTCCTTTATATCCTTGCATATCTCGACAACAAGGACATCCTATTAGAGGTAATATTAGAAGAACTGAGGGTTCCCTTATCTTCAGGTTAATATCAAGGTTAAGGTTTTAAGTCCTAAAACTCAGATTGCAGGACTTATAGGGCTTAAGACCTAAAAGAGGCCACTTAAGAATATAAGATCTTAAAGATCCTTCTATTGCAACAAGATAACGACAATAATAATAACAACAGTTGAAGTGAAATCGGCATCCTTCCACGATTCAACAACACTTGAGACCTGATGGGATCCAGTCTTCTAGTTATCTCCCTTGGCTGGGAACAGCTCCTAGATAGGACCTTGGTGGTGTCTCGGGGTTGGTGGAGGAGGAGCACTTTCACTGATAATGACTTCGGCAAGGGGAGTTGGTAGGGCAGTGGCGAAAGAGTTATATTGGGACGGCTGAATCGGACTCAAAGAAGTTTCACCGACTACTAATTTACAGGTGATTGGCGCATTACACCTCAGTAAGCATTCCTTACAGTACGCATATCTCTGTGAATTGTAGGCTTATCAACACTAACGACTGACTCGGCGGAGTTTTCATCGTCGTTATCGTGTGGCTCGTCTGACATGGGGGAAAATTCATAGTTGTCGTCGTCGTCACCTTGGTGAGACTCGGGTGTCACTTCGTATGACCAAGGCCGCTCTGACACACGGGCTGTTTGACCAAGAAGGATCAAACTTGGATGAAATAGATCGCGAGGAATACTCCGTCACAGCTTACGAATACGAGGATCCAGGGAAGGATAAAACAGACCAACTTCAGTCACTCTTTCGATTAGAAACCAAGAGCTTCAACGCCAGTCAACATCCCTCGTCAAATGTGACATTGGGCTTACAGGGAGCTTGGGGTAGAGGGACTTGGGCCGAAGAGGTGCACGGGAGGCAAGAGTCGTCGGCGGGGCACCAAAAGCTACGTTTGGACTCGATCGAACCCGTCGTGGTGAGACGCTAATGGCTGCGCACTGCGGGGTTGGAGAGCTTGGCGTTCGATGAGCCTCCTTGGCGTGTGTTTCCGTAGGGACATCTGCGGGAGAAGTCGAGTTCGAACAGCGGCGGGCAAGTTAAGCGGTGAGCACGAGGGATCGGTGGGAGCGTCGGTCATTGAATTGGTCGGTATACGAGGAGGCGACCGCGAGACAGGCATCGGCAGCAGCATATCAGCGCGATCTAGCCCTGAAGACATTGGGCATAGCAGCAGGGCGCTCTTGTCGGGGTGTGACCGAGTATATCATTGAGAAGCTTCGCTCTGAGTTTGCGCGAAGCACTCATGATGTCGCGTCATTGGGAGGATGGAGTCATGTCAGATATTTAGGTGAAATTGTGTACATGTTGATGATTGCAGCAGTTGATCCATGAAGAATTATCAGAGATCCGAGAATCCAACGACAAGATGGACTGGGTCGTCCAGCTCTTTATGCATAAATGAAGTGTTGCCCATTTTAGCAGTATCAGTTACTCTAGTGGGTCTAGGGTTTGATATGCGACACTTCCTCCTTCAGCATATACTCAACAAGTCGGAACAAAACAGGCTAACAAAACTGTAGAAATATTGGGAATTTCATATTTGAGACGCCGTTCACCGGGCATACTTGAAGTATTCTTCAGCAATGTCATCGCGGTCCTCGGGACACGATTGACTGCTGATGGCGAAGACGAGAAAGAATAGGGCAGTCATGGCGTGCTGATCATCCTCGTCCATGTCCATTTCATCCCGTAGCCACTACGAGAGATTCCAGCTTGCACGGCGGTAATTTCCTCAGGCTGAACTAGTTGATGATGATGGAAACCGAGATCGTCCTGGTGCTCGGCTTCAGACCCGGCTCAGAACCGGGATTGTGATCAAGATTGGGACTGTGACTGAGACTCACATGGACAGGGACAGGGACCGGAAAGAGGCGAAAGCCTGGACTGGCCCCCTGAAGCTGAAACTGCACTGGTGGATAACCCCACGCGTACTGCAGCTCCTGCAAGGCACGAGTGAATAGGGTAAAGAGGTTAACAGTAACCAAAACTTCGGAAGTTCGGGGGGTAGATGCCAAGCAGGACAATTTAGGGGGTAACAAGAGCTGGCTGTCAATAACACCTTGGATCTAGATTAGGTAGTAGATGGTGATTAACTCTACGTACACACTAGACTACCAAGGTAGTTGGATCAGACATTAAGGGCGTACACTTTCCCTCGGTGATCTTCATATAAGCTCTGAGAAATGCGCTTCTTTCCATTATCGGAAATATCAAAGTAGTCTGCTTAATTGTGTTCTTTGACCATAGGATAATATTCGTAATTCGCCATGCTCGCAACCACCTTTCGAGCCGCAGTCTACCAGTTATATAGATCAATCAAATAATCACACCTATTGACAGAATAGATTTATAACAATAAATCAACGGTGAGCTCTATAGCCAGAACCAGAAAGGGCGGCACACCTTTTAATTTTAGTTTCAGAAAGAATGCAGGATCTGTTATTACTAGATTAGGAAGTTATCCTGACCCGCTCACTCTAGCACCAAATCTGGCAATTAGCCCATCCATTGACGATGGTTTCCACTTCGACAAGGGGGTCAAATAAAAATGTTCGACTTCACAGAAGAGTTCTGCACTATTAAAATTTCTAGACAAACTCACCTGTATCTGCGATGGCGTCTAACCAAGGTATCCAGTCGGCTCGATCTCCTGCACTTGGCAATGCACGTGACGTCGACCCCGATTTACACGCAGAGCCGACGGAAGAGACTGCGCTGCTGTCCACAAACGAAGCGAGGGACAATGATACGGCCAAGATCGTTGCAGTCAATGCAGCCATGCTGTTGGCTGGAATGAACGGTAAGTAGTGTCAGGGCTAGACGTCTAGTTAGAATACGGCTAACCGTGAGTTCTCAGATGCGGCAACTGGCGCCTTGATTCCTTACATCCAGTCTGGCTACAACGTTGGCCTGCTCTCCGTCGCGATACTATACCTCATCAACTTCTCGGGGTGGCTCTTAGCAGCCTTCACCAACGTCCATGTCACCAGTCGACTTGGTATGGGTGGCACTCTCGTTATTGGCGCGTGTCTGCAATGCTTTGCCTACGCTCTTAATTTCTGGAAGCCCCCGTTCCCCATCTTTGGAGCCTCCTTCTTCTTCTCGGGATTGGGTGTCGCTTATCTTGATGCGCAGGCTAATACATTCGTGGCACACATGAGCAGCTCGCATAGATGGTTGGGTGTCTTGCATGCTATCTACGGCCTTGGTGCCTTGCTGAGTCCTACCGCGGCGACAATATTTGGTACCAAAACTCCTTATTGGCATCACTTCTACCTATTGATGGTTTTTCTTACTGTTATCAATATCGCGGTAGTGTCTTGGAGTTTCAGGGATAGTCTATTTAAGCCATCCGAGGCGTCTGATTTAGAGGCTAGTGGCCAGCTCAAGACAGCCCTGTCGCAAAAGTCAGTTTGGATGCTGAGCATCTTCTTCTTTCTCTACGTTGGGGCCGAAGTTACTTCAGGTGGTAAGTCCGTATACTAGACTTCGGCTGTGTTAGATGCTGATTAATCTAGGCTGGGTTATCGAGTTTCTCATCGCAGTGCGCAATAGCCCCCCTGATATCGCTGGTTATGTGGCGTCGGCTTACTGGGGCGGTCTTATGCTTGGTCGTATCCTTTTGGCAGATATCACCCACAAGCTTGGTGACCGGCTCATGGTCTTTATCTACATTCTTATTGCCCTTGGACTCCAGTTGATCTTTTGGTTCGTGCCAAACGTTATCGTAGATTCAATCGCTGTCAGTCTACTTGGCTTTTTTATTGCCCCATTCTTCCCTGTTGGATTAACAGTTCTTACAAAACTCTTGCCGCGAGATCTGCATGTTGCTGCTATTGGTAAGTATTCCCCGTCAAATACATACAAATGGCGGATGCTAATAACGGTAGGGTTCACTGCTACTGTCGGCCAAGCTGGATCTGCTGCTTTCCCATTCCTGACGGGGGCCATTGCTTCCAAAGCCGGTGTCATTGTTCTGCAGCCTATCATGGTGGCGTTGCTTGCTGGCATGTTTGCCTGCTGGGGACTGGTACCTCGTGTAAAGCGGGGGTGAAAGGATGTTAGTTTTAGGATCCGACCTCCGAACCTTGTCGTCGGGGTGGCTAAAACGATAGTAGAACTTGGTACAATTGTATGGTTAGGTAGGAGAAGTCCTCCCACAAGACCAAGAAATTGACCGCTGTTCAAGGTTGGAGGCTTGTACTAATATTATATCTATGTTTGAGATATTTTCAATGGGATGAATGGATCAATCAACCAATACGATGGCCTGTAAACTCCGAGAGGACGACAAGTCGTGGCATTCGCGCAAGATAATTCCCGGGAACAGGGGGGCCTCCTTTGTAAGAGAACATAGGCGAGCAAAGTTCCAACCCTATGGAGCCCTTATAAATCTTAGTATACTGTTTTTAGTCTAATTATTACTTTTCTTTTTAGTCCTTATAATAATTCATAATAATACATTAACTTAAAGATTAATTTCTCTATGTATTTAATATTTAATCTTTAGCAGCTTAAGGAATACTTAACTTAATTTTTAAATGTTAAGAAAATACAAGTCTATTATCTTCTAAGACGTTATAAGGCTCCAACGCGGTCACGACGAGGGGTTATAGCTAATTAAAATACAGAGAACAAAGGATACTTTAGCTTATACTGGCTAATGCTAATTTTAGATTTATATTAGATATATATTATAATATATAAAAACTAAAATTAATTAACCTAGCTGCTATAATTAAAAGTAGTAAATTATAAATTAAAATTACCCCTAAAAGTTAAGTATTATTTAATATTTAATATTTTAGTACTTAAATTAGTAGCTAATTATAAGAGCTCTAGAAGGTAAAAAGCTAATTTAATAAACTAAAAGTTAACTAATTTAATTACTAAGTAATTAAACTGCCTTCTATATTAATATATAAGGAGCCTAGGCTATATATATATAATAGCTATAATAAGTCTTCCAGGCTCTTAAGCCACTATATCCTTATAATTACCCTCCCTCTTTAGTAGCTTAGTCCCCGTGTTAGTTATTAATATAAGGACTTAACTGCCCTATAGGATAGGCTTTATAGGCAGTATAACTACTATATATAATTATAACTTTATATATTATATTTACTATACTTTTGGCTTAACTAATTAGAGGCTAATATCTAACCTAACCTTATTAAACCGTTTTAAGAATTATATTAAAAGGTATTGCTATAATGCCTTAAGTAATATAACTAATATTAGCTTGTAAGATAAGTTATATAACCTTCTTATAGGTCTATAATATAAAATATAATAATAGGGCTATAAATATTAGTTACTTAAAGTAAGAATTAAATATAAAACCTTTATAATAAAAAGGCTTAATTTAATAATTAAATAATTATAAGAGCTTTAAAAGGTAAAAAGCTAATTTAATAAATTAAATATTAATTGGTTTAATTATTAAGTAATTAGATTACTTTTTTTTATTTATATATAAGAAGGCTAGGCTATATATATATAATAGCTATAATAAGTCTTTTAGGCTTTTAAGTTATTATATTCTTATATTAATATAATATAAATTAAAACTAGTATTAAATTATATTAAATTATAAAACTAGAAGTTTATAAGGTAAAAGTAATTAAAGAAATATAAAAAATTAATAAAAAAGTAAAATATATAACTAAATAAAAAGATTATTTAAAAAGTAAAATTATATAAAAATTATTAAAATACCTTATTAAAATTTAATAACTCTTAAAGAATTTTTATTAAAATTAAATATAAGTAAAATATTAAGAAATTTATTACTTAAATTTAAAGAAAATTAATTAATATTATTAAATATAATTAACTTAGATATTTTTAACTAATATACTCTTATAAGTATTTAATATTAATAATATATTTTTAATATTATTTTTTCCTTTACTTAAGCCTTATATAAGGCTTTTAAGCTTTTTAACTTTTTTATTAATAATATAAATAATAAGGCCCTTATAGCAGGCTAATATTATAAAAGTTAGAATTAAATAAGGTTTATTTATTTTAATAATATAATTACTGCCTTAACTATATAGTATTAATACTAGCTCTTAGTAATTAAGTTAATTCTTTTCCTTTAACTTACTTAAAAGATTTTTAATTAACTTTTATAATATATTATATATAATTTATTTATAATACTTTTAATTAAAGGTTAATTAGACCCTAACTAGGTAAAAAATAAAACTATAAACTTATAAGTATATTACCAAACCTAGCTTTCCCTCTTTTAAACCTTCTTATTAATAGCATAATAGCTATACTGCCCTAATACTTACTATATAAAATAGCTTATAATTATATAATTATACCTATTATATAACTAGCTATAACCTTAATTTAGCTATTAGGCCTGCCTTAGAGGCAGCTAATAAAAAGAACCTTAAAGAGATATGCTCATGCTCAGGCATCTACTCTGTCAAACTTCGATCGAATACCTTGTACTTCTGCCCAGGGATTAAATCTTGTATAGCAGACTGTGTCTCTCTTTTAATAGCCGCTGTTGCAGCGGTTGTGTCGACCCTAAAAGGTTTCACCAGGCTATCGAGATCAGTCATCTTCTTTCAGAGTAAATAGCCACGGAGGATAGCTCACCGTTTGTCATGCAAGCACCGTATGATCTTCTTAGGCTCTCCAATCCATTTCACCATGTTGACTAGAAATTCAGCAGCAGAGCCGTCGAACGGCCGCCCATTCAAATTCGCCCAGCCTGCAGCGGCAATAATGCCTACATCTAGCCGCGGCTTCAAGTCTCTCAACACTCCTTCATAGCCCCCAAAATGTGCAGACCAGAGAAGAACCTGCCCTTCCGTCAAGGTGTTGAACATGAGTTGACCGCCGTCGTAATGGGAGAATCGGTTCTTATTCTTGTCACCGACGTAGTCGATAAAAGCCTGCGTATCTTGGTTAATCTTATCCTCGGGAATAACATCCTTCAAACGAAGAAGCCCATGCTTCATTCCCATTGTGATGTTCAAGGTGCAGATGAAGTCAGTTGAGGCTCCAGTATATCTAACGCCTGTGTCCATTATCTCTGGATGGTCTTCGGGCAGAAACGCATGAAGAGAAGGCCATACGTGTACAGCTGCAACCGCGAGCGAAGGATGGGGTGATTTTGGGGCTCCAGGAGGTCGTTGTTCAAGCTCTACTAGGCCTTGGGCAGCCTTGTCATGCAGTTCTTTGGTGAAGAGGGGTATTCTCTCGCCACCGCCGACTGGGAGAAGCTGCTTCTCAGGAACACCCGCCTCACGCATGATGTTGATTGCTTCTCCATTCGCAACGATTATGGCACCTGTTCTTTTGGTAATGACATCGGCGCCGGGTAGACTCGAATATGTCAGCACAAACTGGGACGTCCTCTCAATGGTTATTCGACGTACTGATCAAAGTGCGAGTCGGAGATGAATATGTAATCCGCCTCTTTAACATCGGCGAGCTCTAGATACCGCGGCATCCTTGCCGGCTTGTCTAGCCAGGTATCAAGGAATATCGTGAGGCCATTGGTCTGTAGCCGATATGGCGTGGCTCCTGATCATGGTCAGTCATTGTTTATTCACAGTCTGTGCTTGTCTTTAATACCGAACCACTCGATTGTCGCTGCCATTTTGTTTCCGTACACTTGTGTATAAAGGGCTCTCTCACGAGGGGATCCCAGTCGCCTCCAGGATCAGGCGGAGTAAATACAATAAAAAGTACTAACCCCTTCCCCCTCTCTGATCGTTGTCGGCGGTACCCCACCGCATGCAGAGAGCAAGTTATTATTATATACAGGTTCCAAACCATAGTGCGGAAATAGTGCTACTCCAAAAGAGTAAACTCATCCATTGTTTTTGTTTGTCCATCATCTCAATGCAGCCATGTCTCCTTTCAAAGTCATCATCGTTGGTGCCGGACTCAGCGCAAGTCTTCTCGCAAACGGACTCATTCGCCATGATGTCAACGTTGCAGTCTATGAACGACTAGACAGAAACGTCAAACGCGAAGGATACCAGATCAGAATGGAAGCGAATGCCCTAGCAGGTTTCCGTGCGTGTCTGGACAAGGAACACGTCGACAAAATTATCTCCAAATTTGGCAAATCAGGTGGCAGGATTTCTTCCGCCCCAGTCGTCTATGGCAGTGATTTCAAGCCTCTTTTAGACTTTACCAAATTCCCAACGTACAGCAAGTCAGCTCCCATCAATCGGGTTACTCTTCGTGATGCGCTTGCCGATCCTGTTTATGATGCAGGCAGGATGCATTATAACAAGGAGTTCGACAGATATGAAATCATTACCGACAACAAGGGTAGAGAATTGGTTCGTGTCTGGTTCAAAGACGGTTCTTCAGACACTGCTGATATACTGATCGGAGCTGATGGGAGTCATTCCAAGGCGAGTTAAACCATGAGCTCAGCAGCATCTAATTGATAATTGTTAATTGTCTCAGTAGATCAACAAGAAGCTTGGGTTGAATAACATCAAGGCAGTCAAAACTCATACCAACTTTGTACTCAAAGCTGACCTGCCAACATCCAAATATCTGGCAAGGAAGCCCGAGCTGCACCGTACGCCTGTCTTGACTTTGACAACAAGGCGTTATATTTTTGTGGCAAGTCACCAGGAACCAAAAGCAAAAGGAGAAACAAACCTGACTTATCCGTAGCATATCTCCCAGACCGCGAATCGGCTGAGGAAGATACAACCAAACCCTCAGTCAAATTTGATGATACCATGTCGTCCGTTATGTTTGTTCTTTTCGTACCTACAAGTACTGTCCCCGAGGGCCTCACTACCAAGCCTGCCGAGGAGCAATGGGATTTCTGTAAGAGTAGCATCAAGAATTGGGCGCCCGAATAGTAAGCACATCCGATTCCCTTGATTAAATTCCAGGTTTTGACGATTCAATAGCCATGAGATTCTAAATCTTATCAAGGGCCCAAACTTCTATGCTTTCACGCCCAGAGTAGGAACAGGGCCATCTATCGATTGGAGAGCAACGGTTAAGAATTCGAATGATGAGACCCTTGGACATCCGCGTGTCTGGCTTATGGGGGATGCTATCCACCCCATGCTTACCTCACGGTAGGATCCCTGTCTTACGACCAGAAACTCTACTAATGACGAAAATAGAGGCATGGGTGGTAACCAGGCTTTGAGAGATATAGCAACTCTACTCCCTTTATTGATCGAGATTTCGCAGGTCTCGGAGTCTGGCAAAACACCAACTACGGAGACAGTCGCAAAACTGCTCCGATCGTACGAGGCAGAGATGATTCCCAGAGCATTCGGATGGGTGAAGAAGAGCGGTGGCACGACTGTGGTGGTATGCAGCCCCTGCGCAGTGGACTTTTAAATGTTGGCTAACTAGACTACTTCGCAGCCATTTGATAGTGATAAGCTTTACGTGAGGCTTGGTTGCCTGTTGATTGTGGCCCCGTTGATAATCATCTTGAACTGGGTATCAAAACTCCTCGGATTTGTGCGCACCAAGCCTGTTGTTGACGACGCACCGGAGTTCAAGGATTAGCCGTCACACTCACACAATGGTAATTATATCCATTCAAGGCGATTGAAATGGTTTTCTTAGCCTGCTTTGGCCGCCAGTCACACTAAGGAAGACAGGTTGTAATTATCACATCTTTCGAATTATCTGAATAGATATAGGGCTAGTAGTTATTTTCATCCTGGCATCTATGAGTTCACTGAACTACCATTTGCTTGCCTCAGATTCAGTCAAATAACTAAGCTATTCATTATAGTCACTCGTGCGATGAACGTCGTTTGCCACCTTGAATTTTATCTTTGCAAGTATAGCAGCGCTCCCGTTAGTCTTAGTTTTCGGGATCTGGACCGGAAACTACAGATACCCAACCAACGACGAATATAAGGAAGAATGCTGTAAACTCCTTATCATATCGGCTCGCGAAATCACCAATCTACTAAGATGGCTCAGAACTTCCTGATACACGTCCCACTTGAGCGGTGAAGCTGAGGGTGACTAAACGGGAGTTACATTATTACCTATGCATTTGATCCTAACGTGATTGCTTCTTGTTTACTATCCCAATGTCCCTGAAAGACGTGTGCCCACCCGCAGGCCAAACCGGGATTTCAGTGGTCGAAGACGATGTAACTGACCAGCGGCGGACTCGCCGACAGTCATATTCCCCTCCATATATCAAGCTTTCTTCAGGGCCAAAGAAAACACTGAATAGACTAAGGTGGCAAGGCACTGTTCCACCTCCTCAATCTGCCCTGATAAAATTTAACCCCTTACCCCGTCGGAGCGGCCCCGCCGGGTTGCCAGTTCCAAGAAAGTCGTGTATCAGGCGGGACATTGGCAGATCCTAACCTGTCTTCCTCGGCGGCAGCGGCACTTTTTGCCGGTCGGGTATTGTAGCAAATCATAATGGCTTAGAATGGATCATGGGTTGCAGCTGTTATGAAGCCATTGCCCGTTCACTTTGATCTGCATCACGCCCTCATGCGTTCTTACCCTGCACTGGAGTCGCGGACCTACCCCGCCTTAGACTTGGCAGATCTTGTTATTATATCTTTCTAATTCCTTAGCAAAAAATTAAAGAGTAGTATTGAAAACCAGCCTCAATCAGTTCTACTACTGTGACCCTTCTCAATAATCAACAAACCATGAACGCTCTTAACGGACAAATTACAGTACATGACGTCTGGACTTCAATAATACAGAGAGTAGAAGTTACTCTTCCTACTGTGTTGCAGCCATGGACACCTCATTTCATGGTCATTATTGTTGTCCTCATCTTCAGTATGCTATGGAAAGTCTATACTACTGTATACAACCTGTACTTTCATCCATTGGCCCAATTTCCAGGTCCACAAGAGGCGGCTCTGTCTCAGAATTGGATCTACAGGAATACACTCAGTGGGCGGATTGAACCAATACTTGAAAGGCTTCACGATCAATACAGTATGTCCTCCAACACCCGACACCACAATCCTTGTTTTTTTAACCGCATTCGCAGAATCCCATGCTATCAGAATTGCGCCAAACGAGTTGCATATCACCGATGTGTCTTTGTACAAGAAGATATACAGCCAGAACGACCCCTGGCCGAAAAACGGAGACTTTTACGCCGCTTTCGGTACCCCTCACAGTCTTTTTGTAGAAACCGATAATGGTCTTCACAGGGAGCGGCGAAAACTGCTGAATCCTTACTTCTCCCGTGGTGGCGTGCTTAATGTACAAGATCTGATACAGGGGAAAGTTGCGACCCTCATCGCGAGATTCCAAAAGCTACCGCCCGGCTTCAAAGTCAACCTCTACAACGCCTTCCGGTGCCTTACGGTAGATATCATCTCAGACTACGCATCCGGAACGTGCTTGAACCAAGTTGAAACGGCAGATGACGATTTCTTTGGAAGTTATCTCGAACCTTTCGATGCCTTCGGAGAAAACATCTGGCACATGTGCTACCGGCCGGTTATAAGAGCAATTGTGACATCAGCTCCAGCCTGGATTGCGAAGCGAGTAAGCAAAGAAGGGCGGTCAATTGTTCAACTGCAAGAGGCAAATATGGCGGCTCTATACTCTTATAGAAATAAGCCTGATGTGGGAAGACCGGTGGTTTATGCTGCGTTGAATAGCTGTTCCGAGGAAGAGGCGGTGGCTGAAGCGACTGACATCCTTGCTGCAGGATCAGATACAACGGCTTACACCTTGACAGTCGCCCTTTGGCATATCATTAAACACCAAGCTATAAGAAACGAGCTTGTGGAGGCTCTCTCCAGGAACATACCCGATGCAAAGACCATCCCTAACCTGCCGGTGCTCGAGAAGATTCCACTTCTCAACGCTACCGTCAAGGAAAGCGTGCGTATAGCCAGCGCTGTACCTGGAAGGCTCCCCCGTATCGTCCCTAGCCACGCCGCACTTTTCGTCGATGGCAAGAAAGTGCCTGAAGGCACCATCGTGGGCATGTCGGCTTACACGATGAACCGGAACCAAGAGCACTGGGGTCAGAACGCTGATGAGTTTGACCCTCACCGCTGGCTCACCGGCGACTGCGCGGCGATGGAACAAAACATGGCGTCCTTTTCCAAAGGACGCCGCAGCTGCATCGGTCAGCCTCTGGCCTATGCAGAAATCCACATCGTTCTGGCATATCTTCTTCGGAATTTTGATTTTGAGCTTGCATCTGGTTCTGCATCGCCTGACGCATGCGATAGGTTTACTTCCATGGTGGAAAAGCCAGGGGTGCTTGCATATGTCAAGCCTCGAGTGAAGTAGAAAGGGGTTAGTGGGAAGGGAAGATAGAGACAGAGGTAGTTATGAATTTTATAATAATAAAAGTAGGCTACGAAGGTGTCTATAACTAATTGTTCTCCTAACTCGCTTGTCAGGGTCTTTCTCCGTTTCGTGGGCCTTAAACTTGTCTTTTTTTCATTCTAAAACCCTCTTCCCCTCTAAGAGTGTAATTCCTCTAACACAGCTCTATCTACGCAATTATTATGTAGACGTCATAGTATATCTCATCTACATTAACCTGTTTAGACACGCCACATAGTGCCAACATCGTCTACCTGTATCTTACGCATCGAGGCTGATATAAAATGCGGCCGTCAAGAATCCATATAAGTTTCCTACCCAGATCCAACCCAACTGGCCGGCGACAAATAAGTCGCCCAAGACTGTCGTTAAATGGAGCTTCGGCACTGGAGAGGATTAGGAACTTTGTATCTTGCACTTCTCTATTATGGGTATTAATGTCACTGCGGATCCAGGGATTTCAGTAAAAACACTACCTGTCCAATTCCGAGGTAGCTTGAGAATGATTCTGGAATACTCTCACTGCGTCTTGGCCTTGTAGTAAGAGAGGACTACAGAAGCTACCCTTGGGAGAACTACCGAAGTGCGACGCTCTCTTGATCAGACGCTGAGAAGCGATCTGTTAAGTATCTGCCGGCTTTTATGTGCGCAGTATGTGGGGAAGTAATAACGGCATTTGAAATCGTTGAAATAGCTAATGGTATCGAGCTTTGCGGCACTGTTAACAGAGCGCAACCGAACTTGTTGAGAACGGTTAGTTACATTGGGTTTGGTGCGCGCGTGCACGAAAACGCAATTTCGGTACTCGGCTACCCATACGACTGTCTTTTCGCCCCCATCAATACCATCTTAGGGACTGCGAGGACATCTGTGAGATTAAGCAAGGGCAAAGAGAGAGCAAAGATGCCAAGATGCCAAGATAGTTAATAAATAAGAAATAATCTCGCAATGGAGAATGAACCGAGTCTGATGTGTTCATATCTTCGGACTTACTCTTCAAAGCTGGACTTAATAGGCTTGGTGCCTGTCTGGCTAGTCTGGGAGGGTGAAGTCAAACAGCCCTGGGTGTATTAGTAAGAGAACAAGGCAATAATCCATACTTCCATCTGTAATTCCGGCAGTCAGTCTGAAATGCATACATAACTGGCTTGGAAAGCGGTGAGTCGATAATGTATCATGTCATTTATGCTTTTCGGCACCGATGGTCCGGGCCACATTGTTCGGCACTTATAGAGTTTCTACCTATCCCAGTAGTTTAGAACTCTATCCTATAAGTGCATAATATTGGCTATTATAAATATAGTTTTAATTTCCTATACACTAAACCTTTCTTTACCGCTATTTCTAATATATAAACAGGTAAGAAATTGCATTAACATTTTCTCCTGTTCCTCTACCAAGAGATAGTACATATAACAAGCACTTTCCACTGCATTTATTCACTAACTACAAGCTCTTTAGCCTTACTGAATCAAGTCCGGCATCGTCAACATGAAGCTCTTCACTCTCATTTCTGCATTTGCGACTGCGACTCTTGTGTCCGCAGACCGAAGGGTTCAACTTCGCGCCCCCGATGGGTCCCCGAATCATCTCAGTGCCCGGGATAGCACATGCCCTAGGCCGATGGTAAGAAATATCCAAGTGGCAGTACATCTCCTGCAGATCAATTTTCTAACAATACCAAGTGTAAAACACCCGCTACTCAAGGGCCAAACGACCCCCCTGCCTGTGGCGACTCATACGCAGCGTGCAAGTTCGACCAGTTCCCTTGTGACGACCACTTTAGTCCCAAGTGGACTGACACTCACCATTGCTACTGCATTGTATGTCCTCCCCTCCTCAATACCTAGATATCATCTAACCCCTCTGTAGTTGGCCAACAAGCAGGCAATGGATGCATATTGCCAGGAACGCGGATTCAAGAGTGGCACTAACCCTTGGAAGTACTACTACGCGGTTGAGTGCCACGGGGCTGCTAGTGATCAAGTTTGTAACAAGGACTGTCATGACCAAGGCCGTGGCAAGGGCAGAATCGACAAAGCTAACCCGAATGGGCCGTGTGCATGCCAGAAGCCTAATCCACCATATGATACATGCAAGTCTTGAAGGACAAGTTGCAATGTAGCTTGATCTAGTTCTTGTCTTGGGATCGAGAGGGAGGCTTGGGACTAAAAATTCGCTTCTTTACTCAATTTACAGAATCTTGCTTGGTGAATTTATTAAAGAATCGCTCGTGAGGTAACAAGAGTTTAACCTCGGTGCCCAAAATGCTGAACGAGACGCATAATCCGGTTTGAGAATGTCGATATAGCTATAATAAATTCTGTGCATAGTTTGGAGGCCTTTAAGCACGAAGCCAATTCATTGGCTTCACAACCACCTTCAAGTCCGGCAACAACAACAACCTGCTCTGTAAGGACAGTAAAGTGAAGTCTTCTACCAGCAGCCAAGGGTGTCCCCTGCCCCACTGGTATATAAATGACGTCAGGTAGAATTAGTTTATTACTATTTGTTCGCATTATGGTTTCTCTCCAAGACTTGTTCTATAGTCGAGAATTTCGGAATCGCAGGGAGGTCCCAAGTCTGTTTGTCTCGCCTTGTCTATCTCTGAGATTTCGGCATTGTATCTCTATAGATGAACACAACAAGGAGCAGGTCGGCGACTGTTTGGCACGATGTGGCGTGGATAGCAATCATCAGGAACAGGACCAATCGAAGCCGGTTCAAAACCACAAAGTCCCCATCGTAGGCTCAAGATCACTCCTCCAAGTCTGCAACAACTCCTGTCATCGTTGAGTGATCTGAGTCACGAATTGATACCATCGCATCAAAGATGAAACACACAGACGCAGATGTAATATGTAAGTCGGATAAATTGTTTCTTGACTTCCCCGCAAGGGCAGGCAAGAGAACTTAGGACATCTATCCTCAATAACAAAAACACTTGGGTAAATTTAGGTGGACACATAATGAAAGTTATCTTGAGAAGCCATGATTCTGCTGTTCTCGCCGTTTCAAACTTGAGCCAGGTCAATCCTCATTGACGGATAAGCATAGCAAGATTCAGTGCTTCAGATGAAGCGATTCTGGCCCCGCCAAGCTTATGTAAAACGCCTCTGATGAAGATGCGGATGACATTGGTGCTGGTGGAGTTAGCGGGTCGGGAGTTGACGATCGCTTCACTTAATCACTTCTGGTGATCAAGATGGTTTAAAGATACATGAAATTTGATATGTCCACTTTTCTTCTGAATACACAATTGAATGTCTAGACTAAACTTCAGTCGTTGTCATCCTTTCCCTAAGGCCGCTATTGAGCCCCATATTGGACACCATCCTTTGTATCCCCCAACATCCTTCAGTGCAAGATTGCCCACTCGGCGACTGTAGCGCCGGTACCATTCCCGGCTTTAGCATCAACAGCATTCAGACCTTGGTTCCCCGCGATCAACAAAGTGGCATATCGAGATAATGGAACAGGGTTTGCCAGAGTAATATTGGTAGTGTTTCCTGTAGGCATAACGACGGCGTCTAGATTATCGGTCTTTGCGTTGTATGGGTCCGAGAGTTTGACTTTCTTTATCGACATAACAACGTCATATCCGGGGTCTTGACTGGACTTGCCATACGCCTTTGTCGGGTCATGAATGGTTTCGTTGTGGAAGAGAACAGTGACGTTGACAGGGGGGGCATCGGCCCAGTCAAAGTAGAAACCCGTAACCATAGATCCAATGTCTTTTTTCGCAAGAGAAACAGTTAGTGAGCTGACATCAGCGGCCTTTGACGGCTGCCACTTCGTGGAAGTAGCTCCATCAACAGCTGCAAGAGGGAACTGTCCCGGCTCGTAGGAGTTGGAAGATTGTACTGGTCGGCACTGAGCGAGATTGCCATGGACTGTGTTGACACTGCCTATCTGCCTGTTTTTGATCACGACAGGCTCGTCAAATGACAGGTGGTGAAGTGCAGAGTCCCCCTGTTTTCCAGCATAAACCGTGATACTTTTATTGGCATACCGAGGATCCGCAACATCAAGAGGTTTAGTCGTTGGATGTCGAGAGATAGTGGTATGCGTGTAATTCGACCAAGCCGAGATAGGCCAACCACGCCAATAAAACGTTCGATATTTTATATACGGAATCTGAGGCGGCAAATTCGGGTTCACGTGGAGACCTTGATCAGGGATGAGTCGCAGGCCAAGGTAACCAAAGATAGTCACTTGGTTAGCACCTCCATGGCCAGTGAGGAAGGGATATGCAGGATGCGTGCCACCGTTGTCGGTTGCGTTGTCGACCAGCTGTTCAGAAAGCTGGTAGAAAGGAGGTCGTGTGTAAGGCTTGTAGGAGTACTGTGCATAGGTGTACGCAGAGCAACCAGAGGGTGAGAGCTCATCAGCTACGATGGAGTAAATTGCCCAGGTCATGGCTGGGCCATCAGGAGACTGTTTGTTTGCATACTGTTCAGGGCATATGAGTTAGAATTTGTATGTGTACATCATGGCGCAGGTGAGCTTACATAGTCAAGATCGTCGAGTCCGTTTTGGTCCGTGTAGTTATCATTGTAACCCAGAGGGAAGCTCATGAGCACCACGTCAGCCTGCTTTACAATGGCGCTGCCATTCATAGTCGTAAACTCCAAAGTGATACCGTTCTCTCTTATGAAGAGCACATCAGAGGCTATTTCATCCTGGGTTTTGTTCTCTGTCAATCCAAACTGTCGGCGGATCTTGTTGGCCTGGATCAATGTTTCCGAAGCTAGTGCCATAGTGAATCCGCCTGCGTCAATATGGTTGGCATACTCGTCCTGTTCAATCATCAGCATTTAAAACTGAAGGCACACAATTAATTCAGCTTACCGGGTCAGTCATATTTGTGATAGTCCACGATGATCCATTAGGTTTGAGCAAATCGGTGAACAGATTCGCCACCGAGTCATAAATTGGCAGCAACGTCTCCTTGAAGAAGTCGGTATCACCACTCGTGACCCACTGGTTCACCAAAGATATCCCAATGTCTCCGTTCAAATGGTACTCGTAGTCCCAGCAAGGACCAGTAGCAGTGCAATTACCAAACCGTCCACTCGTCCACGGATACACAGCCGCTGATTCCGAAAACTTGGTCTTGTTTTGAGAGCCCGCAAATGAGGTAGCGATGTTTTTCTTGGCTTGGTCATACTTGGCCACGCGATAGTTTGTTATACGCTGAGCTGCTTCTGGGTGTGATGTTGTGAGACCGGGTTGCATGAAGAGGTCTGCGTCCCAGAAGATCAAACCAGCATATGAGTCGGATGTAAGTCCACCGACGGAGATACTGTCAATGTTGACGGGGGCTCCTGAGACTTCCTTGATTGCATTCTTGCCTACTGTGTTCTGGAGCAAGTAGTAGGTGTTGGTGACTGCAATGATGGCAGAGTCGATAATGTATTCATCGTCAGGGAGCGTGTTGTTCTTGGGGAAAGCATAGCTATCCACAGAATCACTCGGCATAACACTCCCCCATTCTTTGACATGTGACAAAATAGACTTTTCGTACCCTTGTTCCAGCGCTTTACGTGAAGCCTCCTTTGCCGTCTTTTCCGGGTCATCAAAGGCGTCGGAAGAGGCGGCTCCTACGTATTTGGTAACATGGACAGGGACCCCAGCTGAGAATTTGACAGGGATGGCTTGTGCAATAGACGATTCATTGGTGTGCACATAAGGCTTTCTATGCACCAAGCTGCGATGGGACAGATCCAACGACTTTGATCCGTTGATTTGAGCGTAGATATAGGCGGTCACGTTGGCGATTCCCACTGGTCGTACAGCTGAGAATATGGCGCCGTCTTTATCCTCGCCTGACTTGACAAAGTCTGACCGCACTGCCGAGTATCCATCAATGACATTGACAACTGTCGCTTCGGAGTCGATGGATGGGACAATCGTTAGATCCACAATGGCCTGGTTGACATGGAGTTTGTGCGCAAACAGGCGGTAGTTGATCTGGTAAGAACCTCTCCGACCCCTTGGCTCCCACGTGTACGACCACTCCAAAACTCCAGCCTTGAAGTCGTAGATCGACGTAAAGTTATGAACAGTCCGGTTATCCACTGTCGCATCAAGATACACATCGTCTCCCAGGTCGAGAATAAGTCCACTCCAGTGCGGAACTCCACTGATGACACTCTCATAGCCATATTGCAAGAGCCATGGAAAGTTGGTTCCGTTTGTCTTTGGTTGTGCGTCGTAAAAGCCGGCAATAGTAGCAAAGGTCTGACGTCTTGAGAAGAGCGGCCAGCCGTTGATGACTCCACCTTCTTCGTCAGCATCAATTTCAAAGAAGGGACCGGCGGCGGCAACGTTGATTCCCAGATAGCCGTTTGCTACTGAACCGCGAGCCTGATAATGGCCTTGTTCGAGGTTGGTTGTGGTGAGAAGCCAATTGTCGTTGTCCCATGTCACTCCAGGGAAAGATGTCTTGTAGGTGTTGTCACTGGCTTTGGCTGAGTGGTTGGATCTACTATGACGTTGATAAACTTTCTCAATGCGGTTCTGGTCCTGAGTACCAGTTGCGAGTGTTATAGAAGAGTAGAGAAGTGTGAAAATAACATAATTTATGTGCTACATCGCAAGGATTAGTATATTTATTATATTCGACAATATGGGGAATTATCATAAGCAGAAGGTATTCAATGAATTGCTGATCCAAAAACAATTTGTTTTTACATACCGAGGAAAGCATGGTGCTGGTTACATCAATTCATGCTATATATTTAGCAAAATATAGATCTTACAGCAGGACCTTTAAAGTGATGATGCTTCGTGCAGATAAGATAACATGCATGAAATACACTGGCAAGCAAATGAAGATTGCCAAAAGTGAAAGGTCTACAGTAGGATAATAAATATATTTAAACTCTGGCAAGGAAACCAGAGACCAGTAATTAGATCATGTCAATATCCAGGTAATCCCAGAAACCCCGCAAATTAGCTCTGAAGTCGTGAAAAATGCTAACGGCTTTTGTTCAAGGTTGGAAAATCGGCCCGAGCTTGGCGCTCATCACTTCCCGAATCAGGCAAATTATGTCATTTTGCAATGATCGATGGATGATCCGGAGTAAGCGGCATTCACCCATCCCCGCAATATGATGTTACTGCAGGGGAACATTTTGGTGATGCATGAGCGAATTGATGTCATCAAGAAGAATCTTAATCCGAATTGCCTCGAGAAATACACTACATTAGGCCAGGAGATGGGTAGCTGCTGCTAATGTCTAGATGCTAATCTCGCGAAAGCCATGTTGTATGGTCCCCCAAACAGAATACAATGCATGGCCAGGGTGGAGAAACACATACTGAGCATTCTCGCAATGCATCCGTTGGCTTCATCTTTCAGGCGACTTAGATCCGGCCAGTCGGGTTGGCAACAGACTGACCTTTATAAGCCCCTATTGACAAGTAAAAAAGGTTTCAAGGCTTGGCTATCGACGCGAGAAGCCGTGTGATTATCACCTTTATTCACGAGCCCAAAGATAAAGGTAGGCCTTTTGGCTAGCTTGCTGTTGACCTGCCAGAGCTCTGGGAGAAGTCAGGGCCGGGTGCGACCAAAGGACAACCAAGGTCCAGCATGTTCCAGGTTTCGTTTACTGGACTTTTTTTCCCCGTCACCATTCTTTCTTGGATAGTCTTGGCTCTTCCAGACGCACTCTTCATGGATGTTGCTTTGAGCCGGACCCAGTAAGCCAGCTGACAAGATCGAACCTCACTCCTTACCGGAGCTCAGCTAGCACCCGTCACACCCAACGAGAGATTCGTTGTTGCTCTGGCGCGGTTCGGGTCAGCTTGGCGTTGTGCATTGAGAGGAAAAGGCCGTTGGCAGACGATGGGTCTGTTGCTCTGGTTCGCCAAGTGCCTCTTCCTGTACGTGCGTGGACGGACCAGAGAACCAGCCACCCGTTGTCACTGTCTATATCGGCAGCAAGTCCAAGATTCTACCTCTATGCGCCGGACATGGCCCGATCAACCAACTGCCAGATGTAGATATTCCTCCCTCGGGTAACGTCACATTTCTTCGTTACGGCGACGCAAACGTCCAAGCCAACGGAGAAACAGCATACCTATTTGCAACCGCCCAGCCGGCAACAAACAACCATGTTCCTATCATCCGAGGCCCACGCTCCCAGGTCTTCGAAAAGAGATTTCCCAACTCCTTAGACAACAAATGAAGCCGATGTGCAATATTGGTCCTGGTGCAACTCGGTCCTAGAACAGCCTTTCCCAGTTGTCGATAACGGAGCTAACCGGCTAGGCTGTAAGTATGACACCGAGTTCAAGCTGGACGACAAAGGGTATTATCTCGCGGTGATTGGTCACGAGGCCCAAAGGGATGCCGTTGCGAAAGTTTCACATTTGACGTTTATACCGTTTTCTACGGAGCATCCCGATGTCATACATGGGCCAATCTCGGCAAATAATTGCCTCGGCTAATTTTGAGCAAGCTGCTAAGAACGTCCAGCCAGGCTCAAATGTCACGGAAACCGCAGCTGTTATGGGGGAGTGTTACCCATATGCCTATTTCTGCCCACTGGAACCACTGCAAAAGAGGTGTGTTAAAGCTTATATTATAGATAAGGTATAAAAATAGACGATAAAGGAGAAGTGCCCTAATTACACTGTTATTCCAGGCAGGGAGGACGGGATAATTACGGCATAAGGCTATCCATAGTTCGCACCTCGCATTCCCTCGTCCTTCGTATGGAAACCGGAGGCTTCTCCAGCTACAACCCTTCCTGGGCCAAAGCCCCGAGCCCCAGTCAGATGACGTTTTCTCTTATTCTCCCTGACCTGGATCCCGAGTCACAAGAAACTTGAGGATTTCTTCCAGCTTTGGTGAAGCCGAGGGTTCCGAATTTAACAGCAAGCACGCCATATCTACTACTATTGTGTAAGTCTCGTGCTTCAAAGTTTAAAAACCATATACTCAGTCACAGACGGGCAGACGTGTTCGAGAATAATGTGCCAGGCAGGTTCTTCAATGCGAACATAAGTCTATTATCCAAAGCTATGCGGCCGCCGTCATAGCATCATAACTAGGACGATATGGTAGGCATTGGCTGTGCCACGACTCTCGATTCGATATATCGTAAACCACATCATGCTAACTCAAGTTTAAAATATTGGGTGCATAAGAGTTGCTGGCTCACATGACGAGCAAATGCCAGGGCAACAACAGCTCGCTGCGACGCGATTATCCTGTGATAAACACATATTATCTCATTAAATTGACCCTACTCTCCTGTCCGATGACACTACTAACGAGGTAAGTAGGTTCAGTGATTAGGACAACAGAGCGCTTATAAAAGGCTTCCGTTCTACTACCGCCTTATTGTTGGTTTCTTGTCACCTACACCACTCGATTCGACCCAATTCTTTTGCACCTAGTTCTTCAATCTCGGTTGATCTAAAGCACTTGTAAGATACTGCTGTGAATCACTCTTGACAAGAGGAGATTTTAGACTATTGACTTACTCCTGCAAGCTCAAGCACGATTGCGACCGCGAATTTACAGTATATGCATCATCTTTTGGCTTTTATTGTACTTACGGTCAGTTAAACTTATATTAGTACCGCATTAACATGCTCATATATTAATCGTTCTTGTTTTGACCCTTCTATGAATGTTTCAGATCCGGAATAATGGGTCTCGCTGGCCGTGATCCTGATTGTCCTCGCCATCATAGCTGGCTATGCTTCTTATTAGGGGGGTGAGTTTGGTGAGGATGGAACTGGATGCGAGATAGGCTGAGTTCAAGTTTCAGCTGCCGTTATTGCAGAATGGATTGGACAGCAGTGTGTACTCAAGGGTGGGTGAGATAGAACCCATGGGAAGTTTTCGGTGATAGTATGTGAGTATTGGCTCCTGTAATAGCAAAGAGAGGGTTACCTTCTTTTCACATTTGCCTCCGGCTTTCGGGCACCATGAGAATGAATGTTACCCGTGGTGAGGCTTGGTGGATGTTCTATGATGACACTATGAAACCCTACTATGGTTGAGTGTCTATTGAGAATGGAGGCACTGGTTATATCAGACCAACACGAGAGCAATTTCAAATGCATGTTGTCTCCAAGCCCTTACTTTGTTGCAGTGCAGAATAAGGCCATGGTGCATTGTGTCAAGGAACTCATCAATTCTATGCTGAAGCCATACCCTGCTTACCAAGCATATGCCTTTCCCAAGCCTAGAATTGCCTTGTATGCCTCTACTAAGCCTCAAGCAAATCCTGGCAAGGCTGTGAGACGAGCCACAAGCTGTGTACATTAGTGTTTCGAGCCTTCCGTTATAGAATTATCACGAAACACAAGCCCCTCCGGGATATTGCCCCTCTGCTTTGATAGTGTGATTAAAGCCTCAGAACAGCGTCTGATTGCACTTTACAATGGCAACAATGAATGGTCGACGCCAGCGAGTCCAACAACGCAGCAAGTCGGAACAGCTTGTGATGTCGCGAAGCAAGAGAAAAGCACGGTGAGAGACTTAGCTAACTTGAATGTGAGAAGGCCTACGACTTTACTATTTCGATAATCAATAAGAACTCTACTAGGATGAGGCTTTTTGAAGCCGCTTTGGCAATTGAAGGCACAGGATTTGCGTCATGACCAACTGGCAATAACACATCGACAGATATTACATAGAGACGAATCGTAAATTGAAGAGTACCATGATAGTTGACTGAGCAAGCGCTATTTTTGATGATGCAAGGTAATATTAATGATAATATGAATCTCGATGAAGACATCCAGGTCATTGAAACCTTGTAAGCAAGGAAAGCTGTCACTCTGGCGGATGGCGGAGTCTCCTCGCCAGTGTTAGACCAAGTGGCCATAATGCAGACTGGTGCACCTCTCCAAACTGTAGATCGGTTCCCTAGATTAATAGAATCGTTCTGTCGATGGTGTTCTACTATAGTCTCTTGCGATGGGTTCTACTGTAGTAAGATAGTTAGGCTTCTAATTAAGACGCTTACCCCGTATTTTTAAATCCTGGCCATAGCCTCGGGGTCATTCTTGTAAGTCAGCTTGTCCAATGAAACAGTGTTGAGTCAGTTAGTTGTCGCTAACGCGATGAAAGGTGCACATGATCTCTCTTGTCAAAACGCTGCGTGCAAAATATCTCCACCAAGCAAAAGTATCGTCAATGCCCCTATAGGCAACAATGGCATGGACCTCAGTGCCGTTAAAGAACCAAGATACAGAATAATTACTGTACATATTTCCAAAGCGGCTCAAGTCGATATCTGTAATAGGTAGTAAAATCTGAAATTTTTCTAGCTTGCTATCCACCTTGCGCGCAGAGCCATAAGTGCCTGCCACTTCAACGTTACTGAAAGTGGGTATGCTCATGGATCATGGTTGTTGGATATTAAATGGAATGAGTGGTAAATTTTCTATAAGCTGGAAGTTGAGATTTGATGATGCATACAGCGCAGATCTCAATGAGCATTCCAGTCACACATAATTGAAAGAGCCTTGTTTTTCTTAATTGGAGGTGCTGGTCTTGACAAGCTAACTAAATTCCACAACTGGCTTATCCCGTCCAATCGGATAAAGTGATAAGATAGGATAAGATAAGATAAGAGACTCACATCGACCCGCCCCGCTTGGAAGGTCTTTTTTTAATCTAGTCAACATGCAGCTTAATTCCTACTTTAACACATAGTTCACTTTTATTACTTAATTTCATTAATAATGTTAGCAGACTCTTATGAAGTCCAAAACGCATAATTAGGGGCAATAATACTTCCCCATGCAAGATTCTTTTGTGGGCTTGCTGCTCCGCCAGGCGAGAGACATAGGGTAAGCAATACTAAGTCAATTAACTTATTGTTATAATGAAATACAATAGGATTTCTCTCTGGCCTTTATCGACTTCTAGAGACTAGTTAAAGAGATTTTAGGATATGTGTTATTTTCAGGGAAACTCTATCTTTTCAAAACATGAAACAAGTCGAACATTGCACTTAAGCAACGACCATCCCTTGTGATGTGGTCTTATAGTGACCAAGTACGTCACCAATTGGAATGCACATGTTATCTCAAAACTCCAAATCCCAATTTTGGCACGACTTTGACTTCGACACATAAGCTCTGTATTTGAACCCTCTCATCATTAGTCGCAAGGAAAGGCGCACGATAAGCATTCTCAGCAGATATCACTGACTCCAGTAGTGGGTCATTACTGGGCGGATCGGCCCGGGCCTAGCACAGTAAGAACAGGAACAGGACAAAAGCGTACATTGCATGTAACCCATTCTCGATCGGTTAAGCACGTTAAATCTAGCGTAATCTATGGATACTAAGTAGGGATATAGACCTGTGCAGCGAAGTCACTAGCTGTAGGACTTACTGCTGCAAAAGATAAAATCCACCTTGCTTCTCTATTTCCTTTATAAAGCCTAAACAAAGCCTCATCCCTTCTATAAACCTTTATATATCCATACCAAGGCTTTTATGGTTAGTGTAAGACGTGTTCTTGGCAGTATGAATGTAACTGTTAGGCGGGGAGAAGGATCAGTCATGCGACTCACCGTGTTCATATCTCGAGGTGAGGCGCGCGATGCAAGCATTAGTTGTCAAATCTCAATGCGGTATAAATTGTTCTTCTGCCAGGACGATAACATAAAAAAAAAGTTCTCATATGTCTCACTTATTCTTTTTATCTTGTATCAATTGTAATAGTGTGGAATTATTAAAACCCAAGCTCCTTTATTACTTTCATATATTATATACAGCGCATTTCAATCAAAGTGTTAAGTCATGACAATCTTGTTCTCATGCTTGTTTTCGCTCGGATTACAATAACCAAGATATTGAGTTATAGTCTAACTGGTAGGGCTCCACCTGTATATAATTGGCTGCAAATTCCGTATTTTTTGTTATTCTACAAGGATGTCAGATTGTTGCCTGCAAAAGTGCACAACCAACAGACAAAGCTGAACTTACCCCGCTCCAACGTTTTCGTCCTGATTTCTCTCTTCAATCTACACTTTAAAACGAACAGACAGAGACTCAACGCGTCAGAAAAAGACCGCGATAGCCCTCAACCTCGCTTTCCTGACCTCTACCGGCTTTGCTGCCCTGCTCTGGACCATCAGAGAGATCCGTACTTGGATGAGGAGCTGATCGCCGAACCCTGGCGTCCAGGAGGGCAAAACGGAGAGTGAATCTGCGCATGCCAACTTTGAACAATCCACCGGGCAATCTAGCCTGCCGAACAGTCTTCAAACATGACCTTTCCAAATGGCGCTGAGGTCTCAGTCAACCCCTCCGATGCCCATGTCGGCCCTACTGCAAAGTCCTACCCATCTCGCCCAAGTGACCGCCGTGGCTTCGAGATAGCCATTATTTGCGCGAAAACCCTTGAAGCTGATGCTATCGACGCCTTGTTCGACTATCACTGGGACGATGAAGAGGCACCTGTCGATAAGGAGCCAGGCGACCCCAATGCCTACTCGGTAGGCGTGATTGGTCGTTTCAACGTTGTCCTTGCGTATATGCCAGGGATGGGCAAAGTCAATGCGGCCACCGTAGCCTCCAACTGCGGAAAGAGTTTTCCAGGCATCAAGCTTGCTCTCGTAGTTGGTATTTGTGGTGTTGTACCCTTTGGTCCTACAAAGGACGAAATAATACTCGGCGATATCATCATCAGCACCGGCGTCATCCAGTATGACTTTGGACGGCAACTGCCTGGCCACTTTGTCCGCAAAGATACCCTGGTAGACGTACCAGGCCGACCGAATCTCGAGATACGGGGAGTCTTGGCAAAGCTAAAAGGACTTCGACATCGTCGCCAGTTGAGTGCCAAGATAAAGGGCTACTTAGATGTTCTACGTCAGGACCAAGAACTTCATGCTGAATATCCTGGTTCCACGAAAGACAGACTATTTAAAGCATCCTACCGCCATACAGATGATCAGAGGTCATGCGAGCAGCTAGGATGTAACGGCAAACTGGTGTCGCGAAGCCGCCTATCGACTGCGGACGCCACTCCAAACCCTGCTATCCATTTTGGCTTAATGGCCTCTGGAGATGTTGTGATGAAGTCTGGAGAAGACCGTGACCGCATCGCCTCGGCGGAAGATATTATTGCCTTTGAGATGGAGGGTGCTGGGGTCTGGGATAGCTTCCCGTGTATCATCATCAAAGGCGGTTGTGACTATGCTGATAGTCACAAAAGCAAGGCCTGGCAGCGATATGCAGCAGCCACGGCGGCAGCTTGTGCGAAGGCTTTTCTAGGCTTTTGGATCCCTTCGGTTACTCAAGGTTCGTAGCGACCAGCCTCTGACGGTTGAAATTAATTGTGTTTTAAGATGTTGTGTGCCTAGCTGAAAACGTCAAGAGACGCCGCTCTTCAGGAGATCGAGAGTGTTTTGATCAGAAAAAACGTCTCGTTGGAGAACTCATGACGCAGGAGTCGAAGATCGGTAAGACCAGCAGGTGAACGCGCTCGTGAAGGAACCCACTAAAGTTAGCTTTTTAGGTCAGACAGTGATCCCACTGCAATTACGAGAGAATGTGACAACTCGTTAGTACCATAAGACTATTCATCACTGTTGCCCTCCTGACTCTCATGTGAAAGGATCTAGGACTCATTACCTACCCCTGCCGAGGAACAAGAACTTTACAGGCCGCGGAGAAACGATTTCTAAACTTCAGAAGCTTCTGTTCACGGATCCCGATGGTCAACGAGTTGCCTTAGTCGGTTTGGGTGGCGTAGGCAAGACGCAGATCGCGCTCCAACTCGCACATCTTGTGAAGAAAGAAGACCAGCCCGACCGCAGCTCCTCCGTCATATGGATGCCAGCGCTGAGCATGGCGAGTTTCGAGCAGGCGTGTACCAAGATGATTAGCGAGTTTGGCATCGAACGGAATGGTGAGGAGACTTCTAAGGACACTTTCAAGAGGTTCCTAAGCTCAGAAAAGGCCGGAAAGTGGTTTCTTATCATCGACAACGCCGACAGTATGGAGAGTCTCTACGGAACGGCTGAGGTCCCAGGAGGTATCAACCAGTTCGTTCCAGACTGTGAGCACGGTTACATTCTGTACACAACCCGATCTCGTGAAGTAGCAGTCAGTGTGGCGCAGAACAACATCATGAAGCTGTCAGAGATGGATGATCGAGATGCTAAGGCCCTTTTACAGAGTTCATTGATTCAGAAAGACCAGATGCAGGACACTGCACTTATCGATAAGCTCTTACATGAGCTCGCCTATCTACCGCTTGCAATCACCCAAGCCTCAGCATACATGAAAGTCAATGAGATCTCAGTCAACGAGTATCTCCGCCTCCTCCAGAATACCGACGAGGATATGGTAGAGCTGCTGAGTTGTGGGTTCCGTGACAGCACTCACTACGACCCTTCCCAAGGAGCTGTTGCTACTACCTGGACCATATCCTTCAAACAAATCAGCGCTCTACATAAAGACGCTGCTACACTCCTCTCTATCACAGCCTGCCTTGAACCGAAAGCCATACCTCGTGCTTTATTACCACCAATGGGCTCGGAACAGAGAATGACTCGTGCCATTGGTACGCTCTGCGGATACAGCTTCTTGAGTAAACGAGAAGATGGCGAGACGTTCGATATGCACAGTCTCGTGCACCTTGCAACACAAAAATGGAATGAAGACGAGCAACTTCAGAAAGAAATTCGACAGATGGCACTCGCACACATTGTCAAGGTCTTTCCACATGACTATTGGGAGAGCCGTGAAGTGTGGCGGCAGTATATGCCACATGCACTCAGGCTCCTAACAAGCACGGATGGTGCCGATTCTAACGACAGCTGCCAACTCGGATATTGGGTTGGCCGATGCATGCACACTGACGGAGCGGTGAGACAGGCAATACATATACTAGAGTCTGTGGTTAGAATCCAGGCGACAACCTTGGAAGAAAATGACCCAGATCGACTGGCATCACAGCTAGAGCTTGCAGAGGCATATCAAGCTAACGGGCAGATAAAAGAAGCAATTACACTGCTTAAGCATGTGGTTGCAATCCGGGAAGACTTATCAGAGAATGACCCAGCTCGACTGACATCACAGCACGTGCTTGCAGGAGCATATAAAGCCAATGGGCAAACACAAGAGGCGATTGAACCGCTTAAGCATGTGGTTTCAATCAGAAACAATACACTAGCAGAGAATCACCGAGATCGGCTAGTATCACAACATGCACTCGGAGTAGCATATCAAGCTGACAGACAGTTCAAAGATGCGATTAAACTGATTGAGCATGTGGTTTCAATCAGAAACAATACACTAGCAGAGAATCACCCAGATCGGCTAGTATCACAACATGCATTTGCAGTAGTATATGCAGCTGACGGACAGATCAAAAAAGCAATTGAACTGTTTGAGCATGTGGTTGCAGTTGAGGCGAATGTATTCCCAGAGAATCACCCAGCCCGCCAATCATCGATAGCCTGGATGCAGTACTGCTATAAAAGCTTAGAGGAAGTCAGCTTCACGGGAGAGTCGGAGACACTGGACAACGATGAGTAACGTATCTCATATCGAGATCTTCTGTGTGTCGGAATCTGGTGAGCAACCCGAGCTTGGATTTGCTTCGGTTCTGCGTCGACTATGAATTGAAAGAGATCAGGACAATCAGTCATGAATCTCATTGACGCAGTTGTTAGATGAATATCATAGTAAACATTGTGCTCAATGCTGGGGATCGTTCCGGGCACTGATGAGTAACCACTGAGGAAAGGCCATCAGTATCAAAGGCCCACCGTCAACCACACAAGTCCATGATATCATGGGCTATCTTGCACGTACACATGCGACAATAACGGCAGAGAAGAGGATGGCCACTCGAAAGCCGAAGTCGTGGCAACAATATGACATTGCGATATTGCGACTGTTGGCGGGATGCTGTGAACGGTCAAAGAGACATAATTACAAGTCAGTAATTCCTGGAATATGCCACCTGCCGTTGAACCATTGAACCAGGATGGTTCTCCACGGCGTCCAACAAAACTTCTGGTAATGATACCTTTCTTCTCAGAATGGCTTATCAGGAGGACAATTCGCCGATCCAAGCAACATTCTTCAAAAAGGGTTATACGGAGGATAGCCGGCCGAAAGTAACAACCATTCTGCCTATTCTGGCTAATCACCACTATGGGGTAATATATAGGACAGCCATCCAACCATATCGAGAAGGAACGCCAATTTGACCAAGCTGGCTTCGCTGATACAAACTAATCTTCTACCAATTCTCTATCATCAGCACAAAATGTTCTCAACAACAGTTCTTTTTGTGACCCTGGGTGCTCTCTTCGCATCCAAGGTTTCGGCTCATGGCCATGCATCCGAGGTCCTCATCAACGACAAAAGCTACTACGGCCACGACCCCACCAAAGTTCCCTACGGACCTCAGCCAGAGAGCATCACCTGGACGAACGGCGCCAAAGACAACGGCTTCGTCATCTCTACCGCGAGCTCACTGTCTTCTCCGGACATCATCTGCCACCTCAACGCTACCAACGGACATCTGGCAGCGGACGTCACCGCTGGCACGGCCATCACCGTGCGCTGGTCGGACTGGCCTGAAGCCCACTGGGGACCTGTTCTAGATTACATGGCCCGTTGTCCGAACGACGATTGCACAACGGTTGACAAGACCAAGTTAAAGTTTTTTAAGATCGATGAGATGGGTCAGTTGACGAGAGGAACTATTCCTGGCAGACCGGGGTATTGGGCAAACAACAAACTTCGTGATGAAGACTTCACATGGGACATAACAATCCCCGCCAAACTGGCTCCTGGAAGCTATGTCCTCAGACATGAAATTATTGCCCTCCATTCGGGAGGCGCAGAGGGAACCACGCAACTGTATCCTCAATGTATCAACCTGGTTGTCAAGGGAGATGGCACTGAACAGCCCGAAGGCGTGTTTGCCACGGATTTATACTCTTCTACAGATCCGGGTCTGCTGCATAATGTTTTTGTGGATGAGTGGAGTGATGCAGAGTACATCATTCCGGGACCCTCGGTAGTTAAGTTCTAGAATAGTTAGCTTGAGATTGGTCAATGAACAAAGATGTATTGAGGGCTTACCAAGTCTTATTGCTTGCTTTGCGGAGTAGGACCTCGTGTAAACCTTACTTTAGACGTTGGGCAATCCTTGCTTTGGGACCCTGCGCGCTGCCTGTTTAGGAAAGCGCGCGCTTTATGGCTTGAAATTTAGCTCGACTCATGGATACTTACGGATACTTTCGGACACTTAGTATCAGCTGTTAGTCCATGTTATTGGCAATCATCCTTTTGAGCGTAGAATTGCCTGCCAGACTGGGTAGGTTTTTGGGTATTAAAAGGTTGGTCTTAAGCTAAGTGTTGGCAGGATTATATCAACATTTCACACTTCAAGACAATTACTTACCCGCCAGACGTAACAGCACAAAAGCAATCTCTATCTTTATTAGTTCAGTTCCAACACCCCAAGACTCAACATGGTTGTCGTTGCTGTGGCTGGAGGCGCTGGTGGCATAGGCGGCGCTATCGTCGACACACTGCGTCCAAACCCTCACCATAAGATGATCATTCTAACTCGCAAGGTGAGATATCCAGCGATAACTACAAACCGAGCCCTGAAGACACAACCGTCTAACAACATCAAGATCCCAGATACACCTCGAGGCTCAGATACCTTTATCACTCTCGATTATAGTGATGTCGACTCAATGGCAAAGGCCCTTGACGACAACAAGGTCCACACCGTCATATCAGCCCTGCGTGTCTTTGATCCGGCTTCCTCTGAGGCCGAGACCAACCTTGTGAAGGCGACGGCCCAAGCCAACACCCCCAAGCGCTTCGTAGCTAGCGCCTGGGGTATCGAATATGCCGACACGTACGCTATCTCCCCACGTTTTCCTCTACAATCATGTTGACATAGGCTAGAACACTGGTTGGCCAAGCCCGGGGACGCACTTTAGTTGAACTGCGAGCGACAGATCTCGAATGGACTCGTTTCGACAACGGTTTCTTCATCGATTACTACGGTCCGACGTCGTTGAAATCTTACATGAAGAGGGTTGCTTGGGCTATCGACATCGTGCACAAGAAAGCCGGCATATCCGGGACGTGAAATGAAACAATGTCGTTTACGTATACCTTTGACGTTGCCAAGTTTGTGGTTGCGGCTTTGGATCTGCCAAAGTGGGAGGAGTTGATGTATTGTTATGGAGAAAAGACAACGTGGAATAAGGTCCTCAAACAAGCGGAGGAGGCTACAGGTAAGACAACGATCCAAAGGCCATCGGTTCTTCTTGTCTCTTTTAGCCTTTCAAAGCTGGCAAAAGGATAGGTTGCGAGTTTGATGTCTCATATGATCCTCCCGAGAAGCTGGAGAAGGGAGAAGTTGCTAAACTCCCTTCCAAGGAGGACGCGGCCGATCTCCCTCAGAAGGTGCTGGAAGGCCTCATGTCCCTCTGGGGCCTCTATGTACTGGAGGGCAAGTACGATATGCTGACGGAAAAGTCCCTGAACAAGGTCTTCCCAGATATCCAGCCTTTGAAGGTAGAGGATGTACTGGGAATGTGGCGATAATACTCTGAATCTTATATCTATGTTGCTGCTGTTGGGTGTGAGCTATGTTTGTGGAGATGTATAGCAGTTGGTTATGTATAGCGCAGGGGATTGAACACTTTCAAACTACAGTCGCGTAAGAATGTTACTATTGAGTAATGTTTCAGTGCATTAATTAGATAGGTAGATCAAAGCCTTCAGTCTCATCAGGATCTGCAGCCGTCTGGCTCCTCTATAGTCACCAGATCCCAATCGATATTCGCTCTGTGTTGTTCCTTGATTCTGTTACTACGCTGCATACAATAATTGCACAAGTGCGAATGAGGTTTGCTGCTCAAGTTTCAGCCTGCGAGGAACAAAAAACCTTGAACAAAGTCATCTCGAGCATAGGTTATACTACTTCGCAATCTTGACGTAGTCTTCAGTTTGATAATACTCATATTAGATGATGAGACCGGGTTTATTATTACTACTGGTACGATCATCCCTCAACAGTCCATCCAGCGCGAGCTCTCCCGCCTTATTGCTTTCTTCGTTCTCTTACAGCCTGACAAATCGATGATTGCGGACCGTGATTCTCGCCACGTTGGGTATATTGAGGAAGATATCATCAATGACATGTCGAATCAAGAGTTCAAACTTTGTAGTAGAGTCTTGTTGAGTATCAGATGGCATCCTCAAGGTGATGATACTGGTGGTATGGCCGTTGTCATAACGACGAAAGAGCCCATTGAGAAGTGCGGTTGTTCTCAAAATTATCTGATTTGAGTGCGGGCGATATGAGATCGAAGCTGTCGGTACCTGATTTGGAGCGTTGGTGGAGTTTTGTTGCTCCTTGCTCATTGTTTGTCATAATGATGTTGATGATAAATGAGTGGCTGGCGTAGGTAGGTTTAAGAGATTTGAATACAATAGCGTTTGTGTTTCGAGGTTGTTGCTTTTCTGCTGGTTTCTAAATTGCAATTAACGCCTATAGCTATCGTAATGTCCCCGCTTTATCTCTCCTGCGGCTGAGCTGACTTCCAAGATGTGAGAAGGTGATCCTTGAAGGTATCTTGCCAAACTCCGATGATAAATATGCCCTTCAAGGTGGAGACAGAGTGGGTGTACGGCTTAATATAGTTAGACTACTCTACAGACTACCGTGGGTTAAATAACACCATCCTCTTTTAGGAAATCGCGCGGGCTTCATTTTTGGGTGCGTTATGTAACTTGGGATACTTTAGTACCTCACTTGATCCATTACCAGTTCTTAACCGAACCACAGCTCCTGACCAGAGGATTTTCCACCATCCACCATCGCTCGAGGTATCCAACCATGGTGAGGATCGGGAGCCGTTGGACATGCCGTCTCCGGCGCAAGAAGTGCGACCAGGGGCAGCCAGCGTGCCAAACATGCTCGGCACTAAACATCCCGTGTCACTACAGCGCGGACCGGCCGGACTGGATGGATGGCGGTGAGAAGCAAGACGAGATGATGCGGCGCTTCAAGGCACAGGTGAAGCAGGGCAAGAGCGGCAGCGAGACAGGGACTACGTCCAGGTTCTCAGCATCGGGGGTCCCTTGCCAGATGCAGCCACCGAGGCCGATTTGGCGCCAGCAGGGACCACAGCGAGATGCAGTGGAACTTCAAATTCTGAGCACCATGAGAACCTCATATGGGCGTTTGACGGGATACCAGCCGTCGACGCTTTCAGGGAACTAGACGTGGACTTTACCATGCTCTACATGGATCAGGTGTTCCCCTTTCTATTTCCCTTCTACGCTCCTCCGATGATACAAGGCGGACGAGCCTGGGTGCTGGATATACTGCGCCACAACAAGACGATGTTCCATGCGGTCATGAGCCTCAGCACCTTCTTCTTCACCCTCAACTTGTCAAGCGAGGACGTCTACGATTACCAAGTATGCAGGCTGAACATCTGGACCCAGCTTGAGGGGTACGCAAATGCTGCCATCAAGAGCTTGTAGACGGAGGTACTGGCCATGAACCAGCTGGCATACACGACATTGCTGCAGCGATCCCGCGCCATGGAGAGCATCACACAGCCAATGGTTCTCGAAATGGTCATGGCAAAAACAAACGAATCGAGTATGCATCTGGCCGCTGCTACCTCTCTGTTTGAAGATATTCTCGAGGCCAGCAAGGTGGACGGCAGAATCGACATTAGAAGGGTCATGGCCGAGCTAGAGAGACCGTCATAGGCACCCCTCACCAGCCAACGCTCCGTCTGGAACACCGAACAAGCCGCTCTCCACTTCTTCTTTGCCATATTGCTATGGGCAGACATTGTCTCATCTACCTCCCTACAAACAGCCCCTCGCCTACGGAAGTACTACCCCAACCTGATATGCCACGACTACGGCGGTGTTACTACAGAACCTCTCCTGCGGATGGAGGAATACGTGGGCTGTGAGGGCTGGGCACTAATTGCCATTGCCGAGACGGCGGCACTCGACGTTTGGAAAAGGGAGGAACAAATAAACGGCACATTAATCGGTGAGGCCCTCGCCAAGCGGGGAGCCCAGATCGACAGGGTACTTCAAGACGGCCTAAGAGGACTTGAGGAGCGATGCAGAAATCGGGAGAGGCAACCTCGCCGCATCCTGCAGGGCTTCTATCGATCCAGCGACGCAAACCAAGCCGCCAAGCAAGCCGCAGCGACCCGCATCTGGGCACACGCTGCGCGAATATACCTCGCGGTAGTGATGCGCGGGTGGCAGTCAGACCACCGCGAGAGTGCAGGTGAGGTGCTACGCCTGCTCCAACAGCACGATGACCCTGCGATCTTGCGCAGCTCCGTGTGGCCATTCTGCGTGGCCGGGTGTGTCGCCGATGCAAACCAGGAGAAGGGGTTTAGGGATCTGGTGGCGGCTTCCGGGTCATTACAGTCTTTTGGCCGGGTGGGAGAGTCACTCGGGATTCTAGAGCGTGTTTGGAGCAGACGAGGAGAGTTAAGTGTGGAGTGGATTTTGACTGCCTGCTTTAGCATAATGGGTGCTCCTGTCCTGTTACTATAAGGCCCGCTCAGCCCTAGCCTCTAGATCCTGTCAGTCTTCTCTTGTACATACAGCCGTCGTGTAAAGGAGCCTTGTCACTGTTGTTTTATATGAGATGGTAGTAGTGCGGTTGTTGCAGGTAATGACTGTAGCAGATATTTAAAGACATAAGAACTTGATTTTGATACCTATAGAGAATCACCTACATACACGCATAGATAACGCTAAAAGAGCCTTATGGGCTTGCAGATAACAAGCATACCCCAATTTATCATTATTTATCAAGGTTACTAAAGTTAGCTTTATAAATAATAATACCAGCAATGCAGCGTAAAGTGATGCCTAAAGTAGTCCTTTTCCTACTACTACTAGCAATTAGAGATCAGTGGATGAAATGGTTGTAAAGTCTGATAATAAATCTATGATAAATCCATAAATCTAAACTCTTAACCGTTTCTCGTGGAGCTATTAGCCAGTTCCTTATTACAACGCCTACAAAGCAAGTAAAGCCAAATATTAATCCTCAGGAAGACTTGTAGGTGTCACTACCTGCTCCTCATGCTGTTGCTTGCTCAAAGCCTGAGGAAAAGGTGTCAGCACCGGTGATATATCACCCCACCATTTATCACCATAGCGCTTATACCAATCAATCGTTTTCTTCAAACCCTCATCAAAACTCGTCTGCTGCGTCCAACCAAGCATTTTGAGCTTAGTAGCATCAACGGCGTATCTTTGATCGTTGAAAGGACGGTCGTGGGTATATTTTACCCAGCGCTGGAATTCGCTTGTGTCTTTGACATCGATGCCCATCTCGGCAAGAATTATATGGCAGAGCTCAAGGTTGGAGATCTCGTCGCTAGAGCCAATGTTGTAGATTTGACCGATTTCGCCTTTGTGGAGAATGGTGTCGAAGGCGTCGGCGGCATCTCCTGCGAATAGATAGCGACGAGTTGGACTACCGTCTCCATGGAGGATCACGGGCTGGCCTCGGTGAAGTAGTGAGATAAATTTGGGGATGATTTCTACAGCTAAGATCAGAGTCAATGCGACAAAACGGTGGGAGGGGTAGTTACTCTCTGGGTACTGATGCGGACCGTAAACATTATTACTTCGGACAGTAATAACAGGAAGTTTGAAGCTCTTTTGATAAGAGTTCACCAGCATCTCCGCAGCTGCTTTGCTCGCAGCGTACGGATTGGTTGGCGATAGAATACTCGCCTCAGGAAGATCATCATTCCCATGCGCAACCTCTCCATAGACCTCGTCCGTAGAAATATGAATAAACCGCTTGATTCCGACTTGTTTCGCGCTCTCAAGAAGGACATGCGTGCCGTACACATTAGTCTCAGTAAAGCTATATGAATTGCCGAAACTGAGATCGACGTGCGATTGCGCTGCAAAATGGAAGACAGTGTCGATGTTATAGCGGTTGAGGCAATCTATAACTTCACTTGGGCTTGTGATATCGCCCTGGTAGAAAGTGAAGTTGGGTTTCTCGCGTAAGGCACGGGTGTTGTTGAGCGATGAGCAGTAGTCTAGCTTGTCGAATGATATGACGTTGTAAATGCCGGGGTAGGAGAGAACGAGGTGTCGAACGAGCCACGAGGCACTATTATCTTCTTAGCTTCTGATTGTTTCTTTGTAGGAGTACTTACATGAAGCCTTCACCTCCTGTGATCATGATATTCTTGACATCTCGCTGTGGTTCGAATTTGGTGCTGCCCGTTAGAATGGGCGCGTGCTGCCAGATATCCCGTTCGGGAAGAAAGCTGTAGCCCATTATTGACGTTGCTGAAATGAGTATCTGGTGGGCGAAAGCTTCAGTCAAAATAGGATTACAGAGGTGCTGAGGCATATCAAGTCCTCATGCTTTATTAAAACAATTTAAGAACTGTCTGTCTCTTTCATTCCATACTGGGTGAGTTTCGCTCCCGTATTTCCGTGTAATTCCCAGACCCTGTCACATTCATCAATATCCCCAAACTCTATTTCGCCCTTCATCCCCTTATCCCTTTGTGGCGGAACGGAAATTACAGCGGAAGTAGCTCGCCCATTTTAGATCAACGGTTAACCTAATAGTGCCAATCTTAGCCGTGTCTCGGAACTCTATCTCTCCCTTTCTCATGTCCCAACGCATCAACTTACCCGAATGGACCTCGATATGCTTATTGTCAACTCCCGACGCCTTTTCAAGTTCGACAACATTCCTATCATACGAGGCATAGATGTATCACGCCAGTAGCGAAGTGTACGTAATCCAAATTGTCTTTTCAGCTTTCCTCATCACCAACTTTCCCCAACAGTCAAGTCCTCAGTTCATTACTGCCTTTCATTCTGCCTCTTTGAACTTTCTACATTTTTAATCACCCTGTACTACACGTCGTAAAAATGCCTGTAATTAGCACAAATGGAACAAATGGCATAAACCGCGTGCATGCTCCTGCACCCAACCGTTTCCTCATCTGGGGCGGCAACGGCTGGATCGCCGGCCTTCTCAAAGACCTCCTCCAACACCAAGGCAAAGAAGTCTTCACCACGACAGTCCGCATGGAAGACCGTGACAAGGTCGCCAAAGAACTTGAAGCCATCCAGCCAACACATGTTCTTAACGCTGCTGGCTGCACCGGCCGACCTAACGTCGATTGGTGCGAGGATAACAAGGCGCAGACCGTCCGCTCCAATGTAATCGGAACTCTGACTCTCGCAGATGAATGTTCTCAACGGGGTGTTCACTGCACTGGTTTTGCAACTGGGTGTATCTATCAGTATGATGATGGGCATCCTGTTGGGGGGCTGGGTTTAAGGAGACTGATGCTCCCAACTTTGATGGGAGTTTTTATTCCATGACCAAGGCCCACGTTGAACCTGTAAGTATTTCTTTTCTTGGCAAGATCTTTTACGTATCTAATATAGGTTTATCACAGATCTTGGCTAGTTTTGACAACGTTTTGATCCTCCGCCTTCGCATGCCAGTCAGCGATGATCTCAACCCACGAAACTTCGTTACCAAGATATCCAAGTACGAATTCGTGGTTGACATACCCAATAGCAACACCATACTTCATGACCTCCTCCCTGCATCAATCATCCTCGCTGAGAACAAGGATACTGGGGTCTTCAACTTTACAAACCCCGGTGCTATCTCGCATAATGAGGTGCTTGGTCTCTTCAAGGAGATTGTGCGACCAGAATTCACATGGAAGAACTTTAGTATTGAGGAGCAGGCCAAAGTGATCAAGGCTGGACGGAGTAACTGTCAACTGGATACTACTAAGCTAGTGAAGAAGATGAACAGTTATGGGTATGAGATACCTGAGGTGCACAAGGCCTACCGGCAGTGTTTTGAGAGGATGAAGGCTGCGGGGATCCAGTAGTTGTCCATGCTGATCGAGAGTCTCTTATTACTTTCTACAATCCGGCTGTCAATATTCGTCGATAGATAGACTCTCCATTTATCTTCATGGTGTTCTTCTCATTTGCACATATGTTGTATCTCAAATTGTTCACCTCTGCTTATATAAGGCGTTTCAGTTCCCTCAGTGAGGTATGTTTAAGCGAACACGTCAAAGGTAACACATTATCATTCTAACAATGCTAGTTGCTTGCTTTCAAATTTCACTTCCCATCAAGATCTACCAATCCTTCGCACAATCCCCTGGAACAAACGGAGCCCAATCCATCTCCAGCACCATCTTGGCCTCCGGACAATAAGAGTAAATATGCTCCCGTTTCTTCTTCGTCCCCCATATACTACCATGAATCCATCCTGTTCCACCAATATGATAACCCATAGGCTCATAAAACCTATCCCTCCAATCATCAATACCCTTCACCCACTGATCCGGTCGTCCTGGCTGCTCCATCTGAGCATGTTCACATGCTCACACTCCTCGTCGTCATAGTCACCATCGCATTTCGGCTCGGGTACTATCTCTCCAGGCCCTCCATTCATCTCACCTGAGAAAAGCTGAGATACAGAGCCGTTGGCGACACGACCATCGATGTGATGTCCAAGGCGCGTTGAGAGCCATACATCCTCGGGATCGCTGTCGTTGGCGCGCTGTTGGTTCTGTAGGATGCTGATGATACTGCTTACTCGACGGATCGACAGTCCTCCGTTCCCACCATAAAGACCTCGTGTGTCCCATGGTGCCCCGACATAGTCATACCCAAGGAACTCATCGATCGTGCGTTTATTGTTCGCGCAGAGTATCGAGTCCGTCTGGAAGACGAGCAGCATCTCAGCTGGCTGCAGCACAGTATCATACAGCCATAAATTCGTCAAGAAGCGAGATATCATCTCTTGTCCGGCAGTGCTCATATTTGAGGGGATATATGTCAAATCCAGTTTACCAGACTTGACGTGCTCGCGCATAGCGGCGGATGAGTTCATATGGGCTACTGATTTTTTGGAGCCCATGAAGCGGAATTTCCAGTCTGGTGGCATTTGGTACACGAACATTAGAATCAGAGGGGCGATGATGGGTTGCGGTCTGTTCTCTATGAGAAGAGCGACTTTGGACTCGTTGTATATGGACTGGTTGGCGTAGTGAAGCGTGATTTTTGGAAGGGCTGGGAGAGGCGTTTCTGTCAAGTTGAGGATGATAAGTATGCTGAATCATGGCGTCAGTTTCTTGCTGCTATCATTCAAGGAGGAGACTTACCCAGATACTGTCATCAGCGCCATGACGGTTATGCGCGATAACGATGATAGCTGTCGCTGTGCTTGAAACAGTGTACTGATCATTGTGATAACATGTAGAAGTCGAGGTGTATGGTGGAGTACTGAAGGTAGCTCGTCACTCACAAATGAGTGCGATCGTATGAATCTAGACTGCGGAGCAAAACGCGTTTCATGCTTTATATCGTCCTTATTCAGAGTATCCCCTTCCCCGGTAAATCTGGCCCAACTTTAGTGCCAGACCCTGCGCAGGGATTGCCAAGAGCGGTATAGACGGATTCAAGTGCGCCACAAACCCATCTTGATTGCTTTCCTGCAGTTATTGCCGTTCGGTTGGTGTTCACCAAAAATTGCTTTCACAAACCAGGTCAGCCAAAGAGTAGCAAGCAGCAAAGAAAACCACAATCATATCTAAAGACTACTGAGGCTCGGAATGATGAGATATATTCTGATAAAAACAATTAAATCTTTACCCCTTGTTTTTTTTATTATTCAGTAGAATACAGTGTTGATAATTATTGCATTTTGTTCTTGATTAACTTGAGCCTATGAGCGGTGGCTGAGCTGGAGTTGAACCGACGCTGAATCACTCACATTTAAGTTGAACCGATGTTGACCCGGGCATCTTTTGGTTGCCGCGTCAACCATGGCCAAGCATCACCAACTGACTCCACTCTTGACGCTGCTTCAAACCCACTCCAGCGACCCTTGTTATGATCTCACTTTCTCCCCCGCATGCATCATGACCAACATCAATCAACGCATTCTTTTTTGGCTCGACGGCGTCCTTCCTCATTTCCCTCCTCCCGCGCAACCCATCTCTAAGAAGCGCTCCGTCTCTGAGCCCAACCATCCTCTCACGCCGCCTCACTCACCGGAGTCTGGCCCAGAGGACATGTCGCCCGTCACTCCTGTCACCAAGAAGCTCAAGGTGCTCGATGATGTTCCCTCGCTCACCCGTCCTGTTCAAGTCGAGGATGATAATGAGGAGAATGAGCAGACACCGAGAGCTGAGCCTTCGCAGTCTGATGATCGCGCTTCGCAACGCACCGGCGGTACTGGCGCATCTGGCACCTCTTCTCCTACCAAGGCTTTGCGGTCTCTCAAGTATCAAGAAGACGGGCTTGATCACATGAAACTCGACGTGTCGGACGACAAGCTTCCAACATCTTTGGTGGAGCTGGCGAATGACATGCAAGAGATTGGGAATGGAGAAGGTGTTGTTTCCGAGTATCTCAATGTTGGTTTAATCATCTCAGCTCATAGCTTTGCTTACTGACGCATGACAGGATGAGATCAAGGACCTCTGCAAAATGACAACCGCCTATGGTAGTTTCAAGCCTTACAGATTTGACGAGAAGGAAAAGCGATTCCCGAAGACTTCGCATCGGCGACTCAAGCTTGGTGACGTCCTCCAGGTTGTCAGTGATGCTCGAGACTGCGACGAATATCAAGCGGATGAGACTTATTGGAACAACCATGTTCACACCTCTCTGCTCAACGTCATCTTCCGTGGAACCAACCCATGTCCAACGCTGCTCGATGGGTTCAAATCTTGGTATCTTCCTCCCCTTCATCTCCTTTCAACCTTGGCTAACACTGAACAACAGCACCTGTGCCTCCATCCTCGCCGAGTACAAGATCAACGCCTCTACTGGAAAAAAGGTCGACTACGCCTGCTACATCAACCCTGAGAAGGACAAGCACCTCCCCGACGCCACTAAGCTCATCGACAAGATTTGCGCCAGTGCCATAGACAACAGCGTCAACCATACCAGCTTCCAACGCCTCCTCGACCGACCTATCTCATTCAGCATCGAAACGAAGCGAGGCGCGCAGACCGCGCAAAAGGCGGAACTTCAAATGGGTGTATAGCATGCGGCCCAGTGGAAGCACCTGAAGTCTCTTGCTGGCAACGGCTTGGCGCACTTGCCCTTTATCCCCGGGATAATTGTCCGAGGACACGTTTAGGAATTCGTGGCCTCTGCCTTTGTTGATGGCAAGACTGTGTGTATCTCGACCACGTTGTGTTTTGTATGTATCTGACCAGGCATTTTGCAGACCCTTTTGACGGCGCATGGCTCTTTTGGATCGACTGCGAGCTTGCTCTCGACGTTCCAGGTCATCGCTGGCGTCCAGCGACTGAGAACCTGGGCGCTTGAGGTCTTTTGGCCTTGGTACAAGAAGTATGTGCTTGGTCCAAAGCCATCACCGACCACCTCGGCGGATGTCGCATGATGTGACTTCTTTGACGTTGAAGTCTTGAACATCAGCACAATGACCATCTCACGCTGTAAGTTTCCCTTCTTCAATGCTCACCAACGCCTCTGACCGTTGAGTAGCTCAACAGCAGAGAGCTTTCATCCCATCGCTGCACTCGGTGCTTTTTGCGACTTGGAAACAAGACTTGGATCGTTGGACGACGGTGGAAGTCTTGGTCGACTATTGGATGATGGATATTGGAAGTCGAGATGAGGATCAATTTGTACAGAGTATATGTATAAAGTTGAAAGCGCGATATCGCATCCGGCGTAGCTGTATCCTGTACTTGGATCAGAACTAGAGCCGTTGAATAGCAGATTGATTGTAGAGCACACAAACCAGCGAAAGCAGCGTCCCAACTGTGCTCCTCGATGAATAGTCCAAAGCCAACTCACACGGCTGATCATCACCATATCAGGTGCTTGTTTCAACAGTAATGGCGCTCCTGCACTAGTTGTACAGTGTTCTTTAGATTTCTTTGGCTGTCTGATCATCAGCTCATCAAACCGAGAACAAACTCTTGGGGAAAGAGTATTCTCTTTTCCTCTACATATCATCCTGGTACCTGCTAATCTCTAATGTTCATTAGCCCTAGGTGCATCAACAGAGTCAGGCCTAGGAAAGTGCTGTTAATTTGCACCGTAGAGTCTCTGTTCTGTTCTGTTCTGTTCTGCCATCATACTCTTGCATCGTCTCAGAATTCTTTCCGAGACAGACAGCGCCAATTAAAAATTCTAATATACTGCCTCAGTAGATGTGTTCCACAAGGAGAAGGCTATTCCAAAGGTCCTTCACCTCCAGCATATTAGCTGTTTTACAAAATATTACGACACTCTTATACCAGAGCACTCTTAAAGTCGCCAAATAGGGCTCTTGTTACAAATTACACAACTAAATAAGATGAAGCTAACAAAAACGCCCATTTTGCACAACAGGAGCATATAAAAAAATGCAATGTGAGGTATATGGGTATAAGAAGAAGATGTATCAACCTAGAATCAACCTGGTACCTTTTAGTAGGGTTTCCCATATCCCCGGACCCAGTAATTAAAGCCTGCTCTTCAATCTGATTTTCTGTAAAGGATAAGCAAATGGCATGCATCTGTTAGAGAACTTGTATAAGAATGCGTAAAGACGTTTGTCATGTTTGCCTCTATTTATCACCTGACATGTCCTTGCTTGGTTTATCCACAGCTTACCACGGCATGATCAAGTGGTTCCTCAAGGGTTTGCGTGCAGTCGACAAGTCCCTCAGGCTGCAACCAAGTCTCGTCAACCGTGATCATTACTTTGAGATCACATGGGGCAAAAAGGGCACCCAAGATGACAACAAGGAATGCAAGAACCTTCTTTACTCCTTTACCAGAGAAGCTTGCGGCCCCCATGGTTAGGAGCAATGGGAGGCCAATGAGTGCGACCTGTTTCACACTCTGGGAGGTTTTAAACGCGGCGTATGGTCTTCCTGTGCACAGTGTAATGGGTAGTCCTTAGTCGGAGTCTTAGGGTGAGAACTAGACGGCAGTGCTTACTGGTAACTGTATGAGATAATGAGTTACGTATGGCGATGGTGGTCTTTATAGTTTTTAACAAGTGTATTATATTAGTAATTACTATAACTTTAATCTAGTCTTTTAATTTTACTAAATTATTAGTTTTAAGACATACTACTTACTTGCTAAGTAATAAAATAAGTAATAAATATTAACTGTGTAATGCCTTATTCTGCTAGAAAAGGGTATATTGAAAAGTAAGTGTTAGATGAACTAATTGCCTCAGAGTATGGCTGGCCAGAATTGGAAAAAGTTTTTAATCCACATTTATTAATGAGAGACGTTAAGATTTATTATGGGACAAATGTAATATAAACCTGTTTTTTCCCTACTATCCTCGCCACGGTGATCTGTCTGACGACGTTGTAGCACAGCATTTCTCCTTTTATTCAAGATAATGGTAATTATATGCAAGACCTTGTTTGTTATACCCCTGGCTCCTGGGTAAATGAAGTAGTTCCCCATGGTACTTCACTGCTGAGCTTGTCGTAATCTGTTTATCACTGCCTCGCTTATGCGTGGTTTGGTGGTTGGTTACCAGAGTGCACTCTGCCAAGAGCATTCTTAGCAATGTGGGCCAAGCTTTCGCCACTCTACGACTCAGTGGACCGGATCCACCGTTATCATAACTCTGCCGGCGACATGATGTGTCTACCCACATCTCTGTCGAAGAAGAGCTAAAGTGACAAAGTTGTGTACTAGCTTTAATATAAATACTTGTGAGATTTTGGAATCTATATCTCTGATGATATTTTCTCTCCGTCGTGAAAGCCTTCTCTAAGTTTCCCTGTCTTCTTGCCTATTTATTACAAGGAAGATCATTTACCTCTCAAGACATTGCACCAGCAACTAATATTTTGTCACCAAGCCTGATCGTAATGGCGATTCTGAGACATTCTCTGTAGCGGCTTCATATTCTGTTTATAATAGTTTGTGTTTCTTGTATCTGAATAATTATAGTATGTGTTCAGGTTGAGTATTCTTCTCGGGATGATGCTCACTTTATGCTTTGCCCTGGTCTCGCATGTTCGCACCAAGCCTTTATCGAGTTTAAAAAGCCAAGCTCCGAGAGGTAAAAGCTAACATACTTTAAGCTCAACACTTTTCTAGAAGTAATAAGGTGTAATAAAACCGATGCCTGGCTCTATAGAATTGACCCATCTGACTAAGACCTTATTAATTCTATAACTGGTTATATTATAGTTTTCAGAGGCCTAGTAAGAAGGATGTCCTTTTTAGCGCTGGCTATTAACTTAAGGATATCCTTACTAAGATAGCAGGTTGATAATTAGTAAGGATGCCTATTTAAAACTAGTATTATAAGGCCTTTACATAGATATCTAATAATAAAAAATATTAAGATATTTATAAAATTAATTTACTAAATAAAGTTGATAATTTATAATACTACTAGCATTCTATTATATTTAAGTTAAACTAAATATAATACTAGAAGATTTTAAAATAAATGGGGCTTTAATAGATCACTAATATTTTATAAGAAATGCGATAAAAGAAAAAGAAGTCTGCTAAGATACTTACTATATAGACCTTTTTAAGTAACTAACCTTATGCCATAAAACAGAAAAGAGCGTAACAAAAGAAATCGAATTGAAGTTTAAAAAGAACGTGTCGCTACCATAACCACTTTTGTAACCTGTCTCAACGAGAGTACTCATCTCTCAAGGAGCTGATACGAACAGAGAGAGACTGCTCATATCTGCTCCTCGGAAACAACTCGCCATCGATATTCCTCAGCGTTATTCCAGCTCCTTACATAGCTACACCGTAACTACCATCTCTCTACCCACCCTTGCACTGAGCCTCTCTCCAGAATTATGAATTCATCCTCGGCAAGGGTCTTCAGTGCAGCTTCAGGGTACTCGCCATACCTTTCAATTTCTCCATCGATTTCTCGGCTTCATGAGTTGTTCCTTCGTATGCCAGAGCCAACAAAGTATCACTCTTGGCCTTCTTCCTATCTTCCTTACACATATACATCTGAGCATCTTGTCTCGTGAGTCTAGGCCTGAACTCTCGGTTGTGAGCCCAAGTTCGAGGACTTTGTATCTGAGACTGTTTCGTTAGAGCACTCTGACGGATGATATTATGTCTTCGGGCGCGAGGTTGGTGTGCTCTCGAGTGACCTGACTGCTGATGTTCATCAGTTGTCTCGTCCTTATGTTTACCTCAATATTCGTAACCTGCTCCAACGCCAAAGACACCTCGGCCGCACCGGCTCTCAAGTCCTTATGTTCTAGGAACCAGGTTCTGTCCGTCACATTCGACTTCGTATTCCTGTACTGTTCAATGATGGCATCTTTCTCTGCCAGTTTCTCCTTGAGTTCTTCATGATCGGCTCTCAACTGCAGAATATGAGCCTCGCGCTCCTCAATATGAACCTGGTTCTCTGCTAGCTTCTCCTTCAAGGCTTTACAATCTGCTTCGAGGGTGAGGCATTGGTTAATTCCTTGGCGGATGAGCTCGGAATTCATCTTTACCCTTTTCTTATTGATGTCTGACATTGCGATCTGTGATACTGTTAGTCGTACTGATACGACTAAAGCGCCTATAATTGTTTTTGAATGGATTGTATTGGATTGGGCTTTTGCTTTGATGTCAAAAACCTTCCAGCCTCTGGGGACTGTTGTTTTTGGGTTTATAAATTGATAAATTGCCGTTGGGACCGGATGAAGTTTTTGAGCAAAGTCAGTGATGTATTTATAGCTTCAAGTCTGCGTAAGGTGTTCTTGTGAAGTATTCAAGGCCTTGTCTCTGATACTTATATTCCGTTTCCCAAATCAACTGTACCATCGGTGTTCAAAAAATGTCATGTTTCATGGTTTATTATCTTTTGAAGGAATTGACGTGTTCTTCATTCCTTACACACTCTAGTCGCAGCAGGGTATTTCCCCTCGTAGTTCACTGTTCCATATGGACTTGTTTATTGTTTGTTCATTTTCAACATAACGTCGTTCAAACACCAAACATACACATGCATTGAACACCTTGATGTCAGTGCGGGCTGCTGAATGCTCGTGGTGGAACAAGGCTAATGGTCAATTGAAATAAGATGATGACTAGAGAGGGCCGCATAGAGACCTCAACGCTTTCTGACGGAGATGTATAACAAGATCGGATCGTGTGAGAAGGAAAACTGATCTTTGCTGAGGATACTGTTGCACTGGGTTGAGTTAATATATCTATATGCTTTAGATGATCTTGAAACTCTTTGCTGCCTAATGCAACAGGAGTGGTCCACACGCAACTGTCTGGGACGGTCAGGATTGTTCATTCTACATGCCTTCACCGGCTTCCGCTGTCTCCAGATGGAGATAATATGCAGTTCTAACCACTCCGTTATTGAAGCCAGTTATGTATACTGTCAGAAACCGTGCTGGACCTAGAGATGAGAGTGACGAGGAAGCACTTACCTAAGTCGTGGGACATTATTGCAGAATAATCTGACGGTACTGTTGCAAAACATGCCTAATGTGTGATGCTGCCGTGGTATTATGATCCATAATGTGAATAGTGGGTGTGAACCGGTCAGTCCAAATGCTTACCAAACATACTAAGCACTACAGATCTTCATATTACTGTCGCCAACCTCACCATATCTCAAAATCGGGAATAGAAGTAGGTGTCACTCCCTAAAGGTTTCAGCGTGTCTATCTCAATCTGAATGTAACGTGATTGACCGCGCCTTGGAAACAGGAGTTATACATATGTCTGACTCTTTAGCTATGTGGAATTGTGGAATTAAATGGGTAAGAAGTAATCTCCATTGGCAGAAAAATGTCCTTACATGCTTTTTGGATTCTTCTATGCTGGAGGCTTTAACGACCTTTCCTGCACGCTTTATAATTCCAGTCCCCGCATTACACCCCAACGCCAATGCGTCATCTGCAGCCACGACTTGTTCAGTAGTATTGTGCCAACCTGACTGGAAACCTTTCTATGACTTATCAGTATCCCTTGCGCCGCAGGTATTTCATTAAACTTCATAGACTGCTGTTAGGACAATAACCCCCAGTTATTTTACAAGTTCAACTACTACTCGCAAGGAAATAAAAGCCTCTTTTTAGTGAATTTCAAGTCTTGATCAGTTTTTAATCTCAACAGTATACGAATTGCATGGGCTTGCGGCACACTGAGCATCCCACCTTGCTCTAACTGAACTTGCGAGTGTTGAGTGACAAGCTTGAGCTCGGGTCCCGTAGGCTGATCATGTAGTATCGATTGAGCGAAGCAGACGAGAACAACAATGATAGTAGTGGCCACTGCGACAGTCCTTTATGCGGATACCCTCACCACGTAATCAGTCTGCAACTCGAATCCAAGCTCAAACTCAAGATTGAGAATTGTACCTGAGACGACGGTAAAGCCCCAGCCGGACCGAGATACCCGGAGCCATAGCGCGATTATGATGATCCAGAACAGAGTACAACTAAATAGAGCTACCACTTCAATCCATCAGCCAAAAGCGAGTGACTCGTCCTTAATCTCACCCGAGACTCTCTTTGACTTCGGCGACAACGCATCCTCTTTCATGTGACCCCCGAATCCAACCACCCCTCTCATCGGCATCTCAAGTACCCTACCAACAAACCTCCCCGAAGAGTTCCTCATCTCACGCGCTATCGAGATGCCTAAACCTCTCATCTCCATCTCACAGACTCTAGCTCTCACATAGCACAAAACCTCATCGTCAAATAACCCCCCAATACCGTTGGCATTAATACCAAGTCTCCATCGCAGAAAGTCAAAGACGTGGATCTGGCTCAATTCGCCATTTACACCAAAGGCCTTGGTTTTCTGAAGATCATTGAGGCAACAGCAGAGATGATGGAAAGTATCCATGTTGGCGATAGCGAAAAGGACACGTTTGGGGATATGTTGCGACTGAAGGATGAGGTTGGGGTTGATTCGGGCTAGAGGACCAAGTAAACATTCGCTGATTGACAACCATTGTGAGAGTATGTTCTCAAGCGATTCCCAATGGATCATGGAGTGTGGATTGCACGTCTCATCGATTCAAAACATCTCGTCACTAATGTCATCGATGTAATGTGTCAAGGCGTAAAGTGTATCCCAGTCTAGGTATAAGTAGCGGCTGTGCTTGGATGGTTCGTGCAAAACGCCCTTGATCCATTCCGGTGCAGTGAAAATGTCATTGTTCGGATCGACTGTGAAGATGTCTTCGAATCTGGTGCAAAGAATCTGGTGCAAAGAATCTGGTGCATATCCCTGGCCTGCGTTGGACGAGGGTTCATGCTGGGCGCCGGGTCAATCCGCTGCATGAAATGTTAGCAGCTGGAGATCCGTGGTGTTAGCCGATGGGCTTACAGCTTCTGGCCGAAGGCTGCCTTCCTCGACAGCTATCATCTTGAGCGATAACAAGAGCGATCAAGGACTAATGAGGAGCATAACTGAAAAGAAAATCCATGATGAAAGCGCAGGAAATCAGGGCGATATTGGGCTTGCTTTTGCAAACATCCAACACCAAAGCGCCCTGCAATATCCTCACTGTCATCACTGCCAAGACTGACGGGTAAAAGTGGCGTTCAGCGGCTGAGTGCCGTAGGACTAGTCCCTTCGCTTAGCCCTACTAACAGGGCCTGTCCCTGCCATTTCCCCAGCTGAACGGTTGTACATCAGAGTGACCTGCTCTGAATAGGGTCACTATAAGATACGAAGTACTCCTAGGTACAGCGGAGAACAAGCCACTTTCGTTTCAGTCCGGGACACAACTCTATCTCCCGGTTGGGATAAAGGCCGTCAAATTTTGACGCTTGAGATTATGTGACACCTCAAGAACAGGGTATAGTCAGCAATCTAATTACCTATTGGCTCACACACTCGGCTACCAGATCGATATCTGATAGAGACGGCTTGAGGTAAGTTTGGCGACAACGCTGAAAGCTGCCCCATGATCCTCTTCATTTATGGCCGTATTGTAAACCGGGTAAGAAAGGCAATGAAAAGTCTCATTCTAGCAATGAGGTTCTTTGTCTCTCCCTGGTGGTTTGTACCAAGAACACATCGCAACTCCTTGCAGTCCATGAACAAAGGTGTCAAGGCTTGGTCCGTTAAGATGGAACACTCAGACAGAGCAAATATCCCCGCAACTGCCACTCGTTAGTCCTGCTTGCCCGATTATAAGTGTACACCTGCCGTGATTTCACGTGGGTGCCGTCCCCTAGCTTTATTTACCGCTTTTCATTAACTGTGCGCGCTAAGCAGTCCTTTCCGCAAGGTACACACCCACACGATGCGTGACCTAGAGCCTCAACTTCTATACTTGCCAGAAATTAGAGAGCGAGGGCGGCAGAGTGACAGGGGCCAGACAACCTTTTCACCCGCCAGAAGCGAGAATAATTGAAGCTAGCAATTTCGCACACTACTTGAGTTGCTGGCTTGACAAGTGCCAGTTCCTTTCATTCCCATTCGTTAATTAGCCGAGACTTTTGATGCTCGACTCGACATGTCAGCCGACCTATGTGTCTTGGCGGTAGGTCTGGTGTTGATTACGGAGCACCTGGATGTTACTAGATACACCACAGTAAAGATGTGAAGTGGCTTGGTCGCTTGATATATCACATTCGTGACAAGTGAACGGAACAGCCCCGAGACGAGAGAAGAGGAAACAGTACATGTCGTCTTTCCGCTCGCTTGACTTGGCTTTTGAAGGGTATTGCAGGCTCCCCACTTTCAACCTGTTCCGACCTTCTTCCTCTCATTCTCATTCTCTGCCCCGGCTTTAAGGACAGGCGGAAAGACAGGCGATTCATCTTCACATTTCTACACACCAGTCGCTGTATCATTAAACTCTCGTCCCACGCTCGGCTCAGTCATCATGTCGGATTCAGACACCGAGATGCCTTCATACCCCGAAACCCCACCAACTATCACACAAACTCACCCAGTCTCCCCCAAAACTCCACCCGCACCCATCAACGACACCCCTTCTCCCACCTCAAGAATCGGCAAACCTCTCAAAAAGCGTCCCGGCCGCGCTCGCCCTCAACGTCAACGAGCCGCCTCTTCATCCTCCCACTCCCTCGGCGGACGCTTCGCCACACCTCCTCGTCACACCAGCCATCAGGTCTCTCAATCTGTCACTCCAAGCAGAATCCAACGACGTCGCCCAGCTGTCAGTGGTCATCAGCGCGCAGAGAGCTTTGAGCACTATTTATCATCTACTCGACGCCTTACGCGACGTAATCCAAGCAATGATGACATTGCCATGCTAGGATTTGCGAATGGCTTGCTTCCATTCAGCGGAGAATCGATGGCGCCGACTCCTGGAAGCTTATTGGAGGAATCGCCTCCGCTGCGACGTCGTCAGACCGTGGAACGGCTGGAGCAGCGTGTTGAGGATCTCCAGATTGCACCGCAGGGAGAAGCTGGTGGCTCGCGAAACTCAAACTCTCATCCTTCGTCGCTAGCTTCTCGCAGCGTCTTGTCGTCTTCTCAGGTCAACCCTTGGTATCCTCGACGTGAAGATCTCGACGATACACCAGTTATCTCATTGGCTGGTGGATCTGATAGCTGACTAGGACTTCCTATTCTCCTTGACAATCCCTGTGCGTCGCATGTCAGATGTCGAACGCGAAAATACGTTGAGCACAACGATCAGGTGCGGGATTGGAACTAGTGCATCAAAATGGGGGACGTGGTTTGCAGGTTAAAAAATGAAGATTTTGGGGAAATTCCACGACTCACTGAGTCACGCTCACTGTCATTACCGAAAATATTGCTTTAGGAGTTATAATAGACAATTAATATGTATTAGTATTCTTGGACCTTTCATGGCTCAATTCAACTGTGTGATAACAAATCGTCTGATCTGGCATGTAGGCTTTGCAAAACTACAGGGTAAGTTGATTTGTTGCCACCAGCACATTTGTGTCTCATCTCAAACAACGAATATGAAAACATTAACACACTTTGGGCATATAAGTAAGTCCATGTATGACTCTTTGCACTTTTCGCATAATTATTCAAGGTTTGCAAGTAAAAGGCTCTCAATTGAGGCTTCCTCCCTGGAACCGCAACAGAGCAACAGATCCCGCAAGCTTGGTTGGAGGATCTCACACGTCATGATCTTTAATCCCACACAATCTTTCTTTCTCATCACCTTGACTTATCATTTGCATAATTCCCACTTTCCCCAATCATCTTACTGTCGGAGAAATCAGATTCTCACATCACGATCACTGAACCCTGCCATTTACTGCAGCAGCACCATCGCTTAGAGAGATCCGGCGATCCCGCTTTAGATAAGGATAATCGTGCCAAGATAAGCATGGTCAGGTTGGTTCGGACCATAGATTTCCCGACACCTTACATCAGATCATGGATCTTGTCCTTGACCTCTCTGCCTTTCCTCTTGTGATCCAGGACTCCCAATATTTTAACAACCATTGGCCCTTGCGACTGTCAGTCATAAAGATCAACTCTGTATCGCATTGAACATAGCGAACGGTATGTTTGGTTACGATTTTAGTTATGAATCAAGACCTGCATTGTTGTCATCCGTGAGCCTTGCCTCTAGACCATCTCTCTTATGCCCGTCATTCTTCCTAGTTGCCAACGTCTTGGGCCCGACCAAGCCAGAAACTTGGCCTCTCCAGATATCACTTTCTCTTTGAAACGAAGGTCAGTAAGTGGATACATATGAGGAACGTGTTGGATTGTTCAAGAAGACAGTAGCCAGCTATTGCAAGCCATTCAAGTATTTAACAAAGTAAGTTCGGGAAGATACAATGACACCTTTAGCTGATCAGCCCAATCACATCTCATACATAAGGTAGCTAACAATTTGGTTAGTTTGCCACCTAGAAGGGAATCCAACCCTAGCATACTTATAATGGCAGAGTCACCATGGCCGGTGATGCTGCACATCCAACAATCCCTCATAAGTGGTTATCCATGTTATCTAGACTAGGCACACCTAATCAATTGTATCACCATACCTAAGCTCTTAATAATGCACTTGAGACGCCAGAAAGTATATCCGTGCCATTACTAATGCCGTGAAATGTGAACAAGGCCTGGCATCGGCCATACGATGTAGATACCACCACTTACAGATGGATACATCTAGGCGGGAACGAATGAGCCGCGAATCTCTTAAAATGCGCTAAAGCTCCCCTCTGATTAAAAAATAAGGTTCAAGTCTTTTGTCAGATGAGGTATAAGTCGCAAGCATACAAACCAATCCAAGGTCGACCCGTTGATTATACAGGTTGGTTGTCTGTTGGTGTGTTCTAAACGAGAGGACATACCTTTCTGGAAATTCATTTGCACTGTTTAGAGGTAGTATTGTTGCAAAACTCAGCGTCCTCATCAATGAGACCCAACACGCGTATGTAATACAGTTCGAGCTCGAGCACCCTTTTCCTGGTCCGGAATCGGATGTTCTCTTTCCGTGTCGACCATGACAACATCAGGCTTCTCAAAACGAGCATTGTTTATTATATTGGGAGGTCAATGCTAACTCCCTTGAAGCAAAAGTTATGACATGACGGTCTCAGCCCTGGAAGCCAACAGTCTCGGCAATGATGAGCATGGATATTCGAATTTCCAGAGCATGAATGCCAATCGATGTCACAACAAGGCCTTTGAGAGGTTGCATCAAGATCGGAACACAGTTGCCGGGCATCACTTTTCGTTTTCTCGGGCAAAGACAAGGAAATTTATTTGATTAGCGGATATTATTACCCCGTACCCCGCAATTTTGACCCCATGGGCTCCTGCAAGAGTTAATCAGATATGGGAAATCATACTTAGAGTCCGCTTGATCTGCCAAACAAATCCGGAATAGCTTCAACTGACTGGGTTAGCCTGGCGCCACCCCCGATAATGAAGTGCGTCTGTCAGGCAGGTCTTAACCAGGGTTGGATAGCAGCATGCATCATTGAACTTGGGGAAGTCCGGGGTATCATTGACGGCGACTTATCCGTCTTATTGTTTGGCCTTATCCGCCAGAGGAGAGTTCAACAGAAGCACTATCGCCCACATAAAGAGAGAGTTTGTTGCTTTAAAGTATTATATTAAGTAGAACTGACACGTTCAAACCAAGGTGGATGGAATTGGGAAAAGTGGCCAGCTAGGTGACAGACTACCTTGTGGGGACTCTGTGGTATGTCGCAGGACCCGTCACAGCTGGCAGATGGCAAGACACAGGATAGGATAAGTCGGAGGCTCAGGGACCAACTTGGACTGAGGACGGCGACACAGCGGACATACACATACAGATCTTACAACAATCACCAATACATCGAATCATTTCGAGAAACACTTGCCAATCACAACAAAATGACAAGGCAGGGAACAGTTTCTCGTCTAGCCTTGGAGAAACACATTAGCCCGTTTTGGCCACTCCATGCATTATCCCACGAATGAGATAAGAGCGCACCGACCTTCAAGTGCCGCACTGCCGAGAAGTCGTAAAATGACAGTACCTCAGAATATTTCCGACGTGGAGAAACAACCATGGTAGCGCGACTTGCATGTTTTCTGCGTGCCGTATAGCCAGAAGTGCCGATGCCGATATAGACAGGATTGAATGAGTATACCATGGGTTTCGCTATCACTATGTCTGGGACTACGAGGCGGATTTTGAATATTCCTTCAATGAGCTTGGGGAGTTTAATTGCAGTCGGCTGGACTAGATTATAATGTATAAAGACTCAACGTTTATCAGCTCGACTTGGGTTCTGAAATTGAACATCATCAATCACTTCAATATCCTCTTGTCTTCTGTCTTGCACGAATATCACAATGGTTCGACACATCCCTATTGCCGCTTTGCTGCCAGCCGCCTGGGCTTCGGCTCTGCCTTCAAACTCTGTAAGACAACCAGTTCTTTATATGCTGATATCACTAACGAAACCAATCGCAGGTTCAGCAACGAGATGCTTGCACTGTTACTAACTACTCCGGCCTTGCTAACGCCGTTGCATCCTGCACAAACATTGTGCTCAATGGGATCAACGTCCCGACCGCCAAGACACTCGATTTGTCCAAGCTCAAGGACGGTGCAACTGTTACCTTTGCGGGCAAGACCGTAAGCTACTACCGTCGTATGCTAGGAGTGCTGAATCTGAATCTGATAGACGTTTGCTACTACCGCTGATAACGATTTTAACCCCATTGTTATTGGTGGAAATGGCGTTACTATCACTGGTGCGTCTGGTCATGTCATTGATGGCAACGGTCCGGCATACTGGGATGGCAAAGGATCTAACAACAAAAAGAACCCCAAGTATTTCCACCCGAAGCTCTATAGATAACAGAAGCTAGACTAACATAACATAGACCGGATCATTTTATTGTCGTTTCAAAGACTACAAACTCCAAGATCACAAACCTCAACATCCAGAACTGGCCTGTTCACTGCTTCGACATCACCGGCAGCACCCAATTGACCGTTTCAGGCCTCATTCTGGATAACACCCTCGGTGACAAGCCCAACGCGAATAGCGGTGGTTTACCAGCTGCACACAATAGTGACGGTTTCGACATCGCTTCAAGTGACCACGTCACTCTGGACAACATCCATGTTTATAACCAGGATGACTGTGTTGCAGTTACATCGGGTACAAACATCATCGTTTCCAACATGTACTGCTCTGGTGGCCATGGTCTTAGTATCGGGTCTGTTGGTGGCAAGAGTAACAATGTTGTCAACGGCGTTCAGTTCTTGGATTCACATGTCGTTAATAGTCAGAATGGATGTCGCATCAAGTCCAACTCTGGCACAACTGGCACGGTTAGTAAACACATGACTCAGCATCTAGCCCCCAGGAATTAACATACATATTAGATTAACAACGTCACCTTCCAAAACATTGCCCTTTCCAACATTAGCAACTACGGCGTTGATGTTCAGCAGGACTATCTCAACGGCGGCCCTACGGGAAAACCCACAAACGGTGTCAAGATCAGCGGCATCAAGTTCATCAAGGTTACTGGCACAGTGGCTAGCTCTGCTCAAGACTGGTATATTCTTTGTGGTGACGGTAGCTGCTCTGACTTTACCTTCACTGGAAACAGCATCACTGGTGGTGGCAAGGCTAGTAGCTGCAACTATCCTTCTACCACTTGCCCTAGCTCGGGCTAGAGCTGATTTAGTTATCAATCCCTGCCCACCAGACTCCGAGCCAGTCGAAGAGTCACCCTACTGTTGTCGCGTCGAACTTCTGCGGCATACAGTTGTCAGTGATATAAGGGCTGGGTTCTACAGGAATGATTCTTTAGTGGTTGTTAGGTATATCAGCAATATATTTCATTCATCGCAGCAGGCTAAAGTAGCTGTAACACTAACTACTGTTGTAAATTTGCGTGATTCAGGCATCTTGACTTACCAGTACAAGTCTTTTCTCATTCTACTGGTTGCTGTCTAAGTATACAAGTGCAATTCCGACATGGGTATTGTCTTCGAGGTTGGAGCAGACCATGCGACTAAATTGCGATTGGAGAGTTACAGTGGATTGCATCTCATAGCTGATGACTCCTAAACCCATGGAGTTATTCTCAGGCAATGGAACAAGGTCGTGAACTCTCCCACCCCTATCCAGATGGACCCATCGACTCCACAACTCCTCTTGATGATTCGATAAAGCTCCAGCCCAGCGCCATGGAGCATAACCAAGTAAGAACTTGGTTCCGCCCGAGAAGCTGTACTGGTTACCGGCGGTGACGAGAATAAACTTATATAGATGTCTTTTGCAGAGTGAAACTGTACAAGTGTTGTGTTTTTTTATCCCATGGCCGGTACTTTGAACAATGTGATTACGCATTTTGTCACTTTTACTAGCAGGTTACAAAGGGTGTCATGGGAAGGCCTCCTTGAATTCTTCTATCCAATAAGTACCTTGAATCCCTTCTCTGCTGCTCAGTATAGAGTCGACTCTCTGACGAGGAGTTCGCAGCAACGAAGAGCATGACCAAATACATAGACTGAACCTTAAACAGAAAATACTCAACTCGTCACAAAATAGAGAGAGCAGAAAATTGCTAGTAACTCGGGAATCGATTATTTTTAAACTACCTGTTATCTTTTTTCATATTGTTTTACTGCCTGGATTTAATTATCGTTCAGCGACCAAAGTCTCGCTTCGCCAGCAGAAAATGACTGACTTGGACGACTCTGGCACTCTTATTACAGGGCCTCCTTGGGGCACAATCTATCTACTTCTATCTACTAAAAAGGAGTCTTTTAAGAATATCCCTAAGGCTAGTCTACACTACCAATATTCAGACCGTCCTGACATCTCATCCCAAGAACACCACAAAGTTTCCTAATACTCAGCAAAGGCCAACCAAGATTCATCAAAATCTTTAGTGAATCCTCAAACCACCCTAATATCCTTATCAAGTCCTCATAAACTCCTCAATGTGGGTCTAGTTAGGCAGCTTGACATCGTAGCCTTGTCGCTTGATGTCGTCCAGAAGCCACTGCATAGGCGTGGCGTAAGTGACGTCAACACCGTCGGGATTGTTCTCTTTTTTCAATCCAGCCGTCATGATACCACCGATGCGACCCGTGAGATCAAAGACGCAAGCTCCGGAATCACCGCCTTTTGAGAAAGGGATTTGACTATTCACCCCAATGATACACCATTCATTTGAGACCATGGCACCGGCAGGTCCAGGTCCAGCAGGGCGGCGAACGACAGACCGGATGCCGTTGGAAAGCCCAAAGGTGAGCCCGCTCTTACAACCATACTTGATCACAATGAGACCGCTGGCTGCAGTATTCTCCAGTTCGGCCTCGGGTATAATGTGCGGCCCGATCGTAGCTTCTAGCGACGCAGCAACAGGAAGCAGAGTACCTTGGCTCACTGTTCCACTGTACTTGTCGAATGCATCTCGAAGCTGCTGGGTGACTGGTACTTTGTTGGTGAGGTCGCCGAGTCTAGTGGTGAAGCTCTCTTGCGACAGTTCGACAAGCGACCAGTCTCTAACCCGATCAGAGTAGACTTGGATAGGTGGCGAAAACTCAACTCGACCAAGGGTAAAGCTGCCATAGTCTTGGAGCTGTTCAATACGGGGTTGGCAAGATTCCAACAGGCTTCGCTTCTGCAGAGAGTTCAAGCGTTGGACTTGGAATGCTGGGGTATTGTAACGCGGCAGTGAAGTAAGATGTATACCTGTTTCAATCCCAGATTTCTCGCTGAAGAAACTCGTCACAGTGTCGACAAGCGTCCCTTCTGCGGGCTGGATGACTTGCTTGGTGGTTTTGTCGTTGTCGTCTCCAGACCGATACTCGATAAAATCACTGTCTGTGAAGAGAACATGGCGACACGTGAGTGCGTACGTCTTGTTATCGTTGCCTTGTAGATAGAGACTCTTTGTTCCCTTTTTAGGTCCACGTACACCAATCGACGTTCCGATGTATTCCGAGACATGATGGCCAAACTGGAACTTGACATCGTCAACATCGTTGTTGAAGGGGCCGCATGTGAGGCGTAAGGCTTGCGGGCCAGATGTCGGGCTGTAGGTAGCTGGGCCTTGGTTCGAGGCAGCGGTGCAGACGATGCTTTCTTTCACCTCGACTTCAACGTCGTCGAGGGCTAAGCGGGCGAGGATCTGTTTGCACTCGACGATGGCAGTTTCCGCCTGGTGGAACGAAGTCGAGTTCTCGGATACGGAAATGAGCATGGTGACTGGGCACTCTGGTGCTCGGTCAGCATCTTCGTATGCGCTTTCGTACCCGACGCGCAAGATATCAATGGCGGTCCAGTCGATGTCGCTGAGGGTTCCGATGATCAGCTGCTGAAGGGTTCCTCGTGGGTCATTCCATGGCTGCTGGATCGCGTGTCCTGTAGCGACATCGAGTTTCTTGTTCTCCGGCCATTGGTGAGGGTGAGGCCAGGGCGTGGTGCTGGAGCGGGCGATGAGTTTTGGGCCGCTTGGAAGGCCGCAATAGTACATGTGGCGCTCTCGATCGCTAGGCTCTTGAAGAGACATGGTGATGGGATGAGACGTGGATGAAAAAGGACGCGATGCGGATAAAGGAAGTCGAGATGTCGACGAAAGAGGTTGTGGTTTAGATGAAAAAGGTCGAGGCAGTTTATGGATTAAAGCCGGACTCTCTCTCTGAATATTGCCTACCTAAGGCACATTCTTGCAAGGGAGTTCACGATAGCTAGCCATGGTTATATACTGCCAGCGGGAGTCAGTAGGTGGGGCAGGCAGGGGCCGGTGATTCAGGAACGTGGTAGGTCTGTGATACAGGTACAGGTGGTTGGCTCAGTCGACCAATAGAGTCACTGGCAGAAGAATGAGACTTGGTTGCAAGGAAGCCACTGTTTGTCTGTCCTCCAGTTCTCACTCCGAAGCACTGGATATCCTGACGAACTTAAGGAAGATCCACTGTGAGCTGTGATGTGAGACGTTGAAGGAAGAAAGAGAGCCAGTGTCGGGAAAATATCTGCTGCCTTTAGGCTACTGTCAAGGCAGCAACCCCTTTGAGGGTGAATGTTGATTTGGTCAGACAAAGACATTTACTTGAACAAAGGCACAAAGAAACCATCACCACTGCCTAACCAGATCTGCGATCAATGCCATGTTTTCAACCACTGCCGTTCAGTATCTCTGGACAGGCTGACGCTCATAGTGAATAAAAGTAATCCATATTGAACACACCTTTATCAAGATCGCTTCACTATTCTCGTCGCGTGTTCACCGAAAAGGCTGACAGCGAGGGAAACGAACAGTGTCGTTGCACCTGGATAAACTTTTATTTCGCAAGCGCCTTATCCTTTTGACAGGCAATTCTACATTAGGAACAGTTCTTTTTATGGAATAACATATAACTAGATTGGCTTGTTGCGCGCTCTGTAATACTTATCGCGAATCTATCCTAAGCCGTCGCTGGACAAATATGTTTCTGTAACCCGATTATGGAGGTTGTCGTCACCTGATCCTCGAAGGCCAGCTTAGAGCGCGACATCTGATGTTCAGTGTTCGCATATCGAGTTCACTGGCCGGATATATGTTGGATCCACGTCACTAAGTATTACAAATACTAACTAGTAGAACATCCAAGAACTACAAGAACATCGGCATTATTATCTCCATCCCTGAGGACAATTGTGCCTGCAAGCATTGACTAATTCTCAAAGATATCCGCTTGTTTGAAGACCGCCTGACAATCCATACACATGAGTATATCTTGGAACTGCAACAACTGGACCTGGGCGCTCGTAGCATTGAGTTCTCAAGGGACCAAGCTCTATTACGTATGGGATATGAAGGAAGACATCAGTTTTGCTGATCCAAGAACCATTACAGCGCGACCATAGAGACAAAACTGGACAGTCTATCACTACCAATGACAAATACAACACGCTGCAATCAAGAAGCTAGGGGGATTCTTAAGACACAAAGTGACTCGATCAACTCTAAGTTTGACGGTTACTGGCCCACGACAGTGGACCTGCAATTCAACTCTGGTGAAAGAGCATTAACTAGTCAAGTAATAAGATCGATAAAGGGAGTTATATCATTGTAATAATATTGATACTGCCATCGATAGCAATCGCAGATGCAACACTATACTTGGCATGCAGGATACGCTACTGAAAAAGTCGAAAGGTGTCAATATTCTCGAGTAGCCTGAATACTATCTTGACTTTATATCTGTTGTCTTGAAGTTCCCTGATATATGTATCTCGAAACCTCCCAACAAATAAATAAGCCAAAGTTGAACTAACTATATCTGGCTTTGAAAAAGGCAGTACACATTGCTAGTGGGCTCAACTTCGATGCTGACAACACGACAGAAAGTAAAGTAGATGAAAATTGATAAAACTGCTTGATGAATTACGAAGAGATCAAAGACAGCATCCTGAGCCATGTTGCCTCAACCGTCTTGGGCAAAGAGACGAGTACGAAAGGGAGCGACAGATTTCATTATCTGAAAAGGCTTGAACTTACCAACGTGGTATGTAGGTGGATATCTGCAACTAGAAGCGGAATTCCAATCTTTTCAATAAAAGGCCACCGTTAGTGTGGAGAGACTCATAACCAGTATGTATACTGATGAACCTGCTGTTTTGGGATAGTATGGAACAATTATGCGAGAAAGTAGCAGCCAATTAGGGACAACACCGAGTGAATAGAGAAGGGAACATATCGAGAGTGGCATCCAAGGCAATTCCAAAATTGAATTAATGATAAATACATAAAATGATGGTAATCGCTGCTGGATGGGTGGCCCTGTTTGAATGGGCTCCCGTGATACTCAACAGAACCCTCCCGATGACAGGAATGTATAAGCCAAAGGTAAAAGATAACGGCGGATGCTTGGGCCAGACATGTCAAAGAGGCTTGAAAGACTCAAGTAGAATCAAGAGTCATGATAGCCCGTATCACCGCTTCTGCAGATCCCCTGAGGCAAGAAACGAATGGTACCGGTAACAGTGATCCTTTGGGGAATAGTCAGGTCAAGGTGGACGATCTAGAGTGTCCCATCGCTTTGAAAACCCTACGGTCTTAAACATCCCAACGGGGTCATCTTGGAACTATATGCACGTTCTACACTGGTTATGAAGCGGCTCTCATATAGGTAAATGCTCCACAAGGCTATTTCCCTTGAGATTCGTCCTCTTGTCACAGCCAGCGAGATCTAAGGAAGCCATGACATGCAATAGACGAAAGTAAAGATAGCCACCGCGCCATTCAATCTTTCGAGCCGCGATATCCTTTGGAATTGCAAGTGATGTCCCGCTTGGAAACACGACCTCTCCAAACAGGGATGAATTCTCAAAATCTTATCGATGATGGCTACTACCGCTGGAACTAGGACTATACCATCGTGAAAGATAAGATATTCCCTGTTGCTGCCGCAATTTTGGGCTACATTGATCGCCCAGGGCCGGAAATAGTGTTGGTAGTTATATGGCGCTGTGAGTGGTTATATAGTTTCAGACTGGAACATTCAGTCTGGCAAGAAGTCTTGAAGCCTCTGAGAGAATGGTTTGCTATAGTGGTTGATCTATCAACGAGCGTACTTTGATAAATTCGAGGAAAAGGCTGGTAAAAGTCTCTCCTAGTCTGGAGACTATCAAAGTAGTATTTTGTCCTTGGATGAACATCCATGTCTCTCGAGATGGCGCATAACAGCCTCGTTGACTTCGTTCGACTGTCTAGTAAACATTCCGAGGCTACCACCAAACCATGTCAAAAGGTCTCACACTGCAGTACGACTACAAGCTGAGGACACTCAGCACGCTTTGCTCAGTAACTTGATCACTGGGTCTCAAACCAGACTCAGAGGCGCTAATGGAAGGCCCTTGGGGTCAGATCAAGCTGTGCCAGTGCCATGATAAATCGCTGATAAATAACTGATAAATTGTTGGCAAGATTGAGATAAATCTTGTTAATTGGCATGATGACTTATTTGGTACCAGCGCCTCGTGGATGTAGGATGTCTAACACTAGACAAATCTTATGTACTACCAGGAATGTCTGCGAAATAATGTATGTGGGCAACAGAGGCATCTGGGACAACCCTGTTAATGTGACAATGAAGCAACAGATGTCACAATACAGCGTTCTACGCCGAGCTTCAGTGCTTTACAGAGACTATACACGTTGACTGACTATATCTCTTGGTTAAGTAATGAATTTGTTTACTTATATTTGTCTTCGTTACGGAAGTGCTATCACGCCTACGTGCATGGAGGTTGTTGGAATTAGGAAATGTATTCATTGACGGTCATAGACGTTAGTACGCAAATTAAAGAACTCACTTGGATATATCGTTATCTATTTTATCCATGAGTTGATGGCTTTGATTGTTGATAAACAGTTTGTTGTATACCGGGACCTATGTCCCAGTTGCGGATGAACAACATATCGGAGAATGCCTTTCCGAATTCGGTGATTTTCTGGTCTAACTGCTTGTTTCAAGTTGATTGTGTAAGTTCTCGTGATCAAGGTTGCACAAAGTCCTGAGAAGTGATGTTCAAAGAGAATGTACGTATGCCAGAAGCAGGAACCAATAGCAGCAGTGTAACAATGTATATTCGTATTTGGCAACAAGTTCACGCAATGGTCCATGGTTATCTGTTATGCTGGAGTAAAGCGATAGAACCTATATCAGGAACGGATGGTTTGTTCAGAACATAGTACACAAAGGAAAAGGCTGGGTGTTCCCTACTTGTGCATCTTGTATTGGGTCTTTCACAGTTCAATTACGGCGATTTAAGTAACGTTCAATATTTCTTTGTCCGCAATCCCCTGTTCCATATGATCAATGTTGAGATTCGTCATTGAAAGTTTGGAAGGACAGCCAAGGGTCACAGAACGAACCTTTCCCAACTCGAGACCTGACAAATATAAATATACTGCTCATTGCCAACAACAAAGTCTCTATCATTTCACATCTCCATAATCAACAAGCCTCACAGCTATTCTAACGCACATATCTATCATAAACATACCTTCTACAACATCAACATCTTCCCGCCCTCCCAACACAAACATCATCATGGAATCGCTCCAGAGTAAGCTCGACATCCTTCAATATGGATTTCATGCCCTCGCTAGAGACTTCATGTCACTGGACGTAGATGACTTCATTCAGGTTGTCGATCAACTGATGCAAGACTTGAAGGATGTTGCATATACATTTCTGGACCCGAATCCCGAGTAATTCAAGGACCGAAAGACTGTCAGAGAGTATGTAAAAGTTCTTCAACTAACGAACTTCGACGCGAAGCTCGCACACTCCAAGATCAATCGTGATCTGGAGTTTAAATATCCTCGGAGGTCAACCAAAGACTTTGAGCATCGTTTCAAGATGCTGGAGCTCTACAGTCAGGCTTTTGCTGATACCATGGTTGAGGCTGGAGCTAGTATGAGCGCCTACCCCCCCCCCCTAACAGAGATTGTTACAATGTTCGAGAGCGTTGTGCAAGACTATCTCAAGCATCGTCATCGTCGTATTTCTCTGCAGCTGGACCCGCAGGTCAAGAGCAACAAGGAAACTCGAGATACGTTCTCCGACAAGCAATAGGCGCTGAGATATGTATCTCGTCCATTCTCACAGGAGTTCCTTACCAGTTGTCTTCGTGCGTACCGCCAAAGGTTCATCCCTCGCGGGAGGATATTCCTCAAGGTAGGTTGGGATGATGACACCGGGGCGTGAGCGTTAAAAGAAGGACATGAGGAAGACCAACGGGTCGTAGGTTTGCCGTCCTTTGAAGAAGGTGATATTGAGGTTATTGTGATCGAAGTCGAGGAGCTACTCAATCCTCCTTACAAGGCCGAGGAACAGTATGACGAGGGCAATGTCCGTACTCCCCATCCTTGTCTTGTGAAGTGTAAGATTGACTTCTTGGATCGTGAGGAGGGTGTTTTGCATTGGAGTATTGGAGGCATTCTTGCTTGGAGATTCCACGGGGAGGACTCGTGGATGGATCGCCATGGCCATGTCATTGTTGACGATGAGTAGATGTGAATGGTCCAAGTGCTCAGCATTGAGTACATGATGGGCAAAATGTAAGTTATTTAGGGTTGTTTGGACGTGACCAGACATGGGGAGGAATACATAGATAAGAGGTAAGTAGACTTTTGAATAAAGTGCGGGTTGCATTGATTAAATTTTAGTGGTTGCATTGTCTGTGCAGTATTGGAGCCCAATATTGGTAGGTAGGTACCAGTGGCCATGTCATGACAAAGATTGACCCCGTCAAGCAGCTTATATCCTAATACCTACGAAAGCTTGTCATTTTCATTTACAGGCCAGCCCAATCTATCTAAGCATGTCGAAGAAGGCAATAGAGTAACAATCATTTCAACATCCATATCTCTCGTTGTCGTCGCCGAAAATTTGTCCAATCCCATTCGCTCCAAGCCAAAGCCGTCCAACAGCTCAACATGTCTGAGGCAGAAGCAACCTCAAACCGCCATACTTACAGGCCTATACCCAGAAACAGCAAACAAACCAGGGTCTTAAATACCCAAAAAGTCGATAACAGAGATGACCCTATAGTCTGTAATCTGAGCAAAGTCGATCTTGATGACCGAACAATCACTTACAATGAAGCTTTGGAAGTCTTCAGTGGAGCCCTCATCCCTATCTTGTCCCGGTTTCGAAAAGGATTAACCCGTCGCGTCTTCTGGAACTACTGGAATCTCGACCCGGGAAAAGCTCGCGCCAGTTGGGATACCAAGACGGCCCACGACGTCGCCGCACAAGAACCCTTGCACGACTTCTGCGACAGGCCGTTGGTGACAGGCTGCCTGGGTGGTTCAATTGGGGGAATTATCTTGCCCTCAGCTATATTTAAAGCGAACAGAAAGTCAAAAAAACAATCACACTTGACGACTCCACCTTTATGGTTGACCAGAACATGTATGATGTGATGTACTGCTCAGACTTCAAGCGTCATGTGAACTTTCGACCCGGGCCATAAACGTCTGGATCGATGCTATCTGCATTAACCAGGACGCCTTTCAAGAGAGTGCTGCGGAAGTGACATGTAGTAAGTGACATAACCGAGGCATCTTACTGGCACAGAGTGTGGGTCAGGCAGGAAATCGCCCTCATCTCATTTATTGCCTTCCGGTTTGGCGACATCTACCTCACCCCAAAAGAACTCTTCACCTTTCCTTACGTGTTTGAATTAAACATGGATCGTCTTAAAAAAGCCAAGCGGGTGAATATGCTGACCCAGAAGAGATCACCAGAGCCAGTCCCAGAACCTATTTATGCGTACTATCCTACGGAGTTTACAGACTGCCTAATATAATCAGCAGCGTGAATAAATAGGTAGTTATTTATCATAGACTGGAGGCTCGTGCGACAGACTGGAGAGACAAGTAATATGGGCTCCTGGCTCTACTAACCCAGGCGATCACGTCGCAGATTGAGTCCAGTTATGAAGAAACGTGGGCGTGGCAGGATAGACTTCACTAGAACTTATCTCCAAGCTGAACAACGGCTCAATATGATGCGCAGATGCTCAGGATGGCGCTCCAGGTCTTCCCAGCTGAGCATTTTATCTGATGCCACCAAAGCCGTATGATGACGGTAGCCCTGCCGGGCTGGTGGGCGTTTCACCTGGTCGGAGTATTTACATGAGTTCATCTACCGATAAAGGTCTTGATTCGCCGTTTTGCTTCTCTGATAATGGTCGCACCCTCCATTGCACAGCTCTCTTGATTCGGTCGGTAGCATTGCTGCAGAATTGAACCGCCCTGGGCTAACACAACCAGATGATTCCTCTCCGGATTGTTTCTAACACACAAGATTATCCCTGGCTCGAGTCATGATGGGAAATAGCACGTATCGATTCTCAGACGGCCCCTCCATACTAGACATTCCGTTCCTAGGCTAGAGCTAACTTGGATTGCAAGTCATCAATGCGTCCGATTGTCCGCACACACCAGACTATGCCGCGATTATGTCAGACTGGCCTATCCGAGACGCTTCGCGTGCAGTCGACAACCAGGTCCCTTGGGAAACGTGCCTAGCCTCCTGGGGATTATCAGTGCCTTGCGTCAGAGTTTCAAAATCTTCCAGGGACTCACGATCGGTGGCTGCCCTTTTCAGAACTATTCCAACTTGCATAACGAGTTCTGTCAGTATTGGGAATACTTTACGTTCTTTGTGGCTAGAAGTACGAAGGAGATGCGAGGGCCATAGTAGTCGGGCATCTCCGTTGGGGCAAGGTAGATAGATTAACTAAAGCTCTTGACCACCTCTTGAAAAGCAACAAAACTCTTGAAGTTTTCAGATTAACTGACGATTTCAATCTTTGCCTCTGACGCTTTGTTTCTGTAGTTGCTCCCCTGATAATAGCAAAGCATACAAAGAAGGTGCAAAGACCATGATAAATGACTGTTCAACAGTGGAAGAAGGCAATAAAACATGTTTCTTGTGGGTCTCGAGACTCGAACCTGGTTTGATGCGATGGCAGACTCTGGTGCAGTTTTGGATAAAACTGATTCTCCTTGCCTCTATGATCCTATTGGCAAGGGCGCTCGATATTCGCCCTGCATTCCTGCTATTTAAGGTATGAGAGGGGAAATGCATAGCAGCAGATGAGGCCCCCACAGCGAACAAAGATAGAGTGGCAGAAAGGCTGAACACAACCTTCGCGATTTGTTCACATTCTGCCTTGCTGTCTGTGTTGTGATATTTCCAGACTTACACAACGGTGATTTGGTACTAAACCCTCGCTCGTAACAATGATCCTGAAATCGCCACATGATATGCCTCCGTTGTTGCTCTGATGTATCGAGTGTCCCATACTGTGCTGCGATAGAGATTTATCAAAGAATTGAATCCCTTATTTAATCTCCTTCGAGCATATCTTGGGCTCTGTTGAGCAGAATCAGGACGGTATAATAACCACCATCATTCTGCCGCGAGAAAGGCACAGAAGAAGGAACAGGTGGGCAATATCGAACCTCGTAATCGATCTACAATATCTCTATGGTTAGTTTTGCGTTTGAACTCGAAGACTGTCACTCAGCACGTGACATGGGGTTGATTGTCAAGATTGACCTGCGAGGTTTGTGATCACAGTCTCTGTACTGAGCCATAAATTGAAAGGTACTACTACGTGACTTTCACGGTGGCAGCTCGGTTGATATTTACAGTATCTGCCGAATTTGTAAGTGGGTATCATTAGGTGTTAAGAACACAGATCGGACTACAGACACCTCGGACGGTGTCTTCTTATCAGCGAGCAAATTGACTGAGGGGATGGAAGTAATCACTAACATTAGGATGTGTTCGAGCAAGGGCGAAGGGCATTGAGAAACAACCAGTCCTTCGCTTTGCCAGGTCGAACCCTGGCTTGTAGATTAGGAGCGCCGATCATGTGTTTTAACAGCGGACTTCGGGGTTAATACGCTGTCCTACTTACACCCACGCCGTCACTGGGACTGAACCCTGAAGTTGATAATATGAGCTATATCAGTATAGAGACACCAAACTGAATGATGTTATGATAATCTGGCGAGTACCATCCGTGGCAAGATCTCACCTGTGCCCTGTTGAGTCTGACTTTGTTACTGAGACAGGCTGGAGAGGGGGGGTGGGAGATACGCTGGATTAAACTCTAAGTGGGGTCGGTATATATGGCGGCAACATTAGTGAGAATCTTTGCTAGTGGAAGGCTAACTAGACATGTATCTGTTACGGACGGTTGGTCAATGACCTGAGTATGTCGTTAATGAGAATTCTCTACCAAGGGGGGTTAGGTGCAGTCCTGAGGTCACTTTCAGTGGCCTGAACGTATTCTTCGGCTTTTATTGCTCTTGCTGCACGTATGATATAAAGGCCAACCCAGCCGACCACGGCTCATCTTATGGGCTCGGGTTCTAGTAGTTTGTAATCGTTGCAATGCTGTCGCGAAAGACCACCTCCTAATCAAGTACCACAGCCTTGAGGATCTTGCCAAGCATTGTTTACATGGCCTTTAGATATCGCCCGGCTAGCCTGTAAGCCCGAGCTGCCAAATAAGTATCCCCGGAAACCGAAGATGCAGACGTTGTTTCCAGAAGAGGAGAATTGCGTTAGTCGTACCAACCCGGAACCGGGCTGAAGTTGTGAGAGAAAGGTGACATTGAACAGTTTCATTTACTATTTCAGCAAGTATCTGAAACAATGCTAGAGCTGGATTGAGATACGCGCGGTGTATTAGAGATGCCCTGGACTTAGGTCATGTTATAAAGGAGTTGGCTGTGACATGGGTTCAATGAGCAACTGAGTGAACATGGTCAGTGTCATGTCCAGAATGACTGTTCGTTGCATTAAGTTGTTGTTCTCGCCATTGCATCCTTCGCCCACAACTCAGTTTTATTGATATCTGCTACGAGCGCAGCCATACCTGAATCCCGCTATCTCTGACGTTCTTTTTATTATCGTCAGTCTGCATTTTGTGACACCCCTGATTCTCGCCTTTCGCTTTCTGCCGTTTGTTGGTTCATGGTAACTCGCATGAGGGGCCTACCTACGCTACTGACTCTCAAAGTGGCCATGTCTGAGACACTGGAGGTATTGCCTCACACGGCACTAACTAATATGGCCTACTTTGGAATATCTCGTCTTGCCAGATGGGTTGTTTCGGTATATTGTGGTCTTTTGAAGTGGACCACGAGAGAGCATACTTAATTTGTAGACAAGGATGCTATTAACCAGCCCATTATGTTAAACCAGAAGTGTATTTGCTAACCATATAATTGACTTATAAACTCAATACTGCCACGACCTTCTGATTGCCCTAAACCTTCTTTCTAACTCTCCTTTGCAGCCTATATGATACCGACATACATGTCATCTCGAAACCTTTAATTAACCTTTTCTTATATATTAGTATTTCTCGATAAATCTGACAGCTATGCGCCTTACCTCGAAGCCAAATACGTATCATCTATATAACCTTTGACTGACTTATACTGCCAGTCTGTTAAAGTTTTCCCTGCAGCCTCTGTATTAGTTTTCCTCTGCGAATCTCTATCTATATGTCAATTAGGGATATGATCTAAGCTCGATTTCTTCTTCTGATAGACTTGAACTGCCTCCTTGCCTCTTGGCCGTCTTTTAGGAGGGCTTTTAGGGCATTTCTTTCTTACCTAATAACTTATTTAACCTCTTAAGGAAGGTCTTTAATAGTGCAAGTAAGAGCATAAGTGCTAAGGATGGCCAGTTAGAAGATAAAGTAGCTAGGGAGCCTTCTATATTCCTAGATATTAATGATTTTCTTTATTTAAGAACTTGCAGCTTTAAGAGCATTAGAGCTAGCTTTATAATAGAGAGTTGTTCTATATCTTCTAACATCTTTTAGGTTAAGGGGCAGTTGGTTAATATACTGGTCCTGGAACTGGTTAGGGTAGTTTATATAGATAAGCTTTTTTTTTAGTATGCGTGCTACTATCTTACTTCTTTATTATCTGGTAAGATCCTTGGTTTTTGTGCTGAGTTGGATTGTTTTGGCGGATATATTAGAGGCATCTTCTTATACCCCCTAAAGTCAGGTAAAAGAGTTATAATCTAGGTTTTCTTCTTATTAGTATTTATGCTGTAGGAATTGGTTAGGCATTATGGTATAATGTCTAAATAGTGAGCTAGATGTGTTATTTGCAGTTGAGACCTGTGGCTAAGAGCTTATAATCACCATACAGAACTTAGCTATTAACCAGCCTGGGTACTTGGCCTTCGTTGTTGATATGAACTTTTTGCTATCCCTTAGATTCCATCCGATAACTTCCAAGTAATCCATCCGTGGTATATCATGTGCCCAGACACCGTTTTTACAGTGGCTCTAGTTCAAGTATAATTCCTCAGCCTTCTGCAAACTGTCTTAGCTCCATTGTATCCGATATGAAAAGTCACCCACTTGAAGTGGTGGAAACATAGTATGTTGATGTTGTCCATCTGCGCGTAGATATCTTATTGGCAGCTACATCTTTGTCTGTTGCAATCACTGGGCTGCATTAAACTTATTCCAGCGTTTGTTGGCTTTGTGTTTATTCCATTAAGCTTATTCTTAAGGCTCTTGATATATTTTGCCAAGCTTCGAACTTTCTATCTATTTCGGCTGAACCCTTCATAGGGAAGTGTACCCAGATAATATGAGGGTCAGCTCTGCATTTCGGCGATAACCATCACAGCTCTAATAAGAGCAACTCGAACTCTACACGACGTGACGGGCCGAACATTCCTACTTTATATGGCTCATCGTTCTTTTTGAAGATATTCCGTCAAACCTTTAGGTTCGCTTGATAATGAGACGGCCGAGATTCGTCCAGGGGGTCACCGGGTCGCCGTGACGTCTAAATTGTGTTGGGCAATACGGCCAGCACGGGGTTGACCAATTGACGTTTCCGAGCGATAACATGGCGCTGAAAGGGATAATAATTTCTAGATTTAGTTGCATATCGTAGGGATATCTGTCCCCGGTCCTCTCTAGTATGCAATGTTGGGCAGAGGGAGCTGAGCTTCTGTCCCATGAGATAGAAGAATATCCGGCGATTTTACCAAGCCCGGTCAGGATGACACGTTCTCAACTCTTGACCTTTGAGGCCATGATTATTCTCCTGAGCAACAATCATTTGACAATCCTCACAAGATGTCAGAGCTTGATGTGGCCAAGCCTTGTTCCTAATCATTCAGTCCTAAAACATGTTATTTCAAATCCGATAACAACCTGAGGTGTTAAGCTTACCCCCAATGTGGCCGACAAAGGAGAACACATAATAGATCCACTGAATAGTTTGGAGAAAAAATACAGAAAAGGCGTTGTTAATACAGAGCAGAAAGGTAATACTGGTAGAGTGAGACATTCCCTAATCTACTAAAGCTGTGCCAAGTGAGCAGAATACAATCTCCAAACGCCACAGTCATTCTTATCCATAGGCAGGTTCATCCATCACCCAAACAGGTATGTTTACTCGAATCGCCATTTCTCCAGTTCCTCACTCCTTCTTCACGTCCTCCTTCACATCCTCCTCAAGATCCAAAGGAATATGCGGGTACAACAGATCCGCCAGCCGGTCGCGTTCCATCTGCAAGTCGAGGCTATCGATATTGCGGCGGAGAGTTAGTCGCTGCATTAGCATCTGATACATCTGATGCGAAACATCATCAACGATGCCGTAGAGCTCCTCATGCTCTTTGCCACAATATCGGATAGCCTTCTTCATCTCTGCAATGCGGCCAATGTCACGAGGGGGTTTGAGCTTTTTGACGGCGGTCTGGAGGTTGTGCATCCTTTCGGCGATCTTGATACGCTGGGCGGTGATGCGGCAGACTTTTTCAAAGGCGAGTTGGCGGTGTTTCTCGATATTCTCGATCTGTTTCTTCATAGCCTCTTGGGTACGGCGGTGAGAAACCTCAGACGCGGTAAGAGGGGTATCCCCAAGAGGAGGGAGGGTGTCGATGAAGGCGGTCTATGGATATGTCAGTAGGGCGATGCATTCGGTGCATGGGAGACTTGCGTATAGAGGGTCGGATGGCTTCGCCTTGAGAAAGCCAAAGCACTTCAGGACAGCCCAGATGAGGGCCATGGTGAAGAGGAGGGTCATCATGATGATGAGATCGGCGGTGTGATCAACTTTGAGAGCCATCCTGGTGATGCAGTAGGTCGTGCAGTAAGATGACTTTTTGTGATGGTTTGAGTTGTTGTGATGACGAAGGAGGAAAGAAGAAGATGAAAGACAGCAGGACAGAAGATTGTTTGTTATCTAAGCTAGTCGACGTGACAAAGCTACGTGAATCATACCCCGATGCAGTGACACTGGCAGAGCTCCCAGTGGAACATGCCCAGGCTGCTGGTCAGTATGTGCCCTGTGATCAAGGTGCTGTTGGCTGAACTGTGCTTGTTGTTCTGGCAGCAATTGAAGTTGTGCTCATCAGAGTGAGTTCTGGTTGTCTGAAACTGTTGACACTGCGCTATAATTTTAGTTCACGCGCGAGAGCATGTCGACTGTAGGCTCACTGGCGCCAAAGTTTCAAATGCTACTGCCAGTGAAGTCATCCTGGGTCCAACTCTGGCGTATGCAGCGAAACCCACTCAGTATCATCGTCTTATTCGATATATTGAGATTTCGAGATATGATCCGCTAAGATCGACAAAATCACATCCCTGATATCTGTCTACACCATGTTGTGGATTCGTGGTTGCCATATTGGCTGAACCTGAATAAGGCTGTCAGCATGCCAATAATGATGACCAGTACGAAGAAGGAATCCATCTGATGCTGTTTCTGCACTTCTTGATTTGTAATGCAGATATCCATGCAATGTCGTCTTCGTGCTGAAACTCCGCCCCGCGTGTGGTGATCAACTTCATGTGCATATGTGAAACCAAGCGGGCATTATCCTGCAGGACAGTCATCAGCCTAATAGAGCTATAACCTTCGCCAAAGTTTCCATTCCTCAGATAGACCTTTCGACGAGTGTTTCGGGATACGTAGTTGAATGAGGGCTGAGTGGCTACTCAAGCTTGAAACAAGTGGGAGCCTTCTGCCTTGAGAATAACACGTTCAAAGGAGTCACGATAAGCCTTAAAGGTTACAAATACATGGGGAAAGAGGCACATACCATACAATCCCTCTGTCCCTTGATTGCGAGTTGCAAAATCTGTCGGTCGATTTACGCAACTACCCATCGGACGCCGTTTTATTCTTGGTCCTGCTGTGTGGCCGATAAGAGAAGCTCATCGGTGCTTAAATGGAGCGTTTTGGTCTTCCGACAAAATTCAAGGGATGGTGACTACTCTGGGTGTAGAGTAACAATCGACTGCCATCTGTGTTTCGTCAGAGCGGGGACTCTATATTCCAACCAATACTTGCCATATGGATCCCATACTTGGCTCGGAGGTTGAAAACAGTGTGAAGGACTGGTGTTAATATCTGCAGAGCTCTCAGAAGCTTGGTACGCAAGATCGGCCTGCGTGGCTCTCTGGGCGTTGCTCGAGCCGGCACGTTGCACTGAGACCATCACTATTCCAATGAAGTAAGCCCAGACTTCTGTTGGAGGGCTGAGAGAGACGTGTAAAAACGACGGTATAGTTTACTACCGTATAATAGGCTTTCTTATTGAGATCGGACCGAGTTGCTTTTTATGTGTCGTCGGGACGGATAAGCGACGGCAGAGTGAAACTACATCCAATTGACACCGAACTTTCGTCAAAGCGTGGCAACAGTTGTAGGATATACTGTTGAGATTTGAGAACATCTAGTAGACTTGTTGGAAAAGAAAGGGCCAGGGGCAATCTGCATTACACAGGCAGGGTTCACGGAACATTCGCCCCTTTGAACCTATCAACCCAGACAACGCTTGAGGGTTATCTGAGACTTGGAGACAGCGTAGCCAAGTTTTCAGCTTGTTCAAATCGTTAGTCACGAGAAATCGGCAAGCTGCCACCTGGCTGATGAACAGTGTGACCCAAAGACAGATACATCAACACGGGATCCGAGCAGACTCAAACATGGTACAATGTTCATGTAAGCAACAGGGAACGGGTTAGTAAAGCTCAAGAGGGCTTCAATCTCTTTCGAGGGAGTGATTACGTACAATCATGCATTCTTGATCTTTGTTGGCCTCAGGGACTGACAGCGTCTCAACTTCAGAGTTTCCTAGACCGGCTTATTAGGTACCTGTCAATTACCAACGAGGAGATTCGGTATATTTAACAACAATGACTGGTTTAGCCATTGCGGAGTTTCGAGAGACTGATATCCCAATAGTGGAAATCAATGTTACAGACAGTGGGAGGTAACGATAGTTCAAGACATTCAGACGACGGTTTTATCATCAAAGCGGATGGGAATTCGAGACTATTTATGCACGCAAAAGGGGCAAACTATCGCAAACTATCACAAACCTACAAAGTACCTTACCAATATCACACCTTAAACTTACAAACAGCCCTACAAGAAGCTTCCGCTTAGCTTCATTGATTTCATCCATTGTTGATGATAGTATGTCAATCGCAAGGAGCAACTATTGAAGTCTGGCCTTGTAGTTCCTACTACTAGGGACGAGACTCAACAGAGGTAGAAGAGGTAACTTCTAGGTGTAGTAGTTCACGCCTATAGACTAGTTGAGGCCAGGCGTTGAATGACCTCAAGTCCGACATATGCGCATAAAGAGAAATTAGACCCTCAAGGGCATATACTATAGGCTGCCACACAAAAAGCTGTTGAACCAAGTATGACAGCGCATTGTGAATCAGATTTCAGGTATACATAATGAACAAACTGGCCATATCACCGTTATGCAACCAACTTCCTGATCAAGTCAAAGAACGACGAACAACATGGAGACATTTAAGACTCGTAATAACTTAGTGTTTAATATGGTGAACACACCTTCGCAGTCTCGGTGATTCTTTGGACGCTTTGTTATTCCATGATCTAGCACTACTGAGAGCAAGTCCAGAACAAAGGAAGTGAACTTGACAAAAGGACGTTGAGCTGAACAAGCAAGACATCGGTAAGGTGCATCGATCGAACCATGCAGTAGGGATGAAGTGAAAAAAAGTGAAATCGTGATCAAAACATACTTCTATCATGAACAGTATGTCGATGATAAAACTCTCCTGTGTATATGCTCCTTGACGATCATCTGTCCAGTCCCAAGAGGAACAAGCGTCTCGCCACAGGAACCACTTTAAGATATCAGACCTGATATCAAGAAATTTTCTACTGTTTGGCTTTATGCACAATGGACGATTTGAAAGTTTCCCCTAATTCCAAGCTAAACAGGTTTCAAGCAGCCTGTATGATCTCCTTGAACACTTCCCTCTTTGTCTAGATAGCTACGTCTTGGAAAGTAGCTAGATGGAATTGAAAATCACAGGCTAGATTAAACTGGAGCTACGGAAATTGCATATATAATTGCTTAGCTCCTCTGCAAGATTGGCTAGCTCCAACAATTCAACAACACTCTCGACACTCTCAACATTCTCAACACCCTCAATACAAGAACCTACTAACAAAATGCCGTTTCCTTTTGAATCTTTCTGCGTCACTGGCTCAGGCCATTCAGGAAGTTCATCAACGGCAAGCCACTCCCCGGCAGAAGATACCAACTCCCCCTCTTTAACAACTGATACGCCAACCTCACAAACGGGTGATGATCTGGCATCACTAGAATACCGTGCCCTCCTTGCAGAGCGTGCACATTACATTTTTGCTATTGATGACATCCCTCTCCACTTGCATGAACATGTTCTAGATGTCTTTGAGAAACATAAGACCGCTATGGAGTACCTCCGTGAGTTGGGTCCAGTCCCTCCAGAATTGTTCGATGAAGATGTCGATTATCCTGAGTTCGCCTAGTGGGTTCCTACTACGCTGAAGCGCTGGATAGAAGACGATGCAGTGTTTCTCACAGCCTTACGAAAGCAAAAGCAAGAGGAAAAGACAGAGAAAGAGGCGCTTCTTCGAAAGGAAGAAGAAGTGAAAGCTCAAGAGGAGGCGCTGGAGGTGACAGATAAACAGATTAATACACAGCTTAGAAAACTTTCTCAGTGGAGCGAGGTGCTGGAAGAGCAGAAACAGGATTTGCTAGCCAGGAAAGCTGAGATAGAGAGAAAGATTGATGAGTGCTGCAAGCAGCATATTTCATGCGATGCTCAGATAGAGCATGAACTCAACAAGTTTAATATGGCTGAGCGGAAGAAGAATCGTCTGAACATTCGCGGAAGGGAGTTGAAGAAGGAGGATGAAGAACTGGAGGTGCGGGAGAAGAAGACTGAGTCTCTTATCCAGCATTTTCAGAAGAATGCTAAAGAAAATTAAGCTTTGGACGATGTGGGGCCTTGAGAGCAAGGTATGCTGGCGATATCTATGTGAGGGGTTTGACTCCTGTGAAGGACAAATAAGATTGAGGATTATAGGGGCCGGTGTCTTGATCGGCTGGCCAAGTCAAACTGGGCTCTGACTGAGATTATTGTCATATGGCTGGTTCCTCCGGCGTCTTGGTCTGATTAATTTCCCAGTTTCTATTTGCTTGCTTATAAAATAACTAAAGATTGTGTTAATGAAAATTATTTCAATGGCGGTGAACCTATAAGTGACTGTATGTATTACAGACTTAATTTGGTCTCAAACTCATTTCTGCTTGTCCTTATGTTGCCAATGCTATTAACTAAAGATCCTTTTAAACAGAAGATATGCATAAGATATAGCACGTGCGGTGGAGGGGAGAGGGCCTATGCCATAAGACGAATTTATCCTACGCTAATAAATCACCCTCCCCACCGGATCTCATCACGCTTTGCCTCGCAGTATACTAATACATTTATAGAAGACTTTAAGTAGATATTAAGGTTTACTACGACAAGACTAAGAGAGTGTATGTTTACCATTGTAAATAGGGCTTTAAAATACCAGAGACGGATAAGATAGCAATTAAGCCCGCAGCTGGGTCAGAAACAACTCTGGAGGCAACAGAATCAGCCTTCACATATCCCTACCCCAATCTATCATTTATGTCCTCACGGCATACCTCTCACATGACAACTACGAGCACGCAAGCAACTCCAGCAACAACACCAGCAACCCTTGCCATCATGCTAGGCCCAGCATTATCCACATCAACGCTCGTCGTGGAAGGAACACTTCCAGTAGCAGTACCATTAGACTTACTCACTGGAAGAGTATGACCGACATATTCCATGACATAACTGTTCGTAATTGTTGTCTCGATCGTAAAGCTCACATCGTCGTCAGAGGCTGCCGTAGAGTACGGAATGTTGTCGGTGATAGAGATGTCGGTTGTCTTTGGGGCAGTAACGGTGGCGGCAGGGGAAGAGGTGATCACAGGCTGTCAAATTGTCTCTGTAGTTCAGTCCGCCCTCCCCCAAGCACTCGCAGAATTCCACATGACGTGTTGTACTGGTTCTTCTGTAGAACTTTCTGTAAGATTCGATGTAAGACACATATATTTGCGGCTTCATTAGGAGTGTAAGAATATCTGGCGGTTCTTTACGTACATATCTCTCTACTCATACGGAAGTGATGATGACAAGGGTGATGTAGTCGTTGATATGGCCGTTATCAATATTCTCAATGTCTCGACTTGGTCTGATGAAAATAAGGGCACTGGGAACACCAAGTTTCGGGACAACAGATAAGCCTTCCGAGACTGTAGTATAGAAGTTCAATACCTAATGCCTGCGATGTTTCACTGTACCTCTTTTTCTATGGGCAAAGATGAAAATGCATCAAATGATAAACGTCTCCATGACCTATTCTCACACAGTCGTTATGTTGCCTCTTCCACAGAAGAACGCAGTCCCATATCACTATTTGAGCAGATCCGTGTCAATAATCCACTGCTACGATGTCTTTCTGGATTCTTCGCCTTGATGTCAAGGGCTCGATAGTTGCTGCCTTGTTCTATCCTGTCATGAACATCAGCGTTAATTAAGGATGTAACACACATAGTGAGTCTTGAGACCAAAAACGATACTGGAATCTTGAGAACACCCAGACGACGCCATAACAAAGCACGGACCTTGGTGGTTTAATTCTAACCAAACTGTCTACCAACCTGATATTTATCCCTTGACAAACTGTCTACTAATTCAATCCCCATCGATAAGTAGGGGATCTGGAGGCCAGTCAGGCTGGAATTTGATTCAACTGGCTTGATAGGAGAGCTCCATACCCGGTGTTTGTATCTGAAACCACGCTGATATGTTTACAGAGGTCAAACAACAAGCCAACAGCCAAGGTTAAAGAGCACTATGAGGAGCTGCAATGCGAAGAGCTGTGACAAATAGAAAAAGGATACTTATTCAACGATTGAAGCAAAACATTCAGTATCGATCCATTGTTTGTCATGCTAAGAGGGATATGATGTATTAAAAATATGAATTTGATGCCAACACTGCAATCTTCCGATAATATTAAAGTCAATATTACAAGCTCTGAGATCCCCCGTTACAGTCAAGTCAAAGCCTCATTCCATTTCCACCGCCATCCCAAGACCAAAACATCAAATAGCCGAACTATCTACTTGATACAGGATCATCGCAATGATTATTACGGTAGGAAAGGAAACGAAGATGACAGCTACCATCGAGATGCAGAATTTAAAAGGCCTGCGATTCATTTCTTCCATGATTTCAACACGATCTCGCTCATCTTGTTCCATTCACAATGCTTGGCCTCGCTTCATTCTCTACCACTCATCAACGATATGCCGATAGTCGATGACTCCACTGAGGAGACGGTAATACCAGGCGAATGGAATCTGACAAGGGCAAGAAGGAGACTGGTCGACGCTGGGAACACGATGCATTTGAGTCAACGCCAAGAAACTGGGGAAGGTGTTCAAGATACTCCTGATCTTGTGGTGGCATTTTGATCAAAACCGAGAGAGTGGCCGAGTCTTGGTGAGAAGGGAGAATGCCAAGTGCGGATGTAACGCTTGGTGGCTCCAAAAAGAAAGACCACAAGAAATGAGGATATGGAATACTGACGCTTGAGAATATTCCATGTCAACATGCCCATTTCGAACAATTGGCATCTACCACGCCGTCGGGCAAGTCTTACGACTACGAAAGGTTGAGACCGCTGAGATGATCACAAATCCGTCTCTCGCTGCAAATGATGGCCCGAAATCCACCCCATATGATGAGCCAAGGCTTACGAATCCAACTACTCACGTGGATGCCCTCTCTCGACTATAAAATCCTCATGGTATGGAATGAAACTGTATAGAATGAACAATACATGTGCATAAGGCTCACGCGCTCCGGGAGAAACCCACTCACTACCTACATGAAAAATTCTTTCCATGTGATGTAACTTGTGAGATGGTCGAAGCTTCCAATGATCTATTCCAAAGAGTTTCGCCTAGATGCGGGTTAGGACCAAATTCCTCTATTGCTGCGACACTTTATTTGGGATCATCAGGCTGTTGAGTTAGTTCCATGATCCATTTACGGCCCCAGATCAAGCTTCATAAAGTCACTGCCGCCGTTGGAAAACGGTAACATGGCTGTCTATGGTAACAAGGAGCTTGGGCTGTTGATTCTCAAGAAAGGTATCCGGCAGTAACACAAGATGTAGTTAGACAAGTTCAAGTAGATAAAAGCGCCGTAAGTGACGATTGAGACTACATTTATATCCGCGCTGAACCGAGAGCCTAACAGTTTCTGTTGGCCGCAGTACCCAGAGATTTTCCACGACAATTTATATTCTTGAAGCTGTTGATGTCGTTCCTAGGCCCGTATAGTCAGAGAATGTAGGTTTCGAATATATCAAGGACGGGGCGGTCAGGCAGAATCTGAATCACAATCAAGATCCTAAAGATGATCTGGGGAGACGGGGCTTGAGGACCGCTGGTGGCAGCTGTTGGATCTGCGAGGAGGGCCAAGAGAGCAGGGTAGAAGTAGAGGGATGAGGCCTAAGCGTCCAATCCGTCACCGGAAAACCAACGCGCGATCAGATACCCGACGAAATGGACTTTCTTAGCCAGGCCAAGCATGCGGCGCACGATCAATCCACTTGCCATGAACCAAACCTCCCACTGAAAGGAACGAAAGCATCAACTCTGACAGACAAGTCATCCTCGATTGCTCAGTCTAGCCCGCCATCCCACGGGGCATCCCTGGGTGTACCTCGCAACACAAAAAGCAAAAAAATTCATAAGCCAGTAGCGCAAGAGGTTATCACCATTGAGTTCGTTTGAGGGTACGTACTGTTGAGATGAGAGATATTCCCCACAGGGCTGAAGTTGGGGGAAACGGCCAGGGAAACAGAGCCGTTTCCTCGGTGGAGTCTCTGATGAACTGACGGCACGGTAAGGAGTAGTCACTGTATGTATGTATGATTCCAAGAAACTTAGGTCCCTTGAAGCAGCCACATGAATTCAACACAGAAACCCATGTATATACCTCCCCCCGTCCCTCCAGATTCTGATGTGACACATTGACGCGTGCTCCCCACGAGTGAACCCACGCGCCCACACGCGTCGCGTCTCCCCCTGCAACGCGAGAGGAGATATGGCACGGCCAGGCTCTGAGGCGGGTGCAAACTCAGCACTGGCTCGGAAACATGTTTAGCTCCCTACTTACACTGGAGGATGTCGAAACTTCATGTTCGCTCTCCGACCTCGGGGTGGACTCTAGTGGCAGATAATGTAAGACATTGTTGAAAGACGGTTTTCCAGCTTGACATCAGTGTAGTTGAGATAACGGGACTGGGACGCTTGAAGTACTTGGAGAGCATGCTGCTAAGGGTAAGCTGTAAGTTGTCACAGTAAGCATTGGCCTGTTGAGGATAGGCTCAAGAGTCCTGGTGACAACCAAGAAAAGACCTCAAGACTTGACTAAGAAGTCAAGCCAAACGCCAAGCTCTATCATCATTATCTACGTGCTCAGGGCTCTGGAATTTGGATGTGTTGTTTGTAGCTGAGACTTGTGGCTGACGCAGACCGCGCGCCTTACACGGAGATATTTGGTTGAAAGCTCATATTTGCACATAAGTGGAACAGGCAGAACCAAGTCATTGAATATTGTATTAAAACACAGTCAATTCGTTCCTAGCTATAAAAATCTGTATCTTAAACTAGGTTTTCTAGCTAATCTTGGCAAGAACGTGTTCATAGTTAAGTCCCTGTTATCAACTTTCCTTACTGTTGCCGCCTTTTAATGCCAATGTTAACTTTAATAAGCTTACGTGTTGTTCCTTCAGTAGAATCAACCTCAGAATCCATCATGCAGAAACTGTATCGCTTTATCAAAGTTGCCGCGATAATCTTCATCTCAACTTCTGCTAGATTACGCCCAACGCATGCTGCTGGACCGTGGCCAAATGGGATAAAAGCAGTTTTCTGACGGCTTGACAGTTTCTCCCATCTCTGAGGTCGAAACTCATTCGCATCTTGGCCCCATATATCTCTAGACCGGTGGATAGCGTAGATTGGAACGCTCAAAACGGTTCCTGGAGGAAAGTAAAAGTTGTCGTATTGAACTCCCTTAGACCCAGGAAGCACCTCTCGAGGGAGGCCAATTCCGAGGACACTGTGAAGACGCATTGTTTCGTTGATCACAGCGTCCAGATACGGAAGAGCCCGGACTTCTGTAAACGGAGCGACTGTTCCATGGACTTCAATAGAATCCATCTCAGTTTGCAACTTTTGAAGTGAAGAGGGCGACGTAGCGAGGTAGTACATCATTGCAGAGAGAGTGTTGCTGACGGTCTCAATGGCTGCCATGAACAGGGTCAAAGACTCGGAAGCAATCTCTTCGAATTTGAGCAATTCCCCGCTTTCATCCCGCGCATGAAGTAGCAGTGAAAGCCAATCATCATGACTGTCCTGCGCTGCGGCCATACGTTCTTTGACATGAGCGGAAGTTACACTCAGCAGGTTCTGTAACCCATCCAATCCTTTGTGAAAAAAGGGGTCTGGGAGGTGATGTGCATGAGGCTTCAGCCATGGCAAGACGCCCAGAGTAGCGACAGCGGCACTCCTTTGCGCAAGACTGTTCATCATGGACACGTAGGACACTGCTTTGCCGGGCTTGCTGTCAATCCTGACCAGATCAGACACATTCTCAAGCATTCCAAATGGCTCGCTGAAAAGAAGGTCACCAGTGATGTCAAAGGACATGTATCTAATTGCCAGGTTAGCCAATGTCAGCGAATCTGTCTCAAGCCACTTACGTGAACCACCGTCTACATTCAAGTTGCGTGAATCCATCAAACTGCGGTCCTTTGTTGATTATCTCATCCCACTTACGGATGAGAAGCTCTACTTTGTCGGCAATGGACCCTTCGGCCGCACGAGACGACTTTGGAGCGAAGCTATGGGCAATATAACGTCTCTTCCGAGCATGTTCGGTACGTTTTCTCGCCGTGAAGATGCTTCGAGTAAGGGAAATTGAAGAATCGTACCAGGCTCTTGGTGAAGTGAGCATAGGAGGACATGAGTAAGACATGTGTAACTTACGACTTTTCCAATCCATTCCCATGGCCGTAGATAATATTGATGGCTCTTTCGTCATTAATACTAATGTGGTTCGGCTGTATGCGGATGACGGGCCCAAGGCGCTCATGGAGATCATGCACGGTGTATGAACGCTTGGACTGACGGCAAATATACATAAGCCAAAGGTTTGAGAAACGGGCCAGCAATGGGCCAGGAATGCCTCGTAAGTGTCTGTAGGTGTAAAAGTAGGGAATGACATAGAACAGCGATACGCATAACAGTACTGCCAGAGGTGCCCAAGGCGAAAGTACCCAGTAGTCAGTAGCCATTGTCCCAGAGACTGAGAATGTAGATGTAAGTGTACAAAATGAGTGAATAAGAATACAAGCCAGCGTCATATGTCCAGTTTTATTATGTCAGTTATCGGGAATCTCCTGAATGCAATGTGATTATCCCTGCCGAGGGCTGCTGTTGCCAGTTGACACACTATACAACGTATACTCCAATAAAGCAAGGTTTCAGTGGCATCATAATGACTCGGACGTAGGGTCGAGAACTGTTACCTTGTGTTTGGCAGCATCCATTCAAGTAGTGCTTGAATTAACAAACCTATCGGCTTTTAGCAAATGCCTCTGGGATCTTGGACCTTCGCTCCGCTCCTCTTCTCGCTGAGGCATAATTATGTGTCTCATCGGACACTGTTTGGATGTAAATACCAGGATCCACTTTATCCCTGAATGCGTTCGGACGTTCCATTGCATCTGTGTATGTTTGAATCGTATGATTTCTTCCAGTTCCATCTGCCGCAGTCGGTTGTTACGGTATATTCAGGCCCAACGCCAACGAGGCCATCATAAAGCAGTTCCACTTGCGTAAGTGCATTACAAATCACTTGAGTCATGCGTCAAGTTTGCTTGTCATGTACATCACGAGTCCGTGGACATACGGACGATAGTTTGTCTTATGTCGCAGCATGATGTTGTCGGCAATTCAAACTCACATGGGTGAGTTTCATGTGCTGAGGATATGTAGCATTCCGGCAAAAGGATCGGAAAAGATATCACATTGGCGCGTGAGACAATGAAGATGATTTATAAGTGTAAATTCTAGTTATATATTTTTAATATTTAAACTATGATAACCAGTCTATGTGAGTTAACATTGCAGGACGTATACAAAAGTGTAAAACGGTTTATTATAACGTCTTTCTTAGACTCTATCACCTTATCCTATATCTCTGACAACTGGAACAAAGTTCGCCATGCCTTCTGCTGTTGACAATATTCCCATTGCCTCCATTGAGACAATCAACTATTCCGCTCTCGAGAGACGAGATACGAAAGAGGTTGAAAGGCTCATGGCTGCAAGTCGTACAGCCGGCTTCTTCTATCTAGACTTTGACCATAGTGGCGCAGCTGGTCTACCCAAGAAGAAGAAAGAGGTCCTCAAGGTGATGAAAGAATATTTCAGTCAGCCCGACGACATCAAGCATCTTGACAGCAAGGGCATGCCTACACGAGGGTAAGCAGGCTGTACGTATAGACGGTTCAGTACTGATATGACTTCAAGATACGTTAGAAAGGGCACTTTTACTGCTGTTGACCCCAGTCGCCCTGATGAATCTTTTGAGCATCTTGCTGTAAGTCAAATCATCTGTTTAGCTGCCTTATGACTGACTTGAATACAGATTGGAACACACGATTTGGGAACCAATCTGGCTTGCACGCTTCCTGCTCTCTTCAAGAAGGCTGGAACTCTCATCCCTGACTACGTAGCCCTCTGCGAACGTGTAGTCGACGTTCTACTGGAGTGCTACTCCCAGGCTCTAGGTGTCCCTGGGCAGTTCATTGAGTATCACAACCATGAAAAATCGTCTGATACCATTCTTGCCATGCTGAGCTATCCTGGAAAGCTCACCCATCAGAAACATACTGATCTGGGGTCCTTGACGATTCTCTTCAGTGATGAGTGGGGACTCCAGGTTGTTGAACCCAGCAACGGCAATTGGGAGTGGGTCGAGCCGCGGGAGGACGACGCCGTCATCAATGTTGGCGATGCTCTTCGTTTCCTCTCGGGGAAAACCTTGTATTCCTGTGTCCACCGGGTCGTCAGGGATGGCCGTGCCAGTGATGAGGGCCACAGATATTCCATCGCATACCTTCTTCGTCCAGGGGACGACGTGACCTTTGTTGATGCCGATGGCTCCAGAGTTACGGCCCAGTCTCTGGCCAGCATCAAGTATAGAGCTTATTCTGCGGACCATGCTGAGCAGGAGAAGAACACGGTCCTGACTGGCGGAATGGAACAGGTACTTGGTGTCCGTGCTTAGATTTGCCCAATCAATTGATGTTGTCTCTTATCTCTTTTCTCCTCTCCCGACTACTTGACTGGTTAACTTAAATTAAATTTATTTGACTTTAGGAGCAACGGCAATGACGCGAGCCCCCACTGTCTGTCGGTCTCTTCTAGACTTCTCCTCTCTTGCTGTAAGTTTTAATGCCGGTGAACTCAAATTAGACTTTGTTACTTCCGATTCGGAAGAACGCCGGACTCCGAGCGCCAAAGATGAAGATCATTATGCAAGTTGTAATGCAACTTCAACAGGGGCGAGGGTCTTGCCTAACCAATCGAGACTCAATAAAAGGTCAAGATCATCTTTTAAAGCAGGAAATCTCATATTCTCTCTCAGCCTATCGTTAGACAGTATTCTGTTGGAAATCCATAGCTATGCATTGTGAGACCCACAGCTTGAGAGACAACTGCAACCTGCATGGCGAAGACCATTACTCCCAGGGACGGGATAATCAAATGCCGAATTGTGGTTTTTCAATGTCATAACTACCAGACCGGCGCCCGTACTCTGTTTAATTAATATTCACCTACCAAATTTACCTGCAACTAGGGAAGAAGTGAAAAAAGAAATGTTTAAGCGATATGTTATATCAATGGCTGCTAGCATATGGATTGAGCCTTTTGGATCATTGCTCATGATCTGAGACCATTGTACTTTGGAAGTCCCCATTCAACTTGAAGCTTCCGCCCTGATGTGCCGAGCCGTCTTGATGATTCCGGATGCAAGCCGGTCATCGGGATCCATTGTTACATCTGCAACAGGGGGTTCGGAGGGTTTTCCAAACTTTGATAAATGAACTATTCTCTGAAGATCAAGCATGCAGACCACGCAAGAGACCACGTGAGCATTATGAATTAAAGCATATTACAGGCGAGAATTATTTGAATTCTAGGCTGTGGAGCTATGCGGATACCGAATGGTGCTTGCTGCCCTTCCTTTGTGTATTAATGAGTAGAACAATCTAATAACAACATTTAACCTCCCTATAAGGAATAGCTAAAAGAGGAATTGTTAGCTAGAAAAATAGATCCAAGGCAGCCAATGCAGGCAAGAAAGAACACAGCCCAACTTATTATCAAACAGAAACTCTATAAACCTGCATTTTAGTTTCAGGAGATTTAATAGATTTTAAAGGGTCATTGTTTAAGTAAGAGAATCTTGTTAACATTAATGAACCATAGAGCTAGGATTCCAGATTGACTGTAAATTCTATGTCATAGTAACAAGGTAACAAGGCCTGAGAGTTAAATGAATATCACTGTTTGGGCTCCTTCTCCTCCATGAGCTCCTTAATATGCTGATTCAAGAAGTACCCCTTCAGCTTCTGAGGATCAATGTACTGCGAGCCACGAATGGCAACCAAGCACCTCTCTGTTCCGCACTCGCAAGGGAACGACTGAGCCATTTCCCATTCCGCACTTGGATAAAACCAAGTCAGCTCCTCACCCTTTGCGATATGACGATCATCCGCTACGCGAACTTCCATGCGTGCAGTGTCAACCACAAGGTTTGGGTCGCAGGAGTGGTTGATAAAGACAATATCAGAGTTGAACTCCATGTGCTTATCGCGGCCAACCTGAAACGAAGTCCAGGTAGCGCGCGGAGCACAAGTTGCCTCCGTGATTCTGGCAAACAGGGCTCCGGGTGGGAGAGAAACGAGGGATATGGCCGCTGATTTGAAGGGCTGGTCAGACCGGACAACCTTGAGAAGATCAGAGTGGCTTTGGCCTGCAGAGGAGGGTCTTGCTTGAGGCACGGAATGGTGGGCGTTGGATACAGCTGCGGCCATTGTGGGCAATGAAGAGTGTTTAATTTGAGTGATTTTGTGTTGAGATAGCCTGACAAGACAATAGTGAGGGTGGCTAATCTGGTAACTTGACGCTGGTGTGTCTTGAGATTTATAGTAAGTGGGATGTTAAGCTACTAAGATATTTGGTCTCGTAGTACGTGTTTGGTGACATTAACTAAGTTTCGGCAGTTAATAAAACCCTTGTAAAGCCCTGAGAGGGGTATGATGTCGAGAGTAGTATGTCCGATGAAGGATCCGATCTTAGTTAAGTTCCCAAATGGTTACTGTCTTCTCCATAGACAAGTCCGGCATGACTCTTGAACCAATTGCCTAATTGCCGAGCCAGGCTATAGTTTCTTTAATGTGCTTAGGATTATTTGTAATCTTGAGTAGAATCTAGTAGAATAGCCAGGTTGGCATTCCTGGTTGTTGTTAATGTAACCTATCGAGACATTGAGAATGGTCTGCATGACCTAGGCGCAGCTGGGCTTTTTGAGCTAGAAATAACACCTAAGTAATACATAACTGTAATAAAACAAATTCCTAAAGATACAAGCCCTATGCACTATCTGTGGAAGCAGATCTCTAATGCAAATACTTAATCTTCAGCGATTATGTAAATTTAAAAGATAAATCTCAAAGCACCAAGCCTCCTCTTATCACGCAATAACTCGCATATCTCGGCTATAGATTAAACGAGCTACAACACCGCAAGCAGTACTAATCAAGGCTGTCCCACCAAAGTAGTACATAGCAGGCCGGAAAGGCACAATGGACTTTGCAACATCTGCGTGCATGATCTGAATCAAAGCCGATGATATTGCATTCCCTCCCATTATACCAGGAGCCCATCCTGTGAAAAGCAAACTCAGGGCTCCTGGCGCATCGTCGACTGGTAGATGACGGCCAACGGCAGTAGGAATTGCCACCGCAAAACCTCCATTTGACAGGCCATTCAGAATGCAAAACAAGAGAACCATTCCCAGGTTGGAAGAAAAAGGCCAAACTACAAACAGAGAAATCGCATTTACCAGAGAGGTAAAGAACAAAGCATTCATGGAGCCGACCCTATCGCACGCAAAGCCTGTCAGGATTCGGCCTAGTGACATACACACCAGAAGGCAAGAAAGCGTGGCTATTGATGTAGAGTTCGAAAACCCAAGGGCGTTGTTGATATAGGGGAGAAAGAAGGTGGGTGCATATATGGGGAAAATTCCAACTGCACCAGCCGCGAAATGCCATGAGAAACAGGCGTCTTTAAAGACAGACCACTTGACAGGATACTCGGGGGGAGCACCACGATCTTTGACAAGTAAAGCGGTGGGTATACCCGTAACGAGCGATGCAATACCCAGTATCCGAAAGGTCCAAGCAACTCCAACGCCTTCGGTCAGATAGCCAACTGAAACAGCCCCAATGAGAGCTCCGAAGCTCCCACCAAGCTTGACGATGCCGTTTGCTAATCCAAGTCTCTTTTTGAACCACAAAACCGGAAGAGTGTTGTATAAAGTGTCGGTGAAAGCTGATCCAATACCATATGAGACTCCACAGGCCAGGAATAAACCCACGAGACTGTTAACAGCCCAACTGCTCACTAGGCAGCCAAGCCCATAGATGGCAATACCAACCGTCATGCCTGCACGAGCGCCAATGACACGAACTATTCGTATGGCGGGAATTCCAAGCGCAGGACCCAAGGCGACACCAAGACTACCAACGAATGACAAGGCGCTCAGCGAGGAACCTTTGAGTGTTGTTCGAAGGAGAGCTGCCTGTAGGATGCCCCAAGATCCGGCCCAAAGATTGATCCAGAATGTATGAATGAAGCAAACAAAAATTATAACCCATCCGTAACCGCCATCAGGAGGGGTATCGGGATCTTCGGTTGGAGTTTCAATTTCAGCAATGACTGGATCCGAAACAGGGACTGGCTCCAGTTCCATGGCTGTAGCTTGGGGTTTGTTGATAGCACTTGGATAATGAGGAGACAATAAGGTGTTAGGCATGGAAGACTTGACTTCTTTGATGCTGTTCTGTGATAGATGCATGGATAAAAGATAGCAACTGATGCTGTATAGACTTCCGAGGGTGTACGTGGCCTCAGAGCTTGCCATCTAGATATGCTTGTGATAGTTAACCAATCAATATACACGTTATATAAATACTGCGGTATATTCCTAGCCCTCAATCAATCTCAACCTCATTATTAATCGAGAGGAGCTCTTGAATACCCAAGTGCATACCCCACAGGGACAACGACAGGTCGCATCGCATGTTTCAGTTGAATCCCCGAGGCTCCATAACTGTACATATCAATCCCTGTCTAATAACTGCCGTGTTTTCGGCAACTTTTCAACCGCAATTTCGGCCCAAAACTCTATTCGAGGCGTCAACTTGCATTGTGACAACTGCCAATCGGAACTTGGCAACTTTCCAGTCAGGAAATGGCGCAGGACTTGCATAATGCATCCATCCACGTGAACTCGGCATCGTTTGTCATCCGGCCACGTCCGTCAGTACGTACATACATCGTGACAACGAGAGGTTTGAGTAACAGCCCCTCCCTCCTTGCTGGAGTTTAAAGCCTGCTCGTGATATTGCGTTTCCACTTCGAAGACTTCACAAATTTACTCTACTCATCACTTCAATTCACTTCCAATCTAATCTCAACAACCATGGCGCCAGCTGGGGAACTCGGTAGGAGGCTCATCCCTCGCATCTTGGATGAGATGTCCAGAGATGAACCGGATCGAGTTATTTACTCCGTTGCTAAGTCTGCCGACATTTCTCAGGGATTCACTGAGGTTACTGCCCGCAAGTTCGCCAATGCAGTGAATAAGGCCGCCTGGTGGTTAGAAAGCCTTGTTGGCAAGAGTGAATCGTTCCAAACGATTGGTTATATCGGACCGCGTGAGTATCTGCAACTTATACACCATCAGATGCTAACTAGACAAGATGACATCCGCTATTTCCTGCTGAATCTGGCTTGCGTCAAAGTAGGCTACCAAGTAAGTTAAATTGCCCCACTAGGATAATGTCTTGAGGTTTCCTTCTGACGAGTGACAACACTCCTCAGGTTATATTTTTATCACCAGGTAACAGCATTGAAGCTGCTCTAGGTCTTCTTGAGGCGACCAAGTGTAACCTTTGGGTTCATCCGGTTGAGTACCCTCCGTATGCTTTGGTCGAGAAGATTCAGCAGACGCGTAAGTTGCGTATCATGGAAATCCCTACCATAGCAGAACTCCTCGACGCGGCCATCTCACCCCATTATCCTTATACCAAGACTTATGATGAAGCAATGGGAGACACATTCTGTATTCTCCACACGTCTGGTACAACAGGCTTGCCTAAGCCTATTTATTTGAGCAATGGTTTGCTTGCTACCATGGACGCTGCTCGAATTCTGCCGCCATACGAGGGCGACAACGGTGCTCGTCCTTGGGCGACCTTGTATGAAAAGGGCGATAGACTCTACTCCCCTTGTGTACTTCTTCATGTATGTCTTGACAACTACATCAGCTTGGAAATGGTGTAACTGACTTTGGAGTCAGGGTCCAGGAATCTTTATGAACCTTTTCGCAACGTTCCTTTTTGACACCCATAGCGTGATGGGCCCTGTCGGCGTGCACCCCGACATGAATCTGCTCGCATCACTTGCAGACCACGGCAACATTGATATTTGGCATTTCATGCCTGTATACGTGAACGAATTGGGCCAGCACCCTGAAGTATTGGAGAAGTTCAGATCATCCAAGTTTATAGGAGCTGGTGGAGGTACGTTCTCTCTTCTATACGCTAAATACTGGATTAACAATCTCTTCTAGGTCCTGTGAGCGCAGAGCTTGCCGCCAAGGTGAATGAGGTAGTACGTGTTCACAATCTCTTTGGAACAACCGAAGGCCTCTTCATGGGTGACATGCTGGTGGACAAGGAAGACTTCTTATGGGTTTCCTTTCACCCTCACGCCGGGTTCAAATACACCGAGATTGAAAAAGGTCTGTTTGAGCAGCGCGCCGTTAAGAATGAGCACTGGGCTCTACATCAAGGAATCTTTCATACCTTTCCTGAAGTCGAGGAATTCAACCTCAAGGATTTATTCATCAAACACCCAACAAAGCCCAACCTCTGGCTCTACATGGGTAGAAGCAACGATATCATCTGTTTAGAAGACGCCCAGAAGCTGTCTCCCATCGAGACAGAGAACATGATCTGTGCTAATCCCCATGTCAAAGGATGTGTTATGGTATGTGAAAGCCGAAGTTATACAGCATGACCCTGTGTCGCTAACACACTTAACAGATCGGAAACGGGCAGAAGTTTGCTTGTTTGATGGTAGAGCTGAAAGACGATACGTCAAGGCACTTGGAGACCATTGACGGGCTAAGGAAAAGTCTTGGAGATATCATTGAACAAGCAGATCAGAACCAGCTGCTGAGGGGCTACTTGAGAAGAGATTACATTATCTTTGCAGATCCTCAGAGACCCCTTCCACGCACCGAGAAGGGAACCATCTCACGTCGAGCTGCGTTAAAGCTGTATGAGAAGGAAATCGATGAGTTTTACCGTATAAAAGGGGAAGCAACTGTGGGTGTTGGTCAACGTATAGCAGAATAGGTATAAGGTGAATTATTAGGCATTATTGACAGTGACGATATGCTCACTTATAACTCCTCTGTCCTGACCATGTTCTTATCCGCCAGACCTTGTGCTCCCGTGTTCGAACAAAGCTCAATGAACTGTCGTTGAGAGGATCGCATGAACATTGGTCTGGAAGCGCCACCGAGAAAACAAGGGTCAAAGCGTCTTATGATTTGTTCAGTTCAGTTATGAACAGCGGTATGTTCTCAAGACGATGTTCAAAATTACGAAAGAATCGAATCGATGCTGGAACATGGTCGCTCTTTTGTCTACTGTGCGTCATGTTCACGATATATCATATCATATAAAACGCATGTGTAGGACCAAAACAGGCTGCACCAAAGCAACAATCGCTAACACTACTAATATCCAAGTGAATAATTACTATTACCGTTCATCTTCATCCAACATGGCCGCTAACAATCAAAACAACCAACTGTTCGAAATCGACCATTTTATCCGCCATAGAGTCAATAGGAGAAATAAGACAGTCCAGATCCTCGTCAAGTGGACAGATTTCGACCAACCAACTTGGGAACCTGAGGCCGTCTTGCAAGAAACCGCTGGCCGTACACTGTACAATTACTGGCACGAACGCCGTGGTCGTGACCGAGCTACACGTCTACGAGAGTATCACGTATTTAAAATCCTTGCCAGAGGTTGGAGGGGAGGTGCGTGGTATTTTGAGTGTCAGTGGGTAGGATACTCGCGTGTAGATAAGACGTGGGAGCCTGAAGCAAAGGTGAGAAGGAATGCGGGAGGCTTAGTGAGGAAGTGGTTTGCGGATCAGGCGGCAGCTAACCAGAACGCTCCAGCGGCGAACCCTTAGAGTATGAATTGTATAGGTGAGTTGAGCGAGTCTTGATGGTATGTATGGGACTATTGGCTTCATAAACCACTTCCAGTCTGTAGTTATGTACTGAGATACGGACCGTTCAAGGTCAATGCGAGATAGGATAGATAATTTGAGAACGATACAAGCATTTAGCATTCAGTATTTTATTGTGAATTGATACAGTCCCTTTACCATCGTGCTATCCCATATGACAGCTAAGACGAAGCTTTAGGAACGTGGAAAGGACGATCGAAGTGCTGCTCAAGAGACGCTGTTGGTATGGACTCCCTTGCCACAAGCAGGGTAGTTTCCCGAGATAATCTGGCATATCGGCGCATATAACTCGTCCCTTGAGCTTTACATGGGATGTACCCTCCTTCGACTTCCCAGATGTACGGTTTAAGTAACATCACCACATGTTGTGCTAGCCCGAGATAACAATAGGCCCAAAAGGTCTACCAATAGAAGGGGTAGAAGCCTATTATGTGAAAAACGATATCGTGGCCTCATCACCTGTGTTAGCAGCCTAAAGTTTAAGCTTATGGCCAGCAAGTAAGTATCTAGCTATCAACAGGGGATACTTCTCAGTAGATTGCCAATTGCTTTGTGTGAGATGGAAGTGATTCATTGACAGGCTGAATGGATATACGCCGAAAAGAAGTCAAATCGGGATTCCAAGTCTGCAGGGTTAAAGAGCTTGAGACTGAGATTATGAGAGTAGTTGTTATCCGCAGTAGGTATTAAAGAGGCTTAAGAATACGTGAAGGAGCAGCAGCTGCTACATGTCTGTCGACGGATTATTGAACCGTTTGGGAGTTCGTGTTACAGATACTGACAAGACAATACCGTGTAAGAATCTCCGCTCGTATCCTTCGCCTGCACGTTAAGTGTACTTGCCATCTGTCTTGAAGTTCTCTCTTGCTCATTCTCCACAGGTCCTCGACATATAATCCATCCAATATTTAACCGACGATGTCGCTACATAAACTTGCTCTGACAGAGCAAAACCACACGGATGAATAGGCCATAATACCGGAGTTCAGTTGACTTCATGATTTGCCAGAATCTCATTCTTTTAAAAGTGATCTCATACGGCTTACCATCTGACCATTGCCCTTGACAGCAAGGTCTTGCGGAAACTATTTGAGATAATCTGCAATTGCACTCAAAACGCCCTGCCAGGATTCGCGAGGTCAAAGCTGATCCCGAACAACAGGACGACTGCAGGTTTGGCTCAGAAAACACAACAGTGAAAAGACTTCATAGTTAGCGGCTGGATGCTTAAGATTAGTCAGGTACTAATAATAACTCTTTCACGCGCTTTGTATGGTCAGTGATCAAAGAATATGCTTTGTTCGCAGAGCCTTTGTTGACATCAACGCATCGCCGCCCGACATTAAGTATTTAGAATTGCATTGTCAGTCTGAAGACTTACACCATAACTCTACATTAGAATGAGAAAATGCAATTAACCGCGCAGGATGTTGGAGAATTCTGTGGCCATAAACAGGCAGAAATTGCGGTGTAGTAAAGGTCGCGACGTCAATTCTCAGTGAGCCAGATTTCTTTTGTGCATTGGAAGGACTCTACAATAACATATACACTTTGTCTTGATCAAAGAATACCCGACTGGCAAGGCCCAAGGTGACCAAAGCCAAGCAAGTTGAACAAAGCATGCAGAGGACAATCAATCCATCAATGCTTTTGTTGTCGCCGGAACATCAGGCAAGCACAAAGGGTCTTGAAATAAAAATAGGTCAATGAACTCATTGTTAAGTACCGACATTGTTACCTCACTAAGAAGTTATGTCTGTCAAAGGTATAGTGAGTGATGTTCACTTTTGTAAGCTTTGAAAATTACAGTGACACGTATTGAATCATTGAACAGAGATCTACCCCTCAGGATACATGTAAGCAAACCATCGTTCTCATACTGTCTCTTCTCATATTCAACGAAGACTTCTTTTACAGCCACCAACAACTTCACAACTATTAACAAGCCATATACAACTATGACCGAATCACTAAACCTACCACTTTCAGAATTGGACCCTGTACACTATCAGAGGCTTGAAGATGACTATTCAGCATCACTCGCCAGGGAATTAGGTCGGCCACCTCCAATCATCAACAACCCGCTTAGACTGTGTGGCCTCTCGATCGACCACAATCTCTTGCACCTAGATGATAGTAGGAAGAACCATCTCCTTACGATACACCTTCAGGGCCATCAACAGTGGCTAGGCTACCTGTCTTGGAGACCAGAAGACGAGCATCTTCACCCGTTTTGCGGTCTCGAATGCCGAGGACTAGACCCACCTAACTTGAAGAGGCCTTGGCATGTAGACAGTAAGAGTGGGGGTGTTGAGTCAACGGAGACCACCAGCGAGGGAACGATGGAATGGTCACCTACTGACGGTGTCGATGACTACCGAGTTTATCCCAGACGCCAAATTTTACCTGAGCTCAGAGACCTATCTGCTGACGACGTTAAGGAAAGACGCATGCTGTATCTCGACCCGGAATCTCATGATCCGCGACAACACCCCCCGAAAGGTTGGGGACTACGTCCATTGTGCCCAGCTACAATCGAGCAAGGTTTCTCAGTCCTGGAATACTGGCATGTAGAAGAACGACATTCACTCCACTACATCATGCTCCGTAAATTCTCTGGAGACCACAACATGGCACACAAGGAGGCACACCAGGAGGCCAGAAATCGCGTCTTAGAATATTACTTCGAAGCGAAGAGACAGGCTAGCAGCGAGGAAACCACGGGACGGTCACCTACTGGAAGTGATGACGCGTCCAGCCACCTAACAACTCAGGCTGAAGCTGAAACTGAAACTGGTATGGATATAGATTTACCAGAACCTACTGACGAAGAAGCTACTCAGACCCTAGTCGGTAGCATATCTAGCAATGAGGTGAACAGTGAGCCTCAGGGATTGATACAGAGGTCTAAGAAACGTCATTTTGATGATGACTATGACAACTATGATGAAGCGAATAAGCGAGCAAGATTTGCATATTACTGAGAGCTGGTTGATGGACGTGGGAACTGTCTTCCATGGGCTGGAGCTTTTGTTAAGCTTGTAAAGATGACATCGATTGAAAATGAAAGGTAGGTCTTTATATTTCTATTTTGCCAAATTATATACAATCCAAACTTTCCGCTCTAATTACCCCGGCCCGTGTAGCACCACCGATAGGTAGTTTATCTTGGCCAACGCAAGTAATACAGCTAATCTCTTTTCCATGTTCAGTATCATCGTATTGGACACATACGACTTTTGACTTTTCCCTTGACTGAGTGGTCTAAAGATTCCAGTGTTTCTGTTAACTTCTCACGGGAGAAGTCACCTTGAAAAGACTCAGCCTGAGCGATGATAGTATAGAACTTAATCAAATCGCGTGTCGTCATACAGGAACGATCGTTACACCATGTGATATGCTGAGTCTCAGGATCCTCGAAGTGGCCGTAACTGCTTGGGTCTAGCTTCTCAATCCAGTCTAGTGGTCTGGGGTTATCTCGAGTATCCGGTAGGTGCGAGAGGCACCCTGAGTTGACCATGTTCGCTTCTTGATCGTAGTGAGCACTAAATCCACAATTGCAGTAACATTTAAGCGCTGGTGGCTCTGTCGCCAGTGCATAGTCTCTGAATTGATCTGCTTGAAATAGGCGGTCAGGGGTGGTGTAAAATGCTGGACAAAATAATGACGAGCATTGTGCATGTAGTCGCCTGGTTTTCGAGATACATTAATGCGTAAAAGAGCTGCTGGGAGTGGGATGACCTAGTGCTGCAGTCCAAGCAATAGATACAAAGTCGTCCATCGGAGAGCAGTCGAAAACGTAGTACTTGATCTTGGCGCCGGTGCATAGGCATGCCGCTTCTTCACAGTCGACATCTATTGATTGTCCTGTAGTTCGCAAAGACCTGATGTCTTGCAACGAGAGTTTCAGATGGGGACAAACACTCAAGTGTCCTTCATGGGCAATTCAGGCTCTAGATGACGACAAATCCTGGCGAGATGACAGAGAAAATAGTATTGCGGGGTGTTCGCATTTACACGCCGCACAGTATAAGCGATCTATCAACCTTGCAACGCGTTCAGTATATCCAGAAGCAGCTCTGGCTAGCTGACACGGTCTGCAATACTGAAGAGAAGCAGAATCATCGCGACATGGCAGCGTATCTTTTACTCAGGAACTGTTCTCGTCCATTGACTATAGATACGGCTGGAACGATCCATGTTCATCTTAGTTACTACTCACACTATAGGTCGAGAGCCCGGACCTCGGCCTGTAGGTTGAGAAGGCCGCCTCTGCCCCCGTTCTCGAGTAGTAATGCTACAATAGGTATTTATGCTGCGGGTTGCCTCGGGTGTATAAATGTATGACGTGGAATACTTAGATCATTTCGTGCAGTCCCCAGACAGAATGCCCATTAGTGGCGGCTGGGTCTCTTTGCATATTTTGTCATATAGTCTAGCTCCTGGTGTTATACTGACACGCCCTTTTTCTTTGTCATATATTTACAGTGGGGGGCAAAAAGTATGAATCCAAACGCAAGTAGCTAGCCCGCCCCTAACCCGATTAGGCACGCGTTTTTCCCTGCCGCTTTTGCATGCTAATTTCTTCCCTATAATATATTATAACACCATAATAATACCTTAAGGCAAGGAATTATTGCCTTTATTATAGTCTTATATATATAAATTATATAGGTAAGGGCTTATATACTTATAGATTAAGAAGCATTTCCCTAATATCCCTCTTAATATAATTAAAATAACCCTATATTATAAGATATAATATAAAGCTAATAATATATCCTTATTATAATTAGGTATATTATATAAGCTTATAAAAGAGTAATAAGATTAGATTTATAATTCTATTATAACTAATTTATATATAATAATAAGAGATTTACTTAATTTTATTAATAATATTATTAAGTTATATTCCTTATAATACCTTTTATATAAAATAAATAAGAGAAAATAAATATAAAAGAAATATATAGCCTTAATATTACTATAGGTATATAAAAGGCTTAATTAGGCTATATAATATTAAGGTATTAATTAATAAAGGGTTAAATAAAGTAATAAGTATATAGTCTGCTATAATTAGGGCATAAGACCTATTTAGACCTTCTTATTACCTTATAAAGCCCTTTATATATAAGATATTAATAAAGCTAGGAAATAAGGTACTATATAATAAATATTTTAAGCTACCTTTAGTAATAAATCTTATATACCCTTAATGCCTCTTATTAATAATATTAAAACTATTAGTATTTATAATCTTTATTTTATTATCTTATTATAGTTTCTTTAGCTAGGTAATATCTTTATATATAATAATACATCTATATATATTACCTATATTATTAAGGCCTTATTAAAAGAGCTTTAGGTCTAGCTAATAATATAGCTATTATATTTACCTAATTTAAATCTTATAGAGAATCTATAAGTATTAATAAAGGCAGAGATCTATTAGTTATATTTAGAACTAACTTATATAGAGGATATAGTTATTATATAATATACTTTAATCTTAGCTATAATAAAGGCTTAAGATAACCTTAAAAAAAGGGTCTTAAAGAACCTTTATAATATAAAACTAAACTATATTACTACTATAATTACTACTAAAGGCTAATATATAAAGTATTAAAGATATTTTAATTAACCTTATTAGGTTAACATTATAATATAAAAGCAGCATTATAACATATACCTGTTTAGGCTAGACCGATCAGTCCGGTACTTGCGTTTGGATTCATACTTTTTGCCCCCCACTGTATCCATCTCGCTAGTTCTTTATCTGAAACGCGAGAATATCTAATTTCCTTAACAGAAGTAAATTATTATTTTCGGCCATCTCGACTGTTCATCCACTCAAAATGTTCATATTTCGAGTGGTCGATACAAATTTCCCCACGCATTGACATCTACATGAGTAATTTTATGGATCAGCAATTTGGCACGAGCCATTGACTGTCTTTAATTGCTTCAACCATTTTTGTGGATCCAGTGGTGGGTCATTTAGCCCCTCGACAAGATTTCGCTTCGAGATGGCTACGCGCTAAGATCCATTCCGGGCGGTCCAGGGTAGTGGACAAGCCCACGACAACAATTAATTACAGTGAGGTAGACCATGCAATTCGTATTGCCGTAGTTCTTTGTTTAATGATACCTAGTTTGAGTGCTGTAATTAGTCTACAGTAGGATTATTCAAGAGTGCCATGTTTATATCTATGAATGCGCTGAGCGCTTTGTTTAGATTCATATCTGCTTGTCTACTAGCTTGAGGAGTAAGTAGGCTCATTTTTGTTACAACAATACTTGTCTGTCAAAAGTCTGTTTACCTACTCACCATAGCAGCTCTACGATGGGAATAACTAGTCGCTTTCATTCAATGAAGCTCTGTCCCTGCGAATCCTGATTTTCCGAAAAGAGGTGGTTTTCTTGGAACCCTCTTCTTGAGGCATTCCCAGAGGTGAATTTCTGATCAGAATGTCCAACAGTAAGCGATAGCTCATCGTCGTCTGAATCTTCGACGCAAAGCATCGCGGCGGCTTTGGGCTTAAGCTTGCCTCGGTATTGAGGCCCTCCACCCTGCTTGTCGTGAAGGTTGTTATCGGAAAGTGAAAGCTGATTGCTAGGAGCAGGGGCCTGCATGAGTATATGCATACGATACTTGAGCTCCTCGATAGCAACGTCTTTAAGACCGGTCGCAAGCTTGTCGAATAGCTCATGGGCGTTATATGGCAGAAAGCACAACTTAGCAGGTGGAACGCCAGCTTTGAGACCCATGAAACGGTCGCGACGCTCTTCTAGTGTAATTTGGGGCTCACAATCATCTCTATGGTAGCTGCATTCGATCAGGTTCTTTTCGTTGACATCGAATCGCATCGATTGCAGAGTTTCTTTCACCTGGTCGTACTCGGACTTGTCAAAACGATCAATATTCTCGATGAGACACTCGTAGGCAAGACTTCGGATGTCATTCATACAGCTGATGCAATGTTTGCTGAGCTGCTCCGTGGGGAGATGCGCAAAGTTGTTGGCGAGTTCCTCCAGACGAAGTTCGAGACTGTCCAATCGATCTTGGATGATCATCTTCTTGGCTTCCTGCAAATGCTTTTCCATAATGGCGGCGAGAAGGGAAGAGCGTAAGTAGGCTTGTATGTGAAAGGATTTGCGGGAATTGCTGTGATAGGTAGCAAGTGCTGGGTGTCGATGGGTTTTGCTGTTGCGGTTGAAGGAATGCAGACAGATAGGCAGAGGGGTCTTTGTATTTATAGCCTTGGTGATTTCGAATTGCCATTGTTACTGTTTGAAGTTCATGATTTTTAAGAATTCACTGTAATGAATAGCGATACAGAACAAAGACAGCGCTGCTGTTCGCGCCTAAGAACAAGAATCTCATATCGCCTTGCAATCGTGTTCCATTTACTGTTCAAATTCAATTTTCTGAACTATCGTTCTGTACAGCTCGACAAACCTTTTAGGCTCTTATTCAATGATCTTCAATCATAGTGTACTGAATAGAAAACAAAGGGCAATGCAAGGGCTTTTTCGGGCGACGATGGACAAAGAAGCAGTTGTGAGATGCTATTCATTGACATACTCAGATCTTTCTGTCTCAAAAGCCGTGATTCGCATCAACACGCGTTGCATCTCTGACCTGATCTTGAAACAGGACCGCATTCTACATTAGATAACTGGCGACAAGAGTGTTATGATCCAAGAAATAGGCCGACGTGAAAAGAAGAGGGAGTGGAGAAAGAATACAAATAAGTAGAAATACCTTTCAAACACCACTATGCTTAGCAAGATATGGCTCACCTGATGGCCGTGGTTGTCGTTAACGGGGTTGTTTGTCATGTTACCGATTGGCAGCAATGGGATGATGCACTACTAAAGCCTTGGATTGGCCGAATCCAGTGGTTCTAGTGCTGCAGCTGCACCAGTAAGCCAGCTAATAAATTGTGGCGTTCAACGTCATACCGGGTCAACTACATAAATGTTCCGAGTCAGCATCAACCAACAACAGACAGTCAGTCTTCGGTACGTCGATATCAAGCACAGTTCAAAGGGCGCGCCCTAAAGCTTACATGAAGAGAAAACTTGCAATTAATCAGCATGATGTTTGTGGTTTTGATGCTGCACTAAGACAAGTCGTTAAATACCAAGCTTTGTCTCTGTCTTGAGATTAGAATCATATTACAACAGTCGAGTAGGGCAATCAGATTCCTAAAAGCATATATCCTTCCCATAAAAACGCCTCTTGTATCTCTTTCCACAATGTCTACTACTATGAGAGCTATACTTATTTCTGAGTTCGGTCCTGTTGAGAATCTGGTCATCAAAGACGTTCCCAAACCATCAGCCACAGTCCCAGGTACAGCCCTAATCCGCGTCAAGGCATTCGGCATCAACCACGCAGAAATGCACATGCGTCGTGGCGAATGGGCCGAGTCAGTCCCCATCAGCGGTATCGAATGCGTTGGAACCATTGAGGACTGCCCGGGAGGTGAGTTTGCTCCCGGGACACCAGTAGCAGCACTTATGGGTGGCCTCGGTCGGACCATCCCCGGTAGCTACGCCGAATATACCGTCGCAAATACTAGCAATATCGTCGCGTTGGGGGGGCCAGGAGAACGGCTGCCTTTGTCTTGGGCAGATGCAGCTGCGCTACCTGAAAGCTACGCAACGGCTTGGACGTGTCTATTCCGAAACCTGAACCTCCAATGCGGACAGAGGATTCTCATCAGGGGTGCTACTTCATCTTTTGGAAGAGCGGCTATCAATCTCGCTGTTGACGCGGGCGCTATTGTTACAGCAACATCTCGCAGCGAAGCCAAATTTGCCATGCTGCGAGACCTCGGAGTCTCCGAGACAGTCCTCGAAACGCCCGACTTGGGCAAACACCTCCTCAAGAGCCACGGTGTTGAAAAATTCGATTCAGTACTGGACTTGGTCGGCAACAGTACAGTTGTTGACTCACTGCAACTAGCCCGTCGAGATGGACGTGTCTGCCTGGCCGGATGGCTAGGAGGGTTAGATCCGATCAAGGGACCGCCGGGGCCTGACGAGTCGCACGGCTTCAATCCGCTGCTTCAAATGGCGAGCGGAGTTCACCTGAGCTTCTTCGGAAGTTTTGTGTTTGGCACCGAGGAGTTCCCAGTATCTGATGTTCCCTTGAGGAGTATTATGCTCAAGGTAGCTGATGGGAAGATTGATGCAAAGCCATGGAGGGTGTTTGACTTTGATGACATGCATGCTGCTCATCGGGCTATGGAGAATGGACAGGCAAATGGGAAAATGGTAGTTACTGTTGTGTAGTGTTCAAGAAAGGAAAGATGTACTTGTCTTCGTGCAAAAATAGCAACAGGTAATGATGCAGGGTCATAAATACTGCAATATGTGTCAATGGTTCTGATTACCTTGTGTGTATAATTCATTGGTGCTGAGAAGTACAATGTCTGCTTAGTGGCCTTCCCCAAAAGCAATTTCTTCCAAACTTTCCAATCGTCTGGTAGACGCCCGAGCTCTACGGGCATGCCAACAAAAGAATGATGATCTCGGAGAGAGATCGAATGTCTCATCCAATCAGATCGCGCCTCGATGGCTCAGTGGTAGAGCGTGTCACTAGTAATGACAAGGTCCACGGTTCGATCCCGTGTCGAGGCAGACAAGTCGTATCTTTTTGCATCTTTTTACAAGTCGTAACTTGAACATCCAGGACATCAGAAAGTAATTGACAAAGAGTGCTGCAAACTTAAGAATTATAAAACTACCTGCGTATGGACTTCATTCTCCCCATTGTCCATTTCATCTTAGGTAACCTCGTATAACATCCTCCGGTACATCCTTGCCCAGGTAATTAGGCACCCTCTCATACATCTCCCACGCACTCCGTTGAAGAAATTCCATCTGCTCCCTCACCCATCCTTCAAACTCATACCTCTCAACAGTCTCCCCGTTCTTCTCCTTCTCAACCAAGGTCTCCAAAACTGAATCAACACGCCCCCTCAAACGAAGCAGCTTCTCCTGAAGAAAAATATTACAAAAAGTCGGAATATCATCATTCCCCAAGTCCACACTTCGAAGCGACGTATAGCGATCATCCAGGTTAGGATCAGCAAACGCATAGCTACTCACCATGCTCAACCGCTCAGGCACATTAGTCGCCCGCAAGGCAGCGTGCTCTGTGCAACCGCCCTGCATGATGACAGCGCCTCCAACGGTTGGACTTTTCACCTTTACGATGGAGCCATCACCTGTCCTGATAGCTGTTTCACCGCCTTGCATTCCGCTTGTGTCGCTGAGCATGACGACGCAAACGACAGGGACTTGGTCTTTGTGCCATGAGTCAATTGGTATGTCGTCGTAGCTGGACTTTTGCATTTCTTGAGGCGAAAGAGGGGCTGAAGGCGTCTCGGTGAGTTTGTAGACTCCGGGTAAACCTTCAGGACCAAGCTGGATGTTTACCAGGCCCAGATCGGCTTCTCGCCTCAGGAGATGTAACCCGAAACCAGCCGCCCGATCGATAGCTGCTTGCGTCGCGGGATGTTGCCATGCTTGAAGCGTGAACTTTGCGGTCTATTTTACAATGAGTCCAGTTCCAATGTTCCATCAACTTGGTGAGAGGAACGTAGGACTAACCTTCTCATGACCCGCAATGTAAGCAGGAGCACGATCCCATGAACGAAGATACTTGTCAAGCATCGGTTTACTCAGCATCTCGCGGCGCAACATGCGCACTCCTTCTTCTGAGAAGAGTGGAAATGGGTCTGTGACGCAGAGATCGGGCGCATTCTCTGGCTGTGGCAGACCAAGGTCTTGGAAGGTATGGCGACGAGCAGGTGGTTGGAAGGCAAGGTGGATTGCGGGATCAAAGTCTGGCAGGTCGAGGTCATCAAGGGAGGTCAGTCCTGGAAGAGGATTGTTGGTTGCGGCTGTAGCTACTTTTGCGGACATCTTGTCAAATGTCTGGAAGGAAATGAGGATATGAAAAATGACGGGCTGCTATGGTCTTGTTGTTTCTAACCCTGGGGACTGAAGCTGCAAATTGGTAAGTTCCGTATGCCAACGGCAGTTTTGCAGACCATGTAGGTCATTTGAGCCTTTTATCATTTCTTTCATCCTTCCCAAGAGCTCTTTATCTGCGTTGGTTGCTGAAGGGTGGAGGGGCCTGATGTTAGGCTGTTCTTATATCATTTCCTATTACGGTAATGGTATCCTGACTACATCACTAAGCTTATCATCTGACACTATAAATAGGACCGGCAATTGACTAGCTGCTACCTCCTTATCAAGTACACGTCTCCGCAATTACCCCACATGGAATGATCTCCAAATTAACCAGAGGCAGCTTGGAAAAGCTGGGTAGCAGACTTGTCGCTAGACACTAAAATCACTGCTTCATTGCATTCTGCTGACGAGACATGCGACATCTGTATCTATCAATGTTTAGATTGCGGTGTCCAATCCATAAGCATCCTATGGCAGCATTGACAGTTAAATTCTTCAAGACCCTTGGGGCAGAGAACATCAGAATTGGCAGATGTACAACTTGGGGCTTTTCTTGGAAGTGCGACAGCGGCAACGACAAGTTCACTTGAGAGTATGCTCAACATGATCAAAGGACGAATATCACTGACGATAATATAGCAAAAAGTTTCTTTTCTAAACCACGCTACATACAGACTCTCATCTTATGCTACATAAAGGTTAAGCGTCCGGTCTCAAACGTGAGCCGCTTGTACGCGAAACTCTTGTAAAGCAATTGCCCCTCTTGCAAACTATGCAGCCAACAGTCTTTCTCTCCAATATCTCCCAACCCGCGTGCCTATACCTACTGCCCACTGACGGAGTGCTTATTGATCAGCGACGTGCTTCAGTCGCGGCGTGGGCTCCTGCTCTCTGAAGGAATCTGTCAAATAGCTCAGGGAACCTCTGCACCTCATCGCCAAACCTCTCCGAGAAGGAGACTGCCGAATCGAAGAAACGAATCACTCGATCGCAGGTGTTTCTGACGACGGAGATAATAGAAGAAAGCCACTGGAGAAGAGCCTGAAAGACAGGGATCAGCAGGACGACAAGACAAAGGATCGCAGCATTGGCGATGCACGACAAGTAGACGGCAATAATAGAAAGGCCCGTGAGACAAATGCACGTCGCCGCAGTCAGAACAAAGGAGCATCCGAGAACGATGGGAAAGGTGATGATGTCGCTGATGTCGAAGAGGTTGTAGAGAGCAATCGAGATGATCCAAAGGAGGGAGACGACACAGACCAACTTGGTCGTGCGAGGGTCGACGAGATCGGGCATGTTGACGTTGGCAGGGTCAAGGTGCTGAAAGAGAGCAGGTGAGCTGACTGGTTTGTCTCAGGTCAGTGAGGCGTTGACGGTTGACGATGGTTGCTGGTGGTTGATCGTGCGATGGTGATTCCGATATTGCGATAGATAGGTGTGTATTTGTAAGTGGAAGAGATAGCCCAGGAGTTCAGGGAACTTGGGTGAATCACTTAGAGGCTCTGAAGAAATGTTCTCAAGTCACGTGTGATCGCGCTTTGAGATGTCTAGATTTATGTGACTTGATAGGTGAATTGACAGTGCCACTCACTGACAATCTGAACTCTGGTTGAATCAGCCAAAGAGTATGTACATGGACAACTATGATTGGTTACACTAGGTATATTCGCACTGGTAACGCACAAAGGGTGAGGCCTCTTGCATCAGAACAAGCCTGGAGAGCGAGAGATGGATTCTTCCGCCAAGAGTTATGCGTGACCTCGATCACAGAAGACTCTCCTCCCAGCCTTTCCCAAATTCAACACAGCGGCATTATCATTAACCACAAATCTCAGTCTGTTTCACCGGTCATCATGGGACACTACAATGAACGATAATGTTGCAGCTGCCGGTGTTAATACTGTTGAACAGTATGAGGTTGACCAGGATGTTCATGTGTGGTGAGATATCTTGGACTGAACACACTTCACTACCAACAGTTGAGTGGATGCTTTCATGATGTGAAACTCCATCCCTTCAGTCACAACGGTCGAAGGAAACATCTATCAGGTCTTATATCACCTTAACGCATGATCTAGTTCGAATTTTCCATGAATGAATGTACCGTCGATTACAGTTTCAGTTCGCTTGTCTACTGATAGACCTTGTTTCAAAGATACTGCTCAACTGTCGCCCCCGCGGGTGATGCTGGACCTGGCGCATAATTTGAACAATCAGGGACGGCATGACGAAGCGGAGGAGATGGCGCTGGCAGTCTCTTCGCTGCTCCAAATGAATGGCATATGTACTTAGAGGGTTATCGAAGAGATAGAATATCTAAAGATAATTTCTCGCAGTTAGTTTTACCAAGGGGGGACTCATGAAGCTGAGGAAACGATGCGAGAGGCGATACGGATGATTGAGGCTGCGTGTGGGATAGAACATCCTTGGGTTACTGAGTTTAAGAGCGTTCTAAAGGGCTGGCTTCGAGGATTGGGCCGGGAGTAGAAAGCCAATATACTACAGGAAGAAATCAGATCATTAATAGATGAGGATGAAATAGAGCAGGATGAAAGTAATGGGGTATGGGGCTTGTTCTTCTAAGATGAGTATAAAAAGAAAGCTTGAAATATATAAATGCAGCCAGAGGCAATTATTTCATTGATAAGGAATAACTCCATTTTTTACAAGTTCCAGCTCGTCAACCCTGTCCTTCTTGTATTCGACCCGCATCCAGGTCCTCAAGCTCACGGTTTGCGTATCAAGTTCCCAAACCCGGCTTCGTCGGTGATATCGCTTACCGTCATACGAACAATAACCCCCGAACCCACTGCAACCTCCATAGCATAGCCAAGGGCCGGTATGAGGAGTTACGTCGCCATTCTGCTCCATTTGTGGTGGTAGTAGAGCACAAAAGTCGTTCACGTGGTCGTGCCCGCAGGCTAATGCTGATATACCTTCTTTCACTAGCACGCCGTAGAAACGGGAATTGAAGCTGGGACCTTCGGTCGGCTCCCCCCGATGGCCGCTATGTATGCTAAGACGGTGGTCGCCGAACTCGGGAAGAGGGATGTGCTGGAAAGCCAGAGACTGATGAAATTGGTTGTCGTTTTTGCCGGTCTCGCGCGCTTTTCGTAAAGCCTGCGAAGTCTCCGTGAGCCAACTGATTTGGCTCGGCTTGATACAGTCATAGTCAGGTGTCTTGACGTTGCTTTGTATTTCATCGTGTGAATCTAGAAAATATAAAGTTGATAACGAGGATTGTGACGGCTCGCGGGCCAGAACCTCAAGATAGTAGTTTCCTATGCCGTCAACATGCTCTGGGCCTTCGTTGCAGAGACTCAAAGGCAGATTCTGCAGTATTGACATCTGTGTCCTACCTGTAGTCTAGTCAGTAAGACTGGATAGTCATCATTCCCAAGACCTAGCATATAAAGGATTGCTGAACTGTCTTGAGGAGTAAAGTAGTCTGCATCGTTTAAGAGTCCAAGAGCGTTGTCGATCACCAGCTCTGTGTCCTGGCTGCCGTAGGAAAGGAGTCACTTACGTGATAATGCATGGGCGCCTTCACTATCATGATTGCCAAAGACGACTGCAAACGGGATCGAACGCTCAATCATAGGAGCAACCGCCTTGAAGAGAGCAGTTTGGCTGTCGGGAATGTCGTGATGCAATTGATCACCAGTGAGGACCACAAGGTCTGGCTTCTCGACATCCAGGATGCTTCTGATGAATTCAACCGTAAGGGGATCAGCGGCACTGGCGGGCAAGTCTTTGCCTTGGGCATCAATAGCATCTTTGCATACCCCGACACCAGTGACCATGTGCATATCAGAGATCTGGACAATCTTAAATTTGCCATCCTCCCCGATTCTTAAAGCTGCCCGAGCATCTGGTATCGGTTTGGCCCTGCCGCGGAGTACGCTAAGCCTTGCAACCGGGACCTCTGGCTTGCCGTTAAGCTGGAGGGGTGATGACATGAGAACCCATTGTGGTCGTGGTTCAACAGCGTCCGTACCAAAAAGAACGTCCACCTGCTTCACAGTCTGGTCAATCCTTCGAGAGAACTGCCCTTTTAGCACCCAGATTCCGCCAGGTCGCTTCTCCCAGCGACCACCTGAGCTAGAATTAGGAGGTACAGCGCCAACGCTGATATCGATTACAACCAGGTCCTCAGCTTTGAGCATATTCTCATCCACTAGCGCGACGTACAGCCATGCGCTCCGTGGAGATTCATCGAGGATGAGGTTCTTATCTATACGGTGCCATATTTGCATGTCTAGTTCGCACCTTGAGGTGGGAATACATATGGTTAGATCCGTAACAACTGGATGGGAAGTTGATGATGTCGGCATCTTGGAATATCTTTCCGTGGATGGACAGGACCTGGATGTTGGAAATGACAGTAAGACAGCGAGCCTTGAGAAGCGAAGCAGCAAAATGACAAATTGATTAACTCTTTGAAAAGAGATTGCTAAAATAGTGTCAGACGCATGATAGGAAGAGGAGTGAAGTCCGCGGGGTTAATAAAAATACTATATAAGGTTAAACCCTTTATGTAATTATAGGGCTGGAGTTACAATGCATATGTCTGCATTCAGTAGCATGTAAGCACTTCATAAAAGTAAATGCCTAAGTTGGTAGGCCCCCACTTCCCAGGGCCTTGCTTATATCTTAAGAACCAAACTGTTAATTGAATAAGTCTTTCAGTCGTTAGATGTCAAATTTTCGTCATGCCACAGCATCTCTCCGATCCACCGTCCTTTGACATTTTACTAGTTGTCAGCAATTTTCAGTAGATAAATCAGCAAAGCCACGTGAGCAGGACAGTATATTCCAAGCTATCTTATTTAGTTCTCACGGCGAATTCAAGAGCAAGTTCATGAAGTCAATTCCCGAGAACTCCAGATGCTCTTTATGTGTGGCATGTTTGTATTAACAACGAGGTGGAACGGGTCAAGAACAAATGAGAAGTGTTGTAAAAGATTATGAGTTTCGCTTAAGTAAGGTACCTGTGCAATAATGTGCGCGGCCCTGTAAACGTTCTATCTAGACCCCTGTGAACTCAAGGTACACATTGCAGGATACGAGAGAACGGAATGCAGGCATGGATGGCCGGGATAAGAACGGTTCGGGATGATCCAACAGCCTCATCTGAGCAGACAGCCAGGGGCTGCTCGCGGGGACGCAGATAGAGCCTCTATGTCTGGCTAACGCAGCCTCATCTGCCTATAGGTGAGACAACGAGGATATGCAAGCTAGCTAATGAGAAGCGGAAATAGACGCATGTCGATGAGTGCCGAGGCAGGTAAGGATGATCTGTCTATCAACCTAGTTCATTTTCCAACTCGTGTTCCAACTCGTCATCCTTATACCTTCGCTGGCAAAAAGATATCATAGCCAATCGTTGGTTAGCTGCCAGGAAGCAAGCCTGGCAAGCAGTAAGGAACACTGCATCACGGATCCTGCCTGGCTCGCATCCGACTCATGGCTCAGATCAAGGCTCTATTCAACGCACATACATTAAGGCCAATTTCCACGCCGATCCAGCGGCTTACGGAACATAGGGCTATTGGGGTCGCCCGGACTGCCTTGCCATCGAGCAAAAGAAAGCTAATTCCATGACCATCGACAGCAACGTCAAATCTGGCAGCATGAGATGTTGAAATAGGAAAACAAGAGACACAGAAAGCCAAACAAGAGCCAGCGAGAGAATCTGCTAAACTGTGCAGCGCTAAGAGTGAGAGCTATGGAGAGTTTAAGAATGAGTTCTCAGAGACCTTCCCAATAGAATCAATAAAGACAAATTGAGCTCGCTAAGCTCTCAGTGCTCATTCCGTCAAGGTTTTTGGAAAAAGAAAGCCCCCCACTCCGCCATAGATTTCGTTCAAAGGGAGCAAGACTTGCCGAAGACGAAAGCCATTGTCGTTGTATTTGGGGGTTTCTGAGCCCGACTTGGCTCCACCACTATCAGTCGGGTCAGCTTGACAATCTCACGGTGCGTAAATCCGCGGTGGATAATCTGCCATAGGTTTCTCCGTGGTTTGCCCGCTTCTGCCAAATGGAAATCTCCAACAGCTCGCTCGCCATTTCAATCAAGCCCAGTTGTAAAAAACCCAATGAACATTTCCAGTATACGTAACAGCAAAACAAAAAGATGCTAGTTGAGTAAGTCGGCAAAAAACATACAACAGCGGGGATTCGCTGGTCGTCACCGACCCAACTACTGATCCGCCCCTTACAGGCTTGACTATGGGAGAGCGGACGGGATCCCGTATTTTCCTGCAGGTATGGTCGTATGTGCTATAGAGGTGTCTCTGTACGGTACATAATGCTACTCTACCCGTACAGGCAGCTGGCCTCCAATCCTACAACACTACCAACGTCCTTGTCGCAGTTCTTCATGGCACAGAGCAGCCACGCCAATCTCCCCGCCATGAGACCGCATACTTTTCGCGTTAACAACTGATAGTTTGGAAGGACCGTCCAACTTTGTAGTGATTGATGACTGTTTGTGTGGAGCATTAACTTGCGGATGATTGTAAGAAGGGCCAAGATTTGAGGGCAATTGTTGGGAACCGGGGGGCTGAAAACTGGTCAGGGTCTCTGCTGTAAGATAACTACTGCAAGATACTTCACAGAGCAGCTGTCAATCGCAAGCTCGAGAAGCTCAAGATATTTGCCATGTCGCATTTATTGCTCCAAACTAGTTGGGCTTTTGAGCTCCAGGTTGATGATCCACTACTTGCATTGAGCTTAGAAGGGCTTTGTGGTGGGGTAGTGGCCTGTAAGCAATCCCTCCAACGCTTCTTCACTGCAATTGAGCTTCGTTAAATAAAATCAGACTGGGCAAGGACTCTATTCGAGGAGAAGTTCTTTGAACTCAAGCAAAATGGATATCCCAAATATTTGTAATAATGTTCATTAACCATTTCTCAAATAATACAAGCCATCTCCCTCTTCCTCTCCCAATTACCCTCCTCATCAAACCTCAGCGGTCCCAAAAGTTCATCTTCTCGGGCTTCTCGGTTATCATCATGAAGATCAAATGTAAAAGTGCCAATTCGTCGGAAGGCTCGAGACAGAACACAAAAACCTTCAGATGTCAATAGGTCACTATTTGGCTCTTCGCCTGCGTCACTGGGGACAAGAACTAAGCCTTCGTAGCTCTCCCAGACGGCCTGCTCATAGCGATCGGTTTGACACCATCCCAGCTGCAGAGGAACGCAATAAACCTGAATCCATTGAGAACATGGTATCTCATCTGGTATATCTATAGTGCAGGAATTGGCGAATTTGTGTACCTGTTGGCTTCCTTCCGTGGGCTCTTTAACGCAAGAGTCTCTAGATATCGTGGTAAACTCTTCAGAGGAGATGATAAGGTATGTGTAATCCTCTTGGTTCGTGGATGTATCTTTGGCTTCGGATGTTCTCATCAAGTAGCATTCCCGTAAATGGCATTCCATCTCAATAAAGCCAGATTTGATCTGACCAATAGTTGAAACTGAGTAAGAAGTCTGAGGCTCAATGCTAACATCCAAGACTTTCGCAAGCTCAACTTTGTTTCCATTCCAAATCCACGGTATGTACTGCTCAAAGAAATCGATCTCGCCGTCCAACGCTGCCCAGCTCCATGAAGGAGCTCGATAGCACTCTGGGCGACGAGCTGATGATCCGGCCTTGGGACGCCACAAGAGGCTTTGCTGGAAATTCGCATCACGCCAGAGACCAGTGACATATTCTGACTCCAGCGCATTTCTGTTCGATCCACGTCTTGCTTCAATGATCCTTTCGACGATGCCTTGCAGTGCAACTAGGATATCGGAACTAAAAGTCAAGCGAGCCTTGGTATATCTGCTAATAAATTCATTCCAAAATTCCGACGGTTCTTCCTCCAAATTCGATGCTTTTATTAGTTTTTGGCGGAGATATGACAAGCCTGTAGTGTAGTTCAATACGGTGCTGAACTTGGGGTCCAGGCCAATTGGAAACGTCTCACTTGCTTCTGTCGTTGCGCAGGACCAGACCATTTGTTTAGATCCAAATACCAAGGTCCTCGGTGATATCAAAAGCTCCTGCAATGCCCACGCTCGACGGCTTAAAGGACTTTCATTGATGGTGTCGGATAGTAGTCTCTCGGGTTGGTGCGGATATATAGCCCATGGGTAACTCACGCCGTGATAAGTAGCATTCGGGATTATGTTTGCCACACATGGTCTCACTGCGCGAGGATCTCTACGGCAGTACATTGAGTCTTTAACACTTGAGTTGCCAGCTGCAGCGAGGGTAAGTGATGCTGAGCCGTAGATGCTGCCCATTCGCGAGGACTCCATGATCCAGTCATGCTTGGAATCTTGAATAATGCAAAGCGCATCTACCCATAAATATTCATAGCCGAGATCTCTTGTGGTAGCGATTGTATCTCGGATAGTAGTTGGTAGGCTCGCCAGAGGGATTTCTTTCCGGAACAAATCAATTGTTGCTTCAGTGAGCGTGATAGTGTTTTCAGTCCCCCAGCAGTAGCTCAGCGCAATGTAAGGCACTGCTTTTGGTGAAATGACAAGTCGAGGTTGGTCAGACTTTGACCCAACGTGGATAAGTCTTGTTGGACGCCAACCAGACAGTCGAGGTTGGAATTTTTTGCATGTGGGATGTGAACGAGTGCAGCCTTTGATCCATTTCAATGCGAGCTGCAAGTTCTGGTCGTTCATCGTCGAGGCATGCTTGCCAGGGATAGTTTTCACTACATGGCTCGTGTCTGTTTCTGTAATTGAGGTTAATGAGAGTTCTTCCATAAATTGTCAAAACTACCTTGAAGTGGTCGTATGCGTAGGTCGATCGAGACCTCGTCCAGCACTGACCCTTTTTCTGGCCTGATCGCCAACCAGAACTCATCAGGAAGATGACCCCCCAGCGCAATATCATTAATCGCCATGCCTGTCCTCTCAGCCCAATCCAAGTTCCCGTTTGGATCTCGTTCCACAGTGCGATACTTGAAGCAAAGCCGTACAGATTCATCACTGCCCATGCCTTGAAACATGTCCTTTGACTTATCATCAAAACCATGTGCGATTATTATGCAGAGATGGCACCCTGATGTACTCGTTTCTGCAACAAAGTCTCGCTTTGTCTTTGACCACTTTGCCCAGCGCGATACGTCGTTCATAATATCCCAGCTTCTTGTATAGGAATTGTATTCTTTGCTGCTGAATTGGGATCTGTGGATTTGACAGGTATAAGGTGTACATCCGATAATGGACATTGAGCATGCGTGAGTGCATGCGTCGCAAAGCCGTGATCTCTCTAGTTGGACAGGCCGCATTGTGATTGTCCTTTGCAAATAAATTCAATAGTTAAAAAAGAAATACGGAAAGAAAGAAAATAATGAATATATATCATAATATATATAAAATGATATTTGTCACCTTTTTCTAAGGCTGAGTCAAGTATTAGCTCGGATGACTCATACCGACTCACGACCCCGGCCAGCTAGTCAACAGCCATAGCGCTATATTGTGTTCCCCTGCTGTTTTTATTATCTTTTCGAGCGGGAAAATTCATGAGGCCAACAGGCATTACGATCGTCAATTGCATCTGGCATTACTACGCCCTAAGTCATTGACACATGTAGCAACGTCTCGTACTCGGAGACTTCTGACCCATTGATACGTCCTCCTAGCTCAATCGAGTGTACCACGATATTCGAGTTTAACATCTAGCCGATGGCAATCTGTTCAGTAAGCAGACCCTCTGGAAGCAGGCATGGAATGGGAATGGTGCTCTTGATAAGAACTCATGCTGCATGCATCACAGATACAAATCCCACGCCGAGAAGGTCAAGAATCAGCCCGAGGCACATTTATCTTGCGCCGATCAGGTCAGTCCTTCTTACTACCTTCGCAGGCTTCCAATTGTTTTGTCCCTCTCTCACTCTCGCCTACCTTACATTACTAGTTCATGTACGAGGATCCGGAACTATATCCTCACCTGAAATACTCCACTGCAACTCTCAGCGAAACCTTACCATTCTCATTGCAAGGAGAAATTACCCATCAGCTTTGATCATGATATGGGACGATTGTTCGCTCGCCTGCAGTGACAAGTTGTCGCCATAACGTAGTGATGAAGGGCAGGTCCACCGTGACATCAACTCAACGGTAAAGGAATGGCTCAGAGGAGAGCATCTCCTTTGTTTACAAGTGGCACAGAGGCAGCAGTCGTTGTTATACAGGAATGTTTCCTGTCCTTTAGTATTGGCATGGAGATACTGCAGCATGAAGAACACAACGTTACTCCGAGGTTTTTGATTTACTACTCTAATTCCTTTATTCCGAGCAGCACCTCGTTATATTTAGGCAATATTTAGGCAAACATATCAAGAGACATTACCGAGTCTATGACAAAGGTCACCCCAAACTATGTCATGACTATGGCGCGACCCAAGGTTGACACCTATAGAGCTTTCGATATTGGAGGGAGGCTTTTCACTTGTATCCACGGGGTCAATTTGAATCAAGATGTCATTACCCATAAACATAATATCTCCCTTTCGCTCTAAACATATCGATCAAATATTTACAAACACTAGGCTGTCAGTCATACATCAGATAGCTCAAGGTCAACGTAGCACTGAATACAGGGAGTTCCGTCTTGCCATCCTCCACAGTTGCGATGATTGCGTCTCCGAATATTCCGAACATGACCAGAAGGGACAATCCGGCAATTTATTCACACCTCCATCCATATCAAATGCCCACGTAGCCCGTCTGCTCTTGCGACTCCCACTACAGTGACCCTGAAACTGATAAACCCGCCCACTCTGCGAAAAAGAACTCCCCGGCGTAGGTGAAGGAATACTCCAACGACAAGGCGCAAATAATGCCGGCGACCGCAAAGCTTGGCGATCTGGTTGCTCAACACAAAGCTCAGTCAATTTTATATCCAGGCCCCAAGTGCAATGGCAAAGACTGTTGCGCTTAGCAGAACCTTGCTGCATCAGGCCATTGCTCGGATTACGCAACGTAAGATTCTGCGCAGAGCAAAGATGCGGCTGTAAACTCTTGCGACGATTAGTCGCGCTCTTACGCCTGCGCGGAGGCGAGTCTAGGGCGAATTGGGGAGGTGTTCTGCCGTTGAGGGCAATTACTGTAGCGCGACGGCGCTGTCTTGGAGCTGGTAGGCTTGCGTACGGTGGGAAAGCGCATAGATCTGTCGGTGTCTTTGGTCCAAAGGTTCGTGCTGTTGGAGCCGAAAGAAAAGAGTTTGAGGAGAGGTTCAGTGGTTGGGGCACCATTGTAAGAGACAGCAGAGTATAAGTTGATGTACGATAATGTCAGAGGAGATATTGGGAGTTCGAATACGAATATAGGTCATGATGAGATGACTAAATATATATGTTTGGCAGTTTATATGCTTGGGCAGAAAGTGCAGCGGGTTAAAGTAAGCATTTCGTTTACTTATGCTGAGCTTAATGATGTAACTGAGAATATCCGCAAAATCTGTGTTGGTTTATGCACTTATGAACTTTAATCGACTTTGTTCATTTTGCAGGGCCTTTTTATAGTCCTCCCCATTGTCCGAGAGCGCTGAATCTTGCGTTTCAGACCTTTTTGAGCTTTGAGGTTGAGGAACTTTGACCTTTTAGTGTCGCGTACCCACATTCCGCGCACCCCCACCTTCTGCGCACTCCCTGCGACCGTAATTTCCCAACCCCCTAATTATAATTCTCCCCAAAACACCATTAAATAATATCAGAAAAATTCCAAATTTTCACTATAGTAACTCCTAAAGAAGCTCGACAGATTAATCTTAAAGAAATCTAAGAAAGGCTAAAGAATAGCGAGTCTTTACGTCATTGCGCAACCTTATACAGGAAAAACAAGTCTACGCTCTGTAGTCAATTAAAAGGCGCCCAGACAGCTCGAAAAGGTCAGGAAAGCCGTCAATTATTATCGCCTGTATAAGAGAAGGAAATTGCCGACTTTTTAAGGCATAAAGAGCGTTATAGGCGCGCCCTTTCAAGAAGTAAGCTACGTGATCTCGCTAACGGGATCGCGAACCCTAACGCGATTAGAATCACGATCGGGCGCAACTGGCCAGACAGATTCTTATAACGCCATACAGATATTAAAATGAAGCTATCTACACATTTAGAAGCCGCTCGTTCTAACGATACTACTCCCGTCCTCCTCTGATACTTCTACGATATGTTATTATTAACTGTTAAAGAATTAGGGATCATACCGTCGAGGATATATAATATGGATAAGCACGGACTTCAGGAAGGGCTTATGAAGTCAGGAAAGGTGCTTGGTGATAACCTCACGAAGCGGGCTATCGTTACAGAGAGCGATTGGCGCAATTAGGTGTCGATTTTGGAGTCAGGAAATGCAGAAGGAAGAAGACTACAACCGACTATAGTTTTCCAAGGAGATTATCTCTAAGAACAGTGGTTTCTAGAGCATTTTCCCGACTGGGGATATAATATCAATAAGACGGGCTAGGCAACTCAAGATATCTATCTAAAGTAGCTCCAGGAGACCTTCCTACTGCATACAAAGCCCAAAAACCCGCTCGATTAGAGACTTCTTATAGTCGATAGATTCACCGGTTATGTCTCTATTTAATTCCGATTTATAGCATTATTTTATAAAGTATAGATCCTGTATTTGCCGCCGCATTCTTTACATGCCACTTAGCCGTTTAATGTTAGTGTTTTTGGCCCGGCAAAGGCAATTTTTAAGCGCCTTGCAAAGCTATATGCCGGCTTTAACGCCACGGCACTAATTTACAAACAGCACTTTATTCAGATATATAAAAAAGCTATAGATAAAGCTATTATAGAGAGGAATATACGAGCAGGCTTTAGAGGCGCTAGAATCTGGCCAATCTCGTTAAAAAGGGCGTTAGAAAACGTTATTATAGCTTCTTAAGCACCGGCTCAAAATGACGCCCCTAGGACCCCTTAATACTAAAGGGTAATATCACGGGTTATGCCATATATACTAAAGAGTAGAAATGAACTAATATCTCAGTTAAAAGAGCTCCAATCGCAGAAAGAAAGGTATAAGAGGAATCTCTATTACCTGGGGACCAAGGCTGCCAAAGAGCTGGATCGTTTGAAGGCCTAAAACACCATAGAAAGGCAGAAATTAACTTTTCTGCAGATAGAAATAGACTTATAAAAGCTATAGCCTTAACAGAAGGTCATTTGGCACCCCTAAGCCCGTTATCCAGGGCGCGAGGAGATTTAACATGCCCGATAGCTGAAAAACGAGAGGCTTATAAAGAAGTGAAAAAGGGAGGCTGAAAAGGCAGAATCTAGGAAAAAGAACGACACCATTATAGTCGCAGACGAGAGCAGATCATAATTCTATTTTGCGCTATTTAATTTACGTACGAATTGATTGAGATATCATATATTGAAGTCATTACGATGATTGAAGGTGGTGCGCGGAAGGGGGGTGTGCGCGGAATGTGGGTACGCGACACTAGTGCTCCCGACGTACCCACATGAAACAGGGAGGCGGAAAACGGCGTGAACGGTTGCAATGGAGAGAAGTCGCATAATCTATTAATAAAAAAGCTTGTTTAGATTTTAATTGACTTTTTTTGGTCGAAGCCATAATGGTGGCTTCGGCAACAAGCTGAGGAAGTTACCTGAATTTCCCCCACGCAGAAGACCATCAGTGACAGAGATGCCAATGATTATGGTGAGAAGAAAGGTGATCGTCCCACGCAACCCGGCACGGGGGTCATCAATGTATGGCGCAGAGATATCAACTTCTGACACTAGGTAAAGGGCAGTATGAGAATAAGCCCAAGCAGTCTATCAAGCCGAATAAATGAAGGTGTCATGTTCTACTAAGACTACAGTAGAAGATCGCTATATATACAATTTGTCCCTTTCCTGTGTCTCTCTTGTTGCTCATATTTCCTTCTCTCTTTCCCTTCCCCACTTAGACCCTAATACCTCCTCACTAACTTGTCTCAAGTCTCATACTATCCCTCTTCGCCAGTTTACCCACAACAGCTACGACTCTCAGGTGAGACCGAACCACTTAAAGTCAAGATTCTCGTTAGTAGGTACGACATGTCCGACTCCGGCTGCAGAGACGGCGACAAATTTGGTTCCGTCTCCGTAAATCATAGTAGTGTAGCCGGACTGCGGGGTCGATGTCTCGTTGCGAGTGAAGGAAACGCCCTGGATGGTCGACCACTCCTTAATCTGCTCAAGAAGGTTCCGGTAAAAGACCAAGTTATCCGCGGTGCCGTGCCAAGTCTTGAATCGGGGATAAGAGCCGCTGTAGCCTGGATACATAGCCTTAACCTGATCAGCCCACTGCTGTCCAGTCTTGATGATCTTCCCATCAGAGCACACACGATCGGAGCTGATAGGGCTCGATCCAGGAGACCCGGCCATGCATCCAGCAGCGACGCCAGAATAGCACGTAGCAGCGGCGAAGCGGTCCGGGTACGTCGCAGCGAGCACATTGGTCATCATGCATCCGGAGCTGGTGCCGGTGACAAAGACCTTCTTGGGGTCGGCCTTGTACGTCTTGATGACATAGTCGACCATGCTGACGAGGACCTGGCTGTCACCCTGGCCGTCGTGCTTGAGCGTCTTGGCGCTGGCGACATCCCAGCAGTTGAAGTCCTTCTGGGAGGACGGAAAGATGAGGATGACGCCGCGGGAGTCGGCGAGAGACTTGTACTTGGTCTGCTGGAAATAGCCGGGTCCGTTTCCACCGCAGGCGTGCAGCTGGATATCCGTAAGGTCAGCTCAAGCTTGATGGGGATTATGTATGTCACTCACGGCGAGCATGACTGCTGGGCTAGCAGGGAGGTTTCCTGGGATGTAGGCCTGCATGGTTAGCTGCGTGCCGTAGGTCTGCCCAAAGTTGGTGATGGTCTGGAGCTGAGCCGCAACCAGGCTGGCGCCCAGGCTGAGCTGTGTGAGCAGCTTGCGAGGTGAGAGGAGGTCGAGCATAGTCAATGAATTCTCCGATTCTGCTTAGTTTGTGGTGTCTGTTCCTCACTCCCTTGGCCGTGGCCGATCATAGTTTTATACTTGATTGAAGTCATGATCATGCCGTCGATTCAAGTGAAATCCAAATGCCGGTATCAAATACCGCGAGATCCGGGGGCAGCATGTCCGCTGTAAGACCCCGCAACCGGCAAAAAGAACAAATGTTCTATGTCTACCGTGTTGAGTATTAAATGGTTGATAGCGTCGTATACATGGATTAAAAAGTATTGTTTCAAGAGGCTATATCCATCTCCAACTTATCCACCCGAGGTAGTGTTTATTTTACCCCGCACATGGGACGTCATTTGTATCAATACAGTAGACGGAAGATCATGCTCCGTAAGTCCCAGAAACAGTGATTGGTACCTGACTAAAATGTCTGGATAAATAGGACACAATCCGGATGATTACGCTCCGTAACCGCCAAGAATAGCAACTGGTTCTTGATATTGATCGTCCTATGTACTGCAGCGTGGCTTCGTCATACCACTGTTACTACAAAACTTTGCCTTTTTACTCTTTAGGAACAAAGACGGTTAGTTTGTCAGAGTTTGTATCGACCCAGATGGCAGCTTTGATTGCCTGTCCGACAGGGACATTGTCCGACAAATCACGGGAGGAGTGCTGGGAGAAAGTCCCCCGCTTAGATGAAGGAGCTTTGTTGGTCAATGGCTTACGATCGTAAATGTTATTGCAGGTCTTGCGAAAATGTCACGAGTCGCTAAACTGGAAGTCGGCGCGGGACGTGGTGAAGATGGTTGGAAATATGGATGAAGATGGTCTCTTGGAAACACTATCTCTTATTGACTTCTTCTTACTTTGGGCTCATGTCATTATCAATCACGCGTAAATCTATTTGTATTTCTCAGCCTGGCTTACAGACGTTTCAACTGCATCGACCTGTATCGCCATCTGATCCATCTCCCCGTATACCAGGTCAAAGTAACACTGAAGGCTTGAAATAACAAGACGTAGTATATTAAACGAGCCTGCTCATCTACACTTTTGCCAGCAAGCAGACTCTCGTAGTTCTACTTCTGCTCCGTGATCTTTGCAGGCTATCGGAAGTGGATAATCGCAGTTGAGTCATGAAGAAGACGACATCTTGGGAAGATAATACGGACGATGCGAGTGGAGAGACTTATGAATCCCTGGGAGAAAGGTGGGCGAGGTTGATATGAGTGATGCAGTAGTAAGCTGGCAACTATCATGAAGTAGCTTCGGGTAAATGTTCATCGAGACCATATTGGAGGCGTTAGACTGAGAATGATCCGCCAGACTCAGGTGGCAGTCAAGTGATCTATCGCACTAAAGGTCCGTGGTGATGAGCCAGGACGGATAAATTGCCAGCGGTAAAACCCACGAAGAGATGCAGCAAATATAACAGTAGGGCCAGGCTGTTGAAACAACCGAACGACGGAATGGTCGCGGCCGTGGAGAGCTGATCGTCGTGCTGCTTGGGCCCAGCGGGACACCCAGCCATCTCGACTCAGAAAACGATTCAATGATAGATGAAAGTCAAAAAGAGATATTAACCGTCTCCTCCGTCTCTCAACCGCTGATGACCATCGGTCAAAATCACGGGAAAACCTCATGATAAAGTCGCTTCTTCACGGTTCGGATGACTGATATTAATCTGCGCCGTTGACTTGGCAGAAGCCTCTGCATCTTTAGGGACCTAGCCATTCAAGTGCCCGGTATCCTGACCGCATTTACCTGTTTGTTTGGCACTGTCGCTCGTCGCCGGGCTTGGCTGATGTGTTGGGTTGTGCTGACGATGACAACGGACTCGGGAATTAAACCTAAACATGTCCAGGCTGGCGACAAGCTCTTCACTGGAAGCATCTTGACCGAACAGGAATCACTCCCTTGTCGCGTGATACCAACGTGGTATGTAATCTAGGCTTATGAAAGAATGCTGATACAAAGCACTTTATCAAACTCCTGTTGTTAATGTGCCTCTTGTCGTTGTTCTTTGTCGCCAGGTTTTGCTCTCATCTAAGCTTCTCTGTCTGCGTGCAACCACTGTGCACAGACCGGCATCTGAACTGTTTTTTGAACATCGTCATTGTTGTTCAGTAAGAGCGTCCCTAATTTCTGTTCATTCACGTTCTCCCTCCAATGTTCACCTATTTCAATCCTAAAACGTCTCATGCCTTGAGGACAAAGAAGCGGATTAGTTACTACAAAGGATTATAAATATCCGTGGGTTTTTTAATACAGCGCCTACAACAGCTAAGTTTGCTAACACATCTAGTTTACAAACACCTACCATATATATGCGACTCCTCAAAGGACTAGTCTTGCTGTTGAGAAGTTCTCGTCTGCTAACTCTCACGACGCACCATGGATCGTCTTCCTCGCAGCAGTGCACGCGACGAGGAGTTGGCTCGTCTTGAAGCCCGTGACACTTTTCTTGAAACACAGGTAGCCCAGATCCAAGCAGCCTTGTCATTAGACACGGCCCTATCAAAAGGGAAGAGAACTTTACCCCAAACGGCCACGCCATTGGACGCAGCCCCGCCAAGAAAGAAGAGAGCCAACAGATCGGAAACTCAACTACAGACCAGCAAGGCATCTCTCTTGACCTGTCCCGTCGAAGCAAAAGAGAAAGGTCCGAATTTCGATCGGCGATACAATTCTGAAAGAGGCCCTGCACCATGTACACGAGCATTTTCAATGTCTTACTTGCAGTATACCCGTGATGATTTGGATTTACGTGTAACTGAATTCAAGCTGCGCCACAGAAATGCCACTGAGTGTCCTGTGCAACAGCGCTGTAAGCACTGGCATATCGTAGATGGAACTGAATGGCATGAAGAAGGGGATATTTATCTACTGCTTTACTGTCTAGACATCGAGTCAGCTACGCAGGGCGATACCGGATGCGAGGGGATCCGAATGTTCGATGACGAAGAGCCTCTCACTAACCGGATTACTCTTCAATCTTGCCGTATCTTCAATGCTTTAAAGCCTGACTTTAGTGTCGTTGAGGATGCAGGCTATGTGGTCCTTCAGTTTCTTGTGCTTGATTATGGGAAGACGGAGGAGGAGGATGATTCTGAGTGGAAGTGGATGGATCAGTTTGGACGGCTACTGTCGAAAATGGGATGTAAACGACAAAGTTAGATTTGGAGATGCCATTCAGAAGATAGGGGGGACATCTTGGGCATAGTGAAGGTTGAGCTGGCTCTTCTAGGCTTTTAAATCTATAGACAGCTTTGGACATCATGATGATAATAGTAACTGAGATACCTCTATTGAAACAGACATTTGTTCTTCATCTACACAATCCTGATCTCTTGAACTCTGTTATTGTGTGTCTTTTAAAATGATAACCAGTGTAGACTGGCGTGTCTCCATCTATTCATGAACCCCATCTGCAGCTGATATAAGGTATATATAGAGGAATATCGACAGCTCTTTGACGCGTTCTGGAAGATCTTGGCAGTGGAGAAGGTGGGGGGCGTTCAAGGACTGTGAGACAGTTTCTTGGATTAACTCAAACTCTTGTCTCACGCCACAAGGTATATCTGGCTGATTCATTGCTAGTACTCTAGTAGCAGCTCAAATGCCAAAGTGTGAATGAAGACACCCTTGGCAAAGAGGAGCCCAGTATGATAACTATGTAAAGACTCGGTAGTAGCCCTTCCTCGCTTCGCCTGTCTATGTATTCATGGTCGGGTAAGAGGTGTTCCTACATGATTTGCGATGGATAAATTGAGTTGTAGGTGACAGGACGGATCTAGCACTTGAATCCTGTGTATATATTGGCTTTGAGCTGTTGAGCAGTCAATAGGTGATTGATGAGTTGTAAGGCTGCTTACCTGCCAGTGACATAACTCATGTGGCCTACAATATGTCGGTCATGACCACGACTAAAACGGCGCTCCTATCACCATACAAATAAGGAATCTTGGATCACTCAGGTAACCAACTTATGCTGAGTGTCAGGTTTTGACTTCTGGGTCGATGTGTATCTGGACATCTTTACTGCTGGTCTTCAGACTGCCCAAGGACATTGGCTACCCATCTGGGAGTAAATGCTGCCTCCAACGATGGCAATCATGGTGATTGCCGTGGTGTACCGTTGTCGGGCTATGAAGAAACTGGTGCCAGTACTCGCCATCTATAGTGGCTGGGGAGGGTTAAATGCTGGCGACTATGAGAACTGCTCATCCATAAGGTGATAGTACTTTCGTTCTATCAAAGGCTGTTTGAGATCCCCGATTTCTCTCAAGGAATATACCTGGCTTTGTGATAGGCATCTATCGATCTCATAAGCGCGTTGCACAGTACTTGACGTATGTGCTCCTCCACCATGTTCAGCTCCGAGTAAAAGACAAGACAGTATCTCTGCCGAGCTTACGTGCCGCCGAGTGCACATCCCACCCAAAAGAGGCAGCCAGCAAGGTCCAAGCCTTTGGTAGCTAATGATAAACTGCCTCGAAAACGGTATCATGAAAACACCGGAGCCCGACGGCAAAGCGAGAACAGTGAGCCGGACCCAACGATGTCTCAGGGATGCCTCAGTACGCCCAAGACCGCGCCATAGAAAGATCTCAGGGATGTACTAATAATAACACAGACTCCAGCATAGCCAACACCGATGTAGAGCCACCAAGTCCTCGCTCGCTCTAGAGACTAACCTCTCATAGGAACAGATACAGCACTTGGCTGCACAAATTAAGGAGAGATGCCAATATCTCGTCGACCTTTAGAGCGAACGAGTTCCAGGAGTAAGCGGGAGCCTGCGATATGTTGGATGATAAGACTGCGAACACAGAATCGGCTTTGGCTCTTGCTAGCAACGGACTTGACTAAGCAGCCCCAGCGGAGACCATAAATATCAGTGGATTGTAAAAACTTCAAGGCTTTTCGGATACCCTTTCCAGCGCACTAAGAGCGTCCATGGTGATCTCTGGCGGTCTCATTCAGGCTGCCGAAATGTCGCTCGCCAAATCAACCGAGAACAAAACCGGTGCAGAATATAGTCTCAACGCACCAAGAAGGCAGCTCTAAAGATGCACAGAGCGCCGATATTTCCACCAATTCTATGCTAACCAGCTACAAGAGAACATTGGGCACTTGGAGCATGACTCAAAGATGTAAAGAAGGAGTACAAAGACATGCGTCTTAGGGACACTCGGCTGGCTGAAACAGATTTATGAGGAGGTGCTGGATAGGTTCTTGGGCACGAAGGTAAGAACTCAGAACCGAGAGGCTCCTGGATGACTCTTATCGAGGACAGGGTTATCTTTGTAAGTCCCTGCGGCGGCACAGAAGGTAGTGAGTTTCATTGGCAGCCATTGAGGCTGGAAATTAAAGGTTTCTGGGATCAGAACAGTTTTGGGGTGCACGGGTTCACATAATGGCCATAATTCTTGAGCCTTTTCAACGCTCAGCATCACAGGACAGCAGGTGGTTTATCTATCCAAACACTCCCGTCACTTTCACCTTGGTACACACACCATTGGACGCCAACGATATGCAGTAAGGCGATAGAGTCGATGCAGATATTGAGTCATGTGAGAGAGAATGAGAAACCAGGGTAATATTACTGACGACTGAGTCGCCGGCTGCGCGACAACGTGTTGTATGTGAGCGACTCAAAGAGAGTTTAGTTCACATAGCCAACACTCAGAATTACATCACAGCCGACGGCACTGGCATTTTCCATATTGTCTTGGCGATTTATTAGCATCATTGGCGTAAATGACGATTTATCAGCGGCGTCAGTGACCGTGGACAACCATCTTCACCAAGAGAATATATCCTATCTCCCTGTATAAGTACCTATCTGCAAATTCATCCAAAAAGCCGTACCAAGATACCTATTGTTACTACTTCACAGCACCTATAAGTGATACTCCCGATCATTCGCTTGATATCTCGACATGCCAGTGTTGAGCTGTGAGTCTGCTAGGTCTGAAAGTTGAATATAAAGACCTTGGGCACTGCTCTTGACCGCGGTTACGAAACTACCTAAGTCACGGGACCGGGAACCGGGCACCCCGGGAACTGGGCACCCCGCGTTTGGCCTCAACACCATAACCTCGATATCTTCAACTATATATAAATTAACGAAGATAAGCTCCTTTTTCATCTAGTCTTTTCCTACTAATTAAAGAAGCTTATATCTATTTAATAATAACCTAAGTAACCTTATTTCTTACCTGTTTTTACTACTATAGTATCCCTTGCTTTATAGACCTCTTTTAAGCTATATACCTTCTGATTTGGATCTAATATAAGCTTCCTTCTCTTTGAGACCTGTGATTGGTCGATTTTCTTGCTTAATACCCTATTTTCATCTATTATTAAAGCTAATTCAACGGCCCGTTCATTAAGTCCCTTTCTAATCGTCTGGAATAAGTGCCTCTTCGTTGGTGTAAGTGCCTTATTGCCTAATTCGGCTCTTGCAAGCTGCATAATATCAGATAGCTTATGTGGTGTACGAAGATAAGGCAATTGAGAGCTTGTATTGGCTGGTGGTGTAGTCGGATTGCCTGATTGGGCAGCTTGAGCCTCATTTTCGTCCGGTATCACATATTTACTTAATAACGGTCTTATAACGTTAATAGGCCACAAGCCTGATGCAAGCCAGCCGGCCCGGATCTTCTCTTCGGTAAAGGCAGCGGCCCGAGCCTTAAAATAATACCTTAAAAAGGCAGCCTTAGCTGTATTTCCTTATTCAACGAGTAGGGCTTCCATCTCAAGTTCACGGCGATATACTAGCTTTAAGAAGCTAAATATAGTTAAATCAAGAGGCTGAAGGACATGTGACGTGTGCGGCGGAAGGTAACAGGGGTGTATATCATGCTTAAAACAAAGAAAGATAAATTCATCTGTTAAATGGCTTTCATGCCCATCTAGGAAAAGAAGCCTCTTTTCCCCTTCCTTTTTAGGCAATGCTAACGGGATGAAAACCTCCTTAAGCCATAGGGCTGCGATCTTATTAGTAGTCTAGCCCTTCGGTGACGTTGCAAAGCGCCAATTGCCTAAAAAGGAAGGATCCTTCGGAAACCATTGTTGTTGCGGCTGATCCCCTTTAAAGATAACAAAGGGCGGAAGGGCCGTGCCGTTAGCACATATAGCTTCCGTTATTGTAACCTAGCTGCGCCTGTGAGGGCTTCTTTTTAAGGTCTTCCTCTTCTCTAATTGGCCAATTACTAAGCCGTTAATACCGACTCCTTAGAAGATGCCTGTTTTATCTATATTCTAACGGTTACAGCCGCGGATTATCGTGACCTCGGGATCCTTCAATTGGTTAAACCAAGACCGGATAATAACTGCTTTTGCTCCTTCAATACGCTTATATTCAACTCTAATTGCTTTAAGCGTTTTAATTCGTTCTGATCGTGCGATAAATCGGGTAACCCAATGCTTGCCGAGAGGTTTATTATCGCCTTATAAGCTTAAAATGCATATAACAAGTTGCCTGATTTGGAAATGCGTTAATGGAGTATAAAGGGTATCTTGAAGCCTTAAAAAAGAGACAAGATCGGCTTTAACGGTCGGCCCGAGCCGCTGTTGGTCTGTATAAGCCTTATTTTTAGGCATAATGCCTTGAAGTCGGTGCTGTAAGCTTGATCGAGGTACAGAAGCTTCTTTAGCAGCTTTAACTTGTGATTGGCCGTTTTGAACAAGGTTAATTGCTTTAAGCATATCTTCTTCTGTATAAGAAGACATTGTGGGCCAAGATTGGATGAAAATCAGGGTATTATATCGACTTTTTGAGTAATTGAATTGATGAAGGTTATGGTGTTGAGGCCAAACGCGGGGTGCCCAGTTCCCGGGGTGCCCGGTTCCCGGTCCCGTGACTTACCGCATGGCATGTACTTTACTTTACAACCACCAGATTCAGAAGTTCTTGAGTAATGTATGGCAGAGGGATTAGAGATGACGTGACGTTGTATATGGTCATGGTTGACCGTGCTGTCAAGCAGAAATGTTCTGTTGGTGCGGTTGATCACTCGGAAAGAGATACATGAGAGTAAACTTATTCTGTTCATCTTGAGAGGTATCCACGTGGCGAAGGATATACAGCTTATTCTCGCTAGGTGATGGACTTCGCTGCGTATGACTGAATGAATCACGGGTCAGTTGGCCACTTAAACTTTTCAGCCATTGTGATCGCTGATAGTTATATCTTGTACCAGTAAAATGGCCTCAATTTGCTGATTTCTTGCCTTTATCTTCCGACTCTCAATCACAAAAGGTTGAGAAGCAGCCACGCACGTCCAGCGTTAATGAAAAATATTTTGACCTTGTGACAATGATTTGAAGGACATTTTACTAATGGTAGAAAGTCTATTAACAGCCTATTAGCCGCAAATACATCTCTTTTATTTACATGGTAGTAGCCATCACCGAAACGTTGTATCTTAAACTCCTAAGCCAGCGATAAGCTTCAAACAACACGCTGTGCACTTAACCACCATGGCCGAGGCACCTTGGTCATCAATGTCAGAGGAACTACGCTTACAAAATGCTTTGTGCAATGATATGTGTACGTTTCCGCGTGCCTGGAAGTTACCATTGGCAGTTCTCTCAATGTTAAGAGCCCTCCTCTAAGTTCGCATAAAAAATGCGATTTAAGAAAGTGGCGAAACTATTGGCTAGACTCAGTAGTATCTATCATCATTAATTTGTTTTTCATCGCTGGCCTAGAAAGGATTTCGCCAGCGTTGAAAGCTAGTATGTAAGGTTTCTAGATATGCTTATATAGTAATGCTAAAGTTGCGCGGAACCATGATGACATGGCGGTTTCAAGGGGAAATGGCGTTTAAAAAAGTGGCTAAACTGTATATTAGATTTATTTGTATCTACAGATATCAGCATCTTGGTCATTGCTGGCCTCGAAAGAATTTCGCCAGCCCTGAAAGCCAGTAGGGGAGGTATACTACTACGCTCACATGGCGACAGGTCAAGTTGTTTGATTCACTTCAAATATAATGACAAGGCGGTTTGCTCCAAAGGCTCCTCTGCATCACCACTATTGAGTTTTCACAAACTGAATGAACAGACTTGTAAAGTCACTGATATCTAAAACCTCCACGTCACGACCTACAGGACATACCTTATATTTAGAGTATGTAAATATAAGCACGAACTGTTATAATGATACCATTTCTCACACGACCTTCAAGCATTGGTCCATTAGCCTATATATCAATTACGTCCCTCCTTGCCATTCCAACAAACACATCTCTCCTTGAGAACCGGCTCCTGGCAACGTCAGTCAAGCGAGATGCACAAGCCTTCTTTACTGACTTTTCCATAGGTAGTTGGAAGTGGTCTTGAACATATAAACAGGCTCAATTGAGCAACATCTCCATGGAAACTGCTCTAAAGCTATGCCTTTAAATACAAGCTTCATCACCACATTAGGCGACGAGTACTCACAACGCTTCGGCCACCGAAGTCTTCATTTCTCCTCCCCTGCTTCCTCCCTGAGTAGTCCGATTTCTGCCATGCTCAACTCTTCTACTACAATAAGCTCTTCTCCCATCCCGCGGCGTGGCGATAGTTGTAAAGACTGAGTATCTTCCTTCTATGAGCCTCAACACTATGCCGCTTTGTCGAAACATGGAATACTGGCCGAGATGTGTGGTTTTTCACGACCCCAAGACTACTCACCCAAAGCAGCAGCAGCGATTTTACTTATCTAGGGACTGAGCAAAGGTAACATTGTATATGTAATGCCCCATTCTCTTGGTCATCACATTGATAAGTACAACTATTAGTTTCAGAGAAAACAGGCAACTGGAACACCAACTTCACTTTTGCGGCAGTTCCACACCACTCGAGATAATGAAGATTACATACATCAAGGTTTTGACGGATTATACCCCCGGGGTTGAAACAGATGTCTTGGAGATATATTTGCTATCTCAGATAAGTCTAGACACTTTGTCTATGCTTATTTTGGTGTCTGCCGATGCACTCAACTTACTCATGGCGCAGGAGAGATACATTGGTTCAGGAGCGCACTTCCAGAAGCTTCACCAATTCATCTTAGAAACCATGCATAAAAGCCATTATTGACTTCATACTTGAAAAGAAGCTTGAATTTGCTGGCGATCTCGTGCGGGCAACTTTGGTGTTGGACAGGAGCTGACAGGACCTCGGCCATCTGACGTGGGAAAAGTCTGGAAAAAGTCCCATTCCGATTGAGATTGATAGATTACTGATTCAAGACCCTTAACCGGTGTGGTAGAGTTTGAGCCTTCTTTTGGCTTGGTGGGCCAGTGCGACCATTTCGTTGAAAAATGGTAACGGATGACTTTGTACCAACCCTGGCGACTTGAATTTGCATGAGCACGGGAAAAGTTGAAGCTGATTGTAAATACTCCAATGCTTCCTTTGATTGCGGATGCTATGCCTTGCAGCCCTTTCTATAGCCAGAAGAACAAGCCGATTCCATCTTTTATCATGAGCATTGCACTGTATCTCGTGCATTCGGCGCCCGAAAACTGGGCAAAAAGCTGCAGTAATTGAACGATTGGATATTTGATATGCCAATTCTTCTGGAACTAATTTTTTCTAAACGTCCAGGGGCTATTCTATACTTTGACACCTGTCTGGGGCAATGTAGGGTAGGACCCAACTCAGACGCGTTCTGGGAACGAAAGCGCTCATACAACAGGGTCTCCGCCCTTTTGCATTATAAAAGGTCGAAATGAATTACAGATGTCTTCAATGGCGGTTAGAAGTGCATAAAATGAACAAAAAGAGGTCCTGGCGGATGTGTTGTGGTTTGCGAGGTAGAGTACTCACAGCCCACATTAATCTCAACACCAAAAAGAAGCATCACTATCAGCAAATAGACCTTCAAAAGTTAATTCCAAGCACGTTGGGCCAACGCCATGTGAAGAAGAGAAAAACAGAAAAGATCAGATGGCATGATTAGGACTATCAGCGCTTTAAATCTCTACATATAGACTCACCGTCTGATGTACGTAAAACTCATTATCCCTTAATGGGATAAGCCGAGCATCTCCATCGGGATTATATTGACAACTCAGAACGCCGCCAAGATTTTCAGTCTAAGTCGCTCGGTATTGAGCCAGATGCCCTGGACTTGGTGCGAGCCTCACGACACGCCACGTCCCATCATCTCACAAGTCGAATGGTTATCACTAATGGAGATGAACGAATAAAGGTCTTGGCGGATGCCTGAGTGATTTCTTTGTGATGTAAATCTCAGCCCTAATTCTGGATAAACACTAACAAGAAAAGGATCATGCCAGCATGTAGAGCATAGAGAAGGTAAGCTTTAGCGCCTTCATCACCGAGCCACCCTAAAGCCGTGTAGGAGCCTCCTGCATTGTCCCTCCATTTCCACTCTCATATTTGAATGGCAATTCAAATGATGGTCCAAAACTGCAAGCATTGCTCGAGTTTCCCTTTTCCCTTTCACGTTGCTGTCTTGTTTTGACCCGCTCTAGAACCTCTGCCAGTTCTTCTCGGACTGTTTCCTCTTCACCTACACCTTGGGTGTCATGCATATCAGATTGCGTCTCCTCCCGTGCCCCTACAGTCTCTTTGTTGGAGGGATCTGGATGCTTCTCTGTTGCCTCCTTTACCTTTGCCATCTCAAATGCGACGGCGGCGTCAAGGCGTTCCTTAAAATCCATTTCCTGCTGCTCTTCTCCAAGCATGGCAAAGTGGCTTCTGCGGAAGACTCCGAGAGCACTCAAAATGAAGGCAATCAACTCCCATGTAAATAGGATTGGTAAGGCATAGCGCAACTGGGGATTGCATCCCCTCGACCAGATGTGGGTAAGTACTTGATAAACTTCGTGAGCTGGGAACACATACCCAACTCGATAGAAGGCTGGGTTTAGATCAAACGGCAATAATAAAGAGGTGACGTTTAAGATAATCCAGGAGACGAGGGCCATAGGGATGAACGGAGGTGGTAGCCATATCGTAAAGACGTCAAGGGTGAGAAAGTTAACATGAGCAAACAGCCATATGGTAATCCAGGACAAGACAAACTGATTGCCATTAACATTCCAGCCCGCTTTAAAAGCCCAGATAGCACCAGCAACGCAAAGTGACCCAATGAACGTATAAATAAGTGAAAGGATGAGCCGGACCACAATAATGCGGCGCGCGTTGACGCGGGTATACAGTTTGAACTGAGCGTAGAGACCGTTAACCGTACCGAGATAGCAGAATTCTTCAATCATGATCAAGATGATCACCACGGTGTTATAGATTGCTCTTGATCCTTGTGACGTTGGCTGAATATTGATAGATCGGAGCTTCCATGGCTCAGCCAGGATAGACAGGGAAGTCTGGCCGGAGATAGACTGAATATTGCCTGTCCCGTTCCCAGTACTATATGCCACTCTGGCCACTTCCGATAGAAGCTGAAGGTTTGTGGAGATAGCGGAGTCGACAATGGGTGCATATACAGCCTCGTTCCATACGTATCCCATTATATCCGTGTTGTTGTATCCCAACGCTGTCACATTCCCTTCCAATGCCTCTTGGAGCCGGCTTGAAGCGCCTTTGGTCACAAAGAAAGCTGCCCAGTATCTTGTCTTGCAAACCGCTTCTAGTAGGTCGCTCTTGGTTGGAAGATCGGAAGGTGGTCTTTCAATCAAGGACGGATAGTTGTTCCCTTGAAGAGATGAGTACGCACCCCGCACAGCCTGACCGATTGCGCCCCCATCGTAGTCAACAAAGACAATCCGAAGATTATGTGTATGGCTTGTCTGCTGGTATAGGGAGCCCAGGATGTAGCAGAAGAGACCGAGGAAAAGCAATTGGAGGTAGAGGAAGTTGGTACCAGCCGCCTTGAACCATGCCACCCTGGCCGTCCTGAGGACCGAGTCGTTCTTTGGCAGGCGGTTACCGAAGGCCTTGGGGTATAGCGACTCGATTGATGATAGCATTTCCGTTCAATGGTACTCTGCTTCTGCACCTCATCCGCAATCAGCGTTGCCGTTTTCTTGTTTGGAAATCAGTACTTGAGGATGAAAGAAGCACTGAAGTTTTTGGTTCGATATCATGTCATCTACAATCGTGCTCTGTAATGTTTCCGTCAGCACTAAGACTAACTGGGACAGCTTGGCTTGGGTGAGTAAGCTTGCTGACAAAGAAAAGGAATGTACAGGGGGAGGCCTTGCTTTAATCAGGAACCTAACCTTCCTGTAGGCGTTAGTAATAAGAAACCCTACTATATCATCCATTGTAATCGTGGGTTGACCAACCCACGTTTATTTTATATGGCACTTTAGCGCGGCGCTATCAGCTCACCCCCACTCTTCTATTCCTAATTATCGTGTACCCTTAATTGTCGCCTACCCCTGTCCACTTCGCATGTATATTTCTGTCTCCGGTCTATTCCCATATGCCCATACTATGGCGACTTTTGATCGACGGTCTGCGGGCGCGTTACTCACGCGTGTAAACGTGTACTTGAGATTTCTTACATTATTGATACTTCCTACTGTAATTTTCATCCGAGATTTATTTTAGTAATCTCCACAAGCTTATACTTTATAAAGACTAGCAGAATATAACTGCCTTTTACTATAGAGTTTAAAGCTCTTTTTTATTATAATCTTACTTTATATATTATTATATTTAACTAAATAGTTAACTTTATAAATTAATAGAAAATTAAATAACTAAATATATATACTTTACTTTATATAACCCTGCTAATAAATTAACTAGGATCTTAGGGTTAAAAGTAATATTATATCTTATTTATAAATACTAAGTCTAGAGATACTATTTAATAACCTTTTTATACTATACTTTTTTTTAAATATAAAAAAAGTAATAATATATAAAAGTTCTTTAGTATTATAACTTTCTTTACTTAATATATAGGTTAAGATATTTTTATAAATCTACTTTATATACTAGCTTAATATTTAAGGTAACTTATAATAAATTAACTCTTATAAAAAAAAAGCTATTATTTTTAAAGGATTAAAGTTTAATTATTTATTATCTCTTAACTCTAAGTTATTAATATAGCTAAAATATTATATCTTTTATTATATCTTAAATTATTATATTCTTACGTCTTTATTATATAATATATAATATCCCCTGTTTATATTAATGGTGCACTGATGTTACAGCTGATTGCTCATTTGGTCACGTGATCTGTCTCGTGACTCATTTGATCCCCTCCCTTCTCCCTTGCTCGATTAGCCTGGTCCAACTTACTCAGTCAGTCACGACTTCAGGTCTTTGACTTCAGGCAACTAAACCCATACAAAACTCAATACATTTCTTCCACAGAACCCCGCGATTACCCCGCTTCCATCTCAGACATCGCGGTACGCCGTCCCCCTCATCTTCTCCTTAAGGTAGCCTTTAGAGATCGTCAGCTCTTTGCAATAATGATATATAAGCAAGAGGACCTTGCAGCCTAAAGCAGCTTGCCTAATAAGGGTGATATTATCCTCCTTATCCTAAGCCTTTCCTATCTCTATTACTATAGCATAGAGCTCATCCTTGCGTTCATAGTCTTCAAGAGCTGCTATAAAATAAGGGATCAGGTCAGGCATTTTGGTACGAAAGGCCTCATCGGGTGGCTGCAGGCTTCTTCGGACAGATATCGTGACGGTGCAGCTGTGATGCTGTTAGCGGTTGCGGTCAGAAGGTATAGGGAAAGTCGGGTCGGATGACTTACTGCGTGATGGATGATTGAAGCGTGGTATGCAGCAGAGGTCGATGAAAGAGTAGGCATGCGATTATGGCCTTGGTCTGTTGTACTGAAAACTGACTTGAAGTGTCTTAGCCTTTCAGGTGGGCAGTAGGAAGAAGGTTGGGGCCAGCTGATGAGCAGGTAAGGCTTTTCGGCTGGCATATGTGCAGCAAGGTTCAGGCTGCAATTGAGGCAGCTAACTATGATAATTTAACTTAATAAAGCTTTGCCGGCTGTAGGGGCAATAAATGTTTAAATTATATTAGACTCTAGAGATGCTTAGATATACCTTTTAAGGCTAACTTATAAACTTAAAAAAAAAAAAAAAATTATATATATATATATATATATATATAATAAAAAAAGATACCTTATATTAATTTATTATAAAATTATTATTAATTTTTATTTTTATTTATTATAGGTATTTAAAGTTATTTATAACCTTATTTACCTTAGGTTTATTTATATCTTATAAATATTTAGCTTGTTATTTTCTAAAATGCTTTACCTCTATTAGTTTTTATACCTCTTAATCTCAGACTTCTAACTAATACTTACTATACTATATTTATTAATAATATTATATTAAAAAAAGCAAAAAAACATAAATACAAAGGTAAGCCTAACTATTATATATAGATATATAATTTAGGTAAATAAATAAGTAAATAAGTAAATAAATAAGTTAAATAAAGTATTTTATTATTAATTATCTATCTTATTATTATATAAAGGCAAGTACTCACTTCTACTGCGGCAACGCTTGATCCATGGACGCAATCTGCGGACAAGACTTCCTTCATGCTCACCCTCTGGAAGCGGTCCTACTTGCAGCGATGCCTCGACCGCACCCCGTCGCCTTTTACGACTGCCGATTCTGTCAACCTTGGTCAACTAGAACTCGCCCGGAGCGGACTCGAACTTTTGCGGTTAGCCTCATTTGATCTGCACACCCTCCATGCCGATGTACTCAAATGCGCGATAACTCTGGAAGCCGAGGCTAGACGTCCAGAGTCAGCAAGTTCGTACGCGGGACTCGATTTGTTGCGATCATTTTGCCAAGTCCGGGAAGAAGTCTCTCGAAACGGCTCGGGTGGATCTGATCGGGTAAGCGCTTACATGAGTGCAATAGAAGTCTCGGTGAAGCTGCATGTGGAGGCGATGGAGAAGGAATTGCGAAGCGATGAACAGGTTTTGTTACGACAGGAAGTTCATCATCTTTATGCCTGGTCCGTTGCTTTGATCGTAATATTGCAAAAGATCAAGGTGCAGGCAACGGTTATGTAGAGATGAGACCAAAACTGAGTACATAGTTAATCTAAATGGTCAATAATTATATACCAAGTTTACCAAAAGATTACTACGTCTATCTCAACGTTACAAAAGGTCACTAATTCTATACTAAGTGTACCTAAATCTCTTCGTCGGTTAGGATAGGCGTGGCTACTCGTCGCGCTACCAAATGCCATACTTGCTGCCGCCTAGGCCAGGATTCAAGGTTTGGTACAGTCGTGACTGGAGCAGCTGAGGCCACTGACACAGTTACATGGAGGCTGTCAAAGACGTAGTGTGATCTGACGACTCCGCAGTGTTATTGAAAGTAGTGACGGTCAACAAATTAATAATAGCAGTAGTAACAAGACATCGGCAGTCAAGTTCTCCGGCTCAGGCGAGACTTACAGCTACGTCTTGAGTAGGGAGAAATACCACGGAAGGGTGATGTAGGTGCTAGGTTCTTTGACATGGCAGAGGCCCTGTTTGACGGTGGGCGAGAAAATGAAGCTGCAAGATGCTGAAGGAGGTGCAAAGAGTAGGCGGTGCTTACAAGGGACAAATGACGCTCTGCCGATGATGGTGAAGCAGTCCATAGCGGGGATACAGTGGTGAGGGTCTTGATATGTGTTCAAGTTGACAACATGGACATTGCAGAGAAATTTCCAGCTTGACAAATGTATCAGAAGAGGTCAGCGAGGTTTAAAGTGCCGCGAGAAGTGCCAGCTTTATGTATGCGAAATCAAGTTGAGCGTTGGAAAAGAGACGATCGATTGTTATTACTGGCAGAACAAGTGTAGACCTCGTGACGAAGAACTCCATACGGATGAAATGCCAATGTGAGCTCTTCGCAGCTTCTTGGAGCAGGTCAAGTCTACTGTAAGCGTCACTGAAGCAGCAGTCTGCTTGATGTTGGCAAGCATAGTTCCGAATAGAGCCAATGTGGACTGGCAACCCGTGTCGAAGCGCCGGTGGAGGCAGCTTTCATATCGTCAGTCTTCTTCCTGGTGGTTCAGCATATGTACGATTGCCAAGATTGCAAAATTGCCTGTCTTTAAGGCCATGGCAGAGAGAATGCAAAGGTTCAATATTCCGATTAGCGTCGTTGCAGGCTGTGTTAGTAGGTAAGCACTGGTATGTGTTGGGAAAAGTCAAAAGTCAAAAGGCGGCCAGTGAGGACCTGCGTAGGAGATGATGTGCAGAGTCTAACCTCAATTCGGGAGATGTTAGCGCTGGTGTTCTACTTCAGATTCTAATTCAAGGGGTAGATACCCAATGCTTCTTTGCCGTCATCCATATCGTGATGAACGTATTCCCATCTGTACGCATATCCGTCAAAGGCATTTATTCAACGTAGAAAGAAACGATATCATTCAGTCTGTACCTAGATATCTGCTCTTAAAGGATCACAGCATGCCCGACTCGTTGTGATTTCCAATCGTGGCTGCACTCGCGATTCATGTCCCTCCAAGAATCACATAATTATCACCCGCCCCCCAAGTCTCGGCCTGTCGGCAAAATGCTTCTTTGCCTCCACTTCTCCCTGAATCTAGACAAGATTGATCGCCCGTGGCTGATCTTGAGCGATCGAAGAGTATAGCGTAAACTCTATCGCGATTCTACAGCCCAAGAAACATGTTAGTGCCGAGTCTATTCCCGAAGCTTGCATCCACCGTCAAAGCGCAGGTGTGCATGGTAATTTGATTTTGACCACCCACACAGCATCTGTGGCCTGGAGAAAGAGGCACACGAAACTGGTGTACACCATTATGCGCTGGTTAGCCACCAAACCAAGTCTCTTGCCCTTTGGTATGGGGTTGCATCAAGCTCGGTGGCGTGTCTGTTTAACGTTTGTGGAATGGCGTATTGGTTTCTTTTGCTTAAGTGCTTTTCGTCCCCCATGTTCCCAACAGGGCCTACGTCCCTGCGAGATTGAGTTGTAACGTGAATCCATGTGTCGCCAAAATGGCTGCTGGACCGTCCGGTGTTGTTGTGTTGGTACGTGATACCATTGACCTTGCCCAGTTATCCAGACCATCAATGTCTAACAACAATACGCTCAGACCGTTATCTATGTCCTCATCTCGTTATCCGCGATAATCATCGGCGCCCGAATATATCTACGATTAGCAATACAAAAGCAGAGGCTCGTCACAGCTGACTGGCTACGCATATCAGCATGGTGCACAGCATTTATCACCGGCTTCTTCGATATACTTTATGCGAAAGAGGGTGTTTTGCATCCCGGGATCAACTATACACTGTCTAATTGGGATGCTCCATTAGAACAGTCGATCAGAGTCCGAAAGGTAAGTGCTGTAATTATTGACGACGGAGATTAAGCTGATGGGGTATCGTAGTATAATTGGGCCAATCCTTTCCCATTTTACACTACTTTTTATCTTTGCAAGGCATCCCTTCTTGTTATATATCTACAGCTATTTCCTCCATTCATGGTCATAAGAAGACTCATAGTCTGGATAGTGATCGTGTATTGCATCTGCGCCTACATTGTTACCATTTCTCTTCAATTATTTCTCTGCTACCCGATTCAAAGGAACTGGTATTTCATGGCAATCATCTTCAAAGTTCTCTTTCTAATACTGGTGTTAGGTCGGTCTCGAAACCTGAAGAAGCGTGTAAAATTTCTACTATACTTCTCCTCTTCCAAATTAACTGGGTATTGCATTTTGTTGGAAGCCTTGCTCGAAAGTTCAGCTGCTACCTTTGAACTGGTATAAAGCTAACAGCGTTTTAGTTTTCGGTCTTCCGTTCTTTATCATCCATAATCTTAACATGCGTAGAAAGGTCAAAGTCAGTGTCTACTGCATCTTTCTGTTGGGCATTATCGACATAGCGTTTTCTCTCACACGCTTCTTAACCATCCAACTCGGCGATAGCCAAGACTTCCGATCCTTCACAATCATCGGCAAGTGTATTTCCGATCGAATCGGGAAACATGGTCTAACTTCTTATCAGAACTCTGGTGTTCCCTCGATGTCTATATCGGTCTTGTCATCTGCTGCATACCGGCTCTCCGACCGTATCTTCATAGGAAAGGAGTCAACTATAACATTCAGGAATCGGGACGTCCTTCTAAATCCAGTCATGCCATACGCCGGACAGCCCCGAGCGGATTTGAAGAGATAATCGAGGGGTCGGCTCTAGACGGTGATTGCCGAAATGGTTCATGGTCTGGGTCTCATTCTTGTGAGATTGCGGCAGAGTTGAGTGATAAAAAGGGAAACGGAAGTGATATCGAGCTAGTTGGTGTTGAATTTAGCAAGGCTGGTGTGTAGGCTGGGGCATCTAGCACGATATGACAGCAACGATTTGATACAACATGCAGACCATTAACTACTTATTCCTAAAGTCAGGTCCGGTCGCGGTTTAAATAGGGGGCACTTGGTCCCCTAGAGCGTTGACATGGGCAGAGCACATGCATTCGCGATCTGAAGTCACGTACCGAAGATCCAAATGCACAAGAGCAGTTAGCTAACATTTGTCTTGTTACCGAGAAAAGACAAGATATCGAGTCAGAGGGTCAAACGTGATTCACAAATGGCCGTGATGAAATTCAGTTCAAGTTCATCACGTCAAACTTCATCACGACTGATTAAGCCTCTCCACTTCCAGGCCAGCGTTAACCACCATCGACTACACAAAAGTGACAACAGGTGGATGAATAGAGTACAGATGATCAGTGGCCAGTCGCTATCAAAACGAGGAGTCCGTGGAGGGGGTCAAAACTCAAGCAGCTGTGATATATGGTGTGGATTAAGGGCATGAGAACGTGGAGAAATTACCAAAAAATGAGACCTAACTATATCTCAATCCTGTTTTTGAGCTGCCCAGTGACATCACTTAGTACATTTCCCATATGTGTCAATATTTCTTCTTTCCCTTTGGGATAGGCCATCAAGTATCTGTGATCCACCAATCTCTTGCATACTGGAGCGAGGCGTATCAAGTCCTTTTAGACTTTGGCATTACGGTATCTCAAGGAAATGCAATTTACAATCAAGATTCCTGGGCTTGGCCTCATTTAACTACAAACTCCCCACTTCCCTTGCATAGCAAGGTCCAAGGTAACCAGAAATGAGTATTAAAGTTAACAATCTTCTTACCATTCTTGCTGTTCTGCATGTCCCGATTATCCATTGGTGACTGGCCCTTCATCCCAGTAACAGTATGGAATGATGTGGTTCCATTGTGTCATCAGTGTTACTATTATGGCTGTATCAGGTGATTCACATCCACGTACTAACCCGCCCATTGGGCGTTGACTCCTTGGCCCTGAAACCTCTTGGGCTTGTTGCTTTCAGTACCCCATTCAGTGTCAGTTTTGATCCCAAAGCATCCTGTTTTGGTGCTTTCACACTGACAAAGACTATATGACCAAGACGATTGTGTTAGCTTGATATATCGCGTTGAGATATCATAAGCTTTAACTATCAATCAATGACCATGACGAAACATGAGTTATGGCGTGATGTTGCCTGGGTCCTTCTAGATAATGAGACGATCATGTTTTGTAGTGTAGGTTTTAATGCCCATTGTAGTTATAGTTGGCGTTGATTATGATGCATGCGTTCAATAGCACCTTCGCCAATTAGACTTAGTTTTTCAGGTTCATACGGTCACAGTTAAGGGGGCCATAACATACACCTTTTCCACTTGGATATACATACCCATGGGACTAAGTTCTATCGCAAGCAAACCGATACTACTTTATTATAACAAAGGTCTTATTAATTAGCTTGGTGGGGTGCCAGATGTATTTGTAAGTGCGCCAATGGATGTTTTATACCAAGTGGCATCGGGTTATTGTACAATGTTACCGTAAAGACAATAGAATCCATTGAATGATTTATAAATGCGGTAAATACGTTGGTAAGGTAGAAATTCCAGTATCCCTGCAGAGCATAATCTCGTACAGCTTTAGTTGCGATTTTCGCCTGGGAATAATGTGTTCATATAAGGTCTATTGTCGTTAAACGCAAGTGAAGTGAAAAGCCTATTAGCTGGTAACAATGGCGGAAAAAATGCGGCGAACGGGTTAAGGAAGTAAGAACGATATTGCCTTTATTATGTTTATTTCCCTGCAGCTTTAGAATGCAGTTTCGCCAAGTAATTGCTTATACAAGATCTAACCACATCTACAGCAAGTCATTTCCCTATGCTTAGAACCGGATCTCTCTGGCGTGGAATTGGCCCTGTGTCACGCAACTTTGGGATCACCTTGACGGCGGTGCGAGATGGTGTTTAGATTAATGGGAATTGGCATTATCCTTCTGTTCGAGAGATGAAGATACGCGGGCTAGTCAATGGCCTTGTGTGAAGGCTTTACCATTCCAAGCGGTGCTCAATGAGTGGACAGAAACTCCTTTGTAACTGGCATTGCATTATATCATCATCACTGGCATGCATAGCTTGTCTCTCGGGTCAATATCTCACTATGCTGCGTCATGATGCTTACAAGGTATTTCAGGTTTTCCAGGCTTCATTACCCTACGACCGAAAGAAAAGACGCTTCCATGACACGGAGACCTAGGCGGAGTTTGCGAACTTGTAGAGTGTATAGTTATTTCGCTGCTTCATGCTGTATTCACAATTTGGTGCCGGTGACCAGCATGTTGGTTGCCACTAAAGGAACGGAAACGAAACCTTAGAGTGGCCTCTAGAATAGGTCATATGATAAAATAGTATCAAACCATCGCTATTGTGCCTGTGACGGAAAGGGTGAAAGATTCTCTTTACCTTACATATATTCACACTGAAGCCAGACAATGGCCCTTGTCAGTAAAACTGTGAACTCCACTGGAGAGATTAGTTATCCCAATTCCGGCGGTGAGACTCTTCTTCATGGCTCCCTTCACCGTACCCACGGGTAGTAGAATGGTAAAGAATCTCAACACGGATACTCGGCTCGCGTTGCAGACCGCTGCGAGCCCCGAGATTGTATAATGCCGTCGGTGCAGGGCGAGCATTGCAGGCACTATGGACACGATGCCCACGTTGTGATCCTACTCTGAAGAGATTGGAGCTCTCATGCTAGAAAGGAAAGCGGGCTTTTAATGCAAATAGTAGCCGGCAATCGACCGCACACGCAAGTTGAATAAGATGCTCGAGTAGTGAAGATGGAAGAAGAGCTGCAATGAGACTGTCGGCAACGTCACGTCTGAAATCGTCACCAAGAGAGCAGTGGGCCTTTGAGCTTGTGATCAAAAGCACAACTTGTACAGAGATCAGCCACGCTATCAAGTACTCGAAGAATCGGCTTGCAATCCGTAATTTCAATAAGACAAACTCGCATTCACCCATCAATTTTCAGGGTAACATGCTCAAATCAGGTCTCCATATAGTTATACGCTGTTGTGATGTGCCCATCTGGGTGGCCATTGTACAAATGTATCCCCATATACTTCATGGCCTCTTAACCATTTTGTTCGCTGGTTGCTTTGCTCTTACTACTTGACTTGTTGCTACTAAGTAGCCTAACCAATTGCTACAGCATAAATGCTGATGCATACGACAACACTGTTCCTGAGACCGAGGTGAACAAGACCAGTATTCAAGTCCATCCCGGCAGCATCGACCCTTCATTGAGGATGGCGTCGAGCTTTGTCAAAATACCTTCGTTGTCAGCTCTATGGAGCGTCGCATATGCTTCCTAGCAAGATCATTTCCAAGGTAACTATTTGTGAACTTGCCTGTTGCGACCTTGACAACTGTCAGTATCTGGTGCAATGCCTGCCGCTCGCAATGACAGTCTATGGACTAAATCGACACACGAAAAATGCCTGAAAGAACCACCGCCTGTTCGTCGAGGACGTCAACTGCACGAAACTCAGCCGCATCTCGCACCTGACCAGCTGCTCCTAGGCAAGAGTGAACAGGATGAATACCAAAGCTTGGACCATTCATAAAATTCAACAAAACTCATCTAGAAGTTAGTTTAATCTTGTCATAAAAATTACAAAACTTATCATAAGCTTAGTTTAGTCTTCTCGTAAGAATTCATAGACTTTTATACTAGTTTAGCCTCTATGAGTGGAATATTTGGAATGACGGTTCTCGTCGTCAGAGTGGTGAGCGGTTGGAAGGCAGCGCCTTTATAACTGGTGCCGGCGTCAGAGGTGACACTCGACTCGCTGAGCAACGACCTGCGATGATTCACGCCCAGAGGTTGCTATATAGACCGAGGATGGCGGCAATAAGGGCGTGGTAAGACAGAGGCGACATGACGTGCGAGGCGATGTCTTGGATGACATTTACAGGGATAAGCGCCGAGTCGCAGTGACATTCATGGTCGGGAGGGTTCTTGGTGGTTCGGTTCGAATCGCTCAGGTGTTCATTCAAGAAAAGACTTCGTAGCCCGCAGATCTTCATGACACCCTCTGTATTTACAGAAGGTACTCGCCTATAGAGCTTCCTACACTGATAATTTGCAGCGAACCTTCAATTTTCAGCATTTACAAGCACCTCTTGCATACAGCAACAGCCCAACTTGTAAGCATTTATCGTTCATTTCTGCCCCCATGGCTTGGTGTTTATATTCGTCTGGTACCTTGGTGACGTGCTAGGGAGCTGGTAGTCAGAATTGCCGTCTTCATGTGGTAGACTTAAACATGTCCTCAGTAGCGATCGCTGGCCACGACCACCACGGCCTAGCTGGTCTGGATAGTTTGAATTTTGAACCTATGAAATGTGACCGACTACTTGGCAATGAGTACTAATTCCGATAAGTTGGATCATGGTATGTTTTAGCAACACAATAGGGTCCATTGTAAGAATAGGACTCCCTACTGACTGCATGAAACCAATCATGGCTTGGTAGTCCTAAGCATTCAGGTTCTCCTGGGAATATCCGCACGCCGAACCGTATGCTTCGCTGGTAGTAAAACCTGATACAAGAAGGAATTTTCTTCGGACTGCCACGGAAACAGGGTCCAGCTGTAATCATTACATGGCTGTCTGTCAAATTTTGGTGACGCGTAGACGAGTGCCATGGATACGGGTAAGTGACTTTGACTGGACTATCTCCGGATAAGGCATCAGTGGAGACATCCTCGAGGAGTAGGCTACCCATTTCGGGTAGGAATCCAGACATACGTTCTGGTGCAAAGCATCGTCCACCTCTCTTTCGGACTGACTGGATGGCTTGTTGTATAGCTTTGAGTGGGAGGATTGTTGTCCTCTATATATATTGCCACAGGGAATACCGTCGAGCTTTTGCGCTGGAACCAGGTTCGAATCCGAATGACCTGAAAAGGTAAGGAACATCAAGCCCCCCCCTGACGCAAATGTGATCAAGAGAACCTTTGGCTTGCCAACTCCGTGGTTACAAGGTGTACGGTGGCTCGGATGTTGGCATGTCGTGATCTCGTTCTTTCTCTCTGTTTTGAAGGCTGAGGCAGCGCCTGCAACAGAGTATTTGACACCATCCCAGCGGAGCACCTTATGTTCACATAGGCGAATATAACCTGTCCTGGCGATACATACTTGCTGACCGGCTGGAAAGCATAAAGAAGGGTGATCAACTTTACAAGCAGTGCAAAATTTCCAGTCCAGTGGATGTCGGGGTGCAAATTTGCATTGACCGAGACGTCGCAGCTCTCTCTGACATCTAGGCGCGTCTGACACGGGGAGCAGAGCTTTTCTTTTCTGATAAGGTCGCCGAGTCCTTTTGAGCAGATACCTGCCCTGTTGATCTTGTATCCAAAGCAATGCCTTTCTCTACAAGAGCTGCCATCGAGATTATCTGTAACTGTAGGTGTGTTCTCTTTACGTGCCCAAAATCCGGAAGAACTCAGGCACCGTTCGCAGCAATCCTTGTTTGAGAAGACGTGAGAGTCGAAAGTCTTGTCTTGAGTCAATCGTCGAAACCGTTGAGAGACTTGACGAAGGACGAAGAAGGCGAATATGGATGGCTTATCGGTCCCTTTGTAGATATCGTTAATGATTAGCATGACGATTTCATCTGGCAGGTTGTTCAGCCTGAGATTGCTGGCAGTGCCATTTCTATGGGTTGTTTTACTGATCTTAGTTGCTGCTACAAGAGCCTGGACAGATATCACTTACCTGTCGGTTTGACATTGGCTTTAAAGTAGGTGAAAAGTTTCCGAAGCCATACTAGAAGAATCAAAAGCAAATGCATAGTGAAGATTAGCAGCTCTCTGCTGGTGCTTGCACTGGTGTGGGGCATAGTAAATAAAGATCGATAGACGAGAGGAATCTTTTCTGGATTGGTGGATCAAAGCATGCCTTTTTATACGCGGAGCTCATAGAGTTCACATGACTTACGTAAACCTTCAAGACCGGGCCTTTGAGATTGAGGGGTAGAAATAAGCTTCAACCCCCTACACAGAGGTAGATAACACGTGTCGCAAGGGCATATACACTCGGTGGGTGTCGCAGTCTCAGAGCAAGATCCATCAGCTTCGTAGCTGTTGTATGGAGAGTCAGTATCTGGCAATGTCCTTGAAGTCTGGCCATATTGGGTTGAGAGGGATGGCGAGAGCCATGTTCCAAAAGGCTCGAGCACTTCTAAGCTCGATGTGAGCCTGATATACTGACGGAGATACCAGATCATTCGCGGCCATTGATTGTCGAAGGCTCGCTATAGGCTACCTACCAGGCGAGGCAAGGTATGCAAACTGTTAACCTCAGGCGCAAGGTTTAGGTACCTCCATTCCGAGTTTATAGTTACGCCTTGTCACTATCTACAGGGGTGGTAATAACATGTCTAAAATCGTTCTGTGTGTAAAGAAGCTTATTTATTTTGACTTCCACATTGTCTTCAAGTTTCATTGGCTTCCATGAAATCTCGTTTAAATGGCCTTGGCTCAAACCCTTATTCAGTGTTGATCCTTTAACTCTTGTTGAAGATGTATTAGGCTCAAGCTTCTTCTGAGCCATCAGCCTTATCCCCCTACAAGAGTGTCCACTCTATGCGCGGCTTTCTTCACTCGGGCTCTATTGTGGGGCTCTGGAACCCGTTTTGTACTGAAAGATTTTAGAGACTTCATGAAGGTGAATAGATTGCCTCGCTGAAAAATGGCTGGAGGGTCTCTTTACGCCTTTTCCTCCATCGTGGTTTCAGTAAGACCAGGGAGTAAGACAAGACATCAATAGCCGCAGGATGATATGGAACAGGCTCTGGAAAAGACTTGCAGCCTTCCACTACAATGGGGGTACCAGCTCATGCTAGCAACCTTGAAATTGAAGGTGTATTGGTTTGAGAGGCATCAAGCATGCCAGAAGATGGTCAAACCACAGCCAATCCCAATCAATCTTGTCATATTCGGCTCTATAAACATTACGAAGTTCCTTTTTGGGAGTTTTACTGTTCAACCTCACTCGTGGAACTAGAAGACATGGCCTATCTTCGTGTGTTGAGATGTATTAACTGCAGGCCTGGGTTTTCTGTGACGAAGAGCCTTTCAGAGTTGGCGATTCAAAGACAAGTTCATTATGCACGAGTTTACCGTCCTTGTACCTGCTGCCTGCCCTAACTAGAACTAAGCGATCGCGTTATGGTATAATGTCTAAACAGTGAGCTAGATGATCTTATTTGCACTTGAGACCTGTGGCTGAGAGCTTATAATCACTAAACAGAACTTAGTTAGTTGTCGTATGCGCTATGACGTGGCAGTGACCTTGCCCATCAAGCAGTTAAGTTTCTTGATCTTGTCTGTATGAAATTCGCTTCGTCTTTGACTTGTGAATCGACTGGCCACTAGACGAATCCAGACCCCGTGAGCTATTCGAGACCATATTAGTAAAGGTGCAGTATAGGGCTTCATTAGTGACACGATGAGGTGGTACGCGCCAAGTCAGGTATTGGCGTCTTGATGAATAACTTTTAACAATTACCTCTGCAGAGCAGGGTTAAAATCGGCTACAAGATCAGATGACCCCTTTACTCTTCGCCAACTCAGCGACTTTCTTGCATCTCCTGTGTCGAATGATGTGAAAGGTAGTCAACAAGATGAGCTGAGCGAGTTCTAAATGCTGGCAAGTATGCACCACGTCCTACAGCCATCAAAAGGTTCATGGATACTATCGAGATCGCCTCGCTTTACCATCTAGTGGCATAAGTGTCAGCGCGTATCGGAACATGACGAGTTGGCACCGGAAAAAGATCAGGTTGACCACTGCAGCCTTAAACCTCATCAAATACTAGTTCAATGACTATACTTGCCACTTGGCCCTCTAGCCTTGGCAAATATGTTCCGAGGACGGGCTGATTGTTGTTGACGATCCCGAATGTTGACGACCAGCAAAACAGCATCAAATAATTGTCTGCAACCACGAACTTGGATAGATGTTATAGATGTCAATGTTCAACGACAGAACATAGACATTGAAGTTTTGGGGAGCTGCCCTTCTGTCACACCCTTAGCGTTGGGCGAAATATCGTCCTTGGTACTGGATCGTATGCCAGTGACGTTGGAATAGGCGAGGACGACGGAATCTAACGATTTCCCATGTTAAGGAACCATTGGATGACGGGCACGGGGATTTCTTGTCAACAATAGCTCACTAAAGAGACTGGGGAGCTAGCCACTGAATAACCTAATAGTAGCAGAGCTCCAAGGGGAGTGGTTATGTGTCCGGCAGTCATGACACGAGGTGAGGGGGTGGTGTTTCCAGCAAAGCAAACTTTACTACAGTCTTCACTATGAGCCGCATAATCCAATAAGCTGTGCATCATCTCGGGGAGGGATACACATTAGAAGGCCACATCAAATCATAGCAGTCGCTTAACTATTCGTCCTTGTAATCATCACCGCTGCTGTCATTACCATTCTCGTCATCCTCGGCGCTGCTCTCTTCGTCGTCATCACTGTCGCTGCTGACTGACCCATCCTGCAGCTCCTCAGACTCGATAGCTTTTGTGAGAAGCTCCGAGAGTTGGGAGAAGGGGATGCTGATGAGACCATCAGGCCAGCTACTGGTGTCCATGTTCTTGGGTGCCATCTCACGGAGGGACCACTGCAATGTCATTTGCATGTTTTCAGGCCGGCCATCCTTCGATTGGAAGACCTAGGCACGTTAGTCCGCGAGCCCACAATGTTGGAGGATGATCAAGACTTACTGTTGGTTTCATGCTGCAGTAGGCCTCAAGCCTGCCTGACGTACCGCGATCTGCCTTCTAGACAGACACGGTGGAGGCTTGAGAAGGCCTCTTGTCGTACTGAATGTTAAAGCATACGACAGTCTTGACGTGACCGCGGGTCATGGTGAGCAACTTCTTGGCCTTGCTAATCAGGCTTTCAGAGCTTTGAGAATTGGCAACTTCGATTACGAGGCTTGGCCAATTGCCATAGCCGTCGTCACCGCAGTACCAAAATGACCCGTCGGGTTGGAGTTCAGACTCGTCCTTTAACTTCAGGTTACTATCACCCTGAGCGGTGAAGCGACCGGGCAAGGCGTCGTAGAAGACCTCAAGCCGCCTCTCTATGTTTCCTTCGACGCGCCTAGCAAACTGGCTGTGCCTCAATGAAGACATCCAGATGACGATTTTACCGGCAACGGGGTAGAAGTCGAACTTTCGAAAAAGCTGTTGGAGTCGACCTTGGTTGGCTTCGTAGCAAGCAGGATCCAAGCTGAAGGATGAAACAGCGGGAATGATGTCCTTTGCCTTTACCTTTGAGTAACGTCGATGGTATTCGATTAAGTCTTCTGGAAGGTCGTTGCAAAGAGTGCGCTGTGATGAAGAAGAAGGGAAAGTCGGAGAGCCATCTCCCGCGAGGGCTTTTTGACTCGCCATCATTGACAGAGGGTCGTTTACCTGTTGTTCTTGTTGCGTTTGATCAACTCAGGCCAAAAGAGTGACTTTTGCAAACGCGGACCGGGAGGGCAGGGATGAAGGTGGCAAAACGTGACAGGATTCGCGTTGATGTTTGAGGGTAAATGGAGGAGAGAATAAACTGGAGAGGGAGATACAGAGAGTGTGTGATGCTTACCAGGCAAACCGCTATGTATCGTGTCAATAGCTGCTGCGGCTCTTTTTGATTGTCAAGTTAGGCCGCAGTTTATGGATGGCAATTTCGCTCTCGGGGAGGAGGTAGATAAAGTTAGGAATGACGATGGGAGAGCGAGTTTGATGAGTATGAGGATGAGAAAGGTGGAGTGGGCCCTGAGCTCAGGGGGGGAGCGGACTCGACACTGCAGGGAAGCTTCAGGGCTGACAGTGGCGCCATTGGAACCCCGAGTCGCGAAAGATGCGTCAATGCAGTAAACAGTATACACATGCCGGTCAGTGAACAATGGGATATGGTGGCTGCTGGTTTGAAAAGTCATCTCCAGAGGTTTCGCGTTCACTTCACATTGTTGCGTAGTAGTGCAAACGCGCAAATAGCGCACTTGCACATAAGGGCGTATTAATTAACAAACACGTCAAATATAGGAGCAAGTATAAAGTCATCGCTAGTCCAGGGGTCATAAACAGGCACAGGAAGGTAAAAGATATTTCAGCGGTTACTTCTGAGGGAGGACAGTGTATTGCTATCAAGTCGAGGCGCGATAGCTTGGCGACCAGGAAATTAGTTATAAAAGGCAGAGCGATAAAGACCGCTTTGCTCAGTGCGCGTCAGACCTTAAAGGCGACAAGCATCGAATATATGAGCAACGAAATAGTAGAGAGAAATGGATCAAGAGCGGGGGGCAAGGCAGAGGAGATAATAAGATCTAACAGGGATAAAACCAGCAATGAGGAACGACATAAGCCGGGCTAGTGCGAACAAGGTGGCGAACTTGGATCTTCGTTCTCAAGAGCGACACGACAGAACCAACCTGTTCGGCACTTTTTGGGGGGGGTAAGGAAGTATGCATAAGTGTAATGGCTCTCTATACAGAGGCGGGGATAGTTACAACTCAGTACCTTTCATGCACCTCTGCTGGACAAACATGACCCGACCAACTCAACAAATGCACAGAAACGTTGGAGCTTAGACAAACGAAGATGATCTTGGGGGGACTAGTCCCGTCCTCTGCCGAGCCATTTCACCATGAGCCGAAACCGGTAACATGGCCCAGTCCATCACCCCACTATTGATTTCTTGGTCGCGTTGCCCTCGCTTAGACACGCGCACAAGAACCCTCCACAAATGTTAGATGACGACTCCCATCGCAAAGCCGGACGCTCTTATCTTCCCGTAGAGCGCATTGAAAGACGTTTTCCAAGATGTACCTTGGCCGAGACGAGCGCGATCCAAGCTAGGCATGGGTGGGGTCCAACTACCAACGCTCCCGCGCCCCCGAGTAATGGCGTCTGAAGCTCTGCACCGACATCCAAGCCCGGCTACCTCTGCAACAACATCGGGGAGAATCAAGACCTCGTTCAGAATCTCTGGAAACTAAGTGCATTTGACATAAAGTACGATTACAATATTCGCAGGGAATAGCGCAGTGAGTTGAATTGTTTTAGTGAGGGGGTTGAGCTGTGATGCTGATGATAGCAGAGCCGTATAATGTTAGGACGTAGCCTCGTGCTTGGTATCAACAGCCTAAACCTGAGCCCACGCCTCCGCCTCCACGTCGTGAACGGGAACAGCTCGTCTTGGAGACTCCTCTTCGCCCAGCCCGTCAGAGCTTCAGAACACCTGTCACACCAGCTACTCCTGCTCTTCCCATGGCACCAAGTCACTTCTAGTAACCCTCAACTCCACTCTCAACATCCCCAACAACCCTGCTCTCATCTCCACGTAGACCAAAGACCCTCGAAGAGTCTCTGCGCCACATGTCATTCGGTGCGGCGGCAGTCAACAAGGTCATTTCCGCTGGAGTGACATCACCTGGCAGACCTCTATCTAGATGATCGCCTACAGCCCCTGATACGCCTCGCCATTTGAACTCAGCGCCTGTTCCCATCACCTATCAACTCGCCAACTTGACAGCATGAGAAGCCTATTACCGACCAGACTTGGTCGGCGATGCTGCAAGACTCAAAATGTGACAACTGACCTTACCGCAGAGGTCCTAGCGCGATACGTTGGTAACTCCACCAATCCGTAGCACAAGAATTCAAAGCTTACAAGTGCCAACTTTTATGTTCATTCGGGCGGGACTGGTATTTTGCATCGTTGGTAGTTGTCAGAGAAGAGGTCAAATCAGGCGAGCGACATAGAAGCTCAAGGTACCAATGATAAAGTGTGTCAGGATGGGAGACACAGGCAGAGAGTATTAGCCACCAAACCGAGGTCCAGAAGATGGCATTGAATTGTTATGGCACATTGTAGTGAAAGACTGTGACTTAGGGGGTATTGCAGTGACTAGATTAACTGACATATAGTATCCAAGTAAGTGTTTTGGACTGTGCGCCTCTTCGGCTACTAGAGGCATAGCTAAACCCTTCACACAATACCTTATCTCAGCCAGCACACAACGCTACCACTACAACTCATCTTTCTTATGAGAATCACCCGCAACACCCTGCGGTTTCGTAACACCCAGCGGGTTCCCATATGGATCATCGGGATTATCACCAACACAATGATGGCACCAGAAGAGATTTCCTGGATCGTGCGCCCTCTTTACAGCCAGCAACTGCTTGTATGTCTTCTGGCCCCAGTACCTATCCGTCCAGTTGTGCATCACATACGAGCTCTCGGAGAAGTAGCTGTTCGGCCCAAGCTTATAGATCGTGTCATCCGACTGCTTCGTCGTCAAGGTGCGCGCATTCCACAGCATGAGGGCCGAGCGAAAGCCTTGCGAGATGGCCGTGTCGCCCGGCCTGGTGCTCCCCAGATTGCCTGTCATCGACGTATAGATGAAGTGGAAGCCGCAGCGATAACCCGATGGATCCGGCGATGTCTTATCAGGAGTCTTGAGGGTCTCGACGCAGATGTCCAGCACGTCCATCATAGTCGAGGCGAATTTTGTCTCCACGGCTTCCCGCGAGACAAGGACCGAGTTCTGCGAGCCGGTAGCCGCATCGGAGGGCTCGTGTGGAGCTGCCAGCGGGTTCATCACAGCGATTTGAAACTTGTTGGGAGGCATAGAGAGGAGGTAGTCATAGGCCGACTTGAAGTTATTCTCCTGCACAGACTTTGTCTGCAGCACGTCCTTGAGGCTGTCGCGGAACCGAATATAGTCCTGCTCTTTCTGACCGCCAGTGTAGAAGTACTCAAAGGTGAAGTTCCAGGTGACTGTGCAGAGGTTGCCCTTCTTGTACTTGCTGGTGTCGATAAAGAAGGCGGGCTGCGTGCTGACCTTTTGGTTTAGCCTCAGCTGCCACTCGGCGAAGCGAGTCCACATGTCGCGCAGCCATTCATAGCCAAACTTCTTCGAGCCTGGGCAAAAGGTGCCAGTTTGGGACATGAAGACGCGACTGAGGCCTCCATCAGGCACAGCATGGGCGCGGATCGTCATGGAGAGAATGACGCCCCAGACGCCGCCGCCGCCACCGCGCATGGCCCAGAAGAGCTGCGGATTATGGCGACGACTGGCAATCTTCCTGTGCACGACAGTCTGGCCGTGGATGCTTCGGCCGACCTGCAGAACTTCAATCTCCAGCACGTTATCGACGCCAAGGCCCATGGACGGTGCAAAGGGCCCGTGGCCGCCGCCGAGATGGAAGCCAGCCATACCGACAGTAGAGCACCAGCCTGATGACACAACACGGTCGTACTTGGCCGAGAAGGCATGCATCTCAGCGAAGATGGAGCCAGCGCCAAAGCGGAATGCGCCAGCAGGGGCCAACGCCTGGTCCTCGCTCCAAGTGGGAATAAATTCTTTGTCCTTGAGCAGGATCGTGCGGATGAGGATTCCGCCAGTCGGGCAGGAGTTGCGGCTGTTATACTCATGGCCTGTGCCGGCAGTAGCAATGCACAAGCGATGCTGCGCGGCGAATTCAAGAGCTGCAGCCACATGGCGCTGGTTAAGAGGGAAGACGACGATAAAGGGGTTCCAATTGCGGTACTCGTTCTGGTGCAGTGCCGCCTTGCACATGTCGGACGCTGTGTTCCAGATAGTAACGCCATCTTTGAGGTTAAAGCACGGGCGCTGCATCTCAGCGACATCCTCGTAATAGTACAGCGCCTTGAGGCCCTTGCTGCCCAGGCCGTAGAAGCCCTGGTTGTTGATAGAGCCTGTTGGTACTGGCGCTGGCTGTGGTGTCGGGTAGCTGCTCCACTGGACGCCAAGTCGGGGCACTGTAGGGTCTAGAGCCTTCTCTAGCTTGTCGATGGCCGTCTTGGTAGGCCAGCAGCTGGGGTCTTGGGGAGTGCACCACCTATGGCCGTTGTCGTCCCGGGGCGAGGGCAGGGCGCCAGCATAAGATGTCTCGACAGACTCGGCGGGGTCGCACGAGCCGGCGCCGCAGTTATCATTCTCAGCACTGCATGAGTAGCGACACTCGGCGCTGCATGGATTGCATCGACCCATGGCCCATTGCGTCTTCTTGTCTCCTGCTGTACAGTCGAGCACGGCGTATGAGTACACTGGCTGGTACTGGAACTGGAAGCGACAGGTAGTTACAGTGCCACTGGTGCTAGCAAGGAGCACCTGGCTAGGATCCTCTCTAGAGTGAGAGACTGAGTAGCGTTCCACGCCGCGGTCAGGGTGGTTTGGCCACTTCAGCGACGCATGGCCATCAGATGTGAAACTCCAGTTCGCGAGGCCCTCTTCATAGTGGCTAGACACCTGGAGTGAACGCCATAAGCCCAGCAGCGTAGTGGGTGCTCCGGCAATACCCGGCTGGGAGTGGCCAACAGGGCTAGGCTTAGATTTAGACTGAGATGCAGACTTGGTCTTGGTCTCAGACTTGGACGCCTTGCTGCTGGCCGCCGAGATAGCATCCGGAGAAAAGGAACAACCTGCCGCCGACGCCTTACAGCGGAACATGAGAAAGTTACCGCAACCAGGTGTGTCCATGGCGGCGTAGAAGCTTGCTGGCGCCGGTTCTCCGGTGTGGTTGCAGGCCAGGAAGGCCGCCTCGAGCCCGCCAATATCTGGTAGCCGCTGCACCAAGCAGCCCTCCAGGCGATTGCCACCGCATCGCAGTATCAGCTCCTTAGGGCCACGCCGCTCGTAGTTACACGTCTGTGGGTATGGACTATCGGTAGTGACCGTCAGGACCTTGTCAGTAAAGGTCTGCGCAAACTCGAACTTGCCAGACCCTCCCTGCTCGGCGCCAAATGAGCGCCAGGTGCCCTCCCAGGGCGAGGTGTTGTTACTGCTCATAAAGGCTGGCATGGCAAATTCCAGCACCGGGAAGCTTGCTATTCCGTCGTTGTTACTGCCACTGCCACTGTCGCTGTCACTGTCACTATTCTCCACTGGTGCATTGCTGGGGTCAAGCTCTACAGTGCTGTCCAGCTGCACTGCCGGGCATATGTCCCAGCTGTCACCGCACGCAAAGCACTGATCAATGCAGTCACCCGACATGCGCGGTACGCTCTGTACATCGGTGCCTTTCCAGCCTACTGTTGCTAGGTACGCACACTGCACGCATCGGGGGCTGACAAGAGGCTCTAGTTCCTCCGAACCTGGTTCCTCAAGCTGCTTGCGCAGCGCCGCGTTTGCATTGAACTCATTGGCCAACACAAACGCCGTGCGGAAGTAGGCCTCCTGAGACAGCCGGAATGCTTTGCCATCAGCGCCGGGGATAACTGCGCAGGTGCCGTGCTTCATCCACTCGGATAGGATGAAGCATTGCATTGTGTTTTTGAACTTTGGGTTCGTCGGCCAGAAGTAGCTCAGCAGGCCACCAAAGGTCTTGAGGATTGACTCGTCGAATTCCTCGCCGTTCAGGCAGCCGTAGGGCTGGTTCTTGGCGCCAGTGCCACCCGCCGACCCAGGCCACAGGCCGTGCAGCGTGAAGTCAGCCGAGTCTTGTGGGGAGTCACTGTCCTTCTTCTGCATCGCGAGCGTGTAGGCATCGACGGGTATCAGTCCGGCCGGCTGCTGCCACGCATTGCATAGTAAGAAAGGAGGGGGCTTCTGCTGTAGCTGGCCATTCTTTTTGATGGTGCAGCCGTGATTCCACTTGAGGTTGCACGTCGCAGGGTGAAAGTTGAGGGGGTTGAATTGCCGCAGCGGGATTGGGTTGGAGGAGCAGTCATCCGACATGCCGGTGCACTTGGCCGACACCAGGCAGACCAAGGCCAGCACCAGTGCAAGTTGGGCATGCCAAGTCATGATGCACACCAGTATTTAGTGTTTGTTTGTTTGTTTGTTTGCTGTACTGCTGCTGTTGTATTTCTTGTGTTTTAACGGTGTCTGGGAAAAGAACTTGAGGACTGATACATTAACTCTATATATATTACACCAGGATCCAAGATCAATAGCCTCCCTTGATGACCCGGCTAATCGCAGCCTCCATCCTGCTCAGCTATTGTCCCCTTTGCCCAGAGTTGCAGTGTGAGTGCTGAAGGTCTGCTAGCAGGTGCGGCTGAGTGTGATATATCGAAAGCGGCAGAGTTGCGAGTGCCGATGCTTAGTGGCGTGCTGAGACACGGGTCAGACACTAAATGATTGGAGGCGGAAGTTCGGGTGCATTGACGGATTAGTCGAGGCCCAAGCCACCAAGGGATTGAGGCTCCCTCCAATCCACAGGCATGTCAGCTAGCCACGGTTTGATATTCTAACCAATGGTGAATGGCATCTCCACAGCCACGTTCTAAAGAGTCGAGAGTGCTTACGGTATACTGACACTGGTTCAGTTCAGCAGTCGATAGTTCAGCCACCAGTTCCTGATCTGGTGCGGCTGAGGAGCGGAACTCGTAAACATGGCCGTTAGATTGACTAGATTGCCAAGACGGGATGTGCGGTAAGCACCGCCGCTAGTAGACGGAACGTGCGGGGTAAGACCTCAATTGCAACCCTCAACTCACTCAAACATTCTCATCGCGTCTTTCAGCCCGCCACGCATGTCTCATCCATACTGAAAACAGCGGCCAGCTGTCAATACATTCCGGCCACTGCCGAAGACTAAAGATGCAGCTTATGATCAGATTCTGATTTTGATGCATTAGCTGTATATCAAGCTGCGGGAAAATAGGATGTCGGCAGTCTTCCTGTAGACCTCATCATGGCATTCTAATATGGTCTTCTTTATTTTCAGCTCACAAAGATATTTCATGCCATGCAAACATAAATAGGATGCTCCAGGTCAGTTACTACAACCACTATACAGGCTACATAAGAGCGAGCCAGACTTCTTACTCACTTCTACAGTACATGCCAACGTGCGAGACTACTTCCATAATGAACACTGAAAGCCTCCCAGACTACCTGACCATCCCAGGACCAACAATCCCTAGCTTTCACTGCCGCGTTGGCAGAGATCACAATGATCGTCAGCCTCAACCAGCCAACACCTACGGGTACCCCGTGCCTGGCGTACAGGCCCCTAGTTCTACATCGGTCATGGCCCTTGACTACTTTGTGAGGTATGACGCAACACTACTTGGATGTTGCAATATCTAGACCGGCGCTGACCTTGATTCTACTTAGTGACCAGACTTGGAGCAACATACTGGCCCATGGAGACTTTGATTACATCGTCGTGGGTTCAGGCTTCACTGCTCTCGCATTCATTCAGAAGGCCCTCGAACTCGACCCCTGTGCCAAGATTCTTTGCCTGGAGCGTGGAGGTAAGTATTTCCTATTCGTTCCTTTTTTCAAATGCAGTCGTCTCATGCTTCAATCTGTTACAGGCTTTTGGCTTCCTTCCCACTTCCAGAACCTACCAATTCCTTTCAAGATGGTTCTGGGAGGGCCTTCAGAAACATTCCCCTGGACCCTCTCACGCAAGACCTTTGAAACAAAAGAGCTCAAGTTTTGCCACGGCTCCTGTCCATTCTTCGGTGGCCGATCTACCTTTTGGTCCTCCTGGAGCCCACAGCCAAGTCTGGACCTCATGCGTGACTTTCCCAAGGCCATGAAAGAGACTGCTAAAAAACAGAAGTTCTGGAAAGAGGCCAAAGAGCTTTTGAATGTCACACGCGCAAATCAGATCAACGATGGCATCTTTGGAAGCCTACAGACCGCCATTGATAACATTCTCAAAGACTCGGTTCACAAGATTCCTACTGCGGACTATGCTGAGACAGCCCCGCTTGCTGTCGGACGACGCAGCCCAACTTCTATTCTGCGATTCAACAAATTCTCTGTCCCTGGGCCTCTTCTTGGCATCTTGGAACAACAGAGGCAACTGGCCAAAGCTAACAAGGGAGCCCCTCTAGAAATAACGGTTGACTGTGCGGTGAAGAACATGGTCAAAGGCGACGACGATAATTTTGTCCGTGTTATCGAAACCAGCAAGGGCACTTTATCATGGACCGGCAACAAGACCAAGATCATCCTCTGCGCTGGAGCCATTCCCAACGCCACCATGCTACTGAACTCGTTCGAGAGTTGCCGTGACACCGTTGGTAAGAGGCTTACCGGCCACTATGACACACATATCTCAGCAAGATGTCCTGTCAAGAACATCAAGGGCTGGAAAAAGGAAGCCACGCTCAAAATGGCTGCTGCATACCTGGCTGGCAAGGATCCCAAGACCGGCCTACAGTACCACGTCTCAGTCACGGCGGTGAATAGTCCGAACCCGAAATACGATGCAGAGGACGCGGCTCGCGAATGTCCAGATTATGCTGCTGCGGCGACGCTTGATCAACTTGCAGGCTCCGAGGACTACGTTGTATTCGGTGTGAAGCCCGTCCTTTTGTAAGAGAGGTTATAAGCTAATTTACTCCTGTTTAGTTTGCTCGGCTCTTGGGGAGTTCAACGAGAAGAACACCAAGAACCATGTCACTCTCAACAAGGGCACTGACCCGACGTGCAACGTCACCCTGCAATACACCTTGAGCGACGAGGATCGTACCGCTTGGGACGTGATGGACAAGGCAACCTACGATACTATTAAAGAGATGGCAGGCGGCGATAAATACGCATCGAGTATCGAATGGTGGGATGAGGCAGCTCATGGTTGGAGCAGGACGAAACCAGCAGTCGACACCATTCGAATCCCTGGTATTGTTCATGAGTCAAGCACTTGTTTTATGGGGCCCAAGGATAAAGGCGGTTCCGTGGATGAGCTTTATCGTCCTCATGGGATTGAGAATGTTCATGTCACTGGAGCTGCCCTTTTCCCAACTGCGGGTAGTTGGAATCCTACCATGACCATGTGTGGATATGCTCAGGACTTGGCTCACAGGCTGTACGAAATGAAGTCTCAAGAGAGCGAGTGAAGGGAATAATCGCTTCGTAAGGTGATCTGCTGCAACGTACCCTTGTTGTGAGTAACTGGAGGACGCTTGCAGGATATCCCCTTATCCCGGATATTTATTGCTAGGGAGTGAGATGGAAGAAATTATATGATTGGAAAGGATGAGGATGTTTATGGATGATAAGAATATATAACTACATGTTGTTCCATTTTTATCGCTGTCTTAACCTTTTTCTGCCAATTTGATACATCTGGACTTATGTAGCGTTCAGTGATTCACAGATCGAACCCCCTGCCTCTATAGTTTCCCGATGTCTCTTAGGTAATTGAATGCATCTACTCATCAGATATTCTCTCTTATCGCTTGAAACTCCGCTCTGTGATCACTCGATTTACTAATCTTATGCACCCAATCCCAGACACGCGAAACTATATGGCGTTATCCTTTGGCGCCTCGACAAGCGCCAACCGTCAACGCCAAGTAAAAGATTCATGACCAAGTAGTTAAACAAGGCAGCAAACTCACTAGTGTCACAAGTTCGACTGCCGGGGCCATTCAGGTGAATCAGCTTTGAGGTAGTCCTCAGGGAGCAAGAAAACTTCTGACCGGGCACCAAGGTGCCAAAAAAGACCAGTCTAAAGGTCCACCAATCTATACAAAATTTAGCTAAGTTTATACTACACTCACCTAGGTCTTTTTGTCGATTGGGGTAGGAGTTAGTAGTTTTCTTGCCTCCCGCCAGCAGTTCAAGGCATAAAGTTGACTTTTTGTTGATAAAAGCAATGATACGTTGATGAAACCCAGAGCCGGCCCAATCACGATGATAGGTCGATTGGTCGACCGCACGAGGCTGAGTGGAGGTTGTAATGAACACAGCTAATTGACACTTCTAACAAGACTTCCCTCATCAAAGCTGTGTTCCAGGAAGCACAATAGCAGTACTTCTGTTTAACTGCCCTTCAAAGGCAGTGAGTCAACAAAGAACGATACGCCGCTTTGTTCTCCAGTGTCAACTTGAGTCACGTTCATAGTATGGCTTTTTAGCAAATGCTTGATTCATTGTTCACACTTTTTTTTGTAAAGTCTTAAATCATTCCATCGCGTTAGTATGCCTTTCATTCCATTGAAGGAGTGACAACTTAACACTGTTGAATGTTAACGCCAGGGACAATATATGTAGAGCCCCGTTCGGTATGAACATGATCTCTCTATGGTTGGAAAATTTGTATAAAGGGGCTTACATGCCGCTCTAGAGGCAAGACCACAACCCCAAATGACAATTCAATCACAACTACCCACCATACCCATCCCACAAACCCCTTCTCTACTCTCACAGCAAAAATGTTGTCATTCAAGGACGACTCTTACAATATCTTGATTCTATTGAATCAACTCGAGGACTCTATGACGGACGCAAAGGTTACGTATCCAGCTATCTTTCGCCCCAAGTCTCAGGACCAACCAGGTACCCCATTATTCCCTCCCTGGGCGAGATGATATCGTTTGTCGAGCAATCAAGGCAGCTTTACAAGCTGATCCGAGCCATGGAGACCCTCGCCACCCATCGAGTGGACCGGCGAGTGGCTGAAGGTCATAGACGACAGTACCGGTTGTTACAGGTGCAGGTACTACAGATGCTGGAGGAGGTGAATCAGACGCTGGAATCCGGCAATTAAAACCACATGGACCCTTGTCTGTGAAGGATGGTCAAGTGGCTACGTTTCACGGTTGAGGCTCGACATGGTATGAGAATGAGTTTGTTGCATGGGTTCTCTGTAGTCAGCGTCAATTTATCAGAAAAACGTAGGAATTCCACCCGAAGTCTTTAAACATATCTCGGTTTCAAACGCGCACTGTTCACAACCATTTTGATGACTTTAGGAGCTATCCCATAAACGAATCGTACACTTGGGACACTGGGACAGTGGCAATAAAAGTCGGTCCAGTAGGATAAACCGTGATACGCCGGAGTGCAATTTGTTGGTCTTTGTCCCCAAAACAAGCGAGAGATAAATTTCAACCAGAACGGCTGATGCACCAATGGCAAGAGCATCAGTGAGAAATAGCTTGGCGGCAATCTAGGTCAGCTGGTGCTATCTCAATGAACAGCTATATTTATATAAACGACTACTTCGCTCTATCTATGTTGATAAATCTTCTTCTTGTGCTTACTGTCCTCTTACCTTTTTATCTTCCCTGTCATATTTTTTCTCTACCTTCAATGTATTCTTGAAATCTTGTCGTTTAGCCGGCAGATAATGAAAGTGGGCAATTACATCACGGCACTGCTGAATAAGATATTGGTCGGGCTTACACCGAAAGACTAGGCCTGTCGTCTTGCAAGAGTCTGTATAGGCTGTGACTTACCCTGCACCAGCCTGGATGACTTCAGACAGGATTGTTTCGAAAGCGACCGTCTATGCGTCATTACTGGCAAAGGAGCCTCTTGGATCACAGTTCTAGGTAGTGGCCCTGCCCCCCAGGATTACCATATTGTTCCTCAACTACACCATCACCTCTACCTTGTGGCATAAAATGCAACGAGAGATAATTTCCACGTCCTGAATTATTTCACTCCGCTTCGTATTAATAAGGCATGGCTGAAAACAAGGAGTTCAGTGGTCTTGTGATATGGGCCCATCTTCACATAGTCTTCGACGTACGCCATTTCTCTATCCACCCAGAAACCAATCGCATCCGCACCTTGCCGTGCGTCTACCTGCTCCACTACAGTGGCAAGAAGGCATACTTGCCCGATGAAGTTAACAAGAATGCCCTGCGACATCACTACGACATGTGCTGCATTGAGAACATGACGGGGTTGAAGCCTTTTGACGTCAGCAACACCGGAACCACCTTTCACCGTCCCTATAGAGAAGCTCACACGTATGTCTCAAACCGGCGGCACCAATAGCCGTAGGTTTAGTGACCCAGCCAAGACGATGCTGGCCCCAGTTAACCTGCGGAGCAACAAGACGATGACGTAGGTGGCCAAGACTCTATGGAGTTGTACGAGGGGCCTTCTAGTGAAAACGATATAGAGGAGCTAGAGGATGCGAGTCTTTGGGTCACTCGTTGGGCACTGGGTTGCGAGAAGAAGGCTCATGTCATCACTCCCGATAACAGTGAGCTATTTCTAGGACATGCCAACAAAGAACTGGAAGAGTTTAAGCGGCATGCTTTTTGCTAGTTGAATAGATGCAACCTTGACGAGAAAATTTAGACAACGCTGCTAGATGAAAAGGATAAACAAGCAATAGGCAGCAACAACGTATACCATAGTTGTGCGGGACATTGGGCTGGGAATCTTTTGTAATGTGTATAGTGAAGCTGTATTGAGAAACCTTTCCCCTGAACTATGTACCTCTCACCTGGCAACGAGGCTATAGAAGCCAAACAAAGGCATGGTCCCTGTAAGCTAAGGTCTTGATCGAAAACAATGGAACTTATGCCACGTCCGCCGTTCTGACCTCGCCATTCGAGCCTCTGATAAAATAAACCGAAAAGCCCGGATGGACTTTTACCCGCCCTCCCTCCTTAGGCATGCCTAACCAAACGCCTCCTTTGCATTTCTTTTGGAATGCACGGTCACAATTGTTCCAGTGGATAGTTTGGCCAATACCCCTGATTTCATCAATGCTTTCCTCCTTCGCGGCTGCGTCGAAGGCTTCCTGGTCGAATGGATGTACTTCCTATTGATTACTATTAGTGTGGCTTACAGCATTTTTGTCAAAGAGCAGTGTTTACCATGGCTGATTCGTTCTGTTGCGTTGGTGCAAGTGCGGTGGAGATGAGCAAGCTAGGATATTCAAGTTTTTGAACTCACATCTCCGCATTTGATACACGTGACTATCCACGTGATCAATGATTCATGTCTGTCCCTATAAATCGATCAAAAGTGTGATAAGCTTTGTCGAGTTCGATACATTTATTCCTGACCTGAGGTTGAATACTTGTGTCGACGGACGATGAATTTAAAGTACAAGTCTAAGCACGGTGGAATCGACAGACCTTGCTTGGTATTGTGCATGCTTCGTAATTGTCATCAACTGTTGCGAGGGGGTTTACCAATGCGACTCAATGCGAATATCTCTAGCTTGTCTACTTGTTTCTTGTTTGGTACTCAGGTCAGTGAAAAGCAAACAAGAGCGAATGGTTACTAAGACCCTTTAGGAGAAATTGCGACGCCCTGGTTAAATATCAATTGGTTAAATTACTCCTAAGACCTTTTAGGCACTTTTGTTACTTATCACTACGATATTTGATAAAGCGCCGTGTTTGTGCGATTAAAAACATCGTTCGAGAGACAAAGCGTTTGAAATAGTAGCAAATGAATTGACATCGTGCAAACAGCTCTACTCAAATAGTCAAACAGGTTCATACTACAACAACGCATCAAATACAAGTTGAAGTATTTGATGAGGGAGATGTTTTGTTCAGCAAGCTATCTCGGAAAGCTAGAGATATCGAACCAAAGTAACATACCCCAGGGAGCTCTAATAGCCCCGGTTTATACAGGCATGTATCACCTTCATTCTGATCCGAATCACTGAAAGGAATTGAATTACCAAGGATGGCCGATAAGAATACTATTGACAACCCAATAAGACATAAACAAGACCCCGAACAGTTGGTTTTCGCGCAACATCATGTCAACCGAACTTCACGGAGATCACCCTTCTAGACACATTATCGCCAACGAGAGCAAGACAATACCAATTCATCTTCTCTTTCCGCAATTGGCCCATGGACTCTCTCCAGCGCATAACCAGCAGTGGGTGTTCAAAGAAACACCATCGAAAGCAAGAACGTCAGCCTCTTCGTCGATCTCAATCCGTCCCAATTCCTTCGATCCAAAGGACCAAAGAGAAGTCAAAAACATTAGAGGTTGTCAAACAAGCGTAGTTTCTCGAAAGCAAGAGACACAAGGATACGACGACACCGGCACAACCCCTCAGCCTATCTCGACACCAACAAATGGCCTGAGGGGCCAGAAACTTCGGCCCCGGCGTCCTCCCAGGTTTCTATTATTGATCCAATCGAACCCCAACCTGGTAATTGTTAATCATTGGTAGTGATACTGGAGAGCCTTTGGAACGTCAGAGGAATGCCAACGTGATCATGAGTAGAGAGACGCACCACTTATCGTGAGCATTGGAATGGAGGCCAGACAAAATGTTATTACTTGTCAGCAGAAAAGTGCCTTTTGACCGACCGGTTGGCGTTGGTCTATGAAGTAAGCATTGAACATCAGATGGAGACTATTCTATCCTGATCCATGACTTCGTCCTTCAAGTAAAGAGGTAAATGTTTATTAGATAAGCCAAAAGAAACGTCAAATATCTTTTGCAGAATAAATTGAAACACCAACTCAAGACATACAAATGTATACCTTTGATCTATATATCGATTCTATGGGTCTCATTTGTCACGTTCTCGCTCACTGGCTCTTCTACATCACCACTACGACCTGCAAGTCTTGACCTATCTATTCATGTATATAAGTAACATCATCCAGATCATTTTGATAACTCGGCTCTTATCTTCGAAATCACCATCGTTGCAGTTGGTCTCTGGCACTTCTGGAATCATATTTGAATTATGATATCCGAACAAATCGGCTATACGCCTTGAGATGGAAGCAAGCGAGTACCTAGAATCTTTTTGTTCATATGGTTCTTGAGAATTTGTCGACTTGGAGCCAACTGTCTCCTTGCTGATCTCGGGTCTCAACGCGATGAATCTGGTAAGAGGAAAATAAGTGGTAAATCTTGGTCCGCAGCTTTATGTCAAATATGGATAGAGTTGTCACAACAGTGATGAAGAAGAACTATTTTGACATAGACTTTGCGACAGTTGTCGTACCTCCTTTCTACAACATTTTCCGTTAGTGATATACCGGCTCACTGTATATCCCGGACCGGGAATCACCATTAGAGTATACCGACGAGATGATATACTCAGAGGTATAGAGACTGAAAGACTGCAATGAGCCAAGTTGCGAACCAGGACAGTAATAGTCTCAACCAGAATTAACTGAGCTATCGGAGTGAATCACTCAAGAGCCACGTCTTTGCGATACTTAATCTAGTTCGACAGCCTTGTAATGCCGAAGTGTCCTCAGCCAGCAAGATAAGGGAAGTAAACGACCAATACAAGTCCGTGTCGAATCATAACGCCAGACCCAAGCCCATGACACAGTATTCTCAGTTCTCGCAGCAGAAGTCGACTACGCCATGTCCTCGATCCTAGTCATAGAAGAATCATAGAAGACTATATTGCTGCACTTATAACACTCATCAGGCTTGGTGGAGTAAGACACTATTAGCAATCAGTGTACTTTTTAGATTATTACATGCTCAGTGGATACATCACTTCAGTGTAATGTCGTTGGCCCAAAGAGAAATGTTGCCTTCCTTTATAAGTAATTGCCCAGGGAACAATATTGGATCTATTGCTTGTTTTGATCAATAAGTAATAAGCAACCCAAGCTTTCATTTCCTTTTATAAGCTTGATTCTTCTTAACATCCTTCCCATTGAAGATTCGAAGAAGTTGGACATAGTCCGAGGGTAGCGTTATGGCGTTCTGTCGCAACCTTTGCTTTTCTCAGGAAGACAATGATTTTGCCTCATCCCTTTCATGAATTCTTGCTCGGCGAACCAATGGACTAGAGTTTAAGCAGGAACCAGATTTCTTCAGTTGGACCATGAGAAGGACATATCGCCTTTGAAACAACTCATGTCTAAGTGAGTTTGCCAGACCGGCTTTAGGTGCAGTTTAACAATTGGAATAGTCACTGCAATTGTTTCCTGAGGGCACTCCATTATCATAACTACACTCTATAAGGAACCAAGTGACCAGGTGCCAGCCAATTCACTTTTGGGCTTTGTTCAACTAAAGACCATCATCAATTTGCAATCAGTCAAAAATTGCAAGCATAATGGGTAGCATTTAAGGTTAAAAATTCGGCTATGATGCTTCTTATACTAGCTTTATACTAGTGACCTTCTCTGCTTGAAATGCTGTAGAGATATCATTATAAAGCTTATACCCATCAATATGGATCACCCAAGCCGAATTAGGAATCTCTACCCAGCCATTGGGAGGGGAAGCATGGCGTTCTGGTGGAATGTTTTGATACTGGATGCTTACCGCACCCACTCTGCGCCAGCCTGGGTTAGTGAACAGGTTTGAGACCAAAATACCAACCACCAGTCTCCCAGTTGCGTAGAGGGGAAGCATATAAAGCTGCTGTTGAGACACAAGACTCTTGATGTCTGCTTTGGACCCATCATAATCGAAGTTGGTGCTTTCTGGTCCTTCACAGTTATCGAACTGGAAATAGCCTATCTTGAAGGATGTGATATCCTTCTTGAACCATCCGAGAGAATCAACAGGAAGAACCATCCCTTGCAGCTCAAGAATACCGCTTGCACTAAGCACCGAAACCCCGGCTTCCTCTCTTGCCGGAGCTTTCAGGACGCGACAGAAGTACTCTGGTTTGTGGTGTGCTGATGGGTACGGGTGGAAGCATATCTGCCTATCCGAGGAAAGCCATGACCAGCTGGGCGCACAGTAAGCGGCTCGATTGCCGGAAGACAAACCACCGTCGGCTTTATAGACCCACCACGCAAGATCGGCTATGATAGTGCTCTTCCACGTCCCTGCGATATACTCATCACTCCTTGCGGACTGGACTATCTTAGCAATCCCGGCAAAAGCAACAAGCTTATCCGTATTGAATGTGAGGTGACAGGCCGAGTAACTAGTTGCGACCTCGTGCCAGCGACTGCAAAACTCTTCTGAACTGGATACGTTCATCGGTTTCATGATAGGCCAACATACATCCTTTTTGTAGTTATCCTCAAAACGTGGTGGTAGGCCGGTCGGAAACATTTCAAGTGCACCTCCTTCGTTACATTCCCAAGCAAGTTGCCGCATCCCAAAGTGAAGTACGCGTGGTGCTAGGAATCGCTCCTGGAAGACCCAGCCACGTTCCATCAATGGTGACTCGTGGACCTCATCACTCCATAAGTATCCATCAACAAAGATGTTACTGCGCAGTTCTTTGTCATCCAGCAAATGGAGTTCTGAGGGGAGGACGTGATTCCAGGGCTCAGGGGAGAAAATCGATGGGTTTTTTTCCTCGTTAGTCGCATATGAAGCCGACAAGTTCAGATATGAATTTGCATAGACGTCGCCCATCTTCAAGGCTTCCACCTCCCAGTCCCCACAGGCGGTATCTTGCAGAATGCATAGTGAGTCAATCCAAAGATATCGAATCTGCAGTGACTTTGTGACCTCAATTGCTTGCTGGAATATCCGTGGTAGGCAAGATGTATCTATACAGCGCCTGAACCGACTGAGCGATTGAGAAGTGAGCTTCTCATATTGATAGTTGCTCCACCGATGGCTCAGTGTCATATACGGTCCGACGGGTCTGTCTTCTTGGGTGAGAATCACATTTATCATGTCTCCATTTCCAGTCAAGTCTAGCAGACGAGTGGGATACCAGGCTGCACCCAGGTAAGGGCAGCATGCTGCATGTAGTTGTCTGCAATTGCTGATCCAATCTTGGATCTGAGGAATATTTATAAGGTTTGAGGCGATCCCCTCCACATGTGACTTTGTCTCTGGGACTTCTACAGCCGATTAGAATCAGTGTGAATCATGAAACTTGGACATCGTTCTCACCTCCTTGCCTGTAAAACTTGACCTCTATGAGACAACCTGACCCTTTGCCGCCTCTGTGATTCCGAGACATGATCAACTGACGGACCTCCATGTTTTGACGACCGCGACTGTCAGGTGGCAAGGGCTCTTCAGACGGGCTTCTGCGAGTCCTTGGCTTTGCTTCTTGCTCAAGGTAAGCAGATTCAACTTGAAGTGTGGTTACCAGTTCATGCTTAAGCCATCGCTGATAGACTGCGGGGTAGTGTTCCTCCAGGAAAACGGCGTGTTTGACGCAGATCCAGCATTTTACCTCAGCGCCTGCGTCGAATGGAGCGTAGGTCGTGGTAGTTTCCCGTTTGGGATAAATGTCTCTCACCTTAGGGTAGATTTCGCAAATAGCATCGTGACAGGGGCCGCAGACAGGCATTGTGAGTGATGATGATTTGTAGGTAATTCTAGAGGACGTTCTATGATGATTTGAAGAAGGCAGGGCTTTAAAATCCCTCATTTTGAGTCACAAGCCAGTGTTTTGCACATCAACTAAACCAACATGCATATTCATAAAGCCAGTAAAGCCTATCAAAGACATGCAATGTGGGGCTCGCCTGAAATGCACAGAGGGTGACTAATGGCCCCGAATGAGAAAGCGATGCAAGCGAAGCCGGAAATAGAGAAGGTATTAATTAGGCGCTGGACAAAACCTTCATCTAGCGTAGAATGACCAAGACTGTAGACCGTCATTCGCGTTGTTATTCGTATTTAGCTTATTTTGTTCTAGAGTGAGCTAACAGCTATTGGCCCCGGCTATACCAGCAAATCTGATCTTTATCCACGATAGAGTGGGCCGGGATCCACAGGTGCCTCGTACCACTTCTTTTGCATAATATGAAAACTTTAAGACGGTTGGAAAGAAACAGGCAAGTAATGGGGTTTATGTGCCGGTCTGAAAAATGAACAGAACATTGGACCAAGTTCTTTGTGACAGGCAGTGCTGCAATTCCATGGTGTGTTCTGCAACAAAGACCATTCCTTAATTTTTGTCTGGTTCCCTTTGTTTTGATACGTACCTTTATTTTCCGATGCATCAGATCAAAGAACACGCCGACGGAACAACAAGGCCAAGCTTCTTTGTAGGCTCACCATTGAGGTACCCTTTCATTGAGTCTCTAATTGTAGAATTACTTGAAAATTCCACAGGTCTCATCAATACTTATTGCACCTGAAGCAACTCCAGCATGTCTGCCAATTATTCTCTAGCCGCCGACCCTTCATCGCTGTCAAAAGGAAGATGTGAGTGTGATGACTGATGAATTATACTTCATCCCCAGCTCCATACGCCCTACTTCTGTCAAGCGCCCAAGAAGCCTTCCTTCAAACTATGGCGCTACCACTCAGTTGACCAGGTGCTCGTGCGATTCTCCCGCTCGCAGCTGTTTGAATGAGAGTAGATATCAGGACGAGGGTTAATCTTGGTACTTCTGGCGTAGAGGCAAAGTGACCGGATGATGTTGGAAATTTAGCGTGACAGAGGTTGTCTTATGACGTTTAAGCACATGGCAGCGGAGGCTGTTTGACGAGATAGACCAGACCGCTCTATAAGTGGCACGGTATAGCAGAGGCATCCCAGATTGGCTGAAATCACTAACTGATCCCGTTAAGACCTATCAGTTATGGAGCATGTGAGTAGCATCATTGAATCGATGTTAGATCGTCCCGAACTGTATCCAACTCTGGGACCTATAATAATTGTCAAGGCCGGTGCGATAATCGTGAAGCTGCCAGGTAGAAATGCCAGGTAGACTTGCGATGATTGTAAATAGAAGAAACTGAAGAACCTAATAGAATGGGTGGCATTTCTGGTTCTAGGTCCAACGTTGAGCTATCCTTCCCGTGGTTCGTGGTGTTTAAATGGGAGTCGGGTCATGCATGATGACTCTTTGATCCTTATTCAAGACTGTGTTGGGCGCAGTTGGCCTGATTGGAATTGTAGAGCATAGACCTTGCGATCTTGCATGTCTTAGTCTGATTAGCCTCTTACTGGTCTGTCTTTGAAGCCCAAGAAACAATGACCAAGTCCATGGCTTCAACACGTCACAGTTTTATTCCACTAGGTAACAGTCGTCACAGTGCGCCTGACCTCCAGAATCGCTAAAATTTGAACAGGTCATCTATGGCGCTGAGTTGTGTCGGAGCTAGCAAAACAGCGTGCTTAAGGCCGGTGAGAATGATGACGCACGCTGGGGGGGGGCGAAGAAGCTAAGAGAGGGGACGTGGCCTAGATAAAGTTTTAAAGTTCAACGGCGCGATCGAGCTGAAAGGTGCCTTTTTGGGGTAAACTTTCCGGCTGGATGACTCCACACATAGGGCTGATGTACCTGTTCTCCAAAAGATATTTCTGATGTGCGGGGGGACCAAAGTGCGGAGTACTGCATACTAGCTACAGTTGACCCACTGAACGATGCATGACAATGATTTTCTAGTTCAGTCTCCATCCAGGTTCACGTAGGCAAAGATTTGAAAAAAAGAGAAAGAAATTACAAGTTCTTTTAATACTTACAATTAGATTTATACTATTTTATATATACTCCAAAGGAATGCTATTAAAGTAGAGCTCCAGACGGCCCATCCTTAAACCAGATCCAAGCTGATCCTCCTTCTTGGGAGAACTCTTCATTTGAATCAACATGGCTTGAGCGCTGGCGAGGTCGCGATCAATTTTGGAGCCTTCTCTTGTTAACGGGACTCCTCCTACAACGGAACATACGCGTTTCTGTTCATGATTCACCATCAGACGTTGGCCCTTTGTGTAACTGTCAATGCTCAGCATCTCAGACCTTTAGAGAACAAGCCCGACCAAATGCTCTACTTTGCGGCTCCACCTTTTTATTCACTCTTCAAACGCCGGCAGCCATGTTGCGTACCGCTCATCTCGCGGTGAAAGTTTCCCCTGCGGCAGCCTGTCGTCAAAGACTGATAATGCTGTTGCCACGAGATGGGGGACATTCTCTCTGACCGAGGCTGCATCTCACAATCATGTGAAGTGAACTGCCAGTCCACGTGGTGCAGTTATGTTGGAACCCTTCTCTCCGTTCCCAGCTTTTAGCCAGATTCTGATTGTGTTGGCCAACAAGATGCGGCGCCTTACTACTCTCTCACTTCAAAACAAGATGGAGTTGTAGTTTAATTTGCAATCCTCCACCCTGTACAGGACCAGCCTCTCCATCAAGGCTTCCCAGGTTGTTAGACAATCTTCACATTGCGCAAGATACCACGTGCAGCAGCATCATAATCCTCTTTGAATTAGCCGTCAGGAAATCAAGGCTCATAAATATACCGATAGCCAATATGGAGAGGACAAGCCGCCATTTCGAGAGGATGGTCTGAGGTAGATTGCCATTATGAGTCGATGAGGAGGGGGGTCCTTGCGTTGGGTGACTTTGGTCCATCGTCGCTTGGTCTTCTGCATCAGCGCCATTGCTTGGAATGCCCCCTTGATTAGCCACGAATTGTATGTATCTCGGGGCAAGTCATAGAGCCGCTTGAATTCGTCGCACCGCTCTGTCTTGAAGATAATGTTGACCACCATAGAATGCGCGGCCTTGTTCAGCCTCGTCCTTACTCCAGTCGCTCGATGAACTTCGAGAACGTCTGCCTCCGTCATTTTGAACAATTCTAGGATACTTAGGGAATGATTTGTCGAGAGGCTGCTACAGCTTGTTCTATGTAAGGTTGTTGTTCTGACTTTGTCTTTGTAGTGGACTCTCTGTGTAATGCTCAGCATTATTTGCTACCCTCCCTTGGATGACCCAATGCCGTCTGATTGGTCATTTCAACGTCAAATAAAAGGACTGATCAGATTCTCGTCAACGACTCTCCTCATCATAGGATCACCGAATGCATTGTCGTATCAACTAACAACTCAGGTTCCACCATCTCCCAGCCGCGCCCATACTTCTTCGTAGTAATATTATGTCATGCTACAGAACGCTCTCGTCGGCTTACCTACTCAGTAAATGCCTTTTGCATAGAGGCCTATAAGCTCTTATATCTACTGTTCCTGACTAGAAGGTGGCCCATTCGTCGTAGATTCTCTAGGTCCGTTTAATGAATTGACAGAGGCTCCCAGAAGTTCTGTGTACTGTTTTTGCAATCTGAGTGAGATTCACTTGAGTGAGAGTATACAACGACTGATACACCAAAGCCGAAGACTGGCAGGCTGATACATATGTAACTACATGCTTCATTATGCAGCTTTTAAAGCCGTCATGAATAGAACAGAACAGTTTACATTTTCCAGTCCTCAAAGGAATGTACTTGGATTTTGGATTCATGCATGGCGGCTACTAACGTGATGCTTCTTATCTAAAATCACCATCCTCAAGTTCCCCAAAACGACTGTGGCTAACCTTGAGTGACTTTTGAGTGTTTCGCCAATGGGACCGTAGATTTAGGATTTAACGATGTTTTCTTTGTCTTCACTATAGGTTGTAACACTCTGGCAGGTGAGAACAGATGGGCACTGAAAGAACATGGCTTGACATCGTACTCTGGTCGATTGACTTACGCACAATCTCAAAGGGAGTGAACACAGGGGAAGCATCAACATAAACTGCAGGCAGCTGTTCAGTCGAAACAAGGTCTAGTACAAAGGAAGTCAGCCACTGGCAAGAACTGGGCTTAGAACAAGTCTTGAACGAACAAACGTAGAGACTCGATATTTGGATGTACAAGGAGAGGTCAATGCGTCGCAGGCCGAACAAGACTGCGATGACACTGCCAGACGGGTTCTGCTACCCCCATTGAGTCAGAACAGCTGAACATGAAGAAGTGCCACTACAACAGAAGAACTGCCAGTAGAACAGATGAAGAGATTGAACAGATGCTCCAATCTAATATATAATATTTCGATCGAGGAAAGAAACTCTTCAACTCAAACATCTTATCAACACCCTTCAGTTAAGATACACCATCAACAATATCCAACCCAAGGCATCACCATCAACAATCTTCGACCAGAAACCCCTCGGTAAAGATCAACCTCCTATGCCACCACCTTTCATCCGATCTTTATCTCCATCATGGCTCCCTCCATGCCCATCTTCTACCCACCCAAGATGTCCCCGGGCATCCAAACCACCTTCGCGCAGCACAACGCTCAACCCCTCGAGGACCGCGAAAAGCCCCTCTTCGTAATCGACGTGGCCATCGTCAAAGACACCGTCAAAGACTTCATGGCCTCCATACCATCTACCGCCAACATCGACGTCGTTCACTTCGGCGCCGTCAAGGCCTGCGCTGCTAAGCCCGTCACTGACGTCTACGACCAGCTTCGATGTGGTTTTGACTGCGCTTCCAAGGTTGAAGCTAAACCACTCATCGATGGAGGTGTTAACCCTGCTCGTATCTCTCTGGGCAACTGCAATCTTCCTAGTAATGAGCTTGAGTGGGGCATTGAAGTTGGTATTCAGTACTATGCTGTTGATAGCACTTCGCAGGTCCATCGTATGATTGAGGCTGCTGATCGCGTTGCCAAGCGTAAGGGTTGTGAATTGACCACTATCCTCGCTGACATCAAGCCCTTCTGTCGTCTTGTCTCGTCCGGCAAAGGTTCTGACAAGCCTTTCTCCGCCAAATTTGGTGTCGATCCAGAAATGGCCTTCACTATCATCGAAGAAGCCCACGCCCATGGCCTCACTTTCATTGGTCTCTCTGGCCATCCCGGTACCCAGAACCTCGCCACCGACGCTTTCGTCCAGTTTGCCCAGCTCTTCCGTGGCGTCTTCGACCGCGTCAAGAACGAACTCGGCATCACCATGACCCTCGCCAACATTGGTGGAGGTTGGGCGGGTATCTCGGCCGAGACCGCTCCCTCGTTTGTCGACTACAACAAACCCACCATCGACATCTTCTCTTCCGTCTTTGCGGATTGGCCTGTCAAGCTGATCATCATGACTGAACCTGGACGTACCTTCATCTCCAAGGCTGGATGGCTGCAGACCCACGTCATCAACGTCTCCAAGCACACCGCCAGTGCTGCCGTCTCGCGTGTCTTTCTCTCCGTCGGCACTCTCCACGGATTGAACGAGGCCAACAAGATTTCCTTCGAGTGGCATACCTCTGCTCCTTCTGAGAAGACCAAGCCTTGTGTTCTGTATGGTGCAAGCTGCGACAGCTCTGACATCATTCTTGGAAAGGATGCCAATGGCAAGGAGAAGACTGTTGGTCTTCCTGAGGTTCTTGGTCCGGATCATCTCGTCTGGGTCTATGGTCCTGCTGCCTATGGGCCCGACTACTCGACCTCCTTCAACGGCGTGCCTCCCCCCAAGGTCGTCTACATCAACTCTAAGGAGGACATCACCTACTGAACTCGCCATACCCGAAGTGGTACATGGGCAGTATGAGACTGCTATCGGCGTTTGAGTTCGCAAAACACAGAAATTAGAGACCCCTGAAGGACAGGAATAGGATACATTGCTTTGGACTTTCTTTTTGCAGCGATAGCGCACTCTTTGTATTTAGGAAACTCCATAGCCCACAAAAATGATGTATTGTCTCTAAAACCTTTCTCATTCCCATAAATCTGTGACTTGTTGACAACAATGATATAGATGACAACGTCACTTCCTATTGTTAATGCCTTGAGTGCTTTAAATACTGACTCTAACTTGAACCTATCGCCTGATTATATTACTACTTATAAGTGCCAGCCTTTTCTAATGGTAAAGGACTGGTCGCCCATGGGACTTAGTAATGATACGCCCGACAATAACTAACAGAAAACAGAGAGCGTGCGATATTAATGCTTTGCCATTTCCTTCTCTCTTATAAAAGGGCTTCCGACTCCTCAGAATACTTTGTTTGCACGAGTCCTCTTGAACTATCTACTCATTCCTCGAATACTACGAGGTTACACTTTCTTCCTCAGAGGGATTCGAGGATCAACCTCAGGGCCTAATATGTCTCCAGATCCTATCACACGCTCCCAAGCATGAAACTTGATGTAGCTAAGTCAACGTGATGCAGAATGGTTCCTTGAAGAGCTTTTTCATACTGAGCTGCTTCCAGTCTGCTAGAGAAGCGTGGATGCATGAGGACATGTTGAAGGGCTATGCGTATGTCCAAGCACGCCAAGATCATTGCAGATCGCAACACGAGACAGATGGCCATCAGGCGTCCGGACTATAGATTTATTCAACTCTGCCCTTCTTACAAGTCAAGCTGAGTCGATTGAGAAGACAATCACTCAATTCGTGAACCATGCATAAAAGGACTGTTGCAAATATCTTTGAGTGCTGAGAGGCTTTGGATATCTGTTAAATAGTCTGGTTCGCCACGACAAATCAATAAGTAATCTACCAGGACTTCGATGTAACAGCCGCACGAAGCCTTCAAAATGCCCGAGAACCTCCAAGAGTTGAAGACTTATTTCTAGTGAATCGTCATCTTTGGAGAGTCGCAAACACCAGTTAGTCCATCTACTCGAAGCCTGAAAACTTCCTTGCATATATGCCAGTACCCCGTTTCACGACAGGCTGGTCTCCGGGTCATCTTGGTGTTAATCTACTGTTATTTGACTCTGACACGAATGCGTCGCCGCACCAATTGTTGGCCCAACATCCGACGGAGGAAGGATGGGGACGTGTCAGTGTCCTGTCATGCGAACATGCATTCTGCGAGACTCTGTTGAATAGAGGCAGATCCAATTTACCTTTTCATCTTAAAGTGGATGTTGGAGGTGTTGCTGATCTCCTCGACGGACATTCATGCCATAATGGCTATTCGCGAAATTTGGTCGCGAGACAATTGGCTGAGCTACAGACGGAATCACATTACAGAATGTCTCGACTTTTATCCAGGCTAGTTCTGAGGTGTTGGTATATATGTGTTCTTTGCCTTTGTGTTGGGGCTGAAGCTTCTTTCAACCCCTCATCCTTATGACTCTACTATTGTTCGAAAGGGTATCTTGTGAAAGAGCGTCTAACCCGGACAGCGCCGGGAAAACCGAGCAGGCGACCCTTGATGTGTATCTACAAGTCAGTAATACCATACTCAAGCATGGCATCGCTCTCCATGGAAATCATAGCGAGCTATCTAATTAAATCTTCTTGTGTTATTTCTCTACGTAACGCCATCATAGACACCTCTAATGAATTCAGATTCTTTCCACGCCATAGTGGACCTCAGAGCAAGGCACGTCGCGATCCTGAGAAGCTACGTAGTGCGAGGCTGAAGTCTCATCGTCAGTGGGACACAGCCAAAATAAAAGGAGATAATAAGGGACTGGAGCAGTGAGTGATGATACGACTCGAGGGCGAACAAGCAAGCCTTGGATTAATTATGTCGTTTGCCATCGGGTGAATGCAAGGCAGGCTGCTCCTTACTGGTCCTCTACTCTCAGGTCCTCGCTCACATACCTCTCTCTGACCTGATACAGTATCTGCAGAGTACAGAGCCAAGATCGGGGGCTCGAGACCGAGTAGCCGAGGGCCCAGCCTACTGCATTCTTTTACTCCTGGACTGTACAGAACCACCTATATCCACTTCAAGTCGGATACTGAAGCTGTTGTCTTAAGTACACCAGCACAGCCGAGATCAGGAGCTGTAGACAAAGACAAGACATCTAAAAAAACAGCAAAACGATTTAAACATAAGGATCACTACACCTATAAACAGGATAAATTCCTCTCCAAGTTTCTCACTTGCAGCACTACCACTGATAAGCGTCCATGCGTTGCAGGCCTTTCCTAATTGGGCTGAATTTGGGGGCTGTTGAACTGAGCCACCCGGTGCTGGTACGCTACGGTGCGCATTTTGGAAAGTCCCAGACATGAAGATTGGGTAAAGATCGATGATACCACTTGCAAAGATACTCGTCCCGCCTTGCGGCCTCAAGGACTTGGTCGTGGCGAGTCTTCGGCAACTGTTTTCTTGTGGGGATCTACCTGATCTGCATCGCCTTAGCCTGTCATTAGCCACGTTTCCAAATCTTGATACTATTTATAGGCGAGAGCGACATCTAGATAAATCTTCGCAAATTGACCTTTCAAGGGTAAAAGAGGTTGATTAATTGTTAAAGCTACAAGACACGGTAATCTCTAAGTTAGTCATTGCGTAACTTAACCCTAGAAAAATAGAATAGCAATACTTTGCCGGTGTCTTCCTGTAGGGTCTCGCAAGGATGACTTGGGCTCCTTCGCATATAGCGAATCAACGCTCGACAGTCTGTCGAGGCATAAAGCCTGCAGCTTTTCCGCTTCTGCTTTTCCGATCCATGTTTCAGCAAAATGATCAAGCTTAGCACCGGAAATTATTTATCCACCATAAAGATCGCATTGTTTTGCAGATCTAATCATATTCAATTAAGCTTAATTCTACCCCACTTTCTCTAAATCCCTATGAAGATCTCAATGCGACGATATTGTTGTCCTGTCCTCGAAGTTTTACTGGACGTTGATCAGATGATATGACTGTGCGGGCATGCTGTAGTTCGGAAAAGCCAGATTCTTGAGATTGTTGCCTGGCTGGGGCCCATATGTAACCAATTTATTTATGATAGTGAGAAGTATTTAAGCCACATACGATCTTGTTGGATATTGATGTATCATACAAGGCTCACCTTCTATTTCTTTTCACGCTCTACCAGTAACCATGCGGGCCTCTCTCCTCGCAGTTGGCTCTATAGCCAGTACTGCATTCGCCGCGGGCACAACTCTTCCTCAAGGATGGTTCACTTTCCAGCCCGGCGAGAAGCTCAAGCATACCCAATTCCAAGGCCAGCCACGATATCTCACTTGGATGGCGGACTCTCAAATCCGGCATGGAGTTGAGCCCACCCTTGCTTATACCGTCTCCGCATACTACTCCGGAGTCCTTCGAGCCTACGATAGAACTGGTGATAAGAAGTATTTTGACTATGTTAAGCGTGGCGCGGACATCCTTCTGTACCCCGAACACGATGGTACTGTTCTCATGTACAACAAAAGCAACTCTATTGATGATATTCGGATTGGTCATACATTCTTGGATATGTATAATTCAACGGGAGACGAGATTTACAAGAAGGCGGCGACGCACATGCGTAAACAGATTGATCGCACAGGCCGCACGCCTGATGGAGGATTCTACCACCGATTTCCGGCGTATATCGATCAAATGTGGCTCGATGGCTTTTACATGCTGGACGTCTTCTACGCGCGCTGGACCCACGAGTTTGAACCCGACAACAGCACTGCGTGGGACGACATCGCTCTGCAGTTCGACCTCATCGATGTAGGAACGCGGTCAAGCAACCATACCAATGGTCTGCCTGTTCATGGATTCGATTACAGCAAGACCCAAGTCTGGGCTGATCCTGAAACTGGAGCTGCACCCCATGTCTGGAGTCGCGGTGTAGGTTGGTACATCATGGCGCTTGTGGACACTCTCGATTACTTCCCTGAAAGGCACAAGGGTCGCAAGCGCCTGTTGAAGTATCTTGATACCCTGGCTGATGCCCTCGTGGCATCTCAAGACAAGGCTACCAAGGGCTGGTGGCTTATTATGGACCCTGGTCTGGAAGCCAAGTCTGGCAACTATATTGAAAGTTCAGGAACAGCCATGTTTGTCGACGCTCTTTTCAAAGCTGTTCGCAAGGGTTATGTTAAGGGTGACAGATATCTCAAGGCAGCCTTGGATGGCTATAACTTGATGACTACTACCTTTGCCCAGCCTCGCCCACATGATGGTTCTTTAGCTTGGGAGTGGACTGTGCAGACAGGTAGCTTGAGCTCCAACGGCACTTTTGAGGTACGTTTCTTGTTACCGCTAGTTTGGCATGAACTAACCTGATGTAGTACTACGCCAGCATGCCTCTATTTGAGAACGATCTCAAGGGAGTGGCCCCATTCTTGTTTTCCAGCTATGAGTATGAGCTATACCGCACTAGGGCTTCGGGTTGGACGTGAGAGGAACCTAAATCTAGACAAGAGTCTTAGTTAGGAGATTGAAACGTTGAAGTATTTATCAATGACGAGCCATCGAGAACTGGATAAATGTTCATCACTTGATTTATCCTGAAGTTGCAGTGGCTTTCATATGAGGCAGAGATCAACTCGAGATGGAGGGGAAACCTGGGGTGATGTATCGCAAGCAAAGTTCCCCCTCGCATTGCCTTTGATGACATACAACTTCTGAATAGCTTAATAAAAGAGTATCTGTGGGTAGCAGTCGTCAACTGCCATTGGGACTCTTTCCTGCTCCATATTTCCACCGCGTCTACATGCTATCGGCTCTCAATAGGCGTTGGACACAAATTTCATGGTATGAAGATTCCGGCTCCTGATGACCCGAGCAAAGTGGGCCACAAACACTAAGCCCCGCATAACTTTGAACTCAATTACCCTGTGATCAAGTTAATCAACAAGAAATTCTTTTACTTGTTTCATAAGATATAGATCCTGGAGATGCCGTCAATAAGTGAATCAGTATGGTGCAAAATTAATAGCATGCTTGAAATCTTATACTTACCTTTTTTCAGTCTATAGAACAGCTCCTGGTATATATATAAGATATAACAGCATGTTAAGTAAGGTTATTATAGTATTATATAAAGAAGATAGATATATTATTAACTTATTTTACTAAGAGTATAATCTTATTATACTTAGTATTCTAATGTAATTAAAGACCTTTTTTATTATTACTTTCTAGCCTAGTTTCTTATTATATATTATGTTATTAATTTTAAGTAAATACAGCCCCTTTTAGCTACTAGTTAATAAAATCCTTTTAAAATTAGCTAATTTATTACTACAATTATGATTATTAAGATATATATAATATCTTTCAGATCGAAAATAACCTATACTTAATTAAGATTATTCTATAAGATAATTTAGTAAAGTCTTGAGATAGTATTCTAATATTAAATATTAGAAATTTAAGGGTCCTGCTAAGGGGTCTTAATAACTAGTAGTTCTAATCTTAATTAGTTAGAGGCGAGGGAGCTTGGGCCTAGGGGTACATTGGAATTAGAAAGCAATATGGTTTAGGCCAGAACTAAGATCTGCCAGGTGATGAGATAAGATAAGATAAGATAAGATACTTTTCTACCCTACTTATTTCATCCTTCGATTTTGACTTTGCAACAGTTGTATCTGACAATGATGAATCTATACAAACAGAGAAACAATGACCCGTCGAGCTCAAGGAGGCGGGTCTCTGGGGACGATACCAAGGTATCGAGAAGAGACGAGCATGGAATGAAGCGAAAGGAGGAGCCAAAGACAGCATTCGAGAATCTCATCAAGGTCATGAGTAATTCGCAATTCGAATCCATCAATGGAAGCAGCATGAAAGAGTTTCTAACCGGACTATACTACTGCAGCGCAGGTAACTACGGGGCTGCTCCCAAATCATCGCTTGAACCAGTTCTTTGATATCTCGAGTGGAGTGCAATTCCTAGTCGCTCATATTGTGATGCTCTATCAGCAAGCCCTTCTGGCGATACGTGCAGTACTCTTTGGCATTTCTTGGTAGTGTCGTTGAGCTCAGTCAGAGATAGTGTGAGCTGTGAATCAGTCGAATGAGTGTCGGCAGCATGCCCTGATGTGCTGGTATCACTCTCGATATAAACCTGGCTGTCTGTCATTTTCGCTTGCTTTGGATAACTACAAAGCCGTCTACTTAGGAACATCGATTGGTCCCGAATGTCAGTTAGTGTAGGGTAGGATAAATGCCATGCTCGGACCACTGCTGAGACAGAAGAAATGCCAGGCCAGCCTGCTACGTCCCACACTCTTGAGACCCATGCAGTAGACTCTTTCACAAGCCAAGTATTTGTGCCTTTTGCAGGCTTGATCGCTGCGTGCAGCCGAAGACTTGAAAAGGCCACTTCTGGCGCACACTCATATCGCCATATCCCAGGCCTAAAGAGACGCCGGCTTGACGTATTGAAGGGTAGAGAAGACATCGTCAAAGTCAAGTGCAGCCTTAATTCTCTCCAATTTTGGCAAATTGGCGCCCCAATATCTCTTCTGGGCATCCTTTCCATGAGCCAAGCTAGCAACTCCAACATAAGACAAGGACTCATCAGGTTTGTTGTTTTGAAGCTTCAGAACAGCCTCATTGATGAACTTGATGGTCTTACCTGATGTCTCGCCATTAGAAGATGCGTAGGCCGTCATGAAGTAGATGCTATCTCGGTGCGGAAAGGCCATTGCGTCCGAGCTGACCTCATTCGTTTTACCGCCTGTCACGTCGAACTGGAAAGACCATCGGCTTGAGCCCGCATCAGCAGAAAAAATGTAGTCCAGCCATGCATCCACTGAAACATTGGAGGGAACGTTGCGCTCGGAGACTCCGGTATCTTGGGTATAGAAATAGGCAGGGTTACCGGTAGGCCCGGCATTGGTGAAAACGTCCTCCGCATAATCGATCCAAGACATATGAGGCACGATAGTCTTGGAAGTCACGGCGGCATTAATATCGGTGCGGGTGCAGGCGGAGGATATCATACGAACGGGATCGGTAACCAAAGAATGCGTGTCCTTGGTTTCGAATATCTCTGCATCCGACTACACGCGAAGGATGTAGAGAATAGATGGTGAGTATTGCAATTTGTTGAACACTACATCCTGACTTTCTTAACCGCGTGTCTCTCCAATCCCTATTATCGGCAAGAAGGCACGTCGAGCTTTTATTTCATTATCTAATAAAAAAGGTAGTCCAGAATCTTAGTCTCTGAGAACACTGTGGATCGCAAGTATTATGTAATGAGAACACAGAGAGTTGATTTGCTTGGCGGCGAAACAAAGCTTTGACAATAAACGGCCAGGCAAGGCCCGAAAATGCCAGACATGATCATCGCGACTATTGAAAATTAATTTCTCAAAGGGGAAGTTGTTTATTCCCGCCAATAGGACGTTGCTCTGGGCTCCATAACCTGTGTCGATCCCCCCTAGATTGTGGGGTTTGTGGCGTCAGCCCGAGATGTCGCTGTTGGTAACGTATTGGAGACGAGAAATTTGTGATGGCTGCGAACGGAGAAAAGGATCCGTCTCCACTGACTCGGTCAGTTACTGAGAGAGACATAAAAGACTGTAGATTCTCAAGCGCCTCCACGTGGAACAAAGCATGTGAAAAATGAGATGAATATACCGACTTGAGCATTTTTACTCTAGATCTCGACCCTGTCTGCTGCACGTCAACACAGTACGGCGTCTGAACCATGCATCCGTTGCTTTTGCTGGTGACATGGACTTGGTTCATGAGCCAGGTTCTTTGCAGCGATCTCTCGAAATTTCTGACTGAGCTTCCCAGCTGTGCGGTACGTGGATCAACCTGATGAGAGTACTCAATCAGTGAGACCTGACGCTGACAAGCTAATTCTAGGAGAGCTGTGTTCTGGATTTTGTCTCGGATTCTTCCTGCGGGACAAATGCAACATGTCTCTGCACTGATCCAAGGCTCAAGGATGACGTGCTGCCATGCGTGGAGAGTCATTGCCTCCCCAGAGAAGCTCTCGGTAACAAATGAATATTGATGTGCCATTTTTACATACTAACCGAGTTATGCAGCCGCGATAAATCTGACCTCGGCTGCATGTGACTTCCCCATCCGCGACAAACACGAGCAATTCAATATCCTCACAATTACGTTAATTGTAATTACTGGAATTACAGTTGGGCTTCGATTCCTTGAGAAGCTAAGATATGGGCCTGGGCTCCAGCTAGATGATTACGTTATCACGGGTGCTTTTGTAAGTGGTCTTTGGCCTTGCTATCTTACGATTATACGTACTCATCGCTTTCATGGTTAGCTAGTGAATTTAGGCAACTCGATTGTCTGTCTGCATGGGCGTATGTATAACTTTGCTATCTTATCTTCAACACAAGATCATAATACTTACAATGCTTTTAGTCTCCGGGAATGGCCTAGGTCGAGATGCGTGGAGATTTAGTCCAGATACAATTACAGCTTACCTATGTGTTCGTATCCCAAGGTCTTGTTCCAGGTGTTATTACTAACCGTCCAAGTTCCTCTACGCTGGCCAGACACTTTACGCCACGGACGTTTTTGCGACCAAGATCTGCGTTCTCCTCTTCTACCTCCGTATATTCCCGGGGGTTACTATTCGAAGGTCTCTTCTACCCAACAAAGTCAAGCATTGATCTAGCTAACCATTCAAAGGTTGATATGGGGAACTATCGGCATAGCAGTGCTATGCATGGTTATCTTTGATCTATTGGCGCTGACACAATGTCAGCCAATTAGCTTTTATTGGAAGGGCTGGGACCAATTACATAAGGGCCATTGTATAGGGATTAACTCACTAGCATGGGCCATTGCTGCGGTTGGAATTATTCTAGATTTCTGGATGCTGGCACTTCCGATCTCTCAGCTTATCTACCTCCAGATGAAATGGCAGAGGAAGCTTGCAGTTGCCTCGATGTTCGGCGTGGGCACTTTGTAAGCATAAACCCAACTATTCGCTGCCGGACTTGCTCACTGACTCCTCTTTCTAGTGTGACAGTTGTCAGCATCCTCAGACTGCGCTATCTGGTGGCATTTGGCAATTCTTCTAACCCTACGTGTGAGTAATTAGTTGTTCTCCCCACCCTAACATATTCTAACCCAGGCCACAGGGGATAGTTTTGATACCTGCTACTGGTCCGTTATAGAACTCAATGTTGGTATTTGGTGCGCTTGTATGCCAAACCTTCGAGTTCTGATGCTCAAGGCATTCCCGAGACTACAAAGCTCAGTCGATGCTACCCCAAGAAGCCTCCAATACAACTCATCTGCAGCAGGGCGGCCAAGAAGAGTGATGAGCAATGAGCCAGGTCCATCTGATAACACCATTTATAAAGCGAGGGCTGATCAGGGGCACAAGGTCGACGGCTCATCAAGCACAGCTGAATTAGTTGAGATGACTAGAATCACCAATGAAACCAGGAGTAGTCTAGTATAGATTTTTACTCAAATAAGTTTCTTTCTCTTTAATAGTGTAAATACTGCAAGCCTGTCCCTGCATCTCTGTGCACGCATCCCATCCTCGCTCATCTTGGTACGAACCGGATCGCTTAAATTTAAGTTGCCGACATAGTGACTTGTGTATTTCTCTTTGAGGTTTGGAAATTGACTCACATAAACTAAGGCGACCCTACTGTTTATTCTATCCACAATTTACTTCAGATTTATCGCTATCTCCTTGTTTCTGAAGCCCATTCTGTCGTGTTGCTAAGGGCCAGCAGGTCCTGATTTTTGAATAGATAGAACCGCTAAGAGAATCTTGAAATATCTTGTCAGATTCTCGAGATATTCCAGCAAGTCAGCTATGAGGCAATACTGACATTTCATGATGATAGTTTCTTTTGCCTGTACCTTGGCCAAGAGATTGATACAATGAATGCGGACGTAATATCTCAGGGTTTATCTTGCTCTTCATTTCTTACCGACAGAAAACGGCAGTTTATTTCAAGCATATGGCTTGAGGATGAATATGCTTCTTGGTTTTATGGGAAAGGGTTAAGGAATTTATGAAATTTTCAGTTGATAAGTTGCAGGAAAATATCGATTTAAGCGAGGGACTTTCTCGGAAGCGTATTTTGCCACGCATAAGACGAGTATTGTGCAGGGAGGTTATGGAAGGTTATTTATTTATGGAAAGCCATAGAGTAAAAGTATTCGTAAGCATTGTAGTTATGACAATATGAAGTTCTAAGTATGAGTATTTAAACACATAGGCTTTATTTATTTATTTTGAAACGCCAGCGTTTCCAGACACAGTATTTACCTGAGCTCAATTATAGAACTCAAGCTATGTGACGACGTATCACTGTTGTTCCGACAAAACCTAGTTTGTTGATAATGAGAATTAAACATGGAGATTGGTGGTTCAATCTAGTTGGGATCCACCCTCCATAATAATCTTGAGCAGGACAGGAATCAGAAGCGTCAGGAAAGTATTTACCCCAACGAGCTTCCGTACTCAGTCTCACATCGCCGTTTAAATGTGCCATCCCATCTTGGACAGAAGACACCTGAGGACCTGTCGGCAAGACAAGCGGCATTTCATTCCAACACTCGGCCGTCTGCTAAGGTTGAACCCGCTTTTTGCCGGTGGGTTCTTACAAAGTCTTCCTAAATGCGAGAGATATCACAGCAGAGTCGTACTTGTTTAGAGGATCACTTTTGCACCTCTGTTAAAGTTAACAATAGATCAGTTTATCAATTGAACTAATACTTACCAGCTGACAATGTATAAATTTAGAAACTAAACAAGGTGAAAGACTGCGATCAGACTGGAATTGACGCTCTGGTTTCCACAATTCACAAAATATGCACTATAGAGAAATGTTCAGTGCTATTCTATTGATTACTCAGTCAAGATGTACTGTGTAGCCGCCTGGAATAAATGGATCTACCTTGGTGACTGGTTGTTTCAATGGGTCTTTTGACGGTTCGGTCTTTGTTATGGGAAGTGGTGGAGACAACATTGCTATACGCAGAGGGGTAATCGTTGGCCAGCAATGAAAGTGGTTCCGAATGATAGAGCAGTCGTGCCTTGGACAAGGAGAATAGAGAGAGGAGAGAAATTTATCAAGAGCGGCAGGTGAACATGGCAATACTTACTCCCTCCAAGTCAATGCTTATGGAGGGGGGCGATTTATAGCTGAGTATTCTTTACTGTAATTCGAAAGATCAGATATTTTCGTATTTAGCTTTGTTCACAAGACGATCTATCAAAATGGGTTGTTACGGCGCCTCCCTCTATAAAAAGGGCAAGAGTTTGATGCAGATCCCCCCCACAGCAGTAAATACTGTGGCCAACGAGGCTTTGTGTTCCCATTCTGTCAATATCTCTGAATTTACACACAGAAAGTCGATCACCTTTCGTTAGATAGAGTCAACATGTGCTGGTCTGGTAAGCACGTCGCGAACCGCAAGTATATAAAGCGCGGCGACTTTGAAAGAGACTTCGCAGTTAATTCCGTTGTTCTGAGCGACCGGTAACATCTCCAGTAGTCAGATTTACGCCGAAACCGTCAGAAGCACCCTTTTAGATAGTCTCGACTCGGGCTTTTGTTTCATTACTGGGGCGTCCCGTTACATATACCTCCCTGGGGCTTAGATAAATATATCTTAGCGCTTATGATAAGTTGATAAATGTCAGTTCACTGGCTATCGCCAAAGCTCAACTTGCATCTGGAGATCGCAATAAGGAACTAAGAAAGATAAAGGAGGTGAACATATTACTATATCCGTCAGGCCTGACGGTGTTGTTGATGGGCACTCGAACTTTCGAGACCGTGAACACAAACGCTCTGTTGCCATAAAGCGAATCGACTTAGTAACCAAATTACTACCTCTCACGTAACAACAAGACACGTAACTCAAACCCAACCTATTTAGCCCCGACGTTATCCAAGCCAGTAACTAGTTAATAAACCCCAATAGCCTCACCAACAACACTCCGAAAGATTCCATCTGGGTCAAACTTTTCCCGGACTGCTTTAAAACGAGCGATATGCTACAGGGCAAATATTAGCATCCAAGTTCTCAGCCAACTGGAAATAATCTTACATCAGGGTCGAGGTTCTTGGCAGAACGTTCGAATACCTCTCTTGTATTCTTGGTCCAATGCGGGCGGCACGGGAATTCATCAATAAGCGTTTCCGCAAGTTTGTGATCTGTATGTCTTGTCAGCTGAGACATTATCCGTTCATCCACCGAGACAACATACAAAACGGTTCGTTGTATCTCAGCCCATCGCCAATACTCGGTTTGTAAGAAGGGAAATCCAACATGATAGCACCTTTGTCCCAGTCGGCGCCATCGGATGTGCCGTACGTCACCTGGCCGAGGAGGTCGAAATACGGTCGTCCAAACTTGATGTTGATACCGCTCCTGTAGGTGGATGCCATAAACTTGAGTTTCTTGGCCTCGTTGTCAAAGAGCTGACGAACCCTCTTTAGCATTGCATTGGCCTGAGTAATGGGAAATGCAAGCTCGAGCGTGTAGCCATGAATACCATATTCCCAAACCGGTCGTTGGTCAGGGTATAGACCGCCTATGAGGACGTCGTAGTTCCAGCCGTAAACTGGCCACTTGGTGATGGGTTCGTTGGTCGTCTTTTCCCGAAAGTTGGGCTTCTCCCACTGTCCAAAGAGGATCTCTTCAGCGAGGAGGTTGGACAGTGCAACTCCCTTTCCAGTATTCCATAGAGCTGTGATTGCGCCGGCTTCAAGTTGAGTTATCGAGAATGTATTCTGGAAACCCTCCTGGTCGCTTTTGTCCGTTGGTATGACATCGTAATACCGCCAGTGGAATTTCTTCTTATGCGGCCACCACTGCTATCATTTAGCATACTCTCAAGACAAGGCAGGTGGGTACTTACCCAAAGGTTTGCTGTGGCATACGGGGCAATCATGCCATAGATGTCCCCGTCAAGAACATCAGCCTCGTCCAGCGTCTTCTGGTCGGCGTAGACCTTAAAGTCGGGATAGATCTTGAACTTCATTCTCACAATAACACCCAGGAGGCCAAGAGATGTCGAGGCGGCAAGCCATTCATCACTATCATCACGCTTCAAGTGTCGCAACTCACCGTTGCCATCAATTATATCCAGAGCCAAAACACCAGCTGCGACCATAGAATCCTCCCGAATAGACGACCGATGTGCGCCCATGGCTACACATCCGGCCAGAGTGATGTTCCAATTGACAAGGGTGTATCCCGCTGAAGCACCACGCTGGTGCAAGTAGTCCGCGAGTTGCAGGAACGTAACACCAGCCTCGATCATAACAGTGCCAGCCTCGAGGTCAAGATCATAGATCTTGTTGACCTGCTCTGTACGAACGATGACAGTGTTCGGGTCGTCGGAACACATTGTGTCGTACCACATATGTGCTTTTCCTGACGCTCGAACTCTCTGGCCTGCCTGAATGGCATTTTTAACGATGTTTTGGATGTCCTTGACATTAGTAGCATCATGAACCGCGGAAACATTCTGACAGGCTGGGAATCCGGGGCCATCGAAAGTGTTGTATGTGACAGCATTGGCACCTAGGACCAGAGCCAATGCAGCCAAACATCGAATGAGAGCCATGGTGGTAAGATGGACTAATAAACCACTGGCGATAAGGTTTAAGAAGCACCAGCTCCAATCGTTTGAAAGCAATCCCCATTGTATTTAAGGTTATTCGAAACTTATACTGGCATAGAGTTAATTGAGCTCCGATAAGCGAGTTCCATGTGAAAGTCTGTAATGAGGGCCGAGCAAAAGCTAAACGCCCGCGTAAGGTTGCATTCACTAGAGCTGGAGTTGGCGATCGACATAATCAGATGATGGAGTGTAATGCAGCTATAGCTCCCTTTAGGTAGGTACCCTGCCCAAGATGTCACTTCACGCGGGGCACCCGCCAAGATCGATAATAGCCGCCAACTTCCTTGCTTAACATCTCAAAATGGACAGTCCTGTAACCTGCTGATGTCCAAAAACAGCAGGGTCATGGAGGGGCATGCATAAGATCCCAGCGTTATAGGCCACCCTATTAACATTACCCCGCGTTTTAACCTGGAGTGTTAGCAGAGCGCAAGCGACAACCCCCTGATCATAACCAAGCTGCGCCTTGGATCGACAGCATATTTCATGGCCTCAGTCTCAGAAGTGCAAGTTTAACACTATGAGGTATTTCAAAGGCAAACATGACTAGATGAGGGTAACGAGGTAGAAAGACCTGAATGTTGAGCGAAATGTCAGCATGATATTCTGATTGATGATGGGTCGAGGTTAAGAGCCTAATAGGCTTAAGTCCAGACATATAGTCGAAAAGACCTTTGAAGGGACTGCAGCATTGAGGCTGGAGATCTCTCGTAATCATACATATCACGACTTGCATGGCCTTCCTAAGCAGTGTACCCCAGATCATGAACCAATTTCGTGCGATGAATCACGGCATTGGACACTAACATTGTGCAAACAGCTTATGTCTACTTTATATCGAAGCAACTGAGAACAAGCTTTAGTGAAGCTCAAAAGGCCCTTTCTTGGTGGAGCAAGCCAGGGCAAAGGCCTTCTGTGGACCTTTCATGTCAACGAAGAACTAGTCCTATTGTAAAGTAAGAACAGCTGTATTCTCGGGATAAAACAACTAGTTGATTGGCCAGCACCGAACAGATATCCCGAGCAAATTATGCCATATAATATAATCCTCACTTCAACTCAACAATGGGTTTATTTTCTCAGTGGTCAATGCCAACAACATCAATGCTTGGGATCACGAAGTGTGCATTTAGCCCACGCCTGAAATTGTTAAAGTCGCCCTTGCGGGTTGAACCGTACTATTTAACATCTTTTATAATTATCTCTCCATCGCAGCCTGTATTATTCATGAAGCTTACATCAGCACGATTACAAGACTATGGCCTACCCTATGGCTGGCATAGCAAGTGGAATTGATCCACTATTCGAAATTCAAACCCAGAACGAAACTGACAGTATTGACGCACGTAACGAGCAACGCGTCATGAATCCGTGCTTATCGGCAGTCAACGAAATGCTCAAAGATAACGCGAAACTGATCCTGTCATTGGGATTCTGGCCTCCTTCCGGGGGGTACGAATTCTGAAGCACAAATAACACCCAAGTCTGACTCTGAGGAGCGAGGTGCTCATTAACTGCGATTTAAAGCTGGACAATTGAGAGTAGATATCACTCAATCATGGATGGTCTTGTATCACTTCTGCATAATCTCTGCCTCTTTCGAAAGCCAATCCTGTTGCATCTATTACGCGCGGGTCGGGAGCTGAATAATGATATTCCAGAACAAGCCACTTTCATCATACCAGTTGGTATCACTCGTGGTACTCTTGGTCAGAGACAGAATCGGCCATACGTTTTATCAGGGGGGTGATTAAGGGTGATAAGTAAGGTATTTGTTTTATGTACAAGATTGGGGGGTTCAACAAAGCCCCAAGACGGCGCAAAGATAATCAACACATATCTACAAGGGGGGTTCATAGTCATAATGCCAAAATCGCTGTTTCAATTGAGACTTTTGGCTGAAATGTTAATCGTTGAAGTGACCGAAGTCTCGTGAACACAGTATCGCAGCCGAAACAAGGGGCTAAACATTTTATGCGGTGTGCTTTGACTTGCGTTAGGTGAGCCTGATACAGACGGTCCAGGCTGATATCCATAGACAGTCAAGATCGGCGGGGTTTTCGGTTGACTAGTCGTATACCAACCATTCCGGAACGACGCGAGTCAGTTGATAGACGCCACGCTCAGGCCTACAACGTGCCTGATGCGCTAAGTCCAGTAGTAAGGAGAAAATATGGAGTCGCCTCGGCATTGAAATGGAAGAAAACGAGATGATGTACCGAGAATGATCGACGTATAGACTCATTTTTTGGAACTCGTGCCCGGCTGAGTGTGCCGAGTAAGTGCGATAGAGAAACAAAACGGCTGGGGCTAATACAACTTGGGGTATTCTTGCGAGGCATTCGCTCGAGAAGGTGAATGATAGCTTTGGTTGAGGATAACGGTATTTGTATAAGTATCCCGGCTGTGAAGAATGTTTCGATTTTAATCCTGTCCAACATTTATCACTTTATCACTTACTTCTGAGAACCATTAAACCATTCTTGTCCAACAATAGCCATGTTGTCACAGTTTGTTACCTTCCTTGCGCTCGCTGGCTGCGCTACAGCCGCTCCAAGCCAAAGAGCTACAGCAAAGTGCACCTCCTACACCATCATCAACACCAGAGGCACCGGAGAAATCCAAGGCCCATCGGCTGGCTTCAGAACAATGAACTCCCAAATCACATCTCAAGTCCCCGGCGGGAAGATTTACAACACGGTATACCCCGCTGGATATGACCAAAACTCCGCTCAAGGAACACAAGACATTATCCGAGAGGTGAACAGTGTCCTGTCGTCTAATCCCAGCGAATGCTTCATCCTAGAAGGCTATTCTCAGGGCGCCGCAGCGACTGTGAATGCCTTGTCGCAGTTGACGGGAAGTGCCGGGGATGCTGTCAAGGGCGTGTTTCTCATTGGCGATCCGCTGCATAAGAGCGGATTGGAGTGTAATGTTGATAACAATGGTGGTACTGCTACCAAGAACGTGAATGGGCTTGAGGCTTTTGGGGGCGCTGGTATTCCTCAGGACTGGGTTTCGCGTACGCTTGATGTTTGTATTTTTGTAAGTTCTCATAAAGCTGGGTCCTGCGAACTGTTGACTAATGTGAAAAGGGCGATGGGGTTTGTGATACGACGCATGGGTTAGGTATTGATGCTCAACATCTGGAATATCCGAATGACTCAGCGACCCAGAACCTTGGAGCGAGTTTTGTTGTTAAGAAGTTGAACGGGTGAGGGTTTTGATTTGAAAGGGAGAGGTTTATATTGAGTAAATACTTTGTAGAATGACCTTGAACTTGGTAACTTTATAGCTGGAAGTTGAAGTTTTAATGACCTATTGATGTCAACCGTAGACTTAATGTATAGTCCGATAGTGCCTGTTGCTTGTTGCCAAGGCAGCCTTGCAATTGCATGTGAAACGTCGTCATATCTCTCTAGTACAAGCACCTTTAGACAGAATTGTTTCCACCAGGCGCCTGGACAAGATCTTGCATAATTGGTCAGACCTTTTGTCACACCTGTTCAAAGAAGGATGCCGTGAATGTCTCAATGAAAGTCATGATTGTTCCCAAGCCAATGATCTACATCCAATGTGTATGCTCATGTATTGCTTGAAACGCATGAGACACGCGAGACTCGCATTCTGCTACAAGTAGTAGTTGACCGTTCTGTGTGCAGAATTTCCGATGTCTAAAAATTAGTTGCGAAATGCGATCTTCAATTGCGTCCAGGTGAGGCAATTTCCGCTTTTAGTTTGTTTTTGATATGGTCAAAAAACCGTGATATGGTGAGGCTGTCCGACAAAATAAGCCAGACTTAACCGACCATTTACAAGGGCTCATCCTGCTCCGGTAATTTCTTTCTCTCGCTATCGTTAACTCCAGCCCGTGTCATGTGGCTTGACGGAAGAACAGTTGATCCGTCCCTTTGAGCCAGTGATAAGCTTTTCCATCCATGCGAGTCTCAGAATTGCATTGAATCCAACCCCACCATTCAATTGATCAGTCACTTCGTTACGTGGAGAACGACGTCGCTATCTCCCGCACAGTCGAAGCGCCTCTTGATAACAGGTCGAGTCGAGTCTTCATCACGAGATATCCAAAAAACTTACAGTCGAAGGACCTGAGTACCTTACTTCTCAGCCTCTATCTCCAAATATCCTCAATATGCCACCGAAACCTGAATCCCTGGGCGGCATTCTTGTCGGCGGTACCCTTTACGCTGTCGCTGTGACAGGCCTCGCCAGCTTGTTACCTCAAAAAGACACTAAAAAAGACATTAAAGAGGACAACAAAGAAGACAACAAACATCCTGAACGAAATAAGGCCGCCGCTCAGGATTCTTACGCCTACAAGATTTATAAGATTAACCCCGAGAAAGGAGAGGAGGCCGAGCCGCGTAGAGTCAAAGCAAAGCCATTCATATTGACTGAGCAAGATCGTATGCAAGGAGAGAGCTTATTGAAGGATTGAGGCGATGTACAGACAGTTGAATAGTTAGGCAAGATTACAGTAATTAATACAAACAATACAACTTGAATTCCAATGTCTTTCGACTATTGTGACTTTCACTTGTAAGTAATGATACATCGACTGGTTTCGTGAGCATAGCTTAAGGCGAGCTTGCTATGTATGTGCGCAAGAAAGCCGTGCCTTAACAGCGACCAACTGGTTGTTGAAATGGCTGCGTCGCGGATTACACCCGTGAACATGCCATGGTATACCGTATTGGTCTCCTTTCCCACCATCTTGAGCTGAAATAACTGGCTTGATATCCTTTACTCATCCATGTACGATGAACAAGCACCCAAAACCTCTTTGTCTGGTTTCCGTAGCCTGTCACAGACCAAGTGAATGTTGAGCGACAAAGAAATCTCGGTAGTGTGTTTCGTGAACACAAAGAGGAGTAATTAAAGATGATGGGGAGTAATAAAGAAGTAGGAAAATCAAAACCGACCAAACTCCAACCTTTTCAAGTTCCCCCATTTTCCTATCCAGCCCCATCATGAATTGCAACACTGATCCCTATTTGCTGGGCCGACAATTCCAGCGCTTCCGCCAAGATAACCCAGACAACACGAATGACTTCATCTGGACCGAATACGACCTCTACTACTTTACATTCTGTCCTCTCTCAGCCGCTCTACAAAGCGAGGAGAGATACCCTCTTGAATGGCGATATGATTCCCTGCGCTTGCGAGCCAACCGCGTCCACTGGAGGACTTTGATGGCGCATCAACATCCCCACGATGATGCCATGGAAGAATGGCTTTCGAAATGGCGACAGCCCCTGATCGAGAAGTGGCGTGAAGAAAGAGCTGCAAATGCGAAGGGGTTTTGGAAGTGGGTTTGGGGGTGAGCTCAGCCAGCTGTTATTGTTCACGATGGGGAAATACTGGCAAGATCTGAGCGTTGGTGATTGGGTTGTTGAATGAGATTACAGACTTGCTGAGGTTGTAGCTCATCTTTGGAATGAGTGTATTCGTGTGTACCCTCCTCAGAATGCGACAGCTCTTGAGGGGTGGATGAATAGTTTTCTTTTAGGAGATTGTTCATTGGATGTTGTTGTATTTGCAAGAAGGGAAGATTGATTGACAGTTAAAGCTTATTATATCTCAACAAGACATATTAAGCTAACACATTAAGAAATCCCAATTAACTTAAGCTTTTAGAAGGCAATATATACAGCTTCAACAAACATAATAATAAGTGGCTTGGTTGCCCTTTTGGCGAAGTGTTAAATTTTTACAAGGTGGCATTTTGAAGTTACAAGTATAAGGAGAGACTTCAATGCGAAGCCTAATGTACTGAACAACATCGTTCTTTGAATCGATATATCCATGGTGGACATGGCTTCTGGGTGACAAACAGTCGCAATAATGTTTTACCGCACGGGCGCAATGCCTTCAAGCGGTTCTGATGCCCATGCTCACGGAATAATTCCGCTGTAGTTGGTAAGATCTAAAATTAGCCTGCTGCGTTATCACCAAAAATAGGCCGACGCCAGAACCATCCATTTGTCCTTATCCATCGCATCCTCATCGACCCGGCACGCCAAGATTGTAAACCCTGCCAAGGCGGGTTCTATATCATTTGGCTTCAACCCGTCCAAGATCTTTGTTGTGCGACACTGCCTCGAAATCCATTATTTCCACCCACGGCTCACGCCACCAACCACCATAATCAACATGTTCACCATACAGCCCCAACTAATGATACATGCAGATAATCTCTAGTAGGAAGCCGACAAACAACATTGCAAGGATGAATTTTGCTGTATCTTCCTAATCTGTAAATCTATTGGCAAGATTGGGAGTGTCTGGATTGGAGCAAATGAATGTTGGCATCCGTTTGCTGAATTGGGGGACTTTAATTGTATAGCCAGGAGAGGCAGTGGAACAAAACAGTCTCAATGTTTTCGTAAATGCAAACATTTCCCTTTGGTGGGTAGCCTGATTTTGTTTGTGCAAAGCTTTGGGGCAATCCCGATCGCACTGTTTGGCCATGTTTGTCATTAAACAAGGCAATTGGCCTAGAAGGATTGGAAAACTGTTTTGGGCGTGTTTTTTGGCGATCAAACAGATGATTTCTTTACTAGCTTGGCATTGAATGAGGTGCTGTTCCTTTCACTCTACAAGCTTCCTACAGCTCCATGCTTTAATTCCCCCAGAGCGCAACGGAAGATATGGCACCTCGTAACATCGGGCTGGGGGATAAATTAATCGCAAACCGATTTTATCACTCTCAGAAATCTGTTGTCACTGTGTTGAACAATTAATATGCGCCCTAAAAATTACGTGCTGTGGCTTTGTTGCAAAGCATTCGTTGCAATGAGCAACCATTCTCATTTGTGAGGAAGAAAACTGCTTGCAACAACACCAATCGCTGTTGCTGAGCTGCAAAGGCTTGTTATAAAAGGGTTTGTTCTTCAGCGACAGCAAATGTGCTTGCTTGTAATTCCATGGCTGAAAACTGCGTACAAGGTGCTCCTTTTGCGCCGCAAACAACATGCAATCATGGCGTTTGTGACGGTCTTTTGCTATTCAATTGTCACAATCCCAGCCATTGATGCCTATCGGTGTAAATTTAATGACACAGTCGCCGAGCAAGTTGGCCTCCAGCAATCCAGTCCAAAAGCCTCTATATAAAGCCCTCTGCCCCTCCTCATCCCATTCAAGCGCAGTCATTTCCATCGACCTCTACATCGGTTCAGTCGATATCTTCCTGACCAAAACACTCACCATGTCTACCGATCGCGACGGAGACGTCAAGGCTGAAGAAAGAGCCGAGACCAAGGCTCCTGTCGTTTCCGCAGATGGCGACGACGACATCAATCACGCCATGCTTTCCCAACCACTGGAGCCAGGGACCAAGGCTGCTCGATACAGCGGCCCACCCCGAGGCGGCCGGATGGTGTCATTCCGTCCCGGCGTCTTCCGTCGAAGTCATCGACCCTTTCTGAAATGCACCGACCGGGAGCTCAAGAAACAAGAGAAAGCCGAAGAGGGAGGTTTTACAAAGTGGCGCACCAACCCTGACGAAATCGATGAGTCCAGCATCCCAGTCATCAGCCTCACCGAAGCGCCAGAACCTGCTCTGTCGTTCGACGCTTTCCATGCTACTGTCATTGAACCCAACAAGGAAGCCATTGAGTTGATACTTGTGGAGTACAACAAGAGCGTCCACATGCTTGACCAACGTAACGATACGCAGTTCTTTGAGAGGTACCATGGTCTGTACACCAGCGGTGTTATTGGCGACCAGGAGAGACCTCGCACCAATTTCAGCCTTCGACCTGACAAGGCTTTGAACAAACATATTGGCTTCCTGTGCAGTAAGTAAACCTCATACCGACAGTTCTGTCAATACTGACAGATCAGTAGCTTCTAAGGACGCGGCTCACGACTGCGAAACGGCGAGCTGTCTACGACTCTATGTCGCATGCTTCATCGCCTGGCATGGTCCATCCTTCCGATACTTCTTCACCAAAACCACCGAGGTAGACGAGAGCCCTGCCGAAGTCTTCTTTTCGATGCCACGCAAGGCAAGAATCACTGTGAAGTATTGGGAGGACCAGGTTCGAGACGTGGCGAAGGACACAATGCGCGAGACGGTGCGGGAAAATAATTGGAACTGGGCTGCTGCTCTGGCTGCTGCTGTGTTGAGAAGAGGAGTCACTCCTTCGGAGTATGATTTGAGTGGGTTTGTCAACTGGAAGGATTTTGCGGCGAAGAATGGTCTTGACAGTGTTTGGTATGGGGTTGTGTCGTCGGATGAATCTGGCTCTTCTATAGAGTCATCTTCTTCAGAGGATGAGTAACATTTGGAAAGGCTTGTATGTCAGTGGTTCGTTGGATCTGTCGGAGCTTGGATCTCAGTTTTACTTCTTTATCTTGTTGCAGGTCATTTCGAGCCTGTATTTAACATCAGACTTTGCATTATCTGCTGGCTGTGTAAATAGACCGAGAAGGGGCTCTGATTGGTTGAAAAATGAAGTGCTAGACCAAGAATAGCGTAGGGTGAGATCGCTCAGTCCAGGTAGCAAAATAAGATTATAATCACGACCTTGGGTTAGGTATACAAGTGAAAGTGATTTAACGCAGATGAGGCAAGTGAGAAGCGCGCTGATGACTGGGTGGCGCTTTTGCACTGCCCAGTTGCTGCAAGAGTCTGCTGTGATTCCAGTGTTGGAAGATAGGTCTGACAACCCACGGTGCTGGGGTCCTACATCTTTGTCGCTCAGAGATATGTGTCAGAGCATAGCAGGATGCTAAGTATTTGTTGGATTTGCTTATTTTGAACATCTGAAACGACACACTTGTCGTGGGAGACAAGCAGAACCAAGAATCCGCCCTGCTCCCAATGTCTTTTCTAGAGAGAGTTCAGGGACAGCTTGCGCGTGGGAATAGCACTGTCGATACGGGCCTCTACGACCTTCCTCTGGGAGCAAAATTCTCAGCTTAAGTCGCGAGAAAGAACAGTATATTCGTACCGACCATGTTGGCTTAGTAATCAGATACGTCACATTGGGGCCCCATAGGGACACGCCTAGGCGCGCCTCCACTCCAGAACGCGTAGGCGTGCGGATTATGTCAGCCCTCAATTTGGCCCAAACTCCACTATCGCGGTTTTCAGGGGCTGCACCCATTGCTGCTTTTGCTCGTCACAACTGTAGTCCCCAGGTGCGGGCTTCATCATGGCCCAAGCGACGTTTCCTGATGATGTGCTCCCGCCAGAGGGTACATACGATTCACGAGAGGCTCTGCTCGCCGCTATCAACAAGTGGGCAGCACCGAGAGGATACGCGTTCATAACTGGAAGATCTTCACGATCAACTAGCGGCAGGCAGATTATCACCTACGCATGCGATCGATGGTGTCGTACGCCTAGCGTGTCAAAAGATCGCCAGCGTAAGACTACTACGCGAGGAATCAATTGTCCGTTCTCAATTATCGCAAAGGAATCCCTAGATAAGGCGACTTGGTCTTTAAGGCATCGTCCGGACAGCTGGTTTTATTTACACAACCACGAGCCAAGCTGGCACAAATCGGCCCATCTAGTCCATCGGCAGCTCTCCGATGCAGACAAGTCGACAGTCAGCCGCCTTACGAATGCAGGAGTAGCGCCAAAGGATATCAGGACTTATATCCGCCAGAATTCGAACACTATTGCAACGCAGCAAGATATTTATAATCATATCGCAGATAGCAAACGAGAGCTTTGTGAGGGTCAGAGCACTATATATGCCTTTGCTAACCAACTGGATAAGGAAGGGTTCTAGAATAGAATGCGGCTTAATTCAGATGACCGAATCACGGCGGTATTATTCGCCTATCTAGAGTCATTAGCATACCTTCAGGCCTACCTAGACCTGCTTTTCCTCGACTATATATATAAGATAAATAAATACAGGATGCCACTGCTTGATATGATTGGCGTCGATGCCTGCCAGCGATTGTTCTGTATAGCCTTTGCATTCCTTAGCGGCGAGACTGAGCAGGACTACCTATGGGCCTTGGACCGGCTTAGGTCCCTGTATGAACTCTGCCATATAAGGCTTCTATCGGTTATCCTAACAGACCGTGATAAGGCTTATATGAACGCCGCAGAGATCTGCTTTCCATCCCCAATTTCACCCTTGTGCCTATGGCATGCAAATAAGGCAGTCCTCTGTTATTGCCAGCCGATATTCGTGCGCCACCAATAAGGATCAGAGGCCTACCAGCAAGGTCTGGCCGATTGGGATGAGTTTTTCAATCACTGGCATTCGATCATGAAGTCACCGGATGAAAAGGCATTTGATCAGCGCGTGCAAGAGCTTGAAAGGCGCTACTTACTACAATACATTAAAGAGGTTGGCTATATCAAGGCCAATTGGCTCGATCCGTACAAGGAAAGGTTAGTGAGGGCTTGGGTTGATCAACATCCTCATTTTGGTAATATAGTCACCTCGCAGGTTGAGGGTATCCATGGGCTCCTTAAGAGCCACCTTAAGAAATCTATGCTAGATCTCTTCAAGGCTTGGAGGGCTATAAAGCATGTGCTTCTTAATCAATTAGCCGAGCTGCAATCTAACCAAGCCAGCTAGCAAATAAGAATACTAATCGAGCTCTCTAGATCACTATACAGTGCCATACGTAGCTGGGTATCTCATGAGGCTTTATGTAAGGTGGAAGAACAGCAGAAGCTGCTCCTAAAAGAACACCTGCCCATTTGCACCGGTGCATTCTCCAGATCTCACGGCCTCCCTTGCGCCCATACTCTCAAGGCTCTACAAGAACAAAAGCAGCAGATGCCACCAGATAGGTCATACAATGACTTCAAAGACATGCCCTCAACGACACGAGGAGCTTTTGAAGCCACCAGCACCGTCGGCGCAGGCAAGACCATTGCCCACGATATCTTCATCAGCATCATCCTTGCACGCAGGAGAAGCTCCAAGACCAACATCTTCAGGATCATTAGAGCAGACAGAGTCAGTAATAGATAGTGCCAGTTACATTATCATCAGTCTTGACGGCGCAGATAATATAGTGCCGGCAGTATCATCAGCAGCACCACCGGCATAGATAAGGATAATGCCGACATCAAGGTATGATAATCCTCGGGCTATCTATCAGAGATATGTTGCTGCTCGAGATACTTAGTATAAGGTATAGCCTTATAGCAGTATTAAAACTAACTAGCAGTATTAGAGGGCATTAGGTCTACCTTTGCAGTATGATAAATCTAGCTATTAATGGTATCTCGATTAGAAGCAGATGGGTAAGCGCTGCGATACTCTAAACGGCTCTAGAGATTGGACTAAAGAGGAGATAATAGCCTATCTAGATTGGAGCAAAGCGGAAGATGACCCCTATCGAGGCTCAGGTAGCTGCGGAGATGGAATGCAGCCCTTTTTCTAGTAGAAGAGGTATGCATAATATCTGGGAGGCGGCAGCGGTAGATAGTGAGGCCCAGCAGGCCATCTATTCCGGTAAATAATTAAGAATTCATAACCGTTTAGGATCATAGTATTCTAAAAAGTAAAAACTGCATCAGAACGCGGAATTTCGACAGTAGAGTTTGGGCTAAATTGAGGGCTGACATAATCCGCACGCCTACGCGTTCTGGAGTGGAGGCGCGCCTAGGCGTGTCCCTATGGGGCCCCCGTCACATTATGTTGTCTCATTGCCCAGAAACAGCTGACCCCTGCACCGGGGAGCCTGCGAAGTGATGTGTGTAACAATCCAAGCTTGTTATCCAACAAACACCTTTTCTGGACTAGCTCAACTTACAGCACGGACATACTTGCGGGACAGCTAATGCAGGCACATGGAAGCTTGATCTGACGACCTCTACCCCTCAATATAAAAACAACCTAACCCCAAAAAGGCAAAGGTCCTACCGCTCAGTCCAGCTAGAGAAGACTAGAGTCAAGGCTGCAGACTGTCACGAATACTCCAGCCATCACTCTCAAAGTGGCCCGGCGCAGCCACAGGGTCAGCAATATCCCTGCTACAAATTGCCAAAGTTCAGATAGCTATTCAGGCAGCCAGGCCTTGCTCAGCGGCTGATAAAATAGTGGCGTTATCTGGGGGTGAAGTACCAAATCACGCCTATAAGACCTGTAGACCGGTCCTATCCCATCCCCGGTTCAGCTCTATTGTGGCTTGGGTCATGGCGCCTCGCGAATAATCAACATGGCACTACGGACGCTCATAGTGATCTTGCCGTCTCAAATCTCGCTTCTTCGTAGAGGGCTGATCAAGTGGCGAGCTGAGAGCCGAATCTCGCTAGAGCCGTTTCCTGGAACTTGTTTATTCGGATATGCGTTGCCTCGAGTTTATGTGATATGTGACTTTTGTGCATCAGGTGATAAATATACTTTTACCATTCTGCACCATTGCTCAATGCATCTTCTTGTGCTCTTATTGTGGTCATCTTTACTGTGATCCTTCCTTGTTCCTTCTTCAAATTCAGTTATCCTCCTAAGTACGCGCGGTTTATCACTTTATTGAACGCGATACCTTTCTTGAGTCTTACCATATCACAGTAAGTATTTTTTTCGATCTAAATCCTCTTCGCTAACATTCACGCTCCAGATCATAGCTATCCTTCCATCCATCCCCGGTCTCATCGTATACGTCCCTATCGGCGAAGACCAAGCAACAGAGCGTGTTCTCCAACACGACCCTGTCATCCCAAATGACCGTTAAGCAATGCTTCCAGCTGCCCATTGCTCAATTCAGCCTACAAGTGGTCAAGACTACTCTTTCGAAGTCACCGTCTTGCTCGAGTTAGAGTTTCCTCCTGGGCGCGATACCTTTATCTTCAAGGTCATTGTGGACGGGACCGAGTTTGACACTGGGATGATCGACAAAGAGAAGGTAGGTGATGCAGGCTTTGCTCAATACATCGCGTGCCGTCGAGTTCCCATGCCAGATGGTACCACGAAGATTGAGTCGTTAGTGTTTGCTGACTTGTCGCAAGGTATGTTTGTCATCACATTGATTGTTATAGCCTTCTCACATGTATCAGTGGAAAATGCACCGGATGAGAAGTTTGAAGCCGATATGGAGAGAATCAGCGAGATGGGTATCATTAAGGTTGTTGTCGGGTTTACAACGCGATTCGAGCCCGAGAGCCCTGCGCCCTACGATACCACCATTGAGGAGGTGGGCTCGCTGGAAATTTCTCAGAAGGCTATGGTTCTTCAAGGTCAACACTTGACAGATGGTGCCAAGTATGCTTGGTCAGGGCGAGCTCAAGATAACTTTGCTAAATGCTTCAGAAGATTCTGCTGCTGACCTGTCTCTTTCCGTTGAAAACAGGACGCGTTTGTCTCAACCGGTCGTAGAGGACGAACAGAGTCGAACCATCATCGATCTGACCAATGAAGACCGATTGCCTCAGTGACTAGACTGAAGTCTCAATGATGAATTGGAAGACGGTGAAGTGTCGCTGCTAATTGGAGATTGTGAGGCGACAAATAGATTGGCATGATTGTTGGACCCCGATAGTTAGAGATATCACGAAATTAGATAGGGCTATGCCTTGCGTTCACAGTTTTATCACATTTACTATGATTGCTCTCAAGCGATCAGCTCGTGATCGACTGTAGCTCTGGCTGTTCATCCATTTTGTTAAGATTCATTTTGCTTTTAGGCCCTCCCAATGGCATGTTAAGAATCGGGGTTTGGGTCTGTAATAACACCCGAACCCCCCCGAAGCAGTCCTTGTTGGTTTCCATTCTTCCTGCTGTTGACTAAGTTTCCTTGCGCTGCCCAAAGGCAATGATCATATCTCAGCCCCTATGGAAGTCATCTGCAGTCATGGCATCTTATCGCCTCTGTTTTGCAGTTCAGAGTCAGCGTGGTGATGAACTGACCGCTTCTTGTCGATTCTTCGCTTGTTGTTCCCAGACACGTATGAGTGCATGAAAGTGGGTGTGGGGCCGATTTGATTGGAGGCCAAGTGCGCCATGTGGTGGTTGCCCAAGATAGTGGGGCCCGAGATCCTAATGGGCATCAACACCAAAAACAAAGCCTTTCTTCTGTTTCATCTTTCTTTCTTTTTTCTTTCTTGATGATATTTCCAATTTTGTTGAGATATCACACTCTATCTTGTATGAGACTGGATTCTAACAGCATGGACAGCTCGCCCCGGCTGCCCCTACAACGGCGCCATGATCTCGACGTCGTGAAGCAACAACTCGTCGTTGTCGTCTCCGCCGCAGCAACAGTCTTCGTCTTATGTCCAGAATGGCTACAATTCTACAGAAACCTCGCTGTCATTCCTCTTCTAGCATGGCTCACGGCCAAGGCCTTCGACCTGGTCATCATGCTGAATGATAAATGGGACAATGCACCAGCCATGGTCAAATACTTTGTTCCTATTGACTTTCCCCAGATAACACCTCCGTTTGAAAAGATGCGCAGCCTGGGGAATAGGCAGTTGCTCGTCGCGAGGACCAAGTTTCGACATTTGTCTTTGGAGGTCAGGGCGGTGGTTTTAACTCTGGTGAATTGGGTTTTGTCTCGATTTGGTGGCAGTGAGTTAGTTGGAGTATCTGAATATACTCGGAAGCTGATGAGGTCTTCTAGGCGAATCTAAAGTCGAGTCACCAGGATCTGAGCACAAGACAACAAAACCTGCGCCAAAGCCAGATGAATGGGTAGCGATTTTAGTCACAACACCGCTCATTAACGACGACAGCACCATCGATTTCGGCACGAATACAATCGTCGAGATTGGTGAAGTGATTACCTGGGAACACACGCAGACGACATCGGTTCCGGCCATTCTCCCGTCATCCACATTTCACGTGCAAATGACAGTTTGTCTGGTTCCTCGGAGCATATGGTATTCCCGCAAGACTGTCCTAGAGAAGTTCACCACAGGGCTTTACTGGAACCACCAACCAGGGCAGTCAGTATGTCAAGGGGAACAATGGGATGAAGATCGAGTTCGGAGCATCTCGAAAGTCCAAGTCATTGGGCACGTGGAAAAGCGCAACAACATCCACAAAGTCAATGAATGTAAGTCACCCATCTATTCTCATCACTTTGAGCATGCTCCTAAACTCCTAAATCAAGGCTTCGAGTCCCTTCGCCAAGGCTGGGACGATGTGAACATATACTGGAGTGACATTGACTTTGCCATCATCTTCGCCTTCCTTCTCGTTGGCACGTATTCAGTGGACATATGCAAGAAACTCTTTGATCAATTCTCAAACCTCCGTGTTGAAAAGGCCAGTCGGAATAAGGAACTCAATCGCACGCGCTTGGGCGCTGGTGCAGCCGTCTTGACACTGTTGACCGGAGGATTAGCTGCTCCTATCACGATACCAATGATGATGGGAGCCGAGATGACAACGTCAACACATGATCGATACTTGTGGGGAGAAAGGATGAGGATGTGCAAAGAGCTCTTGGGCAAACATGAGCAGCTAGAAGGGGTTATTGAGTTGGAAGATACAAACGCCCCAAAGGCTATTGACCCGACGCCTTTCTTTTTGCCCAAGACTATGGAGTCGAGCTGGTTTGTTGATGATACTTGGTGATCAATTCTTTATCACATTTACAGGCGTTATAAATGAGGGCAATACAAACATAGAAACACAGATGGATGGTTTACTTCCATCGTCGAGAAATGACATTTGCTTTAAATTCCATGGGCTGAATCACTGATAAGAATAAATTGAGTATTGTCAAGTTTGCTTTGTAGTGATTAGTTTCTTCTCGAGCCTGTACAAGCAGCGAGTAGACTCTTCGAGTCTCACCCCCACGTCCAAAATTCACAAACCAGTGAAAAACCGTAATAGCATCAAGCAATTTCTTACCTCGCCGGGATCAAGTGTGTTCGCTCCTTTCTGTCTCGCGGGGGAGTAGATACTGCAGCTGTCACTCATATCATCGCATTTGTAAGGCTTGTGACAAAGTCAACCTCTATCGCATTCTATGAGATCTATTCTATCAAGTACCAAGGCCCTTTGCCATAACCGATGAAAGAAAATAGTAAACAGAAATCACAAATCAGTAATCCACTTAGCCAAGGATATCCACCACTCGAATGGTAAGCCCGAGCATACACTCAACAACTCATTTCTCCTTCACCTTCCCTTGCCGCATCATCATCGGCCCATCGACTATTCTCTACTGGTCGCCAGTGTATTCGTTGTCAATCCATCCGTTCGACATGATTGTCACATTGTAGCATGAAGCTGGATGGAACATATCATCAGCATACTGGTTGATGAATCTATGGTCAAAGATGCCCTCGCCCTCAGGAGAATCTGCAAAGTCAGCAAAGGTTATTCCGCCAAGAGTATGGGTACCATACCACGAGATAGATAGAAGAAGAAGAAATTTCCGAGGTACTGGACATTATCAACAGTGGTGTATTTGAACGAGCGAGATTCGTCCGTCTTGATGTAGCTGCAGCATGTTAGCCACGTTATGTCACTTCATCTGTGAAACAAACCTAGTTCCGTGGGTTCGGCCGTGACCATTGAGTACAAGCGCATTATTAACAATCGTGAGAGACTTATGTCTCTTGTCGTCATGAAAGTCATTGACCACTGGACCAGGGGCGATTCGCTTCGCAACCTGAACAGCGACTTGGATAGTCCCCAGAGCCTTAATGCGCTCGAGATCAGTGTTTACAGTCTCCCGATCAGCCTCTTCCACTGTATTGATGTTAGTCATGTCCCACAAGAGGAAAGGTAGACTTACCAAGCTTGAGGTCCTCAAAGGCCAAGGTGTAAGACTCAGACGGGTCATCCGGAAGATCTCGCTGACAATACCAAATCTTGTCCATGTAATCTGCGCCATACAGCCTGCTTCGTGGGATACACTTTTCGTCGAAAGGCTTCCCATCGACAAAGACGGAGATGATGAGTACATCGGTGTCATCTGGGAACGAGAACAGAGGCGAGATCTTGAAGCGAATGGCAAAGGGACTTCCGGCTTGAGATTCAATAAAGCATTTGGTTTGGGGCAGGTCTTGATTCATGGTTGAGTCAAACGGTGTTGGGATTTCGTAAGGTTGGTACTACAGAGCTGGCTCATCATCTACAAGGATGGTGATGTTTATGCCTGGAATGTAAGGAAGGATCGCCATCGTGGTGAGTGGGAGAGAATGTGTGAGGACAAGTCTTGAATGGAAGTAAATGGGTGCAAAGACTGGCAAAGACTCCGTGTCGATGGCCAAGGGATGACAGGAAGGGCTGAAGCCAATGAGCAGACTACTGTCTGAGCGCAACGGTTTCTGTAAAGGGTAAGTTCCTAGAAGAGGCAGAAGAACCTTCAGTGAGGGAAAAGCTGTCTTATTATCATGGGGCATACAGAATCCTTACATCAGATGCCGTCCCCTGGTTTGCTTGGCCCACTTGCATGGAACATGTCTAGAAGCATGGGTCACGCGCAGAGACAACATGTGGCTTGCTGAGATGTGTTATCATAGGATCTTGGCAAGTTTAAAGGCAAATGACTGCATCTACGGGAGGAACTAGCACTTGGTGGCTTGATTATTAGTTCCTTCAATGGCTAGGGAAGACGGGCTAAGCAGAAGTCGGTCAACCAGTTTGCCTTACAACAAATCCATGTTAGCCACAGCTTTATCTGTCACACTACGCCATATGTAGACCTACGAATGGCCCTGTCAAGGAGGAAAGAAGTGTTGTTTTGTGGCTTGCATATAACTCACTGTCACAGGTCTTGGCAAGGTCAGGGTCAAGTGATCCTTGGTTTTCAGGGAACTAGCAGTCAGTTGTTTAATTATCCATTCTTGGCATGACTTCAACTAAGAATGTAAAGAGAGCAAGCGGGTTATGCATAAGCTGGTGTATTATTTTCCTTATAAGTCATTATAGGGAGCGGCAGCTTGCAGTTCTAACCAGGGAAGCATGCTTCATTTCACACAACATCAGTTATTAAATTCTTTAGCAAACACATCTCAGATTAGCGCTGTACTAAACAATCTACACTACATATAAGGCACTAATGCACTAATTCATATTTACCTGATATTCACATCTTGACATACTGTGTAATTAAAGCGCGCTGAGTACTGTATGCTCCCAGTATCTGACTTCTAGCCAATTATATTTAACCCCACACACTTTAAGACATAAGCTTGGTCCCAGCTACAGTGCGACAACAACAGTACGCCAAAATTGATAGATCAAAAACGCGGCACGGCAAACAACAGTGAACAACCATTACGGTGGTCTGGACCAATCTAGCTTAGAGCAACAAAAGCAATTCAATAGCTGGCGGTCCTGAATCTCACGCTGCAAATGAGACTGACCCCAGAACCTTGAAGACCAGGCAACCAGTACATCCAGACTTTGGTGACTCTACTCAAGCGGCTGCGAACAGAAAGAACCAAGGTGACGGCGACGCCCTGCGTGTCTCGGCTGTGTTGTCAAAGGTGTTGGTTGAAGGAATGTCTCCTAGATGGGGTTCAAGAGCTTGCACAAAAGCCTCAATAAGGCAAACCAATATCCCTCCACCTCTTCCGAGGGCAAAAGAAAGGACAGAATCATCGGGTGACGCCGCGCCTTGGTCCGAGAGGATATCGCGGAGGATATCATGAATTCCACGGCTGGTGCGAGTGTCGTCATGGTCATTGGGACCGCCGGTAGGAGAAGACGGCTCAGAACACCCAGAGTCAAGTCGCTTGGTGTCCCATGATGCCCGTCCTCTCCATAGCTTGCACCTGGACAATACATCCACAACACGAGGATGCCTGCAGGATATCAGCCAGTAGCTGGGATGGTTACCGCCGCAAAACAAGCATTTGTCTGGGTATTCGTCGACCTTGCACTCGTTTGTCTGATGCGGTTCCAAGCACCGGCCGCATCGAACGTCATTGGGGCATTCCCTTGCCATATGACCGAAGTCCTGACATTTAAAGCACTGCTTCGGTACATATTTGGGATCAAGAGAACTGCAAAGCGGGTCAGGGCATTGTTGCGTATTCATCTGGCTGGTCGACTTACTCAACGAAGTGTGCATTCCCTCCAAAGTATACATCTTTCCTGAAGGAGGACGGTGGCTTTATTTGAGGCTGTCGGATCGCAGAGTCGGATCTAATGGAGGGCGACAAGGTTGAGGGCAAAGGAATTCAGCCACAGGCGCTGGAGCTGGTTTTTAGGCCCGACTTGAGTAATTGACTTTCTTCACATTCATGGCTTGGGCATCTCATTGGACGTTTAGAAGTTGGAGGTAAAGTACCTACCCTGCGCTCAGTACCTGTCCTCTCGTCCGCAACGTCAATGGCCCGAACTGTCAAAAAATGGTGCTCGGCAAGTTTGCCAGCAGCTTGTCCAAGTCGTCCAGAAATATGACGCATCAAAAGCAATTCACTCCGACCTTCGGATCAGGTTAACTTCACAAGACTTGAGATTGACTGAGTGAGACGTTCAGAATCATCTATAAAGAGTCCCCTTCATCCCATTGCCTTCTTCTCAGAATCATCAACCTCAGCCATCTGCTTCTCTCACTGCCAACTAACTCATTGCTTCCTTTTTCAACTTTCGGACGCCGCCATCCTCATCTTTAGTTTATACTGAAGCATCTCTACCATTGTCTTCGCCAATCACTTCTTCTTTTCTCAACAACCCAACCCATTTTCAACCTCGTACTTACTTAGAAGCTTCCATAACGCGACAATGGATGTCAAAGTATACGCCATCAGTGAGGGACGCGAGCCAGGGTACTATTTCAGCTGGCCGGAGGTTCAGGAACGCACTAAAGGGTACTCAGAGCCAAGATGTAAGTAATAAGATTCTTCTGTATAACTTGGAAAATTTATAAGACTGAAAACCCCTAGTTAAAAAGTTTAAGTCCCTCCAAGAGGCCCAAGATTGGTACAATGATCCGATCCAGTGCACCAGTCGGACACGACGTCAACGCAAGGAAATTGATAATGAACGTGTCCGTCGCCATATGCGCTTTCTGAACCGTTCAATCGCCCTCAAGACGGCTAGAGGAGTCAAAATTAGTGAGAGCGATTCGAACGCTATTATCGAGGGATTTGCAGCGTTGAAGATTGAGAAAGCCATGACTGTTACTAGATCCTACACTGGCTTTGACTTCCAGCCCTCTACTTCTCCTTCATCCTCTTCTCCTTCTTCTCCTTCTTCTCCTTCTTCTTCTCCTTCTTCTTCTTCTTCTACTGTTAATTCTCTTCCTCCAACCACTCCTTCTCCCTCTCGATTTCGCTGTATCTCTTCACCTGCCTCTGGTTCTGGTTCTGGTTCTGCTATAACCTCTGGATATGGCTCCCAAGACGGCCCATTCCTTCTCGGGGATGAGGGCGATTTTTAATAAGTCATATGAATTGTGTTACTTGGAGGTCGTGGCGGATGCAGCGGTAGTTGCACGGAATTTGTATCAATTTTCCCTTATTTTAGTCTCTCTCTATTCTGTTTGCTGGTTATTCTAGTCACTCTCTGAATCGATTCTTTTGCCCCAAACTCTGTTCCAAGTGATACTGGGCTTCCAGTTAGGTCCACAATCTCTCTTGCTCTCTTTAGTCAGAGATAATCCATCTATTCATTTCATCGGGTGTTGGTATATCTTCATAGATACAGACAACACAGCAGTTTTAATTGTAGAATATAGACGGGTTACATCGTCAGCCCAAAAGAAAGATAAGCAGGGATCTAACCCTGCCGCAGACAATCGAGATTAAACAAGATTGGCGTAGTAGGTAACACAGCACGATTAGTGGCCGCCCACTAGAGATTGAATGCGGAGCTCTTGTTGCGGCTGCTTGTTTCAATTCGGACTGCATCTTTCTCCAGGGAAGCTGTCAGAAACATCGCTGAGCTAAGAAGGAGGTGTCAGCGACCTTGGCATGATTTTACCAAATTGATGTGAGCGCATATGCTCCTCTTCGGCGTCAAACATGAGGAAACAATGACTATCAAGTTCGGTTCTATAGGGTAACCGTGGAAGGTCGAAGGTTTAAGAAGGGCTTGAATTGAATTGCGCAGCGGCCATCTTTCACACGTTTAAAGACACCCGTAGTCCAGTGACTGCAAAATATAAAGCCCAAGTTTGGGCCTCGCTTCGCTAAAGCCATGTAGTCAGGTCAGGGTTGCTGTCGCTCAGGATTGAGGTCTTTCTCCCCCCCAGGAAGGGTTCACTTTCCGGGGGGACTGAAGGGGATCGCTAAGCAGAAGTTGGATAGACGTGACGGGCTTCGCTGGGCCATCTGCATTCAAGCTGTCGACTTTTGGTAGCCACCAGAATAATGCTGAACGAACAGCAGCCTCAACGGAATGTTTGCTATCCACATTCAGTTCATCAGGTCGCGCGCCTGTCTGTTTGAAGGGCTGGACCGAGAATACTCTGACAACAGCATAGCGCTCTGCGATAGTGGCATCACCAGACACTTGACTGGCTAGCCGCACTGGTACCAACAGGTCCTAAGCACCTCCTCTTACTGCTGTCGTCACCTTCAGCTGCACAGCGCTTGGATACTGGGAAATGGGCCATCAAGACAACACTGATGGAACAGATGGCAGTACATGGGTGGAACAGCTTGGGCTTGGTCTGTATCATGACCAAGGCGTGTTTCGTAATGGTTCGGGTTTGGCGCGCAACTTGAACGAGGGCTAGTGGCTTGATCACGAAGACAAGACGTAAGTATCGACTTTAGGTGGCTTTAGCAAATGCGACGTCGCATGTTGCATACGCTGGAAGAGAAATGGTAATTGAACGACGGCATGCATGGCGGGCACATTGGGTTGCGGCAGGGTAGTTCGACAAATGGTATGCATTCAGATGCAGATACATGCATGTCAAGATGAGATGAAACAGGCTGTGAAAGCGAGAGCATTTGCTCGCTGAGATAGATTGACGCGCTACGCTAGGTATACAATACGGTGAGGCGTCGTCTGTTCAACGTGTCAGCGTGGTGAGGGCTGAGTAGAGGAGGCAGAAGTACTGCCATTCCTGAGACCATCGTCCAATCACGACTCAAGTCATTTGGGATGGTACCCGACGCAGCGAGGAAGGCAAAGGCCAATGCCACTGCACCAAAGATGGCCCCAGATATTGCGAGGGTTCGACCTTGGTGCCGTCTGGTGCAGCGTCACTGGCACGCCGGTCTGTTGGGAGTCTAGCCGCGACCAACTTCAGTGAGGTTGCCGACACTGCTTGAACTTGGCTGGTGTCATTGCTTCATATGTCTGATCCATCGCCGAATACTCATTAATCATCCGGCGGCATGTCGCGAGATAGACTCGCCGTGATGTGATCAACAACTCTGAACTTGACTTTATTCACCAACTCATCCTCGTCAATCCGCAGCTTCATGGCCTCGACCTCGCTGGTCAATTCCCCCATGTCCTGCCAGACTTCCGAGAACGTAACGTCCGTATGTTCCTCCAACTCTTTAACCCTCTCAGCCGTCAATCCCGCCAAGGACCCAAACTCCTCTTCCAAGTCTTGACGCTTCCTCTCAGACTCGATCAATCGCTCGCGCAGATCATTGATCTCCTGCTTGAGGTCTTTGTTCTCGTCTCTGAGCGCATACATCTCCTCGCTATGCCGCGTCTGTATCATCTCCAGCTTCGCCCAGATCAACGCGATGTCGTCGTCTCGCTCTTCACGATCGTCTTTTCGCGGTCGCTTTCGGTCATAGATCGGGGCGGGAGGCGGTGGAGGTTCTGTTTCGTCGTAGGATGGCGGGGGTAATTGTGTAGGAGGCGGGAGGGTGACGACCTTGCCTCCCGTGCCGCGAAACATGGTGGTGAGGTCATCTTGGATGAAGAGGAACAGGCCCTCGCTGATCGCGTTTCGGATCTGTCGGAGCTGCGCCTTGGACGTTGCTGAGTTTGTGATGTAGACGGAGAACACGGTGACGTTTGCAAGCTCACGAAGGGCATCGAGGACAACACCCGATTGTGTCCGTAGGGGAGATAACGGTTCTTCAGCCTCGACAGAGACGAGGAGTTTGGGTTGCTGGTTCAAACGGAAGTCGAGAAGGAGGGTACTCGAGTGGAACTTGTCGCGCACCTCGTCGGGAACTGAAGGGGCCTCGATGAAGTCAAAGGAGGATATGGACGATGGAAGGACTCTGACGATCAAGGACGTCCCCGTCTTGATGCCCTTGAGCCTGATGGGGATGTTGAGATCGAACAACGTCTCTTGACTGTCGAAACGAGTTGTGATGGTGATATCTCTGATCTGAGGGTCAGGCCCAACCAAGAAACGCGTCTCATTGCTCCATCGCCAAGTAACAACAGCAGGCGTAGTATTATTCACATCGAGGCTCGATAACGTCGCCATCGAATCCTACCGGTTAGCAACAAGATCCCCAGAACAGCACTTACCTACACGACAACCCACCAACCCCCAGAATCAGCGTTATCTGACAAGAAACTCGCCCCGTCTCCAGAACTGAGCTGCAAGCCGGAGCAAGTTCCCTTTACAGTCCACTCCCCCGTGAAGAAGAGTAAAAGACCAACAGATTATGTTTACCAAAGAGAAAGACCAGCTTCTCGCAAGCCGGGCAACTGCCGAGCTCCAGAACTTGAGCTGCAAGACATCAACAGTCCCCTCCACAGGCCCCGATCGTTCCAGCAAAGGAGGCGCGCTCGTTTGATGGGTACAATACGGAATTTTATACGGTCTGCAGCGCGAATTCACCGACTTTCTCTTGGACGCGTTTCGAAGGGAGGCGGTGTCGGACTCGGCAGGATCGATGGGGGCACATTAAAAGATTTTGGAAGAGCTTCTCATGGAGGAGAAGATGATGTTGTTGAGAGGCCTCGATGGTCGAGGGTGAGGCTGTGATGATGGGACATTGTGAGAGGACTCGGTGAGTGCGTGAATGCGAAGCGGTTAGGCAGAATGAGGAGATGCAGGGAATTGATGAGGGGGCGGGAGAACAGTTGATCCGCTGGGGAGTTGTGGGGCTGGGCGATTTTCAGCCAATCAGTCGGCTGTTAGCTCATTAGATCACATGACATGGAATGACCCAAACAAGCCGCTTGTTCCCTTCTTGGCGCGTCAATGGGTGAAGCTTTCAATGGCGACTTGCTCCTCGTTACAAGCTCAAAAAGGCCCTGCGTGCCAACGAACGACCGACCCCGAAGCGAACTGGTGACGCCAGTGGATACATACTAGTAGTGCCAACCGTGACCGTTTCTGGCAGCAAATAAGTCATGAATCAGCATGCAGTGCTTGAGCGACCTCTCCTCGCCTATCGACTCACCTCACCAGTGCTGTGCTCCAACAGGTAAACGTTTACTCAATGAGAGAACGTGTGATATCGACGGCCAGCGCGTCCCTCCACCCAAATTGATACGAGTAAATACAAATACAGTGGTACAGTCGCATGCCTTTCGCCAAGTGAATCCAGCCAAAATCTCTTGTCACTTCAGGTTGAACTGGTTGATTGGTCTTCGCACTCTTCTGTTGCATTGCTCCAGATTCAAACGATGTCTCTTGCAATGCGCCAATGCACGCCGTGTAGAGCGGCATGTTTGTCCCTTCATTTGAGCTGTTGTGAGTGCGCTTTGACCTGAACTCATGAGAAATAAGACATCTCAATACAGCTTACACAACAACTCGGGTGCTGCCCCAAATGAAGGACATTAACTTATGTAACGTGAATATGGCCCCGAAGAAAAATCTCTAAATCTTGTTTATAGGTAGTCTCTGTTGACAGCCGACGTTTGCGAGATAGATAAGCCATGATTGATATCACAGTATGGAGACTACCCTATAGATTACTGAAGTTATTAAAAGACCCCAATAAATCGCATTTCTTCTCTGATGAATCCTCCACCCTTAACCATTCTTCTTCAACAGTGCCAATATACTGACTCCATCTAAGAACAAGAAAGACTAATAGCGTGCTCTTGCGTTTCCACTGGAGCGACACTCTTCACTCACCAGCAATGTACTCATCGTAGATGCCGCAGCATCTTTGTGAGATCTGTAATAACGGTTCGTTAGGTTCTAAATTTTTAATATATTGGCGGGTAGGGAATGTCATTCATTTCATTCTCCCAGTGTATATTTTGCCTAGGGGTATATGACCACCAAGAATCAGACAGACACGTCAGTAGCGGGAAATGCATCCCAAACAAGCGTTTTCTTACTTGGCCTGTGCTAAAGACGTGCTTGGTAGTATTGCTCTAGTTGGTATCAGGTCGTCAAAACCCCATTGGCCAAATTGACGCAAACACCACAGTAGAAAGAACAGGTTTGTATGTCGTCAATCTAATAAGTAATGGAAAAGGTGGCTGGTATTTCTGTCAGTAACAAGCCATTTCCAGTTCGACCTAGCTGTCACTTTTGAGCAAAAAGAAAATAGTTCATCTTGGACACCCAATCCTCGTAGTTTCTAAGACTTTAGTCATGCACAGAGCTCCATGGAGAGAACAAACCAATACTGAAGTGATAACATTTAATGCCCATTCTTACAAGCTACAAATACAATTTCTGATGGCAGGCCAGCTACCAAGGAAAGCCAACTCTGTACCCCCCAAGTCTACAAGTATCTCTACCCAAAGTAAATCCTCCCAACTAAAGCAGTTTACCCTCATACTCCTTCACGCCTTGTCAGTACTGCCCGCCATCCAATCCTGCGATATACCCCGCTGTTCTGTCACTCAAGACACTTTCTTCCCTTTCACCACTTTCTCTTCGTCCTTCCGGAGCGCATGAATAACGTCAAACAAAGTCCGGACAAAAACATCATAGTCATACTTTGTGAACGGTCTGGTTGCTTCTTCGTCCTTATATTCAGTCATCTCTTTGGCTTTACTGTCAACTTGCTTCTCTGTGGCCAACATAACGATCTTCTGCGGCTTTCCGTGTTTCTTCTGCGACTGTTCAAACCTTTTGGCAATACACCTTTTGACCAGCTGGGCGGTTCGTCTCTCGCTTACTTGATATTCAGCATCACAAATGGTTGTCAACCACTTAGCCTGTATGTACTCCTTTAATATCCTGTTGTTCAGCGCCTCAGCTCTTGCCTGTCCTAGTTCAAGTCTGAGAGTCTTGATCTCGGCTGCATCATTGTTCTCACCCTGTGGAGTCGAAGAGGGCTCACCAGACTGCTGATATGGGTAAGAGAGGTCTGGATGTGTATTAGCTCTGATAGGCAACACCTTACCTTGGCGATCCATGAACGGGGAATTGTCAACCCCATAAAAGCTCCAGGCCAAAACATCAATCCCGGCATTCTCAATTAACTGAAATGAATCCTTATATAGGGAAAATATAGACACAGAGTCTGATCGTGGCTGACTGTCTTCAGGATTGCTTCTCAGCAGCTTGTAGTACTCCACTTCCGAGGTAACTACCATCGCCACCATACCTGCTTCAATGCTCTCGATTGGTCCCACTACACAGAGGCAGGGGGTGATATCGGTGAGAGCCATGAGGCGCATCTTGATACTGCTCCTATAGCCGTTGAAAATGCATTGGACAAGTGTTTGTGTGGAAAGAGGCGGTAGCGGACGTGGGAGAGCAAATATACCGTCATAATCCTGGATGATGAGATTGTTGTCTCTGTAGACGTCGAGGCTTCTGGGTAGCTCCATCACAGCGGCTGCTAAATGCAATAGTATTGAAGGTGAGATGACTGTCTTATCTTGGAGAACTTACCGTGAGGTTCTGTTGCAATTGTGCGTGAGGAGTATATTCAAGGTTTGCACTGCTTCTTTAATACTTGTGGATGCTGACATTTTCCCTTGCCTGGTATATGAATGTACTCCCTGTTCAGTCGTAGAACTATGATTATTCCTTGTTTTCTCACGTGTTCGTTTCTGTTGCAGCAGGGTCTCTCAAAATCTACAAGATGAAAGGCTTATAGTCCCTTAAAAGAGTCAAGGAACACGTACCTGAATACAACAGCATTATATTCGCACAATGACATTTTACTCAGCTGTCCGATCATGAACGAGTTCAAGAAGAGGAAGCCAGAGTACCTTGGCTTATCTGATGCCATGCATGAGCTATCGAGTATTCATGTTATTGTACGGACTTTACTGTCTTTTGGCTGTTTGCACCAACTTCAGTGGTGTGTCGTCATTGCTGTTGCCACTGGCTGTGATACGCAGGTGTGGTGAGACCAAACTGGTCAACATTGAGTGCTGCTGATGTGTCTTGATCATCGGGTATGATGCACCTATAGACTGTCCAAATCATGAGGAAAGTGTCGGTCTTCTATTGGTTTCGTAATATGACTACGTCCTCGTCAACGTGGCCGGTCTGGTCAGGTCCTTTTGATAAGCGGAATCGTCAGAAGACCGGACAGAGGGGCGTTCATCAATTCCGCTTTTCTTCCCTACCTGTTCACCTCGAAGGCATGCTCCAATTCACTATATTTAAAGCTGAGCCACCTCCGTCGCGAGCTTGCTCCAACGCTTCTCCGGCATTATCAGCCCTTGTTGTGGTATATGAACCTCTTCTCAGCATTGTCTGTATAGTAGACGTTCTACTGTTCATTGTGACTGATGAGATAGTTCATTTTGCCTCGAAAGGCAGAATCCCAGCTCATTCTCCCAGTGGTCGGGTAAGAATTCGCGCAGCCTCACCTATGGAAAGGGCTAATGACTACATACAGCCAACTGAACTGCGCTTATCCCCGAGCAAGTAGAGAGTAAGGGGAAACGCTCTCTGTTGCATGCGACAGCCACTCAGTTGCAACGAGACTCGGATCATTTTGGCATATTTCCAATGTCTCTGTAGTAGGATCGGGAGCCCGGTCATCTCTCCTCTGAGGTCTCAACCTATCAGTGACTCGCTGTTTGACTTAGCACCTTTACGCGTTTTCCTATCGCGCTCCAACGTGTCACCAGTCACCCTGTTAAGGTGTTCATGTCACACAGAGGTAAGCTTCATCACAGAGCCATGTTGAGATATACCTCCATCTCCTGCCTATTTTTACCCTGGAAAAAATGCTCTCTATTAAACAACACTTCAATCCAATAATCATTTCTCAACCATGGCCCATACACGAAAGCTGCATACACAGAAAAAAGACGAGAGCAAAGGCCGGCGTAAACAGGATAGCAAAATCTCCTCCTCTTCCCATGACCATCTCAATCATCATCAGTCGCAGATTTATAACATCTACTACTAAAACCTCAGTCTTGAGCGCGCCAACTCGGCTGTAGCTATAACGCAGATCGATTTGTATTCGTCCTATCAAGCAGTGTCTTATACCACCGTTGATTCCCAATAAGACTCTTCATCTCTTGTCCTGTAGCATAAGCCGCTGCCGTTTTCCCATTTGCACATTTTGCCCTCGGGTTCGCCCCATTCTCAAGCAAGAGCTTCACCAACGCCGCATTGCCTCTCAAGGTCGCAAAAGCCAATTCCGTTTTACCCGTGGTGTCCAGTCTGTCAGCATTGGCGCCGTGTCTCATGAGAAGAGCCACTATCTCGTGGTTGTCTTGTCTACATGCAATATGTAGCGGGGATCTTCTCTTTGTATCTCGTTCGTCAGGGTCGGCACCGTTTTCGAGTAGGATTTCGGCGATGGCGAGGTTTCCGTTGGAGACAGCTGCACAGAGTGCTGGTTCACCTGCAGCACCTTCCAGAGCCTTGTTCTGCAAGAGCAATTTCACGAGTTCGAGATCGCCGGCTGAGGTGGCATGCCAAAGAGCGGTTTGTGTATTGCCGCTACCACCGACATTGCCGGAGACTAAACCTTTCTGGAGAAGTAGTTTTGCACAAGCGCTGTGTCTATGGTACACCGCGTACCACAACGCTGTTGCTCCATATGTGTCCCTTGTGTCAGGATGGATTCTGGCGCTGGATAGAATGAATCTGACGATGGCTTCTTGGCCGCACTCGGCAGCGTGGGAGAGAGCAGTTCGGCCTTCACTGTCGGTGATGAGAGTAGATGTGTCTCTTCTGGTCATCAGCTGGCTAACCAGGCGCTCATGGCCACCTCGAGCAGCGAGACATATTGCTGAACGGGCCTGATCGTGTACAGTTCCAGGTGGTGTTTGAGCTAGTAGGAACCAGACTGACCCTGCATCGCCTGCTGATGCGGCTTCTGGAAGTGACAACGGGCCATTCTTGTGCTCAACAGCAGTACTGGCATCAGATAGCGCATCGGTCTGCCCTTCCTTTTGTCTTAGCCTTCGGGAGATTGATGGTAGTTGTAGCCGTATACACAAAGACCTCACAGGGTACTGTGTAAGACTAAAACTGCCCAAGTCAACCCACTCGAACTCATCAGTCCTACACCTCTCAAAATGCTCCATTGTCAGATACACATCTCTCAAATGAACTGCAATCAACTTATCCCTCGTCCCAATCGTCGTACAATGAAGAATGCAAAGACCGCGACCGGATGTATCCTGAGCGATGAACGGGGCCTCCATGTGCACGCCTTTATTGGTTATCGTGTATGGACTGTTATAAGGCGTGAATGGGTTCCATGGGATAATATCACCCGAGTCCTTGAAAGCAGCTGGTGTCGGGGCAAGCAAGCCGCCGCGAGCACCGGTGACCTTCCAAGCGAAGAGGCTGTGGTCGTCTGACAAGCGCATAATCTCCTCTTGAAGTCGATAGAACGCCCTGTCGCCTTCGCCGTAGAGGAGCGGCATATTAATCGCAAAGATACCCATTAGAGAATATGCCCCGTCTTCTTTTCGTGTTGTAACTCTGTCAGCTGCCCACGACATTCTCTGTGCGATGCTAGTTGTCTCCAGCTCTTCGCTGTCACAGAGTATAGATTCCGGTATGTTTGTCCTTTGTGATAGCACCTGCACAAGGCTTGTCTTGGTACCCAACTCGCGCCAGTCTTTATCGAAGAAGATCATTGAACTCGGCGCAATGAGTTCTTGCAGTGTCCAACCTCTGGTGAACCATCTACTGTTCGAGATTTTAGAGACGGTGAGAATATCTGCGAGATATACATAACAAATGCTGGCCTCTTGATAGTACCGATACATCGAGTTAATGGCTTCAGAGAGCTCTGCACTACTCGTCTTATCGATACAGCAAGTATCGTCCCAGATATACTCAAAGCCATTTTCTCGTGCTACGCAACAGCAGTTCTCGAGCTTGGCATAGCCCTTTTTTAACCGGGCGCTAGCAAGTTCTATGTCGTGGAAGAGAATCTCTTCTTGTTCCCAAGTATGGGAAAGAATTGCGTAGTCAGGCACATTGTCATCGTTGAGAAACTCGAGCTGGATCGTTTTGGTGTTGACAAGACGCATGACTGATGGTCTGCGGGGACTTGAGGTGAGATTGGTGATTACGCTAACATTTGGTATGAAGGATATTGAGAATCCTTGTTTGTTTTATAGTTAATGATTGGTCTAAAACACAATTCTATTCTTAAGTTGGGGGCCAATGTTTATAGATGCGGGGAAGAGAGCTTTGCCTCAACTGCAGTTAGCTATAATAATATTAAGTATAATAAAGGATATATAGGAAACTTATATATAAGTAAGATAAAGCAATTTTACATAAAGTATAAATACTTACAAAGGATGACAGGAAGCATATGTAAATATGCCAAGTTGCCAGCACCAGTCTGGACAAAATTACCAAAAGGAAGCAGCGGATGTTTTAGCCAAGTCGCGGGCGCAATAAGCAAGGAATTCTTATGGTCGACTACATTGCAAAATATAGATATACCAGGACTGAGTGTCGTCCTCTGCCTGAACAAGTAGTGTTACCTCCATGGGCGCATGCAGCAATTCTTCCCGCGACAACTGCTCCTGCGGCCGCCAATACTGAACCCTAAGTATTGGCATGAGTTACGATCGGGTCCGGGAATAATGTGTTGGATACTACCCCCGTCCGCAGCTTATGCCACCCTTTATAGTTTCAAATTCGACCATTTTGGTCGGCAGCCTATAGGGTAACCAAGTCAGCAAGACCATCTGATATATCCAGACATAGACAAGTATAAAATAGTTTTCTCTCTAAAATAGGCTCTAGCTCAAAGCAGTTAAGACCCTACCGTGCTGACAGGGGTCGAAACAGCCTCTCAGCAAATGCTGTAATGTATTATACAATACAATACAATTTAATACGCCCGGCGGGTTATTTTGGCCGGTAGGGCACTAGTCACTACCATCCACAACCCCTCTTTCGGCATAACCCCTCTTTCGGCAAGCAAAATAAAAAAAGCTTCACCAAAACTCATCAACTTCACTTACACAAATATTGGCCAAAATAAATAGCTACTTGGAGGACAATGCCTTTGCTGATTATAGAAATGATTGGAGTTAACGATTGTAGCCCTCTAAGGCTGTGCGGGGTACGCGATGTATGCATACCGTGATATGGAAATAGTGTTAATTCGATCATCAAGTTCTTCACCGCTCTTTTCTGTGTTTTTTGGCCTTTATCTGCGACAACATATGAAAATGCCTAGGTCAAGACTTCGATGGAAATACACAGAGGAAGATATGGCAGAGGCCATATTGGATGTTACTGATAATGGTTTTTCACCTCCTCAAGCCGCTCAGAGACGGGGAGTGCCTCGGAGCACTCTAATCGACAGACTTAACGGCCGCGGGGCCGTGAAAGAGCAGGTCCACCCTTATCGACGCTTGTCCAAGAGCCAAGAGGATAGGCTCGCTTTCTGGATACTCCGTCAGGAGTCTTTGGGCTATGCTCCGTCCCACAGTCAGATCCGCGCTTGCGTCATGGGCCTGCTGAGACAGCAGGGCGAACATCCCGACTTAGGACGCAACTGGGTGAACAAGTTTATCAATCGCCGTGCAGACCTAAAGACCAAGATGGGCAGACGTCAAGAAGCCAAGAGGTTCGACTCTTTCACACCTAGAGCGGTTCATTGGTACTTTGATATCAGGGAGGGCCAATATGGTTGGATCAAGCCTGAAAACACCGTCAACGTTGATGAGGGGGGTATTATGACTGGTTTCGGCAAGCATTCACCTCTATTCCCTGTCAATGCTTGAGTTTTGGCCGACTAACCCTCTGGGTTCAGGTCTAGATAGCCTGGTCGTTGGAAGCGCGGACCCGAAGCGCAAGGCGTTTCTCAAGGGACCACAAACTCGGAATTGGACTTCATTCATCGAAGCTATCACCGCTGACGGCCGCGCTTTAGTTCCTGGCATAATATTCAAGGGGAAACAACTCCAGAAACAGTGGTTTCTTGATGAGTTCAAGCAGATAGCAGACTGGTATTATATAACATCGCCCAACGGGTGGACTGATGACCACATAGGCATTGAATGGCTTGAAAGAGTTTATCTGCCCCAGACTACGCCTGCCGACGACTCTGATGCGAGACTGATCATTTTAGATGGTCATGGAAGCCATGCAACAGTATGTTCACTATTTTCCCCACCTCAAGATCAGTGCTGAGTGATGGAAGGATGAATGGATGGCCACGTGCTTTTTGAACAACGTTTATTGCTGCTATCTACCAGCACACTGCTCTCATGGACTCCAGCCACTGGACAATGGAGTATTTAATGCGTCGAAGGCTGCATATCGACGAGAGTTGGAAAAGTTCGCTTCGTTGACTGATTCCGCTCCAATGGACAAGGTCAATTTCATCAGGGCCTACGCCAAGGCTCGCCGAGTTGGAATGACCAAGAAGAACATACTGTCTGGCTGGAGGGTCACTGGGAACTGGCCAATTTCACGTGCGAAAGCGTTACGGCACCCTGAAATCCAACAAGATGGGCCAAACGGCAACCCAAGAGTGACTCCTGAACCCAGGCCTTATCTTGGCTCGGACGATACGCCACAGACGAGCCGTCAAATTCGTGACCTTGGGTTGAACAAAACACCAAAGACGCGGAGACGGTATAACGTGATAGCCAAGGGCTTTGAAGCTCAACAGCAGACAGTAGCGGCGCATACGCAGAGGATTGCCAGCCTAGAGGAAGAATTGGCTCGGCTGAAAAGAGGGAAGAAGAGGAAGGCGGTGCCGAATCCTAACAAACGTTTTATGACTCTTGGAGAGACTCTAGCTAGTAAAGAGTGCATACCAGAAGGGGCGACTCGTTATATGCCTGTTGGGGTGGAATTTGTCTCTTCAAGCGAGCAAGAGTCAGAATCGGAGGCTGGTTCTGTCATCGAAGTCAGAGAGGAAAACATACCCCACCAACCACCCAGGCGGTCGCGGCGGGTGGCGAAAAAAACCAGAGTACAATAGATAAACCCTATTTATGATTTATGAAACGAAAAATTTCACGGATTTCTATCAATTCGGTCAAGTTCTGTGTAAGTGAAGTTGTTGATTTTTGGTGGTGGCTTTTTTATTTTGCTTGCCGAAAGAGGGGTTATGCCGAAAGAGGGGTTGTGGATGGTAATGCTTACATACAACGCCTGATTTTCGTCCTCTTCTCCCTGTATTGTACATCGTGAGGTTGATTGCCGCAACGGTTGTCGAACGGAGGAGGTGACCTCCTTCAAATGTCATCGTGTCTCACATTCGTAAGACGTGATATCAGTGGCGCCTGGGGAACGTTGACATGTCGTCTGAAATGGCGCCACCGCTGCTTGCGTGGCGTTCTCTTGCAGGGCTGGACAGTATCTCCGTCAATCTCCGGAAGACGAAAGCCAGCAGACGCAACGAGGAACACCAATTAACCTCTCCTGGCTCTTTAGGGTCGAGAAACATTTCACCCAGTGAAAACTTTGGCTTAAAATTTGGCCTCAATCTTATAGTTGAAATGGGTTGTAAAGTGTCCAGGGAGAATCCAGAATAAAGGCGGCCATGTCGTTATCAACAACCGTGAGGTGACAAAGGAGAGCATTTGTATAGGGGACAAAAGTTTGTGACAGGATTTGATTGCCTCGTTTAGTCCTGTGCGCATTCTGGTGGTGGCCTAAATTTGAGCAGCCTATTATGTACTCATTCCTTAACACCATGGCTGAAACCAGAAACACCTCGTATTTGATATAGACTTGCAAGCCATATATCACGACCTACATTTTTATTGCTACGAGGCTTAGATAAGGCAGGAAATTCGCACTGGATCTGTTTGACATAGTATTCTTCCATTTTTCCTTCAATTCAGAAGCCATCGTAACACACTGCACCCTATCTCAACACCCAAACCTCACATTTGCTCTTAGGGTAAACTCCGAAGAACAGGTCCAAGGCGATTTGTTCCACAGTGAAACTTCCGCAGTGTTGGTAGGTATCCTTGTTCCACTTCTATTCATTCTCTGGATGTCTAGCCTGTACCTTGTCTGCCGCGGAAATGACCCAGCACGAATAGCCTTTACGCACATGAAAGTGTTTTACCCCATGGCCTTCCTGTGCGTCAAGTCTTCCTTGAGCGTGGCAAACATAACATACTAGTTACTAACTCTTACAGCAAACTACTATTTCACTCCACCCATCTCATGCTCAACATTGCGATGCACAAGATACTCGTGCCTAACGTCTCGGATGTCTTCCTGATTCTTACATTATTTGAGCTCGGGAATGGTTTCCTACTATGCTTAACGGGCAAGAGATCACTACTCATTAATGGATTCTACGGCGATATATCACCAAGATTCCGGTTTGTGGCCTTATTTTATCGTGTATAAGTCATTTACTTGCCTCCTTACTTATCGCATATTATATAACCGCTTGACGTAGGTGATTTTGGCCCTATCAAGGCCGCTTTTCGCCGCCACGCAAAGCAGTTCGTTAGGTTTGTAACGACTGCCCCTATTCACAGGCAACGCTTCCTAAAAATGTATAGAAATTCCAGAGATAAAGCCATGACTGTGGTTAATACCCGAGGAGGCTTCTAGGTCGTTAGATCGAATCGTAATACCGAAGGAGGCACCTAGGAAAGAGTCGCCCCCTTACATACATGCTATAATACTAAATTACCATGCCTAGTGAGGCTTTGTATATCCCAAAAGCAAGCTTTAACCTCTTTTAGAGTTAAATGCACTCTATAAGGACCAAAGCGGCTACGATCGCGCCCTTACTGGGATTAGCCAGAAAGCAAGGAATAAGTTAGACCTTAAGTAAGTAGAAATAGTTACTTTAAAAGCTAAATAATCATATCTGAAAATAGACATAGAATCACAGAAGCATATACGCAAGAAAAATGTCATTTGGGAGCCATTGGTACGATATCCAATGCGTAAGGAGATTAACAAGATACGAGAGCTGGCCGTCAAAAGAAAGGCCAAGAAGGAAAAACGTGGTGCCGCTAAGAAGTCCCAAGGGGGAAAAAAGTACGGCTAAACCACAGATAGACAGCACAATTTGTATATCCCAGTTATAGCTAGCAAAAGAACCCTGGTTTTGTGGATCAATTGGGTCCCTAAGTTCAAGGGTTATATCGCGTTGGTGTGTAGAATGGGGGGCCAGGTGGACAGAGGGGTTATGACACTAAGAAACAAATAGTGGGAGCAAGGTTTTCGTGATGCTATTGATGACTCTAGCTAAGTGTCCAATCGGAGGGTTTGCGGAGATCAGGGACAAAGCTTGTTCTTTATCCAGCGTAATGATGACGATATGCAATAACATGATAACAAGCGATATCACCACCTCAAAAGCAAAGAGTGTCCCGCATGCAGTCCTGCTATCGCTGTGCGTTTGTCTTCGTGCCGAGCATCTGATCAAACCACTTCTGCATCTTTTCGTGGCAGCTCCTCTATTTCGCAAACATTCCTGAACGTCAATTTATTCTATTATGAAGACACTCAGTTTACTCGTTCTTCATCTATCGCTCTTTGGTGTTTCAGCTCACAGAAAGGGACTAGATTGCGATTTTGAAGCTCGTAACCTCAGAACAATCCAGTCGCTTTACAACCTAACTATTTTTCCAAGTACGTCAAACTTTCATTTTATGTTTCATTTACGTACATTCCCTGTTAATTTGTCAGAATAAATCACCCTTTGGCGTTCCGCTAACCTCCCTCTAGATAATGTCCCTATCATAAAAAATAGCACATCAGCCTTCCCGCAAGGCATCCTCGCAAATGAAATATCCGGCCGCGTCACGCCGGTCGGGGCGTTTGATGACCTCGAAGGCTCGATCGAGTACTTCGTCGGACTAGCGCCCGTTCCCACTAAACAAAATCCAACCATTTTCTCTGAGGCGAAAATAGTCGAGTTCAATTCTGGATGTTCAGATGTTGCGACGTCGACGGTATACTTAAAGCTCTCAAAGGTCGATATTGCAAACCCTACAGTACCCATACAGTTTGTTACATATCTCAAACAGGTAAGTCGATTGTTACGCTTTCATCCCTCCCATCGATGGATGAGTTCGGGATATGACATCTGACGTCCTTTTCAGATCGCATTCTGGCACTTCAATAAGCAAGGAGAAATTACTCACTACGACGCCTGGATCCCAAATCTGCAGGCATTTGTGGAAAAGAATTTTGGAGAACCGCTGTCCAATCCTGGTACCCAAGCGGGCTTCAAGCAGACAATATGTGGCCTAGCCATGCAGCGATGTGTTGGACCCAATGTGCAGTGGAACAGGTGAGTTGGCAAAATCCCACACTAAATCGCCACAACGTGAGGTATAGAGGTGGAAATGGGTAGAACATAGAAGCTAATCAACAATCAATGGGTAGTTTGGAGGAATGCCTGGGGTTTTTGGAAACAATTCCCTTCGGTACTTTCGATTATGCGACTAGCAACACCGTGGCGTGCCGGCAGATCCATGTTATCTTGACTTCAAGTCGTCCAGGTGTAAGTTGTTCAATGTTCCTGGCCGCATTTACTGACCTTTGCCATCTAGATTCACTGCCCACATGTGGGTCCCACGGGTGGTGGCAAGTGTGTTGATACAGATTACACAACATTTTACTTTGGGGATGAAGCTATCTTTGGATCACCTGCAAGCTCAATATTCATATGCCCACCAAAACCTGGAGACAAATGCCGCCGTGTTTAGCTATTTTTTGATATTTAATGCCTTAGATTACATATATCTAATCACAGGCAATCTCACATATAATAATTAAGACTATTGTTTATATAATATACGCAATAAGCGAGTGGGAAACTGGTTCCTTAAACACCGTAGTGAAGCTCAATTTTATCAACACAATCACAAGCTAGGCCAGCCTCAAGAGGAGCCGCAAGAGGAGCTGCAAGACGAACCACAAGATGGCCCACAAGACGAGCCTCAAGGTGAGCTTTTAGGAGCAAAAAGACCATCTACGTGTAGCAAATGCCATGTAATAGGCCATAGAAGAGATGCAAAATCTTGTCCGTTAAAATACAAAAGTAGTCCTTGATAGTTATAGGCGGTCAGCAATGCAGCAGGAATTTTACAGCGGGAATGAGGCTGGCCAAGATTTCTTGTATTTGAACCATTATGGATAGGAGAAGTGCACGGGCCACAGAAAGTGGTATTGGGCCCAATACCAGTGGTAATTGGTACAGTAGGGAACAATGTTTTTTTGAGCCTTGGAGGAGCTTTACCCTCCACTCTTCCATTGTCATTCCATCAATCTTCATGAGGCACGAGTCGTCTCACCTCCCCCCTGCATCTCGCCAGAACCAAGCCCAACTCACCCGATAATGACACAACACCAAGAACTCCTCAATAGCATCCGGATCAATCGATGCCCCTGAGCTCAAACTACCTGTTACGTAGAAGCTCCCTACCGGCTTATTTACCGCGGGCGAGGAGGCTGATGCAGAGATGACCCTTTGTTCCCATTAATGTCCCAGGTCCTCGGCGACTACTCATCGCACCATATGCAAAAGCCAGTGCACAGGGAGGTTTTGAACATCATCTGTCCAACAAGAGTAAGTATTTCGCACCCTCCACCACGGCCTAAGCCCATAGGCGCTATATAGAGGAACTTCTAAGTCGCAGTGCTATTCAACCTCTCGTCACTTATAATAAGAACATCCCGAAGCGATTTTCTCTTCACTATATACATCGTTTTAGAGCCTCTAGATTGATGGTACAGAAGGTCGACATGACCAACCGGAAGGTGGAAGCCCAACGGGGCGAGATTATGCATAAGGCTAGAATACTTCTCCAAGATGGTCTCGGACGCATAATGCATAAGGACATTTCGTTCAGTGATGCTGTAAGTGGTTAGAAGAGTCGCTGTAGTCGACGTGCTGAAGCTCCATGTCCAACCCCTCGCGTACGTCTAATGTCTAGTCTTACAAGCACTCTATACACCTGCCAATTAATCATCTAGATCCACAAGAGGAGGGAGTTAATCTTCAAAGGGTGCTGGCGGCTGGCAACCCGACTGTAAATACATCGTGTTCACGATTTTCATAGTGGCATCATATCCAGCGAAGACATCACACGATGGCATCACCCTCGCACAACAGGGATCACTCAGCCTGCTCTTTGTCAACTAGTCATATATAACAGCAGCTTAAATAACATCTACAGAAGCCCAGGCTCCCTTGGCAAAGACATCGCTTGAACCATACGGTCAGTCACATAGCTCCTTCAGCAACTCATTCCGTCACCCAATACCTCTCGCAATCTGCTGATACGTGTCAATGATGTTCACGATTCCTTGTTGGCTCTTTGTTTGTTGGCAGCTTGCACCTCTGTATTTGAGGGGATACCTGAGACTCCCAGCTCAATCGCCAACGCTGCAGACCTATCCACGACTCTTATCCGTCTATCCCATATAGTAGGTGTAATCATAATCTTACTGTCGATTGCAATGCAAGAAGCACCAAACTCCCAGGAAAGATAAAGGCAGAATAAAGAATGCTTCCGAATTCGATAATACCTGAGGTCCAGGAGTGCTCTTCCGTCAAGTACAGCTCTACCGTTATACCCTTTGACCGCTGGCACCACTAACGATCAGGCTCAGAGTCCGGATCACCCTCTTCCAATTCCTCTCCAACAGTTCGAAAACGCTCACAGGATTCGCTCCGATGTAGCTTTTCGCGGCCAGCGCGTTCGCAAGTTCCCGAGACTCCCGTCAATTATAGCTTATACCGCGGCGAAGAAGGGCATTTGGGCGTGGTTCTGGTACAGGTGGCACGTCACTGTGATACATGGTTGTTTTCCATTAGAGAGCTCAAGACAGCTTGAGTATGCTTAACCTGGCTGTCATACCTGTTCGATTTCGTCTCAGCTCTTATAATCCTCTTACTATGCAGCATGACCCTGTTCAGGTCGACAGTGTAGAATAAGGCAAAATACCAGGAGTACATTATATTCAGCAGCAGAGTAGTCAGTCATCTTGACAGCATCCTTGGAATTAGCCGGCGCATAAGGTGGCCATCTTATCTGTAATTGCCTTACTATTGCTGTTCTTGCAGGCCAGTCACATCCCTAATGTCACCTCAATTATTTCTTTGAAATCTTGGAGAGTTTGTCTGATAATTAAGGTATTGAATTGGCGTGAGGTCTAGCTGTATAGTTGGCCATTTCACTGTGACGCGTGGGTAGCCACCTATCCGCTAAAGACCATGTTAGTGAGTATGTTGGCCGCTAGATCATTGCGGTCTTGGAGGTGAGGTCATTAGTGGATGACCGCTTGCAGTAGCATTCGTGGAGATTGTCTAATAAATAAATTGAGCAGAGCTTCAATAAGTCTTCATATATATACAAGCGCTTCAGGTTTCGCTCACGATACTTTGAGCCCTCCCAAGTGCCAGACACCGAACCATCATTCTCACTGGTCTTTTAGCCTGAAGAGATGATTAATGATGACGGAAGGTAAACAAGACGTCGTGTTGGTCATTGCATCATCAACAGCCTTGATGTCAACGCTCGTTGAATTTGCTACAATTATCTGCGAACACAGAACAAGTAACAGTTTGCATACTCAGGGAAGATCATTTTAAAGTAAGAAGCCTTATTACTCAGATTTAATATCCGAATTAGATTGTTGAATTCACGACCCATCATACGACCATATAGCTAGTATGAGCTGTGCGCGGATATAGAACGTTTTGCACTTGCTCTCTTTGTTATCACTATTCAATAAGCACTTCCTTCCAAGTCGGCGCCCCCTAAGCTGACAGTTTCAGTAGGATGAGCGAAATCGCTAAATTTAAACATGCCCTCTCTGATGGGAACGAGAAGTGGCAAAATGAGACGGTCCAGATGCATCAGGCCCATATTTTTCAACAAGTAAAGGTTGGCCAGACTAACACCGAGAAGGAGCATCTTGAATGTAAGGACAAGGAAACGATCATTATGAGTAGCTTCACGATTAACATGAACGCTACACAATTACTAAAGTTAGGCAGCAGACTGAGCACAAGTCTAAGAGACCGACTCTCGTCACTCCTTTAGATAGAACATCAAGCGCTTATTGAATTCATAGGGCCTACCAGTACATACGACAAGGTGAAGGCTGGGCGGAAGCCGATGTCTCGAGAGCGGAATTGTCATGACGCTGCATCGCATCATTGGAGGAAGACCGACAAAGCTGCATGGATCGCCACGCTTGGCCTTGGAGAGGTCGAGTCATAGTGAATTGTTATCGGTTATTTAGAGCTCTGAAGTTTATGTATCCGTCTCTGTAATACTGCCCTTGCAAATTTCGGACAACTTGGTATGAACATGAGATGCAAGCCCGTTTCCCTCGACCTGACTAAGAAAGGCTGCGAGTTCTTGCTTGGATTCCGCGTCGATGTTCCCGAGGGGAGAGATTCTTGATATGCTGCTTGCTAGAAGGTCCATGCAGTCTCTGTAGATGCCCGCCTTCTGTGATCGATCTGCAAAAATAGAAAGTATCGCAGTACAGTCCCTGATGGCACGATCGACAGCCTTGGATACTGGCATGGCTCGCCGCCAGATGATGTATATTATCACCACGCCTAATTTGAATATAAAGAGCATCTTGCAAATTAGCATATAAGCTTCCAACACTTATATATCAGTACTCACATCAAACCAATGTTTTGGTAAATGCTTTCTCTTTTGAAGAGCCCTGAACGTTGCGCAGGAGTCACAACAGGCTTGGAGAAGTTTATCTGTGGTCTCTGACGCTGTTTCAAAGGGAACCGAGCTATAAAGCACAACTCGAGTCATGTGTGCGACGTAGACTACGCCAAGAGGGCTTGCATGGCCTTCGGTGTTTAGATGGCTATTCCTGTTGTCAGCCCAGAAGGCAACTTGAAGAGAGAGGTAGCTGCACGTACCTACTGGGAAAGACATCTTTGCTCTTGGCCCATCTATCAATCTCTAACCCCAGCTTCCCAAGACATTGATCCATCAAGTCGGGATCGACTTGTCGCGAAAAGGTGAGTATCTCGGAGTGAAGCTGCCTGACCCTGCACATGTGCGCAAAATAGCGTAGATCAAAACTATACAGGACCCCGCCTGAAGAACCTGGGGCATCAGCAGCCCAGGGCATGAAGAATTGCGGCTCGGGTTTAATATGATATGCAGGTGTTTCAACCCACTCATCAGGCGGGTACGGAGGAATATGCAGCGTTATTGCAACGACCTTGTCTAAGCTAACGAATGTTAATGATATACCTTTTTTAATATGATAGCTCTAAGCTTACCAGTAGATGCACCACCAAGCCTTAATCTTCATATCCGTTTCATGAGACCCATCGTTAGTGAGACAGTGGAAGCCGTTCAAGATTGCAAAGCGCATAACAACACCAACGATATGCACGACTCTGGCTGTGCTCTCTCCGTGAAGCTCGTGGAAGGCGTGGAGAAGCATGGCCTGGACGCGAGCAAGTGGTTTGAAAGAAGAATCAGCCATGATGTTCTGTTCCTGAAGGATCAGTTCCGGTTGTTGCCAAGTCCTGTTATCTAACCACGCATGCTGTAGGATTGCACCGTTGGCAAAGATCTGTTTATGTTGGTTAGTTTGAGACGAGGAGGGAGGTAGAGTACGCACCAGCTTCAACAGGCACATGGACCAGGCACTGTCGCTACAGGTGGCTATCTCGCCCGTTTTCCATTTCAGATACGCTGTGCTACATTCCTCGACATCGAGGAACGGGTAACGAGGGTGGATGATCTCAAAGTAAGTCTGGAAGAAGGAGGCGCCTTCACGGACTGAAATATCGGTCACGACGGCGGCTATTGGGGGATCAAGAGAGTGCGCAGTGTCTGCAGGCAGCGGCTGGGAGATGGAGAACAAGTTGTCGGCTGGGTATGTCAAGAGGTCGAATGAATTCCCTTGAGATGCTATCGGGGGCATATAGAATGTATGAAGAGGGTCAGTGAAGCTCAGTAAATCTGGACAAATGTTTGTCTGTGAATTTCGGGCTGGAGGACTACCAGACTCGGGATAATCTTGGGTTATGGACTCGGCCGTGCGTTGGTTGAGGCGTCCCTGAAGATGCGCAACCCGTTGCTCAAGGTCTTGTACGTAGGAGACGAGGTACGTGCCTGTAGGCTCATGGCTGGCAGGTACACATTCTTTAGGGTTTTAGATATGAACTACAGAGGGAAGAATGATAATCACAAGACTCACCAGCTTGCGCAGACGTGCAGTTTCGACACGCACCCCGGTCCTGGCCCTCGCACCGCTGCTTTCTTGCTCTGCATCGTTGGCACGCCGTTGCTTTCTTCCGTCGGAATCTTGGGGTTCTTGGCTGTGCAGAACCTCCTGTTGCGCTTTGATCTGGTTGCATGCTGGAAATAATGATGTGCTGGAGTCCGACGTCTCCGACGCGCTGCCCCTCATTTCGGATACTTTCGGCATATCGCCATTGACTTCTAGCGCCACTACACGCCGTCGGGTTTTATCCCCGATAACGATTGATGCTTTATTTGCTCCGAAAAGCCGATCAGGCTTCCTCCCATAACGACATTCATAATAACATAAAAAGAAGGACCTTCGCACCACTAACAGAAAATGGATTTCTCATCATCACATTACTACATCAAGCTCCCTTTTACTCTTCTTTCACCGTCATATCGCCCCTGGCAGTTACAACAATGAGGAATCAGCTGAGATATCCAGCTGGCCAGCACAACAAAGTGCATCGATTAGCCGACAAACGCGCTTCATATGATCTCGAAACAGTTCACAGCATCATGAATCGGTCATTCGTCTTCCACGTCTCGTTCCAGCCTGACGCTGAAGATCCCTTTCCAACCACCATCCCCATGCTCGGCGCCATGGGAAACTTTGACCATCCCAGCGCCGGCTTGAACGAGCCCCAGGACTGCTATATCCACGGGTACATCTCGGCCCGGATGGCTAATTTGTCGAGGGAGGCAATAGACAATGGACTTGCAGGTTTGCCCGTGTGCGTATCCGTCGCAAAAGTGGACGGTCTCATCTTGACCCTGAGCGCCTTCACCCACTCGTGCAACTACCGCTCAGCAGTCTTGTTTGGGCACGCAGCTCTGGTCACAGATGAGTCAGAAAAGCTGTGGGCGCTGGAGCTGATCACCAATAAGATCATCCCCGGTAGATGGGACCAGGTCCGCCAGCCCCCGAACAAATTCGAGCTTTTGCAGACGCAGGTCCTGCGCGTTCGAGTGACCAGCGGCAGTGCAAAGGTCCGCGCAGGGCCGCCGGCAGATGACAAGGAGGATGTCCAGGATCCAGCTGTCGTGGCGAATGTGTGGTCGGGATATGTTCCGCTGGTAGAGCGTATGGGGCAGCCCGTTCCCAGCGCGTACAATCAGCTCCAAGAGGTACCAGAGCATGTCAGAGATCTTCAAGAGGGGTATAATGAGGAGGCAGATGCCTACAACAACAAGCTGGTTAATCAGGTGCGTGAGGATGTAATTTCGTGGGGGACCATATAATAGTGCTCTAGTAATAGAATTCCTTGATTGAATTACAGTGCGGACCTGGCTTGGAGTACGAAAGAGGATTCGCCGCAATTCTTTTAGGTATACTATCAATCCTTCCACGTCTCCTATGGCTAGCTGAAATGTTAGCAGAAAAGCTTGAAATTCGAGCCAAATCCATTTCAAGGAGACTCCTACTTGGGGGGGCTTTCCAATTTGCCGGCACTCGCTAAAACTCCTGTCTGATCTGGAAGCCTGATATTCTGGCTATGTGCTTTGCGCAGCCTACTGTTGTCATTTCTTGGATCGAGAGGAATGAAAGGACTCGAGAAAGGCAGAGGGAGGGTCCTGTGGATGGTAGTTTCATCTTGCACGGAAGTGCTCGCTGTCGTCGCTAGATGGTAAGGAAGAAATGCTGCTTCATTGCGTTAACGGACAAGGCGACATGACCAATGGATTTCAGTTTTGGACACAGATGGGAGAACAAGGTTGAATACCTTGACGGCCTGAAACTGAACAATATGCATACTGGAGGGTATAAACACCGGGAAACTAACACTTTAAGCAATAGGTGAGGCAGGACCCAACCAATGCAATGCAAATTGAAGGCCAATGAATAAGGCTCTCACAATCGCTCTTTCCAAGAACCCTCAAGGTATTCCCACTCAGGCAATAACAGTGAAGGGCTGCTTGGCAAGCTCAGAGGGCCCATGTGTCAGGTTTGATCTCACCAATATGCGTCAACTCAGCCCCACTTTCATTGTAAGTAGGCGGACGAGGAGGAAGGAGAGTTAAGTTTCTCATGGGGCAAAACTCTGGTTAGGAGTAGGAGGGACCTTTTTGTCTAAATTACAAGTTACTTGAGTTGTCACTTTGGGTTCTTGATCAGGCCATTTGCAAGTCATATCTCGACATTCTTATACTTGATAAATTTCAGGGTGATAACATATGATCTCAAGTGCCAATGACTTGGTGGCATCTGAGTAGTACTTATACTTGACCTCATGAATGCCATTTGCGGAGCCTGCATTTAGTAAGGCTGGAACTTGCAAGAACTCAATCAGAGATATCGATTACAAGCCAAATTAGAGGTACACATACTCACGCCAATGTTTAAGATAAGTCTCACTTTAAAAGTCACTTGTCAATTACGGTTCTAAGCAACGGTACCATCGACTTCATAAACAAGGTTGACCACGCTGCCAAGGAGCCTGGCCCATGGACCTGGACAGAATTAGGGAAATCAATGCGTAGCTGGCTGGATGATAACTCTAATCGCATCCGAAATCAACCTCGCAATCATCAAGTCCACGGAAAACGTGAACAAGGACAGGAGCTTATATAGTGCAGAGACACGCGCTCGGTCCAGATATAATGTAAGTGTCTTCAAGGGTGAAATTGAATCGCGGTACGTTGCATTAGCTTGATGATAGAAAGTCTAGCGCTAGAGATCTTGGAGGCTATTGCTGACGGGCTACTGGGCGGACTTGAGAAGGGGAAGTGGAAATCGATGAGAAATGGGCAGTGGATAAGGTCAATCCGACCGCCAGTTTTAATTCAGAAAAACGATTGAATGGTCGAGTCCATGCATTTGAATCTTCATGTTGCAGTACTAAGATGCCGTTGGTATACGCTTACCTAGAGTCCCATTGCTCTAAAAGCCCAGTATATAATCGAAGTGACATATAAGATCATAAAAGACATTGGTTATAGTGGCGTTGAGTGGCTTAGCTTTTGGAATGTGGGTTGCTCGCTTAAATCAATCAGTTAAGTTAAAAATTTTTTAGACATAAGTCAGTGCTGGTTTCTCCAGGATAGGCCATAACCAAATTCATGCAACAGATGAAATAACTTCAATATCTTACAATATAAATACAAGGCAAGCTAAGCGCCATAAATAAAACCTGGTCTGGTTCTCTTTCTATTAAAACAGGCCCATCCAATAACCCATAGAAGGAAAGCAGAGATAATATCATTTCACCTAGCGCCTAAATGAACTAACTTATTTATTAAAGGATTACAGAAATCACGCTAATCTATAACACATAATCATTAAGATGGCACTTTGACCTATTACTTAGCACCATATAACACATTAATCTGTGGCTTTATGATAAAGTATAAAATACGTATTATCTATATCTGTATATATTTCATTTGTTCAAGATCATAAGGCCGAGGAACTTGGTCACCAGAGCTAATTATATATATTAGCCCAGATCAATGGTGTTACTAGTGGATCCGAGGTAAGGCGCGCGATGTAAGCACCAGCTATCAGCTATATCAACTGAAAATATGACTCTTAAAAACACACTTTAGGCAGCATACCAACCACTCTTCGGACGTATTGTGTGAGCTGCAGAAGATCCTCCCTAATCTGGAAATTTATTGTAACAACTCTTATGCTCCCCAATAACAAGGACGCCCTTGTAGGTAACTCTTAGTTATATTCTCTACATTATTTAAAACTTAATAACTTATTTCTAATAGGATATAAGAGAATATACTATTTCATACTTTATGATAAATATAATTACTATAATTCCCCCCTTCAATAATTAGACTATAAGTATCATACCCTAACTTGTTATCCAGCCAAGGTAGTCCGCTGTAACTAATGTTATCATACTTTACACATGTTAGCGTCAGAACAATACCTATAAACACTGGGTAACTTACGCGTGTGGTGCAATTCGGAAATAGAACGTTCCAAAGCCACGATAAAATCGCATCCAGCCTTCTTCCGCGGCTACCTTTCGAAAGCAGTCGACCATGGAGTTATAGGCTAGCTTGCCATTAGGGCCTGGCTTCTGTCTCTGCAGCCGCGTCTTAACAAAATCGAAAGGGATACCAACAACGGCAGAGAGAAAGCCAGCAATAGCGCTTGCTGTCAGGGTTTGCATAGATGCCGACCATTGGGTCCGTGTCTTTAGTCGGGCCTTGGCCTCGGAGAAGAACGTAAGCTGGCCCAGGTTCAGTGACATAGCTCGGGCAATAGTCGGTGTCGCTCCGGCCCAAAGAGCCCTACCGCCTTCCGCTTTAGTGATAGATACTAATGCGTCGACGACCGACCTATAGTTGCTCCGCTTAGCAGCTGGGAGGAGGCCATCGGCCTGCATTCGGACCAGGGCGAGGTCCGCTGGGTTTGCTAGAAAAGCCCCAAGGCCACCTGCTAAGAGTCCGGCGGCGCATCGTTCTGCAAAGCTGACCGTTGTATTTCGTTCTTGGTGGTGCTGCTGCAGGCGCTTCATGAACATATCGAAGAACCCCAACCTCGATGTTGTGTAGACCCCCTGACGGAAGAGACCAGCGGACAGGCCGGCGTAAAAGTCGAGAATCCTGCCCTGGACGAGAATCGTCCTTGCTATCGAAAGTGGCGTGGGTTTTGGCACACCCATTTGGCTACTGTCGACAAGTTGCAACCGCACCTTGTTTTGTACTCAGGGTACGTGTCATTTTACGGGAGTTAACTTTGGTTCAATGCTTACCTTGACCATATCGATGGGCTGGATGACAGTGGTTGCAATCATACCAGAAATGCCTCCGTTGATGAAGGGCAAGATACCTCTCATGAGTGGTGTATGGAGAATGCCATTGGGAACATGAGGTTCTGTCCTCTGCTGTAGGTTCTTAGTGACCGTATCTACCTCGGATTGCATGTCGCTAGCAACCCAGGAAGAACCCATTCTTTGACAGAGGAAACGATCGAGACAAAACAAATTTATTATTTGATACTCATGTAATACCGAGCGGTAGAACGTGGTAAACCATTGTGCTTTATAGCAACTCGCTGCGAAAACATCAGACACTTTTACCACTTAAATCTAATCAATACTCATACCCCACTGTGCAATATATGAGTTCGGCTCTTTAGAAGCCAACAACCGAGACTTGTAATTGAGCTACATGGAAGACTGGGCTCGGGAACAGTTTCCGGTATCGATCCGAATTCATGCCCGGGGTTCGTGCCTTAAACTCCATCAGGAGCCAATGACTTGATTGCTCATCCCGTTCAGGAGATCGACAAAAGACCAGCGCGAAGGCCTGGACCCCAGATCAGTCGAAACCCACGCGGGGTAGAATGGCTCGCTCACCCACTCGATGGACGTTATCATGGGGTAGAACTGGAGACTCTTGACTTCACTGGTCACAAGACCAAACCTACCCCGCCAATTCCCCGGACTGAGTTCCCCCGGCTGAGAGAAACCCCGCATAGTGTGATCCGGCTTGAGAACTTAGGGCCGGGAAGAGTCTCCTTGAGAGGCCACCTAATAACATAACACCCTAGATTGGCCGAGACTTCCACTAAGGTCTTAGAACTTGATATATAATGCCACAGGGATCTTCCTTTCCCTTGTTCCTGTCATCAAACTCGTGCTCGTTTCGATCAAGTATTTACAACTATCCACCAAATAGTAACGCAATATGGATACAAAGGATATAAAGAACAAGGACTTCACCACTGCTTCGACCCAAATCGAGCACAAAGACGGCACCCATGTCACTTTCGAGGCTATCGATGAAGCCGAGGAGAGGCAAGTCGTGCGCAAGCTCGATCTCCATGTGCTCCCTCTGATGACCTTGGTATATTTCTGCATGTGTGAGTCTACTCTGTTACTGACACTCTTCCAACCCCATCATCGGAATTGGAGAACAACAGGCTGATCAACACAGACTTGGACAAGCAATCTATTACATACGCTGCCATCTTCGGATTGCGGTCAGACTTGAACCTGACTGGCGAAGAGTACAGCTGGTGTGTCTCGGCATTCTACCTTGGTCAGCTACTTTCCAACTGGCCTGCTGCATACCTCCTCGGCCGACTGCCTTTGAAGACCTTCATCGGCTGCACCATCGTTGTCTGGGGCGTGGCCTGCGTTTGTGTAGGTCTCCCCCAAAACTTTGGGGGAATGATGGCTGCACGATTCTTTCTCGGTTTAACCGAAGGCGCCGTCTCTCCAGCCTTTGTCATGTTGACCTCGGTCTGGTACAAGCGTCGAGAGCACCCTGTCCGCGTTGCCACTTGGGTATCTATGAATGGCTTCGCTCAAATCACAAATGCACTTATAATGTTCGGGCTCGGTCGTGCCAAACTGGCTATCGAGTCCTGGCGGGTACTCTTCTTTCTCATTGGCGGGCTGACTGTCACGTCTGGGCTGCTGTTTTACTTCCTGCTCCCAGGAGACACCATGACAGCATGGTTTCTGACGCCTCGCCAACGAGAAATCGCCACTAGGAGGCTCGCTATAGATCGCAGCACCCGCGATCGCACAGACTTCAACCGATCTCAG